CCTAACCCTAACCCTAACCCTAACCCTAACCCTAACCCTAACCCTAACCCTAACCCTAACCCTAACCCTAACCCTAACCCTAACCCTAACCCTAAACCCTAAACCCTAACCCCTAACCCTTTGGCAGCATTGGCAAGCGCCGCGACGACGACGACGACGGCATGCAGCACGACTTGTCAGCGCGCACAGGAGCGTGCTCGCTCCACTGATGCCGTGCGCTTGCCGCGGCGAGCCGGCCCAAGCATGCCAGAAGGCAGCGCAACAAACGGCGAGGCAGACGACGCGCAGCGGCGCATCGGCCATCCTGTGGTGACGGCAACGAGCGGCGGCGACGCCGATGAAGAACCTGAGTTGTTGCGCAGCATCGCACTCGGCAAAGAGCACGGCGGACGGCGGCTCGGGACGAGAGAGGGTGCGAGCGCGACTGCAGACGCCCGACGCCTTCAAGCGCGTCAGCGCTGCGCTCGCGGAGGGGTACGGCTCAGTGGCCGGGCGCGAGCAGGTCGCCATCGGCGGTGGGCGCCGACGCCGGCGCTGGCCAGTGCGCTGGATGCAGCGGCGCCGCCGCAGCTGCAGTGCGGGTGCTGTCGCGTGCCGAGTGCTCGACGGGGAGGCGTGGCACGTCCGCGCCGTCCGGTGACCGTGTCACAGGCGCAGCAGCCGTCGCGACGAGCAGCCCATGAGTCCTGGCGCCGTGCCCGAGTCGTGCGCTTGCGCAGCACCGGCGCCTTGCCGTATTTGACGTGCGAGCGCTGGCGAGTCGTTGAGCCGGGTCGTCGTGAAGGCCTGTGCCAAGACGCTGGCTACACGGCGCCGCTCTCGAGCCCAGCGGCCGAGCTTGCACCCCTGCTGCACCGTGCCAAGCCGGACGCCGACGACCTGGAAGCCGAAGCCCGTGCGAAGACGCCACCCGCGCCTCATGCTGGACTCGCCTGACAAGATGACGAGCGGCCCACGCGACGCTGGCTTTGCGAGGCAACGGCTGCGCAGCCGAGCCGCCGCACCGCCGGCCAGTTTGGCATCGGCGGCGGCGCCCCAGCTTCCGTGCGCGCAGCTCGACATCTCCAAGAGCGCCGCCTCAACCTCGGCGCCGCGCTGCTTGAGGGCAAAGGAGGGCGGGATCGCCGGGCTTGCACCTGCGCTGCCTCGATCTCGCGTCGCCAGACAGCGACGCGGGCTAGAAGCTCTGATCGCGAGCTTCGTGACGCGAGGCCGGCAAGGACGTCGCGTGCTCAGCCTTTCCCTCGGCAGCGACGGCGAGCGGAAGCCTAGCAAGCAAAGTAGACGCCTGGGACGAGGGACGAGGCGCGCTGCCGCAAGAGCGCCGTGGTGCCGACCGGCGGCGCGGTCGCGACGTCTTGCAGCGGCGCAAGGCCCGACAGCTCTCGCGCGGCGCGCGCCAGACGGAGAAGTTGGCGCGCATCCAGAGACGGTGCGGGATGGAGCTCGAGCCGCAGCTGCTGGCGAGCGGGGCAGCAAGAAGGTGGGGAGCGGACTGGAGGAGCGGAAGATGGAGACGGCCGCTGCGCCGCCGAGAGCTCGCTGCTGCACTTGCGTGCCATCGAGATCAAGGTCTGCTGCCGTCTGGCCAGCAGCCTGCCTTTGACGGTCAGGTTGCTCAGCGGCAGTGCCAGCGGCGCGGCGCAGCGCTGCACCGCCCTGCAGCATGCTATGGCGCCGCAGCATCGTGCGCTCGGTGCATGCGCCCTCGTCAACAGCCAAGACGCACGGCGCACGCCCCCGAGCTGACGCTTGCGCACTGAGCAGGCGGTTGGCGCTGTGACAGGCCGCGGAAGAGGCGCCAGCGCAGATATGCTGCCCCAGCAGCGCCACCGCGAAAGTCACGACAGGGTCACAAAGGCAGACCATCCCGCAGGGGCCGCACGACGCCTACGCCTCAATCCGCGTCGTCATGCTTGCGCCTGCCGCTGTCCAAGCTTACGCCTCCCTGCTTGTCACCACCTGCGCCGCACGCCCCTCGCAGCACGACACGCCCCTCTTTCGCACGCTCCTCCTTCGTCCTCGCAGCACAACACGCTCCTCCTTCGCACGCTCCTTCAGCATGGCACAACGAGTGAAGCGTGCTTTGAATTGCGTGCTCCCTCGCGTCTAGTCGGAGTACACCGCCTCGCCGTGGTCCCAGAGATTCGCGACGCGCGTCCAGTTGACGCACTCCCAGAAGCGCTGCAGGTACACGTCCTGCTCGAAGCCGTGGTCGGGGAGCCAGGCGTGCTCGTGCACCGAGAGGCAGAGCAGCGGCTGCAGCGTCTCGCCGACCTTGCTGTCGTTTGGCTGCTGCCCGAACGCGCGCTGCGCCGAGGCGTAGGTCGAGGCGGCCGCACTGCTGCTGCTGAAGCTGCGCGCCGGCGCGGCCGCAAACGGAGAGGTGGACGCGGCACGGCCCTGCTGCTGCGGTCGTTGCGCCGCGGCCTCCGGCAGCGGGTTGCCCTGCGCATCGATGCCGACGGACGCCTCGAAGGTGCTGCCGAGGTTTTTTTGCACGCGGTTCTGCACCAGCACCGTGCCGGCGCCGTGCGTGGGCACGATGCCGAGGTTGCCCTGCTGGTCGCGCACCAGCCAGACCCAGCCCGACGCCGACATGCCCGTCGCCGTCGCGGAAAAGGCGTCCTTGAACGCGGCAAACGAGCCCCACTGCGTCTCGATGCGGTCGAGCAGCGCCTTCGGCGGCTCGGGCTGCGGCAGCTGGTCCCACGCCATGCCCGGGGCCGTGCCGAGCTCCTTGGGCTTCTGCAGACGGGCCGAGGCAGTCAGCAGCCGCGCCGCGCTGTGCACCGCAGCACACGCACCAGGCCGTGGAAGAAAAAGGCATTGTTCAGCGCCTGGCTGGCCGTGTTGAAGATGAGAATCTGCGACGGGTTGCTCGCCGAGCCAATGACGGTCTCGACGAGCGACGAGTTCTCATACTCGGTGCCTGTGTCGCGGCGTCAGCGGCGCGTGTGGCACGCCGCGCGCCGGCGCCACTCACCGCGCACGAGGTCGTTGAGACGGGCGAGCAGGCGGCGTTGGTAGTGCTCCCAGATGAGGTCGAGCGTGCGCCGCGAGAAGAGCGGCTCGCAGGCGCGGTCGCTGCTGCTGCTCGCGCCCGTGAAGCGCAGCGGCAGCGGCAGGCTGGGCAGGCTGTGCAGCGCTCGCCGCCGCGCCACGGCTGCGACAGACGGGGCGCCAGAGGCAGCGGCACGCAGACTGCTGCGCGAGAGCGCGCGCAGAGGGAGCGCCATGGCGAGTGCGGAGAGAGGGCGGGGCAGCGGGAGAGGTCGGAAGGAGGAATGGCGGCGTGGTGGGCGGCGAAGCTTTCGTTGCGCGCATTCGGTGCTCACGCACGCGAGCCTCGCGCTGACTAAGCGGGTGCCGCTGCTCCCACGCGCCTTCAGCCATTCCGCCTCCCGCTCGCTCCCCTTCCGCCGGCGCACATGTCTCGGACGCTGTGCGCAGCTTGCTGTGCAAGCATCCGCAAAGAAGATCGGCAGCAGAGGCTGTTCCGACTCTGCATGCTGCGGAAGCGCGGGAGCGGGAGAGGGCTGGATGCGACTTGGCCGCGCGAGTTGGGTTTGCTGCCGCCGCACCGCGCCCGGCGGCTCGATGGCGCCGCTGCTGCTTGCGCTGAGACACGCCCGCGCGCGCTGCTCGCTGCTCAGGCCAAGGCGGCAACTCGCCGAGCCGTCGGTGGGCGAGAGAAGAAGGAACATCAGGCAGGCCCTCTTTCACCCCTCGCACATCTCTGCACCGTGAGCAGGCCGAGGATCGTCGAGCGGCGTGCGTCTTGATAAGCAGCGCGTGCGCGCCAAACGAGCCCACCTTGCCTCGCCCCCTCTCCCTGCCGCGGCGACTTCGCTTGCCGCACCTGTCACGGCGGAGCGTACCGCCGCGCCACGCGCCTCCACCTCGGCCCCGTTCGCGGTTCGCCGCCGCGCCAAGCTCTTGATTCGGCGCCGCTAGGCGTCAGCACCTGCCGCGCGCTCCTCCTCCTTCTCTCTCACCACGACGACACCGCATCGCACTGCACCGCATCGCATCGCATCCCGGCGCATCCCACCGCGCCATGCCGGCCGCACGCACGGCGCCGCCGCCGGCACATCCGCCGCCGCCGCCGCCGCCGCCGCCGCAGCAGCAGCATCCCGCCGGCAGCAGCAGCCACGCGGCAGGACCGAGCGGCAGCACGAGCGCGCAGGAGAAGAGCGCCGCCGAGACGCTGGCACAGCGCCGCGAGCAGAACAAGCTGGCCCAGCGCCGCTTCCGCGAGCGCGCACGCGAGGTGAGTGCGGCGCAGACAGCTGCAGTCGGAGGGCTGCGGCGCGGGGCCGCCGAGGCGACGGCAACGTCTGCCGAGTGTCGCTCATACACCCACACCCTGCTGCAGGCCAAGCGAGGCTCGCGATCACAACAAGGCGCCGGCACTGCCGCCACGGGCGCGAACAAGGGCCCATACGCCGCGCCCTCGCCTGCCGCGCCGCTCGACTCGCGCACCTTCAACAAGTGGCTCGGCTCGCTCGGCGTGCCGGCCACCTCGGTGCCGCCGAGCTTCTACGTGCCGCCGTACCTGGCGCCATACGACACTCCGGCCTATGGCGCACCGGCGGGCCTGCCAGCGGGCTATGCCGCAGCACCGCCAGCGGACGGTGCCGGTAAAGAGTGGCAGGACCCCGAGGTCGGCGGCGAGCTGCCGGCGACGTCGCAGTGGAACTTTGCCAACGTGCCGCCGAGCATGTCGCCCGGCTTCTATCCGTTCGTCGCGCCCGACGCCGCGCGGCACGCTGGTCCCAGCAGCAGTGCGCCGCTCGGTGCCGAGGGCTACGCCTCGCTGCTCAGCCAGCCGTTTGTGCAGGGCGCGGGAGCGCTCAACGGGCTCACGCCGGCCGACGTCTCCGGCCTCTCGCACACCTTTCCTGTTGGCGTCGCCGAGCCGCTTCCGCACGGCAACTCGGCGGCATACATGCAAGAGCGTGGTCAGCCTCGCGGCGCATTCTCCGCAGATGGCTCTCGAGCCGGCACGAGCGACGGCAGCGACGCCGAAGGGCGGGGCACACGCCGATCTGCCTCTCGCTCAGTGCCGCTCCTGCGCAACGACAGCGACGGCTCTGCCTCGACGCATTTGTCAGTCAAGCGTGAGCACTCGACGGACGCGGCCAGTGGCTATGGCTCCGACGCACTTCAAGGCAGTTCCTCGCGCGCCGTGACGCATGCGCAGCCGGCCCTCATGGCCGATGGCTACCACCCGCCGTTGCCACAGGCGAGCAGGTACATCGCTCTCGTGACGTGGACGACGCACCTGCGCAACCTCAGCGTGGACGACTACATGCGCTTCCTGCGCACGCCGCTGCCGACTGCGCCGCGCGCGCTCGGCCTCGAGAATCACGATGTGGTGCGCGTGCTCCTGATGAATGCTGTGAGTCGAACCGCACTGGTCTCTCTTGCGCCGCGTGCTGAGCTGCCGCGCCTCCCACAGCAAGCGATGGGCTTCGTGCGGGACGAGTTCCACGAGCACGACGCCATCTCCGACATTGGCGACTCGTTCCGGCGCATGCTCGTCTCGGAGCGGCGCTCTGCCAGCGCGGCCAGGTCGCTGGAGGTGCCGCCAGCTGGCAACGAGGAGCTCGTGGATGCCGAGACGCGCACGGCCATCACGCGCTGGCGCAGGATACCGAAGCACATGTACCCGACGAAGCTGCAGCTGACCATTCCGCGTGAGTGCTTGCGTGCCAGGAGGCGGACTTGGCCCTGACCTTCCGGCAGACCACCCGTGGATCGACGTGGGCTTCCCGTGGCCGGCGCTGCGCGACCGGATCCTGACGCTCACCGAGGAGCGCATCATCGACGAGGATGAGCTGTGCGTGACAGGCGCGCCGGTTTGCGCCTTTCAGCTGCTGATGCGCGCTCCGCAGCTGCGCCGACATGATCATGCCGGGCTCCTACGACGGCCAGCAGCCGTCGTTCATTGTGTGGGGCAGCGATGCGCTCGACGATCGGGCGTGGGAGATGTCCGAGGGCTTTGCGCAGCGCTGGCCCATGCTCATCGACGAAGAGATGATCAAAACGTGAGTTCGTCCCGCTACACTGTCCTCCCGTGCGGCGCTGACGTGCTCCGGCAGCACAAACTTCTGGCGCAAGCAGCGCGGCCTGGAGCCGCTCTCGCTGCCGGAACGCGCGCCGCACGGCACCTCGTACATCGCCGAGCCGCGCATCGCCGAGCTCGACGACGACGGCAGCGCGGCACACCTTGACTTCCATGCTCGCACGCGGCACAGCGCTTGATCTCCGCCAGGTAGCGGCAAGCGCACCCTCCATCCCCGTCTCCTGTCACATCTCTGACCGGCCGGGCCTGCTCGCCCTGAGAGCCAGGCCACGGCGCTGTCTCACCTCCGGCCACGCTTCTCGACCGAGCCGCCTGCTCGGGCTCTACCGTACCAGTCCTGCCCCTGTAATCGCATGCATAGATACCGAGCGGCCGCTGGGCAGCCCGCGGCCGCGCTGGATATAGACAGCTGGCATTCCCTCGTCGTCTCTACGCCCCTTACACGGTCGCCACAAGCTCCGAGGCCGTCTCGAGCGCAGCGATCTGCGCATCCAGGGTGTCAGCACAGCAGCGCTGCCGGTCTCGCAGCTGCACACTCACCATCTTGACGCATTCCTTGCGGCGCGTCACGACATGGTCGCTCTCGCGCATCAGCTCGTTCATCACCTCGGCCTGGTAGAGCTCCTTGAGCAGCTCGCGCTGCAGCGAGTCCTTGGCGAACGTCTGGTGAAGGCGCGTCAGCATTTGGCTTGGGCCTGTGAGCAGCTTCACGCACAACAAGGTGCAGCATCGTCGCCTTTGGGATCATGTCGATGATGGTGCGCTTCACGATGCTGCGGGACGCGGCGTGTGAGCAGAGCTGGCGATCCAGAGCAGACCGCAGCACGCACTTGAAGTAGGACATGATGAGCATGCGGATCACCTCGACCTCCATCGCCTCGCGGTCCGTCAGCTGCCCGCTGGCCTTGAGCGACGGCGGCGGCTGCAGAGCGGCGCGAGTCAGCATGCCGCAGCCTCGGAGCACTCCCGAGAGTGCGACGCACCGACTCCATCGTGGCGTGCTTTGCCCGCTCCTTGGCGCTCGCCTTGCCACCCGCGAAGAAGGAGCCGAAGAAGCCCTGATCCTTGATATTGACGTCGAGGTCACGGTCGTTGTTGACCTGGTGCGGGCTGGGCTTCTTCGGGTCCGGCGGCGCCTGTGCCTGCGTGTGGCGCTCCGTCACGATGGCCATGGCGCGGTGGCCCGAGATGAAGTCGGGGTGGCTGTGCGGTGTCAGCGAGAGGCGCGAGACCCGTGGGCCAGGATGCGCACCCAGTGTTCAAGTAGCACGCCTCCGACGCCACAATGTCCGTGACGAGCTTCGTCGTCGGCTGCAGGCAGCGCTTGAAGAACGAGATCTGCAGGATAGTCGATCAGCACGCAGCTCCACTTGTCGACGCCCCCCTACACGCACCACCACCTGGTTGAAGCGCTCGCGCAACGCCGGGAAGCGCCGGAACGATTGCTGGAAGGGGCGCGCGTCAGCTGTGCGCAGCGGATGCCATCCATTGACGCGACTCACGTTCTTCATGAGGAGCTGCGAGAGGATGCGCACGAGCTCGTCGTACACGAGGCTGACACACTTCAAGCTCGGGTCCTCGAGACGCTTGATCTGCTGCTTGACGATGACCTCAAACGCCGTCGTGCCGACGAAAAGCGCCGGCGAGGAGCCCTGCAAGGCACGTCAGCTTTGCCGCGCGCTGTGCGGTCAACCCACGCACGCTCGAGTTGTAGAGAATCGTGCGGATGTCCGAGTCCTTGACCGTGTCGAACGGGTCGATGGCCTTGACGCCGTTGCTGAACAGCTCGTGGAAGACGAAGCTGATGCGCGCGCCGCCCGCCAGCTCGTTGACGCTGAGGTCGTTCGAGTTGCCGTCGATGACGGTGCGGAACTCGTTGCAGAACTCGGTGATGATCGTGAGCACGATGTTGCCCGAGTTGGCATCGCCCAGCGCGCCGCCGAGCGAGGTCAGCTCGGCCTGGTACTTGGTCAGCTGCGTCTGGATCTTGGCCTTGATGTCGGGCAGCGTGTTGCGGATGTGGTGCATGAGGATCTGCAGGGGGTCGCATCAGCCCTGGCACTGCGCCGCAGCTGCCGCTGTGGCCCTCCACTGTCGCCGCGCTCACCGTGTTGAGCTTGCGCGCGAGATACGGCGTGCCGCAGTACTGCGCCTTGGAGCGGTAGCTGCTGTGGTTCTGGAAGAAGTCGGCCTCGGCGGCGAGTGCGGCCGAGACGAGCTTCTTCTGGTCGATGTCGCGCTGGCCGCGGTTCACCACCGGCACGTAGCCCAGCCGCAGCGGGATCACGCGGCCGGCGAGAATGTCGACGACGTCGGTGCCCGCGTCCCTGGACGAGGCGTCAGGCCTGCGCAAGGGCACACGCCCCTGCTGCGACTCACATGAGGTCCACCTTTGTCAGCACGCCGACCGTCCGCGTGCCCTCCGGGTCCACCTCGCGCGCCATCTTGAGGCCGTCCGAGTTTGCCAGATCCGTGTTGGCCGCCGTGACGGCGAGGATGACGGCGTTGGGCTTCATGATGAACTTGAGCACCATCTCGCGGATCTGGCGCTCAATGTCGCGCGGCTGGTCGCCGACGGGCACCTTGGTCAGGCCGGGCAGGTCGACGAGCGTGAGGGTGAGCACGTTGGGGCTGTAGATGCGCAGGTTGATCGGCTGCGGCGATATGCCGGCGTTCTTGCCCGTCTTGAGCTCCGTGTCGCGCACAATCTCCTCGCGGATCTTGTTGAAGTCGTGGAACTTCTCGCCGGGCAGGTGCAGGAACTCGCCCCACTCGTCGGGGTTCGTGCCGGCGGCCGTGGCCTTGATCTCTGCGGCTGCAGCGTGAGTAGGCGGGCGATGCCAATGACGCCTGGCTCCAACCAATGCCGGCCGGTGCTGCTCCGCAGCGGCCCTCGCACACCACACTCACCCGAGCCGTTCGCGCCCGCCGCCACGCCGCCCACGGCGCCCGATGCGCTTGCCCGGTTGATGAGCTGCAGCACGAGCGGCCGCCGCGTCACGATGCCCGTGCCGCGCGGCAGAAAGTCACGCCCGACGATGTTCTCGAGCACCGACGACTTGCCCCTGGAGGAGTGAGCAGCGGCCAAGTCAGCATAGCAGCAGCGCACCGCCTGCCCGCCGCCACGCACGAGGACTGCGAGCCGAGCACGGTGATCTGCGGCAGGTCGACGGGGTTCTGGATGCCGACATTGTTGAAGGCATCCTGCAGCTTGTTCACCAGCTTGATCAGCGACTGATCCATGGCGGGCAGCGGCCGGTCGGCAGGGCACAGGCGAGGTGGAGGGAGCGCGGCGACGAGGGCGGCGGCGGCGGCAGCAGCAGCAGCAGCGGCAGCGGGCGCAGCGAGAGGAAGCAGAGAGGTGCGGCGGAGAAGGCGTGCGAGGACGGTGCAGCGGCGGATGCGGTGCTGCGAGGGAGTGGAGGAGAGGAAGGAGGCGCTGCGAGAGGCGCGCGGCTGGCCCGAGAGCAACAGGCGCCAGACCTCGCGGCGCCTGTGCGCGGCGGTGATGGATGCTCGCGGCGGCGCTGCGCCTGTGTGCCGGCCGTGTGAGCAGCGCGCGGCCGCGGCGTGGCTGTTGCTGCGCGCGCGGCGGCGCGGCGGCGGGCTGCGCATCGCGGCCGCCAGCTCGCGCCATGAGCTGGCGGAGCGCCCATCACGTGGGCTCGCATCCCTGGGGGCTGTGTGCCGCGCCGCCGGGCCAGCTCTTCTCCACCACACCGCAACAGGCAGAGCGCCGCAAGAGCAGCACAGAGCAGAGCAGAGGCCCACGCAGCAGCACGACACACACCATGGCCGCGGCGCCGCCCAAGCTGCGCATCCTCGCGCTGCACGGCTTTGCCTCCAACGCCTTCCACTTCAACCGGCGTCTCGGCTCCTTCCGCAAGGCCACGGGCGCCGTGGCGGAGCTGCACTTTCTCAATGCGCCGCACCTCGTGCAGCCCGTGAGCGTCACGCTCGGCCTCGAGGCGCGCGACGACCTCGTCGACGAGAACACACCGCTCGAGGAGCAGCCGCGCGCCTGGTGGCGCGCAAATGGGCAAGGCCAGAGCCAGTACGACGGCTGGCCCGAGACGCTCGCCTTTCTCAACGACGCCCTGGCCGAGCACGGCCCGTTCGACGCCGTGCTTGGCTTCAGCCAGGGTGCGTGAGCGTGCGTGTGCGGCGAGCGCCGACGCGGCTGACGCGTCTCACAGGCGGATGCCTGGCCGGCCTGCTCGTCTCGGCCTTTGAGGATGCGTCGCGCCTGCCCGGCCTCGTGCTGCCTGCGAGCCAGAAACCGCTCAAGTTTGCCATCAACGTGTCGGGCTTCCGCGCGGCCGACGAGCGCATGAAGGCCTGCTTCCCGCGCGAGGGCATCCGCACGCCCGTCCTGCACGTCCTCGGCCGGTGAGTCTGGCGGCGCCTTGCGTCGGGCCATGCTCATCGCTCGCCGCAGCAACGACCAGATTGTGGAGGAGGAGCGGGCACAGACGCTCGTCTCGGCCTTCAAGTCGACGTCGCGGGTCGAGCACCACGACGGCGGCCACGCGCTTCCCACACAGTGAGCTCGCTCGTGCGTGGGCAGGAGTCGCCACTGACGCGCCTCTTCAGAGCACCATGGCGGCAGTTCTTCAAGGCCTTCTTCGAGCACTTCGCTGCCGAGGACTACACGCCATCAGACGCCTGGCGGGATGTGGCGCCGCCGTCGGCGCGGCCGTTTGGCATGCAGCCCGACAGTGCACCCGGCAGTGGCGCCGTCACGCCGCGCGACGACGGCAAGCCCGACGGCAAGTCGAGTCTCTGAGCAGGTCCTGCATGCGATTGCATCGAGCGAGAAGACTATAGTATACATGGCACGGCGGAGCACGGCGAAGCGAGTGGTGGGTGTGCTCGTGGGGAGATGCTGTATAACGATGATACACGGTGCTTTTGGTCGCTTTAATAGAAGCTCGTGATGCCGAGCTGGGCAGCAAGGATGTCAAAGGTGGAGCTGGGGTCCGACGCCGAGAGCAGCGGCTGCGGCGCATGGCCGAGGCTCTGCAGGTCGCCGCTGACGCCCGGGAAGAGCGTGGCGCTGCCAGGGTCGCTCGGGCCCGGCAGGCCGCTGGTGGGTGCCGATGCGCCGTTGCCCTCCGCTTCGTTCCACGACGTGAGGGACAGGGCAAAGTCACTCTGCGCCCACGGCGGCAGGTGCAGCGTCGCGTGACTGTCGTCCTGGTACGACGTGCGCTTGGCCAGGCGGGCCGGCGAGCCGGCAGTGCCCCAGGTGTCGCGCGACGGCGACGACGGCGTCTCGCCGCCCGCCGTCGGGCTGCTCTCGCGCACGAGCAGGCGCAGCACCTCTTGGAAGTCGGCGTCGGTCATACCGCCGCGCTCAATGTCGGCCGGCGTGAAGCTGCCCTGCCGCGGCGTCTTGTCGCCGAACATGAGGCGCAGGCCGCGCTTGCGGCTCGTCGCCGCGATGCGCTTCCACGTCTGCCACTGCATGCGGAGGATGACGTCTCCGTACTGATGTGCAAGTATCAGCAGTGCTCGTCCAGTAGGCTCGCCCCTCGAGTACTCACCTTGGCCGCAGCCGTCTCGCGCAGGCGCAGCGCCAGCTTCTCGGCGCGTGCAAAGATGCTGTGCGCGTCGACGAGGCTCGGGAAGAGCACGACGCACTTGAGCAAGAAGACACAGGCGAAGGTGGCGGTGACGTGCGTGTAGATGGGCGCCCAGCGCAGCTTCTCGTAGTACTCCGCGCTCGTGGCGCTGCTGCCCGTGGCAATGTCGAGCACGAGGTCGGCGGCGCGCACCGTCGACTGGGCGATCTCACGCTGCGCCTCCGTCATGCGCTCGGCGTCGCCCGGCTGGTGCACGCCGCGCAGGCAGGTGCAGCAGAGGTACAGGCGGGCCGTGGCGCCCTGCAGACGCAGGCTCTCGAGGAAGAAGCCGTTGGCGTCGAAGCCGCGGGCGTGGTGCTCGCCGTACCAGTACTGCTCCCAGCTGTCCAGGTCAGCGCCGAGCGCGTTGACACGCCGCAGCATCGCGCCGTCTATGGTTGCGTCGAAGGGTGCCATGGTGTTGAGCCGGTGCTGAGTGCAGTGTGAGCGGTGGTGGTGCACAGTCTCGACGACCGACTCACCTCGCGCAGCGTCATGAGCTCAAGCGTGGCCAGGATGCGGACGTCGACGGGCATCGACAGCGGCGCACTGCGCGGTTGGCGTGAGCAGATGCACGGCAGACTAGTCCGTACTGCACTCACGGCAGCGAGAGAAAGTTGCGGGCGTTGCGCACCCACGGGTGCGTCAGCATCGGCTCGCGGCCCGCGCCGTAGCTGAGCTGGTGCTCGAGCAGGAAGGAGAAGAACCAGATGCGGCTGCCGCTCGCCATCTCGGCGAGCTGTTCGTGCGGCAGATTCGCCTCGCCCGAGCCTCCGACGGCGGCCATGAGGCGCGGAAAGACCTTGTCCAGGCCGAGCTGCTGCGCCATGCGGCAGGCGTGGCCGACCTGCAGCCAGCCGTTCTGGCTGTCGGTGTAGGATGCGCTGCAAGAGACGTCAGCGAAGATGCGTGTGGTCAGAACAAGGCACACTCACAGAATCAGCATTGCCTGCACGTCCTCGTTGGACTTGGTCCGGCCGAGCAGCGTGGCGCTGGCGTGGCGCTGCGAGGCTGCGAGGCAGGTCCGGAACGAGGCGCTCGGCGGTCCACCAGCCGAGTCGACACGTGCGCCGATGTACAGGATCGTGTCGAAGAGGAACGGCGACTTGCGCCGGTACTTGCCAAACAGGTCGGCCTCTTCGTCGAAGAACTTCTTGTCCTCGTGGTCTGTGGGTGTGTGTCAGCACAGATGCAGAGCACCATCGTTTGAGACCACTCACTGAAGACCGACATGAAGCGGCCGCAGCCACGTCCGAACGTCCGCCACAGCCGGCGTGCCTCTTCCTCCTCGACGGCGCCGGACGTGACGACGTCGACGAGCCTTTCCTCTGCCTCCTCTACGCGCCGCCGCTTGCCGAGCTGACCCAGCGGCCTTCGCTCGTCCATCAGCACGTCGTCGGCACGCGACGACGTCGAGCTGGCCTTGTTGGAGATGGCAAACGCCGCCTCCTCGGTTGCGGCGTGGTGCTCGGCGGCGTCGGCCAGGCCGCGCAGTGCCGCAATCGGCGCGCCGAAGCTCTCGGCAGGCAGGTAAGAGGCGCGGTCCTCGTCGTTGTAGTCCTCGTCGCGGCCTCCGGCACGGTCGCGGCGACCACCGGCCCGCAGTGGCCGCGCCGACGGCGGTGGCGGCATGCGAGACGGATTCGGCGCCGAGGCGGTCCACGACTCGCCCTCGTCTCGCGACGACGACGGCTCCTCCCACGGCCGCGAGGGCGCCGCACCATAGCCGCGCGAGCTGTCAACGGCCTGGCGGTGTCGTGACGTCGGCGAGAAGCTCGGGTTCGTCACGGCTCGCGGCGCCGAGACGACTGGCCCGGTCCATGCCGCGGCCGACTCGCCGTTGTAGGAGCGTGGTGCGGGGAAGGCAAGCGGATGCAGCACCGTGCCCGGTGAGCTGTACGACGGCGCCAGGCGGCTGACGGGCGACGAGACGGAGCCGGCCGCGTCCCAGCGTCCCGATGGCGGCAAGGCTCGGCCGTGCGGGTCGGGCAGCTGCTTGCTCTCGCGCAGCACGGCGACGAGCTCGCCGAGCGTGCTCGAGAGGCCCTCCATCTTGCCCTCGAGCGCGCGCAGGCGTGCCATGCTCTCCTCGCTCGCCGGCGCGGCCACGACGACCGTCGACGGCGCCGGCTCGCGCGCCGGCTTCTCGAAGATGCACGGCAGGCCGCTGCTCTCGCAGCGGTTGCACGGCGCATTGACGGGGCCCTCGCAGCGCATCTGGTGCCGCGGAGGCGGAGGCGGAGGCGGTCAGCTGCAGCCACGCGCGCGCGCTCGGCAATCTCGCGTGCCGCCTGCGCGTACGCATCGCACGCACCTTTTGCTTGCGGCAGGCGTTGCACGCCCGGTGGATGCGGCTCTTGACGGAGAGGCCGGTGCGCATGCTCTCTTTGCCCGTGCTGCTGCCGGGCGCGCCGCCGCCGCCGCCGCCGCCCGAGGCGTTGCGGCCGCGCGGCGGGCTGCCGCCGTCGCCGTCGTCGCCCGAGAAGGAGCCGGGCGGCGAGTGGTTGGCCGTGGAGCGCGGGCGCTTGCGCGAGCCGTCGTCGTGCGTGCTCGCCGGCGCCGGCGGCGAGGCGTGGTGCGCCGAGGCGCTGCGGTGGTGCATGTGCGGGAGGTGCGGCGCCGCGAGCGGCGGCAGCGCGTGGTGCATCAGCGGCGGCGGCGGCGCGAGGCCGTGCAGCGGCGAGTAGAAGGACGGGCCAGCGTAGGGGCCGGAGCGCGGATCGGTCATCATCGCCGCCGCTTGAGGGAGAATGGAGGGGTGAAGCAGGGAGCGCAAGAGCGGCGAGAGGCGACGCGGTGCGGCGCGAAGGCGGCGGGCCAGGCGGCCGAAGCGACGCCGGAGGGAGCGGCCTGTGCGGAGGGCAGCAGGCACGAGGCGGAGGCGTCGACAGACGCAGATGCAGCACTCCAAGCGCAAGAGCCGTCGCAGCGGCAGACGCAGGTACGGGACAGCAGCAGCACTGCGTCCAGGGGCAGGAGCAGCAGAAGGCACGCGCAGGCGAGCAGCAATGCGGGGAAGCGGCTGCGGCGCGCTGCCGGGCCGATCGGAAGCGAGCGAGGCGTGTGTGCGTGCGAGGAGCAGGCGCAGGACGGCGGAGCTGGCGTGCCAAGGATGCGCAGGGGCAGCGAGAGGAGAGATCGTTGTGAGAGGGCAGCCCTTGCCGCAGCCGCCTGCTGCTCCGTCCCCTTCGTCCTCCATGGGGCGCGAGCAGGCCGTCGTTGGGCCTGGCCTGGCGCTGCAACGCCTGCGAAGCTTCAGCCTGCAGCGTCGGCTCGGCGACGCAGGCGACGCCGTAGCGTCATCTCGCCGCCGGCGCAGGTGCAGCTGTCACACGGCGGCGCCCTCGGCGAAATGCTCCGGCTGCCGGCAAGACTGGCCGGAGCGCGCTGCGAGGCCGAGGGGGGCAGCCGCGCAGAGACGCTCCCTCCGCACCGCACTCCCGCCGCGGCGCGGCCATCTCTCCCCTCTCTCGGGTGCCTTTCCGACGGCAGCGAGCCGGCCGCCCATGCGCTGCATCGAGAAGCGCGAACGTGAGGTGCCGCTGTGCTGCTGCCCACCGGCCCGGGTGCCGAGCACGCTGCCTCTTCCCGCGGCGGCGGCTGCGCGTGCAATCAGCCCGCCGCGCCGGCGCTGCGGCTCCGCAGCCGGGAGTGCGGGGTGCAGCCGCGCACGCGTGTGGCGCGCAGCCGGCACGGAGGGACACCTCGCCGCCGCCGCATCGCATCTGCTCTCTTCAGCCCTCGCACGCCTTCGCACACGCTACGGCGGCGGCGACAGCCCGGCGCGCGGTACCTGCCGCTGCATACTGTCAGGCGCGCGCGACAGCTTGGGCCAGCAGGCGGAGGTGACGCCAGGCCGCGCCATGCGCTGACGCTGCCTTCCCCGCACGTCGTGAAAGCAGCGCAGTGCGCCCTGTGCGAGCCTGCGAGAGGCGCTACGGGCTGCGCTGCGGAACGAGCCGGGTGCTGGGGACGAGGCATGACAGGTCCAGGCACCGAGCGAGGAGGAGCAGCGCAGACTGGGTGCTGGCGGCAGGCCGACGTCGACGAGGAGCAGCGGCACAAGGCCAAACGCGGGGTGAGCGGGCGACGCGGCCTTGCGCCCAAGGCCCGCTTGCGCCGCGGCCGCGCGCCCGCCAGACGCGCAGGGCAGGAGCGAGCGGCAGCCGCGGCACGGAGCCGTCGTCCGCGCCGCGCTGCGCCCAGCCAGCCGTACGGCTCGCTGTCGCCGATACCAGCATGCTCGGGGCTGCGCTGTCGCCGCCGCTGACGCCGCATCAGATGCTGATGCCGCAGCCTGGATGGCCCGGGCTGTGACGTGCGTGGAAGCCACGGCGCTGGGCGGCCGACAGCTTCTCGCAGGACGGAGCAGGCATCCGCAGCCGAGGGCCAACTCGTGAGGCCTCTCCGACTCGGACGGCCTCAGGAACCCATGGATGCTTGAGGCGCTCGAAGCGCTCGAGAACCTTCGCGCGTGCTTGATCTTGTGGCGACGACGACGGTCTTAAGCAAGCGGAGGTGGCCAGATGCATCGACGCTACGGCGACGCAACGCTCTCTCCCATGTCTGCTTCGCACCACGCAAACCTGACGCGCAGCGCTCGGCCCTTTCTCGCGTGTCTCTTCGCCTCTTCGACGAAGCGCAGGCGCAGCTGAGCTCCAGCATGCAGCCGGTCGAGCCATCGGCGGTCCCGTGTGAGCAAGTAGGGCTCTGTGCCAGACGCTGCGTCCTCAGGGGGCTCAACGAGGCAGGCGACAGTCTGTTGCCACGACGGCATCCTCTTGTCCAGCCCAGGTGCTCGGCCGACGCCTTCTGGCTGCCGCCGTGCTGTGCCGTCTGCACCCTGCACTGGCGCCGCAGTCGGCCATCTCGGCAACCGGCACCGGCAGCGCGGGCATCCCTCTCGAGCACCCCTTGAGCCCTTGAGGACGCTCCCATGCGCCTGCTGCTGCGTGCGGCGCTCGGCAGCGCGCAGCCCCTATACTTTGTCTGCGGGCCACCGCGGCGACAGCCGCCGTGCCTCTGCACCTGCGTCTGTCCGCTCGCCAAGGGCCCGCGCGATGCTGCAGCGCTGCGCAGGCACATGCAGCTGCATGCTGCCGCATGGCGACGATCGCTGGACCACGAGCGGGCGCCGCTGCCGCCTGCCGCGCTGCGTGCTGCACCTCGCGCGGGCGGACCGCGAACGGCGCGGCGAGGTGACGCCAAGCGGCAGAGGGCGAGACAGGCGCAGCGCAGCAGAGAGACGCGAGGCTGTGCTGCTGCGGCGCTGCTCGCTGCGACGCGGCACGAGAGCAGCACACGGGCGGCCTTCTCCTGGCAGCAGCGGCCGCATCTGGCCTCTCTCTCTCGCGCGCGTGCTGCCTGTGCCGCTGTGCCTCGCCATCGCACCTCGCCGCCGCCGCCGCCGCCGCCCGCTGCCCGCCGATCTCCTCCTGCTGGACCCCTTCGCAAACACCCTGCGCTCCCACATCCACACCGCACTCACCCCTGCTCGCCGCCGCCGCCGTCTCTGCCCACCGCGTGTGCTCGCTCTTTCTGCCGCACCGTCCTCGTCACCGCTCCGCGCAGCGCCCTCTCGTCTGCCACTCCCCTAGCACCGACCGGCACCTGCATCGGCCCGCGCCGACCCCCGCTCGCCCGCCATGGACTCGTCGACCTCCAGCACAGGTGCGTAGCATGCCGTCGGACGATGCTGCTGTGCCGTGCGGCGAGGGTGTGGTGGGTGGAGTGGCACAGCGTGGGCCCACGCCTGGTCGTGCCTCGTGCTCTGTTCTGCGCCGCACTTGTTGGTTGCTGCCGCTGCTCTCTGTCCTGCTCGCCGCCTTCGAGCCGCACACTGTTGGGCGGGTGTCTATTCCTGGCCCGGCTGCGCCGAATCGGCGGCGTATAGGGAGCGGCCGTGAGTGCTGGACACAGAGTCCCACGCCTGCGCCTTGACAGCGTTGCCAAGCGAGGGCAGTGCGTCGTGCTCGTCCGTCGTTGCACGCTCTCGATGCAGCACCGAGCGCTCGCTCGCTATCAGCGCCAGTGTGTCTCCACGTTGTGCAGTGCGCTTCTCTTCTGCTCGCTGCTGGCTGGCAGCAGCGGATGCGGCCGCACTTGTGCGAACTGCACGCCGCGTCACGCTGCAGATGGCGAGCCTGGCGCTGCAGTTGCGGCGCGACCGGCGACGTGCAGAGCCAGCCTCTGCTCGCGACGAGCGGTCTCGCTGTCCAGCATCCATGGTCCATCACGGTCTGGCGAGCCAAAGCAGCGGCCCCGGCAGCGACGACGAGCGTCGCACCGTGCTGCCGCGGCGAGGGGCGCATCGGGCCGTCTGCGTCATATGGCGCCTCGGCGCGGCACCGGCGATGTTTCTTTTGCGCAGCGCGGCGCGCGTGCTGGCGCGCTGCTGTGCCGCTCAGCATGCAGCGGCCTGGCGCGCCGCCGCGCCGTCGGAAATCCGCACCGGCGCCGCGTGCGTGCTGCACGGCGCCAAGGGCGCGCTGGCGCCGCGGCACACTGGCCGCGCGCGGCCTGCGACGGCGCCGGCCCCTCTGGCACTCTTCCGCGCGCCCTTGGGCCACTCTCGCGCTGCATTGGGCGCACAGATCGGCGCTCGCTGCCGCGCCCTCTCTGTGCGTGCGTGCAGGCCGGAATCAGTGAGGAGGAGAGCGCAGCTCGGACAGGCATGGCGGTGCAGCAGCAGGCGGCGGCAGGCTCGGCAGCGGCGCCAGGAGAGGATCGGCCTCGGGCTCACTCTCTCGGCGTTCCTGGCCCGCTCGCTCGTCTCATTTCGCTGTCTGCAACCTGCACCCTCACATCCCTCTCTCGCCTGCTCGCTTCTGCACCGCCTCGCATCTTCTCGGCTTGCTCGCATCTGTCCTGCTTGCCATGCCGCTCGCCGCTCGTTCGCCGCGCCACGCGCCTCGCAGCCCTGTCGCGCCGCCGCGCGCACACCGCGTCGCCGCGCGGCAGGGCGGCGGCGGCAGAGGCGATGACGACGACGAGCAGCCCAGCCCAGGCCCTGGCGGCCCCGGCGGCAACTCCGGTCCAGGCAATGGCGGCGGAGGCGGCGGAGGCAACGGCGGTGGAGGCGGAGGAGGCAATGGCGGAGGAGGAGAAGGCGGCGGCGGCGACAATGATGGTGGCGGCGACGATGGAGGGCAAGGTGGCGGCGGCAACGGTGACGGCGATGGTGGCAGTGGCCCTGGAGGTTCGTCGTAGCCCAGTGACACGTCGAGCAGTAGCACTAGCAGCAGCAGCAGCAGCAGCAGCAGCAGCGCGTCTGAGCCACCACCCTCCACGTCATCGACGAGCCAGTCTGACGCCTCCTCTGCCCCTCCTCCCTCCCTCTCGTCGACTGCGCCGCCGCCGTCTCCCTCGCGCTTCCTCTCTGGTACGTTTCCGCGTGTCCGCCTCGCGTGCCCCTCGCTGTCTTGATGCCCACACCTTGCTGTCCGGCCATGCAGCCACTGACGCGTCCGACACCTCCTCGTCGACTGCCACTACAGCCGCCGACACCACGTCGACCACGGCCGCGGCGACTACCTCCACCACAGCAGCCGTGACGACGACGAGCTCGTCTAGCACAGCGTGAGTGGGCAGCGGCGGAGCGCAGGCACTGCGTGCGCTCACACTCGTGTCCGCTGCAGTCCCGCCACCACGTCAACGACGCAGGCGCCCACGACGACTTCGCGGCCGCCTACGACGACGAGTGCAGCGCCCGTGAGTGTGCCGCGTGTGTGTCTGTGCCAGGGTCGTGTCCGAGGTGCTGCCGGTTTCTGTGCCTGCTGCTTGCCGCATGGCCTTCTCTTGTGCTCCGTGTGGCTGTCAGACGCTCTCGTCTGACACCCTTCCGCTCTGCCTCTTGCTTCTTGCCTGAAGGAGTCGTCGAGCTCGAGCTCAAGCACATTCGTGCCGCCGAGCTCGACGACCACCTCGACGACGCGTGTGACGTCGAGTGCGGTGAGGGTCACTTGCGGCGCATTGCTGGCATGACGAGGGCATCGCTGATGCCGCCTCGCGCAGCCTGCGACCACGTCAACGACGAGCGCCGCGCCGGCGCCGTCCACCTCAACCTCCACCAGCCGGACATCAACGTGAGTGTGCCGTCTGCGCGCGCCTGAGACACGCGGCTGACACGCGCACAACAGCACGGCGGCCGCGGCATCCACTACCTCGCAGGCGCCACAGCAGCCGTCGACGACGGTGCCGCAGAGCACCGAGACGGTCTTCACCACCACCGTCGGCGGGCAGGCGCGCACCATCACCAGCACACGGCAAGATGGCACGCTCAACGGCTCCAACAGCTCGAGCAGCAGCTTCTTCGACAACAGCGGCGCCGTCGGCGGCACGTTCGCGGCCGTCGGTGTCGTTGCGCTGCTCCTCGTGGCGCTCATAGCCTGGCTCTTCTACCGCCGCCGCAAGGCGCAGCGCATGGACGCCGACGTCGTGGCCGCCGCGTCGGCCGCCGCCGCGACGACGCGCACGCCGTTCGACGACGACGACCCGGAGATGATCGAGGACCCGGCGTACGGCCAGAACGCGCAGCACTACGCCACCGGCGGCTACGCGGCCTCGGACGGCAACGGCTACGAGCCGAGCCACTTCTCGAGCGGCACGGCGCCGGGCTTCGCGGGCATGGGCGCGTATGGTGCGGGCGGTGCCGCAGCGGGTGCCGGCGCAGGTGCGGCCGCTGCTGCCGCGTACGGCCACTACTACGACAACGGCAACGGCGGCTACGAGCAGCAGAGCCAGTCGGGCGGCCACTACTACGACCAGCAGCCAGACGCGTACTACGGCCAGCAGCAGCCGGGCCAGGCGCTCAGCCAGGGCCACGAGTACAGCCAGGGCCACGAGGCCTACGCGCAGCAGGCGTACGACGGCTACGCTCCGCAGCAGGACCAGTACGGCCAGCGGCAATCGTGGGGCCAGCCGGGCCACTCGCCGCCGCTGGATGCCGACAACATGCCGTGGGCGGCGGGCGCGCTGCCTGCCGGCCTCGTGGCGGGCGGCGCCGGTGCCGCAGCTGGCAGCGCAGCAGCTCGCCGGCGCAGCGGCAACCAGGGCATCCCGGAGCAGCTGCTGGGCCCCAACGTCTTCTCCGACGCCAGCCCGGGCGAGGAGGACCACCTCTCGGGCGGCCACGGCGGCGCGCCGCCGTCGGCCAGCTCGCCGGACAACCGCCTCGACGTGACGGGGCTGCAGCGTGCAGGTGAGGCCGGCAGCACGAGCAGCCTGCGCGACGACCAGGACTACTCGCGCAAGGTGCTCTCCGTCACGAACAACTCCTGAGCGAGTGCAGATCCAGACCCATGTCATCGTTGCCGCCCTTGCTCCCTTCACTGTCCCAGCCACTTTCCTTTCTCCCCTCACCGCGCTCGCCGATGCCGACTGCCCTGTGCCCTCGCCGCGTAGCTGCACCACCTTCATGTCTAAAGCGCATCTTTAATCGAGAGCCATCTGCTCCGTCTACAGCGCCACACGCTCCCTGTCTGTGCCCACGCGATGTGCCTTTTGTGCCGCAGTCGTCCCAGCTCCCCTGCGCGCGTGACCCCGCCCCGAAGACCCATCTCTCGTCGTCCTCCCGCAGCCCAGCACGCTCAGCGCGTGAGGTGGTAGTCTGCGAGGGCAGGCGTCAGTGCGGCATCGCTGTGGCTCTCCGCAGCGCGACGCACCGTCGATGCGCAGCAGCAACGAGACCGTCTCGGTGGCGAGCTCGATTGCGCTCGTGTTGACGAGCAGCGGCTGCAGCACGTTCTCCTCGAGGATGTTCGTGATTTGCCCCTAGCGAGGAGTCAGCACGTGCGGGCAGGAGCAGTCTCCTCAGCGCAGCTCACCTTGCGGACGTTGATGCCGGCGGTGCGCTCGCCGAGGGCATGCCGGTTGCGCAGCTCCGTGACGATGGAGATTGGGTTCAGACCGGCGTTCTCGGCCAGTGTCGTCGGGATGACCTCGAGCGCCTCGGCGTAGGCCTGGAAGCAGTACGCCTCCATGCCCGTGAGCGTCTGCGCGTGCTCGGCGAGGAGCCGTGCGACGTGCACCTCGGGCGCGCCGCCACCAGCGATGAGGAAGCTGCGCAGCGTGTCAGCCCATGCGCCGCAGCTGCCCACACCTCCCACACTCACCGCTTCTTGACGAGGCAGCGCACTACACACAGCGCGTCGTGCAGACTGCGCTCGCTCTCGCCGAGCACGAGGGCGTTTGCGCCCGTGCAGAGCACCGAGACGGTGCGCCCCATGTTCTTGATGCCGGTGATCTTGCACACCTTGGCGCCGCTCTGCTGCACCTCGTCGACGAGGTCGGCCGTCGCCAGCTTGTCCTCGCTGAACGCCTCGATGTCGGCAATGGGCTTGGCGTTGAGCGTCTTGCACACAAAGTCCATCTCCTCGCGCTCAATATCCTTGACGACGAGGATCTTGAGCTTGGCGAGGAAGTGCAGCGCCAGCTCGTTGACGGCGTCGCGCAGGATCGACTTCTGGATCAGCAGCACGTTGCAGCCCGTCTTCTTGATCTTCTTGCACATGTTCAGCAGGTATTGCCGCTCCTCCTTGAGGATCTTGTCCATCTGGCGGTAGTCGTTGACCACGATCTGGTTGTCCATCTGGAGCGACACGCGTCTCAGCGCCGGCACAGCAGCGCACACGTCACGCGGCACTCACGTCAGGCTTCGGGCTGCTCAGCTGGAACTGGCACACGGCAATGCGCGCCTTCTCCATGCGCGTCGGGCCGCCGGAGCCCGTGACGACGTTCTGCTCGAGCACGAGGCCCTCGATGAGCTCCGTGTCGTCGATGGTGCCGCCGACCTTCTTGACGAGGCGGATGTCGCGCAGGTCGACGGTCTCCTGCTCGGCCGTGCTGGCGGGCGAGTCGCCCGAAAGCAGCGCCGCGGACGTGGCCTCGGGCGACTTGGGCCGCGAGGCCGGCGCAGCAGGGTTCAAGAGGCGCGTCACGGCGTTCACGGCGATGGGCGCCAGCACGGACGAGTACTGCGACACGATCTGCGGAGCGCCCGCTTCAGCACTGCAGACCGGGCCGCGGCACTGGCACGACTCACCTTGGAGTTCAGACTGGTGCTGGCCGCACGCAGCAGGCTCTCCTTGTCCTTCAGCTCAATCGGCGTCGCAATGTCCGTCAGGTACTCGACGGCCTTGGTCGCCGCGCGCTGGAAGCTCTCGGCGATGAGCGTCGGGTGGATGCCCTTGTTGAGCATCTTCTCCGCCGCGCCGAGCAGCGAGCCGGCAATGACGACGACGGAGGTCGTGCCGTCGCCGGCCTCGACGTCCTGCGCCTGCGAGAGCTCGACGAGCATGCGTGCCGCCGGGTGCATGACGGCCATGTGCTTGAGGATCGTGGCGCCGTCGTTGGTGATGACGACCTCGCCGGTGGCCGTCTGGATCTGGCGGTGCGAACGTGGGGTCAGCACAGCTGCCGTGAGGCTGCAGGAGGCAAAAGCGTAGCGAGCATGCCGAGGACTGCCACTCCGGCTGCGCACTTCCGGCACATGCTGCCTCTTGAGCCACTTGACCGAGGCAGCTGTCACGAGCTGCCACCTGCACCGCGCACCGCACCGCCTGGCGCGAGCCACGCGCACGTCACACCGCCCACGTCCACGCCGCCACGCACCATCTTGTCCATGCCCTTGGGGCCCAGGCTGGTGCGGATCGCGTCGGAGACGGCCTTGGCCGCGCTGAGGTTGGAGCGGCGCACCTCGTCGGGCTTGTCCTGTGTCTTGAAGGCGCGGCGCTCGCGCGGCGCGCCGCCGCCCGAGGGCACGACTGGGCCAGCGGCAGACATGATGTGTGAGGGTGGGTGAGGGGATTGCCTGGCAGGAGAGCAGGCGGGTTGAGGGCGGGAAGGACGCCGAGAAGCGCACGGGCGGCGAGGCGCGTCGCTGGGCGCGGCGCGGCTTGAAGCTTCGAGCGACCTGGCGTGCTTACGTCAGCACGGCGGCCCCAGGCCACGCTCAGGCCGCGCGGCGCGGCTGCCTCCACTCGCTTCGGCCCCCGGCCTCGCGCGCCCTCATCACCCTCACCCCTCGCTCTCTCTGTTCCTCGTTCTCGCTCCTCAGCTTGGCCACTTGTACGTCTCGACTCGCACCGACTCGGCGCTCCCCTGCGTGACTCATCAGCTCGGCCAGGGTACCAACGCCTCGCAGATCAGACTAGCACCGCACCTCGCGAGCGCGGCGCCACGATGGACATGGTGAGGCGGCCCGCCGCCGACACCGCAGCTCGCTGCTGACCCTCGCCCAGTTTGGTGGCTTCGGCGGCGGCGGCGGTTTCCGCGGCGGCTTCGGCGGCGCGGGCGGCGGCGGCTTCCAGAACCTGCTCAACCGCATGGCGCAGGAGGAGGACGAGGGCCGCTTCGCCGCGCCGCCGCACCTGTACGACGAGTACTACAAGGCCTACTCGATGGCCATGCTGCCGGGCAAGGAGCGTCTCAATGTCTCGTACGGCGGCAAGAGTGAGTGGCGCGGCCCACGTCGATGTGTCCGAGCTGCGCGTCTCATACCTCGACACCAGTCATCATGCCGTCGTCGGCGCTGAACCGCCTGACGCGCCTCGGCATCGAGACGCCCTGGCTCTTCGAGCTCTCGTCGACGGGCGTGTCGGACACGGACTTCCGCGTGACGCACGCAGGTGTGCTGGAGTTCATTGCGGAGGAGGGACAGGTGCATCTGCCGGCATGGGTGAGTGCAGCAGCAGCGTGTGGCCTGGGTCGGCAATCGCTGATGGCTGCTGCCAGATGATGCGGCAACTCAACCTGGGCGAGGGCGACCCGATTCGCATCCGGGGCAAATCGATGCCGCTGGGCAAGCAGGTCAAGATCGAGCCGCAAACTGTCGACTTCCTCGAGATCGCCGACCCCAAGGCTGTGTGAGTGGCGCCGCCATCGTGACACAGCGGGCGCGCGGCTCACTCCTCGCGGCACAGGCTCGAGGAGGCGCTCAACAACTTCTCGGCCCTGACGAAGGGCGACATCGTCGAGATCAGCTACAACTGCCTCACGTTTGAGATTCTCATCCTCGAGATCAAGCCAGACGCCGAGAGCATCAAGATCATCGACACGGACCTGGAGGTGCGCCCTGTGCTGCTTTCCCTGCCTGCGCTGAGCTGACGCTGGCGCTGCAGGTCGACTTTGCGCCGCCCAAGGGCTACGTCGAGCCCGAGCGCAAGCCAAAGCCGCCGCCGCCGACGATGGCGTCGAAGCTGAACATCGACAAGGACAAGGTCGACTCGATTCCCGGCACGGGCACCTCGACGCCGCGCTCTGCCGAGGCGGGCGGCGCGGGCGGCGAGGCCTCTGCCGGCCCCTTCCGCGGTGCCGGCCAGAGTCTGAGCGGCAAGAAGCCAAAGACGAAGAAGGCGGACAAGCCAATCGAGCAGCCGGACGAGTTCAGCATGATCCGCCGCACCGAGTGAGTGCCGCAGCAGGGTTCGCAGTGTCTCGCATCTGCTGACAGCAGCTGCGCCGCCGGCAGCAAGCCGCGCATCATCACCAACGACACGCAGATCGGCGACAAGAAGGTGCCGGCCGCACTCAACCTGCCGTTCGGCAAGCTCTTCTTCGGCTACGACTTTGTGGAGCCGGCGGATCTCAAGGCCAAGGCCGAGGCCGAAGAGGCTGCATCGGTGAGTGGGCCCGCACCAGGTGTTGCGGCGCCGCCGATCGCTGACGCACGTCCGTGCGCAGATTCCCTTCTCTGGCGGCGGACAGACGCTCTCCGGCCGCGCACCAAGGCCCAAGACCGAGGCCAAGGCGGCCAAGCCCGAGAGCAAGCCGCGCCGCCTCGACGGCCGCGCCGTGCCCGACGTGATCGAGATCGACTCTGACTGAGCTCGCGCTCAGCGCTGCTGCGCCCGCCATCATGTACTTTACCCGCATAATAGGCTCACTCTACTGATCCCGAGCGCAACCACGAAGCAGCGGGATACATTAGCTCGGGTCAGGCTGAAGGACGGGCGGTGGGTCACGGCAGGAAAGGCCGCCGGTTGCTCGACGGTGTTGGCGCGAGATGAGCCATCGCGCCGAGGGAAGGCGTGCGGGGCGGCGTGCCGCCGCGTGCGGCGTGGCCAAAGTTGGGACGGATCGCGGTGTTGCCGCGGGAAGGACGTGCTGCGGCAGGGCGCTGTCAGGTGCTTGTCGTGCCAGGCAGCAATGATGCGAGACTCACGCATCTCCATCGCTTGCGGCACGTAGCTCGAAGGGCCTCGACGATCGGCCTGGAAACGGCCGTCGCCCTGCTGCGCGCTCGACGCGGATGAGCCGCGAGCGCGCGTGTCGGGAGCCGGAGCGTAGGCGAAGCTGCAGAGGAGCGCGTGAGCCTGCATCGGCATGGGCACCGATGGCCACCCTCACCGCATGGGGCTGTCGACGCTGGCTGTGTGCAGCCTGCGAGCCCCGTCCGAGAGCGCTGCAGTCGGTGCGCGCCGGTCGAGCAGGCGCGGCGGCCGCGCCGGCTCCATGGTCATGCGCTCTGGCCGAGCGGGTGTTGCAGTGCGCGAGGATGCAGCGTGCGAGGGCGCAGCGTAGGCTTGCAGTCCCTGCGGCGGGTCGAGAGCCGGCGGCGTCACGGAGCTGAGGTTGCAGCGAGTGAGCACGTCTCCATCGTCGGCGGTCCAGGACGAGCACTCACCGACGGCGCGTGCGATGCTGGAAGCTGAACGACTCATCGCCCATTACAGCCACTTGAGCCGGCTCCTCCCACTCCTCCCTTCGGCGCGTGCCGGCAGCCGTCTCGCTTGCGGTGCCGTCGCGTCTGCCAAGCTGAGCGCGCAGGTGCTCGATCTCGCGATTGAGAGCCTCGTTTGTGCTGCGCCCGGCCATCTCAGCTGAGCGTGCAGATGCGAGCGCGTGTCACTCACCGCTTGAGCTCCCGCGACGCTAACAGGTCTTCTCGCACTCGATTGAGGACCGTCTTTTGCTTCTCGATTTGCGCGCGGAGAAAGCTGTAGTGGCTTGCGGGCTCAGCAGAGTCGCGGTCGCCTCGCTGGATGTGCGCACTCAATGAGCTGGCCCATGTGCGAGACCTGAAACGTGTGCACCTCGATGAGCTCCTCGAGCGACGAAGGCAGAGACCGAAAGAACGGCGCGACGGAGGCAGGCAGCTGTGGCAGCAGTGCACAGCATCAGCTCGATCTCAACGGCATGCTCGCACGCGCCGACGCACCGAGTCGGTCAGGTGGATCATCTTGACGCCCGGCGTGCGGCAGGCGGCGCATGTATGCGCGTCACGATCCGAGCCCGAGCCGCCTGAGGGGCACGAGGGCGTCAGAGTGGCCGCGATGGCAAGCCCAGCCACATTGGCGCACCTTCGGAGGGGAACGCGCACGTCTGGCAGAGTATGTGCGCGCACTGCCGCGCGTGGCGCATCAGCCTGTACTCGGAGGCCGCATGCCGGGTGCGCGTCTCCATCGGCGCACGCTGGTGAGCCAGAACGGGACAGGCGGAACAGCCGGACTGGCCGAGGCTGGCACGTCTCGGGGGCGTCGACACAGCACGCAGTGGACGTGGCGCAAAAAGGATGCCGCCGTGGCGCTGCTGCCCTGCGAGCGTGCGGACATTGTGGCGAACGGCTGGTGGCGGCGAAGCGCAGAGGCAGAGCAGCGCTGGGCGCGTGGCTAGTGGTAAGCAGCAGGGCAGATTTCAGGAATATCGGGACAAGCTCCGAGATGCAGAGCGGCGAGAGAGATGAGGCTGAAGCACGGCAGACGGAGGGAGATGGCGGCGAGAGCGATCCCACGCGAGCGAGCAGCGCGCCGTGAGGCAGGCGCGGCGCGGCGTGCGTTATGTAAGCCGCGGCGGCGTGTTGGTGTGTTGGGCAGGGCCGAGGCAGCAGCCGCCGCTCCTCTCCTTCTCGCTCTCACCTGCTCCGCTCTCCTCAGCCGATTCTGCTCGCTCGCCTTCGCGGCGCTTGCGACGGCTCTGCCGCGGCTACCAGCTCCCCTTCGCTTCGTCTCGGCACGCTTGCCGCCTCAGCAGGCGCCCGTGCCCCGCGGCGCGCCTCGCAGCCTCCACCCGCAACTCTTCACACCTGCCGCGCACGATGCCGACGGCTGCGCTGCGCCCGGCACGCATGGCGCCCGCGCTCGAGCGCCGCAGCCGCGACAGCCCCATGGACCTCGACCCGCCGCCGATGCCGTCGCGCATGCAGGCGCCGCTCGTGCAGCCCGCCACGCCCGGCCCCGAGGTCGAGATGGAGCTTGCCGACGCGCCATCGCCCGTGCAGGCGCGTCCGACGCCGTTCCCTGTGGGTGCGCCGGCGCGCGTGCTGAGCATGCGCCGGCGCCGCGGCGGTCTCGGCACGCGCAGCGAGCAGCGCAAGGGCGGCCGTGAGGGCGACTGGGAGGACGAGAGCGAGACGGACGAGGAGGCCGAGGACGAGGAGGCGACGCCGGAGCGCAGCATGGCGGTGAGCAGCACCCGGCGGCGAAGGGCCCCGCGCCGCGACGCAGGCGCCGTGTCGCATCACCACTACTACGGCGGCGCCCCGCCGGGCGCTGCGCCGCGCGAGGCGTCGTGGCTCGATCCGGCGTACGCCAGTGCCTGGGGCACGACGCTGGCCAACGGCGGCGTGAGCGCGTGCGGCCTCTACGTGCTCTTCCACATCGTCACCGTCTTTGCCGCCGACGTGCGCAGCAAGAGCAAGGCGCACGAGCGCGCCTACCAGAGCGAGATTGCGCGCTGCGCGCAGCAGTACGCGCTCAACCACTGCGGCACGCCGAACCAGGCGCCGGCGCTCTCGGACATGTGCGCCGGCTGGGAGACGTGCTACGCGCGCGACCCGAGCAGCGTCGCCAGCACGTACCGCATCGTCGCCGAGGTGCTGGCCGACGTCGTGCAGGGCTTCCTTGCGCCGCTCGGCTGGAAGGAGCTGGCATTCGTCGCCATGGTCGGCTACCTGCTCGTGATGCTCATCGCGCGCTGCACCGTCGCCTTCTACGGCCAGGCCAAGCAGATGGTGCAGCACCCGACGCAGCCGCCCGTCGCCGTGGCACCTGGCCCGTACGGCTACGCTGCGCCGCCAGCCACGCCAGCAGCGGGCACGCGCTACCTGCATGGCGCGCCCGACTGGCGCTCCTCAACACCGCAGCAGCAGAGCCGACCTGACCGGTGAGCCAATGCCATCATTCAAAAGCGCCGGCAGTGATTCGCTAGATTGGGCGCTGCACACTCTACATGACCTGCTCGCCGCGCGCCTCGCGTGCCACGGCATCCGCCCAGCGCGCCAGCATCTCCTCGAGCTGAACATCCCAGCCCGGCAGGCGCTGGGAGATGGCCGCAGCGTCGAAGCTGCACGCAGACGTGTCGGCTTCGGCCTGCGACTCGGAGGCAGCACGTCGCTTTGAGGGCGTGCGGCGCGCTGCGGGATGCTGCAGGTTGTAGCGCAGCCTCAGAGCCGCTGCCCACACGCGCAGGTTCTGTGCAGTCTGCGTCAGAAGCGCTCGCTGCTGCCAGTCGATGCACTCACCTCGGTGCGGCGGAACGTCCAGCCCGTCTTGCTGCCCGCTCGCACCTCAGCGTCTGGCGCCTCGCTCTCGCTCGGGACCTCTAGTGTGCTGCGTGCGTCGGGCTGAGCGCTTCGCAGGTCGTGTATCAGCTCGTCCTCGATGGTACCCCAGGGCTTTTCCGAACGCCGCAGACTGCGACTCGGGTCTCAGCTTCGCTGCGCTGCGGAGCGAGGCGAGTGCACTCACGCAGTGTTGAAGCTGATGCACAGGAGCTGGCCGTCTGACAACGCATCGAGCAGCTGCTCACGAGCGCGCGGCAAGGTGCTGGCAACTGAGTGCGGCAACGCGGCCTGGAGGAGAGCGTACGCCCGCTCTGCCTAGGAGGTCAGCTTTGTCGCAGCCTCGACAGACGCAGCACGCACCGAGGCGGTCATTCTCGAAACCTGCAGCCGCTGCCCACGCGGGCAGTGCTTGTCCCAGCGACATCGAGCGCACCAGATTGATGGCGATGTCGGCCGAGCCCAGACCCGTGCCGCCCTGTGCGGACGTCGGACTGGCACCCGCGTCGTCGAGCGATGCGCCAAGCACGTCGTCGACGACGGCGAGGTACGCACGAGCGTGCTCGACCTCGCTCGGCAGGTCTGCCAGGCGCAGCGTTTCCGGTGCAGCCTTGACCTTCGCCGCAGGCCCTTGGCCATTTGATCGGGGCTCCGGCGCGAATGGATCGTCTTGCGCTGCATCGGCCTGGCCCATGATCCTCTCCCCCGACGTGTAGCGCTGCTCGAGGTCGCGCAGGTCGCTCAGCAGCAGCAGTGCCGCCTTCCGCACGCGCACGAGCGGGTCCGTCCGGCTCGGCGAGGCCGACGTGTCCTCCAGCCGCACCGACACCGCTGCCTTGAGGAGCTGCTCGGGCGAGTCTGGCTCCGGTGCGTCGCCATTGTCCGGCAGCGCCTTCAACGCCGGTCTGGGCGAGCTGGTCGGCGTGGTCTGCGGCGCGAAGCTGGGCCTGCGCTGGGCGGCGTGTGCGCCCGGCGATGCGGCGATGCTCGGCAGCGACAGGCCATACGCGCTGCTCTGCCGGCGAAAGGCATTCTTGCGGCGCTTCTCGCTCAGTGCTGCTGCCGCAGCGGAGGAGCCCGCGGCCGAGCCGCTCGCCGCCGGCGACGCCCACGACTCGGCGGGCAGCGCGTAGAGGTACTGGCGCACGACGGCGATGAGCTCGCTCGTCGTTGCGAGCAGCTGCGGCAGCTCGACGGCGTCGCTGCTGGCCGATGCGTCGAGGCCCCAGAGCGTGCGGCTGGTGCACAGAGGCCATCAGCATCGCTCCATGGCACCACCGCCTCACACCGCAGCGCACGTCTGTGGCACTGAGTCGCTCCACTCACCTGCGAGCGAGCACATGCGCCAGGCGCGGCGCCAGCTTGCGCACGTCGGCCTCGTCTGCCGAGACGTGCGGGAACGGCGGGCGCTTGTACGTCGACGGCGGCGGTGGGCGGCGCGCGCTGCGGCGCCCCACGCTGGCGGCCGCGGCGGCGGCGCCCTCGAGCGGCGTGGCGCTGCTGCGGCGCCGCGCAGGAGCGGCGGCGTCGGCGGGGTCCTCGCTGCGCGGCGGCGAGAGCAGCACGGCGCCGCCCAGGGCCGGCGCGGCCGAGAGGCCGAGCACGTCGGGCCGCTCACTGGCGCTGCAGCAGACATGCTCAGCATGCAGCTCGCCCGCTGCGCCGCACTGCGACTCACAGGCCCTCGGCGGCGTAGAAGCGCTGCAGGTGCTCGATGCTGCCGAGCGCCAGCACGCTGTCGCGGCGCGAAGTGCGGCTGCTGCTGGGCGGCGCGCGCTGCTCCTCGGCGGCCGGTGCGAAGAGCGAGCTGAGCGCTGTGCGGCGCGCACCGTCGGCTGGCATGCAGTGAGGCGGGTGGAGCGGAGAGGTGAGAGGTGAGATGAGAGGTGAGAGGTGAGATGAGAGGTGAGAGGTGAGATGAGAGGTGAGAAGTGAGAGGTGAGAGCGAGCCTCGCGGCCAGCGCAGCAGAGCGGTACTGCTCAGGGCATCATGGTCAGAGCGCCCACTCCACTCCAGCGGACACTGCTCCTCTCCCCGCTGTGCCTGCGCCGTGTGATGGCTGAGCCTCAGTGCCGCTCGCTGGCATCATGCTGCACGGCCGGCCGGCTGTGTGTTGATGCCACTTGCGTGTCAGGAGCTGATCCGGAACGGCAGGTGCGCGCGCCCAAGGGGGCAGGCCGGCGCGTCATGGAGCTTGCCGGGAGTCGGGCGAGGCGCGGCGCAGGTTTTGCCTCAAGTGCACCGCAACTGCTGCGTCTCTCCCTCTCCTTCGCACCACATCACCACCCGCCATGCCGCGGCCGCAGTACATCATCGAGCACATGGAGGACGACGAGCCGGCGGGCGGCGCCGCGACGTTCCCGGCGTGGGCGCTGCTCGAGTACGCACACATGCTCACGCTCCTCGGGCCCGGCACCACGTGCCACTTCACCGCCCTCTCGCGCGCCTCGCTCGCGGCGCTCGTGCCGTTGCTCGACGCGGTCCCGCAGCCGCGCGCCGATTTTGCCTGCCACGCCGAGGCGTTCGACGTGCTGGCGCCGCTGCGCGACGTCTGCCTGCTCGACCCGCAGGCGCCGCACGCGCTCTCGGTGCGCGACGCCGGCCTGCACGCGGCGCGCCAGGCACCCGCACAGGGCAGCTCTGCCGATGCGGGTGCTGCCGATGCGAGTGCTTCCTCCACTGCAAGTGCTTCCACTACTGCCGCGCCGGCCGCGTCTGTTCCCGACGGGCCCTTCACGCACTTTCTCTTCGGCGGCATCCTCGGCGACGACCCGCCGCGCGACCGCACCGCGGCGCTGCGCCTGCGCGGCCCGCCGCGCCGCCATCTCGGCGCCATGCAGATGACCACCGACACGGCGCTCGGCGTGACGAGTGCCGTGGTGGAGCACGGCCGGGCACTGGCGCTGGCGGACACGGAGCAGCACGGCCCCGGCGGAGCCTGCGAGTGGGTCGATGCGCCGGAACTGCACTTTGGGCGCGGCGAGAGTGTGAGTGGAGCAGATGGGGCATGGAGGGGCACCTACGGCGGCAGCCAGAGAGGAAAGTGGCGGCGGCGAGGCGACAGCGGCGGCGGCGGCGTGGCACACGTTGCTCACCTGGCCGCATGTCCTTGCACGCTCATGCGGCGAGCATCAGAGGCTGCAGCGAAGGAGAGGCTGCACCGGCAGCGCACAGCACGATGCTCAGCTCGCCGCCTGACCGGGGGCGCGTCAGCTTCGCCAGTCTGCGTGTCTTGGCTCTCGTCCTTGCCCTGTTGCTTTGCTGGCTGACACACGCCGCGCAGGTCTCGATGCCGTTCCGCTACCTGCTCGATCCGGCGCCCGCGCCGCCGCGCGCCAAGGACGCCGGGCAGCGGCGGCCGCTGATGCCGCCGGGCATGCGCGAGCTGATCCGCAGCGACCTCGACCGCGCCTTTGAGTTCTGAGCGTGCCGCGTGTGTGTCGCAATGGCATGCAATTGGTCCAGGTGCCGCAGCATGACAAGGGGAAATACACGGGGGGGCAGCGACGGGCGACGGCGATGGTACAACAGGGGTGTGGGGCGCAGCGAGCAGAGCGGTAGAGAGGGGCGGGGGGAGGAAAGGTCGTTACGGTAACGGGCAGGCTCGGCGATGGGGCTGCAGCACGTCCTGCGCGTGTGTGGAGGAGCAGCTGCACTCCTCATGCCTCCTGCTGCTGCTTGATGCCGCGCGGCGCCATGTGGTGTGCCATGGCGGCGCCGTCGTACGGCGCGCCCGGCGGCGGCAGGTGCGTGGGGCGCGGCACGGCGTGCGCCTCGTACGTGCCCGGCGGCGGCGGCGGCACGACGTGCCCCATGTGCATGCCCGGCGGCGGCACGACGCCCGGCGGCAGCGCGCCCATGGGCGGTGGCCCACGCATGTGGTGCATGGCGCCTGGCGGCGGCGGACTGCCGTCGGCGCCGCCCGCCAGCTGCGCCTGCGCGGCCATGAGCTGCGACTTGAGGAACGCCACCTCGCCGCGCAGCGCGCCGACGCTGTCGCGCAGGTGCTCGTTGTCCGTCTGCAGCATCTCGGCGCGCTGCTGCAGCTGCTGCAGCCAGGCCTTTTTGCGCTGCCGGCACTTGAGTGCCGCTGGGGAAGAAGGAGGATGTCAGTGCGAGGGGCTAGACGATGCAGGCCTTACGGCGCAATGCTCACCCTGCCGGTTGCGCTCGAGGAAGTTTTTGCGCTTCTCCTCGTCGTCCATGCCCTCCGTCTCTTTGTCAAAGTCGCGCTCCTCGTCCGACTCCATGCCCGGATACTTGTCGCTGCCCGCCTCGCTGCGCGGCGTCTTTTGCTTCTTGGCGCGCTTCGCACTGGCGCCCGCCGCACCGGCCGGCGCGCCGTTGACGGAGCCGTTCTCCGACTTCTTGCGCTTCGGCTTGGACGTCGATGCCGCCGCCGCCGCCGCCTCGTCCTCGCGCTTCGTCAGCTCCTGATGCGCCTGCGAGAGCAGGAAGAGGCCGCTGGCCGCCGGCGGCACATTGCCGGGCATGCCCTGCGGCGCGTGCTGGCTCGGCACGTGCGGCGGCCCCAGCGGCTGCTGCGCCGCCGGTGCAGGCTGCGACGGCACGCCCGCGCCCGCTCCGCTGCGCTTCGTCTTGGAGCCGCCGGCGCGCTTGGGGCTCGTGTTGTTGGGCAGCGGCTTGTTGCGCGCGTTCTGCGGGCTCGTCGTGCCGTTCTTGGCCTTGCTGTCCTGCGGCGCCGTGCCATTCTCGGCCTCGTCGGTCGTCATGCGCAGGCGCGACGTCTGCGGCTGCGGCGGCTGCGACGCGCCGGTGCCGTTGCCCATGCTCTTCTGGAAGGCCAGCGCAAAGGCATTGCCCTCGCGCGGCGGCATCGGCGCGCCGGCGGTGTCGTGCGGCGGGCCGGCGAGCGCCGAGAGAGTGCCGGGCGTCAGGCCGGCGCCGGAGCCGTGCGTGATCATGGCGAGGAACGCGGCCGTGCCCGGGCTCGGCGGCGGGAAGCTCGACGGCCCGCCGAGCGGCGTCAGGCCCGTCTTGAAGTTGCTGAGGTCGGGCGTGAAGCCGGTGCGGAAGGCCGACGCGTCGAACGCGCCGCCGCTGGGCGCCGCGACGCCCGACGCTGCGGGTCCGGCGAGCATGGCGGGGCTCAGAGGGCCGGCGCGCAGCGAGCCGAGGCCGCCGCTCCATGGGTACGCGTGCGGATGGGCGTCGGCGGCGGGGGACGTGAGGGCGGCGAGCGAGGGCAGGCGCGGCGCCTCCTGCGGCGCATCGCCCGGCGGCTGGCCCAGCAGGCTGCCGCCGTCGGAGCCCTTGGCCTTGGCGGCGCCCGCTGCCGCGGCACCCTTCTTGGCCGCAGCGGCGCCCTTGGCCTTCTTGCCGCCGGCGGGCGCCGCGTCGTCGGCGGGCTCGTCGGCCTCGGGCGACGGCGACTCGCCGGGCGGCTTGGAGCTGAAGCTCTTCTCAAACGGGTTCGGCTCGAGGTGGTGGCGCGACGAGCGCGTGCCGGGCCGGGCGGCGGGGCGCGATGGGCCTGCGACAGGGTCAGCGCGGCGTGTGGGCACGCGGGCGCGGCGCGACGCACCGGCAGCGGGCGCTGAGACGAGCGGGCGCGAGAGTGGCGTGGGTGCGGGGCGCGAGAGGGCCGGCAGGGCGGAGCGATGGCGCGGCGCGGCGGCAGCACGCGGCGAGGCGACGGACGGCGAGCGCGACGACGAGGCGTGCGGCACGGCAAAGGGCGCGGGCGGCGCAGACGAGGCGTGCGACGGACGCGCGTACGGCAGCGGCAGCGGCGAGGAGAGGGGCGGGGCGAGGGCAGCCATGGTCAGCACGTGTGTACCACAAGGAAGGTGCGGCGGCCGGGGCGCGAGGGAGAGATGGCCGTAGGGACGCGTGTGCGCCGGGGATGGCGGTCGCGCGCCTCGACGACGACGACGACGAGCAGCGAGCGTGGGAGCAAGCGGCGCGCCGACGATCGCATCGGCCGTGCACCCTCGAGCGCACTGCTCACACTCACCGGCAGCATCGGACGGGGCGGCCATCGCAGCGGCGCGTTGGAGCGGGCAGCGATGCGGTGCGGGCGCGCGTGCCTGGCGTGGGCGCCGTGGCGCGGCGGTGCGAGATGTGCGGCGGTGCGGGTGCCGGCTGAGGCGTGAGACGGCGGCGTGACTCTCTGACGCTTGCAAGGCGTGTTGTTGGCCACGGCGCGCGGGTGCGGATGACGGACGAGGGCGCGCGGGTCTAGGCGGATGCTGGTTGCTGGGAGGGGAGCGTGACGTAGGAGGGCGCGAGGGATGACGCACGCGCGGGCGAGGCGTGCAGCAGCGCTTGCGGCGTGGCAGCGCGCAGCCGCAGATGAGCGTGAGGCGCAGCGCAGCGCGGCAGCCCACTTTTCCCCTCGACTCGCGGCCTGCGTGCGACGCAGCGAGGCAGCCGGCCTGCATGCACCACCACGCCATCTCGCGCCGCCGCCGCGCCACCGCCGGCCGCGCCGAGCTCGGCTTCTCGCGCGCAAACACCACGCCGCCCCTCTCGCGAGCCTCTCTGCTGGCAAGCCTCTCGCTCATTCCAGTTATTCGCCAGCAGCCATCTGCGCGCACATCTCACACGTCGCAGTCCAGACGAAGCTCGGCGGGCGAGGCCGGGCGGCGACGTAGCGCACCAGCACCGCACCCGCAAGCCGCCGCCGCATGATGGGCGCGGCGTGGTCGCCCTGGCCGCGCGGATCGGCCTTCGTGCTGGCTGGCACGCACGCGCGCGACTCCCGCGAAGCAATGTTCCCACGCCGAGGCACGCCGGCGCCGATCATCGGGCGGGCCGCGCCGCCTCGCAGCAGCTCCTCACGCCTCGTCCTCGTCGTCTGCCCGTGCGCTACGGCTGCAGGCGCAGACCAGCGACGCAGCAGCATGCTGAGCATCTGCATGCCGTCTCCGCGAAGCACCGCATGCCGTTCCATTCAGACGCGCGAAATGGTGTGCCGCGGCGCGCCCTCGCTGGCTCGAGGAGCTGGCTGCACGGGCCTCGCGTTGCGCGTCTCGGCGTGGCGCCCCGAGCGCAGCTTGGCCTCGCGGTCGCAGTCGTCGTAGTAGAGTGCTTTACGTCAAGCTGCGCTCAGCTGCGCCTTACGCTGGGTGTGACGCAGTACGTGGAGACTGATGGGCTCGTCACCTGAGCGCGCGGGATGCCGCGCCTCGAGAGGAGCTCAGCGGTCTCACTCGGATGCTCCCATCCAACCCGCGTCCTCGGGCTTTCGAGATGCCTCCTGCGGCGCTGGGAGGGCGATCTCGCTCGTGGCCGCTCCTAAGACCGAGCTGCAGATTTCAGGCTGAACTTGAGCGATGCTTGCTGCCTCGCACACTTTGTGCGGGCGAGATGAAAGCTGCATGCGTGCGGTGCATGCGTGCGCGGGCCGGGCGCGGAGCGGCACCGGGCTGCGTGCATGCTGCGAGCATGAGAGCAAGCCCGATGTGAATCACTCGCTGCATGATGGCAGCTTGATGCTGCTGCAAGCTGCACACTACTACTCTGCATCTCTCACTCGACTCAAACTCTGAATAGAGTGCTGCCTGCTGACTGCCGCTGCTCGGTGCTGCGGCTGCGCTTGTGCCTCAGCCCAGCGCAACCCGAGACGGCTGCCCGCTGCCGACGATGCGCCGGCTTGCGCCGCGTCTCGAGGCTGATTTGAAGCACAGATGCGGCATCGCGATGCGTCCTCATCGGCCAGCGCCCAGAGCGGCAGACGCAGATGCAGCAACGAAGCGGAGGCGGCAAGGACAGGCATGCCAAGGCCGCAGCGTGCAGCGGCCAGCAGCGCAGGGTGCAGGGGTGAGCGCCGGCGGCGCGCATCTCGGGCCGAGGCCTCCGCGCGTAGATGAGTCCGAGTGATGCGGATGTGAGCACGCGGCCCGCTCGCCATGCCGCCATCTCACACGCTTCATGGCAGCGCTGCTCGGCTCCGGTGAGCTGTTCGGGCCCTGTTGGCCGCGGCCACAGTTGCGGCCTCGAGTCAGAGTGTCAAGCGGCTCGTCCTCAAAAGCAGCATGCCGCTGGCCGGCCGCTCTCCCGTCGCCGCCGCCTCTCGCATCGCTGCGAGCATCACGGCGTCCGTCCAAGTCCTCCGCGTACCCCTCCGCGTACCCTCACTCGCACCCAGCGCACGTTGGCGTCTGCGCAACGTCTCACTGGCGCGCACACCGGCCTCGGCACACCGCCTCCGGCCCTTCTCCCAGCCGCACTCTTGACCACGGCCGCCGCACCCGCGCCCTCGCCCACGATGCATCCGACGCCCTCCGGCGCTGCCACGCGCACGCCGGCACGTCCGCCGCTGGTGCGAGCCGCGCTCTCGGCGCCAGCCGTGCCGCACAGCGACGCCGGCGTCCTCTCGCTGCGCGCCGCGGCGCCCGTGCGCTTCGTGGCGTCGCCCGCCGCGCGGCAGCGCCTCGCTGCGCTGCCGCGCCTCGACGTCGCCTGTGCCTCGGCGGCGCCCGAGTGTGCGGCGCCGCAGCGCGCCCTCGCACAGGCACTGGTGCTGCATGCCGGCGCGCTCGGCAGCAGCGGCACCGACGCCGGGCCCGGCGCCGCCTTCTCCTCGCCCTCGCCGTCGCCGTCGCCGCGCAGCTCGGACGCGACGCCGTCGGCCACCTTCTCGCCGCTCTCGAGCGCGCGCGTGCGCCCGTCATCGGCGCTCTCGCCGGCGCCGGCGCTGCAGGCGCAGCACGTGGGCTATGCCCTGCACGGCCATGCGCCGTCCGACGCCCCGCACGCCGGCGTCAAGGAGGCGCTGCGCGACGCCGACGACGCCGACGACGCGAGCCAGGAGCCGCTCGACGACGGCGAGCCGGGCTGGTACCGCGCGGCGTGGCGGCGCGAGTGCCTGCGCCCGGGCGCGGCGGCACATGCGCCCGAGGAGCCCATGATGCCCTGCTGGCATGTGCGCCGCCTCGAGGCCGCACTGCTCCTCGACGCCTGAGCGCCACGCCCTCCGCTCGACGCCGGCCCGCATAGGCCGTGCCCTGCACCTTTTCTCTACTCTCTGTATCCCGTCACCGTCCTGCATGCATGCCGCTGTCACCATTCATCACCTCGTCACCCTGCGTCGCGCACCCTCTCTGGCTCCCTCCAGCATGTATCCCTCACTCTCGGCGCCTCTGTCATCCCATCGCATTGCTGCCTCTCTATCCCCGTCTACGCGCCGCCGTCGAGCTGCAGCTTGGCCACGTCTGGCAAGTCCGACTCGCCGCGGATCAGCTTCGTCACCTTGCCGATGCCCACGGTGCGCCCCTCCTCGCGCACCGTGAAGCGGCCCAGCTGCGGGTACTCGGCGAAGCGCTCAATCGCAATCGGCGCCGACGTCTCGATGAGCGCGACGACCTTCATGCCTGTGCATGCCTGTCAGCGCTTGCCGCCGTAGCACATCGCACTCCGCGCACTCACCCTTCTTGGCAAACTGCGGCGGCTTGCGGCTCTTGCGCCCCGTCTTCTTGTCGTAGTAGTGCAGCAGCGCCTGGATGGTAATCTCCTCGGAGAGGGCGTGCACGTGCATCATGGCCGAGAAGCCGGCGGCGATGATGTTGCGCGAGTCGAGAATGGCGAGCTGCGCCTCAAACTGGCGCACCACCTGCACGGGCCGCTTGGGGTCCGAGAGCACAAAGCCGACGCTGATCTCCTCGGTCTCGACGCCGCGCAGCTTGATGCGCACGTTGTCGCCCGAGATGGCCGCCGGCACCTCCTCGTCCTGCTCGTTGGAGATCGACACGACCTCCACCGCCGTGCTGTTCGGCATGATGACGAGCTTGTCGCCGCACCGCACCTTGCCCGACTCGAGCTTGCCCACGACGACGGTGCCCATGTCGGCGTACTTTTCCGTGATGGGCATCTTGAGCGGGTCGTTGATCTTGCGGTCCTGGATCACGAGGTCGTCGAGGAAGGTGAGCAGCGTGGGGCCCTTGTACCAGTCGCCGACGCCCTTGGGCAGCGGCTCCTTGAGATTGTGCCCCGCGTACGCCGACACGGGAATGAACGAGAGGTCCGTCTTGGGGTTGAAGCCCGTGCCCTTGAGGAAGGGCGTGAGCTTGCCGACAATCTCGTCGAAGCGCGCCTGCTCCCACTGCACGGTCGGCTCGTCCATCTTGTTGACGACGACGATGAGGCGCTGCACGCCGGCCGTCTTGACGAGCATGGCGTGCTCGCGCGTCTGCCCGCCGCGCTCGAAGCCCGTCTCGAACTCGCCGCGGCGCGCCGAGATGACGAGAATGGCCACGTCGGCCTGCGCGGCGCCGCTGATCATGTTCGGCACGTAGCTCTTGTGGCCCGGCGCATCGAGAATCGTGTAGCGCCGCTTGCCCGTCTCGAAGAAGGCGCGCCCCACCTCGACCGTCTTGCCCTTCTCGCGCTCCTGCGGCGTCGAGTCGAGCGCCCAGGAGAGGTACCAGCTCTCGCGGCCGGCCTCCTTGGCCTCCTTTTCAAACTTCTCCAGCGTCCGCTTGTCCACCATGCCCGTCAGCGCCAGCAGCTGGCCGCCCATCGTCGACTTGCCGGCGTCGACATGGCCGATGAACACGACATTCAGGTGCGCCTTCATCTCTGCGCGCATGGCGTGAGCACAGGCGCGCGTCCGGACGCGTGGCCGCCTGTGGCAACTCACCGCTGCTCTTCTCGCCGAACAGGTCCTTCAGCGTCTCCTCGTCCGTCGCCTTGTGCGCCTCCTCCAGCACCTTCTCAGCGTCGTTGGCGCTCTTCTCGGCGCGCTTCCGTGCCGCAGCGGCACCGGCCGACGGCTTGGCGGCGGCGACGGCGGGCGCGGCGGCGGCCGCGGGCGTCGGCGACTCGGGCCGCGACGCCGGCGGCGAGGCGCTGGACGACGATGCAGCGGGCGCAGCCTCCTCGGACTTGAGCGCCGCCACGGGACCAGGTGCTGCGGCAGCCGGCGCAGCGGGAGCAGCAGCAGCAGCAGCGGGAGCAGCCGGCGCGGCAGCGCTGCTGGCACCGCCGATGGAGATGCTCACCGGCTTGCGCGGCGCCTCGTCGTCTGCCGGCGCAGGCGCAGCAGCGGCCGGCTTGGCCGCGCCGCCGATGCTGATCGAGACGGGCTTGCGCGGCGGCGCAGCGGCGGCAGCGTCGTCCAGCGGCGCACGCGGCGGCGGCAGCTTGGGCACGCCGCCGCCGCCAATGGAGATGCTGACGGGCTTGCGCGGCGCCTCGGGCCCGGCCGACTGGTCGACGGGGCGCGGCGGCAGGCCGCCCGAGAGCGGGGCACGCGCGGCCGGCGGCGGCGGCAGGTTGCTCTGCTGCGGCGCCGGCGCCTGGAAGCCCTGCGCCGCGTAGCCGCCCGCCTGCGGTGCGCCGTAGTAGCCGCCGTGCTGCGGCGGCGCCTGGAAGCCCTGCTGGGCGCCGTATGCGCCGTACTGCGGGTAGGCGCCGGCGCCCTGCTGCGGCGCATAGCCGCCGTAGGCGCCCGGCTGCTGCTGCTGCTGCTGCTGCTGCGGAGCACCGCCGAAGCCCTGGGCGTAGTAGTTCTGCTGGCCATACTGGCCGGGCTGCTGCTGGCCTGGCGGGCCCTGCGCCTGGCCTGCGCCGCCGGGCTGGAAGCCGGATGCGGCGGGATTGAAGGCGAAGTTGCGCGCGTTGGGGTTCATCGTGCGAGGTGGTGGTGGAAGCGCAGCGAGGTGCGAGAGGCGGCGCCAAGCGAAGCTTAGAGCAGCGCAGCGACACTTCAGGAGCGCCGCCGCCGCCTGGAAATCTGTCCGGCCACGTGGCTCTGGCGCGCCATGCCATCACCGCACCGCACGCGGCAAGTCGCCGGCGCACGGCCGTCGCCCCGGGCCTCACCCCCACCACCATGCCGCCAAAACGCACCGCCAGCGGGCCCGCGCCGCCCGTCGTGGCCACAGCGGGCAGCAGCAGCACTGCGCGCGAGGCCGCCGCCTCGTCGCCGCTCGTGACGCTGCAGCGCTCGTACCTGGCACACACGCCCGCACGCCTGCGCCTCCTCGACGCCTTCATGGCGTTCCTCGTGCTCTCGGGCGTGCTGCAGTTTGTGTACTGCATCGCCATCAGCAACTTCCCGCTCAACTCCTTCATCGCCGGGTGCGTGCGGGCGTGCGAGCGTGTGGTACAGGCGCGCGACGTGCTGCAGAGCAAGGAGAGCATGCGACACCGCAGCGGCGCGACTGTGGCGCTGCTGCGTGCAGCAAGGCGGCTCGCCGGCGCAGCAGGGCACACAGCCTCTCGAGCCCTCTACTCCACGCAGCCGCTGACTCGCTTCATCCAGCTTCGCCTCGACGGTCGGGCAGTTCGTGCTCTGCGCCAGCCTGCGCATCCAGGCCAACGAGGCAAATGCCGCCGAGTTCCCCAAGAACTCGCCCGAGCGGTGAGTGGCGGCGCGCGCGCGCGCGCTGTGCTGCTGGCCACGCGCTCGCATGCTGATGCTGGCGCCCTGCGCAGCGCCTTTGGCGACTTCCTCTTTGCCTCCGTCGTGCTGCACTTCTTCGTCGTCAACTTCCTGGGCTAGGCTGGCGGCGCCGGTGCGCCGCGCGCCGGGCCTGCGCGGCGCACCGCGGCCAGCACAATGAGACGCGGTTTCCGATGCTCAGACGAGAAGCGTCCATTGCTCTGCCACCGGGGCGCACAGAAGAGAGAGGCCTATGGGACACGAGGGCGGGGAAGGAGTGTGTGCGTGCAGACAAGACCGGTGAGCAGTGCGGCGCGCGCGGGCGTGCGCCGCGGCGAGAGCGCGGGCCGCAGCACGCGCAGGGGGGTTGGAGCGGGTATAAGATCAGCGTCGGAGGGCGTGCGAGCGGGGCCCGCTACGTCTTGCGGAACCAGCGCAGCGTCTGGCGGATGACCCAGTAGTAGAGCGCGCCGAGGAAGCGGAAGAAGGAGAGGCCAAACGTGCACCAGATGATGATGTTGAAGTAGGTGCCCTGCTTCTTGGCCTGGGCAGCGTCGACGGCCTCCTGCGTGACGTTCTTGGCCGTGACGCCGTTGACGTTCATGATGGCGATCACCAGCGCGCCGTTGCAGAGCAGCCAGAAGATGACGAGGCGCGTGCGGAACGTCTTGTTGGCGTCGTCCGTCGTCGGCCGCTCGACCTTCTCCTCGACGACGACGGGCGCCACGGCGCGCGACACGACGGCCTTGAAGTTGTTGTCGATGTCGGCCTGCTCCTGCTCGATCTCCTCGACGGTGCCCGCCTCCTGCCCGGGCTTGTCCTTCTTCGTGTCGACGGAGGGCAGTGCGTCGGCCTTGTCCGAGCCTTTCGTGCCCCACGACACGTCGTGCCTGGCGGGAGGGTGGAGCATCAGCCAGCGTCCAGCGCGGCCGCAGCAGTGCTCCTCTTCTACTCACAGATTGCAGAAGGCGTACACGTTGAGGATGTTGACAAAGCTGGGCGCAATGAGCATGTACTGCGGAAACGACGTGAACATGTGCCACGGGTCCGCGTAGAGGAGCGAGGCGATGAGGTAGATGCCGAACGTCGCCGCCAGTGCCGCGAGCAGCACGGCCTGCGTGGGATCGACGAAGAGGTTCTTGAGGCGCGTGCCGAGGTCGCCCGTGTTGTTCAGCAGGTCCGTGATGGAGCGCGCCGTGAGCCAGACGGCGACGACGATGAGGTACAAGCCAAGCAGCGCAAAGACGCAGATCGAAATCATGTACGTGCGCTTCTCGCCCTTGGGCCGGTTGCCGAGCGCGAGGATGAACTGCAGCACGACGAAGAAGATGTACACCCACTTGGCGGCCAGGTTGACCCAGTGCAGGATGAGCTGCACCGTGTCGCTGCTGTCCTTGAAGATGACGTTGGGCAGGAAGTCGATGATGATGGAGAACGTGAGCCAGAGGTTGGCAAGCGCGAACCACGAGAAGAGCAGGTTGAAGGCGTTGTAGAGCACCTGCAGGTGGAAGAAGAAGAGGCGCACGACGCCGTGGTTCGACTTGTAGATGCGGAAGAAGTGCACGAGCGAGTAGACGGACGCGGCAAACGAGCCGTTGAGCCAGCGGCGCCGCTGCGAGATGAGCTCGGCGGAGCCCTCGGGCACGTCCGTCTCGCCCTTGGCCGGCTTGACGTAGCTCAGCGTCCACTTGTCGCCCGCCTTGGCCACGAGCTCGAAGCAGAGGATGCGGTCCCTGGCGCAGCGTCAGCGGTGTGCGAGCGACGCATGGCTCGGGCCACTCACTCGGCGAGGAACATGTTCTGGCCCCAGATGCTCATGCCGTGCAGGCCCTTCTTGCCGAGCCGGTCCGCCATCGTGTGGTCGCCGTGGAAGTACTGGTTGAGCGGGCGGCCCTGGATCGCTGTGGCGCAGGGGTTAGTGCGTGTTGCGTTGGCAGTACGGTGCAGCTCACCTCGGAAGCGGTACGCGCTGAATGCGCCCGGCAGCACGCTCACGTAGCCAAACGAGCTCTCGAGCGGTTTGTCGAGGATGCTGCGCGGAGGGGTCAGCGTGATGCACGGGAGCGGAGGTAGGCCGACGCACTTTGACATCTTGTACTCGAAGTTCTGGGCGGCCACGAGACTGGGCAGCGGCATGTCAGCGCAGGCGCGGCAGGGCAAGTCACACACGGCTCACGGGTTCAGCAGCTTGCGGCCGCCCTCGAGCATGGCGTGGATCTCGCCACAGGCGCCGCCGAGGTTGGGCTTGTTGTAGAAGGCCTCCCAGAGGTAGTACAGGCTCTTGTGGCCGGGCTTGGTGCCGGCGTCGAGCAGGATGCACACCTCGGGCTGCAGCTGCCGCCCAATGGCGTTGAAGAGCCAGCGGTGCGAGTTGATCTTCTTGCTGTTCTTCTGTTTCAAACAGAAAATCATCTGCACGGGCACGAGGTTCGACGGGTCGTCGCCGTGCGGCGTGACGAGTGCGGGCGTGGGGTCGACGGAGAGCTGCGTCGTGTACTCGAAGAGGTGCGCCACCGTCTCCTTGCCGTCGACCTTGCGCTTCATGATGCCGTCCTGGTACACGCCGACGGTGGCGAGCAGGTCGAGCTGCGCAGGGAGTCAGAACGCTGCCAAGGCTGCACTGCACGCACATTGCCACACTCACCACCTCCTTGTCGCACGGGTCGATGCCGTCGAAGATCAGCGTCACGACGATGCGCTGCCAGCCCGGGCGGCCCTCCTCGGCGGAGCGGCGCCAGAACTTCGATGCCTTCGACTTGCAGATGTCGCGGATGTTGAGCATGACGCCGTGCAGCGTGCGCGCCAGCAGCTTGCGGTCCTCGTTGTAGTACGTGATGGCAATGAGCAGCTCCGTGTCGCGCTGGTACTGCGCCGACGTGCGCAGCGTCCAGCCGTTGTCGACGGTGAACTCGTCCGGGTCGCACGTCGCGGCCGTGTAGCGCATGTGCGTGAACTCGTTTGTGCGCGTGCCTGCAGCCAGCGTCAGTGAGGCCTTCACCTCTGCGGCACAGCAGCACGCACCCTGGCTCCACTTGGGCTCGATCGAGTTCTTAACAGCCGTCGGCACGCGGTGGTCGACGATCCAGTTGCCGCGCGTGAGCTTGACCTTGCGCGTGGCGCCGCGCTTCGGCGCCGCCTGCCGCTTGGCCCATGCCACCTGCGACGCCGAGTCGTCGGGGCCGAGGTCGGACTGGAACGGCGTGTCGCCACGGTGCGGCGCCTGCGGCATGGGGAAGGAGTTGGGGTCGGGCAGGCTGGCGCACGCCGGTCAGCCAAGCGCCAGTGCTGCACACGAGGCAGCTCATAGCGGCTACACCGCCCGGGCGGCCACTCACTGGTAGCTGCTGTCGCCATACACGCCGCCGAACTTCTCGCCGTGCGCGGCCAGCGGCACCTTGTCGTCGTCACCATAGCCGCTCACGTAGCTCGGGTTGCCCTGCTGGTTCGTGTAGAAGGGGTCTGCGCCGCCGGCGCCATGGCTGAGCGTGGCCGACGAGCCGTCAAAGCCGTGGCCGTGCGAGGAGGAGGCGACGTAGCCGCCCGGGCCGGGCACGCGCAGCGGGTCGCCGGCACCAGACTGCAGTGGCGTGCGCACGTCGTCGGAGAACGAGGCGGAGTGCATGGGACGGGACGGCATGGCGAGAGAGGTGGTGGAGAGGAGAGAAGAGAGTCAGCGGCTGCTGTTGGGAGCACAAAGCGCCCTAGCAGCGAGCCAGCTCTCCCTGTACGCTGTGCAGCGTGCGTGCCTGCCGCTCGGCGCGTCCTCTGAGCGGCAGAGCGGCCCGTGCTTTGTGCCGCAGAGGCCACTCTGCCATAGCACAGCAAGTACTCTCGGGCAGCAGGGTGCAGTGCAGCATCAGTGCGCACGCAGCATCGCGCAGCTAGGCGCATGCGCACCCTTGCTGGCCGGCCTTCACGCTTGCACGTTCGAGCAGCCGCAAGCCGAACAAGAAGCACAGCCGCATTCCTGCGCAAGCACAACAGCACCCGCCGGCCCGCGCCGGCACCAGGCACCGCAGCAGGAGAGCCCCTTGAGTGCTGTGCTTGGAAACACGATGGTGGCTGGCGGCCGAGCTCCTGAGCTAGGGTGCACGTGTCTCGCCTCTATGAAGAACCTAGGCCAACTTGCAAGCCAGCCCGCCGGCTCCCTGCTCCTCTTGCTGTTGTCGCTGAGCGCTGTGCGGCCCGACTCTTCCTTGCACCCGCTCTTGCTGTCGCTGCTGCTCGTCTCCGTGCGCTCGGCCGCCTGTCCTTCTCGCCCGCCGGCTCGCTCTCTCGCCTCGCCTTCCCTCGCCTCGCTCCATCTTTGCAACTTCTTGCCCTGCCTTGGCCCATATGTCCGCAGCCACTCACCGAGTACGAGCTCTGATGCTGCGGCGGCGGCGCGGCGCCGCGGTAGGGGCGCTGGCCGCCGTGGCCGTATGCGTCGTAGGACATGCGGGCGAGCGTGCGCGCGCAGAGCGAGGGCACGGAGGGGCGTGCGGGGTGAGAGGGTCAGGTGCCTCGCGTGCGGGCGTTGAGCGAGGAGAGGAGGATGGACGTGGTGAGAAGACAAGCTGCGCAGCGAGGAGAAGAGGCCATGTGCTGCTGACGCTCGCCGTCCTGCGCTCCCCTTGAGCATGCTGTGCCGCTGCCGAACGTCCACCCCCGGCGCGCGAGGTGCCTGCGCTCTGGATGCTGCAGCGCTGCGCCGCGAACGAGGCAGCTGCTGCCATGCAGCATGCAGGTGGAGCAGCAGCGGCACAGCAAGCATCAGCATCGCCATGTGCACCTCCTGCGCCTGCGGCTGTGTGCTGCCCGCCTTTGCTCCGCTCGTGCGCTGCCCCGGACCTCGAGTCGCTCATGCACGGCACGGCGTCCTTGCACAGCCGCAACCGCCGCGCGCGCCGCCGCCGACGCAGCGCGTCCCTCATGCATCGGCCGCGCGGCCGCGCGTGGAGCATCACTCGGCGCCGCCGCCGCCTCTGTGCCGCTCTCGCCAACCGCGAACCCACGACCGCGCGCTGGAGCTCGCTGCACCGCCCGCTCGCTCCTCTCGCAACGCCGGTGCCGCGTGTTCAGAAGAGCTGCTGGGCCCACGTGCGGGCCGAGGCTCGGTGTCGCTTGAGTGGCCTCGAAGGCGCGTCAGGCGGAGTCAGACGGCCGTGCCTGTACCACAAAGGGAGGCGGCGCAAGGCGCTCGCAGGCGCGCAGGTGCACCATCGCCGAGCCGTCGGGCTCCGTCTGTCTTTGTCCAGGCGCGGGCCGTCGCTCGCATGCGCTGTGACTCTTGCCTGAAGGCTGAGCGCACAAGCTATCGCTGGCAAGCTCACACGGCAGCTGTCGCTGTCACATTCGCTTCTGCCTCGGACCGTCCAATCGCGATCATGGACACTCCTGCCTCCATGGCCGCTAGAGCGGGCGCGCCATAGATGCTCAGCCGCTGGCGCTTGGGCACAAGCGCGCGCCCGACGCCGTGTCGACTTGCGACGCGCGTCGAACCGCCGCTCCGGGGTGTGGCTCAGCTTGCTCGAAGGGCCGTGGGACATGCTCACGCCCCGTGCTGCACTCGGCAGCCAAGGCATGAGCGCACCCCGGCTGCGGAATCAGATCGGGCTGACAGGCGGTGAGAGCCGCCGCCAACGCCCAAGGGGTGCTGTCATCAAAGCGTGCATTCAGAGCACGGCCCAGTGCGGCCCAGGCCGGCGAAGGCGAGAGAGGTAGTGTTACAGAAGGGAAGCGAGAGTGGCGACTGGGAGTCACGAGGCCGAGGCGGAAGCGGGACGGCGCGCCAACTAGCGGACGAGGCAGGCGGAACGATGCGCTCAGTTGATGCCCGAGTTGACGAAGCCCTCGGTGGTGGTCTGAGATGCTGTGATCAGCGACGGTCCGGCCAGAGTAGCGCGCAATGCTCACCTTGCCCGTCGTGACGCTCTGCGAGACGTCGATGTGCTGTAGGTGCAAGAGTGTAAGCCAGGGTCGCGGCAGAGGAGCGCGCAGCACGCACGCCAGACTTGGGCGCCTGGCCCTTGGCCACGGCAGCGTCGCGCTTCGACTTGAAGTCACGGATGGCCGCCTTGATGGCGTCTGCGGGTCGTGTCAGCAATCGCGGCTGCTGGCCAGCAGCACTGGCACTCACCCTCGGCAAGCATGCTGCAGTGCAGCTTCACCGGCGGCAGGCTGAGCTCCTTTGCAATCTCCGTGTTCTTGATGGCGCCGGCGGCCTCGAGCGTCATGCCCTTGACGCGCTCCGTCATGTACGAGCTGGAGGCGATGGCCGAGCCGCAGCCAAATGTCTTGAAGCGCACATCCTCAATGATGCCGTCGGCCGAGACCTTGATGCACAGCTTCATCACGTCGCCGCACGCCGGCGCGCCGACGAGGCCGATGCCGACATCGAGGTCGCCCTTGGGGAACGAGCCGACCTGAGGAGACGGGTCAGCTTGCGAAAAAGCCCTGGTGGGCGACACCGCGGCGCTGCCAGCGGATGGCCGTGCTCGTGCTTGCCGCGAGCAAGCGCAGAACAAGCGGAGAGCCGTGCGCAAGTCGTCGGCAGAGCAACCTGCGCACGGTGTATGAGGCGCCACCTCTGCGCCGGCGTCTCCGGCCCCGGACTTGGACGCGGACTGACGCCCTTGTCCGCTGCAATGGGACCGGCTGGTAGCCTCAGGCGGACCGGAGACCAGCCGCGCTTATTGCTCTCTGCACCACACGAAGGGTGGAGGATGCGCAGCGGTGGCGCTGCAACGCTTCTCACCCTTCCTCGCGCTCGGTGGCCAGAGGGCCGCGCGACTGTTCGCGTAATGCATGTCGCAGCGCTGCTTTGGGCACTCACGTTGCGCGGGTTCTCGTAGTGGTCGATGACCTTCTCGTGGTAGGCGCGCTTCTGCGTGCGCGCAAAGGCGGGCGCGGCGGCGGCACGGAGCGCGGGGCGGGCGGCGGCGGCGCGCGACGAGCCGGCGAGGGCGGGTGCGGCGGAGCGGGCGAGCGAGGCGGCGGCGGTGCGGAACATGGTGTAGTGTGTGTGGTGGTGCAGGTGAGGCGGTGCGCGAGGCGAGGTGGTGGTGGCAGGAAGAAAGGACGGCGCGCGACATCAGATTGATAGGCCGCCGGGGCGAATCTCGCAGCCGGCCGATGGACTCGCCGCCTGCGTCTGAGCCGCGGCAGCGCGGGTGGCGACCGGCGGCGTCTGCCGACACTCGCGGCGTGCCTGGCGCGGCGCCGCTGCTGACGAGGCTGGCGGGCGCGTCACGTGCCGCTGCGCTCAGGCCACGCTGCTGCTGCTCCCGTAGAGTGACGCGCGTCCCCTCCAGCTGGCCGCGTCCACCCTCACACCCCCCTCCGCCAGCCGCTGTCCAACCCCACCGCCGCCGCATACGCCACGCCGACTCGCAGCCACAGCACACACCCACACGCCCACACACACCGCAGCGCAGCATGTCGGGCGCCGGCGAAGGAGCGTACAGGTGCGCCGCCCGCGCCGCGGCGCCCTCGCTGCGTCGCTCACGCCTGCACCGCCCAGCTTCTCCCTCACCACCTTCTCGCCCAGCGGCAAGGTGCGTGCGCCGCGTGGCGCCGTCTGCTGTCTCTTGCTCATCCGCCCTTCCACAGCTTGTCCAGGTCAGCAGCGCAGCGCGCCGGCCGCACTGTGCATCGCTCACGGCCCCGCACAGATCGAGCATGCCCTCGCCGCCGTCTCGTCGGGCGCCACGTCGCTCGGCATCAAGGGTACGTGCGCGCTCGCAGCTCTCTGCACGCCGCCTCTGATCACCTGTCCTGCAGCGTCGGGCGCCATTGTGATTGCGTCCGAGAAGCGCGCGCCCTCGCTGCTCGTCGACGACTCGGCGCTCGAGAAGATTGCCGTCGTGTGCCCGAACATCGGCATCGTGTACAGCGGCATGGGCCCCGACTTCCGCGTGCTCGTCGCCAAGGCGCGCAAGAGCGCACAGGCGTACTGGAAGATCTACGGCGAGTACCCGCCGACGCGCGTGCTCGTGCAGGAGATTGCCAGCGTCATGCAGGAGGCCACGCAGAGCGGGTGAGTGGTGGGTGATGCAGAGGCGCAGTGCGCATGCTTATACGCGCGGGCAGCGGCGTGCGGCCGTTTGGCGTGTCGCTCCTCGTGGCCGGCTTCGACTCGGCGCGGGGGCCGTCGCTGTACCAGGTCGACCCGTCGGGCTCGTACTTCATGTGGAAGGCCAGCGCCATCGGCAAGAACATGACCAACGCAAAGACGTTCCTCGAGAAGCGGTGCGTGGCCTGCGCGTGTGTCCGGCGCGGCGTTGCGCGGCCTTGGCTCACCTGTCCGTGCAGGTACAACGACGAGATCAGCCTCGAAGACGCGATCCACACGGCAGTGCGTTGCATCAGCAACCTGCACTGCGGCCCCCCACTGACCGCCGCCCACAGCTGCTGACGCTCAAGGAGGGCTTCGAGGGGCAAATGACCGAGGTGAGCCCACGCGCTCGTCTGGACGTGCACACGTGCAGCGCTGATGCCCGGCACCGCAGCGGACAATTGAGATTGGCATCATCGGCACGACGACGCAGAAGGAGATCGGGCAGACGGGCAAGTCGATCCCCGTCTTCAAGAAGCTCACCGAGGCCGAGATCAAGGACTAGTGAGTGCTGCGGCGTGGAGCGGCTGCGTCGCGCGGCATGCTCACGCCGCTCTCCAGCCTGGCACTATAGTGTGATGCACGATGCAATGCAGGCCTGCGAGCAGAACGGCGAGACGGCAGCATATGGTTGAGAGATGGCTAAAGAACAGATGAGGTGCGGGGCAGACGGGGGGCACACGGCGCGATGAGACATGTGGGGGACAGGAGGATGCGAGGGACACGGTCAGTAGATAAGCGAAAGGGAATGGGTGACGGTGAGGCTTAGTGCGAGGCCGGAAGATGGATGATGTGGCGGCGGCCGAGGATGGGGCTCAGGCTCGGCGCGCAGCGCGCGCCGCAGCGCGCGCCTCGGCGATGAGGCGCTCCAGCTCGGCGCAGACGTCGGACATGGTCGGGCGCAGGCGCGGCTGTGCGTCCCACATGCGCTCCAGCAGCTCGACGATGCCGTCGCCGAAGAGCTTGCGGACGTTGGTGGTCTTTGGGCTGCGCGCGAGGCCAGGGAAGCGCATCAGCACCAGGGTTGCGCGATGGCGCGCCTTGGCGACACTCACCGGACACGCTTGTCGCCGCCGACCTCGAGGTAGATCTGGTGCTCGTTCATGCCTTCGAACGGGTACTTCTTGACCTTTTCGTGCCACTGCAGCGTCTCCCAGAACGTCATGGCCACGCTCCACACGTCGACCTTCTCGTTGTAGTGCGGCTTGGGGCGCCACAGCTCGGCCGCCTGCCAGTTGACCGTGCCGACGAGCGAGCGCATCATGGAGCGCCGCGTGTTCTTGACGCGTGCAAGGCCCTGCAAGTTGGAGCGGGTCAGCATGAATGGCAAGCACAGGCTCGACTGGCATGCGCACAAAGTCGTTGATCTTGGCGTGGCGGTCGCGCGTGATGAGGATGTTCGTCGACTTGATGTCGCGGTGGATGATGGCCGGGTCGCGGCCGTGCAGGTACTCGATGCCGCGCGCCGTCTCGAGCATGATGCGGAACTGCGCAGGGTGTCAGACGCCGACTGAGACAGCGCACGCTCCGACTCACAATGTCGTCGTTCGACGGCGCAGGCACGTTGCGGATGTAGTCGAAGAGGTCGCCGTTGGTGCAGAGCTCCGAGACGATCATGCACGGCACGTGGCGCGGCGCATCGGGAATCGAGACGCCGATGAAGCGCACAATGTTCTCGTGGCGCAGGTCGCGCAGCAGCGAGAGCTCCTTGATGTCCATCTCCGTCAGGTCGTCGCGGATGTCGGCGATGGCCACCTTCTGCGCGCGCGACTTCTGGTGGAAGTACTTGCCGACGTACACGTCCTTGAAGCCGCCCGAGCCGATCTTCTCGAGCTTCTCGAGGCGGTGCGGCGGGATCTCCTTGTCGAGCAGGTTCAGCGACTCGAGGTCCAGCCCGTTGAGCTCGTCGACGGCCTCGGCGGGCGCCGCATCGGGGTTGCACGGGTCCAGCGCGGGGCTGTCCGGCTTCGACGCCAGCGTCTGGCGCGAGTGCGAGCGCAGCAGCAGTGGCACATGTGCCGCGCTGCGCTTGCGCCCCGGCGCATTGGCGACGACGGGACGCACCTTGCCCTTGCCCTTCTTGCCCGCCGTGCTGCTGGCCGGCCGCTCCGTCGTCGCAGAGTCGACCGAGGAGCGCGACGCCTGCGACGAGGGCGCCGCAGCGGCCGTGCGCGCACGGTGGTGCTGCAGCAGGCGGTCGATCAGGAAGGCCTTCTTGCCCTTGGTGTCGATGTCGCGCTCCTCGCACAGCTCTGCCAGGCGCGCCAGACGCAGGCGCGCCAGTGTAGCCTGCTTCGGGTCGGCCATCGGGTCGTCCTCCTCCGCCTCGTCCTCCTCTGCCTCGCTCTCCGCCTCGCTGTCGCTCTCCGCCTCGTCGCCCGAGCCGTGTCCCTCCTCAGGTTGCGAGCGCGCTGCGCGGACACTGCTCGAGCCGCTCGGCGTGTGAATGCGCAGCTGCTTGCCGTTGCGCAGCTTGCGCATCTTGCTCGGGCTGGCGTGCTGTGCATCGTCGACATCCTCATCCTCCTCGTCGTCGTCGTCTCCCAGCGCCTCGTCGTCGTCTGCCGCCTCGTCTGCGCCGTCTTGTGCATCATCCGACTCTGGGCTCGCGAGACGAGCACTCGAGCGGTGCAAGCGTGATGGCACGCGCGGCGGCGGCATGGCGATGCGCGAGCGTGTCAGCTCGCTGCGGGCGAGCAGCGGCGGCGTCACGACGGGAATGGTCGCGCGCCCGGAGCCGCCTCGTCGACGGGGCGGTGGAGGCGAGCGGCCGTCGATGCTCATGGCCTCGTCCTCGTCTGAGACCTCAAACGTGTCGTCGCCTGGCGCGTCTTCCTCGACAGCCTCGTCGCTGTCGCTCGCGCCCTGAGCCGGCGACTCGTCGCGCTCGCCATCGGACGTGTCCTCCTCCTCGGAGCCCACTGCAGAGGACGCCTCTCCGCTGGCATCTGCGGCGCCCTCGTCAGGCTCGCCGGCCTCGTCTTCGTCAGTCACCTCCTCGCCGGAGCCGTCGATCTCCATGCGCTTGACGCGCTGGCTGAAGATGACCTGCTTCGCCCGGCGCGGACGCAACGTGGGCTTGCGCGGCGAGGCTGCAGTGACTGCTGTGCGCGACATCCGCGCTGCTGGGCGGGCCCGGCGAGTCGCAATGCTATGCCGCGAGCGCGCTCGCGTCTTGACCGGACTGGACTTGGCGAAGCCGCCACGCTCGCTGCCGACGGCGCGCAGCCTGCGTACTGCGGGCGACGATGCCGTCGTCTGCGGCGCTGCGCGTGACCGGCCGGCCGGCACCTCTGCGACGGTCTCGTCGTTGTCATCCTCCTCTGAGCCAAACGTCGTGTAGCCAGAGGAAGAGCTGACTGGCGAGCGGCGCGCTGCTCCAGCCGAAGCCCGCCTGCGCGTGAGTCTGGGCGGCGAGCGCTGCAGCACAGCGTCAGCGACGCATCGACCAGCCTCGCAGCCAGGCACACTCACAGCTGCAATGATCGCATCTGCCAGCTGCTGCTTCGTCAGCATCGAGTCGGCCTCGCCGACGCTGACCGCGTGCAGACGCTGGAGCAGCGAGATGCGCTGGCGCATCAGCTTGGCGTGGCTGGCCGAGCAGCGCAAGGCCGTCTCTGCGAGCGCACTGTGAGCGACGCGGCGCGCACGCAGCCTGTTGAGAGAGACTCACCCTCGTCTGCAGAGAGATGCTGCGCACTGCCTTCCTCACGGTCGCCCTCGTCTGCAGTGTCGCTTTCGTCGTCGCTCGGCTCTTGCGACGACGAGACTGGCTGGCGCGACCGGCTGCCTGAGGCTTGCCGCGAGGTGCTCGCTCGTCGCTTCTCGGGCGCAGCCGTCTCGGCGGAGCGCGAGGCGCGGCGCAGAGGCGCCGCTCGCGGAGCCTCATTGAGCGCCAGGTTGCTCATGCCTCGCCGCAGCGTGTGGCTGGGCCCGCTGCGGCTCTCGTCGAGCGCCCGCGTGCGCGCCTGCCTGTCCTCTCTGCTCGGCGTAGTGGAGCCGCTGGCCTTGGCCGAGGCGCGCGAGAGGCCCGACGCCGCCGCACCGCCGCCGCGCTTGCGCTTCATGCCTGCGTACTGCGAGCGCGAGCGGACAGAGGCCATGGGCGACATGAGGAAGCCGGCGACCGTCTGCACGAGCGCCTTGGCCCGTGGCAGTGCCGCTGCCACGGGCGATGCGGGCGGCGAGGGCGCGCCGTGCGTCGAGTCGCTGCGCGACGAGAGCTCGTCGGAGCGGCGCTTGGCCGAGCCGGAGCCGCGGCGGCGAGCCGTGTCGCGGGTGGCGGGAGCCATGCCAGAGCGGCGCCGCACGCCGTCGCCGCCGGCCGCGAAGTCGTTGCCGGGCAGCGGTTCGAGGGCGGCGCGGCGCGTGCGCTGGACCATCGCCGCGTGCGGCGCAGCCGCGGCGCGAGAGAGCGAGGGTGCGGCGGAGAGGCGGCGAGCGGGGTGCTGCTGCTTGTGGAGTCGCGGCCGTGTGATGAGGTGGAGAGGAGCGCCGGAGCGGACGCGGCAGCGCGCGCAGATGCGCACACGCGCGGCGGCGGCGCGACGGCGTCTGCGTGTCGAGCGAGATTCTACGCGGCCAGCGGCGTTGGTGAGCAACGAGCTCAGGGGCGACTGGGAGAGACGCGGCCAGGACGAGCGTGTGGTGGAGGCTGGGAGCGGTGCCCGATGGCGGCAGCAGCTGCACCTGGCTGACTCGGCGTGCAGTGCAACCGTGGGAGCTGCGAGCGCTGATGATGAGGTGGGCCGGTGAGCAGGCACACGCAGCGGTCGGGCGATGCTGACCGCCGCGGCAGCAGGGGCGCAGCACGCCGGCAGTCTCGGCGCGCAGCGGCGTGTATACGCGTCGCGGCGGCGGCGCGGCGGCGGGGCGCGGAAATTGCCTCCGCACGTGATCGCAGCGTGGGAGCAGCCAGCAGTGCGGCCAGCCAGAGCAGCCTCGAGCCCTCACGCCTGCACGCTGCCCTGGGCTCAGCGGCCCGCCCATCACTCGCGTCCGCACCTGACGACTTCGCTAAGGTGACATTGCTCGCCGGTCCGTCTACTCCCACACTCGCAGCACGCCGCTGCGGTCGCCCGCGACGATGGCGCGGAACGGACTCTCGATGACGGCGAGCGCGTTGATGGCGTCGGTGTGGGCGCGCATCAGCGCCTGCGCCGGCCCCGCCTGCTGCTGCGGCAGCAGTGGCGAGCGGGCGAGGGCGCGCGTCGTCGAGCTGCCCGACGATGCATGCAGACGATGCACATGGCGTGCCAGCCGCTGCGACGCAGATGGCGCCTGGAACCTGAGCAGTGGGGTCAGCAGATGTCACCCGCCGCAGTCCACGCGCGACTCACCTGAACTCGCTGCGCTCGTCCGACGCGCCGACGCACACACTGCGCTCGGCGCGGCCCAGATCCCAGAAGCGGATGCAGCGGTCCTCGCCGGCGCAGAGCATGTAGCCCGCCGGGCCCGACTGGCTGCCGCCGTTGCCGGCGCCGTCGGCCTCGGCGGCCAGCTTGCCCGCGTCGAGCCAGCCGCCCGAGACCTGCACGCCCGAGCCCGACGAGCTCGAGTAGCCCTCGGTGCCGACCAGCACCGCCTTGGCGGAGGCGCGTGGGCCGGACAGCGCGGCGTCCGACGGCTCTGTTGCTGCTGCCTCGTGCAGCCGCACAAGACGCTCGATGGCCTGTGCAGCGCCGCCGAGCCCATCGGCGTAGGGGCCCGAGGCGGCGCTCTGCAGGGGCGTGATGTGCACCAGGTCGGAGGGCTCGTCGGCCGGCTCGGCCGGAATGCTGTCGCGGCGAGTGGCGTCGCTCGCAGGTGCGGCAGCAGCGGAAGCAGTAGATGCCCGGCTCTTCGACGCAGATGCGGTTGGTGTGTCGCACGTCTCGAACGTCTCGACGCGCACGCCCTTGTCGATGTCCCATGCCTCGACGAGGACATCGTTGCTCGCCGCACCTGGCTCTCTGCCTGCTCCGACGCGCTCAAAGGCGATCAGCACGACGCGCCCCTTGCCCTTGCTCGGATGCAGCACGACGCGGTTGACGCGCACCACGCCTGGCTGGGCGTCTCGCCGCGGCACGTCTTCGCCGACGCGCCAACTCTTGAGGAGCAGCGAGAAGCGCAGGTCCCACAGCGCCATGACGCCGCCGAGCGTGCCGACGAGGAGCCAGATGTTCTTCTTGTCGGCGCACATGCACGTGATGGGCCCAAAGTGCTCCGGGTTGCGCAGGATCTGCAGCACCTGCATGGTGCGCAGGTCGAGAATCGTGATGCGCGAGCGGCTCGTGCCGAGCATCAGCGTCGTCGGCCCCGCCTCGGCCGCGGCAGCTGCGGTGGAGATGCCGCTCGTCGAGGTGCCCTGCAGCAGGCACAGCGCGTGCTCGCCGGGCGTGCTCAGCTGGAAGTTGCTCACGAGGCGCAGCTTGCCGTACTTGGGCAGCGACGAGGCGGCGTTGACGTCGATGCGCAGCACGTGCACGCTGCCGTCGGCCGCCGCACTGGCCACGCAGTGCGTGCCCTCGAGCATCAGCAGCGCGGTGATGCCGTTGCGCTGGGCCGTGTACGTCGCGCGCGAGCGGGACGTGACGTTCTTCTCCAGGCGCGCCGTGTCCCAGACCTTGACAGAGCCGTCCTCGGAGCCGGACACGAAGAAGACGTGGTCCGGCGAGACGGCAAGAGAGGAGATGGGGCCGGAGTGCTCCGTGAAGTACGCGATGAGATTGCCCTCGGGCCGCCGGTTGCTGCTGCCCGACGACACGACGCGCGCGTTGGCCGAGACAGAGCGCGCTCCGCGCCGCCGCGGCGCGCCGCTGCCGATGTGTGGGCCCCAGCTGGGCGGCCGGTCGCGGAAGGTGGCGAGAAAGACTGCCTCGAGGTGCGCCTTGATGTACGGGTCGTCGCCGGCGTAGTTGGACGAGAAGACGGGCCCGTCGGGCGCGTCCTGGCCCTTGCCTAGTGCTGTGCCGCCGCGGATCGTCGTCTGCGCTGCAGAGCCAGCCGGCGTCGGGCGATTGGACGACTCCTGAGCGGCATCGAGCGCTCGGAGGCGGGCGGCCAGGTCGGACATGGTCCCGACAGCATTCGCGGACGACGCTGCGATGGCCGGCGCAGCTTTGCCGACGCCCAGGCGGCCCTGCGCCGAGAGAGGCGGGCTGCTCGCACGCTCGATCTCCGACGGCGTCGAGAGCATCTGCAGTTGGCCGGGGTCGAGCGGCCCGGGCGTGGCGGGCATCGCGGGATGGCTCGACACATTTTGGTCCATGCGGCGACGCAGCTCAGCAAGCGGGCTCAGCGAGCCCATCTCGCTCGGCACTCGGCTGCCTGCGAGCCGCCGCCGGGCGATGTTGCCGGAGAAGGAGCTCGCCGCCGGAGAGCGCACCGAGCTCGGAGCAACAGAGAGCGCGTCGGCCAGGGCCGCGCCGCTGGCCGTCGACGGCTTAGCCGTAAAGAAGATGGTCAGCGGCGTGATGCCGTCAAGCGGCTGCACGGCTGGTCCGTTCTTGTTCGCGAGTGCGCCCGGCCATGCCTCTTCTTCTGCGGCGAGCGCTGCGGATCCTCGAGCGCTGCAACAGGCGTCAGCGGCGGACACTGTGCGCCGAGCGTGTCGCTCACTTTGACTGGCGCGCCAGCTTCCACAGATAGTCGCGCATCGCGACGAGCTTGACCTCGTCGTCGGGGCCCAAGCCCAGCGCGCGCAGCTTGTCGAGGTAGCCGTCGTCTCTGCGGGAAACATTCAGCGAAGCCACAGTGCGGAGGTCAGCATGCTCACTCTTCGCTGCGCGGAATCGGCGTTCTGCTGAGCGCGCGCCCGGCACGTCCAGCCACGAGCGAGAGGCCCTCGCGCGCAATCTCGTTGCCGAGGCCGGCGCGCTGCTTGACGTCGGCCGGCGGCTTCCAGAACGTCGTCTTGTTGACGCGTGCGGCCCACTGCACCGCCGCGCTGAGCACCGGTCGGCTCAGTGGCGGCCGCAGCGACTCAATGAGCGTGAGCTCGTCCATCGCCGCCACGTCTGCTCGCAGGAGCGGGCGGATCGAGGGGTACACTAGCGCCCAGACGTCTGTCGGAGAGAGGCGCGCCACGACCTTGTGGACCAGCGTGGCGGCACTCAAGCGCAGCCAGTAGTTGGGATGGCACAGGAAGCCGCTCGCCGCAGACACGACATCCAGCGACATTGGCCGCGAGAGCAGCGCGACGTTGGCGCCCTCGTCGTCCTCGGTCTCCTCGGATGCCAGGCATGCCAGGCTCTCCAGCACGCGCAGGACGACAAACTCCTCGGGGTCGGAGAGCGCCTGCAGCATAAGAGGCAGCACGTACTCTTCGACGCTGCGCTGCCCAGCCGTGCGCGCCACGCCGACGATGGCCTCGAAGAAGGCGTGGCGCAGCAGCCACGAGCGGTCGTTGAGGTAGGTGATCATGTGGCTGAGCAGCACGTCGTTGGTCGCCACACGGCCGAAGAAGGAGCACAGCGGCCCGATGTTGGCGAGCAGCGAGCGCTTGACGGCCGCAGACGGGTCCGTCAGCAGCGTCGTCACCTGGTCCTGGAAGAAGGCACGCAACGATGCCAGCTGCGTCTCGTAGCTGGCCTCTTCCGACGCCGCGTCGAGGAAGTCGTCGTCTGCGGCAGTGCGCGGCCCGTCTGCGCCGTCTGCGTCGCCCTCCAGCGCGAACATGCCGGCGGCGCGCATCGCCTGCGCCAGCTGCAAGAAGCGATCGCCGGCATGACACAGCTCGACGATGCACTCGGCGTACATGGCGCGTACGTTCGGCGAGACGTCCATCGCCAGGCGGCGCAGCGTCGGCACGATGTACTCGGGAAAGACGCTGGCGTTGGCGGGACTGATCGTCTCGACGAGCATGAGCAGCTGTGCGCAGGCTCGCACAGCCGCGGTGCGCACAACAGCTACGTCCTCGAAGAGCGCGAGCACGTAGGGCAGCACGCGGTCGAGCATCGTCTCGTCGGTCAGCCAGCCGGCAGAGAGATGCAGGAGCAGATCAAGCGCATGGATCTTGCTGGAGGGCCGCAGCGCGCTGCGGATGTTGGCCAGCAGCGGCGAGAGGATGAGCAGCGCCGGGCCGTCTTCGTCCGGCGGCGGCTCGGCTCGCCGGAGCGTCTGCCGAGTGAGGCCCGGGATGGCGAGCTGCATTGGCAGCACACGCTCCGCCGCCTGCTTGTCGCCCGCTACTGAGCTGCTCTCCGTCGGCAGATCGGCAAAGGCTGCGTCCAGCGGCGCCGGCTGCGGGCTCGCTGTCGGCTCAGTGGCGCGCTTTGGTCGCGAGAGTGGCGGCAGGCCGTCTCTCGCTGGCTTGCTCGGCTCGAGGAAGCGCGTGATTGCGGCCCACTCTTCGAACATGCGCTCGATGCGCTCGTCGGCCTCTGCGCGCAGCACGTGCGATGCGCTGGTGCTGCCGCTCCGCCCGACGGTGCCGGCCTCAGAGCCTGCCACTGCGGACGTGGCAGAGTTTGGCGTGGCGCCCGGCATGGAGGCTGCAGCAGCGCAGGCGGCGGCGACGGCAGCGCTGCGCTCCGTGGAGATGCGCTGCAAGTCGACGAGGTACTGGTGCAGAAAAGAGTAGAAGCTCTCAGGGAAGGCAGCGCCGCGTGCCCGCGAGAGGTAGCCGTCGAAGGTGTCGCGCTGCTCGGGCGCCAGGCTGATCATGCTGCGCACCAGTGCACGCATGTCGGCGTCGGCGATCTCGGCCAGCGCCGGCTCGACGTCGAACTGGCCCTCGCGGTATTTGAAAAGCTGCGTGAGCGTGAAGATGGGCGCGCCGTCGCGCCACAGCTCGGCCAGCACGCAGCCGAGCGAGAAGACGTCCATCGCCTCGGTGACGTGGCCCATGCGCCGCGCGCCAAGTCCAAGCTCCTCTGCAGCGTGCTGTCCGCGCGTGAGCAGCGACGGCGCAGCGGGGTCTGCAACCGCCGCAGCGGCTGCCTCGGCGCCCGGGATCTCGGACTGGTCGCTGTAGAAGCGCTCCGGCGCGACGTAGCACGTGCGCCGCCCAGACGTGCCGAAGAAGTAGTTGAAGTCGGACGGGTCGTTGAGCGGCAGGTACGCCGGCTTGAACGACGCGGCAAAGTCGGTGATGTACACCGACAGGCTCGACGTGACGAGGACATTCTCGCTTTTGAGATCGCCGTGCGGCACCTGGGAGAGAGTCAGCAGGTGCGTGGGATCGACCAGCTGTGCGCGCTTACCTTGCGCTGCCGAGCGTCGCGCATGGCGTGCAACAGCTGATAGGAGATCCACTTCTTCTCGATGGCCGTGAGGAACGGCCGCGTGCTGGCGCCGCCGGTCAGCACAGCCGCCAGAGCTCCACCAGCATGTGCACTCACCTTATCCGGTCATACAGGTTGCTCGCGATCCACTGGCGGATCAGGTATCCCGCCGTCGCCGTCTCGACGACCTTCTGGTACGTCAGGACGTTTGGCACGTCTGCGAGCGCCTCGCGCTCCACTGCCAGTATAGTGAGCTGTGCGCAGGGGCGATGATTCGCGCTTCAAGCTCACCTCGCAGCCGCCGGACGAGCGCACGCAGAGAGACGGCGCTGTCGGGCTTGATGTATGCCTTGATCACGACGAGCCCATGCCGATGGCGGGCCCGCACGGCGCGCAGGAAGCGCGAGCTGCCCATGCTGCGCCGAGCATCAGGCATGCGGCTCACAGCGAGCGCTGCACGGCGACTCACCTCTTCTCATACTGCAGCTCCGCATCCACCTCGCCGATCAGGTTGCCCAGGCCCGTCACCGGCAGGCGCGAGCCCGTCGCGCTCGACGCCGCATTGCCCATGGGCAGCTGAGAGCTGTGAGCGACGATGAGGGCAGGAGCGTGATGTGCGGCAGACGCCCAGCACGGAAAGACGTCTGGGCGCTTGGCCGGCGCTGCGCTGGGCGACTGGGATGTGCGTGCCGGGGGAGATGGTGGAGGGGACGGAAGCGCGCGCGGCTGCGCGAACCGCGTCAGGATGCCGCTCGGACAGCGTAGGCCCGTGCGCAGCCTGACTTAAAGTTAGAGCCTCTTACTCTTGCATTGTCTAATCTAGGCTGGATCCACCCTCACTTGCAATTGAACGTCTAGGGAACCAGTGTTCAAGAAATTTAACACTGCTGATGTGGAGGGCAGCATCATGCTTATTTGCTGAGCAGCAGGACAACACAATGATGCTTGCCTTGTGCACCAGCACTGCGTCATTGCCCAGGTTGTCACAGCCTTCAACCTCAACAATATGCCCTTGACCTTTGTTGTCTATGGCTGGCACAAGATATGCATGATCCTCAAGCAGCTGGAGACCAACTTGCTGCAAGTCTCTCAAGCAAGGCCAAGATCATTGAGGCATATGCAACAGTGTGCACCTCAATGTCTGCTGCCCACAGCCCCATGGCTGTCTGGCTTGTGCTTGTGCCCAAGAAGAAGGCCATTGACATGTTGCCACTTTCATGGTCAGCGGGCAGGGAGCAAGCAATGGTGAGCCATCCTCACTCTGCCAGGTCCACTTCACTGCCCACGTGACATGTGGAGCTGTGTCGCTCCCATGCGCCGGCGGCGCGGCCTGAGCGCGCCGAGGCGCAGCAAGCCTAAGAAGGTCTCTTCCAAGGAAGGCTTCGCTCCGCCACTCGTGCCTCTTCCCACCACCACACTCCCTCGACGCACGGCATGTCCTCCATGTCCTTCGCGCCAGCCTCGCACGGCTTCGGCGCGAGCAGCAGCGCCGCCGCCGACGACGCCTCGTCGCTCTCGCTCACGGCGCAGCTGCAGCGCATCTTTGCCTTTGCCGCCTCGCCGCCTGCGCCGCAGCCTCCCTCCACCTCCGCCTCGAGCAGCAGCAGCAGCAGCAGCGCGGTCGCTGCGCCTCCCGACCCGGCAGTGCAGCTGCTGCGCGCCATCCAGGACGCACAGCAGCTGGCGGCCAGCCTCGAGCTCATCTCGCAGAACGACCGCCTCGCGGACCTCAGCACCAACACGCTGCGCCCGCTGCTGCTGCCCGCCGTGCTGGGCGAGGTGCTGACGCGCGTACGCACGCCCGTCGGCGAGCATGCCGGCCGCATGGAGCTGCTGCGCAGGAGCCGGGTGCGTAGACGGTGCCGTGCGGCGCTGAGCCGCAGCTGATGCCCTTTGCGCTGCAGGACGCATGGCGACTGTACCTCCTCTCGCTGCTGCAGCTCGGCGTGCTGCCGGCACCGTCAGCCACGTCCGTCGGGCTCGGGCTGCTCACGTCGCAGACCCGCGCGCATCTCTCCACCTCGGGCCCTCCCAAGCTCGACGCCGCCAACCGGCGCGCCCTCAAGATTGCGCTGCTGCAGCTCGAGCGCGGCATCACGCGCGCCCTCGATGCGCACCGCGAGGCGGCGCGAGACAAGGCGCGTGCGAAGATGGGCGGCGGGCTCAAGGCGCAGAGGGAAGGGGTGGAGCGCGGTGCGAGCGCGGCGCTCGAGGCGCCAGAGGAGGCGCAGTGGGATCTGCTCGTGCTGCCGCGCGTGGCGCGCGGCATGGTCAACAGCGGCGGCGGCGACGGCGAGTCCGACGAGTCGTCCGACGAGGAGCAGGAGGACGCGCCCGGCGGGCTGCCTTCCGCAGGAGGGCCCGAGGCTGTGGCAGTGCCGCGCACGACGCGCGGCTACGTGCTGCTGCTGCTTGCGCTGCACGCCTCCAAGGCCCTCGCCGCGCTCGACAGCATCGGCGCAGAGCTGGAGCTGCTGCAGAGCATGCCTGCCGCCACGGCCGCCGGGCGCGCCGAGGGCAGTCGGGAGCGCGGGCGCGACGGCGCAGACGCGCAGGCCTGGCGCCTCGATCGGCGCCTGGACGCGTCGGCGCCCGGCGCGCTGCTCGATGCCAAGGGCAAGGTCTTGCGGCCCTTCCAGATCACTGGCGCCTCCGCCTCGAGCGGCGCGTCGCCCAATCCGATGGGCACGCTGGCCGACGACGGCATGAACAAGCGCGAGGAGCTGCGCAGGCAGGTCTTCCAGCCGGGCCATCGACTGCCGACAATGTCGATCGACGAGTTTCTCGACGAGGAGGAGCGCCGAGGCAACATCATCACTGGCGGCGGGTGGGTGCCTTCCCCCTCCTCCCCCCTCCATCTCCTTGCTGACGCACTGCTCAGGCCGGAAGGCGCGGCGCGCGCCACACCGCGCGAAGCCAGAGCACTGCGCATGGAGAACGACGGCACGCGCGAGGCCGACGAGGCAGAGGAAGAGGCGCGCCAGGAGGCGATGCAGTGGGACACGTTCAAGGAGCACAACCGCAGGGGCGAGGGCAACACGATGAACCGCGGCTAGCGGAGACGAAGAGCAAAGGGGGGCCGCGCGACAGCCAATGCCATGACGCTGCCGCCCGGGAGATCGTGGTGAAGCAGGGGTATGACAATTTGCGACGTTGCTCCTCTTCTCACTGCGTGCCCATCTTCGTCCCTCTCGCTCCGCTCTCCTCCATCCTGCGGCGCTTCTTCTGCGCCCTCTGCTCCCCTCGCTCGCGCTTGCGCGCCATCAGGTCCGTCGGCGCCGACGCCCTGAGCATCTTGACGCGCGGCGGCAGCGTCAGCGGCCGCCGCTTGTCCTCGTCGTTCGCCTTGCGCGCGCTCGGTGCGCCATCGGCATTCGCCGCGATGCTACGCCGCGCCGCCTCCTCGAGCCATTGTGCGCGCGGAGGCTGCACGCCGGCGGCGACGACGAGCGCCTCGAGCGTGCGCCAGGCCGCCTGTGCGGGCGCGGGCACGCGCGCCGCAGTGAGCAGCACGGCCGAGCAGCGCCGCACGCCGAGCGCGGCACCGAGCAGCGCCTCGGCGCCGGCGGGCAGCGCGAGGAGATGCAGCGCGGCCTCTGCTGCTCCGGCTGCGCCGGCTGCTGCTGCTGCATGCGAGGAGGCCGAGGAGAGCGAGGCGTTGTACGTCTGCACGAGCAGCGGCACGTGCGCGAGCAGAGCGGGCGGATCGACGTCGGCGCGCGTGACGAAGAGGTACTGCGCGCCCGCGTCGCTGGATGGCGACGGTGGCGCTGATGGTGCCGCTGCAGTGGAGAATGTGGGGTCGGCAGCGGCGGCGGCGACCGAGCGAGATGCCAGGCGCAGCCGGAGGCGCGCCTCGAGATGCCGCGTGACGGCGTTGAGGCCGAAGCGCACGCACGGCGCGGCCTGCTGCTCCTGCGCTGCCGTGCCTGCTGCCCTCTCTTGCGGCGCAGCTGTCGCACTCGGCTGCGGCGTATGCGCCTGCGCTGCCGCCGCACGCTGCATGCTCCCCTCCTCGAGTGCGCTCGACAGCGTCTGGCCCTCGGCCGCGGCGCGTCGGCGCCGCGCGCCGGCCTTGCGCCGCTCTCTCCTCTCCTTGCTCGAGTCGTCGCGCCTCTGCGCTGCGCCCGTGTGCGCGAGCACGGCGAGCAGCGCGTGCAGCAGTGGCCGCGAGTGAATCGGCGCGATGTCCGGCCTGTGGCAGAAGAAGCAATGCGGCGTCAGTCTGCCCCGCGTGGCGGTCCGGGAGGCCAAGACACGGGCGGACACACCAGCTGACCGCCAGCGGCGACGCCAGCACGGCGCGATAGACGGGCTTGAATCCCGGCGCTGCTGAGCTTGACCCAGCGAGTGCAGCGGCGGAAGAGGCCTTCTTGCCTTTCTGTCCTGCGCCTGCCTTCGCCTCGCCGCCGCCTGGCGTGGCGCGCAGCGCAAGCGGCGGCGCAGCGACGAGCGCGGCGAGGCGTGCGTCCTTGGTGCCTGTCGCGCGTGCCGGCGGCGCCGCAGAGGAGCCGGCCGTGCCTCGTGCCGGCGCTGTAGCCGTCGCCGGTGTTGGTGCTGCGGCCGCGGCGGCAGACGACGGCGCCGCACGCTTCGGCGCGCCCTTGGCGCGTGCACCGGCGCCGATCGGCGCGGCGGCGAGCGTGCGGGCGCTGCTGCTGGCGCTGCTCTTTGCGGGCTGCTTCATCGCTGCGGCGTGAGTGAGGGGAGATGGCGGAGCGAAGGCACGAAGGGAGAAGTCGGCGCGCTGCACGCCCAAGTCGCGCAGCAAAGTCGAAGCATGCGCGCGCTGCCCGAGTTCCGCAGCGGGCCAAGACGGCTGCCTGCTGCTGGCCCTCCACATCGCCTGCTTTGCCCCTGCCAGCCGCTGCCACTGGCGGCGCCCGCTCGGCGTTCCTCCTGCCTCACACCCACCACTCACCTCACCCGCGCCATGTCCTCGCCCTACATCTGCAACTGGGGCATCCTCGCCACCGGCGGGTGCGTGGCCTGCCTGCTGCCCCCCTCTCGCACGACTGACCCTTGCGCCTTGCCCCAGCATCGCCGGCACGTTTGCGCGCGACCTGCTCCTCGACCCGGCGTCGCGCGACGTCGCCGACGTCCAGCACCGCATCGTCGCCGTCGCCTCCTCCTCCTCCGCCGCGCGCGCCCAGGCCTTCGTCGACGACGACCTGGCGCTGCGCGACGCGCCGCAGAAGCCCTCGGCGTACGGCACGTATGCTGAGATGTTGAAGAATGACGACGTGCACATCGTCTATGTCGCCACGCCGCACAGCCTCCACTACGAGAATGTGCTGCAGTGTCTCGAGGCGGGCAAGCATGTGTGCTGCGAGGTGCGTGTGTGTGTGCCACGTGGGCCCCCCTCGAGAGAGGGAGAGCGCAGGCGGCAGAGCGTGGCAGGGGCGAGACTGACCATTGCTCGTGCTTTCGCCCTTTTCGCCTCTCGCAGAAGCCCATGACCATCAACGCCAAGCAGACGGCGCATCTCATTGCACTGGCCAAGGAGAAGGTACGTTGCTCTCAGGCATTCGCCGACGAGGGGCAGAACGCTCGCGCCTGCCCGACCTCTCTCTCTCCTCTCGCACACGCTCACGCATCTCGCCCCGCCCGCGCGCAGAATCTCTTCCTGATGGAGGCCCTCTGGATCCGCTTCTTTCCCCTGATGGCCGAGCTCAGGAAGCAGCTGCACGAGCAGCGCGTCATCGGCGACATTGTGCGCGTCGAGAGCTACAACGGCATGGCGTTTGCATTTGACGCACAGCACCGGCTGTGGAACCCTGGTGCGTGCGCGCAAGGGGGGGCGAGGAAAGGGACGAGTGTTGGCGCTGATGCAGCATCGTGCGCGCAGAGCTGGGAGGCGGCTCGCTCCTCGACTTGGGCATCTACAGCCTCACCTGGCAGATGGTGACGCTCTTCGAGGATCCTCGGTGAGTGTTTGCGCTCCCTCCTGTTCCTGCGCCCACTGATGCTGTGGGTGCTGCCGCGCCAACAGCAACGAGCGCACGCCGCCCAAGGTGCATGCGACGATCATCAAGCAGCCGCAGACGGGCGTCGACGAGAGCACGACGATGCTGCTCGAGTTCGCCAAGAGCCACACGCACGGCGTCTGCTCTTCCAACGTGCGTGCCCACCCCTGCCTCCCTTCCTTGCCTCCGCCTTCCTGTTGACGCAAAGTGGTGCTGCGGCGGACACAGGCCGTCGTGCGCACGCACCACGCCTACAGCTGCGTGATCCAGGGCACCAAGGGCGACATCAGCGTCGCCTTTCCGCCCTTCCGGCCCGAGTCCTTCTCGGTCGCGCTGCGCAACGACGATGCGCTCAAGACGCTCGGCGCGCGCAAGACGTACGACTTCCCCATCCCGGGACACGGCATGTTCTGGGAGGCCGACGCCGCGGCGCGCTGTCTGCGCGACGGCAAGCTGCAGCCGGAGCTGCACCCCAATGCCAATGCGCAGCTGACGATGGAGATTATGGATGAGGCCAGAAAGCAGGGAGGCTTCGCGTACCCGGACAAGCTGGAGTGGGTGCGGGAGGATGCGCCGCAGCAGTAAGAGGAATGCAAAATGTGTTGCAACCGTACGATGTCATTCGTGTGCGAGAGGCCCAGCTGTTGGACGAGAAGACAGTCGAGTCTGGAGAAGGAGCGAGAGGCGAGGGATGCGGAGAGGCGTGAGCGAGGCGAGGCGCGTGCTGACATCAGCAACGTGCGCCGACCTCCACCAAGACGCGCATGCGACGTCCCTTCTCCGCTCCCCCACATTCACCTCTCCCTCTCCGAGCGCGAGCGCCCGAGCGTGTGCCAAGCTGCCGCATCTGTGTCTTGCTCCTGCAGCGGCCTCGCCCGTTCCGACGCCCACGCACGACCCTTCTCGAGCTCAGTAGGGCAGTCTCGATCGAGAGTTCGCGGCAAGGTCACGTCCGAGGCAGGCGTCGTCGTCTCGGACTCCGGCGCAGCTCGGCGCACCTGAGCGCAGGGAGGACTCAGCAGCTCGCTCCGCGTCGTGAGGCGGCACTGGCGCTTGCTTCGGCCGTAATGAGCGACGCCTCTGCCTCATCCGCGGCGGCGGCGCCGTCGGCCTCGTGGCTGGCGTCGCTCGACGCCGTGTATGCGCTCTTCGAGGACCCGGCACTGCGGGCGCAGCATGCACACCTGGCGCAGCGCACTGAGGAGGCGGTGCGGCTGTGCGAAGAGGTGGTGCGCGATGTCGGGTGAGTCGCTACAGCGCGCGAGGCGTGCCCGCGCCGCGCTGACGGCCAGCGGCGGCGGCAGGCTCGAGGCGCTTGCCATCTCCTACAACGGCGGCAAGGACTGCAATGTCCTCGTGCACCTCCTCGCCGCCGTGCTGCAGCGTCTCTCTTCCCCTGCCTCCTCCTCCTCGCTGCCGCGTCTGCCCGCGCTCTACGTCGCCTGCGCCGCGCCCTTTGCCGAGGTGGAGCGCTTCGTCGCCGCCAGCGTGGCGCGCTACAATCTCGAGCTGCGCCGCGTGCGCAGCGACATGAAGGGCGGCCTGCAGGAGTACATGCGCATGCGCGCCGAGCACATGGGCCGGCCCTGCAGCACCGTCTTTGTCGGCCAGCGCCGCACCGATCCCGGCGGCGGTGAGTTGGGCGCCCTTGGCTATGCGCAGGCCGGCGGGCTGGCGCTAGATGGGCTGACGCTTGCATTCCCTCTGGCTCAGCCTCGCTCAAGCCAAGGGATCCCACCGATCCCTCCTGGCCGACGCTGGAGCGCATCCACCCCATCCTCGACTGGTCGTACGCCGACGTGTGGGCCTTTCTGCGCTGTCCCGTCTTTGGCGACGAGGCGCTGCGGATGAGCGCTGCGCAGCGCGACGAGACGGCGACGGCACAGGCACCGGGCGTGCCGTACTGCGTGCTGTATGACCAAGGGTGAGTTGGGGCGCGCGGCGAGAGAGAAAGAGAGGGCGCGCGAGGGCTGAGAGTAGGCCCACGCACGCAGCTACACTTCGCTAGGCTCGACATTCAACACGCTGCCCAACCCCGTGCTGCGCCTCGATGATGCCGACGCCGGCGCACCACGACACGCCGCTGCGGCGGCCGCGGCAGCGCCGCCCTCGGCGCTCGCCACGCGCGCCGCGGCATGGCGCCCCGCCTACATGCTGCAAGACGAGCGCCTGGAGCGCGCCGGCCGCGTCGGGAGCTCGCCGGCGCGAGAGGGGCAGGGCCAAGCTGGCTAGCTCGTTGGGCGACGAACGATGCAGAAGGCCCACGTCAATGGATTGATGGGGCTAGAAGTGTTGTCTAGAGTTCGGTGTGCGCGTGGAGAGCGGGCGCGAGGCATTAGGAGGGAGCAAGGAGAGAGGGGCTGGCTGCGCGGGAGAGCCAGATGGCCAGCAGAGGCAGTAGCAGGCAAGACAGGAGCGAGACGAGGCACAGATAGACGTGGTTCCTGAGCGGGCCGGGCAGCACGGCTGCCCAGGCTGCAGGAGCGCCGAGAGGGCTGTGGCGCTCGCGCTCCTCCTGTCGGCGGCGTCATGCGCGCGGCGCCGCGCTGCCCGGCGGCGTGGGCACGGCGAGCGGAGGCACGACAAAGTGGCCGAAGAGCGAGAGGACGCGCAGCTGCAACGAGGACGCCACCTCCACTTGGAACGGCACGTAGGGCGAGTGTTCGCCGTCAATGGAGATCAGGCCGCCCTGGTGTGGACGAGGATGTATGTGAGTCTGAAGCCACACGGCGAGTCACCTCTGGGTCGTGTGCCCTTGTGGCGCAGCAACGCACCTTCTTGAGACTCTTGTCGCCCGCCTTGCGCCGCGGCACCACGCGGTACGCCTCGCACTTGAGGTACGCCAGCGCCGCGTCGTACACGACATTGCCCGTCTCGGCGCCGTTGATGGCGCGCAGCTTGGCCGCGCGGCCGCCGCCGTGCAGCGTCAGCGCCACGTCGACGAGGCCGTCGCCGGGCGCGGCAAAGGGGAACTGCAGCAGATCGCGCCCCACGTACGGCAGCTTGCCGGCGTAGAGCGCCGAGATGGAGGCGGGGATGCGATGCCATGATGAGCTCGCACTTGAGCTTGATGGTGGCGGGGAGGAAGAGGAAGCGACGCTGTAGGGCCACGACGGATCGTGCAGTGACAGCTCGGGCAAGGAGCTGAGCTCGAGCGGCTCGCCATGCGCGTCGCGCAGAGTCTCGGTGACGGCACCGTGACGCAATGGCGGTGCCTCGTCTCCTTGCTGCGCATCGGCGTCGCCGCCGCTGCTCCACGCCGGCTCCTTGCTCGCGTCCAGCATGCGTCTCCGCATCTCGTCGCGATTCAGCGTGCCCTGCTCGCCCAGCTTGACGTACACGTCCACCTCGCACTCCTTGTTCGCCAGCACGCCGCCGATGTATCCGATGCTGCGCCCCTGCGGTCAGCCACAGCGCATGGCAGGCCAAGAGGCGCACGGCACTCACACGAATCGAGCATCGCCAAGCGCACGCATGTGCTCAGTGCCCAAGTCGATGTCGGCCATGAGTCCGATGGCCTGCGAGAGAAAGGAGTAGACGTGGGTGTACGGCTTCATCTCCTGCGCTTCCTGCGTTGCAGCCACGCCGTTGGGCGCCGGCTTGCCTTTGCGCTTCGGCATCTCGACGCGCGGCTGCGTCACGCTGCACACGTCAATCTTCATCGCGCGGCCCTTGATGACATTGAGGCACGCCAGCGCCAGATTGAAGCCCTCCTGCGCGCCGAGGATGTTGACCGCGACGCCATTGCCGCTGCCCGTCGGGATGGGCGCGACGAAGAGCTTGCGCAGCGCCGCGCGCGCATCGGCGCGCGAGGCCAGGCCGTTGAGCACTTCGTGCAGCATGCCGTCGCCCGAGACGCACACGATGCCGTCGAACGCGTCGATGTCGACGGCACGCGCAATCTCCGTGCCGTGGAAGGCCCTGCGCGTCACCTCGACGTCGAGCACACAGCCGGCCGCCTCGAGGATGGGGCGGATGCGCTGCGCAAAGAGCACGCGTGCCTTGCCCGGCCCGCCGATGGGGTTGAGCAGCACCTTGAGGCGCCGAAAGGGCGCCACGTGGGCGTAGGCCAGCACACTCAGCTGCGCGGCCCAGCTGGCCGCGGCGCCGCTCGCCGACGCAGCGACGCGCGCCTCGATGGTGATGAGGCGCAGGTTGGCGCACGGCCCCTCGAGCTGCTCCAGCAGATGCGCCGCGTCGCGAGCGGCATCAGACTGGTCCGAGGGAGCAGCCGCCTGCTGCTTTGCGCAGAGCGCAGCGACGAGCGAGGCGCGCGAGGCGCTCTTGCGCAGCAGCAGCGACGACGAGGCGGCGCCCAAAGGCGGCGAGAGGAGCCGCAGCAGCAGCGAGCCGCCGTCGCTGTCGGCGACGAAGGAGGCGTGGAGGAGCAGCTGCGGCGGAATGCAGAGGTATGCTGATGCTGCATCTGCGAAGCGAGCGTCGTGCATCAGCTGGGCCTGCTCGTTCCTGCGTGCGGACCCGGCATGAGCCGCATCTCACCGCTGTGTGCCTCGGCGGCGCCGCGCGAAAGCCAGAAGAGATGCGCGTCAAAGGCGACGCTCGCCGGCTTGCCCTCGATGGAGACGGCGAGGCGCTGCGGCGCGCTGGCGGCGCGGCTGGGCGCGGCTGCGGCGGACGAGGCCATGGCGGATGCCGGGCAGGTGTGGCGGAGCGGAGAGAAGCGAGGAGCGCGACGAGGAGCGTGGGCGCTGGAGCGACGGCGCTGTCACGCACGGCGGAGGTGCGGATGGCAGACTCGGCGGCGCGCTCGTCTGCCTCTCTCTGTGTGCTGCGGCGCTGGCGGCGAGGTGATGCGGGGTCGACGCGGAGCGGAGCAGGGCTGCACGGATGTGCAGTCCGAGCTCAGGAGGCCCAAGACGCGTCGGATGTGCAAGGGCCAAAGCCGCGGAGCTGCGCTTGCGGGCGAGCCGGCGCTGTTCCCACGCTGCCATTCTCGAGCCCCTAGACGCTCGTCTCGGCTCCACTCGCTCATCAGCGCAGCGAGGCAACCGCCTACAATAGCATCACTTTGCGCACGCTGACGGCATGAGCAGCGGGCTGAAGGGGCAGCCGGCCCCAACAAAGCGAGCCGCGGTGCTGGGTGCTGCGGCACGTGCGCGGCGCCTGCTGAGCGGCCGAGAGCTGCGAGTGCGTCGGCCTGCCCCGTGCGGTCGAGCAAGGAGGCGCCGGCGCCCGATGGGGCAGGCCGCCTCTCTCTGCGCTCGACGGCGCACTTTCCGAAGCAGCCCTGATCACCACCTATAAGAGGCCACTCGCTCTGCGCCCACCTCTTCCCTCTCCACCACCACCACCACCTCCTGCCCCCCGGCGGGCGGGCGAGTCGGCTCTCAGAGCTGGCTCGGCCGCCGGCCTCACCCTCTACCTCCTTCATCACCACCCTGGTTCAGTACATCAGCCAGCCCTCGAGCCTTTCGAATGACGGCGCTTGCGTGCGAGTTCTCGACGTCGGCGCCGTCGCCGTCGTCGTGATTCGCACTCCGGGGCATCGCGCGCGACAGGCTCCCGTGCTTGGTGAGTCCCCGCTTGGGTCGAGGCAGAGCCGCACCTGCATCGCCGCTCACCGTCGCCACCTTCAGGTGCGTCAACAGACCGTTAATCAGCCCTCAAGCACGTCGGCGCGGTCCTTAGCATGCAGGCTCGACGTCGGCCATCGTTGCCGAGCGTCGTCGTCTGCATGCAGAGTGTCGCGTGAGGACGTGCTTCGGTGCTTCTCGGTGAGTCCGGGTCGTCGCCTGGGTGCAGCACGTCTCATGCTCACCTCCTCCTCCTCAGGGGATCTCGATGTGCATCATGCCGAACACCTCTTACACTTGTTTTCGTGGCTCAAGCATGTACACCGACGTCGGTCGTTGTCTCTGCATGCTCGAGCCACGCGCAAACACGCTCGAGACGTGTCGGCATGACTGTACTGTGCGTACAGTCGCTGCCGATAGGCAGCTCTTCGCTGATCAGCCATCTTTCCCGACGCTCAGACCTCGACTGCGCTTCAACAGCACGGTGTCTGCGTCGTCGCTCGATGTGTGCGGTATGTCTGAGATGGCCACGAAGTGTCAACTCCTGCTCACCGTCTTGCTCTTCAGCGCACTCGCCTGTCCGACCACGACAGCACGTCGACGTCGTCGTCGGCCAAACGAGCACGCTGTGAGTCGTTCGTTGTCGAGAGCCATCGATCGGCTGCTCATCGTCTTGCCTCTCAGACTCAGGCCTCAAGCCCGCGCGACGACACCTCGATGTCTTGCCCTTCATCCTCTCCTTCCTTCACTTCCCTTCACTGTGCGTACGGCGTCGTCGAGTTGCGCCTTGATCCTTTTGCTCACCATCATCTCACAGATCCGCGCGACCGTCGACGGCAACACGCGGCATCCTTTTCGGTGGTATGCGTAGTCGCGGGATCGCCACGACGGTGCGTGTCTTGGAATGACCTCGACGAACCCAAGTTCATCATAACCCAGACTCAGGCCTGGCTTCGACGTTACGCCTGACTTGGCATGTGCTTGCGCTTTGTTGACGGAAAAATCGAGCACATAGCTGCTGCATGTTTCAGCTCTAGCGTCCCAGAGCAGCATACACACGGCGCCTATGGACTTGACGACTCCGCCGACGCAATGCAGTGCATTCCCGGGCCTTGCACGATGTGAGTCGAGCCACGCCACCGCGCTGCCCTTCATCGTCTCTGCCTCATGCTGACCCTGCGCTGACACAGGTCCGTCCACGCACATCAAGATCTCAACTACGCTGGCTCTCGATGGTTCTGAGTAAAGAGCACGCCATGACGTCTTGGCTCTAGCGCTCTAGGGCCAGACCAACGGCGTGCGCTATCTCGACTTCGTCGAGAGCCAGTGCAGCTTGAGCAATGGTGCCGTGTGAGTGTCGCGCAGCACGCACGGAGCCGCTGGCGATACGTGTCGCTGCCCTCGATGCATGCTCATTGCCCGACCACGCAGACCAGCGCGCTCGCCGCTGCCCGAGGCACGACGCACCCGACCTTCATCCGCAACTACGCGCCCACTGTCACCACCACTAGCTCGACTACCTCGTCAACGATGGGCCCATTCCATCGTTCGCAGTGAGCACCCGGCTCTAGCGCCCTAGAGTCGCGGCGTCACGGCGAACGACAGTCCACGGCTCATCGTTGAGGAGATGCCAGGCCAGTGCCTGTGACGTGAGTCGTATCTCAGGTACCACGAGCTGCCATCTCTGCATCGTCGGCGCTTGCTCATACCGACTCACCGTGCAGATCACCGCGTGACGAGGCCACAATCGGCGACCGAGTCGTGCTCGGCAACTCGCTCGCCCACGCGTCCTCATCGATCGTGGCTCGCTTGGGCTTGACTTCGGCGCGCAGGATGGCCACTGAGAGTCATCCATGGAAGCACGCCCAGACTCATCTGGGCGGTCGCTGCTGTGAATGGTCGCTCTCTGCAGCCTGCGCGCCGAGAGTCTTCCGTGAGCAAGCTCGGCCGTGTGGGCATCGGGTGGCACGGCAAGGTTCTGCAGTACGTCCGCCTGCGTGTGGACGTCGACAGTGCCCGCGTCTGGGGCAGTTTCTATACCGCTGCCGCTCTCGAATCGCGAGAGCGCGCTCCGGGATAGGTTGTGGACCCACACGTCGGATCTGCTCCAGACTCCATATCACAGATGGACGAGGACCACAGCGAGGACACATCGACCGTCCGACCGGCACGCTCGACGGCCGCGCGCACGACGCGGAGGCGAGCGAGATCCTCCCGTCGGCGGGCAGCTCGCAAGCTGCTCACCGGCACGAAGTTCTCGCTTGTGTCGCCTGTGCGCGTCACCTGCGAGCATGACCGTGCGCCGTACTTGAGCATCGGTACGTGCTCGTGTCGACGCTTCCGCAGTAATCAGCTGACACCGCTTCGCTCGCAGTCATTCGCTCATCATCGAGAACGGCACGACTGCTCCGCGTCGCTCCAGCGCCGCTGTGAGGCTGCTCCTTGTCGCAGAAGGTGGACCTCGGCTCAACAGAGGCCGTCCTGCATCTCGCGGTGCAGGACGGCGTCGGTTGTGGTCGTAGTCGTAATCTGCACATGCAAGCGGCCAGCAAGCGACTCGAGGAGCGAGGCGCACAGCGATCCGTGCGATGTTCCCCTCGGTCAGTAGAGCGCATGTTCGGACTCTCGCATTCACTGACTCGAGCCTCGCGCAGCACGTCTTGCTACGGCGACGACGCTACGATGGCTCTGCGCTGAGCGAGCGCTGCGCTTGTTGCCGGTCGCTTCTGAAGAGTTCGAGTACGGTCGATTCCCGCTTCGCCTCAACCTGAGGTGGACCTTGGCGCCGGCAGTCCTCGAACGCTTTCAGATGCGTCTTTGCGGAAGCCAGCGAACGTGCGCGTATCGCCAGGCAACACGGGCAGCGCAGCACAGGTAAGTGCGAGCAGGGACGGAGACGCCTCAGGGATGCCGCAGCTGACGCGAGGATCTCGCAGTGCGCCGCTTGCTGTTGCGGACGAGCGGCTGGCCCGCGTCGCGCAATCGGGCGCTGCCGTCGTTTCCCTCTTCTGCCCGCGTTTCGCCCGGCGATGGAGCTCGTCTCGACCAGGCCTGGTCGAAGTCGTGCGCCATCGCGCGCGGAATCCGGTGCATGCGAGCAGAAAGGAGCAGTGCAGCAATGCTCGCAGAGCGCGCTCGCGCAGCAATCCCGTGCGTACTCGTGCAGTGGATATGCGCAACAGAGAGCTGACGCTCAGTGGTCCACAGCCGCTTCACTCGTCGCGGCGCTTCCACGCCGCACTTTCCCCGCTACCTGATTCTTCTTCCACCTCCTCGCCGCTCTGTCAAGCACCCACGATGGCACGCGTCTTCGCGCAGGCGCGTGCTCTCATCGGTGTACGACGTGAGACGGTGACGAGGTGTTGAGACGTGAGCACAAGCGAGGAAAGCGCCTTGTGCTCTTCGTGCAGCAAGCAGGTGTGTGACCTCGCATCGTCCCACGCATCGGCAGCTGACTCGATCCTCCCGAAGCAGGCCGCGCAGCGCAACGCAAGCCCTGTCTCGCAGATTTTGTGGTACCTTGCTGCCTCGCTTCGTTGGGCCCCCGACGACCGCGCGCACCTACGCCTAGCTGCGCGCCGTCGTCGGGAGTCCCAGTCGAATCTGAGGCAGCAAGGGACTCGCGTTCGAGATCCGCGAAGCGGGCGTGCTGTGTGCAGACAAGCGGTACGTGCGTGCGTGGACTCGCATCAGCCTCAGAAGCTGACGCCGGGACTGCACAGGGGCACTCGCGCATCATCGGTCATTCGTGCTTCGCAAGCTTCTTTGCGGAGATCTTGCTGCCGGGGGCATGTTGGGTCACCCGTCGATGGGCGCGGCTATGTCTAGCTGCGCTCTGTCGTCTGATGGTCCCACCATCCGTTGGCAGCGAAATCTCGCCGAGCAAGCTGCTCCAAGCGCATCGGTCGCGTGCGTGCGGTAAGTGCGAACGTAGAGCGCCCTCCGTCAGCTGCTGATACGTCCCGCTGCACAAGATCGACGACTCATCGTCACGGCCACGACCGCAAATCGCGAGGCCACACGCCTTTCGCGCGTTTCGCCATCACGTCAACTCCTCCCGCGACGGTGGACATCGAGTCCTCGATGTACGCTCTTGCGGCAGGAGCTGCAGTGAGGACGAAAGATCTGGCGAAAAGCTTGTGGCCTTGTGAAGTGTGGCGTCTGCAGTGGAAGGTGCGTGTGCGTGCGCCGCTCCATCCGTCGGCGGCTGACACTGGGCCTCGCCTTTCAGCATGCCGAAACCCACCCGCATGGCCAAACGCGCATGCCGCTCGACCGCGAACTCGCAGACTCGCAGCTTTGCAAGGGCCAAGCGCTCGCTCGTGCGCGGCGCACATCTACGTCTAGCTGTGCGCCACGACTAGCGACGTGTTCCCCTCGCGCAGCAGCGAATCATTGGCTCTTCCGGGCACGCGTCTCGTGGTGCGTCCGTCTGGAGCAATGCACCTTCGAGTCCTGGCTGACGCTCAGCCTCTCGCAGGCCGTTGCCCTTGGGCGAAAGAGCCGGTCGCTCTCGCCCGACCCCTGTCTGCTGTGTTGAAGATCCAGCACAGGCATCGATCGCTAGCTTCGCCGCTGGCGCACGCCTCGATTGAGTCGTGCTCCTTTCTCGAAAGACACGCCCCATGTCTGTGCCAAGACTCCCATCGCCGAGCTGGCCTGCCAGACCGGACATAGCGAAGCACGCGGTATGTGCGCGCCAGTCGTCGGAACCGCATCGACCGCTGACACCGGGCTCTTGCAGTGCTTCGCACTCCCTCGAGAAGCCCCTGACGTCGGACCGCTGCCCGTTGGACACGGCACGGCGCAAGCTTCTGTAACGACGTTCAGCATGTGCTCATGCCTCAGCTGGGGCGTGCGCTCGTGTCGAATACTTGTCTATGAAGACAGCGAAGTGCGGCATTCAGCGAGTGTGCGACGCGATTCTGTGGCAAGGAGGTACGTCCAATCGCGGCCGTCGAGCGCTCATCATCAGCTCACACCGCCTTCCTCCAGCCTCGACACGCCTGCCGCCGCACCGCCAAGCGTGATCGACGCTCTTGATGCGAGCTCGTCTCGGCCGCAAATGACATCGGTGCGCCTCTCAGTCGAGCGGCACACCCTTGTCGCTTTCGTCCCATGTTGTTGCTCGGACTCAAGATCGTCGATTACGCCCAGCGAAGCATCAGTCGATGGCGAGCGGTACGCGTGCCTGCGCCACACACCCAAGCTTACCTGCTCACACGCCCTCTCCCATCACGCAGCTCGCCTCGACGGCCGATCTGCCTCATACTGCTTCGTGAACACCGTGGATGAAGAGTACCTCTTCGCCAGTTAGCATCGAGGCGCTCCTCCGCTGAGGTGCGCCTCGTGCCAACTGGTGACGAGCCTTTTCATCCACGCGCGCTCATCGGAGCGGCTCGCGGCGACGTGCAGTACGTTGGAAGTGCACGTCAGTCGCACCTCAAGCTCACGCGAGCCTCTCACAGCACGCCGCGCGCTCCTCGACATGTCATTTCTCCATCTCGCATCGCCGCGTTGCGAGAGTTGTCGGATCCAGCTGGTCTCGAAGGGCATCAACGCGTCTGCGCTTCTCGATCAGATCGGGGCACGCATTCTTGTTAATGTCTTTGAGATCGCCTGGGTCTCGAACGCTCTCATCGGTACGTCCACGGCGCATGCCGACGATGCAGCTCCGCCGCTCAACCTTTCATCACACTGCAGCCGCACACGAGGTCGGAGAAGCGGCTGCTCTACGTCTTACGACGCCCAGCCCGTCGACGCTCACGGGCATCTGCGCGAATGGTGGGAGCTGCACAGCTGCGCGCCTCTGGAAAGTCTTTCTAGATGTGCGCCGCTGTTAAGCTCCCACCATCTTTCAGATGCCAGGACAGCGTCGGCCAGCGCTTGCCATCGCCGCTCTCCGTCGCGACGCGCCTGTCCCGCCGACGCGCTCCGGCTTCTTCTTGACGCATGTCCTCGTCTTGCAACGGAGCGCATGTAGACACGCGTCTAGATGCGCGCTTGTGCAGGTCGCTCGTCATCGTCGCCACGTAGAAAGTCGTGCACGTCTAGCTGGATGGGCGGATTGCGACACGACGTAGCGAGTGCGGAGGTGAGTGCCTGTAGAGCACCAGCGTCACAGGGCTGCTCAGCCCGCTCACGCACGTCTCTGACAGTTGAGCAAGCCGTGCGATCAAACGTCTGCTCTACGCCCGCCGCACGCTCGGACCTACCGGCGCTTCGCCCTTTCTTTGACTTTTGCCGGGCAGGAGAGGCCACCTACAGACGCACGAGTCTAGACGAAGAACTAGATGGCACTGCTGTAGGAACTTCTCTTCTGCTGTGCAGAAGGCAACGAAGGAGTCCAGCGCCGGTCCGTTCGAGGCTCAAGCGGCGAATGGCAGGTGAGCGTCGCGAGCGCTTCTGCCTCGACATACGCTGATTCTCTCCGACTGCAGCGCCGCCGGCCATGGCTCGCAACGGGCTCGATGCAGTCATACAGCCACTCGCGAGACAGCACCGAATTCGCTACGTCGACGAAAGTGCCGCCTCGAGCCTGGCTCTCGTGATCCTCGAGCTCGACTGTGGCGCCATACGCAGCAGGTGAGCGTCACAAGGCCGTTGGCCGAGTCGCCTCAAACACCGCTGACTCCCACCTCTCGCAGCGCCTCGCTTAATCTAGCAGCGCTGACAGGCCTAATACTGGAGGTTTTGCGCCTCGAGACGGCATCGACTTTGCCGTCGCGGAGCAAGTGCCGCCTCGAGGCGTCATCCTCTTGCCTCAGGCTTGTCGTGTGTCCCCAGACCCACGAGGTGAGTGTCGCAAGCTCGTCGCCCCGACCGCCGTTGACACGCGACTTTGGACAGCGCCTCGCTCCATTCGTAGCAGCGTCGTAGCAGCGTCAAGCTAGATTGGGTCAGACCCCCGTTAATGACTGCACATGCTCCACGCAGAGGATGTGCGACCACGAACGGGCCGATGACTCGGCTTCGAGCTCGCCGCTGCTGCTGTGCAGACCAGGTGGGTGCCTCGAGCTTGCCCTTGTTGCCTGATGCACTGACCCCGGGCTTTGCGCAGCATCTCGCTCCCCCGGCCGCCGCGGCGCGCTTGTTTCGCGAGGGATAAAAGCTCGAGGCCGCACAGACGTCGCCACGCCGGCGGACTGCTGCCTCGAGCTTTCAGATCGCTCGACCTCAAGCTCGCCGTGATCGACCTCGCTCGGGCAGAACAGGATCGCGTGAGTGTCTTGAGCATGTCACAGGCGGCGTCATGCCCGCTGACACCCGATCTCACGCAGCGCCTCGCTCACTTCTCGGTGGAAGCGAGCTCGAGTGGTGGGCACGACTGCCGAGAGCGCGCAGACGTCGCCACGTCGACGAACTGCGGCCTCGAGCTGTCATAGACCTGCCAGTCGAGCTCGTCTGCACCGACCGGTCAGGCTAGGATCGTGCGGACCACGTGAGTCTCACGAGCTGACCAGCCTCGTCCGCCATACTCATGCACCGTCTTCCGCAGACGCCTTGCTCCTTCGAGGACTGCCGTGATCTCCTGGAGTGCGCTGTCACTGCCGGAACCGCCCTGGCTCGCCGTGCAGCGAGCCACGGCTTCCTCGGGCTGTTATGCGCACCTCCAGAAGATCATCGTGGTGTTCCATGTAGCAGCTCAGCCTCATGCCGACCAGGTGAGTGTTGCGAGCTCCTCGGCACTCGCCATGTGCACTGACGTCCGGCCTCTCGCAGCGCCCGTGCTGCACCGCGTATCCCGATGAGCGCGAAGGGCCGTCTAGACATTCCGAGTCCGCCCCGCCGTCGCCACTGCGACGACCGTGTGCCGCCTCGGAGCGCCGCACATTGCCTCTTCGCGCATTACGCGATACGGGTTGCTTTAGTGCGCTGTTCAGCTCCAGGTCCTTCCCCTCTCTCTGGCTTCGTGCACTGTGCTCTCGCTGTCGACCTCCTGTCAATGCTAGTGGCTTGCCTCTCCCGTCTCCTTTCTTCGCGCACTTGTGACTCGTGGTCCGTGCGGCGCATTGATCGCTACCGGCCAGAACTCATCTCACCCTTCAGCCTCGTCTCGTGTGCGTCTCGTGCTCTCCTGGCCTCATCCTATCGTGCAGTGCTGCGCATGCATTGCCCGATCCCCCGCCCTTCTTGTCTCAGGTCTTCCGGCCTCTCCCCTCCAATGCCTCCCTGAAGTCCTTTGGCAGCTCGCACTTGCTCAGCTTGCGGTAGTCGTACGACACGCACCCCTGCTCGGCCGTCGCGACGACGGCGCGCTGCTGGAGGCTGTACAGCGCCGCGCGCAGGTTGAAGCGGTCCGTGCCCAGCGGCAGGTCGGGCGCGGAGCCGATGAGCAGCTGAGAGGGGGAAGTCAGCAGGAGCACAGAGGGGGTGTACGGGAGATGCAACGTGAGGAGAAGCAGGCAGAACGTACAGTGTCCGGATAGCTGCGTCGGAGGGCCAAGAAGCTTGCGTCAGCCCACACCCGGTCATTCGCAGTGTGCCTCGCCTATCTGCTCGCTCTCTCCATCTGCCTCTCTTGCTCCTCTCTCTCTCTCTCGCATCTTGAAGGAAAACTCACACGACGGGCCGGCGGTAGCGCACGCTGATGCTGCCCAGAATCATGCTTTCGCCCGAGCCGCGCACAATGTCGGCCTGCCGCTGCGGCGGCAGGTCGCGCGCGACAACCTCGGCGAAGCGCATGCGCGCCGACTCGATCTGTTGCGCGGCGGGCGCTCGTTAGGGAAAAGAGGAAAGGGAGGAGGCAAGGGCAGGTTGCTGGGACGTACGAAGCGGACGTAGTGACAATTGTTCACTTTTGGCTCTCGGTCAGCTTACACGCCCGCATCGTGCTCCAACGGCGCAGGCTTACCGTGCTGGAACTGCTCGCACCATGCGCGTCTCAGTTGAGCATCCCTGATGATTGCGCAAGAGGCGGGCGGCAAAGCCAGACTCACCGCATCATGGTCGCCCCAGCAGATGCGCTGCTCCCAGAGCGACTCGGCGTCGTACCCCGCGGCGACGAGCTCGCGCTTGGCGTGCTCGAGCGCGGCGGCGTGCGCCGAGGCCTCGGCGGCGGACACGGCCGAGGAGGAGGGCGCGGGCTGCGCGGCAGCGGAGAAGCGAGAGGCGCTGCTGCTGAAGGCGCGGCGCGCACGCAAGACCGGCAGCGCGCTGCTGCGCTGCAGAAGAGACAGCATCGAGGCGAGTGTAAGAAAGGCGTGGGGGTGGTGGACCGGAGCAATGGCGCGCCGGATGCGAGTGCGGCAGGCGCCCCATCGCTGCTCCACCCCCGCAAGGACGCAACGGAAGCAGCGGCTTCAAGTTCTCGGCCCGCTCGCTGCCGATTGCGCCGAGGCGACTCGCGTCACGTGCCAGCACGAGCCATGCTTCTCGCCGCGCTCACATGCCTCCTCCCCCCCCCTCTCTCGCCACCCTGAGTGGCCGAGGCCGACGGGTCAAGCCCCCTCGCCGCCTCACGTTTGCGTCACGCGAGCGCAGCGCGTGTCCGACCAACACGCACACGCACACGCGCATGCCGCACGCACGCACGGCCGCGGCGGGCGCAACACCGCCTCGCTCGCTCGAGGGCTGGGGCGAGGTTCGCGCGCCTGTTGCGTACGAGGCGGACCCCCCCCCCCCCCCTGACAGTCGAGGGCGCACGCGTAGGACGGAAGAGGCGCTCCGTCGGGCAGGCCCAAAGCGAAGCCGGGCGGAAGCTGTCGCCTGCGATGCATGAGGGGTGCTGTGATGGACGCGGCGCCGACGCGAGGCGGTGCCCTGCCGACGTCGGCAAGCGTCAGAGGGAGGAGGGCGCGTGCGAGGCACCCCCAGATGCACACATGCGAGGCGCGGGCGGCGGCGCAGCGAGATGCGGCAGCACGCGGCAAAGACGCCGAGCGGCGTCACGGCGCTCTGCGTGGCTGAGATGAGGCTGGGCAGGCAGGCATGCGAGGCTCGGCAATGGCATCGGCACGGCCGACGGCGAGGTCGCGTGAGCACGCAGCATGAGCCAGCATCAGCGCTGCCAGCAGCATGCCCATGCAGCACCAGCAGCGAGCTGCAGCTGCAGCGTGACGGAGCGAGCGTCGGGCGGCGTCGCTGTCCCGCGGCGCGCAGGAGAGGGGCAGTCGAGCGTGAGAGCGGCGTGGGGCGGCACCGGCGGGGCGACGTGGCGCAGCGCTGCCGCTGGCGCACAAAGACAAGGCGCGGCAGGCTCCCTCCGCCCTTGCTCCACCTGCGACTCGTTCTTCCGCTCCACCACCATCCCTGCGCTGCCATGTCCTCGCCCCCTGCAGCACACGCTGCGGCGCACGCCCAGGCCGTCGCGCTGGCGGCCGCCGCACATGCGCAGGCACACGCCGCCGCCGCCCGCGCCGCCGGTGCGCCGGCGCCGGCTGCCAGTGCGGCCGGCGCCAGTGTGCAGCGCGCCGTCAGCGTCAAGGCGCCTCCTCCTTCCTCGCTGCCGCAGCACGTACCACAATCAGCACCACAGCTGCAGCGCGACGACGACGTCCTCTCCTCGCCCGACTCGCTCGACGCCTCCGACGACGACGTCCTCTCGGCGGGCACGCGCGCCACGTCGCCCGCACCCACCAGTCCGACGCCCGGCTCGCCGCGGCGCGTCGCCGCCGCACCCACGCCGCTCGCCGCCGGCGCCGCGGCGCTCACGCCCACGCCGCGCTCCGCCAAGCCCGCACCCGCCGCGGAGCCGCGCGCCGCAGGCAGCGGCGAGCCGCGGGCCGCGCGCTCGACGGTGCGGCGCTCCGCTCCGGGCACGCCCTCCATGTCGCGCAGCACCTCACTCTCCCTCGGCGCGCCCTTGCCCAACGTCCTCGCCTCCGCACACGGCCTGCCCGCCGACGCGCGCGAGGCCAGCACGCTCTCGACGCTCTTCGTGCACAAGCCGGCGCAGTCGCCCGCCGACGAGATCGGGCAGCCGCTCTTTCCCGTGGCCGCGCTGCACTCGGCGTCGCGCCCCGTCACGCGGCCCACGAGCCCGAGCCGCAGTCCGGCCGCCTCGCCGGCGCCGCCGCGAGGCCTGCGCTCGCCGGCGCCGCCGCAGCTGGCGGGCGAGGAGGCCATCTTTGAGCGCGACATTGAGCATCGCGATGCGCATGCCCTCACGGCGGCCGAGGTGATTGACGTGGCGGTGCCGCCCGTGCTGGACGATGCGGTGGAGGCGCTGACGGAGGGAGATCCGAGCGTGAGTGTGTGCTGCGCCGGCTCTTCTTGCGCTTCAGCCATGGCTGACCCGCGCCTCTTGCCTGCCAGTCGTTCGAAATCGTAGCGCCCGCCTCTTCCTCGCCCATCGCCCTCTCCGTCTCCGCGCTGTCCGCACACAACACGCACGGCACCTCGTCGCCCGCCATGTCCGACGTGGGCCCCGCGGGCTCGCTGGCCGCGCAGCTGGCGGAGCGCTTCTCTCTCGACGGCGCCAGCAGCAGCGTTGCCGGCACGTCGCCGCCGGGACGGCGCGCCGTCAGCGGCCACCGCCGTCCGCACTCGGACGCGAGCAGCATCAGTGTCGGTGCGGCGCCGCTGCCGGCATCAGCAGGAGGCGCGGGCATGCAGCAGGTGCTCGACTCGAGCGCCGATCCGCTCGGCATGGCCATGATCCCCGGCGGCCTGCTGTTCGGCAACGCTGCAGCTGCCTCTGCCACCGCCGGCACGGCAACGGGCACCGGCTCGGCCTCGCGTTCCGTCTCGCGCGGCGGCGGCGGTCCTTCTGCCTCGCCTCCCACCGCCAACGCCGGCATGAGTGGCCTCTCTCTTCCCGATCCCTTTCGCGGCTCCTCTCCCGGGCCGTCGTACGCCGCACTGCCCGACGTCGGCCTCTCGCCGGCCCAGGCGCAGCTGGGTGCCGTGGCGAGCAGCTCGAGCAGCGTCAGCATGGACGGCGCCATCATGGCGCCCTCGACGTCTGCCACGGCCAACGCCTCGCTCGGCGTGCTTGCGGACGCCCTCAACGAGCCGACGCCCGCCTCGCCGTACACCGCACGCGAGCACGCGCATGCCGATGCCTCGACGAGCGGCAGCGGCGGCGGCGGCGCCGCGACGGCGGCGGGCAGCCAGCGCACGAGCCTGGCAGCGCCGGGCTGGCACCCCACGACGCAGAGCCGCTCGATGGACGGCATTCCCGGGCACACGATGCCCGGCGGGCTGCCGCCCACGCCGGCGCTCATGACGCCGGGCGAGATGCCTGCGCCGCCCGCCGCGCTCGAGGCGCCTGCGGCCGCGGCAGGGGGCGCCTCGACGACGAGCTCGCCGGCGCCGAAGCGCCTCTCCTTCTTCTCGTACTCGGACATTCTCAACCACGCGCCCGGGCACGTGCTGGACTTTGACGGCGCCGTGCGCGCCAGCCAGTCGATGGACGACGAGGCGCATGCGCATGCACATGCACATGCGCACGGCGCGGCGACGGGAGCGCAGGCACTGGGCCTGGGCATTGCGGCAGGCGGCGCGGGCGCAGCAGAACAGAGGAGGACGTCGCACACGACGAGCGGCACGGGCGGCACGAGTGGCACGGAACGCACGGCGAGAGCCAGTGGCGAGGCGCTGCGATGATGGGTTGGCACCACCCTGTGCCTACTCGGCGCCCAGGCAACTCTGCCTTGCTCCCGTCTCCTCTTTCCCTCTCGTGCCCCTCTGACTGCCCCATCCCTCTCTCTCGCCGCCTGCTCCACTTCCGCAAGCTCCTCGTTCTTCCAGCGGGATGCCCGCCACGCCCCCGCCCCGCCCTCGTCCCCCTGACACGCTCCCCCCCACTCCTAGTCTCTGTTCCACACGTGGGCTGCGCCAATGATCATCTGAGTCACCGGTCTCTTCCCCTTTGGCGACGCTCAGCATGTGTGTGGGGGCGACGTGGACAATGCTGGGCCGTGCACCACGCTGGGCGGCCAGAGAACGCCGAGGGCGGTGTGCAGAGAGAGAAAGAGACAGAAGCAGACTCGACTGGCAGACAGAGAGCGCGCGCGCGGCTCGAGATGGGCAGCACGCTGCCTCAGGAAGGGGCCGCTCGACAGGGATGCGAAGGCTTCGCACCGACTGCCGCGTGCCTGTGGCAAGCCTTGCTGAGGCTCGGCTGCATTGCCGGGACCCTGCTGCCGCTTCGGAGGGCGCAGGGGCGGAGTAAGTAGCCCTCTCTGCGCGAGAGCATGGCGCACGCCTACGCTCGGCTCGGCGTCCTCGGCGAGCTCGCCGGGCCGACGCGAAGGCGCGCGTGCGTGCAGCGGAGCAGCGCTGCCGGCGGGAGCGATGTGCGCTGGCACGGCACTCGGCTCTCGGTCGCCTCCTTGCCTGATGCTGGCCTTGGCGGCCTGCTGCGCCAGAGAAGAGCCTCAGCGCTGGCGGCTGGCGTTGGGGGCACGCTCGGCGCGCGCGGCGCCCGGCCCAGCGGCGGGCCGGAGGCACGGCACTCGGCGTCAAGCCTTCGCGCTTCTTGCCTCTCTCTGCGTGCGGGCGTGGCTGGGCAGCCCACAGGAAGAAGCGGCTGGGGCGCCGGCGCTCGGGGCCGTCGGAGGCATGGGAGCCGAGCAGCGCCCTTGCTTTGCTTTGCTTTGCCCGACGCCGGCGCGACAGCTCTCAGGCACGGCGCACGAGGCTTGGCTGGCAGGCGGCGAGACGTCGCGCGTGCGCCGGCAGCCGGCTGACACGACGAGCCGGAGCGGGCGGAGGGCAAGGCAGGCAGCTGAGCAGTGTGCGCGCGTCGGTGGCCGCCCGCCCGCGCGCCAGGCCGGACGCCTGCGGTGGCGCCGCGCCGCGCCGCGCCTCTTCCCCGCACCCCGCACTGAGCTGCACCCTCGTCACCCCAACCACCATCCATCGCACAGCACGCAGCCATGGCCGACCAGTCGCACATCATCGTCACCGAGGGCATCCTGCCCGCCGGCACGTGGGCCTTTGTCGCCGACCGCTTCTCGCCGTTTGCAAAGGAGACGCTCGCCAAGCTCGTGCGCTTCGTGCAGGTGCGTGGCGGCGTGTGCGGCAGCCGCGGCAGCGCCATGCTCATCCTGCTCCCCAGGACGAGTGCATGCCCGCCGAGGAGCTCTACCACGCCCAGGTCGAAAAGGGCGCCAAGCGCTGGCAGGTCATTCCGCCCGTCATCGAGGACCTGAAGCGGCGCGCCAAGCAGCTCGGCCTCTGGAATCTCTTCCTCAGCAAGCGCCACTACCCCGAGTGGGGCACCGACCTCACCAACCTCGAGTACGGCGTCATGGCCGAGGTCATGGGCCGCGCCGGCCACTTTGCCAGCGAGGCGTGCAACTGCGCCGCGCCCGACACGGGCAACATGGGTGCGTGTGCGCTGGCACGCGTGCGGCTGTGCGGCGCGCTGACCCGTCTCGCGCAGAGGTGCTGGCCAAGTACGGCAACAAGGAGCAGCAGGAGCAGTGGCTCAAGCCGCTGCTCGCCGGCGAGATCCGCTCGTGAGTCGAGGCTCGTCTGCTGTGCGGCGCCAGCGCGCAATCACTCACCCCGTCGTGCTGCTTGCGCCAGCTCGTTCGCCATGACGGAGCGCTTCGTCGCCTCGTCCGACGCCACCAACATCCGCACGTCGCTGCGGCAAGAGGGCGACGAGATTGTCATCAACGGGCACAAGTGGTGGATCTCGGGCGCGGGCGACCCGCGCTGCGCCGTGCACCTGCTCATGGGCAAGCACGACCCCGACAACCCGAACCGCCACGCGCAGCAGAGCATGGTCATCGTCCCCGCCAACGCGCCCGGCGTCAAGGTCGTGCGCGCGATGCAGGTGTTTGGCGACGACGATGCGCCCGAGGGCCACATGGAGGTCATCTATGAGAATGTGCGCGTGCCGCTCAAGAATCTGCTCGTGGGCTGGGGCAAGGGCTTCGAGATCATCCAGGGCCGTCTGGGACCTGGTCGCATCCACCACTGCATGTGCGTTCGCCTCTCTTCTTGCCCCCTCTCATCACGCCACGCTCACCTTTGCTTGCTTGCAGGCGCTCCATCGGCACGGCCGAGCGCGCCCTCGAGCTCATGCTGCGCCGCGTCACCGACCCGCGCAAGACGACGTTTGGCAAGATGCTCTCCGAGCACGGCACCATCGTCGCCGACATTGCGCGCTGCCGCATGGAGATTGACGCCGGGCGCCTGCTGGTGCTCAGCGCCGCAAACATGATTGACCAGGTGGGCGCAAAGGGCGCGCTGCGCGACATTGCATACGCCAAGGTGAGTTGCGCGTGAGGCATCTCGCACCCTTTGCGGCGCCGAGGCTGACTCTCCTGCACACAGGTCATGGTGCCCAACATGGCGCTCGCCGTGCTCGACCGCGCCATGCAGGCGCACGGCGCAGAGGGCATCTGCCAGGACACGATGCTGGCGGCCGCGTGGGCAGGCCTGCGCACGCTGCGCTACGCCGACGGGCCCGACGAGGTGCACATGCAGCAGCAGGGCAAGATTGAGCTGCGCCGCGCGCCGGCGCTCTGGGAGCGCCAGAAGCAGCTCGAGGCCAAGCGCGACCAGCTGTTCAAGCAGTACGGCACGCCGCGCGCTCACATCTAGGTGGCGCGGCGTCCCCGTCTTGGAGTGATCCCCTGCATGTTCCTTCACACCACGCCCACCCCCACACACACCAGCATCTTCGACGTGTCCCTGTCCTCGTTCCTGTCTCTTCTCGTCATGAAACGTCCTTGATTCTCTCTCGCACCTCTCGTCGTGCCTCCTGAGTCGGTCTGCGGGCTCAGCGACGCAAGCTGCGCACGCCAGCGCCCGCGTCGCCCAGTGCGCCATGCGCCTCGAGCGCGCGCAGCTCGCGTCTGTACGCGTCTGCCTGCGCGTCTGCCGCGCGCGCAGAGCCGTCGCTGTCGGCCGCCAAGGCCTCGTTGCCGCTCGCCGTGCGGCTGGCACTTGCGGCGGCCGAGGCGCGCGCTTGACCGCGCCGCCGCTGGTGGGGGGAGTGAGCGAGAGAGCCCAGGGGGGTGGCATGGAGCGAGGCCAGCCTTTCGAGGAGGGAGCCAGCGCAGCATGCGGAGAGCCCGCAGCGGCCACTCTGGGCACAACAACACCACAACTCACGAAACGCTCCTGCAGGGCCCGACTGTGCGCCAGGCGCTCCGCGGCTGCCGTCTCGCGCCGCTGCGCTGCGCCGGCGGCGCCGACGGCGTGCTGTGCGTGCGTGGGGTGCGCCGCTGCGTCTGCTGGCGGCGTAGCGAGAGCGGCGGCGCTGTGGCTGTCTGACGACGAGGCACTCGCTGCGGCGCCATGCATCGCCCCGCCGTGCTCGTCTTGCTGCTCGGAGCGCCGCCGCCGGGGCACGCTGCCCTCTGGCGCGCCGCCGGCCGGCGACGCACTGCGCCGTGCCGCCGGGCGTGCTGCCTGCGCGGCACTGCTGCTGCCCGCCGCAGCCGCCGCCGCCATCGTCGAGCCGCAAGGCGGACTTGGCGCCGTGTCTGCGGCGCTTGCCGCCGGCTGTGCGCCACGCTGCTGCTGCTGCTGCGCGGCGAAGCGCGCCAGGAAGGAGCCATCGTGGTCGAACGCTTGTGACAGCGGGGGGGGGGGGGGGGCAGCGAGGCGTCAGCGCATGCCTGTGCTGCACATGCGCCCTGCACGGGCGCCGCGAGGCTGGGTAGAAGCACCGTTTGTGCGGGCGCCGGGCGGCATGGCTGCGCTGCGCTGCAGGCGGAGGATGTGGAGGAGAAGCAAGCTCGAGGCCGCTGCGACGCGACTCCCGCGCCAAAAGCAAAGCCACGTCGGCGCGCTCGGGCCTCGCAGAGCAAGCAAGCCACACGCGACATGCGGCGGCGCGCGCGGCTTCCTCTCCCGCCCTCACCTTCTCGCTCCGCCGCCGCCGCCGCCGCCATGGCCATTCTGCGCACCATGCTCTCGCCTCTGGCGCCGAGCTTCTGGTACCGCAAGCGGCCCGCGACCGACTACGACGTCGTCCTCGCGCGCCTCAGCGCCGACATCGACGCCGCACAGACGCACCTGGCGCGCGTGCGCCAGCGCGCCCGCCGCGCCAGTGTCGCGTGGACGCTCTGGGCCGCCGTGCTCTGGCTGGCGTATGCGGGCGCCTGCTGGGCCATGCACCCCGTGGCGAGTGATGCGCGCACGATGGCCGCGCTCGTCTATGCGCCCATCACGCTCGTGCCCGTCTTGTGAGTGTGCGGCGACGTGCCGGGCAGAGGCGAGGAGTGGCGATGCTGGTGGGCACCAACGCACGGCGCGCCCAGTTGGCAGAGCGGAGAGGAGGAGCGAAGCACTGCCGACCGCACAGGCGGCTGCCGCGCAGCCTTCGCGGGCGCTCAACGCTCTGCTCCTGCGCGCTTGTCTGCCGCACATCAGAGAGGCAGCTTGCCCCTCCCGCGGTGCAGGCCGTGAGTTGTCGTCAGGCATGACGTGCTTCTCGTTCGGCCTCCGTTCTGAGCGCCGCCTCCGCCCTTCCGTGTGCCTCAAGTCGTGGCGCGCCCGTCTAGCGCTGACCGCTCGCTTCTTCTCTCCACAGCCTCTACTTTCTCCGCCGCATCGTCAGCTGGTGGTACCGGCGCATCGCCACAGCCGAGGGTCAGTCATTCTGTTCTTTGCATCTGCTTCTTCGTCCGGGCTCACCTCTGTTCTTCTCCCACAGAGCTGCATCTGCGCACGCTGCAGCGCGAGCGCCAAGCCAAGATCGACGAGATCAAACGTGCGACAAAGTACGACTCGCTGCGTCTGCTGCTGGAGAAGTACGACGACTCGCCGGAAGCGCGAAAGGGACGCATGGCCGCCGCTGGCGCGCAGACGCCCCAGACAAAGGCGCAGTTGCTGCAGCAGCAGAAGGCCGCCGCTGCGGCCAAGTCGCCAAACAGCAAGCAGGGCGCCGAGTTCCAGGGCAAAGGCGCACAAGCTGCAGCTCAGCAAGCTCAGCGCGGCGCACTCGCAGCAGGAGCGCCTGGCGCCAGTCCAGTGGCAGCGCAGCTGGCGGCGCAGGCGATGCCGCGCACCTGGCTGGACCGCGTGGCAGATGCAGTGCTGGGCGCGGATGGCGAGGCCAACAAGGTGACGCCGGACGAGCAGAAGTATGCGTTGATCTGCAGAGAGTGCCGGTCGCACAACGGCCTGTGCCACAAGAGCGAGTGGGACGAAGTCCGTGAGTTGCGCCCGTCGGCTCTTTGTACACTCGGCTTTGCCTCCTGCGCACTCACTGACGCGCCACGACTCGCAGAGTACATCTGTCCCAAGTGCGGCGCCTTCAACTCTCGTCGTCCCTCGAGCGCGCCCATCTCCTCGCCGTGGGCCTCCACGACTCAGCGCCGCCAAGGCTCGGCGGCCTCGACGCCCGCGTCGCCGCTGGCTTCGTCGCGCATCGGCGCGCATGCGCCGCAGGGCGAGGAGATGCGGGAGCTGCGTGGCGCGCAGACGGCAGAGGAGAAGCAGGGGCAAGAGGCGCAGCGAGAGACGGACACGGAGGAGGACAACGCACCGCCCACGATGCCGTTGCGCGCTGGAGCGTCGCCCGCCGGCTCGCAGGAGGGCAGTCCGAAGCGCAAGGGCCTGCGTGCTCGTCGATCTGCAGCTGCTGACAGTGCAGAGGCGATGGAGATGGACTAAGGCAGGGTCGCGGCATCAGTGGCAAAGGGCCCAGAGACGAAGTCACACAAATCACACGCACACATGCACACAGCACACATCACCTCTTCTGCACGCCTCAGAGTCACGCCCGAGCATGAGTGCGACGCACACGACGCATTGATTAGGCGGGTTGGTGGCAGGTGGTATCGAGCGAAGGTATGATGCGTCACGGCGTCTAAGGTCTGGCGGGCGGGCTTCTCGCGCCGCCCAGATGGGCGCTCAGCGCACCCCAGGCGCCCGTATGCAGTCCGCCGACGACGCCCATGAAGCTGCCTCTGCCCACGCCTCCGGGGCGCGTCGGCGGCCGAGTCTCCTCTTTCGCTCGCTGCGCGAGGAACGCGTCGCGCGTGAGCGTGAGGGTGCCGCAGAGCTCGCCGGCGGAGGAGGCGAGTGCGCCGGCGAGCGAGACGCCGCTCCAGGCAAAGGCGACGGGAGAGAGGGGAATGCACGTGGGCAGCGTGTGGTCGTTGAGCACACGCAGATGCGGCAGCAGAGAGCAGAGGGGCGCCCAGCGATCGCCGGTGAGCTTGGAGGAGAGCGAGGAGGCGGCAGGCAGGACCATCGCTCTGCTGCCGCCATCGCCGCCCGCGGCCGACGCGGCCTCGCTGCTGTCGCCCTGCTGCTGCGGCTGCACGTCGAGCAACGCTCTGCGTCTTGCTTCCCGCTCCTCGCGCGACGCCAGCGCGCCGACGCGCGTCTGGCTCAGCGCCGGCTGCTGTTGCATGCCTGCTGCGCGCTCAGAGGCGCCAGCAGCTACGCGCTCGAGCGCGGCCTCGAGCTCGAGCCTCAGTCGATGGGCCAGGTCCGGAAGGGAGCAGAGACCGCCTACGACGAGAATGTTGGATGCGAGAGGCCGTCTCAGGTCGATGGGCAGCTGACGATGGGCTGTCAGCTTTCGCGGTGCCAGGCAAAATACACTGCAGCCATGACTTACGTGGAGCAACAACTCCAGCACCGCCTCCACTAGGCTTGCCTCATCCTCATCGCCCTTCTCAAACAGCACCTCTGCCGCACGCTCGCGCACCCAGCCCGGCAGCACGAGCGTGCCCAGGCTCGGGCTCGCCGCAGCCACGAGTGCGCCCAGCGTGGCAGGCGCACTGCGCTCGGCGTGCGGCTCGAGCTTGGGCGGCGCGCGCAGCGGGTAGAGCATGGCTTTGGCGCGTGAGGATGCGGCGAAGGAGGCGTGCTGCTGAGCGAGCAGCGCGTCGACATCGAAAATGTCAGGTGCTTGCGGTGGAGCAGTCGATCCTGGAGGAGGAACGAGCAGCCATCGATCGAGAATGTCGTCCAGAACAGCCGGCGAGAGCATCTCCTCCTTGACCGGCCCCGTGCGAGACCTGCGCGAGGCACTCGCAGGCGTGGCAGCGACATGCTTGCCGAAACGCAGCAGCAGCAGCTTCAATCGGCCCACAACTGAACGTCGCGAGCGCGTAGAGCTCATGAGACGATACGGCAGATGCAGGCTCCCGAGCTCTGCCACGGCGGCAAAGCGCGTCTCGCTGGCGCCGATGTCGACGACGAGCGCGGCGCGCCGGCCGGCAGCAAGCGTGCATGCCGAGGCGTGTGGGATGAAGGAGAGGATGCGGACGTTGAGGTTGAGCAGCAGCACGGAGGCGAGCGTGTCGCGCGCGGCGTGCGACGTGAGGGCGTTGGTGACGAGCAGCACGGCACGGCCTTTTGGGTCGATGAGCAGGCGTCTGTGGATGCTGTGAGCACGCGCCAAGAGCGTGCGTGGCCCTCTTGCACTCACTCGAGCAGCAGGAAGCGCAAGAGCCTCGTGGCCTCCTCCTCGAGGCGCAGCTCGTGCGCCCTGCGCTGCGCCGGCGTGCGACACGCACTCCACACGTCGGGCGCAAAGAGCGCCGCTGCGGCCGCGGGCGTCGGCAGCGAGAAGCGCGGCGCCGCCTCGCCGCTGAAGCCGGTGCGGCAGAGGCGCACGCCGAGATCCAGCACGATGCTGTCGCCCGCCAGGGCGCCGCTGCTGCTGCTGCTGCCGGCCGCGGCGCCGCCCGCTGCGAGCGAGGCGGGTGCGGCGCGGCGCAGCGTGCTGCCGCTGGCGCCGCTGCTGCTGCTCGCCGTCGGCGCGGCGCTGCTGCGCACGCCGGCGCGCGTGCGGCTGCCGCTGAGCCCGAGCGAGAGACTGGCCATGCTAGAGGATGAGGTGTGTGTGAGAGAGAGGCACGGCTGCGAGGTGCGCGCAAGCACAGGTAGCCCAGGCGGCGTCGGGACTCGGCGAGAACGCAGCGAGGCGTCCGAGAGACGTCCGTGCGGGCGCATCGCGCCGGGAGTCGCGCGCCGCCGCCGCCAGAGCGAGACCAACACTTGGCCGCGACGCGGCGCGCCTCGAGCCTGCTTCCCACCTCCACTCCTCCTCTCGCTTGCGTCCCACCTCCACTCCTCCTCTCGCTCGGCGTCCCAGCCATGGAGCCCGGCCCCTCGCAGCGCGCCGCTCCAGGCCGCCTCGGCGCACACCCGCGCTTCTCCCTCTCCACCGACGACGCCTCCACCTCCGACTCGGCCCTCGGCGCCGCCTACACGCCCACCGGCGCCGGCGCCCGCCGCAACGGCGCCGCCGCGCCCGGCCCGCTGCTCACCGCCGCCGTGGGTGCCAGTGCGCCGCGGCGCAACCTCTTCTCGCACATGCGCGCCGCCGAGGCCCCGGCGCCGCGCCGCGCCCCGCCAGCCGCGGCGCGCCAGAGCCTCGAGTCGGCCGCCGACTCGTCGGGCTGGGGCTCGCCGCGCGGCGCCTTCCTGCCTGCGCCGCTGCGCTTCGGGCCTTCCGCAGCGGCGGCAAGCGCGAGCGCCGAGAGTCCGCTGGCGCGCGGTCGCCCAGCGGCGCCGCTGCTGCCGCCGCAGCCGCCGAGCGCGCTCAATGCCGACGGCAGCTTCAACGTCGTGGGCGACGACGACGCCGACGGCAGCGGGCTCATGGGCTTCAGCGCCGCGCTGCTGCCGCCGAGGGAACAGCGGCTGCGGCATGACGCGCGAGCCCCCGGACCGCCGCCGGCGCCACGCAAGGGCAAGACGCGCGAGACGCGCCGCGAGGAGCTGCTGCCGGCGGCGGCGCAGCGGCAACCTGTGCCGCCAGCGGCCGCGGCGGAGGAGAGCATGGCGTCCATCATCATCCATTCCGAGGGCGATGAGGAGGCCGACGGCGCAGTGCAGGAGCCGGCGCTCGACGACGAAGGAGGGCGGCAGAGACGCCTGCTGGCGCGCATGCGCCTCTGGCGGGAAGATGCGGCCAATCACTTCCTCTTCGACACGGCCATCTTCTGGGGCGACAAGGTGTTGTGTCTGGAGAGTGAGTGGCGCATGTGGTGCGCCCGCCGCGAAGGGTGCAGTGGCTGATGCCGCGCTCGTGTAGCCGGCCAGACAGCGTGGAACGACGCCTACCATCTGGCCAAGTCCTACTTTCTCTCGCATCGCTATGCGCAGGCCGAGCATCTCCTCACGACGCCTCTGCGCTTCGGCTCTTCCTCACGGCGCAGCGCCGCGCATGCAGATGTCGCCGCGTCGGCCGAGGTGGACCCGCTGGCAGCTGCGCTGGCCGCGACGCGCAGCAACAGCCAGCTGCCGAGCGCCATGCTGGCGCGTGCCGCCGCGCCGGGCGTACAGGCTGGCGTGCCGGCTGCCGAGTGGCGCGGTGCACACGAGGCGGCGCAGCTGGCCGAGGCGAGTGCGCCGATGCAGCGCGGCCTGTCGGCCAATGGCAAGCGCAAGGAGCGGGGCTTTACTGTCAGCGGCACTGGCACCGGCAGCGAGTCGTCGGGCGCCAACGATGAGGAAGAAGAGCAGCGTAGCTCGCAACGCTTCAAATGGGCGGAAGAGCAGCGAGAGACGCTGGCGGATTTGCGCACGGAGATGCCGCCGCCCGATGGACCGAGTCTGGTCACGCAGAGCAGCGTGTGTAGATGGCTTGCGGCACAGTGCATGGTGCGGCAAGGCAAGCTGTACGAGGCGCTGGACACGCTCAGTGGCGGCAAGGACGATGCGCAGGAGGTCGAAGGTGAGTCGACGTGCTGCCTCTCTTGCACAGCTCTGCCGCTCACGCCGCACTGCAGAGCGGCACGGCATCAAGGCACCCGCAGCAGACGGCGGCATCAAGCTCTCGTCGTCCAAGTGGTTCCTGCGCGGGCAGATCCATCTGCGTCTCGACGACAGCGAGGCCGCGACACAAGCCTTCATGCGCGCCCTGGCACTCGACGTCAAGAACTACGACGCCTTCTGCGCGCTCGTTGAAGGGCGCCTACTCGGCGCGGCAGAGCAGTGGAACTTTGTGCGGGCGCTCGAATACGTGGCGCAAGCCGGCGAGGCAGAGGAGGCCAAGGAAGGGCATGAGCTCATTCGCCTGCTCTACACTTCTCGTCTCGACAAGGAGGGCGCGATGCATGCGGCCGCCGCCTCTGCGGCGCGCCGCACACTGCTGGAGCAGTACGACCTCTCGCAGAACGCCGACGTGCTGCTCGGCCTGGCCGAGGAGCTCTTTGCGCGCCTGCGCTTCGAGGATGCACACGTCGTCACGAGCCGCATCCTCTCGCTGCGCATCGACCACGAAGCGACACTGCCGCTGCACATTGCCGTGCTCTTCCATCTCCCCGCGCAACGGCCCGCCCTCTTCCTCCTCGCACACCATCTCTCCGACACGGAGCCGAGTCTGCCTGCGTCGTGGTACGCCGTGGGCATGTGGTATGCCGTGGCGCAGCGCTGGGCCGAGGCGCGGCGCTTCTTCAGCAAGGCCGTGCATCTCGATCCGCGCTTCTGTGCCGCATGGATCGCCTTTGCCCACTCCTTTGCCCTTGAGGGCGAGACAGAGCAGGCGGTGACGAGCTACAGCACGGCGGCGCGCCACTTTCCGCAGAGCCACATGCCCAAGCTCTTCATTGGCATGGAGTACATCGCCCAGGGCAACCTGCTGCTCGCCAAGCTCTTCCTCGAGGGCAGCCATGCGCTCTTCGAGCATGATCCGCTCTGCTTCAACGAGCGGGGCGTCGTGGCGTTCTACGAGAAGGAGTGCGTCTGCTTGCGCCCATCACCGCCGCGCCAGGCTCGCGCAGCTGCTGACGTCGCCCTTGCAGCTACGAGTCGGCGATCACTCACTTTCGCACGGCACTGGAGCTGGCGCACGAGACGCAAGAGCCAGCGACGGCGTGGGTGGCCACGCAGCTCAATCTGGGCCTGGCGTATCGACGAGCCGGGTGCGTCCAGCCTACACTGCCCATCACTTGATCCACCAAGCTGACCCTCTTGCGCCAACAGACGCCTAGAACAGGCGACCTTTGCGCTGCGCCGCGTTCTCGAGCTCACGCCTCTCGATGCGCGTGCACACGCTGCGCTCGGCGCCGTGGCACACGCACAAGGACAGATCGACGCCGCAGTGGGCTGGTACCATGCCTCGCTGGCGCTGCACGCCGGCGACGAGGCGACGACGGCGCTGCTCGAGCTCGCGCTGCAGGAGAACGCCACTGCGGCGCCGCTCTCGCACGGCTTGCTCGAGCTGACGGAAGAGGAGGCCGAGGAAGAGGAGGAGGCGGAGCTGGAGAACGTGCAGGTCAAGGAGCAGAGCCTGGATGTCAGTCTGGGCAGTGCGCTGCGCAGCTACGAGGGCATGGAGGAGAGCGTCGACATGGAGCTCACGGACGAGGGCTAGCGCGAGGTGCAGGAGCACGCGGCGCAGCGCAGCGAATGTACTTGTATGACATGTCATTGCCTCATCGGTGTGGCTGCTTGACCTGCTTCAGCAGCGCCTCGAGTCTTGCCTCCAAGGCGTCCAGCATCCCCTCGCGCGCCGCCCGTTGCTCGGCCGTCTCGTCGCGGATCTCACTCGCCTCTCGCCCCTCGTCCTCCGCCGCATGTCGCAGCGCCTCGATGTCCGGCGGCGCCAGCTGCTGCAGCTGCATCCTCGCCAGCTCGCCGATGAGCGCCCTCAGCTCCCGCAGCACCTCGCTCTGCTGCTCCTTCTCCTCGACGCGCACGCCGCCGGGACGCACGCGCGACGCGGCCGGCGTGACGAGCACGGCGAGCTGAGCGGCCGCGCGGCCGCGCAGCTGGCCTAGCCGCCGCCCGAGCGGCGCACCGACGAGCGCGAAGCCCGAGTCAAAGGCACCCTGCAGCGCCGCCGTCTTGCCGGCGGTGATGCCGTCGCGGTAGCCTGCCTGCAGAGAGGGGCAGATGCGGGGTGAGAGGGAGAGCAGTGCCAGAACCTGTGCGGGGGTACGGCGGTGCCCGGGCGACGCAAAGAGCACGACGGCGCCGCCAGCTCGAGCCTCGCGCTTGATCGCCTCGGCATCCTGCCGCCTGTGCTGCAGACTCGCTGTGCAGGGCTCTCCTGTGCGCTCGCACGCTGCTGCCTTGCTCTCCCTCCACCACACGCGGAGGCCACACACAGCAAGCACAACTCACATCCTCAAACTTGGCCTCGACGCGCCGCCACTCGCGCTCGCCCATCGTCGGCACCTTTGCTCCCCTGTGCGTCTCCCTCACGTGCCGCGACGGCCCCGCCGGTGGAGTCCTTCTGCCCGCCTCGTCGTCTGCGGCGTGCGCCTCGTCGTCGGACGAGAGCAGCCAGTCGTCGCCGTCGGCGTCGTCGCTGCCGGCCGCACTGCCTGCGCGCGGCGTGCTGCCGCTGGCGGTGGCGCCGTAGGGATCTGCGAGCGACATGGGCTCTGAGTTGTCTGCGAGCAGAGACGTGCTGGACGAGGCGAGCAGGGAGGGAACCGCAAGGCAAGGAGAAGGCGAGTCGAGTGCAACAGGTGGAGCAGCGCCAGGCGCCCGAAGCCGTACGGCCGTGTGTTCCCACGCCCTCTCTCGCACGAGAGATTCCACCGCGCGACGCAGCCAGTGAGCGCCGCGCCATCTCGCCTCACCAAGCACACCCGCACGTGATGCGCTGGGGCGGTGGAGGGGCTGAAGCCGGGTGCCGGTGCTTGGTGCGGTGCGGCGGCGTCAGCGCAGCGCCGCCGCGCCACGCCGACGCGCCCCGAGTCAGCCGCGGCCTGCCTTGTCTCCGCTACACCCCCTCCCACCTCTCCGCACGCCCAGCCATGTCGATCAAGCTCGCCACGCGCTCCCTGTGTCCCTTCCTCTACCCGCTGCCCACCCACAGCCTGCGCACGCTGAGCAGCTGTCGCGGCGCGGCGTCCGGCAGCGCACGCGCGTCCAGCAGCAGCAGCAGCAGCGGCGGCGGCGGCAGTGGCGCAAGCACGCGCCGGCGCTTCACCGCCTCGGCCTCGGCGCTGCGCCCGCCCGCGGCGTCGCCCGACGTTGTTTCGCGTGCGTCTGCAGACGCAGCTCAACAGTGGCCGCCGTCGCTGTCCAGCGCTCGCTCGGCACTCCCCGGCGCAGCAGACGTCATCGAGACGGCCGCGCCCGCGCCGGAGGAGACGGCCGCGGCGGCGGCAATGGGCGGCGCCGGCGCGCCTTCTTCCGCCGCACCTGCAGCAGCACGCGCACCTGAAGCTGCGGCGTCCTCCTCCTCCTCCTCCTCCTCGCCAGCAGCGGCTGCGGCAGCGGCAGAGGCGTGCGCCACGCTCTCGCCCTCCTCGCCGTCGGCGCCGCGCTCACAACGCAGCGCCGCCTCTGTCTTGGCCGAGCAGCCAGCGGCTTCTCCTGCTGCTGCCGCTGCTGCTGCGCCCGCACCGCCAGTGGGCCCCGAGGACGCCGGTACGGCAGAGATGAAGCCTGCGCCGGCCAAGAAGGCGCGCGCCTCGGCCTTCAAGCCGCGCAAGAGCGCCTTGACGCTGGTGAGTTCTCCTTGGCTGCTCGAGAGCTATGTGTGGAGGAGAGAAGAGGGAGGGCGAAAGAGGGCAATTCTACGGCTCTCTCTTGCGTTGGGCACGCTCGGGCCTGCACGCGTCAGGCACCAATGCGCACTCTGAACTACCGCTAGTGTCCACTCGACTGACGCTCTGTGCGTTCACAGACGCCCACGGCCGTTGAGCGCCTCACGGCGCTCCTCGCGTCGCCTTCGGGCCCCAAGCTGATCCGCATCGGCGTGCGCAACAAGGGCTGCGCCGGCATGTCGTACCACCTCGAATACGTGCGCCCGGAAGAGGCGGGCCGCTTCGACGAGCGCGTCAAGCAGGACGGCGTTGAGGTGCTGATCGACAGCAAGGCGCTGTTTAGGTGTGTTGGCGAATCGGACGTGCTGAGAGAGCACAGGAGCGGCCAGACTGACTTGATCTTCTCGCGCGCGCACAGCATCATCGGCTCGGAGATGGACTGGCAAGAAGACCGTCTGTGAGTGCCTCTCTCTTTGCTTGCCATCTGCTCCTCACGCTGCCCCAATGCTGACGTTCCCATACGCCCCCTGCAGCTCGGCCAAGTTCGTCTTCAACAACCCCAACGTCACCGAGGCGTGCGGCTGCGGCGAGAGCTGGACGACGGTGTGATTGTGCGCAGTTCGTGGCGCTGCGCCTGCAAGATGCAAGGTGGGGCGCTCCCTTCTCGCTTGCGCTCTTGCCTGCTGCGACGCTGTCGCTGCTGTCTCCCGTGTTTCTCTCTCCACCTCCACTGCCGCAACGCGCTGTTGAACCTGGTCGTTGCACCCACACCCACGGCGTGATGAGTCCTGAGGCTGCTGCATGGGGCGCGCGACTGCCAAATGCACGCTCGGCTTGCTTCTGCCGCGCACAGCCGCGTAGCCATGCCGGCATGCCGCTGCGCGCGCTGTCTCGCTTGGAGGTGCACGCAGCGTGATGAGGGTACGGAGCTGCTGTGCTGCGAGCGCAGCGTGGCGCACATCGCAGGCAGCGAGCAGAGGCAGCAAGCAAGCTTGCAAGCTCGCCGTAAAGCCTATCGTGCCGCGCTCCGGCCGGCGCGCGCGCGGCGGAAATCTCAGGCCGCTTTCACCGCCGGCCGGGCGCCAGGGGCAGCAGGCACGCGCGGTGCGGGCCGGTGCGCCTGACGCAGCCGGCGCCTCGATCCGCCTCCGCCTCCGCTTGTTGGCCGAGCTCGAGGCGCTGGCGCTGAATCGCGTGCGCCCTCGGAGCGAGATGAGCGACGCTCCGAGCGAGGCATGCTGATGCCTGCAGATCTCCGCACCCATCCTCACCGCCCTTCCCATCCATCTCGGCTCGTCTTACCCACACACCACACCAAGGGCCACCACGCAGCTCTACGCGCACGGCAAGCGACGCAAGAGGCCACCATGCTCGCGCTGCTTCGTCGCTAAGCCCGCCGCAGCCGCCAGCGTCGCCCTCCACCCTCCTCTCCCCAGCTCGAGCTGGCCCACGCCATGGCGCTCGCACAGCCGCGCCGCGGCCTTCCCGGCGGCGGATGGCTCTCCATGGTGCCCGAGTCCGACGACCGCCTCGTGTCGCCGCCGCAGCTGCCGCCGCCGCCGCCGCCTCCACCCGTCGCGCCGGCCGCCTCGCTGCTCGCGCCGGCAGCCGGCACCTCGACGCGCGACGTGTGCGCCGCCGCCGCCGCGGCACTGCCGTACGCTCCGCACGCCTCGACGAGCTACACTGCTGCGGCTGCGCTGCGCACCAGCGGCAGCTCCAGCCGGCGCGGCGGCGCCAAGTTCGAAGTGGGCGCGCCCGACTCGTCGCAGTGCCCCACGCCCTCCAGCGGCGCACGTTCCAGCGACGCGTCGCCGGTGCCCTTTGACGTGCGCAGCTCCTTTGCGCCCCTGCCGCGCTACGGCCAAGGTGCGGGCTCTGCCCTGCGCCCGCGCGCACCGGCGCTGCAGGCTGCGGCGCAGCGCAAGCGCGACACAGACGACGACGGCCAGGGCATCGAGTATGCCGGGCGACGCTGGAAGGGCAAGACGGCACATGCCGTCGAGCTGGAGATGGAGCAGCTGGGAGACCGCACGGTGATGAGCTACGCGCCCGACGCAGTCTATCTCGCAAGTCGCCTCGAGGGCCTGAAGCGCAATCTCGAGGCGCAGGACTGGGAGCGCAAGCCGCGCTACCTCGCCTGGTCCGACGATGAGGACGAAGGCGCGGCAGAGGCGAAGAGCAAGACGCACAGCCCGGCCGCTGCAGCTGCAGAGGCGCCGGATCTGGAGGACATGGCACTCTCCGACGACGACGATGATGGCGACGTCGACAGTGTAGGTGCGCAGGGCAGCCCCAGTCCGCTGCACTCGCCGGGCGGCGAGGAGGCGCCAGCGACCGCGGAGAGCAAGCCGTCGGCGGCAGCGCTGCGTGCCATGTCCAACGCCTCGACGCGCACCTGGCGCGATGCCGACGGCCATGCCACGGCCGACTTGCTGCGTGCGTCGCGCGGCGGGCTGCTGCGCCAGCATCATGCGGCGCACGACGAGCTGCACACGCTCGAGGGCAGTGCGCTGGTCGACGAGTCGGAGGAGGAGAGCCTCTCCGAAGCACCGGCGCCTGCGCCGACAACCCAGGCGATCGACCCGGCAGCCAAGCAGGCGGCGCTCGATGCGCGCCTCGACATCCGCATGCTGCGCCGCCCAGACCTGGAGCAGGTGCGCGAACTGCACTGCCTGCACGGCGATGTCGATGCCAAGGTCGACTTTGACAGTTACACGACATCAGCTGGCTTCCTCATCCGTCTGCTCGTCGACGAGAAGCACATCTGTCTCGTGGCGGTTGCTCGACCATTGCCAGAGCCGGCAGCAGCGTTGCCGACGGGCGCCGCACTGCTGCCTTCGTGCCCGCCGCCGTCGCTGGACATGCCGCCCTCGCAGTCGGCGTATCTGCTGGCCAACCGAGGCATCGCAGCCGCCTCGCCCTACCTGGGCGGCATCGCCGGCGGCGCCACGCCGCGGCGCTTCAGTCTGGCCCACGGCTGGGGCGCCCCTGGCACCGCCGGGCCTGGCTCCTCGAGCAATCGCAGCACCAATGGCAACGAGGCCTCGTCGCTCTCCAGTCCGCCAGAGAGTGCAAGCTCCACCTCGCCCGCCGATCCCACCGCGCCGCAAGTGCGCCTGCATCCCGCTCCGGCCACGCGCGCCGCACCACCAGCATCGTACGCCGCATCGCACTCGAGCCGGCTTGCGCCCGCCGCGCCGCCGCCGAGCATCGATGTGTCGCAAGTCGAGCGCAGTGGCGCCAAGGTCTCGCCTCCCGCCGAGTCTAGCGCGCGCCACAGCAACGACGACGCATACAAGAACGTCCTGGCCGGCCCGACCAATGCCGTGGCGCCGCCGCGTGCCGTGCGCGTCATGGCTGCACCGCCGCCTGGCGGCCTGCTCAACCGCGACGCAGAGACGATCCTCGGCGTCGCCAGCGCGCACATTACGAGCAAGGCCGTGCCGCCGTCTGCCGGCGGCGGGCTCTGGCCCGGCCTCGAGGCGGACGCCGAGCCGCGCATGCCGCATCTCGAGGCGCATCTCATCACGCTGGCAGTGGCGCACTCGGAGCGCGGACAGGGTCTCGGTGCGAGACTGCTCGATCTGCTGCTCAAGGAGTGCAAGACGCGCGCCTGCGCGCTCGCCGCCAAGCCTCGCCGGCGCGGCTCCGATGCGCATTCCGACGCCCACCAGCCGAAGCTGACGGCCGAGGCACTGGCGGCGCTGCCGATGCGTGTGACGCTCGAGGTGCACGCGTCCAACGCCTCGGCGCTGGCCCTGTACGAGAGCAGAGGCTTCACGCGCGTCCAGGGTGTGCGCGGCACCAAGCCCAAGTACTACCAGGGCGACCCGCGCATTCCGGTGGCCGAACGCCTCAAGATCGGCGGCACCGACGCTTGGGTGCTCGAGCGCACGGCGCCGTAGGGCGCGGCCCCGCTGCGGCCTGCGCCTTCCTCTCTTCTTCCCACGGCATTCGCCGGCTCGTCGCCTCGACATCGACGTCGACTCTCGTTCCCTCGCACTCCAGCCTCCCATCATCTAATCTCTTTAGACGCCCCTCACTCGCTTCTTCTCGTCCCACTCTCTGTCCAGCCGCACATGCCCCTCTCGCTCTCCTCGCCATACCAGCCCCTCGCTCGAGCTCTTCGCGAGCCGTCTGTGCGCACGCAGGTGCGCCTGCAATGTACAGCACCGCCTGTCCGTGATCAGTAGATGGTCGTCATTAGAGCAGGCGCGGGCCGTGAGAGAAGCAAGCAGGGGTCGTGAAGCCAGAAGTCGATATCGAGTGGGTATGGAGACGGGAGCGAGGGCACGATGCGAGACCAGAGAGAGGCAAGTGGGCAGGAGCGACGGCGGCAGGCAGCACCTCAGTTGTCCTCGAGAATGGCCTCGTTGAGCTCGTGCAGCGGCGCCAGCTCGCGCGGCTCGATGAGGTGGAACTCGCTGACAAAGAGGAGGAAGTGGCGGTAAGACGTGTTGAGATGCGCTGTGAGCAAGGAGAGAGTGGGTATGAGCACATCCGAATGCAAGAGCGCGAGGGCCAGGCCGAAAGACGCACCCTCGATGCTCAGCGCGCAGATCTGCGCAAAGTGGTGGTTGTAGATGTGCGCGTAGACGCGGAACAGCCGCCGCAGAATCGACTTGACCGTCGCCTGGAAGTTTGGCGGGAAGGGCACGCCTGCGACATCAAAAGTCAGCTCCAGCTCTGAGCTCGCAGAGCGTCGTGGGCTGCTGCAGCACGCACCGACACGGCTCGGGAAGATCGTCTCGTCGTCGAGCATGCCCTGTGTCCACGTCATGAGGCAGTCGACATACTCGGGCGCACTCATGCGCGTCGGGCGCTTGAACTGCACAGAGGCACTGTCCTGCCAGTGGTACTCGTAGCGCGGACCCGCCGTCATGGCGGGGCACTCGAGCGAGGTGCACTGCGGAGCAGAGCCTGTGAGCCGGGATGCAGGAGAAGAGAAGAGCGAGCGACGCACAAACTCGGTGACGGTGCCGTAGAGCATGTTGAGGTGGTTGAAGAAGTCGACGGCTGCGGAAGCGCCAGTCAGCTCTCTGCGCACTGCGCTCTCCGCACTGCTGCGCAGTTTTCCTCTTCATACCGTTCGCACCAACGCCCAGACACTGGCAGAGCTGCGCCCGTCCCATTCCACAGCAGTAGAAGACCAATGACGTCTCTACACGCCCTCACCTGCGCTGCCAGGGAGCCCAGCCAGGTCGGCTGTAGCTCAGGACCAATCGGACGCAAGCACACTGCACTTGAGGAGTGCAGCGCATGCTGTCTTTGCGCACCGTGCCTCGCATGCCGGCGGAGCCCCGTTGGTGTTTCCCAGTGCTCTTCCTTGCGCGCGCCTCTCGCGCTGGCTCCCTCCCGGCAGCAGCAGCGACGCCGCGCTCATCACCGCACGGGCAGCACACCGGCGCCATCACGCCGCCGTCGCCAGCACCTGCCGACGGTCCTGCTCCGCTGGCCCTCACGGCTTGCCTCCTCGGCGCCTCGGCGCATGCAGCGCCATCGCTCGCCCCTGCCCTGCCCCGCCAGGCACTCACTGTTGACGGCCAGCCACTCGTCCAGGTCCTCGCCCTCGGGCAGCACCACGGCCTGGCGCAGGTTGCCGCTGCCTAGCGTCGCTTCGGCATAGCGCTTCAGCTGGCTGAGGTGCGCGAGCAGCAGCAGTCAGCCAGTGCAGCGTGAGTAGACAAGAGGCGAGGGTGCGGCACGACGCACTACTGCTTGGTGCCCTCGGGGATGTTGCGCTTGGGCTTGAAGGTGCGCGTCTTGCTGAGGCTGCAACGCCGCACGCACGCCGCGGGTCAGCCGAGGGACAGCTGTCGCGCGATGCGCAGGGAGGAGCAACGCACCCGAAGAAGGACGACATGGCGGCTTGCTGCGACGGAGGTGGTGGACGTGAGCCAACGGCATCGGCGACGCCGACGCCGCAACGTGCCCCAGCGCCGCCGCCGCCGCCGCCGCCGCCGCGCGCCCCACAGCCACGCGCGCCGCGAGCGGGGCGCGCGCCGCCGCCTCACTCTTGCCTCTCCCACCCCAACCGCAACCTCGCCGCGCGGCGCTCCCACTACACTCTGTGAATTCTCCTTCGCTTGAAGTCAAACCTGCATCTCTCTGTCTGCTGGCTCGCAAGCGCACGATGCAGCATGCAGCCTGCCCGCCAAGCCAGCGGCCGCGCGCACGCTTGACATGGCGCGCGCATCACGCCGTGCCGTGCCAGGGGCTTGTGTTGCTCTCACCCCCTCGGCGCCGGCGTGTTGTGTGCACGTGACGCGCGCCGCGCCGGAGGTGCCTCCACCTGATGAGCGCGCTGCGCTGCTCAGCTGCTGGCCCGTGCTGACCGCTCGGGGCTTCCTTCCTTTCCTCATCGTCCGCCTCAGCCGATTCTCATCATCGTCCTCCGTCTCAGCCTCGCCTTCAGTCCCTTCCTCGCTTCTCATTCTGAGCCTCGATCTCGTGCTCATCCACCGGCGCTCTCCACTCCACAAACGGCGTGCCGCACCGCAATCCTTGCCCTCGTGATCAGTGCACACGCCCGCTCGTCATAGCGCGCGCTGCGCCGCGCCGCGCTGCGCTGTTGGCAGCGCAATGTCCGCCATGTCGGCGTCGCTGTCGACGAGCTCCAGTGCCAGCTCGGGCACCTCGATTCCCATCGTCGCCGCGCCTCAGCGGCCGGCGACACACGTCCTGTCCGCGCGCGAGTCCCATCCTTCGACGATCCTTGAGCGCCTGAAGCCGTACACCGTGGCCAGCTTGCCGCACGAGGCTGTCGCTGAGCTCGACGTCTCGCACACGCCACTCGGCGATGACGGCGCACGCACACTGCTCGCCTGGCTGGTCGCGCGCCGCGCTGCATGGCCAAAGCATCTGCTCGATGCATGCGCTGCGCAGTTGCCTGCGAACAAGGCTTGCTTCGACGACTATCTCAACGACAGCACCAACGACGCCAAGCAGAGAGAGCAGAGAGAACACCGCAAGGCCAGCCGGCTGCAGAAGATGCGTCTGCTGGGCGGCGGGCATGAATTGTTGGAACATGCGTTCAGAGTCCCTTTCGAGACCACACCGGCGAGCGAGGAGTGTTCGTTCAAGCTGCGCACGCTACTGCTCTCCTCCACTGAGCTCACGTCCACTGCACTGCGCTCTTTGGCGGAGTACGTGCGCGGCAACGCTGCGCTCAATACGCTTGAGCTGCAGGACAACGACCTGGGCGTGAGTCGAATGCCAGTCCTGGCCGCGCCGTCTTGTGTAGCTCTGCTCTGACGACTTCCGCTCTGTTTCGGCTCCACAGGGAGACTCGTGGCCCCTCGCCTTCCTCGCGCGCACGCTCTTCTTCTCCGGCCTGCGCCACCTGAACCTGGCGTCGGCCAAGCTAGATGTGCACGACTTTGTCACGTTTCTCGACTCTCTTCGATCTGCCTCTCTCCGACAGCTCCACCTCTCAGTAGCGCTGGCCAACAACATCCCCTCGTCCGACGCTCGCACGGCAGCAGCTGCTGTCGCGCGCCTGCTGCGCCATCGTGACGGCTCGTCTGCTATCGCAGAGCAGGGAGTGGGCTGGGCGCCTCAGCTAGAGAAGCTCTCGCTGAACGGCAACGAGTTCACATGGAAGGGGGTGCGTGCCATCGTCGCTGCCGTGCTCGGCGCCGTGCCTCCAGACGAAGCTGGCTCGCTCGACGCTCCGAAGCCCAACCGCGTGCTCCTGCACCTCGAGCTCTTCGCCACCATGTCGGACGAGCGCCCGTCCTCCGACTCGGAAGAGGAGCAGGGAGAGGCTGAGCGAGGCGGCGTGGCCCATCGTGCCGGCAGGCCACTGAGCATCTCAAGTTCGCTGCGCGCTCAGGCGCAAGAAGCTCGTGCAGCCGCAGCAGGCGATGCTGCCTGGATCGCCTCTGCGACGCCTGGCGGCGTCACACCTCCGCGCATGGGCGCCGCCGAGGCAGCTCGACGCACGCCCATCTTGCTGCCCGGCTCCTCTTCTCGCACGCATGCAGAGCAGCCTGCAGAGGCGGTGACGCAGCCATCACCGCGTCGCAACGCCACGCCGAGCGCCGGCGAGCTGTTCGAGCAGATCACGCGTGCCGACTGGCGTCGCCTGCTCGGTGCACAGCTGTGGCGCAACTCGTCGGAGAGGGGCGTCGTGCAAAGCGCCGCGCTGGCCGTTCTCGTCGCTGCGCGTGTCTTGGGCTGTAAGAGCCGCGAGACAGCGCCTCGGCAAGACCCAGGCGACGACGACACCACGATGGAGCCAGCCGGCTTTCCATTTGCTCGACTGCCGCTCGAGCTGCGTCTGTCCGTGCTGCGCCACCTCGACGAGCGGCACGTGCTGTCGGAGCCGCAGTTCGGACGCATCGTCGCGTGGGCCAGCGATGCCTCGACGATCGGCTATGGCTGTGGGTTCGGCCTGTCTGTGCCTCGCCTCGATCTTCCATCGCCAGCTGAGCGCGAGACGGCCACGCAGAGCCTGCTGCCGACGCATGCATGGGACTGGCACGCAAGTCTGCGTCGCTCGGCGCCGCGAGACTGGGAGGCAGAGCTGCTCGACAAGCCAAAGGACAACCTGGGCGAGGGATGGGGCGGCGGAGGCGGGCCTGATGGCACGGGAGGCGCAAAGCCGACGAAGAAGAGAGAGGTCAAGCCGGGCATGGCGGCCTTCTGGGAGATGACGGGCACGGAGACGCCGGAGTGAGAAGGCACAGGGCAGCGAGGGTTGAGAGACGTTCACGCGATACCACACCATCATCGAGCCAATACAGCACGTCACCACGAGAGCCGCGCACGCGCGTGTGATCCGTATAGTCCGATTATGATTGAGCGGGCAGGTGGGTAAAGCAGGTAGATGCTGCAGAAGCAGTCCGAGCGCGTCCGGCAAGAGAAGGGGAGCGCGGCTCCGGAGCCAGGAGATGGCTCGGCAACGCGCAGCTAGTCGAGCGACAGGCGATGCGGATTGGACCCCTGCACGCGCGCATTGGCGTTCGAGGCCTCCTCGTCGGCCTCCTCCCAGCTCTCAAGCTTGGGTGGTGCAGACGCATCGGCGGCAGGCGGTGCGGCAGTGCCGTCGACGCCGCCCGTGCGGCCCAGCGGCACGCGCGAGGCTCGTCGGCCGGTGCCGATGAGGTGGCCCATGGAGTCGTGCGCCTCGAGCAGACCTGCGCGCGCAGAGACGTGAGCTGACGTCGTGAGGGCACGGGAGAGGGCGGCTGCGCACCCTTGTTGAAGTTCAGCAGACACCAGATGGCGTTTGCGAGCGTGAGGAAGAGCGAGATGATGGCAAAGATGGAGAAGAACGTGAGTGTCAGGCGGACCGTGCGGTAGTCGTCTGCCGTCGACGGCGCGTAGATTCTCGTGATCTGCAAGTAAATGCGTCAGTCTCTCGCAGCACTCCTCTGCGCAATGCCGCCTGCGCACCTTGTAGATGAAGTATGCAGCGCCCGCCAGGAAGGCGAGAATGCAGAGCAGCATGAGGCTCTTGACCTCCTTGCGCGCAGCAAAGGCAGAGACGAAGAGAAGCACGATGCACACGGGAATCGCGGCGATCGTCAGGCCGAACTCGGCGTCGTCGCGGTTCGAGACGAGGATCAGGTAGGCCCTGCGTGGAGTGGACTGTGAGACACGTCCGCTGAGCGAGGAGAGCAGGGAGAACGCACATGGTAAAGCCAACGCCGAAGAAGAAGTCGTACTGCGAGCATGCGCTGGCGTCAGCACTGCACTGCTTGCCCTCCCTTCCCCCACATCACCCACCTTGAGCAGCACCTGGAAGACCTGGTACACGAGGAAGCGTCGTCGCTGCTCGATGCTCGCGCCCAACGCCTTGTACACACTCCAGCCATATTCTCCCCACAGCTTGTACGTCAGATACGTGATGGGAATCTGCGCCAGGCCAGTGACGACGGGCACGACGATGAGGAACTTCTGCACCTCGTCGTACAGCCCGGGCGGGACACCGCCGATCGCTTGGTTTTGAATGCGGAGTGCGATCTTGACTTGCGGGATTTGGAGGGCGGCAGTGACGATGAGGGCAAGATTGAAGATGCAGACGCCGATCTGGAGCAGGCGCGTGAGCGCATCGCAGGAGAGGAGGCGAGCAGAGCAACGCACAACTTGGATCGTGTTCTTGAGCCGGTTGGCATCGAGCGAGATGGCCACGCAGAAGAGCATGCCGAAGACGAAGCTGGGCGGACGCGAGGCAGAAGTCAGCATCGCAAAGACGGCAGGGAGAGGAGCAGAGAGAGAGAAGCAGGACGCACAGTGCCAAGAAGACGGGAATCGTCTTGAGATCCTGCACTTGCAGACCGAGCGCTGCTTGCGTGCGATTCTGGGCCGGCGGAGATGTCAGTGAGTGACTCGGGCCGAGCAGCGGCCGCCCAGTCCGTAAGCGAATTGCCTCCAAGCTACGCTCGGCACATCTTGCCGGCCTCCTTCTGCACTAGCCCCCCCCCCCCACGCCTTGCACCGCGCTGCTCTCTCTCTATGCAACTCACCCGAATCATAGCAAACACAATCGCAACCATTGTGATCACCACTGCCGCCTCGACACAGACGGTGATCATGAACGCGCCGGCCCAGCGACTCGGCAGCCAGCGCTCATCCACGACGCTCGAAAGCGTCGCTAGGCTCTTGCCGCCGCCGCTCGTGGCGCTCTTCTCCGTCTTGCGCGACGCCAGCGTCGTGCCGCGCCGCGGCGTCGAGAGCTGTGCGGAGGTGCCCGGCGAGAGGGGCGAGAGGGAGAAGTGCGGCGCGGCGCCCGCAGGCGCGCCGCTGGGCGAGGCCGAGGAGAGAATGCTGGGGCTGCCACTGCCGCTGCCGCGGCGTGCGTCCGAGACGCCGGGCGCAAAGGCCGACGCTGGTGCCAGTGCTGGTGCGGCCACGGGAGCCGGCGCGGGAGCGGCGATGGGCGCGTACACATCTGCGCTGCTCGCTGCTGCGGCAGCAGGCAGAGGAGCAGGCGCATAGAGATCGGCACTGCTGGCGGGCACGGCACTGCCAGCTGCGATTGGTGCTGGTGCGACTGCGGCTGCTGGAGCAGCGCTGGGCGCCGCGGGCGCAAGCGGCATCGCGAGCGGCGGCGCAGGCAGTGGGCCTCTGCCGCCGAGCTTCTGCGGCGAAGCCGGCTGTGAAGCGCCGCGGGGCGTCGGCGTCGAGCTGCGCTCCGGCTCGTCGTCGTCGGTGTAGAAGACGCCGCTGGGCGCCTCGCTTGGCCGTCTGCCTCCCGCTGCCGAGCGCGAGGGCGAGGAGAAGCCGACGCTGCTCAGATCGCCCTGCGACACGCCCGAGCGCGAATAGTCGAACGAGCCCTCGCGCGGCGTCTCGTACGCGCTGGGCCCGAGCGAGGCAAACGACTCGCTGCGCGCGCCAAAGCCGCCGCCGCCGGCGTTGTTGGCGGTGAGGAAGGAGGTGGAGGAGGGGTTGGCCGTGCTGCTTGCGGCGCCGGCGGGGCGCGCATAGAAGCCGGCGTTGCCTTGTCCTCCGTCGCCGGAGGAGCGCGGAGGTGAGAAGGACATGACGAGAGAGGTAGTGGAGGTGTGAGAGAAACGAGTGAGGGGTGGGATCTCGTGTGAGAGCGGCGAAAGTGAAGCGCCGCACAGGCAACGAGGCACGCCGCAAGCACGGCGCGCGGCCAGGCACAGCGGCTGAGGATCGCCGAGGCGGGCCCCCTGCCGCGGCATGGCGGGCGCGGCGCAAACTCCGCCGACGTCGATCATCCCCCCGCGCCGCAAGCGGCCTCTTCGCGCTTGCCATCACACGCTGCTCCGACATGCTCCTGCTGCTTCGCTCGCACAGGCAGGCGGCGAGATGTAGCGATCGATCCGTTCCAGACTGGCAGCATGAGTGGAGCTCGCGATGCAGCCTTGTCAGGCTGGCGCCGGCGCTGCTCGTTGTCGTCTGCGAAAGCACGGGGAGAGACAGCCGGGTCATTGTCGTTACTTTGAGTTTATATACAGTTATCCGCTCGCAGCAGACATCACAGCTCTTGGGGCCGGATGGCAAGGCGTGTCACTCGTAATTGGAGTCCTTCTCCAACATATGATAAGATACTCGGTTCGATTCCGGGCAGGAGCATCCTTTTTGCACTCAGCTCTTTTGCTGCCGGCTGTGGCGTGCACTGCGCCTCTGGCAGCGAGGCGTTGCTTTTGCAGTCGCAGTGTGCGCTGTGGTACCAGAGCGGTGAGAGAACGACCGGGGCGTTCAGCGCGCGGCCCGCCCCAGGCTGCCTCGGAGGATGTCCTCGCCGTGGGCCGTGCACGGCGCGCTCCACTTTGCCAGCTTCACGACACGCGCCGCCGCGCCGCGCGCGCCGTTCATCACCACGACCTCTCACTCTACTCCGTCCTCCTCACCCTCGCCCCAACGATGTCCGACGCGCTCGAGCGCGCCATCCTCGAGGGCGCATCGGTGTCTGACGCACTAGCGGCACGCGAGCGTCGCGAGGCCGCCACGCCGCCGCGCACGCCATCGCCGAGCACCTCTGATGAGCTCGGCTCTGATCTCTCGGACCACGCGCACGAAGACGACGACGCGGCATTCGTGCCGGAGGACCGGCCCGGCGCCAACACGGGCCCCAAAGGCGTGCGTGCTGATGCTCGCGCTGCTGCGGCGGCGACTCGTGCGCAGCGCGCAGAGCAGGTGCAGAGCACCAACGAGAGGATGCAGCGCATGGCCCTCACCAGCGACACGACGTGGGAGGAGGATGTGCACGCGAGGAGTGAGGCGGCCGAGCTGGAGCAGCTGCGTGCACAGCGGCTGAAGGAGCTTCAGGCGGCACAGGCAGCGGCCGACGAGCGCAGAAGGCAACGGCTCGCCGGCGAGGGCGACGAAGAGAGAGCGCCGGGACCGCGAGGCATCTACTCTGGCCAGGCGACGCGGAGGACAGGCGTGTTCGGACATCTGAGAGAGGTGGATGAGCAGGGCTACGTCGATGCAATCGACCGCGAGGCCAGCGGCACGAGTGTCGTTGTGCATCTCTACGAGAAGGTGAGTGAGAGAGCTGCGTGGCCGTAGGCGAGGTCTGCCTCAGAAGGATGCACCTATGGCTTGCGACCACCTTCGCGTCAGACGCTGACGCCTCTGCGGTCAGGTGGTGCCCGCCTGCGTCAAGTTGACGCACGCCTTGGCGTCGCTGGCTCGTCTGTACCCGGCCACCAAGTTCCTGCAAGCGCGCGCCTCAGCCATCGGCTTCGGCTCTGGCTCTGCATCTCACGTCGCCGCGTACGACGATGACGAAGACGTCGCTGCGCGCGAGGCGAGAGAGGACAGCGCGGCGGAGCTCGTGCCCACGCTTCTCATCTATCGCGCCGGGCAACTCGTGGCCAATCTGGTGCGCGTGGATCTGGAAGATGGCTGGGGAGCGGGAGAGGAGAGAGATGTGCGCGACTTGCTGGCAAAGTGAGTCATGGCTGCGAATCGGTGACATGAGCGTTGCTGATGCGAGTGCTCAGGTACGATGCCATCGAGAGCAAGCCGAGCATGACAAGAGAGGCGCAAGAGGAGGAGGGAGACGACGACTGATCCGAAAACGCACTGCTGGGCGCAAACGCCAGCTGCAAGGACGCACTCAGCTCGGCGAGCGACTGCAACTGGCGGCGTGTTGGCACTCCTCGCCGGCCCATCTCCACGTCGCGTCTTCCTCGCGACCGTGAACAGCAAGGAGACGTTACCGCGCTGTCAAGCTCCTCACGTCGGCGTCTCGACAGGTCTGACGAGTCAAAGCCTCACGACCCCTCGTTGTTTTTCCTCGACGTCACGAGCGAATGATGTGCCGCGGCTGGGCCGCGGCCGTCGAGTGATCCGCCATGATCTTGAACGACACTTCCTCACCTCTCGATGGTCACCTGCGTCACGCTCTTCTAATTCCACCATCCTTCTCGGCGACAGCTTCAGCGTGACGTGCTCCGTCATTCCTGCGCAGGCAGAAGTAGAGGCCAAGGAGCTGCGACCTGCCGCTTGCTGCCTAGCGTCGAGCGCCGAGTGCCGAGCGCTGCCGAGACGGGACTGGAGCGGATGAGAGATGATCGCGCAGGGTCGAGTGCAGGAGGTGCAGCATCCAGCGAGCGGCGCCGCAAGAGGCGACATGCGGCTCAGCCTGTCGAAAGGCTCGCACAGGCTTTGCTGGCGGCGCTGCGGGCCTGCCAGTCCCGCCTCCGCGGCTCATGTGCACGCGCGCACGCCGCATGACGCGCTGTATCGTGACAGCTGCCGCATGTCGTGTCCGGGTGGGCGATGCGGATGCCGAGAGGTGCTGCTGCAGCGTCAGTGCAACGTGCTCGGTCACGCCGGCGCCGGAGTGGAGGAGGAGCCGAGAAGGAGCTCATGGCGCTGCAGTCTGCGCGCACACGTCTTAGCGCCCGATGCGCTGCGCGCCTGATGCGCCGCCTAGCGCCGGCTCCCACGGTAGCGCGCCTGACGCACCGCTGCCAACCGCCGCCTCGCGACGCGCCTCGCCGCCATCGCCTCGCGCTCTCGCCGCTGCTGCGGCACAGGCCGGCGCCAAGTGGCCCTGAGGCGAGCATGGCTGTGCACCAGGCTGCCGCGCGTCTCGACGATCTCGACGGCGATGGACTGTGCTCGACGCTGCCTCGCCCACGATGCACAGCCATGCACAGTCGGGCGCGGCTCTAGCGTCACTAGACTAGCTACGCGAGGTGCAACATCTCGACCCTAGCACACCCTCGCGTTGGCCGAGCATCCTACATTTGCCTGCCGTCTCGGTGATTCTCACTTCTTTCGGCAACTGGTGGCGATCCTATAAGACCTGGCCTCCGCGCTGCCCCGTTCCCGTCTCGCTAGGCCTGCCACCCACATCCGCTCTTCTCTCCTTTGCTTCTCCGTCTCTCTACCACACGTTCCTTACCCGCGCACCCTGGTGGTCGCATTCACATAGCTCGACGCTCTTAAGTCCCTCTTGCTTCATCCTAGCCCCACTCTACTCCTCCTCACTCTCCTCTCGCACTCCCGCCATGTACTTCTCTCCCGCCCTCGTCACCATCCTCACGCTTGGCGTGGCTCGCAGTGCGGCCGCGCCGCTGCGCACGCCCTTCGCTGCCGCAGATGCAGCGCTGGCGGCACGCTTCCACTCCGGCCTCGCCGCTCGCGACCACGGCGCCTCCTTGATGGCGATGCACCGCCGTGCACAAGTCATGGAGCAGGCCGCCGCCGTCGTCGCTCGGCATGCCAGCCTGCCGCGCAGCGAGGAGCGCACGCGCCTTGTCGTCCGCGACCTCGAGCGCCGCGGTCTGCTTGACCGTGAGTAGTGCAGTGCTCAGTGCTGGCTTCATCCATTCTGACTCTTCACTTCACAGAGCTCGTCATTGCGCTGCGCGACATCCTCACCACGCTGCTCGGCCAGAACCCGCCGGGCTCCAAGTCGCGCCGCAGCTCGCCCGAGGAGACCGAGGCGCTGCTGACGCAAATCTCGTGCCTGCTGGCTCAGCTCATGGGCCAGGAGGTCGATGCTTCAATGTGCACCTTCGTTGCCACGACGAGTGCTGGAAGCAAGAACGGCACTGCCAGCGCAGCAGCTGACAAGAACGCCACTGCCTCTGCTTCCTCGAGCTCGAACTCGGCACCACTGCCGGCGGACTCGGCCAGCCGCAAGGCCAAGGCCGAGAAGGCAGACAAGGCGGACAAGGCGGCGCAGAAGGACAAGGCCGAGCACGATCAAGACGGCAAGCCCACGGCGGCGGCCGCGACGCAGAAGCAGCGCGAGCAGATCCGCGACATCATCCTGGCGCGCCAGGCGCCGTCGGGCGTCACCGGCCTGCTCACGGTGCTGCGCGACCTCGTCGATGCGATCCTCAACACGCTGCTCCCCATGTCGTCGCGCAGCGACGAGGCCTCGTCGACGCAGCAGATGAACAGCACCTCCTCGCCCGACGACGGAGAGTGCCCGCCGCCGGGCACGATGAACGACGGCATGTACCGGCCCAACTGCCCTGGTGAGCATGCGCGACGCCACGCCGCCACCTCCATAGCTGACGGACCCTCGCAGGCTACGGCGGCCGTCGCGATATCGCTGAGCGCGACATGATGTCCGACCTCATGACGACGCTGCTGCCGATGATCATGCAGATCATGGCCGCGCTTTCGTCGACCGAGAGCGCGACCGCTGCCGCTGCCACATCATCGGCCGCGCCTGCCAAGCAGGCCAACGCCGCGAGCACCTCGACGGACCCCATCGGCGACCTGCTCAGCGGCCTGTACACCGGCAGCTCCGATGACACCGCCGCCGCTGCTGCGCCCACCGCCGAGAAGGCCAACAAGAAGAACGACACCGAGGACGCTCCGGGAGGCAGCGCCTCGGCCGTCGACTCTGCCGCCAAGCTGGCGGTGCGCGAGCTGCTCGGCGCCGATGGGCTCGAGCTCGTCGAGCGCGGCGAGGTGATGGCCCGGCGTGCGGGCGGCATTCTGGGCGAGCTCCTCGTCGACGGCGACCTGCTCTCGCGGCGAGCCGACTTCAGCCCCGTCTGGGCCGAGGTCAAGAAGCTCGGCAACGGCGAGTGGACGCGGCGCGACGTGCACGACGACTTTGCGCCCGTGTGGCAGAGCTTCAGCGCCATGGTCGACGAGGCCCTGGGACAGGCCTCGCCGGCCAAGCGCAGCAACGGCAGCAAGGCCTCTGACTTTGCACGCGCCGCCATGCGCTTCGGCGCAAAGACGTTCTTCCGCGGCGGCTCCAACTTGCGTCGCAGCACCGACGCGCACGGCAAGCGCGCCGAGCACGACTGGCAGCCGCTCCTCTCCGCCGCCGGCGACTTTGCCAAGACGCAGATGTCCGAGTGGACGACGGCGCTCAACGAGCACGCCCAGCGGAAGGCCTAGAAGGGAAGACTAGAGGAAGATTGACCCACCTGGATCGTCAACGTCCGCGAGAAGACGTTCTCGCGGCCACGCAGAGGGGGACGCCCCTCTGCAGAGCACTTCGAACACCGAGAGACCAGCCCAGCAGGAGCATATCACACCCACAGAGACCTGAGCCGCAGCACCTCACCCACCCTCACTCTCTTTACCTTGCGCGCGCTACTGGATTGGCCGCGCTCCTACTGCAATCCGATAATCACTCCTTTGCCGGTGAAGCGTGTGGAAGCATTGCGATGTGGCGTGACGAACGAGGAGTGCCCGGCGGCCCCAGAGACGAGAGGCGGGCAGCGGCGCACCTTGCGCTTCTCACCGGCAGCGAGCGTGCACGATGGCCGCGCCGTGCTCCTCGTACTCCTGCTTGCTGACCCAGAGCTGGTGGAACGTGCCCAGACTGGCGAGGATGGAGCCGCCGAGCCATGCGGAGTAGCGCCGCTCGACGGTGTTGCCCGGGCTGTGGATCTTGATCTTTTGCTGCGAGTGGGCCAGGCCAGCGTCAGCGTGAGCGCATGGATGAATGTCGGCGTTACGGGCTACTCACACCAGGCGCAGCAATGTTGAGCTGGTAGCTCAGCCGGTCGTTGAAGCCGGGGATGCAGGTGCCGCCGCCCACACAGACGATGTTCTGCAGCAGCGTCGGCCGGCTGTCGACGTCGGTGGCGGCAATGGCATCGAGAACGATCTGCGGAATGGACGGGTGTTGCTCGCCGCTCGGCAGCTGACAGGCGGGCGAGCGATCAGCAAGGAAGCATGCCGCTTTGCGTACTCCTGTCTGACTCACCACGTCACCCTTGCCGGCCCACAGCTGCGGCGAGAACATGACCTCGGGTGCCCGGAAGCGCTCGACGCCGAATTGGTCATTGTATCCATCGGGAAACTCGAATGGCCGGGCGGGCCGATGTGTGGCCTGCGCCTCGTCCCATGGCAGGTCGAGCACCTGCGCCAGACTCTCCTTTGCCTCGTGCAGCACGCGCATGCGCGCAAAGGCCGAGTAGCTGTCGGTCGCCTGCCGGTCGCGCAGCTGCGCAGCGGCGGGCGCGCCGGCACCTACGGCCGCCTTGGCACGCACGTTGTACTGCGGCACGATGGACACCAGGCCGCCACTTCGCGGCGAGCCGGCAGGAGCGGAGACGGAAAGATCGTAGAGAAGCGCGCGCGAGACGGCGTCGCCGCCCAGGTTGACGGCACGCCGGATACCCTTGCGCAGAACGAAGCCGTCGACGACGGGAATTGCCGAAGCGTGCGAGGCGCCGACGTCGAGCAGCAATGACGTCGGCTTGCCGGCCGCGAAGCTGGCAGTGAAGAAGTACGAGAGGGCAGGAGCGACGAGCGTCAGGACCGGCCCTGTGCACGCAATCGCATGCCGACTCACGAGCTGCACACCGTCGCGTTGGCCAGGTAGAAAGCAGGCGCGTTGAGCTGCTCGAACGCCAGCTCCGCCATCTGCTCTCGGCTCTCGCGGCTGGCCCATGCCGGCTCGGTGAGGAGGAGCGGGTGCTCTTCAGCGCGCGCACCCAGTAGGCCCGTCAGCACGTGCTGTGCCAGCGCCAGGTAGGCCTCAGGAGACGTGACTGCGGAAGGAGGCAAGCAGGTGAGATGACGCGCGACAGAGGGAACACCGTAGCACGGCCGCCCGCACGTGCAGAGGCGGCTGGGCTCGTCCCGCCCAGCAAAGAACGTCCTTGAAACCGCCTTGAAGCTGCCAGCTGGACACCAGCGGATGCTACGTCTGTCCTCGCTGACGCCAGTTGGGCATGTCGGCGAGGCCCGGGCATGTCATCCAGCGCTCTGCTCGTCGCTCGAGCAGCGCGCTGCCGCACCATGCGGCCCGGCGACAGACTTGGCTCTTGACGAGCGCGCCATGCTGTACAGCTTTGCGCGACCCAGACGTGCATCGCGTCCCCACATCCATGGCCCGCATCTTCGCCGCCCGCGCTCGCCATCCGCGCTGCCGCTGCCGCACTCACCCATGCCGTCCTGCAGCGGCGAGTCCAGCTCTGCGCCCTCTCGCCACGCCACGCCCGGCTCTCCCACAAAGCGCCTGCGCGTCTCCTTCTTCTTCTCTCCCTCCATCTGCTCGTCGCCATCGCCGTCGGCGCCCTCGCTGGCAGCGGCCGGCAGCCACGAGTACGGCGTCGGCACCACGGCGCGCGGCGCGTCGTCGCCGGCCCAGCCGCCGCGGAACGTAGAGGTGCCGGCGTCGAGCACGATGGCGGAGACGTCGTCGCCGCCGTAGATGCCGGGCATGATGCGGATCGAGAGTGGGAGGAGGGGATGCGGAAGGAAGGAGCGGCCTGGCGCGTGCGAAGGTCGGCGAGCTCGACTCGAGGCCTGGGCGCGCGACGCGACGGGTAGAGTGACTTCAACTTGCGTTGTATTGGCGACTACAAGACGCGCACGCCCGCTCCCACGCCTCCGCCGGTCCGGTCCATGCCCAGAATGTCGTCGTGGGTCGCATCTGGGCGATAAAGGCGGCTGTCGTTTGCGCTCAGAATGCGGAGGATATCTGTGCCTATATCGTAGTGCTGCTTTCGGGCGGGTAGCCAGGATGCGTGATAGCGTGAGAGGGACGAGCACGTCGCAGGACGCTCACAGACACTGCAGCGCGTTTGGGTTTGCCGCCCTTCGCTCGACCCCAACCGCAGACGCCAAGTCATTCAGGGTGCAGAGAGCATCTCCGAGCACCTCTGAGCTCATTCAGAGCCTCTCACATCCTTCCAGTCAGCGTCTTCGCGCTCGTCGGGTGCAGAGGCTGGCCGGCGAGGGTCTCGGGTGTTGCTTGTGCCGCATCTCTCGTGCGAGAGGGATGGAGGCACGCCGCCAGTGTGCGCCTCTCTGTCTCGCGCACGCGCCATGGCGCGCTGCGGCTGCCAGCGAACAACAGAACGCGCGAGCCGCCTTCCAAGGGCGGAAGCTACCTCGCCCGCTGCGGCTGAGAGCCATGCTGCCGCATGACTGCATGCGTCCCGCTGCTGGACAGGAGACGTGCCGAGCCATGGTGGGATGAAGTGCTGCGGCAAAGCGCGAGCTGCGGCAGTCTGCGGGATCTGACGCGGTGCGCTCGCCCTCGTTCTCGCGCGCGTGCCGCCGCTCCCGGTCCGCCGCGCCTTGCTCTCTCGCCGCCGCGCCGCGCTTCTCTCACCTTCTCCCACCATTCCGCACCCCAACGCACCACCCACATGTCCTCTCCACCCGCCGCCGAGCTCGCAAGCTCCGAAGGCGTCGCCTCGCCCGTCCTCACCGACGCTGACGGCGCGCCCGCCTCGCTCGACGGCTCGCTCGACGGCGCCGCGGCACACGATGATGAGGAGCACGCCGACGGCGCCGAGGCGCCAGAGGGCAACGGCAGCGCATCGCCTGAGCACACAGGCAACGGCGTCGTCTCGCCTGCGCCGTCTGCAGATGCCGCACCGGCTGCCAAGGCGCCCGGCTCGGTGGCCGGCACGCCCAAGAAGCCTGCAGCCGCCGGCGCCGCAAAGCCCGGCGTGCGTGCGCCGCTGACGGCCGGCGTCAAGGTGAGCTGCCTGTCTGCCATCCTGGGTGTCCTCTCTGACACATTGCACAGCCAGCAGTGCGGCCAGGCGTCAAGCCAGCAGGCACGACAGGCACAGCGGCGCCGCGCTCGAGCGTGGCAGGCAAGCCGGCTGTGCCTGCTGCTCGCACCACCACGACGGCCGCCCGGCCAGCTGTCGGCACCGCTGCAGCACGCACGACTGCCGCCGCCAAGCCTGCTGCTGCTGGAGCTGCCAAGCCTGCAGTGTCTGCGACGGCCACTCGCACCGCAGCGGCGCGCCCGTCGACGGTCGGCACGGCTGCGGCACGCACGACGCCTGCCGCCAGCAGCGCCGCCGTGCGCAAGCCGGGCGTGCCTGCCAGCTCCAGCGCCGCCAGCACGCCGGTAAAGAAGCCGCTCGCTGCATCGACATCCGGCGCCACGGCTGTGGCTCGTTCAGCGACCGGCGCTGCGGCCGCGCGCCCGCCGAGCACCACCGCGACGCGCCCGCCGCTGTCCGGCACTGCCACGTCTGCCCGTCGCCTCAGCTCCGCCAGCACCAGCACTACGGCCTCGACGCGCCCGGCCGCTCCTCGCAGCAGCGTCACGCCCACGAGCGCCGCTGCTGCTGGCACCAAGCCAAAGACGGCGTCGGAGTTCCGCGAGGAGATCGCCCGTCTCGAGAAGGAGGTCGAGGCACGCGACGCCAAGCTGGAGAGTCTGCAGTCAGAGCTCGACAAGAAGGAGACGGCGCCTGCAGATCCCGAGGGAGACGCAGCGCTCCAGCAAGAGCTGGAGCAGCTCAAGTCCGAGCTGCAGGGACGTCCCACCGGCGAGCGAGTCGGGGAGCTCGAGGCGGAACTCGCAGGCGCCAAGAAGCAACTGCAGGACGCAGAGGCTGCTCACAGCGACGCCGCTCGTGCTCGCTCAGACTCAGCATCGGCGGAGCAGGAGCAGCTGCGTGGCGAAGTCCAGGCGCTGCAGTCCGAGCTAGACGACATCAAGGCGCAGCGTGACTCCATTCGTTCTAGCTCCGACTCAGCATCGGCAGAGCAGGAGCAGCTGCGTGGCGAAGTCCGGGCGCTGCGTTCCGAGCTCGACGACGTCAAGACGCAGCGCGACTCCGCTCGTTCTCACTTCGACTCGGCATCAGCAGAGCTGGAGCAGCTGCGTGGTCAGCTGAATGCGCTGCAGGACGAGCTCGACGACGTCAAGACGCAGCGCGACTCCGCTCGTTCTCACTTCGACTCGGCATCAGCAGAGCTGGAGCAGCTGCGTGGTCAGCTGAATGCGCTGCAGGACGAGCTGACGGCAGCAAAGGCTGGCACCGCAGATGCGGCGACGGCTCAAGGCGAGCTAAAGGCGCTCACCTCGCAGCTCGAGGACGTCCAGAAGGAGCGGGACACGCTGCAGTCCCAGCTGGACGAGGCGGAACGGCGCGCCAGCGACGCCGAGACGCTGCGAGGCGAGCTCGGCCAAGCAAGATCCCGTGCCCGCGACGCAGACTCGCTGGAGTCGGAGCTCGCGTCGCTGAAACGGCAAGTCGACGAGGCAACGGCCGGCGCCAGCGACGCTCAGAAGCTGCAGGTCGAGCTGGACGACATCAAGCAGCGGCTCGCGGCAGCACAGCAAGACGCTGCCACAGTCGAGCAGCTGCAGCAGGACCTCGACTCGGCCCGTCGTACCGGCGGCGATGCAGCACAGCTGCAACAGGAGCTGGACGCGCTCAGGACGCAGCACGGCTCTGCTCTCGAGCAGCTGCGAGCTGATCACGCGACGACTCTGGACGACGCCGTTAAGCAGGCACGCGAGGCGACACACTCTGAGCTGAGCGCCACACACGAGAAAAGTCTCGACGAGCTGCGCTCGACGCACGATGCGGCACTCGAGTCGTCGCGCAGGTCGGGCGGCGATGCTGCTCAGGCCTTTGAGCAGGAAGTGGCCTCGCTGCGTGCCCAGCTCGAGAGCCAGCAGCGTGCCTTTGACGAGCGTCTTGAGACTGTGCAGAGCGAGCACGCGGCCAACCTGGCGGAGATGCTGCGCACAAGTCAGGACGAGGCCGCCTCCTCGCACGGCAACGAGCTGACAGCCGCACGCGAGGAGCTCGAGCGCGTCTCGGCGCAGCTCAAGTCGCTCAAGGACGAGGCAGGCCGTGCCTCGGAGGCACGTCAGGCGCTCGAGAAGCGCGCTACCTCGGCCGAGGCCGAGGTGCAGAAGTCCCGTGCAGCAGACGCAGCCGCAGCCCATGCTTCGAACGGCACGGCGGCCGAGCTGGAGCGCCTGAAGGCAGAGCTGCGCGACAGCCAGGAGGCGCTCGCTCAGACACAAGGTGCCTTCGCCGGTCAGCTCGACGAGATGGCCAATGCGCAGCGCAGCATGATGCAGGAGGGCGCCGACCGCCGGGCAAAGGACATCAAGGAGCTCAAAGTCGCGCACGAGAGTGAGTCTTGGCGCTGTCGCCTGTGCCTGGCGCTCTTGCTCATGCTCTCACGCAGGGGAGGTGCAGCGGCACATCTCCAAGCACACGCAGGACGCACAGTCGCTCATGGCGCTGCAGGACCAGCTCAACGCCGCCGAGCGGCAGGTCAACGAGGCGCAGGCGCGTGCTCGTGCCGCTGAGAGCAAGGCGGCCACGCCGGTGGTCAATGTGCCGTCGGACGCGTCCGAGGATCTGATCGAGGTGAGCTGAGCGTGGCGCCTCCGAGCTCTGCTTGGCGTCAGTCACTGACTGTGGCCCCTCCTCGCCAGCTGCACAATCTGCACAACCAGAAGCTCGAGTATCTCACGAAGCAGCACGCCGAGGCCAAGCAGGTGTGTGGACCGCAGCCGCTACGCGCCGGGCACCGCTCATGCTGACCCTGCACGCCAGACGCTTGAGGAGGAGCTGGCTACGGCAAAGGCGTACGCGGAGCAGGCAGACGAGGCTCTGCGCTCGGCCAAGCTGGAGCTGAGCTATGCGCAGGTGAGCGGCGCGTGCTCCTGCTTCGCGACTCGAGGCTGACCCTACACGCCGTCCACAGCAGGAAGAGGCGGAGGCCGAGAACCTCAAGAAGGAGATCGCGCGCCTTGAAGCGCAGCTGCAGGGCCCCGCTTAAGGATGTCACACGCTTTCTCGGGCACGAGGCGCACCAGCAAAATGCTGGCAAGCCTTGGCCCCTGGCCTCTCCTGCGGCCACCCACCCCATCAAATACCCCTTACCACCTTCAATTCCGTGCCGAAGCCCATTCATTATCAGTCTACTTGCGCTCAAAGCTCTGCAGCCAGTGCTTGACGAACTGCACCTCGCGCGCCTGCACGTCGGCGACGCGCTTGGGCGGCGCATCGCCGTCCTTGCGCTGCGTGTTGGAGTCGCAGTGGTGCCAGCAGTCCGGGATGAGGATAAAGGGCCGGTCGAGCGAGTCATGACGCGCGCCGCCGAAGGCGTACTCCTCTGAGTGACCACTGGCGGGACGCCATGGATCGTACTGGCCGTTGATGATGGCGAGACGCGACGAGGAGAGGGCAAAGGAGCCCAGCTCGTTGACCCAGTCCACGTTGGGTGACTCGGGCCTGCGACGAGAAGGTCAGCAAGCTGCTTAGCTCCGCCGTCGTACTCAACACGCACATCTTGTAGTGCTCGCCGGCCGGGAAGCCTTGGCGACACACGCGGCTCATGTACTCGCGGTCGACGAGCGCGGAGAGCAGCTTGGGCATCGAGACGTGGTACGTGCGTGCGTCCTTTGCAGGCGTGCTCACGCGCGGCGACGTCTGCAGGAAGCCCCAGGTGGTGCAGTACTGTGCAAGAGCGGGATGATCAGCGAGCTGCAGGGAGTGAGCGGGGGACATCGACACACCTGGAACGTCCAGGACACCTGTGGATGCAGAAGCGCTCAGCATTGCATACGCGTCATTGTCAGAGGCGACTCACGCGCTCGCTGAGGTCGTCCAAGCCCGTCACGTTTGTGTAGCGCGTCCAGTCGCCCGTGCCAAAGCATTCCTCGGCCGACTCTTTTTTCGTGCACGGCTCGACGATGCTCTTGCGCATGAACGTTGCCAGACGCGAGACCTCCAGCGGCACCTCGCGGCCCTCGATTGGCTCGTGCTTCTCGTCAGGCAGGAAGTGCATCGCTGCAATCTCCTTCTTCGACGGCGGCACGTACGAGCCGTCGGTCGGCGGCAGCGGTCCCGAGAAGGGGTTGCGCGTCGCATTGCGGCAGTACGACGTCCACGTGGGATCGCGCTGATGAGCATCCCAGTTGAGTCCTTGAAAAGAGCCCAGCAGCGAGGTGAGGGCATTGGCAAAGTCGGCGGGGTCCGAGAGCTCCGAGAGGCCGAAGAGGGACTGCAGCTGCTGTGTGGCGGCAAGAGAGCGCAGCGGCTGCACCTGTCCGCGCTCGGGCTCGGGCGCGAGGATGCTGTCCATCCATGCTGCACAGACGAGCAGCGTGAGTGTGAGCGTGCTTGGGGAGTAAAGAAGGGTGCACGTACCGATGGCGCTCTGCAGGCTCTGCGTGCAGTCGCTCGTGCTGCCTCGGGCGATCGGCGCAAAGTATGCCGGGAAGTCATCGATGGCGGCCAGCACGGCGGACGAGGCGATGCCGCCAAAGATCACATCGGGGTACAGCGCTGCGCGAGTCACGTCCCGGCGTCAGCAGCAGAGCAATGACGAGAGGGAGGAGGTGACCTGCTCACCGCGCATGTGCGCCGCCCGTGTGCCGGCGTACGAGCCGCCGTAGTAGATGACGGGCTGATGCGGTGCTCTCAGATCATCCTCCACGCCCTTGATCTTTCACCAGTCACCGGATCAGCGTTCCGCAAGCCGCGAGTGGCCCAAGTCAAGCCCACCTTCAGCTCGCGCACGAAGCGCGCAGAGTCCTCGAGCGCCTGGCGGTTGTTGAGCCAGCGCAGCTGGTCCACGCGCCACGCCTCTCCAGGCCCGATGAGCTTGCGGTCGGGGAAGGACTCGCCGTAGTAGCGATGCTGGTGCATCGGCGCACGTCAGTGGACCGCCCTGCCGTGCGATGGAGCCCCACGTGTGTCGCACTCACCTCCAGGATGATCGGGATGCCCTGCACCGCCCTTGCAATGTCATTCACCACGCCGCTGCGCAGATTGCTCAAGCGATTGTCACCGCTCGTCTCGCCGCCGTCGTACACGATGAGCGGCACGACGCTGTCGGGCTTGCGCTTCGCATCGAGATGCTCGAGCGTGTACCAGAAGCGCTGCTCGAACGTGACGTTCGTGGAGCCGTCGAAGTGGTCGAGCGGCTGGGTGAAGGTGCCGTTGCGGATGTGTGACTTTGCAGCGGAGGGGAAGAGGTGCGAGAAGGGCATCTGCCGCCCGCGGAACGAGGGCGGCGGCGCGACGGACTCGGGCGAGGCGGCAGCAGCACGCTGCCGCGCGGCGTGCAGCGAGTGGATGTGCGGCGCCAGATGGCCGGGTGCATGCAGCGCGGCGACATCGCGAGGATGCAGCGCTGCGAGGGCGCAGAAGAGGAGCAGTGAAAGGCGCATGGCGGAGCAGGAAGGGCGCGCTGAGGTTGTGGAGGGTCGGGAAGAAGCGCGGCGGCGCGTCCGAGGCTGACGCAGCTGCGGTCCGTGCGCCGTCGACGCGCTCAGCAGTGAGCTCCTTGCAGCCCCCTCCGGATGCCCTCTCCAGCGCTCTCTCGCCCTGTCCATCGGCATTCACACAGCGGAGCACAGACAGCACACCGCGTATGCGATACGCCCAGCGGATATGCTGCACTGGCTGATATGACGCAGGCGAGCTCAGGCGGCCAGACGAGGGCCGCCTGCTCGGCAGCTCTTGGACCACGCCACTCTCCAAGCCTCTGGCTGCCTCATACTGATGGAGGGCGCGCCGTCTCACGCTCCACTCCTTTCGCTGTGCATCAAGCGAAGGCATTCATTCTAGCACACCTCTCCGGCGTCACAGTGCCCAGGCGCAAGTGCGTCGCCCATGGTGCACCGTCGCACGCCGAGCGGCGTGGTGTGGCAGGCAGCGTCCAAGCTCGCACTTTAGAGCGCCGAGGCACCGGTGATAATGTCGACGAGCTCGTTAGTCTGTCGCCGCATCCTGCGTCAGCCTCGCTCTCCTCTCTACGCGCTGCTCCACTCACAATGGTGGCCTGGCGACCGCGGTTGTACTGCATCTGCAGGTTGCTGATCATGTCGCCGGCGTTCTTCGAGGCGTTGTCCATGGCGTTGCGCTTCGAGTTGATCTCGGCGGCGTGGCCCTCGACGAGCGCGGCGTAGATGGCGTTGGCGAGCGAGAACTCGGCCAGGTCCTTGACCGTGTCCTCCTCGAGCTCGTAGGCGCCGAAGTTGGCTGTGGTGACGCATGAGGGTGAGCGGGCAGGCAGAGGTGAGAGGGCCAGGGCATCTACGCACGTGCGTCACGGAGCGCGCCCTCGGAGAAGACCTCCATGATGCGCGACTCGAAGGCGATGGCAGAGACGTAGGCGTTGTACACAATGTTGACCTTGTCGAACGAGAGGCCGCTGGACACGATCTGGTCGGCAATGGCGCTCGCGTCGGCGAAGGTCGGCACGTCCTTGCCGATCTGGTTGAAGCTCAGGCTGACGTTCTTGGGCAGGGCACGGGCCAGCTGCGCCTTGGTCTTCTCGCCGAGCACGACAATCTTGGGGCCCTCGGTCGTCTCGGTCGAGACGGCAGCCTCACCGCCGAGCTTGGCCATCTCGGAGCGCACGCGACGCGCCACCGACGAGTGGATACCACCGCACAGGCCCTTGTCGGACGAGACGACGATGAACAGCTCCTTGCCGCCCGAGGGAGACACGGCCTCGGAGTTCTTGAAGATCTCTGGAGAGGGGCGAGCGTGAGCACCGCTGTGCACGCTGGATCGCCTGCGACTGCACAGTGACACGGCGAGTGCAAGCGGCCCCGGGAGCAGCCGCACGTGCAGGGCAACGCATGGCATGACAGCGCTAGCGACTCGTCCAGCTGCTCCACTCTCCACACCGCCTGCCCTCCCAGGTTGCACCACATGGCCGGTCTGGCTGTCCTGCCGGCGCAGACTTGTTCGTGACAACGCGACCTGATACCAGACGACGCGGCCTAATGCCAAGCGCTCAGTCCACAGCGGCCATGCGATGCCGCCGCCTGAATGGACAAGCGTGGTCCGCTGCAGGACCGAGCCTCGACCTCGACGCCCGTTCATGTCCCTGCGTGCCGTGGTCCGACCCGATCTCCTCCTGGCTGTGGTAATCGGCCCTGCTCTCGTCGTCTCGCTCGTGTTGCCTTCCGCCCAGCCTCGCCAATTTGCCCGCCTCATGTGCCCCCGCCCGCAGTTCCGCGTGGCTAGCACCACTCACCGTTGTTGGCCTCGCCGTACACTTTGGCCGCGTTCATGGCGCGCTGCGCCTTGGCCAGCTTCGTCGAGGCAATCATCATCATCGACTGCAGACGTCAAGGGCAGACAGCGAAGGCGAGAGGAGAAGAGAGGGAGAAGAATGGGTCAGCTTCGCTGCTTCGCTCGCTCATCTCCCATGTGAACCGAGCGCATGATACTGTGCACAGGCATCGCAGAGTGCGCACAGACAGAGCTCAGCGACAGCCTCTGCGACAGCCGGATGATGCGCCGTCCGGCGGCCTTGGCGGCTGTGAGCCTGCGAGGCAAACATCGCCGGGGCCCTGCCGTACAACCTCTAGCTGCACCTCAAGGCAGCGCTTGGGGCGCATGCTCTCGCACGCTCCTATCAATCTGTCTCCAGCAGTGCGTCTTCGCTCTCTTTGCGCAGCTATCCACCTGGTTCTTGGCATGCCGGCGCTGCGCACCTTGGTGATCTTCTCGATGTTCTTGACACTCTTGACGCGGCCCTCAAGCTCGCGCAGCGTGGCGCACTGCGTGGCGCTGGCGTGGAAGGCACGCGGCGCAGCGGGCGCGGCGGCCAGGGCGCGCATGGCGGGGCGCGAGGCACGAGACAGAGAAGCCATGATGTGCGGAGAGGGGAGAGGAGGGTGGTGGAGATCAGGCAGCGAGCAGCAACGGCCGATGGCGATGACGCCTGCCGCTTCGGCCGCCGCCGTGCGAAGCTTGTGCGCCCGGCGCGCCGCCAGCAGCACCGCACGCTGGCGATGGGCGGCAGCGCCGCCGTGTCCACCCGCGCCGGCACGTGGCGCGCCTGCTGGCTTGCCTGCCCGACGTCTCGCAGACGGCCGCGAGACGCGCCCCAGCACCGGGCGCGCGGGAGTCGCGCTCGGCCTCCGCCAGGCGGCCGGCTCCCAGCTCAGTAAGAGTCTGGCTTGGGCGGCGCTCGGCTGAGCTTCTCGTTGTGCTCGGGCGAGTGACGCGCTTCGGCCGCCGCCTAGTCATGCATGGCCTCGGGCGACAGGTGGCTGAGCCGGCTCCACTCCACCACTGCCACCACCCACCACCTCACACCGCACCGCACACCCCTGGCCCAGCATGTCTGAGCCAATGTTCGACCCGTCGCTCCGGAAGAAGAAGGCCAAGAAGCAGCTCGACCTCTCCGAGCTCGACGCGCTGGACGCGCCCGCCGCGCCCGTCGAGAGCGAGAAGGCCGCCGCCGAGGTCGCCGAGCCGCCGGCGGCCAGCGCCGTCGCAGACACCGTCGAGAAGGTCGCAGACGAGCCAGAGGACCTGGGCTTCGGCGACCTGAAGAAGAAAAAGAAGAAGAAGGCCCTGCCGCTTGACTTTGAGCTGGTGAGTCGTGCGCGCGGGCCCGGACGGAGCGCTGGCGGCAGTGAGCAAGGGTGCTGGGGCGAAGATTCGGACAGCGGGAGCGTCAAGTATATGCGCGACGCTCTTGGGCTGCTGTACATCGCTGGCGCCTCTCGCAGCTCCAGACGCCGAGCGAGTGGACGCAGCGATGTGGAGTGCGTCACCACGGCGGGGCGGGCGCAGCTGGCGGCCAGCGTCCACAAGGCGACGCCCACTGCATGGACCCAGCTCGGCGAGAGCGCAGGGATTAACCACCTTGCTGTCCCGCCAGGATGGTACGCCCCAGGAGACGCCGGCCGTGACAGGCGACGGCGTGCCGCTGGAGCAGGTCTCGGCCGACAACGCGGACAAGGATGCGGCGGCGGCTGCAGGCGACGACCTCGACTTCGGCATGATGAAGAAGAAGAAAAAGTCGAAGAAGGGCGCCTTCGACCTGGAGGCGTTCGAGAAGGAGATTGTCGGCGATGAGGGCGGCGCGGAGAAGGCGGGCGGCGCGGGCGGCGAGGAGGACGAGGACCTCGGAGACGACCCGTTCCGGCAGGAGGGCGAGGACGAGGAGGAGAAGGAGGCAGAGGAGACGTGGCACGGCACGGACCGCGACTACACATACCAGGAGGTGAGCCGTGCCCCTGAACACGAGCGCTGTGCTTCTCAGTTGACCCCTGGTGCCCTGTCTAGCTGCTCGGTCGTGTCTTCTCCACGCTGCGCGCACAGAACCCGGCGCTGGCAGGCGAGAAGAAGAAGTACACCATGGTGCCGCCGTCGGTGCTGCGCGACGGCAGCAAGAAGACGGTGTTTGCCAACATTGTCGAGATCTGCAAGCGCATGCACCGCCAGCCCGACCACGTCATCCAGTACCTCTTCTCCGAGCTGGGCACGGAGGGCTCCGTCGATGGTGCGCAACGGCTCGTCATCAAGGGTCGCTTCCAGCCGAAGCAGATTGAGCACGTGCTGCGGAGATACATCAGTGAGTCTCAGCCGGCGGAACGGCGCCCGTGGGCTGCCTCGGCCACAGACGAGCGCAGCCTCTAAGCAAGCGAGCGGCAGCTGACCTTTGGCCTTGCTCCACTCGCCAGTCGAATACGTGACGTGCAAGACCTGCAAATCGCCGCGGACGCTTCTCAAGAAGGAGAACCGCATCTTCTTCATGGTGTGCGAGGCATGCGGCTCGCAGCGCTCCGTCACGACGATCAAGACGGGTTTCCAGGCTCAGGTGCGTGTCGGCCGTTGCGCTTAGCCAAGCGCCGGCATGTCGAGACAGCTCAGCTCACCTCGGCCTGCCCTTCCAGACCGGACGGCGCAGCAAGATGCGCGCTCAGACCTAAAAAGCCCGGTGCTGTCGCCGCGCCATCGCCCACACATCGCACAGACATGCCTCTTCACTGTACTATTTCTCAGCTGGCTTCACTCGCCAAATCACATCAGGTCCGTGGCACGAGCTTGCCTGGCGCCGAGGTGAAGGAGGGCTAGTCAGACAGTCTTGGCACGGTCATGCGGAGGACGTGCGACAGCCACGGCGCCTCGTTGCGGATGCGCTGGGAGATGTGCTGAAGCTCCTCGTCGCCTTGGCCGGCTTCGCGGCGATAGAGCGTGAAGCGAAACAGCATGGCCACGGCCGGCTCGTAGATGCCTTCGACGGCCTCCTTGCCCATGCTTGGGTGGTCGAGCAGCGCCTGGCGCATCTCGCCGAACGTCACGTCGATAGCGGCACGCAGATGTCCGCAGCGCACCAGAAATTCGACGTAGGAGAGCCAACAGTTGGCGTTGATGTGCGAGAGCCCTACGGACCGGGATCCGACCTGCCACACCTCCAGGCCTTCCTTGTAGCGCTGCGCGTAGCCGCATGTATCGAGCACGACGCTGAGTACAGAGCCTTGCAGCGGCACACGAAAGGCCAGCAGACGATACCAAATCTCGAACACCCGCTCGTGCTCCGTGATGCAGTTGTACGCGTCCATCAGCGCACTAACGAGCGCAACGTTGGGTTGCGCGTCTCTTGACCTCAGCAGGATGAGTTCGTCGATCTGATGCACTGTTGCGGCAACCTCGGCCATGCGCTCTCGAGCCTCGTCTCTATGGATCCCTCCGACCTTGCTGTAGTGCTTGCCCGCCGCGGAACACAGAGACAGCAGCGAAGTGAGAAGAGGCGCATCGAGCTCGTAACCCGCGCGAAGGATGTCGCGCAGAAAGTCAAGCGCTGCCGGTGCCGGCACGTGGAAATCCGTCGTGACTGGCGGCGCAAAGGTGACGCATATCCGCGAGTAGAGGCTGAAGAGATTCCTCCAGTGCGCTGCAGTGTACGGTGCTTGGCCCGGCAGTCGCGGCAGGTCGCGCAGCGTCTTGTACACCTCGAGTGCCGTCTCGGGGTGCGGAGCCGCGAGCATGCCCGCGCTGCTGGCGAGCTTGCGCTCGTTCTGCGTGAGGATCACCCTGTCGGCGTGCATGCGCTGCAGCACCTTGCGTGCGTTGGCCCAGTCGCTTGCGCGCTCGCAGGCCTCTAACACCTGGACGTAGAGCTGTGTCGGCACGTCATCGACGCTCTCGGTGCGCAGCTCGTCGAGATACATGAGCGCGCGTGATGGGTCGGGCAGAAAGGCATCTGCCCACGCGTGGACGAGTGGACCCGTGACGTCGGGATGGGCCTTGCCGCCAGTGGCGAGATAGCGGATGTAAAGCGCAGTGGCCTCGTATCGCTGCTCAGGACTAGAGACTTGCGACGGCGGCGGTGCCGCTCTGTCTCTGTCATGGTGATGTGGACCCAGCATCACCATCGGCGCCGTCTCGGTCTTGGCGACCGGCGCGCCGCCTTCGCACAGCGGCGTGATGCTGCCGAGCAGTGCACGGACGCCAACAGCGAAGGCATCCGAGTCCGGCGCCTTGCCGCTGATCGCCTCGACCTTGTTGAAGAGCTGTAGGATGTCGTCCTCGGAGCCATCTGCGGCGGCGTGCAGCGCCTTGCTGTGCGTGTGCAGCAGAAGCGCAAAGAGCGAGATGTCTGTTCGGGGACGCGTCGTCTTCAGGCGATCCATGAGCGCCACGAGGGCCTCTACTTCCGCAGCTCCGCCGTCCTGCTTGAGCGAAGCATGGAGGATGAGAGCATGCCATGTTTGGTCCGACGCACTGCGGTCCTCAGCAATGCGCCTGTGCAGCTCCGTCGCCGCATCACGGACGAGCGAGCGATCTGCCAGACCGGCGCGGCTGGCGCTGGCGACGAGCGCCGTGAGGGACTGCGAGTCGGCACGCGCGAGTGGCAGCACGCCGAGCAGGCCTCCCTCTGAGGCTGGCGCAGCGGCATGCTCGAGCGCAAAGTCTGCCTCGCCGAAGCGCAGCAGCAATTGCAGGGCGCGCGCTTGCCACTTGGCCGAGTCAGCCTGCACCCATGCCGGACGCAGCTCGAGGAGCTTGCGCAGACCTTTGGCGTCATCCGTTGAGCACGCGGCGCGCAGCACGACTGCGCCCAGGTCAGCTGGAGGACCGGCGTCGGGGTACTCCTCCATGAGACGCTCGCGCAAATGCAGCAGGTGCGCGAGCGACGCGTCGCTCGCCACGGTCGTCAGCGCGCTCAGCAGCAGCGCCAGCGATTGGCCGTCGTGCGGCGCATCCCACAGCGTCGGTGCATCGCGCAGCAGGCGCACGGCCATGCGTGCCTGTTGCAGCATGAGTGACTGCTGCAAACGCTCGCGCCGTGTCGTTGTAGGCGCCACGAGGGCCTCGGAGCGCCAGTGCGGCCGGGCCGGGCGCAGCAGGACGGTCGCCGCGGTCCAGATCTCGTGCGGCTCGAGTGTCAGCCACGCATGCGAGAAGGCCTCGGCTGCGAGGCGAGGATAGAGCGCGAGGAGGCGGTCGGCATCTCCCTTCCGGGCCGCAATACGGAACTGCGACTGCGTCTTGTGAATGTTCCACGTGGTGGGATTGTCCTTCTTCATCCTCTTCTTCTTGCCCGACGTGGCGGCGGCGCCGTCGCCGGCGTCGCGGTCGCTCGGCCAGAGCGAGTCGAAGAAGTTGCGCAGACCAAGCTTGTTGGTTGCGTCGGCCGTGCGCAGCGGCGCTGAGGATGAAGAAGCGGCGCGGCGCTGCTGCGGCGGCGGCGGCGGCGCACGAGGCCGCTCGAGGCACGGCGCAAGGAAGAGCGGCGGCAGGGCGCTGCCGCCAACACTGCCGCTGCTGCGCGCGGCGAGTGCCGCGCAGGATCGTCGCAGCGCCGTCATGCGTGGCGGGTGTGGTGTGCCATGTGAGGGTGGGTGTGCAGGAGGATGAGGTGGAGAGAGAGCGGCAAGGTGGCCAAAGCCTCGAGCACAGGCTCGACTTCTTGCGGCGACACGCGTGCCGAGTTCCGGGCCGCGTGGGAGCAGCTGGCTGGTCCCACGGCCCGGAGGCTCGGCGAAACCGCCTGCCACGCCCGGGAGAAGCAGCGCCTGGACACCCCGCAACCTGCTGCTGTCTGGAGGCCTCGCCTCGTGCCTTACTACATCGTCTCTCAACGTCGCAGGCAGCACCATGTCATGCATCATCAAGTACAGCGCCTCGCATCCGTTTCCGTTGCAGAACCTGCCGTACGGCATCTTCTCGGCGCCCGGACGCAGCGCACGGCCTGGCGTGGCCATTGGCGACCGCATCCTCGACCTGTACGAGCTTAGCCGCTCGCCGCACTTCGCGGGCGCCGGTGTCGAGCCGGGCGTGTTCCAGGGCGACGTGAGTGGCTGTGCTGTGCAGCCTCAGCGGACTAGCTGACCGCTGCTCTCAGACGCTCAATGCCTTTGTGGCGCTGCCGCCAGCAACCTGGTCTGCCTTCCGCGCCTACCTCGCCACGCTGCTCACGTCCGACGCCTTGACCGCCGACTCGCCGCTCTTCGTCTCGCGCACCGCAGCGGACACACAGCTGCATCTGCCGCTGCACATCGGCGACTACACCGACTTCTACGCCTCGCTGGAGCACGCCACCAACTGCGGCACGCTGCTGCGCGGGCCTGAGCGGGCCCTGCAGCCCAACTGGCGCCATCTGCCCGTCGCTTACCACGGCCGAGCCTCGTGCGTCTGACTGTTGCACACTCGTACTCCTCGCACTTATACCCTCACCTTGGCCGTAGCTCTATCGTCCCGAGCGGCACATCGTTCCATCGACCAGCAGCTCAGATACTGCCGCCCTCCGCGACACAACCCATCTTCGCCGCCTCGCAGCGCCTCGACTACGAGCTCGAGCTCGGCTTCGTCTACGGCGGACCCTCGACTCCGCTCGGCACGCGTCTGTCTCCTGCAGCAGCACGCGAGCGCATCTTCGGTGCCGTGCTGCTCAACGACTGGAGTGCGCGAGACGTGCAGAGCTGGGAGTACGTGCCGCTGGGGCCGTTCCTCTCCAAGGTGAGGCGCCAGGCAGGCAAGTGCTACACCTCGGACGGCTGACATGCTCTATACCAGAACTTCTGCACCACCATCTCTCCCTGGCTCGTGCCGCTGGCCGCCCTCGAGCCGTTCCGCGTGGCGCAGGCAACGCACGAGCCGCCGCTGCTGCCGTACTTGCGCGATCCGGACGGCTGCAACTACGATGTGCCGTTGTACGTTGAGATCAAGGGTGCGTTCTCAGCCGCTGATGTGCTGCAACGTACACGCTAACTCCCATGGCCGCAGCGCCCGAGAACGAGGATTACGAAGCCGTGGCCAAGTCGTCACTGCGACACACGTACTACACGGCAGCGCAGATGCTGGCGCACCACAGCACGTCTGGCTGCAGCATGCGTGCCGGCGACATGCTCGGCACCGGCACGCTGAGTGCGCCCGGCGAGCACGGCTACGGCTCGCTGCTGGAGAAGACGCACATGGGCAAGCAGCCCTTTGCGCTCGGCCGCCGGGCAGACATGACGTGGCTGCGCGACGGCGACTCGGTGCGCATGACGGCGCTGGCGCAGGGCGAGGGCTTCTGCATCGGCTTCGGAGAGTGCGAAGGAACGGTACTGCCGGCTCTGCCACTGCAATGAAGAGACGCAAACAATGTGGTCATTGAAAGAAGGCAGGCTAGGGCGCGAGATGCGCACGCGGGGAAGACGAGACGAGTGAAGGAGCGTGTGTGTGATGGCAGGGTAACTAGAGGCGCGAGCCGTGTGTGGAGTAAGGTATGAAAGACGAGCAGGGAAGAGCATAAGTAGAAAGCAAGATGAGAGACCGTCGATGGGCTAGGCCTCTCGGTGCGTCCTTGCTTGTCCCCGAGCTCCCAGCACGATCCTCCACACGCGTCCGTAGCCAAGCACCCCCACGCTCCTCTCACCAAGTCCCTGCGTGCGCAGCCCGCTCGTGATTACGAACCGGGTGCGGACAGGTGACTGTGGACGATCGGAAGGCCGTGGAGATGCTGCTTAGAAGGCAGTGATGAGGCCGCGCTGGCGAGCGCCAAGGATGATGCCGAGCGCAAGGACGATGAGCGTAAGCTTAGAGCTTAGACTGCCGCTGGACTCTTGGTCGGACACGCCAGTCGAGGTCGCGGAGGAGGGGGTTGAGAGGAGAGGAGAGGACGTAAGTGAGCGTGGTGCGGAGGGAAGAGGCGGCGAGAAGAGATCAGCGGAAGGAAGGAAAAGAAGAAGTAAAGCGTCTTTCGCCGTGCCGCCACACGAGTGCAAGCAGTGCGTCAACTCACCTTGGTCGAGACGCTGGCGTGCGGGTTGCGCGGGCGCGAGAAGTTGGGCTTCTTGCCGACGAGCGAGGCGAACTGCGCCAGGTTGGCGTTGGTGTAGGGCGGGTAGCGCGCAGCCATGAGCTTCTCGACGATCTTGCCCATGATGCCCGTGTGCGGCGCGTTGAGCGTGGCGCGCTGGTGGCTGAAGGTGTCGAACGAGCCCTTGCCGTGGTACGAGCCGTAGCCCGACGGGCCAGTGCCGCCGAACGGCAGCGAGCCAACGGCAAAGTGCACGAGCACGTCGCCCTGCACGGCGGCGCCCGAGCGCGTGCCGTCGAAGAGCTCCTGCGTCGCCTTGCTCGAGCCGAAGGAGTAGAGTGCGAGCGGCTGGTCGCGCGAGTTGATGAAGTCGACGGCATCCTGCACGTCGCGCACCGTCACAATCGGCAGCACCGGGCCGAAGATCTCGCCCTGCATGATGGCATCGTCGCGCGGCACGTCGGCCACGACGGTCGGCGCCAGCATCTTGCTGCTCTCGTCCTTCTCGCCGCCCATGACGATGCGGCCGCCCGTGCCGCCGATCATCTGGTTCAGGCGCTTCCAGTGGCCGTGGTTGATGATGCGGCCGTAGTCGTCAGACTTGACGACACCGCCCTTGCTCTCGGGCCAGAACTCGGCGGCAGCCTTCTTGAGCTCCTCGACGAGCTTCTCCTGCACAGCCTTGGTGCAGAGCACGTAGTCGGGCGCAATGCAGGTCTGGCCGCAGTTGAGCGACTTGCCCCAGAGGATGCGGTGCGCGGCGATGCTGATGTTGGCGCTCTCGTCGACGAAGGCGGGCGACTTGCCGCCAAGCTCGAGCGTCGTGGGGCAGAGCCACTTGGCCGCCTTCTCGGCCACAATGCGGCCGACGGTGCCGTTGCCCGTGTAGAAGATGTGCTCCCAGCGGCAGTCCAGCAGCGCCGTCGTCTCGGGGATCGCGCCGTTGACGACGCGCGTTGTCTCGGGGTCCATGTACTTGGGCCACAGCTCAGCGAGCAGGCGGGCCGAGTTCGGCGAGACCTCAGAAGGCTGCGAGAGGGGTAAGCTAGAGCGCTGAGCTTGATGCAGGCGCAGCACGCACCTTGAGCACGGCGGTGCAGCCGGCAGCGATGGCGCCAATCAGCGGGCCGACCTGGACCGACTGTGTGGAGGGTCAATGTGCGTCGCGAGGATGGCTCACGCGGTCTAGCTCACGATCGGGCTGCAAAACGTGTCAGCACAGTGTCTGCACTCTGAGCAGCACTAAACTCACTAGTTCCAGGCGCCAAGCACGAGCACGGTGCCCTTGGGCTCCTTCCGCACGGCGGCGCCGTGCATGGCCCACGCCATGCCCGACCACGGCTTCTCCGTCTTGGCCCACTTGTCGAGGTTGTGGATGGCGTCGATGATCTCCGTCGTCGTGCCCATCACCTCGGCAAAGACGGACTCGAAGCGCGCGCGGCCGAGGTCCTTGCGGATCGCCTCGACGATGGCGTCCTGGTTGTCCTGCGGGTGGAAAGGGTTGAGCTTCTGCACAGCTGAGACACCGCCGCCTGCGCCGCCGCCACGCAGCGCCACGCACATTGAGCATGAAGCTGAGCTGCTTGAGCTGGTTCTTGCGGTACTCGAGCGAGCGCGTCTTGCCCGTGAGGAAGGCCTTGCGCAGGCCGGCGTTGATCTCCTTGATGTCCTCGATGTCGTTGTACACGAGGCCAGCGATCTGCTGCGGCGTCTGCTCCTGCGACGACATGGTGGGCGAGTGTGTGTGGGTGGTAGAGGGGTGGAGTGGGTGCGCCGGTGGGATGTGGCGTGGTGGTGGGCAGACAAGAGAGCGGCGCTCGGCTCTGATGAGAAGGAGCGGCGAGGGCGTTGCGCGTCCCTTGTGCGTCCCGGCAGTGCGCCTGTGTCGCGCGGGCGCCCGGCCACGCCATCCCCGGACGGCGCGCGCACTGGCCGCCGGCCATAGGCTAAGCGTCGGCGACGTCGCACGGCGCACTGCCTGCACCTCGCCCCCATCTGTGCGCCATCTGGAAAGCCTCTTCTTCTGCCTCTGTTGCCATACCGTGCCTTGTGCGGATGGTGAGCGCTCTCGCCCCTCGTCGGCGCTACGCTTCGCTTCGCTGCTGCCGTGCCTCGCCTCTCCGGCTCTCACGCCGTCCGTGCGGCCGGCGCCCGAGTCCCGGCTATGCGTAGACACTGCCGGTGCGCCCGGCGACGTGCTGCCCGAGGCCGAGGCTGCGCTCAGCAAGGCACGGCGACACTCCTGATGTGCCCTGACGCACCTTCTCGCACTCCGCACAGCGCGGGGGAGTGCGCTAAAGCCGGACGCCGCGGCTTAGCCTCAGCAGGCAGAGGTGCCGCGCCGTCGGAGCGCTCGAGGATGATGGAGCGATTTGACAACTCCAGCCGTTTTGACTTTCGCCGGTCGACGTGTCTTCAAGAGCCTCGCCACAGCGAGAAGGTGCAGCTCAGCAGGCGTGCAGATGCGGGGAACAAGGCGCATGTCGGGCTGCGTCACGCATGACAGGCCTCCAGGCGTTCAGGGTGAAGGACGCTGCGAGGGGAGCGGCGCCGCAGCCTGGTGCTGTCCGACCGCGCACGCACGCTCGCACACCCGCCGGCTGGCCCAGCAGCATGTCACACAGCAAGAAGAAAGGCGAAGGAGCGCTCGCTTGGTGGCCACGCTGGGCAGCGCCGACGGATCGTCGGCGAGGGGGAGGCGACAAAGCCGTCGCGGGAGACGCGCGCAGCCTCCGCGAGAGGCCCACGCGTGCGACTCCCATCCCCAGGCGCGTCGGGATCGCACGGGCCAGCACGCCGCGTGCGTGCGCTTCTTCCGGCAGCACGGCCCGACCCTTGCTTTTGCCCACCACACGCTCCACCATGCCCAGCGCACCTCTCGCACTCACTGCGCTCGCCGTGCTGGCGGCACGCGCCGCAGCCATCGAGCTGCCGCTCGGCGCCGGCAAGGCGTGGTACCAGCAGGCGTACCCCGTGCCGTACTTCACCGCCGCGCGTGTGCGGCCGATCGACTTCCTCATCGACGCCGTCTGCCTCAGCCTGGCGCTGCTCTACCTCGTGATGCACCGCATCGGACGCGCGCGCAACCGCACGCTGGCTCAGACGTGGGCAGACCTGGCGGCGCCCATGCTGCGCAACGAGTTCGCCTCCGTCGGCAAGGGCCGCGAGATCGGCGCAGAGGGCGAGGAGACGCTCGTGTGGAACGGCGGCGCTGAGGCTGTCATGTATGCCACTGGCCGTCGCGGAGTCGACTCGTGAGTCACGCTGGTGGCGCGCATCTCGACCGCTGACTTACGTCCGTCTGCAGCATGCACGCCGGCTTCAAGCTTAAGCCGCTGCACGACCCGCTCGCGCTGCTCTACAACTTCGCCGGCGACGTCATTGCTGCCAGCGGCACCTCGTCGATCCGCGACCAGCTCATCCTGCACTTTGCGCTGCCGTACCAGCAGCCCGACAACATCTCCGGCGTGTTCGCCGTCGTGGCCAAGGACGCGTTGCGCCGCACGCGCGCCGGCCGCTTCGACCTTACCTTTGCCAAGCTGGCCGACGACGCCGAGGCGAAGAAGCGCGGCCTGGCCGAGAACTTCAGCATCCTGAGCGAGGCCGCTGACCTCAGCGACTCGCTGCTGTCCGAGAAGGTCGGCGTTGTGGAGGTGCTCAACGGCCCGGCCGGACACCTCCTCGACAGCCTGGTGCTCAGCGACCAGCCGCAGGAGAAGCCCGAGGACGGGTGAGCGCCGCGGCAGGCACGGCAGCTCATGCGCAGCACTGACGATTGCAACACAGCCCGCAGCCCGTCGAGAAGCGCCGCCGCATGCTGGTGCTCACGCTCAAGGCGCCGCGCAACGCCGCCCAGGCGCGCGACTCGCTCGCCCTCGTCGAGGCGGCGTGCAACATTGCCGATGCCATCGAGCTCGGCACGGCCAAGCTGCGCGAGATCACCGTCACGAAGCTGCGGCGCACGCGCGCCGATGTCGACAAGCAGCTGCAGGAGGAGGCCACGAAGGAGCAGCGCGAGGAGGTGAGTCAGAGCAGCGGGCCAGACAGAGCGCCGCGAGTACGCCTTGTTGCCACGCCGCACTGTGTACTGACACACGCTGTAGGAGGAGGAGGCGCGCCTCAACGCCAAGGCCAAGGCGGCCAAGGACAAGATGGCCGGCCTCTCGGAGAAGGAGCAGGCGCGGCGGAAGGAGATCGAGCGCAAGCGGCAGATGAAGAAGCAGGGCAAGTCCACCAAGGTTCGCTAAGCCCAGCGCTCGTGCTTCTGGCGAACGTGAGAGTAGTGACGCTGCCACGCGCCGCTTGACTCGCTGCAAGAATCGGAGGAAATTAATCAAAGGTGCCCTTGCATTACTCCTCCATGCCGTCGCTGTCGAGGGTGCTGTGCTGCAGTGCACACTCGTCTGCCTCGATCTGCGCCAGCCGCACGACCTCGGCGTGCCACTTGCGCAGCTGCGTCGGGCCCTCGAGCAGTCCCTGCAGCTGTGCGCTCTGTGCGCGCAGGTCTTCTAGCAGCAGCTCGACCTCGTGCGCAGGGCAGCCCGGCATGCGGCCGACAATCGTCTCGGGTGACGGCGGCTCGAGGCAGTCCTGCGGGTCCAGCACCGCTTCAGACATGTTGTCTGCAAAGGACGAGCATCAGCATGTGTGGACGACGAGCGTCTCGCAGCGCAAACGCACCACCGTTCGTCGCGGCGCTGAGAAGCGCAGCGTACAAGTTCGTGCTGCGCAGGCGCTCCGTGAGCTCGTCGTCGGAGATGGCCGTCGTGTCGGTGATGGAGGGCCAGCTGTGCTGCGTCAGCACTGCCCTGGCAAGACGAGCTCATCCGCTGCCACTCACTCGTCGCTCAGATACAGCCGGAGCCAAAGCGAGCTGAGGCATGCGGTCGACCGTGCCTCCGGCAGGTCCTGCAGGCGGGCGTGAGTGCACGCTCCGACCGCCTGGCGCGCCAGGCTCACCTTTGTGCGAATGAAGACCTCCAGCGCCGTGGTAAAGTTTTCGCTGGCTGACTCGGAAGGATCTTGAAGCGTGAGGAGATCGATAAGGTCCTCGGACGAGAGCACGCTGCCGCGCAGCAGCTGTGCGGCAAGGGTGCGGAAGAGCTGAGAGGGCGGGCGGCGTGAGCGAGGCCGGCGGCGTGCGACAGCCTGCAGAACTCACCGAACGCAGCGTCGGCAAGCCTTGCAGCGAGACGGCCACAGCATCGACGACGGGCTCAGCACTGAGCTCCGCGCCTTCGATAGCACCGGGCACGGCGCTCTCAAAGGCATCGAGCAGCCGCTGGTGGACATTGGTCAAGTCGATCTGGTCATCGATGACCTCGATCGCCTGCTGCTCCTTTGCCGTGGCGATCTGCTGCTCAGTGAGGAGCGCGATGTGCGAGAGCTTGCCAAGGCTCAGCATCAGCTTCTTCTCCGCCAGGCCCTGCTCGGCATCAGCGACGCGCAGCAGCTTGTCGCTTGCCTCGTCATAGCGTGCCAGACGTATATCGTGCAGCCAGCCGATGCGCGCGTTGTCGGTGCTCTCGAGGAAGTCGAGCAGCAGCTCACTCTCGCTCTCCTCCTGCTCGAGCAGCTTGCGCAGCTTGCCCTGCTCGACGTACCAGCCGTACAGCTCAAAGGCAAAGTCCTTGCGGTAGAGCCGCAGGTAGTGTCGAATGCGCTGCTCGCCGCTGCCGCTCGCGAGGCTGGGCTGATGGCACAGCTCTGTGAGCGTCCGGAAGTCGCGGTGCCGTTCTGCGAGGCCAAAGGCGCGCTCTTGCCGGCCCACGGCCAGAAGTGGCAGGATCATCTGCGGCCGTGCGGAGCGGTACCGCGCGTCGAGAAGTTCGCGCTCGCGATCCAGCGTGTTCGCGTCGCTGCCGGTGCCAGCAGCAGCCTGAAGGTACGCCAGACGGTCCTCGAAAGCAGAGAGCGCATGCGCTGCAAGGTCAGCCAGCTGGCTCTTGAGCTCTTGCTGCGCCCGCTGCGCAAGCCCTTGCGCACTTGTATCCGCGACGACGAGCTGCAGCGAGCCTGCGTCGACAGAGGTGCCGAGCTCGCGTGTCCGCTCCCGAAGCAGGTCCTCCGTTGCGTGGAAGAGCGCCTCGAGCACGTCGATGTTGCCCGCAGTGCACGTCCACGCCTCGAAGGCGGCCTGCGACGGCGTGAAGCGGTACAGCTCGGCAGTGTCTTTGCGACACCGGTGAGCTGCCTGATATGCAGTCAGGAGGATGCGATTGGCCTCCAGCACCTCGAACGATCGCACGTCGATAGACGTGCCTTGTGCCGCACGCACGCGCGCGGCGACCTCCTCGAGCACGCTATTGAGATACTCGAGCCGCTCGCGGAAGAAAAGGCGCGCGACGTCTCCGGCGCCTTCGCCGAGATCGCCCATGACCTGCTCGATCGACTCGGCCAGCGGATTGGCGCTGATGCCCGTCTGGCGTGCAGTGTTCATGAAGGCGTTGCTGTACTGCCACAGGTCGATGGCAGCGGCGAGCATTTCGGCATCCGCGCCGAGGTGCCGCCGGCTGGTCTGCGATAGCTTGCCGAGAAGGCCGTTCTGCGCAATAAAGCCAATCAAGCCACGCAGTCGCGCAACACGGTCGGCCAATTGTGCACGCAGATCAACGACGTCCTCCAGCGAGACCGACGCCGAGTTGACGATCTGGGAGCTGAGCCGCTCTGCGGCCGTGATCAGGTCGCCCTCGAAGCTCTGAGGAAGCTCAAAGGAGACGGGGTTGAGCGTGTTGTCGCCGTAGAAGACGGCCTGCTCCAGCTTGGCACGCAGCCGCTCGGTGCCGACGAGAGCACGTTCGGACGGCGACGCAAGTCGTTGTGCCAGGTCCTCGGCCTCGACACAGGCGAGCTCGAGCAGCAGTGCGCCGCTGCGCAGCGTGATCAACGACACCGAGGCGACATCCGTGTCGCTGTCCACATCGAGCGCCTCGGCGCCCAGGCCCAGAAAGCGGTTGCGCGACGAGTCCCGCAGCATGAGGACATCCTCGAACTCGACGTCGCGGATGCGCAGCACGACGGCTTCTGGGAAGACGACGAAGAGCGCCGGGCCGCCGTGAGGCAGCACGAGCTGCGGCGCGCTGTTCGGACGCGGGTCGCGGTGCGCTCGATACTGCATCTGGCTAGTCGACGAGATGACGAAAGAGGTCGCGCCAGTGGGCAGCTCCGCAATCGCGACACCGAATGAGCGCGCTCCGGACGCGCTCGGAGAATGGGCAAAGAGGATTGCCAGCGACGCGTCGCTGCGATGCGGGTCAGACACGGGCCGATGGGCTGCTTGCAGGCCTCCAACTCACTTTGTGACGGCACAGCTGAGCATCTCAAGGGCCACGGACTCAGGCGACAGCTGCGTATCGCCCTCGCTTGGCCCAAAGACGGCCGACACGATCATCTGCCGCAAGTCCTGCTCGGCAGCCAGACGCTCTCCGCCATTCTCGCCGATGTGCCACTTCTGCACGACGCGCTGGCCGAGCGTGAAGAGGTTCCACGTGTCGGATTTGTCCGGCGCCGGACCAGCAGCGAGGGCAAAGGTGCCCTCTGAGCCGAGCGAGAAGGACGAGGCAGAGCCGAAGAGACGACCAAATAGGCCGCGCGGCTGGGCAAAAGGTGCGACGGAAGCGGACAGGCGGCCACCGCGCGAGCTGACAAGCACGTTGAAGAGACGTGACTGGCTCGTCGAGACGGCAAAGCATGACGCCTGATCTTGCTGCGTAAGCACCCTGCGCGGACGCCGACCGTGAGCCAACTCACCTGGCACTGCTGCAGCGCAGTGATCGTCTCGCCAGCGCCCAGCGCGATGGCCAGCTCCTGTCCGCCATCTGCGCCTGCGCCAGAGGACACGACGCTGTTCCAGAAGGCGAGCTTGCCGCTTTGCGAGACCAGGATGAGGCCTGGCTCGTGACCCGAAGAGCGCGACACGAGGGCGCAGTGCGGCAGGCTCATGGGCGACGACGAGCTGCCGGAAGAGGAGGGCACGGAGAAGGTGTAGCAGATCGGCGACACGGATCCGCGCTGGCATTGTGAGACTGATGAGCTCGCCTGCTCTCTGACACTGTACCAGCTCAGGTGCTCACCGCCGTGAAGTTCCAGACGTAGCACACGTCGGGCGTCGTCAGGTAGGCGAAGCCAGTCTGCACGCTGAAGCCACTGGCCAGCGCCTGCCGGTACGGATCTGTGCGGCGATGTGAGCATGCTGCGTCGGAGAGATAGCATTGGCAGAGGGAACCTGGCCGGCTGCCTGAGTCTTTACTCACCAGAGCCCTCGAGCAGCTGCGCAACCTCAAGCGGCAAGCGCGTGAACGCTGTCACGGCCGTGATGTCGTCCTTGAGCAGGATGGTGCCTTCCTCAAGGCTACCACCGCCCGCTATGCTTCCCTCTGTCATGTCTGCGTCGTTGGCGAGCGACGTGTCGGGCTCGTACAGGCGGCTCTGCGGCGCCCCGCGCAGGCGCGAAGGCGTATAGCCGGCGGCCGCGGCCGCGCTCGCCTTGGCGAAGGGCGCAGGCGAGGCCCGGCCGGGCGTGCCGGCGCGCGACGAGCGTGCCGAGCCCGGCGCCCGGCGGCCCGGCGTCGGTCGGCTGGGCGTGAACATGGAGAGGGAGAAGGTGGTCGAGAGCGGAAGTGGAGCCGCGTTGGAGAAGCACGCGCCAACAGTCGCCGCCGCTGCTCTCCGTCTGGCGGCAGCTGCACGTCCTTCTCGCGCGGCGCGTCACGTGCGTGGGTCCAGCCGGCCGGTGCGCCCTCGCTCTTCCTCTCATTGTTGACGAGCAGGCAGCGCAGGAGAATGAAGCACTCCAGGTTCACGGCAGACATGCGTGGCTCTAGTGAGGGCAGGCTGTGCAGCCGCAGGTATGCTATTGAGTGACGGCGCCCAGCTCCCTCGCGGCGTCGTCCCACATGTCCCACTGTCCCCACACGCCAGCCACCGCCGCAATGACCGACCATGCGCCCTCCTCGCCCACCAGCCACTCGTCGTCCGTGAGCGTGCGCTTTGCCAAACGGGCCTTGGCGCTGCGCTTTGCGCGCGAGAGGGCCAGCGAGGCGATGCAGGCGCGCGCGAGGACGCGCAGCGTGCTGATCTCGTCCGACGTGAGACGCCCGTCGAGCATCGCAAGCAGCGCAAACAGCCAGCGCGCGTACAGCGGGTTGAACACGGGCGCCGGTGCTGGGCCGGCAAAGGGCAGCGTGAACCAGTAGGGGAGGACAGTGAGCGCCGCGAGGATGTGTGTCTGGCGGGCCGTGTCAGCTCGCGCGCTTCTGGCCTCGCTGCCCACACTCACTGTCGTCAGGCGCTTGAGCAGCGGCGCACTCGGCTCTCGCTCGGTAGCTGAGGTGTCTTGCGGCTCGGCATCGTCGCGTGAACGTCCCGCAGCGGGCATCTGGGGCGCAGACCATTCGTCGCCGTCGATTTCGATTGGCCGGTCTGGCGCGCAGCCGTGCACAAACTTGTACCACTCATCAGCACGACCTTTGCGCGGCAGACGTCCAGTACGCGGATTGGAGATCGGGCCTGCTGGCGGTGCGGCCAGCGCCTGCAGTACAGCGTGTCAGAATCTTGCTGAGCAGGTGGCCTCGCGCCGCGTCTGCCTATGAGGCCCTCTCTTCGCACGCCTTGGCACATCACGCTGTACGACTCACTTCCCGCATGGCCTTGAAGCGTGTCACATACTGCTCCCTCCACTCCTGCGGCGGAAGCGCCGTCCGGCTGCCATTCGCCGCGACGACCGGCACAGGCGCCACCTCCACGACCGCGTACGGATTCGTCGCAGCGGTCAGCACGGCAGGGTGCGACTTGGCCTGCTGCCGCACGACCGCAAGGTACGTCTCGCCGTCTGTGGGGATGCCGTCAAAGTCGGGCGGCAGCCGGCCGACGGGCAGCGTCTGGTTGCCGTAGTCGAGCTCCTCCTCCTCGCCGATGACGACCGTCGCCGCCTTCGCGCGCTTCGAGGAAGGGCCAGCTGCACTCTCATCGTCGTCTGCGCCGCGCGTGTAGCGCTGGCGGCGCGCCTTTTTGGCTGGCGGAGCGAACATAGGAGTGGGAGACAGTCGAGATGATGGAGGTCAAAGGAGAAGCGCACTGCAGCTTGTTGCAAGTGCACCTCCACCATCAGCGTTGCCCAGCCTCATCACGTGCAAGGCGGCCGCTCGGCAGATCCGCGGCTTTCAAAATCTGGCGCGCGCCGGCAATCCGTGCGCGAGATTGCCGGCACTCCCCCGCACACTTCGCGGCGCGAGGCCTTGAGCCGGTGCCAAGCCGGCGCAGCTCTTGCACCTCAACCACCACAAGCACCCAGCCAACATGACTGCGCAGTCCGCCTCCTCGTCGGCGCTGTTCCTCGGGCTCGACTGCTCGACGCAGTCGCTCAAGGCCTCGCTGCTCTCCGCCTCGCTCGAGCTCGTGGCCGAGGCGGCCATCAACTTTGAGGCGCACCTGCCGCACTTTGGCACGCGTGCCGGCGTGCACACGGCGCCGGGCGGCCAGGTGCACAGCCCAGCAGCGCTCCTGCTCGAGGCCTTCGACATGCTCTTTGAGAAGATCAAGGCGGAGCAGTGGAACCTGAGCGACGTGCGCGGCGTCAGCGCCAGCGGACAGGTGCGTGCCTCTCCTGCAATGGGAAGCACTTGTCAGCTCACGGCTCTTGCAGCAACACGCTACAGTCTATTGGACTCATGGCTCCTCCGATCTCCTGGCTGGCCTTGATGCGAGCCAGCCGCTGGCCTCGCAGCTCCGCGCTGCCTTCTCGCGCGACGTGATCCCGAACTGGCAAGATGCCTCATCCGGCAGCGAGTGCGCCGCCTTCGAGGCCGCTGTCGGCGGCGCAGAGGCGCTCGCACGCATCACTGGCTCGTCCTCGCACACGCGCTTCAGTGGCCCGCAGATCATGCGCTTCCGCTCGAGCGATCCGAAGGCCTGGGCGGCCACCGGGCACATCGGCCTCGTGTCGAGTGCCCTCACGACGCTCCTGACGCAGGCGCACCAGGGCATCGACGAGTCGGATGCGTGCGGCATGAACCTCTGGGACCTCTCGACGCCGCAGCGCGGCTGGAACGCTACGCTCCTTGAGACGACTGCTGGCAGCGCCGATGAGGCGGCGCGCCTGGCCAAGATGCTTGGCCCCGTCGAGAGCGACGCTGGCCGAGTCGTGGGCACCATCGGCGCGTGGTTCGTGGAGCGGTACGGCTTCAGCAAGGAGTGCATCGTCTGCCCGGGCACGGGCGACAATCCGGCGACGTTCCTCTCCTTTGCCTGTGAGTCGAGTGAGCTGCGTGCTGTGTCATGCTGCTGATCGCGCAACGCCCTTTGCCAGTGCCGCCGCAACACGCCGTGCTGAGCATGGGCACGTCCGACACGGTGCTCACGTCATCGGACGCCTACGTGCCGGACGTCAACACGCACACCTTCGTGCATCCTGGTCTGTGCGCGCCGCCGAATGCCGGCGAGCTTGAGGCGGGCCTGCGGAGAGAAGGCGACGGCCACGACGCCGCGGTGCGGTACATGACCATGCTGTGCTACAAGAGTGCGTGGCAAGCCATGCTCCTTTGCGGGTGGCGCTGACGCTAACGACGACCTCACAGACGGCAGTCTTGCGCGAGAAGCAGTGCGCGATGAGCTTGGCGGTGGCTGGGCCGAGTTCGACAAGGCCGTGCTCGACGCCCGCGAAGCCGCCGCCGGCGTGCCGAAGCGGGCAGCGTGGTACTGGCGCATGCCCGAGATTATTGTGAGGCGCCTCTTGCACCTCAACGCGGCTCTCCTGACACCCTGCTGCAGCCGAAGGGCGCCCACGGTACGGTGCGCTACGAGCTTGCGGCACACGGCGAGGCGTCGCGCGTCGAGTCGTTCCCCGACAGCATCGACGCACTCGCCATCCTCGAGCAGCAGTTCCTGTCCTACCGCTTCCGCACCGCCCAGATCAGTGCGCCCGGCACGCCGGCAGCCTCTGTGCCGCCGCTGCTCGCCGTGCATGCCGTCGGCGGCGCCTCGAACAACGCCGCCATCCGCACCGTCGCCGCCGACGCGCTCGGAGCGCCGATCCTGCGTGCAAAGCAGGCCGGCAACGCGTGCTCGATGGGCGCTGCATACAAGGCCTGCTGGGCCTGGACGCGGCACTCGCAGCAACGCTGGGTGCCGTTCGACACCTGTGTGCGCGAGGCTCGCGCGCAGGAGGACTACGAGGTTGTGGCGCGCCCGGAGGAGCGGCATGCCAAGCGGTACACGGCGGCGCTCGAGGCCTGGGCCGAGCTTGAGAAGCGCGCTGTGCAAGAGGCGAAGGCGTAATGTGCGGCGAGCTGAGCGCAGAGAGAGGCAAGTGTGCCCATGCGAGGGCCTGTCTGGTCGGATGGAGGTGCTTGTATACTGTCTGCAAAATTTAATTGTCTGCACCGCTCCTTTCACCAAGCTGCGGTCTTCTCTCTCGCGGCCGACTACCGGCGGTCTCTGCCGCTCCGAGATCGCCGTCCGTCGCGCTCGCCGCCGCTCGGATAGCTACGGTGGCCGCCCTTGCGGCGCCGATCTTCACCATCATCAGCAGGCGCCGCGGCGCGCTCCTCGCCACCTCGACCCGACCGCTCAGCCCGCGGGCCTCGTGGTGCTTCGTTGCCGGACGCCGCTGCCGAGCCGCTGCCACGCGGGCCTCGTGGCGGCTCTCGCGCGTCGTCGGCTGCTGGCGCGTCCCGCGGCCCTCGGTCGTTGTGCGCCTCTCGCCGTGCTGGCTCGCGCCCGGCATCCGCTGCGTCAGCGCCACCGGTTGAGCGTCTTGATCCCCCGCCACGAATCGAGATGCCCTGCGACTGGCTTGAGGCGTCCTCTCTGACATCCCGGGCGTCTTGGCGCGGCGCGTGGCGATCCGAGTCACGTCCGGCGTCACGACCGCCTCGCCCTGCAGCGCGGTCACGCTGAATCTTGACACGCTTCGAGTCAGGCCCCTCGGCTTCGTCTCTCGGCGCACGCTGCTGCGGAACAGATGAGCTTGGACTCGCAGTAAGCACATCGTGAGAGCCTTCACTCACAGCCTCAGGCGTCTGTCCGGGTCCCGCGTCAACGAAGCGGTCTGCGAGGCTCCGCTTCTGGCCTTGCATAGCGGACGGGATGCCGGCCGGAGAGTCGCGCGCTGATGGCTCCTTGCCTGCAGCCTGGCCATTGTGTGGCTCACCGCGCAGGGCCGACGAAGGGGCCTCTGCTCCGCGCCCATCGCGGCGTCGCTCGTCGTCCCGGCCACTGGCGTCGCGGGACCGAGCCTCGCGCGGCGATGCAACCTCGTCGGCGCGCGTCGAGCGCTCCGCGCGCGGGTCATAGCGATCGGACCTTCGCGAGTCGGCACGCTCGCCTCGGTCGCTGCGGTCAGGGCGCGGCGAAGGCTCGTCTGCACCCCGACGCTCGCTGCGATCGCGCATGTTGGCGTACATGTTGCGCGGCGCCGCCTCGCGCTCGGGCTCGGCAGACCGTGGCGGACGCTCGCGTTCGCGGCGGTCGCGGTCGCGATCCCGGTCCCGCTCGCGCTCGCGCTCGCGATCACTGCGGTCACGGTCGCTGCGGTCGCGGTCGCTGCGGTCGCTTCGCTCGCCACGGTCGCGGCCACTTTGCGACCGCGAGTGAGACGAATCTGCGCTGGGCGCGCGGCTGCGGCGCGGCGACACCTCGCGAGACGAAGCTTGGCGGCGCTCAGAAGGTGCATCGGCGGGGGCCGCCGCCTGAGGCGCAGCACGGGCGGACGCGACCTCCTCGTCCCGAGAGTGCGCTGGCGTAACGTTTCCGCTGCGCGCGCCGCCGCGCTCTCGAGCGGCCTGGGCGCTGGGTGTGTTGGCAGGCCGCTTGGGCGGGTTCATGCTGTCGAGCACCGCCTGTCGCGCCGCGCTGACGCTGGGCGCCTCGCGATCGGCAGGCGCAGGCGCTTCGCGGGCCTTCTCCCGCACGTCCGATGCCGCTAGCGCTGGCGCAGGCCGAGCGTTGTCGGAAGCTGTGGCCGCGCTCCCGTTGCGAGCAGCAGCGGACCCGGATGGAGGCGCACCGTTGGGCTTTCCAGCTTGTGATGGTTTTGCCGGCAGCCTTGTGTCAGCGCCATTGGCGGACGCGGCAGGCTGCGGTCTGTGTGGCGGCGACTGTGCTGGCGTGGCTGGCTTTGACAAGCCGGGCGCGAGACGCGCACGCTCTGCAGCTGGTCCGCTCGGCGGCCCTGCAGCAGCAATGCTGCTGGCCTTCGGACCCGTCGGGATCGCTGCTGCCGGTGCAGAAGCCTTGGCAGCCGGCGTCGGCGTGGCGGGAGCCGCGGGCGCCGGCGCGGCCGCCGGTGGGTTGACGATCTTGCGGAACTTGTGCGGCGGCAGCCACTGCTTCTGCCGCTTCTTGAGAGTCGCGTGCAGGCCGAGAGCCAGCACTTTCAGATCGTCACGCGGCTCCGTCTCGGACAGCTTGTGCACAGCAGCCATGAGCTCCTCGCCGTGCTGGTCAAGCAGCGGGAACAGCTGCGCGATGCGCGTCATCACGACGATGGCGTTGCGGATGCGCATGTACTCGCCGGAGCCCAGGCACTCCTTGAATGCCTGCGTGCGCTGTGGTCAGCAGAGGGACACGGCGTGAAAGGCGAGCGGACGCACCGTCTTGAGTACGGTGTGCCACTTGCTGTGCACTTGGCGGAACGACTCAAAAGGGCAGAAGTCCGCCTGCGGGATGGGCTCGCCGCCGTGGCGGGCGCCCCATCGCATCTGGAAGCCAGGCAGATGCTCGCCGATGGCCTCCTTGTTGTACAGAGCCTGGTCGGCGTGCCAGGCAGAGAGATCGCTGAGAACCTGCTGGAGGAAACGCGCTGCAAGTGGCTGTGAGCGGGCGTGCCGGCGTCAAAGACAGTGTCTGGTGCGCACCATAGTTGCGCGCCTCATTTTCTGTGCACGAAAAGATGACGGAGGCGACGTGGTCGACGAAGATCTGCGGATGGCATTCGAGTGAGTAGGGCATGCGACAAGTGCGACGCCGCCGAGAGGCGTGGCTCCTCTAAGGCCTGAGACTGACCTTGTCGTATGCCGTGAGACTGGAGAAGTTTCGGGCGCCATTGGCGTGCATGGTGCGAATAAAGCGGCCGGCAAAGATGGCGTCGGTGGGCGAGAGCAGAGCGCGAGGAATGATGCAGTATTGTAGCAGCTGATAAACAATCTGGGCGCGGTCCGTCGAACTGGCCGCGTTGGCTGTGGGAACGAAACGATCACTCAGCTCCCGGACACACGAGCAGCTCAGGAGGCACTCACGAAACCAGTGGTCCTTCTCGATCGCCAGGCGGCGCTGCGTGGCCGAGTGCGACAGCGTCTGCGCCTTGAACTCGGTCTTGAGGCCCGCAAGTGCTTCTCGTGCCTGCTCGCCAGCGCGCGACGGCGCGCCGCGGCGCTCCGTCTCTTGGCGCACGAGCGCTGTCAATGCCTTCGTCTCGGAGTCGTAGCGGTCCACGGGCACAGTGATGTCAGAGAGCGCAAGCTGCCAGAAGGTCGCGTAGAAGTGGGGTCTGCGGAGCGAGGGGTCATGAGTCGAAGACCGCAGCGTTGTTCACGCAAGACTCACCCAAGCAGCTGCTGGACCGCATCCGGCAGGAGCCTTTCCGCGACCTCAATCGCCTCCTTCATGCCCGTGCGCCACACTTGCTTTGCGGGCGCTTCTGCGCTGGACTCTGCCGCCGCGGCCCCGTTGCTCTCTGGCTTCGGGTCGACGTCCATCGCGACGTCCGCTGTAGGAGCTGCATCATCGACAGGCTTGTCGGCGGACTCTTCCTGCGCGGCCGATGCATCTGCTGCAGGCTCGTCTGCCGTAGATGCAGAGACCTCCGCAGGCTGGCTGGCGTCCGGCTCGGCAGCATCGCCGTCGGCCGCAGCGGACGCCTTTGCCGCCTTCTTGGCTGCACGTGCGTCTGCCTTTGCTGCCTTGGCCTCTGCCTTGGCCTCCGCTTTGGCCTTGGCCTCCGCCTTGAGGCGCTGCTCGTTCTCCTCTGCGTCTGCCGCACGGACTGCGTACTGCAGGCGCGGCCGCACGATGTGGAAGCCGATCGAGGGCTCGATGCCGAAGCGCATGCACAGGTCGTCGAGCGTCGGCACGAGCTTCGAGTACGCAGCCGGCTGCAGCTGGTTGTGCAGGAACTCGACGTACTGAAAGAGCGTCTCCTGGCACGAGTCGAAGAGGTTCGCCATGTACTTGAGCGTCGCCTCGCTCTCCGGCGTGAGGTAGATGCACGCCTGCCGCTGCTGCGCCACGAGCACGAGGATGGGCACTGCCATGCGGCTGCGCTCGAGGCACTGCAGCAAGCGCGCGCCGTCGTCGTGGAAGTCTTCGCGCGCCTCGGTGCCGATGCCGGCGTTGGCAACGATCATCGCCTCGCGCCGCAGCAGGCGGCCGCCCGTCAGCGCCGCGACCTGCTTGTCGCCGAGATTCGCCAGCGGCTCGATGCCGGCCATCTTGAGCACGAGCTCGCGCAGCAGCACGAGGTCCTTCGAGTTGTTCTGCTTCAGCTGGTTGGCGATGTACTGCAGCACCGGGCCGACGTCCATCTTCTTGTAGCGCCGGTAGACGTTGCCGGAGAACGCCGAGAGCGCCTTCAGCCAGAGGCTGATGTTCGTGCCGTCCTGCTTTGTGCGCTCCTTGGCCGGGTTGCTCAGCGCATCGAGCAGCACCCACGTGAAGACGTCGTAGCTCAGGTCGCTGAGGAACTTGGCCGACTCGACGATGGGCGCGATGAAGTTGTCGTACGCTTGCACCTGCGAGAGCGCCTCGGTGAAGAAGATGCACGGGTTGGCGTGCGCCGAGTTGGCGAGCTGCCGCTGCGCGTCCCGCGCCGCCGCCGACTTCATCTCGGTGTTGATGCGCTTGAGAATGCCCTTCGCCTCGCGCTCGGTGGCGATCTTGCGTACCTTGAGCTCCGGCTGCAGATACAGCACGTACTTCCACTCGCCGTACAGCGCGTAGCGCTGCGCGTACGGCAGGCGGTTGATGATGCTCCACACCTCGTCGGCGAGCGTCACATCGTGCTGCGTACAGCTCAGCGCAGGCAGGATGTTGGCGCGGAAGACCTCGAGCCAGGGCCGAAGCAGCTCGGGCTGCTCATCCTCGTCCTCGGTAGCCAAGACCCGGCGCACCTGCAGCTTGACGAGGCGGCAGAGACGGCGGAACAGCTCGAGATCCTTGGACAGATGCGGCCCGAGCAGGCGCAGCAGCGGCACGAACTCGGCCAGGAGCGAGTCGCACGACACGCCCGGCAGGTCCTCGCGCCAGGCGGGGTAGAAGAAGACCTCGCGCGAAGAGGCTGTAGGCGTCGCCTCGGGAGCGTTGCACGTCAGGACCAGCTTCGGCGGGCCCGACTGGCGGCCGCGCGTCTCGCGCAGCTCAGCACCTGCAGGCTCGACGTCGTCGAGGTAGAGGGAGCCAAGCGAGATGCTCTCCACGGCCGGCTCAAGCACGACGCCAAGCAGGCGCGCGTAGCGCTCTGCCACGCCGGGCTCGGAGCCGCACAGCCATGGGTGCTGGCTGAGAATGTAGATGCCGTGCTTGAGCTGTCCAGTCGCCAGAAGCGCCTTGAGCAGCCCGGTGATCTGATTCGGCGGCTCGCGCTCGGCCTCCTCCTTCTTCTTGTTCGCTGCATCCGTCGCGGCCGCAGCGGCGTCCGAGCGGCGCGTGTACTCGTCGACGAGCGGCGCGGCCATCGTCAGCGCGTTCATCTTCATGACCGTCGCGGCCGGCGTGCCCAGCGAGTCGCGGTACGCAGCCTGCAGCTTGGCCATGCCGGCGTCGTCGGGCGAGAGGTGCGTGAAGAGGTCAGAGAAGCGCACGTAGCCCTCGCGGATCAGCAGCGCGGCCATGACGTAGAGCTCCTCCGGCGTCTCCTCCTTGTTATCAGGCTGCTGATAGTAGCCAAACTTGAAGCCCAGCACCTGCGCGACGGTGTGGTTGCCTGGCTCGCCGCGGAAGTCAAGCGTGACCGGGCCCAGCCGTGGTGCCGGCGCCTCGTCCACGTCCATCGCCACATCGCCATTGGCTCCCAGAGCCGCTGCCGGCTCCTTGCGCTTGTCCGGGCCCCAGGGCGACGCGGCGAACAGTGCGACGAAGAACGGCCAGTGCTGCGTGATGTTGCTGCTGAACACGTCGAGCGTGATGTCGAGCACGCGGTTCGGGTCGAGGTCGAAGTAGCCGATGAGGGCAGAGATGTTGCCCATCGTCTTGCGTGCGCGCGCATTGCGCGCCTCGCTGCTCTCCTGCTCGACGACGCGCACGGGCGTCCGGTCTGGCCGGAAAGGCGCGCGCCCGTCGACTGGTCGGGGCAGCGGCGCGCAGCTCGTCTCTGCCGCAGTCTCGCCGGGTGCCAGCGGCGTCACTTCCTCGCGAATCGCCACAACGGCCGGGCCCATGCCGCCAATCAGCTCGTTGAGCAGGCCGGCGTAGCCCTCGTTCTCCTCGCGCAGCAAGTTGAACTTCTGCTGCTTGTAGAGGTTCGCCGTGTTCATCCGCACGCCCTTGCGCTGGAATGCCGTCTCGTCCTCGACGAGCCCGACCCGCCGCAAAAGCGGCACTTCGAGCCTCTCGGCGACGGTCAGACGAGGCAGCAGCTTCTCGCGCTGCAGTCTTGCGTCAGCGCTGCCGATCGCATGGGGCCCGGGACGCAGTCGGGCGCGAGGGCGGCCGCTCTCTCTACTGCAGCATGCATCCCACCAGCGCAACTCACGAGAAGCTCCTTCACCACATCTGCCAGCCTAGTCTTTGACTGCGCCGCGGCATCGGCGAGCGCCTGCTCTTCATCTCCGCCAGGCCAGAGAGGAGCCTTGGAGAGCAGCTCTGTCCGCGTGTCGATCTCGGCGTCCACAGTCCAGATGCCGTCGAGCACAGCATCGACGAGCACGGACGGGACGTCCTTCTCCGTGCTGGCCTCTGTGGCAGCCGAGACAGCGGCAGAAGAGGAGGATGCAGTCGCTTCAGAGCCGCTGCAGGCGTCTGCGACCGTCCGCACGAGCGTGGCGAAGGCCTTCGTGGCCAGCCGCGGGCTCGCGACGTGCGACGTCAGCATTGCGACGAGCAGCATGGGAAAGACGGCTGCCGGATCGAAGCTGCTCTCCAGCGTCGGCGGTGCCTGCAGGAAGACTGCAAAGCTGTCGTGCCATGCAGTGTCAGCAAGCAAGGTGGCGCACAGCGAAGACGCACTCACAGCTGGTCGCGGCCACCCATGTCCCATCTGTCCAGCAGCTTGCCGACCAGGCTCTCGGCCTCGGCCTGCGTCGTCGGCGCCCGGACATCCATGACGGGCAGTAGCAGTTTAAGACTACTTCGCACGGTACGGCTGCTTGTGCTGTGCACGGCAGCGACAGACGAGATCGGTCGCTCGAGCAGGCAGACGAGCGCGCGGAAGCGCTGCTGAGCCGCTGCGCGCACCGCTGCGGAGAAAGCGCAAGCGCACGCGGACCACGGGCGTAGGGCCAGAGCTGCGGGATGAGGGTGCCGCGCTGAGTGTGCCGGCGTCCCTGCGCAGATGGCTCGGATAGGAGGATGTGGGAGGTCGCAGCGGAAGCGCATCCTCCACAGCGAGGGCAGGGCCGTCGGCAGCAGGCGCGCGCCGCGAGCTGCCGCGAGCGCGGCACACAGGCAGCCTGCCTGCGCGCCCTGGCCGCGCCAGGTGCTCTTGTCACGTGCCGTCCGGCCAGACCTTCGCACGAAGCGCCGCGAAGCCAGAAAGCGCACCGTGCGGCGAAGCGCGCGACGCGATGCAGCTCGCTCGACTCAAAGTCAAGCTCAGCGGCGAGCAAGGCCCGTCTCGTCCTCCACCACCCCGACCCCACCCCGACACACACGTTGCCCAGCATGTCTGGCCAGCCGAGTAAGTGTGGCGTCGCGCGCCGGCCGCTCCGCGCGCGCGCGCTCCGGCTGACGGCCGCCTCCCAGATGTGTTCTTCATGAACCCGACCGAGCGCCAGAGCGGGCGCAAGGCGCAGCAGAGCAACATCGCCGCCGCCAAGACGGTCGCCGATGTGATCCGCACGTGTCTGGGCCCGCGTGCCATGCTCAAGATGCTCCTCGACCCGATGGTGAGGGCGCAGCGGCCGTGCGTGTGTCGCGCCGAGCGGCTGACCCACGCCTTCTCAGGGCGGCATCTTGCTCACCAACGACGGCAACGCCATTCTCCGCGAGATTGAGGTCGTGCGTAGCAGCGCGCTCTGCAGCACGGGCGCATAGCATGCTGACCAGCTCGCTGCCAGGCGCATCCGGCTGCCAAGTCGATGATTGAGCTCAGCCGGACGCAGGACGAGGAGGTGGGAGACGGCACGACGAGCGTGATCATTCTCGGTGAGTGCGAAGAGGACGAAGGGGCCGGTGGGCGGCATGCGAAGCCTCGTTCGGCTCTGGGTGTGCCATGCATCGCGGCGCAGCATCAGCCCACAGCGTCTGACGCTTGTGCACCGCAGCCGGCGAGATCCTCGCACAGTCCATGTCGCAGCTCGAGCGCGGCCTGCATCCCGTCGTCATTATCCGCTCGTACAAGGCGGCGCTGGCCGAGGCGCTCGACATCATCGACCGCATCTCCATTCCCGTCGACACGAACAACGAGGAGGAGATGCTGAAGCTGATCAAGACGTCGATCGGCACCAAGTTTGTCTCGCGCTGGTCCGACCAGATGTGCCGTCTGGCGCTCAAGGCCGTGCGCACCGTGGCCGACATTGACGCACGGTCCGGCTCGCGTGGCGGCACCGTCGACCTGAAGCGGTATGCTCGCGTCGAAAAGGTGCCGGGTGGCGAGATCGAGAGCTCGCGCGTGCTCGACGGAGTCATGCTCGCAAAGGACGTGACGCACCCGAAGATGCGCCGCCGCATCGAGTCGCCGCGGATCCTGCTGCTCGACTGCCCGCTCGAGTACAAGAAGGGCGAGAGCCAGACGAACATCGAGATTTCCAAGGAGGAGGACTGGAACAAGATTCTCGAGATCGAGGAGAACCAGATCCGCCTCATGTGCGACAAGATCATCGAGTTCAAGCCGGACCTGGTGTTCACGGAGAAGGGCGTCAGCGGTGAGTGGCGCGCACAGCTGCAGCTGCGCATGTCGGCTGACTTGCGACGTGCGTGCAGACCTGGCGCAGCACTTCCTGCTCAAGGAGAACATCACTGCCATCCGGCGCGTGCGCAAGAGCGACAACAACCGCATTGCGCGTGCCTGCGGCGCCACGATTGTGAACCGGGTTGAGGACCTGCGCGAGGCAGACATCGGCACGCGGTGCGGTCTGTTCCACATTGAGAAGCTCGGCGACGAGTGAGTGCACCGCAGTAGCGCCGTCAAGGCGCTTGCTGACGCCGTGAGCAGGTACTTCACCTTCCTGGAGGAGTGCAAGGAGCCGAAGGCGTGCACCATCCTGCTGCGCGGCCCGTCGAAGGACATTCTCAACGAGGTCGACCGCAACCTGGCTGACGCCATGGCTGTGGCGCGCAACGTCGTGTTCAACCCGCGCCTGGCGCCCGGCGGCGGCGCGACCGAGATGGCCATCTCCGTCGGCCTCAACGAGCTGGCGCGCACGATCGAGGGTGTCGCCGTGGGCCCGATCCGTGCCGTCGCCGATGCCATGGAGGTGATCCCGCGCACGCTGATCCAGAACTGCGGCGGCAACGCCATCAAGCTGCTCACCAGCCTCCGCGCACACCACGCCAACGGCGAGCACTCGATGGGCGTGGACGGCGAGGGCGGCAAGATTGTCGAGATGGGCGCCTACGGCCTGTACGAGCCTGCTGCTGTCAAGGCGCAGACGCTCAAGACGGCCATCGAGGTGAGTCGCGCCATGCGCAGGGCGCCCACCACAACGCTCACGCATGCCATCGCAGAGCGCCTCGCTGCTGCTTCGCGTCGACGATGTCGTGTCTGCACGCAGGCAACAAGGCGGCGGCGGAGGCGGCGCGCCGCAGATGCAGCAGATGCCCGAGGGTGCGGAGGGCGGCGACATGCCGGGCATGGGCTAGAGCAGGGCGCGGGCACGACGCAAAATCACACAGGGCCGCCGGTCATTGCACAGAGAGAAAGGAAGCGGGCCGCATTGCAGCCGTGCGCGGTATCTGGGTCACACGGACTGCCTGAAGAACAGCAGCAGGAGAGGAAGCAGCAGGCCGGCGAGCAGCAGCGAGACCTGCGGCATGCGTCCGGGCATGGGCTTGCCGCGCAGGAAGGCGTCGACTCGCGCCGCGACGACGCCCGAGCCAGCGACGACGACGGGCACACCAGTGCCGGGCTGCGTGCTGGCGCCGCAGAAGAAGAGGTTCTTGTGCGTGGCGTGCCTGTGAAGCCAAGTCAGCGCGTGCAGCTGGGTGTGCGCGGCAGCGTACGCACTGCACGCTAGGCCGGAACCAGAGCACCTAAAGAAGAGCGTGTCAGCATGGTGCAGGACTCGCTGGACGCCGCTTCGTCTTACCTGCGGGATCGTGTGCGACAGGCCCAGAATCGAGCCGCGGAACAGCGAGAAGCGCTCGCGCCAGTCGAACGGGTCCAGCACCTCCTCGACGTCGATCAGGCTCTCAAAGTCGTCGCGGCCAAGGCGCTTCTTGAGCGTCTCGATGATCTGCTTGCGTGCGCGTGCCTTGGTCGCCGCGAATGCCTCGCGCGTCTGCGGACGGCCGCCGGCGTCGCTGCCAGGCAGCGGGATCGGACCGCAGGGCACGAGCACCACGAGCGTGTCCTTGCCTGGCGGTGCCGCGGTCGGGTCTAACCGCGAGGGCACGTTGACCTGCACGCATGTGTCAGTGGCTGCAGCAGCTGAGGGCCGGACAGAGAACGCACGTAGAAGGACGGCTCGGTGGGCAGCAGACCGTCGCGGAAGATCTCGTCGAATGACTCGCGATAAGCCTCGGCGAGGAAGATCTGTGCGCGGCGTCAGCATCTGCGTTGCTACGGCTACTACCATGCCTCACGTTGTGGCCGCCAAGCTCCGGCACGATCTCCTTCATGCCCCAGTAGAACGAGATGCTGCTGCACGTCTGATCCTTGTTCTGCAGGCGCTTCGCATAGCTGTCGGGCGGCAAGAGCGAGTTGTACGTGTGCACGAGATCGACGTTGCTGACGACCACGTCTGCCTCGAGCTCCTCGCCTGAGTCGAGCTCCACGCCGCGCGCGCCCTTGGGCCCAAGCAGGATCTTGCGCACGCCCGTGTTGAAGCGGAAAGTGGCGCCGTGCTCTTCGGCCACGCGGTGAAATGCCGCGACGACGCGCTGGAAGCCGCCGACGGGGTACCAGACGCCTGGCATGGCGTGTGAGCCAGGTCTCTCTCGGCACCGCGACGAGACACACCCTTGGCATACTCGGCATACTGCAGCAGCGAGTAGGTCGCCGGCGCGTCGAACGGCGACATGCTGGGCATCCAAAGTCAGCTGTGCAGCAACCGGAGCTTGCTGCGCCTCGCTCACCCCATGTACATGGAGCTGAATGTCATCGCCCGGCGAATGTGGTCCGACTTGAAGTGATGGCTGAGAGCCGCTGCCTGTCAGCGCAGTCACATCGCTGTCGGACGCAAGGCGACGCACCTGGCTCGGGCATACAGCGTCGTGTAGATGTGCAGCACCTTTGTGCGCAGCAGCATCGGGTACAGCTCCCAGCGCGTGAGGGCGCCAAGGAGGTGCGTCCAGTCGAGGGTGAGGACGTGCTTGATGCTCTCCTCGTAGTGCTCGCCGGCCTCCTTGATGAAGGACATGAAGCTGCCGAGCGGATCCTTGCTGCCGGCGGGGCGCTCGAACTCCTCGAGCATCTTGCCCATGGCGACGAGGTCCGAGGAGAGGTGCAGGCTCCTGCCGTCGTGGTAGTGGATTTTGTACGCCGGCGCCGCCAGGTGCAGGTCGTACATGTCCTCGCGCCGGCGGCCCAGCGACTCGAAGGCGGCGTCGAAGATCTCGGGCATGAGGTACAGCGACGGCCCCACGTCCCAGCGGTGTCCGTCACGCTGCAGCAGCGAGCAGCGGCCGCCGACGTCGCCGTGCTTCTCAATCACGCTGACGCGGTGGCCGGCGTGAGCCAGACGCGCCGCCAGAGCCGTGCCGCCTGCGCCGGCCCCGACGATGACGACGTGCTTGCCGCTGGGCGAGGCAGATGTCGAAGCCATGACCTGTTGCTTGATGCTCGTGATGGTGCGGAGCGAAGGAGCACGGCGGTCCGGCGAGCGTTGGGTAAGCGCGCGGCGGAAGCGCGGCCCGGACCCTGAGAGCAGTCGTGGCGCGCTAATCGCGCCGTGCCGCGGGTAATCAAAGTCAAGTCAGGAGGCGGAGGATGCCGACAGCGAGCGGCGCGAAGGTGCCGCGAGGTCCTTCTCGGCGCACGTCCCTCTCCCACCCCGTACCTCGTGCTCTTCGCTCCGCCATGGCCGCACCGCTCTCCGCCGACGGCCTCACGCGCGAGGTGGCCGCGCTGCTGGGCGCGCTGCCCGACACGCTGCCCGCGCTCTCGCCGCTGCCCACGCTGCCGGCGCCCGACGCGCTGCCCGGCCTCATCGACCACACGCTCCTCGCGCCTCACTCGACGCCCGCCGACATTGAGCGCGTGAGCGCTGAAGGAGCAGCTTTGAAGGCTGCCACCGTCTGCGTCAACTCGTCGATGGTGCCCTTTGCGGCGGCGGCGCTCAAGGGCCACGCCACGCGGCCCATCGCGACCATCGGCTTTCCCTTTGGCGCGGGCGGCAGCGCGGCCAAGGCGCTCGAGGCACGCACCGCGGTGGAACAGGGCGCTGCCGAGATTGACATGGTGAGCTGGCTGAGGGCCGTACGGAGCCATACATGCTCAACGCTGTGAGCTTGTAGGTGCAGAATGTCGGTCTGTTGCGCGCCGGGCGCCTGCACGAGGTGTACCTCGATGTGCTCGGCGTCGTCGAGGCCAGCAAGCCGGCGCCCGTCAAGGTGATCCTCGAGACGGCCTCGCTGCAGCGCGAGGAGATCGCCATCTCGTCTCTGATCTCTGTGAGTGCCTCGTCGGCGAAGCTGCGGTGCAGGCCTGATGCCTGCCTCCCTCCAGTGTCTCGCCGGCGCGGCGTTCATCAAGACGAGCACCGGCTACGGCCCCGGCGGCGCCACGCCCGAGGCCGTGCGGCTGATGCACTTCGTCGCGGCGCCGCGCGGCGTCGCCGTCAAGGCCAGCGGCGGCATCCGCACGCTCGCTGCCGTGCGCACCATGGTCGAGAGCGGCGCCACGCGCGTGGGCGCCAGCGGCACGGCGGCCATAGTAAGCGAGGCGCGAGGTGGTGCTGCGGCTACGGGCAGTGGCTACTAATGGAATGCAAAGTCACCCGTTCTCTGTCTCTATGAAGACGTGGGCAGCGCTGGGTGGGGTGCGCTCCAGCTCGCCAGCAGGGTTTTGGCCGGACGCAGCGCGGCGCTTTGGGCTCGCTTCCTCTTCACCGCCGTCGCAGCGGCATGCTCATGGCACGCCATTCATGACAGACGTCCAGGAACGACGATCGTCGTCCTCGCGCGCCTCGGCCGCCTCGCACTCATGCCCGAGGGCCAGCTCGGGCAAACAGCCGTTCGACGCAGGGTCCGCCAGCGCTGAATGCTCCGTCGCTTCGCCTTGACGATGCGGTGCATTTGCATGCAGCGAGCGGAGTGATCGCCCGTGGACAGCGGAACGCTCCACGCTGCGCCACACGATCAGGAAGCGAGCTCGACAGGCAGAGGGCTCGCGAGCCGGCGGCCGGCCGTGTGCGTGTTGCTCTGCCCCGCATCGCGAGCGACGCGCCGCATGCCTCACGCGTCTCGGCGTCCGAGCCTTTCGCAGTCCGCTCCGCCGCTGCTCCTCTCGCCCCGTCGCTGCGATCTCTCGCCGTTGGCGGGGCTCAGTGACATGCAATCTGGAGCACAAGGGTGACAGCGCTCGTTTGCGCCGCGACAGTGTGTGCCAGGCAGCTCGCTGCTTCTTTCGCTGGCCGTGACGGGCACGCGAGGCGGTCGATGTCTGTGACACCGCTCGTCGAGCGTGCGAGCTACGAGATCAGCACCGCAGCCGCCTCCACGCAACGGCGAGCTGACTGGGTCTGGAGGACATACATCTAGGCACGGTGGTGCTCTGGCAAGCCCTGCCGGCGACCGCTGAGAGGCAACGTGTTCTTGCCGCAGCAGCATCTCGCAGCGCTCCGCCGTCAGCCGCTCGCACCCGCCATTCTCACGCGTGTCGACGGTCTGTCGGCCCGACGAAGCTCGCGATAGCGTGCTGGCGCGGGCTGCTTCGCTGGCGTGCTGGCTCGCCACGTCGGACGGGTGGGAGCGAGGGGTCGGAATGGAAGAGGCGCAGACGCTTGCTGTGCGGCGGCGCTTGGGCTTCCCGTCGGCCGCGGCCGGTGCTATCGGGCGGCGAGGGCAACTTGCGGCGCTCCCTCCGGTACGTCCGGCCGCCGCCAGCAGATGCAGCGACAGCGAAGGGCTTGCGGGAGCGCAGACGCATGAGAGGGCGCCGTGCGCTCGACATGCAGCCGCGCCACACGCGCTGGCTCGTCGTCGTCGTCGCTTGCGATTGACCCCTCGCACCTCGCGTCCCTCACTCACGCAGCCCGGAGAGCGCTGCGCATAAGAGCTCCCGAGGCGAGCATGGCTGCAGCCCTGGCGCGGCAGGCACGGCGCTCGGACGCGCAAGCGACGCACGTCGCTCAAGAGGTCGTTGCGAGGGCATGAAGCTCTCATGCGCTGCTGCCGCGGCGGACGTCGGGCGGGTGCAGCACACGTGCGAGCGAGGGCGTGTGGCGCAGGGCGAGAGGGATGATCGGGCGGAGCAGCGCCGAGACGCGAGGAGCGCTGCTCCGCCAGCGGCAGCTGCAGCGGCGCTCGAGAGCAACACTCCGCGTAGCGTACCGCCGCCGCCGCAGCTGCTCGCCAGCACCGCGGCCTCGCTGACCTACACACCGCAGCGGCGGGCGCGAGCGTATCTCGACTGCCAGCGAACAGCGAGGACAGCGCAGATGCAGAGCGCAGCACGCAAGAGAAAGTTTGCGCGGCGAGCGCAGGCGCCTTTCAACGGCTGCTGGCGCTGCTGACGCGTGCCGCGCCGCCAGAAGGACGCGAGGTGTTGCTCTCGACGCGCGGCGCGCGTTCGCACGCTGCGGCCGCCGCAGCACGCAGCGTGCTGCCGCCAGACAGACGCTTGCTGCGCTCTGACAAGAGGCCGTCGCACCGCTGCCGCTCAACGCCAGCACGGCTGCTTGACACGCTCTCTGAGGAGCATCTCTCTGCGTGGGGGATGACCAAGAGACGGCGCCGGTGTGATGAGCGGCGCGTGCGCGAGAGAGCGGCACGGACGCGGCGCGGCTGGACCGCTGAAAGAGGGGCGCGGAGCAACTGGCAGCAGGGGCCGCAGCCGCCGCATCGCAGCCGCCGTGCCTCGTCGAGCCGCCGTCGTCGTCGCTGGCCTGATCGCTGCTGCACGAGGCGATTCGCTGCAGCTGCATGCTGCTGCACGGCACCCTGCGCCTGTCCGACTCCGACAGGCGCACTGCGTCAGCGCACGCGCGAGCGCACCAAGGGCGCGAAAATGCAAACCGAGATCAGCAGGGAGAAGGCGCGGCGCGCGGCGGTGCGGCGGTGCTGCGTGTTGCTCGTGAGTGCGGCGCGTGGAGTAGGAGAGGTGCTCCTCACCTTGCTGCTGCTGGCGGTGCGTGCGCCGGCTCGGCTCGGCTCAGCGAGTGATGCACTCTGCACCGCTCTGCCATCTCCTTCTCTCGTCTCCTCGTCCCGCCCTCGTTCTTGCGCCGGACCCGACCCCATACCCTGTGCCGCCGCGCAGCCGCACCGATAGGCCGTGCTACCGAGCCGCTCGCGCTTCCTTGCACGTCTCACCACCACCACCACCGCCTCTTTCTCGCTCTCACGTCACCGACTCTCCGCCTTTCTTTCTGACCGACGCCGGCGACGCACGCTTGTGCAGAGTCAGCGCTGCGGCCATGCTCTCCGAGGCCGCGGGTGCGCGCCTCTCCAAGCCTCGTCCGCCGGGCGTGCGGCGGCCCAGCGGCCGCCAGCAGGCGTCGCTCGCCGACGAGCAGGCATCGCATGCGCCCAGCGGCTCGGCGACGCTGCAGCCCTCGCCGCTGCTCAATCGCGCCGTGCACTCGTCGCCCGGCCGCGCCTTTGACCGCGATCTGGACCTCGACCTGCCGGTGGACCTCGCCGCGGCGCTCGGCCGCACGTCCTCGGCCTGGCCGGCACACCCTCGCCGCAGGTCGTCCACCGCTACTGGCGAGGCGGCACCTGGCTCGGCGGCAGGGTCGCCGCGCCGTTTGACCGCGGAAACTCCGTCCGTCGGCGGCAGCTTGGGCCGCAGGCTCGGGCGCAAGCTCTCGCGCGCCCTGCTGAACGCTGCGGACGAGCACGGCCAGACGGCGCCGGACTCTGACGGAGTAGAGCTGCCGAGTCTCAGCTTGCGTTCCGAAGACCTGCGTTCTGACGACACGGTGAAGCCTGGCTACGCAGATGAGTGCGAGCTCGGGGCGTCGTCGGACGAAGAGCTGGACGAGGAGTGGGTGGGCGGCCTGCCGCGCGAGGAGCTCGAGGCGCTGCTCAAGCAGGCAAACCAGGTGATCCGCGAGCGTGAGCGCGACCTTGGCATCGCGGCTGCCATCGGCAAGGCGCTGCTGGACAAGAACATTAGCCTGCGCAGCAAGCACGTTGGCATCTTGACGCGCCTCTCGAGCACGATCAACCTCAATGAGCAGGCCACCTACTCGCCGCCGACGACGGACATCGATTGCAACTCGCAGCGCGGCGACCTTGACGACGATGAGACGCCGATGCCCACGCCTACGCTCTCAGGCGACTATTTTGCCTCGCAGCAGGCTGCAGCACCGTCGCGTAGTCGCGAGCACTCGCATGCGTCGCCCCAGCGCCGGCCGGCACTCGACTCGGTCTTTGCGCGCCCGAGGACCCCTGAGGGCCGTTCCTGGCAGCCGAGCCAGGCTGGTCTAATTGCGTCGGGCTCGTCCTCTCCGGCCAACAGCCAGCAGTCGACGGCCTCAAACCGCCACCGCAAGACGTCCTCCACCCTCTCGTCGAACGCCATCGCCGCCGCCGTCGCTGCCGACGCCCAGCGCCAGCTAGAGATGCTCAGCGGCCAGAACGACGTTCTCCTCGCGCAGCTGGCTGAGCTGCAGGACGAGGCCGAAGAGGCCAAGGCGGCCGGCAGCCGGCGTCTGCGCAAGCTGAACCGCGAGATCGAAGGCCTGCGCGGCGAACTTGAGGCGGCGACGAACCGTAACGACGAGCTCGAGCGCAGCGGCGAGACCGAGTCGACGGACAGCGGTGCCGAGCAGAAGCGCAAGCAGTGGCGCCGCCGCTCGCGCAACGATCTCTGGAGCATGACCGACCTGAGTGGCAGTCCGCGTGTCTCGGATGGCTCTCTGCCTTCCACGAGCCCTTCCTCCGCTCGGCTCAGTGCCATGCTCAAGGCCGACACGGAGCGCCTCGGCGGCGCGACTGGCGATGAGGCTGGCATGCCGCCGTCCGTCTCGTCGGCCATTCTCGGACAAGCACATGGCGAGAGCGCCAGCGAGCGGGCGCTCGTGGCGCAGCTTCTTGCCAAGATCAAGGAGCTCGAGGACACCAACGCCGCTCTGGCGCAGGCGGGCACCGAGATGGACGGCAGACTCGGTCGCGCGCTGCAGGAGGGCGAGCGCATCCGTGATGCCTACGATGCCGTCGAGGCGAGCTCGGCGTACGGCGGCGATGAGACGTTCAACGAGACACATCACTCGCTTGGTGGTCTGAGTCCCTCGGCGCTGCGTCGACGAGCTGCTGGCAATCGCCATATCATCGAGGGCCGCCGCACCATCCGTGCGGCGCTGCGCCGTGAGGCATCCCAGTCGCCCGGCGACATCTCGCGCTCGAACACCGGCTCGTCACTGGCAAGCAGCGCCGCCAGCAGCGCCGCCTCGTCGCCGCGCGCCTTCCGCAAGGGTCGTCTCGGCAGCGGCCTAACTCGTCCTCGCATTCTCATTACGCCTAGCATGGAGGATCTTGCCGCCCGTCGCCGTCAGGACGCAGAGTGGGAGGAGCAGCAGCCCTTTAGTGCCGGCTCGCTTGGCCCCAACGACGCGCGCAAGTACGGCGCCACTGTCTCGCGCAAGCTGCGCCGCGCGTCCAGCAGCGGCAGCATGGCCAGCGATGGTGACGGCTCGCGCTCGAGCATCGAGCTGCCCATGCACGGCATGTCCGCTTCGCCCAGCGCCGACAGCTCGATCGACGAGGCGATGAGCGAGTCCGCCACATCTGTCTGGAACGGCCGTCAGACGCTCGGCAGTGAGCTTGGCGACACGTCGCTGCAGATGACCAGCGAGCTGGCGCACTGGACCCAGGCGGCGAGCGGAGCGCAGCCGGGAAACGACAGCGACATGCAGCTCTCGGAGCTTGACAAGCCTGCCTCAAACTGGTCGCCAGCGCGTCTCGGCCGCCTGCTGCGTCCGATCGCCAGCTCTGCCAGCTTGCGCGCTCCAAGTGAGGCGGCCGAGTCGGACATTGCCGACCTGCGCTGGTCCGTCTCGAGCACCAGCACCGTCGTTGCCGCGCCGCAGCGCCTGCTGACGGCCGGAAGCGACGCTGACCAGATGCTCGTGCCGAGTCTCGACTTCGAGCTGCAGCGTCAATTGTCTCCTGCCGCCGACGGCGAGTGGCCGGACCCGAACGAGGAGCTCGTCCCTCGCGGAGCGCTTCGCGACGACGTCATGACGAATCACGAGTCGTACGACCTGCTCGAGAGCGCCACGCGCCTGCGTCCGGTGCACTGGGCCGACGACGACGACTTCGGACAGCCCATCACCGAGTCCGAGGCGCGCCGTCTCGGTCTGCTGGCTGCGGCCAAGAAGTCGCGCACCAGCCTGCTCGGCTGGGTCAAGAAGAGCGACTCGGCAAGCAGACGCACGGGCAAGGGCAAGATGCGCGAGGGCCTTCCGCCGTCCTCGTCGTATCGGCAGATCGAGAGCGCCGAGCAGATCGACGCGCGCGGCCGTCTCACGGACCTGCTGCGCCAGAAGCGTCTCGACGGCCTCAAGGCACGCGTGCTGGCCGGCCAGATGGACGCCGACAAGGCCGTTGCGCTCGGCCTCGACGCCGAGGACGCCGACTCGGCCATGGCGCGCTCTCTCGACCGCGAAGCCACCGCTCGCGCCCTCGCCATCTCGCCTGCTCGGCACAGGCGCGCCATGCAGCAGCGGCAGTCGCCACAGCAGCAGCAGCAGCGCAGCGTCGGCCGCCGTGTCGGCGCTGCCATGATCCGGCAGCAGTCGTACGGCTCGCCCAGCAAGGGCCAGGCGACGTCGAGCACCCTTGTGCGCCGCCGTGGCGAAGCGTCCGACGCAGAGGACAAGACGGGCGGCTCGTCCGACGAGCAGTTTGAGCTACTCGACCTCGACCCGAACCGCCAGCCTTCCCGCCGCGGCATGAACTTCTTCCCTGTCGACACGCGCGCCCGCTACAAGCCGGAGATGGTCAAGCAGCGCGTCAAGGTCGCCAGCCACGATGCGGCCACGTGGGCGACGACGTGGGTCAGCTTCACCCTCATGGTCGTCTTCGCGTTCCTCGTCACCATCCGTGTGAGTAGCACGGTGCTGCCTGCTCGCGAACTGCTGCTGACGCCATAGCTTCCCACAGCGCGGACCCAAGCAGCTGGGCAGCGGCGGCACGAACTCGGCCATTCTCCCTCCCCGTCCTTGATGCACGCCGGGCGTCCCTTCGATCCACGAGCATCTTCTCGAATCCCTCACGAACCCTCTCACGCATAGATGATACCGCGCTTCTTCGCAAGCCTTCACGACATCTCCCCTTCCCGATTCTGTGGCTCCCGCGTCACGCCCCACGAGTCATTCTTATTTGGCGTCCGTCGCCGCGCGGCGCACTCGCCTCTGGCCTGCTTCCAGCGCCAGTGGTGCAGCGCCTGCGCCCGCGTCCCGTCACCCTCGGCTCCTCTCAGCCCGGCCAGCACCTCATTACCCCAGACACATCGTCTCTCCCCCGCAATTTACATCGCCGTGTGTGAAGAGCTGCGTGCGCCGCGTGGGTCATCGTGCATTGCTCTCCGCCCATCGCCCGACTTCGACCTCGCACACCTCCTCGAGCAGCTTGCCGCTGTGCGGTCCGCTCTCGACGACGTAGCGCCAGCTGCCCCACTCTTCCAGCACGCGCTCGCGCAGCTTGCCTCGCAGCTTGCGCGCCGACGCCGAGCCGCTGCGCCGCAAGCCGGCGCCGGCAGCGTCGTCGTCAGACGCATCGCTGCTCTCGTCGCCCGAGCCCTCGTCGCTCGAGCCGCCGCCGCTGGCTTTGCCGCGCTTGCGCAGCTTTGCAGCTGTCGCCGCGGAGGGCCGGGCGGGTGCGCAGCCCTCGGCTGTCAGCTGTCTTGCGAGGATGCGCAGATGCGCGGACTGGAGCACGTATTGCCCGCTCAGCTCGCCCAGGTATGCGACTGTGCCGAGGTCAGCTGCGCTCGTTGCGAGGCTAGAGGGTCACACGCACCAAACTGCGCGAGCGTCCACGTGCCCCACATCGCTTCTTGCATCGTGAACTCGGGGCCCTTTGCGCGAGTGGCGTCAACGAGCAGAGTCTGCGCATTGTCACCGAGCATCTGCAGGCGCGAGTTCGCCTTGTGCTGTGATGAGAGGGTCAGCCTTGCGCAGCAGTCGGGTGTTGCGCCAGACTCACCACGCGGGCCATCACGTCTGCAAGGTCTGCCACCTCGTCCTCAAGCTCGTCGAGCGCGGCACCGAGCGTCGCTTGCCGGCCGGCAGCAGAATGAGACAGAGCCAGCGCGTCGCTGTTGGCCAGCAAGGGTCAGCGACGCCTGGGCACCGTCTGCCGGATGAACTGACTCCAGGGCGCGTGCCTTGGTCGAGATCTCAGCAACGACGCGAGCGGCATCGTCGCTGACGCAGCGCTCCCACGTGCGCCGAGCAGTCAGATGGTCATCGATCAAGCTGCGCAGGCGGCGGTGGTACGTCGTCTCGTCGTCGCGGCCCAGCAGGCCGAAGCCGGTCGCAGCGCTGCTCCCCGCGCCGGGCGTGCCGGCGCGAGCGTCGGGCGTGGGCGAGCCGCGCGAGACGTGGCGGCTCGACACGCTCGGACTGCCGGGCAGCGGCGAGAAGGGCGTGCTGCGCGGCGGCAGTGGCGCTGGCATGCTGTGGCGCCTCTCAGCTGCGGCCTTGGTGTGCTTGACGGTGGTGGTTGCAAGGCAGAAAGGCGCGCGTTCTGCTCCCGCCGCACATGACGCGCGCGACTCTGGCGCGCCGCGCTCCCAGACGAAGCTGTGAAGCGCCCACAGAGCGACATGCTGGCGACAAGAGCAAAGATGCAGGAGTCGACGAGGCCATCAGAAGGGTGGAGGCAGCCTCGGCCTGTCACAACAAGAAGTCGGCCTCAGGACGTGCTGACGATGAGCAGGCTAGGCGCGCATGTACCACTAAACAGGTGGGGGTCGCGTCACAGCAGCCGCTGGCTGAGGCCTGGCGTGCTTGCCCCTAGGAAGCGCATGGGGGCGGATCACAAGTACATCGATGGTCACGCAGGAGTGTCTAGGACGCACTTCTTCGACCACGCCGGCCACGAAGACACGGGACACACGCAAGGAGTACCAGGAGATGTCATCACATTAGCTCTGCGTCCCACTGACACTCCGGTGCGACGTCTTGCCCGGCATGCTCTCGCCGCCCAGCAGCGAGCGCAGAACGCCGCGGCGCATGGCGCGGCGCAGGCTCCAGCGGCCCTGTGCACGCTCGCTCTCGAAGCCGTTGCGCTTCGTGCGTGCCTCCTCGCGCTCCCGCCGCACCTCGGCACGCATGCGCGGCGCTGCCCGCGCGTAGTGCTCCCATGCCAGCGCGAAGAGATCGCCGCCGGCAGCATATGGTGATGCCAAGTCGGAGTGGAAGCGCGACTCGGCAGGTGCCTCTGCCCGCTCGTCGGCGCCGCGCCCGCCGCGCGCAGTGAGGATCGTCGGCTCGCGCAGGAAGATGAGCGAGCAGGTGGCGAAGCTGACCTCGAGGTGGCCGGGCACGAAGAGGTGTGGTGCAGCGTACGCCGGCAGCGTGAAGGGCAGCACGCCCTTGGGCAGCGGCGGCGCAACGCGCGAGCTGATCTCGCGCTTCACCTCCGCAGCAGCAGACTCGGGCTCGCGCTTCGCCGGGTCCGCAGCAGTGGACTCGGGCGCGACAGGCACATCGCCGTACGCAGAGGAGCCGCCGGCTGCAATCAGGTGAGGCGCCAGCGCCGGGTTGAGCATCGGAATGGCCGCCGGCGTCACGCTGACGAGGTCGCCCGGCTGCAGCAGGTGGTTCGGGTTTGTCACCTGCAGCGCACGAGTCAGCCATGCAGCGCAGAAGCAAGAGCACTCCTCCGGATCGCTGCAAGCTACCCGTGTACACCAAGCCGCTCTTTCCCGCCACATGCGAGCTTCTGCATACACTCACCTTGGCGCCGTTCACCTGCACATGTCCCTGCACCACCAGTCCGCGCGCCTCGTACGCGCTGCGCGCAAAGCAGGCGCGGAAGAGCGTCGTGTCGACGCGGCGCTCGACGTCGCGCATGAAGAGCGATGCGACGGGCATGCGCTCCTCTGCGCTGGCCTCGCGCTGCTGCTGCCCGCCAGCCTGCGACGACGAGGCGGAGAGGGCCGACTGGCGCTTCTGCAGCAGCGAGGGCAGCGACGTGGGCAGGAACCAGCGCTTGAAGCGCCGCTCGGGGATCCAGTCGCCGTGGTAGGCGCGCAGGAAGCGCTTCGACCGCCACCGCTGCTGGTACATCGTGTCGGCCGTGTCGCGGAAGGACGTCTGCGCGCGGTTCAGCGGCACGAGCGAGCGGGAGAGGAGGTTGTAGAGGTTGTGTGGGGACCAGGACTGTGGGGGCGGGTGTCAGTCCCAGCGACGGCGGTCGAAGCAGCAGAGAGAGGACGCATGCAGCCGTGTCTCCTCTACACCCAGCCGAGCCGAGCCAGAGCAGCTAGGAGCGCCAGTGGCCGCTGCCCGCCGAGCCGCCTTCTGATCGCTGATCTCTCGTGCAGCGAGGCTGGGGACCAAGCCATTCCGCCGAGGTGCACGGCAGCAGCGCAGCGCCTGCTTCTGGGCACCTCTGCAGCGGCCGCTGCGGCCCCGTTCCCTGCTACGCAGAGCGATGCCTTGCCTCTGTCCCGGCGCAACCTTCTCGCTGGCGCCTTGCTCCTTCTCCGCCGCTCGGCGGACACGCACCATGCGCGGCAGGATGCCCTTGGGGTCGTGCGCGAAGAGTCTTGGCTTGCGCATGCTGGGCAGGTGTGGCGGCCCGGCTGGCCGAGGCGAGACAAGTGTGGAGAGGAGCGGGAGAGGAGAGGTGGAGAGAGAGAGAGGGCCGCGCCGGCGAGAAGCAGCGGCGGCTGAGGCCAGACGCGCCCCGGCCCACGTGACCCCGCCGGGCACTTCCGTGGGAGCAGCAGGCGCGGCCCGGCGCGACGCGGCCGCTCTCGCCCGAGAAGGACGGCGCCGGATGGCGTGCGCGGCTGCGAGCTGCTGAATTCTGATTGCCAGCGCTGCCGCCTGATCTCGGGGCCGCGTCCGGGGCGCCGTCTCCAGCGCGCAGTCGGGCATCTCGACATCGCTGCAGCGCACAGAGGTGGACTCTGCCTCGTGTCAAGCTGAGGCTGGCGCTGCAGGTGTGACACGCTGGCAAGCGGCGAGGCGACATGGGAGCGCGGCTGGAGTTTGGGCAGCGCGGCCCGGATGTCGGGCACGCCCCTCGCGCGCGCGAAGAAAGCGGATCCTCAGTGCGGCGGAGGAACACACTGCTCGCGTGCCCGGGTCGGCGGCTCGGCGACCGCACGTTCCACACGTGCGTTCTTCTGCCTCGCGAGCGTGCGCTGCTGCAGCAGCGTCGAGCAAGCATGCACCGCCAGCTCGCACTCGCACACATTCATCTTCCCGACCCCATCATCCACCCCTTCCACTACACCCACCCACCACATCACATCCAACATGGTCGCTTCGCAGGAGAACGGCGCACGCAAGGCGCTGCCGCAGGGCCACTTCCTCTTCACCTCGTGAGTCGCGCGCTCCACATGCTCGGCCAGCGTCTGCAGATGTCCCCGCAGGCCGCACGACAAACGAGATTCGGCGTCTTGTGCTCTACTTCTCTGGCGCGCTTGTGTTGCAGCACATCCGGTCGTGGCAGCTCAAGATCGCCTCTGCGCTGCACACTCGCGCTGCGAAGATCCGCATTCTGCACTCCCCAGCTGCTCTTGCGCTGCGCCAGATGCGCCTGCAGATGCTGCGCTCTCAGCGCGCAAAGGCTGTGCAGAGCTCGCTGCGTCTTTGCGCGCGACTTTTCGGTCTGCCTGTGCTGCGACTTGGCTCGCGCGTCTGCGAGCTTCTACAGGCATGCGAGCCTGCTGCAGTGCCGGGCTGCGTTCTCCGCTTTGCACTGCTCAGCACTGCTCGGCACTGCTCAGCACTGCTCTCACTCGCGCCGCCTTTGGCCACTCCTGCGTCTTTGGAGCCGCTGCTGACGCTTGCGGCCACGCAGCGAGTCCGTCGGTGAGGGCCACCCCGACAAGATCTGCGACCAGGTCTCGGACGCCATCCTCGTGAGTCTGCCTTTGCCGCATGCACAGGCCACGATCTGCTGCTGATGCGCCATTACAGGACGCATGCCTCGAGCAGGACCCCTACTCCAAGGTCGCCTGCGAGACGGCCACCAAGACGGGCATGATCATGGTCTTCGGCGAGATCACGACCAAGGCGCACATCGACTACCAGAAGGTGATTCGCAACAAGATCCGCGACATTGGCTACGACCACTCGGACAAGGGCTTCGACTACAAGACGTGCAACGTGCTCGTCGCCATCGAGCAGCAGTCGCCCGACATTGCTCAGGGTCTCGACCACGGCAACCTCGAGGCGCACGGTGCCGGTGACCAGGGCATCATGTTCGGCTACGCCACGGACGAGACGCCCGAGCTCATGCCGCTGAGCCTGATGCTCTCGCACAAGCTCAACAGTGCCATGAGCGCCGCGCGCCGCGACGGCTCGTGCGGCTGGCTGCGCCCCGACAGCAAGACGCAGTGCACCGTGCAGTACCGCAAGGACGGCGGCGCCATGGTGCCCGTGCGCGTCGACACGATCGTCATCAGCACGCAGCACGCCGAGGAGATCAGCACGGCCGACCTGCGCACGGAGATCATGGAGAAGATCATCAAGAAGGTCATCCCCGCCGACATGCTCGACGACCAGACCATCTACCACATTCAGCCCTCGGGCCGCTTCGTCATCGGTGGCCCGCAGGGCGACGCCGGTGTCACGGGCCGCAAGATCATCGTCGACACGTACGGCGGCTGGGGCGCCCACGGCGGCGGTGCCTTCTCGGGCAAGGACTTCAGCAAGGTCGACCGCTCGGCCGCTTACGCTGCGCGCTGGTGCGCCAAGAGCCTGGTCGCTGCCGGCCTTGCCCGCCGCGTGCTCGTGCAGTTCTCGTACGCCATGTGAGTGCAGCAAGCGTCATTCAGGAGTGGTACAGCGGCTGACACCCTCTCGCGCCCCGCAGCGGTGTCGCTGAGCCGCTCTCCGTGTTCGTCGACTCGTACGGCACGAGCTCGAAGAGCGACGAGGAGCTGGTGCAGATAATCCGGAACAACTTCAACCTGAAGGTGAGCGCGCCGAGGCAGGATGCGTGCCCTTGCCGTGCTGACATGCTTGCTCCGCGCAGCCCGGATACCTGATCCGCGACCTCAAGCTGCAGCAGCCCATCTTCGCCAAGACGGCTGCCGGTGGTCACTTCGGCCGCTCCGAGTTCACCTGGGAGCAGCCGAAGCAGCTCAACCTCTAAGAGGTTGCCGCCTGCCAGCCCACCGCATACCTTTCGCTTCTCCGCCTCTCTCTTTGCATTCTCCACTCAACTTGCTCTCGTCTTGCATCCATCCCCACACACACACACTTGGTCGCTCCTCACAGGCCTGCTGCCCGCTCTCACACTCATCTGTAACCCTATTTCCACAACATAGCTTCACCTGACAGCCGCCGCCGTGCCTGCGTGCCGGGGGCGCTAGAAATAACACACGTCAACCGTGCAGCGCTGTGGGAGACATCGTGCTGTGCTGAGCCGGCATGGAGCTTCCGTGGAGGGCGCAGCAGGAACAGAGAGCGGCGGCACAGGCACGTCCCGCATGCCGTCGCCTGAGCTGCCTGCACGGCGGCGGCTTCTGGCGCGCACATCTCTCTCCTGCGCTTCCTGCGGCTGCTGCACGTTGCACCCTTGACGCGTCTTGCCTCTCGCCCCCGCACCCCACCGTCACGCGCCCGCCATGTCTGCGCCGCCGCTGCGCGTCCTCACGCTCAACGTGTGGGGCCTCTACCTCTTCTCCAAGCGCAAGAACGAGCGGCTGGCGGCCATCATTGCGCGCCTCGAGCGCGCCGCCGACGCCTACGACGTCGTCGCGCTGCAGGAGCTGTGGTGCGAGAGCAGCGACTGGCGCGAGCTGCGCGCACGCACGCGCGCGACGTGGCGCTGGGGCAAGTTCTTCTACAGGTGAGTGCAGCATGGCGTGTCTGCTCCGGCGAGCCTGTGCTCAGACCCCGCCGGCGCAGCGGCGCATTCGGCTCCGGCCTCGCCATCCTCTCGCGGCACCCCATCCTGCGCACGCGCACCGAGCCGTACCTGCTCTGCGGCCTGCCCATCCACGTGCATCACGGCGACTGGATCGTCGCAAAGGCGGCCGGATGTGCGACGATTGCGCTGCCGCAGGGCGACGAGGTCGACGTCTGGGTCACACATGTGCGTCCGCTGCATCCAGGCCGCCCCGACGCTGGCTGACTCTGTGCAGACTGTTGCTGCTGGCGGTGAGGACGGGCCCGAGTCAAACCGCGCGCACCGCGTCGCGCAGGCGTACGAGCTGGCGTGCCATGTGCGCGACAGTGCCGAGCGAGGGCGGCATGTGATCTGCGTGCGTACACTGCGCAGCTCCTTCCCCTGCGCACGGCTCACGCCTTTAGCAGCTCGGCGACCTGAACTCGACGCCGCCGTCTCTGGCGCTGGCGCTGCTGCGCGACATTGGCGGGCTCTCCGACTCCTTCCTCGACACTCACCCCTCGCTGCCGCCGCACGCCACGTCGCTGCCTGGCACCGCAAATCCCGAGCGCTCCATCGTCGAGCTGGGCGTCACGTGCGACTCGCCGCTCAACACCTGGACGGCCGGCAAGCCGCTTGACCCTCGTGCACGAGCTGGACTCGGAAAGCGCCTCGACTACATCCTCTACCGCGGACCCGTGCGTGAGGGCAAGTTGCAGCTGCGGCCGCGCTCGTCGCGCGTGTCGTGGACCGAGGTGGACGAGAGTCTGGGCTGCTCCCTCTCCGATCACTTTGGCGTCGAGACGACCTTTGAGCTCGTGCCTTCCGCCGCAGTGACTGCACACAGCACACACGTGGCGCAGACGCTCACGTCGGCGCTGGCGGCACTCGGCGGCGCGCTCCTCGACAGCCGGCGCACGCAGACGACGCACGGCGTGGGCTTTCTCGGCGCCCTGGCCGGTGCGCTCTTTGCGCTCATGATCCTCACTGCCGGGCACGCGCCGGGCATCCTGCGCTTCCTCCTCGCGCTCTTCATCATCGTCGCGGCATGGGCGGGCACGACGCTCTTCTACTCGGCCGTCATCTGGGGAGAGTGGGAGAAGCGTGAGTGTCCTAGGACATCCCATGCAGTGCTGCGCCTGATGACTCTTCCTACAGGTGCGCTGCGCACGGTGCTTGATGCCATGGCCCTCGACCTGGAGCAGACGCGCGGCCGCATTGCAGCGCCACGCCCGGCAGTGCTGGCCGAGTTGACGGATGCGCAGCCCGCCGAGCAGCAGCCACATGAAGACGAGGAGGGGCGGCCGAGCGTCGAAGATACACACGAGCAGCAGCGACTCATCTAATACTATCCTTGTCACAATCGCTGGAGCCAGCGGGCCAGTCGCGCGTCGAGATCTCCATGAAAAGTTGGCGGGTTGGGCAGACAGTATATATACGCATCCGGCGAGATCGGCTAAAAATTGCGGGCGAATGGCTTAGGGGCAAAGCGCCTCGTTTGCAGTAGGACTTCGGTCCTGAATTATTCGAGGAGATCCCGGGTTCAAATCCCGGTTTGTCCATCTTTTTGCCCGGCGCAGGCGAGACTTTTGTGTCGACTTTTGCTACGCCAGCTCCTACCCCTGCGTCCTCCAGGTGGATCTCTCGCGGACGCGTAGACGACATAGACCTTCATTAGGTGACCCGGAAGCAGCCACAGCCGCACGACTCGGCGATGGACTTGGCAGGCTGAAGAGACGGCGCGACAGGCTCAGCACGCGTGCACTCGTCACGTCCGCAGGTGCAGGCCTGCCCGCTCTCTGGGAGGCGCTCGCGCCGCTTGTGTGCAGCTGCTGAAGAGCACGATTGGCCGCTCGCTGTGCTCAGGCTGCTCCGACCAGGACCTTGCCCCTGTCTGGTCTCTGCGCTCACGCCGCACTCTCGCTCGCGCAAGATGTGGTCATGGCTTCACAAGCTGTGCAGGCGCGCGTGTACATGGGTTGTTCGAGATCAAAGCGGGTCAGGTCCTGGCCGCAGGAAGGAGGTGATGAAGGGGATATGAGAGAGGTTAAGAGTGGGCGAGAATGAGGAAAGGGGCAGAGGGCGAGCGCAGCTGGCGCATTGCGCTGGAGCGAGGCGGGTGGCGGCGCAAGCATGGAAAGCGGAGGGTGGGGCGTGGCGCGCGGCGTGGAGGAGGAGCGGCTGCCTGAGTGATGCAGCAGTGAGACGACTCTGGTGCAGCCCGACGCGATGGCGCAGTGCGTAGCTGCCTGCGCAAGTCCTGCGTCTAGGCATTCGAAGAGATGAGAAGCAGCCGAGGGTGCCGGAGGGCGCGCTCTACTGCGGTGTCGGCGACTTGGGAATCGTGCTGCCGCGAACGGGTCAGCGCATGCACGCTGCGCGCCTCACCGCCTGCACTCACTCGTCCAGACTCTTGTGTGCGTTGAGCTCGTTCAGCACTGTCGGGTCCATGGGGATGACCGACTTGCGGCGCACATGCGGACTCTCCGCATTCTTGCCGACCTGCTGGCGCGCGGTTTCCGGGAAGCGCTTCTGCAGAGCGGCACGTCTGTCAGCACACGCCGCGGCGCCGCTCGCACTGCCGCACTCACCATGCCGTCGAGGCCATCGGCCCGCGGCGTAGTTGGTCCGGCCTCTGCGGCAGCCGAATCAAAGCCCTCCCCGGCGTCCTCAAAATCCGTCGTCGACACTTCGCCGTTGCCGCGATGGCCCAGGCCCTCGCCGACGCCCTCTAGAAAGCTGCTGCTGCCCTCCTCGTTCTCGCCCAGATCGCCCGCCGAGCCGACCGAGTCCGTGTCGGAAAGGCTCATGAGCTCCGAGGCGCTCGAGCGCGGCGGCGCCCGGTCGTCCTCGACGATGGCCTTTGGCGGCGTGTTGCCCATCGCCGCGCAGTTGGAGAGCGCCGACTCGCGCAGCCGCTTCCACGCCTCGTCGCGCGCCTTGAGCTTCTGCCGCTCGCTGTGGCAGCCTGTTAGTCGAGCGCAGCACAGCAGCCGAGCATCATCACTCACGCCTGCCGCTGGTGCTTGAAGTCGTTCGTGCACATGTCGAAGAGGGCGGGGTTGATCTCCATGAAGAGCTTCAGCGCATTGTACACCAGGCCGTGTATTGTCCTGCAGCCGCGATGTCAGCACCGTCAAACACACTGCACACTCCACCAAGACGCACCTGTTCCAGTGGCTCTTCGAGTTCTGGTACAGGCTCGCAAAGACGATCGGCAGGATGACCTGCACGTTGTCGCCGATGAGGTTGACGATGTACTCGTTGTTCCAGAAGTAGAGGGCGCGCTCGGCGACCTGGAAGTGCTGCGAGTTGATGCAGCGCTGCAGCTGCTGGAAGAGCGGCACCTCGATCTTGACAAACTCGCTCGGCTCGATGACGTCGAGGATCTCCTCGACCTCGTTGAGGAACATGACCTCCTTGGGGCTGTTGACCTTGGGCCAGTAGCGCAGCAGGCCGAGCAGCACCTCCTCCGTCAGACTGCTGTCCTTCTCGAGGAACTGCACGACGCAGTATGCCAGCTGCGGGTGGTAGAGCGCCAGGCTCTTGACCTTGTGCAGCGGGATGAGGACGCGCGTGAGGAACGTCTTGTGCTCCTCCTTGAGCGGCAGCGCAAAGCCGTTGATGATGGAGCCGAGAATCTCGAGCAGCTCGGCAATGCCGTTGTGCCGCTCCGTCTCGTAGATGAACATGAAGAAGACGTTGTTGATGGAGCGCCGGATGAAGGCACGCAGGTTGAGGAACTTGCCGTAGATGCGGTGCAGCGTCGTCTTGAGAAAGTCGCGCTCGCGCGGGTCCTCGCTGTCGAAGAGCTCGAGCAGCTGCAGCACAAAGTGCTGGTCGATGAACTTCTTGGCGACGTTGGTGTTGAAGTCAGGGCTCTCGACGAAGCGCAGGAAGAACTCGTACACGATCTGCAGGTGCGGCCACGCCAGCTCCAGCACCGGCTCGTCCTCCTCCGGGTCGAAGGCATCGCCCGTGGGGTTCACTTGTGGCGGAATGGAGCGGAACAGATTTGAGCCGAACTGCGCGAGGTCGTCAGCTTGCGTGTTCCACCGTACGGGCAGGTGCGCTCCGAGCGGCGGCAACTCACCATGGCCACCACCTCTGGGTATATCGCCTCTGTGATGACGCCGCGCTGGCTCGTGATGTACTCGAGCATCTCGTGCAGCGTCTGCGCCTTGACCGTCTTGCCCTTGAGCTCCTGCGACGCGTCGTTGAAGTCAAACACGACGCTGCACTGCCGCAGCTTGCGGATGAAAAGCTCCGGCCGGTCTGCCGGCACGACCTCTGTCGAGCGCGGTGTCAGCTCGGCGTCACGCGCGCAGGCATCAAGAGGGGCCGCAGGGAGCACGCAGCGCATGCTCTGTGTCCGCTCCACGCATCGCACTCACCGCCAAAGTTGGGCAGCTTCTCCAGCTCCACCTTCTCCGTGACGTGGAAGCGGCTGCTGCGCTGTTTCCGCGGCGGCGTCTTGCTGGTGATCGGAATCGTGTCCTTGGGACCGCCAGCACCGCCCGCACCCTGGCGCAGGCGGTTGAGCGCGCCAGCCTTTGGCGGCGTGGCCAGGTCGCCAGGCGCGAGGCCGGCGCCGGCGCCAGCGCCCGACGAGGGCCCGAGCCCGAGCGTCGGCACCGTGGCGCCGGCGGGCGGCGGCGACGAGGTGCCGCCGAGCGGCACGCCGCCGGGACCCAGCGAGGGATGCGGCATGGGGTCCTGCGGCATCTCCGACGAGACGACGACGATGGGCGGGGCGGGGCCCGTCTTATCGGCCAGGCCGCCGCGGCGGTCCGGCACGCCGCCGGAGCCGCTGCCCGAGAGGCTGCTGCCGCGCGACTCGCCCGAGCTGCCGGCGCCGCCGGCGCGGCCGAGCGAGTGCGACGACGACGAGGGCGACGAGTTGGCGCCGCTCTTCAGCGAGCCCTGGTACGCCGGGTTCGCCGGCACGACACTGCCCTTGGGCGGCGGCACGGGCACGCCCTGCCCCGGCTGTCGCCCGTTGCCATTCTCTGATGACTTGGACCGCGACAGGTTCTGCAGTGCAGCGTGTCAGCTGCACGTCCTCGGCGTGATGGTGCGCAGCACGGCGGCGAGGCCGTGCATGCCAGTCGCCTGTCCGCGCGGCCTCATGTCTGCCGATGCGACGTCGCGCCGCCCTGCCCGGCAGCGCGCACTCACCATGGCCTTCTTGAGGCCCTTCATCGCTCAGACGTGGCGCGGGGTGCGTACGCTGCCGCGCGGGCCAGTCTGGCGTCAGAGGCCGCCGCGGCGGGCTGGCTCGCTCGCCGAGGGTCTGCGGCTGGCGCGCGAGGGCGCGAGCGGGTGCGAGGAGCGGCGCGCGCGGATGCGTCGCAGTGACGCGGCAGGTGCGGCAGCGCAGCCGGAGGAGAGAGTGCAGAGACGGACGCAGCGACAGACGCTGGCGAGTGGCGAGTGCGGGTGCGGAGCGGCTGTGGAGGAGGGGAGACGGCAGCAGGCAGCGACGACGACGACGACGACGACGACGACGGCGAGGCGAGGCGCGCGACGAGGCGAGGCGGCCCCCGCGCACCGCACGGCGGCGGAGCGGCGACGGCAGCGGCAGCAGCGCAGCGGCATCAGCGCAGCGGCAGCGCGCTTGGAGCCACAGCACGCAGGTGCAGCACGGCGGCGCGGCGCGGGTGGCAGCGCGGCAGGCACGCCGCCAGCATCACGCCCAGCGGCTGCATCGCCGCACGCAGCCAGCACGCAGCGGCGGCGGCGGGCGCGGAGGGCGGCTCGCACGCCGTGCCGTGGTGATGCGCTCAGCAGCAGCAGCAGCAGCGCGCATCAACGGCACGAGAGCAGCGGACGCGCGCGCGCCGCCGCCAGCAACGCGTCTCGCCGCGCCCCTCGGCGGCACATCGCAGCGCAACCAGAGCGCAGTGGCCAGCTCACCCGCTCGCGCCCAAGGTCTCAGGCAGCCGTCGTAGACAAGGATCAGCATGCTGAGACGCTGAGACGCTCTATCTGTGTTCAGACTGCACCTCCCACGCGCCTCAAGGCCCGTCCATGCTGTGCGCGTTGCAGCGTGGCCCGCGCGCCGAGAGGCAGGCCTGGTGGCCCCCGGCCGTGTCTCTGGAGCCGCCGCCGCGCCTTCTCTGCAGAAGCCCGGCCCTTGCGTGGAGCGTGGCCTGGCGCAGCCGTGCCGACGGCGGACAAGAGGTCCAGCAGCAGCTGCCTGGCAGCCTTCGTGTGATTGTGCGAGCGAAACAGGCCAATCCTGGCGCCAGGGCTGCGGTGCAGAAGGGGCCAGAGAGCGAGCGCCATGCTGCCGGAGGTGGGCGGGCACGTGATGCGCGCGCAGGGGCCGCCACGTCGGCGCGCGCGCGCTGCTCCCAGGGCGGCGCAGCGAGCGGCGTCGAAGTGCGCGTGCGCGTCTCGGGAAGGCAGCGGCGGCGGCGGCCACATGCATCTTCCAGCGCAACACCACCAACACTGCGCAACCCCACCACGCCGCCGCCGCCGCCGCCGCCATGGCGCTCTCCATCTTCGTGCCCTTCGCCTACATCGGCCTCCTCACGCTCTCGCTCGCCATCTTCTCGCGCGTCTACCGGCGCCGCACCGCCGCGGCCCTCGCCGCCGGCCACGCGCCGTGGTTCCCCGAGGGGCACCCGGAGCGCGACATCTACCAGACGCTCGTGCTGGCCGCGTCGGGCGCCAGCACCGACTCGCAGGGCCGGCCCGTCGAGATTCCCGAGGTGGTGCTCAAGGCCGCGCTGCTGAACCGCGCCATGGCCGACGTGCGCCGCATCATCCGCATGCGCGACGACAAGCAGGCCATGGCCACGCTCGTGCAGAAGGGCAGCCTCGGCGACGAGACGGTGGCGCGCTTCGGCATGGCCGAGAAGGAGCTCGAGGCCGAGATCCTCGACGTCGTCAGCGAGGCCAACACGTTCCGCGACGGCTGGGGCCAGCTCATCTTCCCCACCGCCGGCGAGATGGTGGCGCACCTGAAGCACAAGGAGGTCTACTACGGCGTCGCCGCTCAGCGCGAGGACGAGGGTGAGTGGCCGAGCGTGCAAGCGAGGGCTGGAGGCTGGCTGGAGGTCCCAGCGGCAGAGATGTGCCCAGACGGCGGCCGAGCTCTAGAGGCATGCCTGGACGGCGGCCACAGCATCACAGCTCGCTGCATGTGCGGGCGCAGTCTTCACCTGCCTGGGCTGTTCTTCTGCCTTCTGCTGACGCTCGCGCTCTCTTCCGCAGTCAAGAAGCTCACCGAGGCAGGCAAGCCGGTCCCCAAGCCATCGATCACGCTCCCCGCACTCGTCACGCCGCCGGGCACGCAGATCCAAGTGCAGATGCCTCCTCAGCAGCAACAGCAGCAGCAAGGGCCAGGCGGAGCAGACGGGCAGCAGCGCGTGATGCAGGGCCCGCCACTGCCGCCCGCGCTCCTCCAGGCTGCGGCACAGGCGGCCGCCGCACGAGGCCAGCCCCTGACGCCCGAGATCCTGCAGGCGCTGGCGCAGGGACATGCGCAGCAGATGCAGCGTGAGCAGCAGCAGCGCGAGCAACAGCAGCAGCAGCAGTCGCAGCAGGGCACGCCGTCGAAAAAGGCGACGATTGAGGAAGCGGAGGTGCGTCCAGTCTCGAGCCTTTGCGGAGATCTGAAGGTCCGCGCTGCCAGTCGGCGCAATGAGAAGGCACGCAGCTCGTTTGCTGCTCTGCGTGTCATCTGCGTTGCTTTGCGCGCTCCGCTGACGCTTCCTCCTCTGCTCCTTGCTCGCTCTACCAGGAATGAGCATCTCGTTCTGCCTGTCAGTGTGCGCGCCTGGCCCAGCACAGGCCCGTCGGCCTTCTCTCTGCCGTTCTGAGTGCCGACTCAGTCTGCTGACACAGGCAGCGCGGAGAGCTGAGAGCGCAGCAGCTGCTCCTCTTGCGGGACCGACATCTTTGCCCTGCGTCTGCGCTCAACGTGAGCGCTTGGCGTCTTGCAGCATTGCTGAAAGCTGTCAAAGACGAGCTGTGCCTTGCAGAGAGAGCATGGGAGGCGCAGCTAAACGTGGCAAGAAGCCCGGGAGCTCTAGCTTGCGGCCTTCGCGTGCACGAGCCGCGGTCGATGCGAACGTGACATGTGCTGAGGCCAGCATCTGGAGCAGGAAGGAGTGTGGACGAGCGCTCTGGCGCAGGTGTGAGGCATGCGACAGCCTCGGCCGCCAGCTCGGCCGCGTCTGCGGCGCCGGGCACGCCTTGCCGCAGCCAGGCTTGCCGTGGCACCGGCGTGTGTGAGCGACGCAGCAGCGCCCGCCTGGCCTCGCCGCTGCAGCTCAGGCTCCATGTGCGCCGCTGCGACGTGTCTGACGGATGACGTCTGCGCGGGCGACGAGAGGGCAGGAATGGACGCGAGCATTCAGGCGCCGCTGCTGCTGGCGGGTGGGAACAGGCGCCGCATGCGCCAGCCAACTCTAAGCTGCGGCCGCTGGCGCAGCGGAGACAAAGACGTGGGCCGCGCGAGAGTCGCGCCGTGCCTCTGCGGCTTGCTTTTGCCGCCGCCGCGCGCGTCGCCGCACGCGGCACAGCCGAGCTTGAGCGCGTGCGTGCGCCGCGGCGTGGTGCAGCAGCGAGAGCCGCCGGCGGCGCACGGCGCAGCGCAGCGCAGCGGGAAGGCAGCCAAGCCTTGCGCCGTGCGCGCCTAGGCTAAGCGCGTGCGGCCTTTTGCCGCCGCCGCCGTCGCACGGCCGCCTCATCTTCTCACCTTCACCCCCACTCACTTGGCCTCCATCCGCCTCCTCGCTGCTCTCTTCGCAGCCCACGCTTCCCCTCCGCCATGCCGCTCTTCTCCTCGCTGCGCTCCAAGAAGTCGCGGCGTCCCAGCGTCGCGTCGCAGGCCTCGGGCATGACGGCGCCCGCCGCCGGCGCCAACGAGCACGGCGCCCTCTCGACCAAGGGCTCGCGCTCCAGCATTGCCGTCGCCTCGCAGCCCGCCAGCACCACGGCGTCGCCGCGTGCGCCTGCGCGCGACTCGGGCGTGCCGGCCGCGGCCGCGACTGCAAGCCCGGCGCTGGCGCAGCAGCAGCAGCACTCGACGCCGCCGCTGCCGCAGGGCGCGGCGGCCTCGACGCCCACTGCGGCACCGGCACAGCCCGCAGGCCCGCGCCCCAGCGAGCTCTTTGCCGGCAAGGGCGTGCAGTGGGACCACGTGCGGCTCGCCGGGCCCGCCGCGCGCCAGAGCCCGCAGCAGAGCCCCAGCCAGGGCGGCACGCAGGAGGACCTGCAGAGCTTCCTCAAGGCGTGAGTGGACCGTGCGCAGGTGCAGGTCCGGACGGAAGGAAGAAGCAAGGGAAGAGAAGCAGTGTGGTTCGACCTCGGTAGGAGGGGCATGCCGCCGTACGGAGACTGGCATGGTGCTGTCGACATGAGAAGACGATGGCTGCCTTGAGTAGCGCGCCTCGCAGCTTCCACTGGATGTTCTCGCGCTGCCCTGGCCAGCATCGCAGCCCGTGCACGCACATGCTTGCGCCAGCTTGTCGCACCAGGTGGCCGCGGATGCGATGCTTTGCAGGAGCAGTTGCGGCAAAGCAGCCTTGATGCTATCAGGCGACTTGTGCTGCGCAGCTTCGCGCTCGCCGCCGCTGCTGCCGTTCGCTCTCTCTGTTCTGTGCGCTTCTGACGCATTTCCCACAGCCGCCGCCAATGGGTGCCGACCTTCGTCACCGAGGAGGACTCGTCGCAGCAAAAGGCCGTGCCCTCGGATCTCTCCAACCTGACCTTCTCCTCTGCCGACCCGTCGATCGGCACGGGCCAGGGCCGTCTGATGAGTCTGGCCGACCTGGACGCGAGCCACCAGCGCAAGCAGAAGCTGCTGGGCGATGACGGCGCCGCGCTCGGCGGCAGCCTCTTCGACGAGCCCAGCACCAGCGCTCAGGGCGCTGCGCGCGCTCAGCAGCAGCAGGCTGCGTCCGCTGCTGCTGCTGCTGCGCCGGCGCAGCCCGCTGCGAAGCAGCCCAAGGTCAGCCGTGGCACCAGCTGGCGCCACCGCTCGGCGTCGCAGAAGTCGAAGAACAGCGAGCGCGGTGCGGCAGCCACGGGCGCGGCCACAGCAGCAACGGCGCGGCCTGGCGGCTCCAGCGTGGACGTGACGTCGCCGGCTGCTGACTCGCAGCAGCCGACCGACCACAACTCGGTCGTGGCGCAGGCGCTGGCGGCGCAGCATGGCGGCACGAAGCTCGGCACTACAGCCACGACGACGATCACGACGACCTCGGCGCCGCCGCCCACGCATCCGCTCGCGGCCTCGGACTACGGCAATGCCGGCAAGCCGCCTGCCAGTCCCGTGCGCAAGCCGGTGCCGAGCAGCGCCGCAGTCGAGCCCACTGCGGCGCCCGTGGCGCCTGCAGCGCAGAACGGCGCCGTGGCGGCGCCGCACGCCAACGGCGCTGCGGCGCCGGCGGCGATGACGGCGAGCGAGAGTGCCGGGCTCGAGCCGCCCGTCACCACGACGGCCGCCAGCTCGGGCCTCTCGACGCCCGCCACGCACGAGGCGACGCTTGCGGCGGAAGTGGCGCCCGCGCCTGCGTTGCCGGTTGAGCAGACGCAGCCGGCACAGACGGCCTGAGGAGGCGGCGCACGGCCAAGGGGACGCGCGATCTGGTCCGCGTGTGCACTCAGATCTTCGCGCTGCTGCATCTCGCAGCGTCCGACTAGGCACGAGACGGCCGAGACGGCCAGCCCACACTCTCTTTCCGCTGCCGCAACGGCCACCACTCTCTCTCTTGTGCCTCACCACACTTTGTCTTCCCGGCTGCCAGCTCAGGCCTCACTGCCAGGCCCGAGCGCACCACCACCACGCCACATGTCCCTCTCTTTTTGAGCGCTTCCATCCCCCTTCCTACCTACGTGCCTTCCGCCTTCTTCTCGTCCGAAAGATGATATCCTTCTCAAATCACACGCCCGACTGCGCTGCTGAGGCGACGTGAAAACGTGTGTGCGCGATGGAGACGCAGCCAAGCTGGTTGCTTGAGCATCACCGCCGCTGCCCCAGACTGACGCGAGACTGCTCACGGACGCAGCGCGTTCTGCTCGAGTGCTGCGACTTCTTCCGAGTCATGCATGTGTGTACCAGTCAGTGCTCGCATTGCCTCAGCCACCGCCCCCGCCGCTCCAGTCCCACAGCCACTCGTCGAGGCCAAACGAGACGCGTCGGGCCAGACTGAGTGCATCGTCGTACGTGATGTTGCAGCGCAGCTGCAGATTCGGCGCCAGCAGCGCCGTGGGCGGGCCCATGCGCACCAGGAGGCGCTGCGAGACTAGCTGGTTGATCTGCAGTGGGGGGCACATCAGCGTGAAAGAAGATGCAAGTGGCAGCCATGGCTGAAGCTGCACTCACCAAGCTCATGACGCCTGCGCCGCGCGACTTGCGCTCCCACTGCTCCGTCTCCTCCTCCGGCAACAGCGCATCTTGCCTGCGAGCAGCGAAAGCAGCTCCGAGCACCAAAGCCGACGCATCGCCTCCCGCTTCGATGAGCAGCGCTTGCAGGATGGCCAGTAGGCGCTCTGCAGGAAACGGCTTGGGGCCGAGCAGCTGTTGGCGGTTCAAATCCTCTCGTTGTCCATCATCCTTCGGCGGCCGCTTGGCCGGCTTCTTCCGATATGCGCCTCCTCGCTTGCGTTTGCGAGCGCTTGCGTCGACGCGCTCAGCGGCGGGCAGGAGCACGTGTTCGTCGCGCAGAAAGTAGCGGGCGTCGAGACGGGCCGGGTTGAAGCTGGCGAGAAAGCTGGCGAGCAGTAGATAGGCGCCTAGCAGCGGCACCGAGGGCGCCAGCTGCTGCACGGCGCTGTCGAGTGGGCCTTGCGCGAGACGAGCAGCGAGCGGCGCTCGTCGTGAACGCTTCGAGGGCGTCTTTTGAGAGAGCGCGTCTTCGGCCTCGATCGCGGCGGTGGTCGCCATCGCCTCGCTTGACATGCTCTCGGCCCAGCTGACGGCCGAGGCGACCCAGGCATTGGCACTGACGAGCCGCGGCAGCAGGCGCGCCAGTACGTCGCGCAGCAGGGGTGCTGCTCGAGAGAGCAGTGCCGGGATTGCAGACACCGCCACTGTGCCCAGCTGGGCGTCAGCGGACAAGCAAGCGGTCAGACCGCACTGTTCCACTCACTCTCGCCCGTCAGCACCGGCACGATGAACGGATGCCACACGGCCGCCGTCAGCGTGCGCAGCTCCTCCTCGTCGCGCGTGTCGGCGCCGAGCGTGTCGTACGCCAGGCCGACGTAGGCGCCGTGCAGGGTGCGCCAGTCGTGCGTTGGAACAGTTGCGGCGCGAGGATCCTTGGGCAGCAGATCTTCGCCGTCGCGCCGCAGCACCGCCACCGCCTCTGGCAGCACGATGCGTCAGCGTGGACGAGAGACGAGCAGTGGGCGAGACGTACCGTCGCGACGCAGTGCTGGCAGGCGCAGCACGATGGGCGCTCCCGCTCCCAGCACTGCTCCACTGCCGCGCGGCGTGCGGAACGACGCCACGGGCAGGCTGGACACCGTGACGACGCAGAGACGGCCATGCGCGCGCAGCTGAGAGGTGCGCATCTGAGCACTCGCCAGGACGCAAGGCAGCGCAGCGGACCGCTTTGAGAACTCACCAGCTCAGCCAGGCCCCACACGGCCTCGCCGATGCTCTCCTCCCACACGTCGCGCATGCGCTCTGCATTCTGCACCACGACGAGGGCGCGCTGCTCCTGCAGTGCCGGCGCGAGTGCCGCGACGAGCGTGTCGAGCGCCTCGGGGCGCGCGGCCGAGGCGGGCGCCAGGTCGGCGAGCAGATGCGCGTAGAGCAGCGCGCAGGTGGGCTGCTGCAGCGGGTCGAGGGAGCTGATGCGCGTCGCGGTGGCGCCGGCGAGGAGGTGCGAGAGGAGCTCAGACGCCCTGCTTGAGGAGGCCGCGTGTATGTGCACGGCGGCCGGGAGCGGCGTGTCGGGCTGGGGCAGAGCATCAGCATGGCGAGCGGCCGCCCAGTGTGGCACACACGCGCTCACCGTGCACAGCACGTCGAGCAGCGTCGCCACGGCCTCGGCGCGCCCGGGGAAGTGCTCGGCGAGGCGCGCCTCCTGCGCCGCGCGGCTCTCGGCGCCGCTGCGCGACGGCCCTGCCTCTGCGCTGCTCATTGTGGGGGGCGAGGTGGAGGAGGAGAGGGTGACGGAGAAGGCCATCATTGGCGCTGCATGGCGCGTGCACCGCGCACGGCGAATGTTCTCGAGACTGCGTGGCCCCAGGGCGCGCCGCCGCGCGCCAAGCCCCTATTCCAAGCCGTGGGAGCAGGTTGATGCAGTGTCCAACACACAACCGCGCGCGGCAGCAAAAGGTGGAGGGGCACGCAGGTGATGAGGGCTGCGCCGCCCTCCGAGGCGGCCGTTCCATCCACTCCATCCCGTTCCCCTGGCTCGTCTGCGCCATCCTAGCCCGCAGTCTTGCTCGCCCAGCTTCGCCCTCGCTGCAGCTCCTCTTTCTCGCGCACCCTCGCACAGCGGTCGAGGAGCGCGGCTAGCGCGCGCCGCACCTGCCCGATTGGGCCGGGCGCCCCTATCCGCGCCGCCGCCTGACGAGGCGCATCCCTCCGCCGTGCGCGCTGCGTCGTCGCCTCGCCCGTCCCTCCGCGCCCTCGCCTCCGCACAAGCCACACCCATACACCCAGCGTCGCCCCGGGAGCGTACCCACGCAGCGTCGCCTTGGCGGCAGTGTGCGCTCGCCGTCCCCTGCAGCCGCGCTTCGCACGCCGCCTCGCACCTCTCTCTCTCTCCTCTCCACATCCACCTCCATCACTAGACTCCCACCTCTGCTCTTCTCGCCGCTCGGCCGCAGCCCATGGCGGCGACTCTGCCGCAGCAGGTGCCCGGGCCGGGCCCCACGGCGCAGCAGCTGCCCTCCTGGCTCTCCTACGCGCCCGTCGAGACGGCCGTGCAGAGCTACGTGAGCAGCATCACGCGCATCCTCTACTATCCCGACGGCAGCGCGCCGCCGTTCCAGAGTGTGGAAGTGCAGGCGGGTGTGGCGACGAGCGTGCGCTACCAGGTCGTCCAGCGGCCCGTCCTCTACACCGGGCCCTTTCCCGCGCCGCCGCTCGGCACGCTCTACACCACCGAGGGCCAGACGGCCTTCCCGACGGTGGACGGCACGCAGCCGCCGTTTCCCACCGGCGCAGCGTCGAGCTCCGCCGTGGCTTCGCGTGAGTCGCTGCGTGCCTTCTCGAGTGCGTCCCGCGCTCACCCTCTCGCAGAGCCGAGCGCCGCGCCATCCTCGCAGCCCACCGCGGCACAGCCGAGCTCGCCAGCATCCAGCGCCGCGAGCGCATCCAGTGCAGCAAGCGCTTCCAGCGCAGCAAGTGCCTCGAGTGCAGCCAGCGCTGCAAGCGCCGCCTCGCAGTCGGCTGCCTCTCTCTCATCAGTGGCGGCTGCGTCATCCGCGTCAGCCGCCTCAGCCTCGGACTCCGCTGCTGCGTCCTCGGCGAGTGCCGCAAGCTCGTCCGCAAGCGCCTCATCTGCCGCTGCAGCGTCTTCTTCCAGAGCGGCCGCGTCTCCTACAGGCTCGCAAGCGCCGGGCACTGCCACCTCCAGCGATACCGGTCTCTCCGGCGGGCAGATCGCAGGCATCGTGATCGGCGCCTTGATAGGCCTGCTGCTGCTGCTCTTGCTGCTGCTCTGCTGTCGGCGCAGGCGGCGAGCTGCCAATGGAGGAGCAGGCGCGACCGGTGCCGGTGGCAGCGACAAGTACTCTGCTGGCTTCTCGCGCGGCGGCCGGCTGGGCACGTATGCGGCCATCGGAGGGGCAGGTGCGGCAGGCGCAGGTGCGGCAGGCGCGGGCGCGGCAGCGGCGGGTGGGCGGCCACGCAGTGTGGGGACCGACGAGTGGGAGGAGGACCAGCTGCAGGACGGCAACGGCAGTGGCTTCTTCGTCGTCGGCGGCAAGGGCGGCGAGCGGCCGGCGTCGAACATCTCCAGCGACACGCATGCGCAGTACGGCGGCGGGCGCTCGCGCAGCGCGTTCAGTGCGCTCGGCCTCGGCGCTGCCGGCGGCATGGTCGCAGCTGCCATCGGGCGGCGCACGTCGGGGCACAAGCAGCTGGGCCAGACGGACGATCACGACGCATCCGACGACGAGACCGATGACGCGCAGGGCGAGAGCCGTGGGCTGATGGACTTTGCCGACGGCGAGCCGGGCGAGCAGGACATGGCGCAGGCTGGGCCGAGCGGCTGGGGCTCCATCGGCCGTGGCTCGCGCCTCGACTGGGGCATGGCCGGCGGCGCAGCTGCTGCAGCTGGCGGAGCAGGTGCATACGCCGCGGCGCGCAGAGGCGAGCACGACGACGAGGACGACATCTCCAACACTGCGATGGCAGGGCAAGACATGGGCAGCCCGAGCATCACTCGCCACGGCATGACGCCCAGCACGTCTGCTGCCTCCTCCGCCGGCGGTGTGGCTGCATGGAGCGGCCCAGCCGCAGCTGCAGGCGCTGCGGGTGGCTACGCTGCGGGCTCGCACTCGGGCTCGCGCTCGCGCAGCGGCGTCGAGAGCCACAGCGGCAGCGGCAGCGGCGGCAACACTTCGAGCGGCAGTCGTGGGCAAGGCGCAAGCAGCAACTCGACGGGCGGGCACACGGCATTCGGCGCCTCTCCAGCAGCGGGAAGCGGCAGCCCAAGTCTGCTGCCTCCGCCGCGCCCGCGTCGACCGCCAGGCCCAGTCTACGACTTCAACAACCTCGCGCCGTCGGGCAGTCCCAGCCATCCTCGCATTCCGTCCTTCACCGGCGGCTTTGGCGAGGGTGGCCTGGGCATCGATCCTGCTGATCCTCGACGCAGCACGGAGAGCGGAGGCAGTGGTGCCTCCGGTCTCGGCGTCTTTGGAGCTGCTGCTGCCGGCGCAGGGCTCGGAGCCATGGCCGCAGGCCACCGTGACAGCGGCGGCAGCACGTACTCGCGCGGCGCCTATCCCGAAGGTGGCTCTTCCGAGTCGCTCCAGCGCGCAGATGGCGCAGACCCGCGGCACAGTCGTTTCATCAGCAGCGGCACTCATCTGCTCGGCCCAGGTGCGCTTGCAGCAGACCCGTTCGCAAGCCAGCACGACGCAGCCGCGCAGCGCGAGGCGGACCAGGCCAGTGCCTCTCTACAGCCTGGAGCGCCCAGCGTGGGCTTCGCCGCAGGCAATCGCCTTTCGACCATCCGCTCCGTCGGCGAGTTCGGCGAGCGCAGCGAGAGAGGTTCAGCCATCGGCTCCATCGGCTCGGGCCAGTTTCCTTCTGTCTCGACCGGCTCAGGCTCCGGCAGCGGACGAAGCGGCAACCGACCGCCGACGTCTCAGTCCGCCTACGCCACGCCTCTCTCAGCCGCTGTCGAGGAGCCACAGTCTTCCACGTACTTCGACGCCAACGCCAGCGGTGCCTCGTCCGCGCGTGCCTTCTCTGAGCCGGGAGAGCGAGGCAGCATCCCTGCTGTCGCGCCCATCGATGCCGCTGCTGCGCCAGTGCACACGCCAGCGCCCACAGGCTGGACGTGCACAATTGACGAGGACAACGAGACGGGGCCGTTCAGTGACCGCGAAGGCGCGCCGCGCGACCTAGTCGACATTCCGGACGAGTCGAGCTCCATGGGCCACCATGCGGCCACGGGAGCCGCAGCTGCAGCCGGCCTCTTCGGCGGCTTGGCCTCTGGCTGGAAGCGGCTGACTTCCGGCCAGCCGCTCGAAAGTCCCTCCTCTGCTAGAGATGCGCAGCTCGGCGACCGCGCGGAGGACTACGTCGCACCGGTCACGCACTCGGCGCGCCGCGATCCTGCACAGACGTCGGACCCGGGTCTGGCTGCAGACGTGCAGAGCCTGCATGCCTCGGTGCATCAGAGCCACGGACAGCAACGCAGCGGACAGCACTCGTCTCGCGAGGCCTCTGGCAACTCGGGCGACGTGTCCGGCTCTGGCAACTCGAGCCGCTCGCGTCAGCTGGCTGCAGGTGCAGCAGGCAGTCAGCACACGGCCGGCAGCTTGCACTCCAGCGAGCGCTCCGGCGGCACGGACGGCTACAGCGCCAGCATCTCCGGCGGCTCTGGCAACACCAGCTCGCGCGGTCGACACGGCCCCATGGGCTCGCGCCGCTCGAACATCACCACCAGCACGGGCATCGACAGCCTGAGCAACCGCACGCACGTTACGTCTAGCGATCCCAACTCCAGCCGCTCAGGCACGCGCAGCGGCGGCTCGAGCGGCCGTGCCGGTGGCGCAAGCGAAGGCGGCGCCAGCTCCGGTGCAGCGAGCTATGCTCCGAGCTACCTTGGGCGCGGCAGCACCGTGAGCACACGCGGTGGCGCCAGCAGCAGCGGCGCCGCGCACCGCGCCGTCTCGGCGCCCGTGTCGGACATCTACGAGGACTCGCCGACGCTCGGCACCGAGGACGAGCCATGGATCTCGGACGGGCAGAGCAGCCGTGCCACCGCTGGCGAGAGCAGCATGGGCGGCCGCAACGGCGGCGCAAAGCGCCCTCGTAGCGAGTCGTACGATGGCCATGCAGCCGCGGCCGCTGCCGGTTCCTCTCGTCCGCTGGACGCAGTGGCGGAGGGCAGCACGGAGCACGCCGGCCCGTACGAGGACCTGTATGGTCACTATCCGAGCGCATCGCTCGGCGCAGCCGCGATGCGCCAGGCCTACCGCGAGGCCGGCCAGACGCCGCCGACGAGCCAGATGAGCCTCGCTCAGTCTCCCTCCTCCGACGTCGGCCGCACACCGCGTGCACTTCCGCGCAGCCTCGTGCCCGGCTCCACCGCGCCCGCTGCACCCGGCCTCACTGCATCCAGCAGCCTGCCGCCCAGCCTCAGCGCCGCCTCGGGCTCGACATGGCGCGAGTCGCCGCGCGTCGCCAGCGCCAGCATGCGCGCCAGCGAGGCAGCCGCCTATCTTGAGGCATCGCGCTCCGGCGTCTTCCCGGGCGCTCAGCCCGACCTGGGCGCACAGCAACAACAGGCCACCAACTCGCCCTTGGCCGCTTCAACGGCCTCGCCGCGACGCAGCCGGCTTAGAGACGCAGAGCAGGGCCCAGAGTCGGACGATGCGCGCGACGACGACCCGTCCGACGACGGACGGCGCGGCAACTGGCCTCGCTTCCTGCGCTTCTGAGCCTACCACTTTACGACCTTCTCTCTTCGCACTGCAAACATCAAAAGCACCCCCCCCCCCCTTGTCTTCCACTCTAACGACCCCCTAACGACTGCATCCCTTTCCGCAATGTGCAGGCGCGAGTCTCCGCCTCCGCCGCCTCCATTCGGTCGCCTCTGCCGCCTGCGCCTCATGTATGTCTCCCTGTCCATCAATCGTCTCTTTCTCTGTGCAATGCAATCACTCTGTGCCCCATTCCTACGAGCGTGCCCGAGTCTAAGCAGAAGGAGAGAGGGAGAGACGTCTACTCGTCGTCATCGTGCGAGAAGTGGGCGTGCCCATGGAAGCGGCTCGGCTCTTGATGCGAGCTGTCGCGGCTGAGCGGCAGCGAGTGCGCCTTTGCGACTGTGGTGTGCAAGCGTGAGCGAAGGGCCTGCAAGAGCTACGCACAAGCATGGCACACGCACCAAGATCATGATATGACCGCCGCTTCGGATCCTCCTGCCGCTTCTTGCGATGCTTGCGCACCTTGGCCTCGGGACGCACAACGACTACAGGCACCGGCGAGCGCGAGAGGATCTCACTGTGAGAGGAACACGAGGCTGGTCAGCATGCGGGCTTCACGTCGATGCGTGGCAAGGAGACTCACCGCGACACGCTACCCATGCTTGCGCCGCCCAGCAGCTTGGCAAATGCATTGGGTGTCTTGCCCCTCGTGCCTACCGTCAGACTGTCGGGCCGGTAGACGTGGATCATGCGCAGCACCGTTGACGTCACACTGTCGCCGGCGACAAACTCGACGACGATTGAGATCTGCACCAATCCGCACGTGAGCCAAGGCGGGCCGCAAGGAGGTGGGGTGCGACTGTGAACGCACCCGACGTTCCTCGACGTCGTCGTTGAGGTCGACAATGGAGTCGATCAGCTCGCGTGCCTCCTCGCGCGCTTCGTCTTGGTCGATGCCTGCAGGGAGCCTGGCTCAGCAGTCGTCCTGCAGTTGGCAACACTGCACGCTCACTGTCTGCCTCGCCTTCCAGCACACGCAGCGCCACCACCTCGTCGCCATCCTCCACCAGCGACTCCATGAGCCACTCCAGCGCTCTCTCACTGATTCGCGGCGGTCAGCATCGCCTGCGCGCGGGCGCGAGGCTCCTTGCTGCTCACCTGTACGCATTCGTGTCAAAGGCGCACATGAATGTGCGCGTGTTCTTCGTGCGTCGGTAGCCGCGCGACTTGACCTGCAGCGTGTAGCTGAACTCGCCGCTGACCGTCTCGTCTGCGTCGGGCATCGTGTCGAAGCCGACCTTGCGCTCCCAGGCGCCGCCCTTCTCGCTGAGGCCGCCGAGACTGCCGCCGGCGGCGCGCGAGGGCATCTTGATGCCCGTGGGGCCCGGGCTGCGCGAGCGGCTCGAGGCGCTCGAGGGTGCGCTGAGCGCCGAGGGCGCGATGGAGCTCGGGCCCGACGAGGCGTGCGTCTGCGACGGCGCCAGCTGCGGCAGGAATGTGACGGCGCTGTCGCGGTGCAGCGGCGGGCTGTGCGGCGGGCTGGGCATCTCGCTGCCGGGCGCCGAGGCCGAGGCCATGCCCGGCGGCCGCGGCGAGGCGGCGCCGCTGCTGCTGCCCGTGCTGAGCGCGCCTGCCGCTGCGGCATCGAGGGTGCCGCCGGGCGTGCGCACGGGCGACGGCGCGCGCGACGAGGGGTGCCGTCCGAGGCCGCGCGGCAGGCGCAGGATGGGCGCGGGCGCGGGCGCCGTGTGGTGGTGCGGCGTGTGGTGGTGCGCAAAGTGCGAGCCGCGCGGCGGCTCGTAGGAGCCGCGCGGCGGCTCGTAGGAGCCGCGCGGCGAGGCGGAGGCCGACATGGCAGCTGCAGGAGATGGCCGAGGCGGTGGAGTGGAGACAGGCTGCGGCGCGCGAGGAGCAAGGCGCCCAGACGCGGGCCCACAGCGAGCGGGGTCAGGCCGCACAGCGTGGGAGCAGCACGCCGCCGCCGCTGTGTCAGGCGGCAGGCGCGCGCTGCCTTGCTCCACATCCGCGCCGCTCCCGGTCGCTCCTGATTACCGTGCCGTCAGCCAGCCTGGCGCCTGGCTCTGCTCTCCATGCTCCGCCGGCCCGTCTCCACCCTGCTGCAGCCGCTCACCCGCAGCCCCTTCCTCGCTCCTCGCCTTTCCTCAACCATCACTCCCTCTCGCCCAGCCGCAGCCATGTCCTCGCAGTCGGCCAAGGTGCTCAAGAACCGCGCCATGGAGCACGGCGAGGCAAAGTGGATCCAGCTGCGCGCCATCGAGTGGCGCGACCCCAGCGGCAAAGAGCGCAAGTGGGAGGCCGCAGACCGCACCACGCGCAACGGCGACGTCGACGGTGCGTGTGGCCGTGGCGGGCGCGAGGCAGACGGGATGCGACGAGGCAGGGCGTGGCATGGCAGTGGGCGGGACAGCTCTGCGACGAAGTAGGGCGTGGCATGGCAGTGGGCGGGAGAGCTATGCGACGAAGTAGGGCGTGGCATGGCAGTGGGCGGGACAGCTCAGCTCAGGCAGGCGCAAGGTCTCGTCATGCAGGGCCGGGCAGTGGGCAGGAGAGCCAAGCTCAGATAGGCGCAAGACCTGGTCATGCGCGAGAAGCGATGGACGCCACGCTGCGCTGGCCTCTCTCTCCATCTCCTCTGCTTGCTCCCGGCTCGTGTCTCCGGCTCTGGGCCGTGCACGGGCCGGACCTCGTGCGGGGAGCATGTCGACGGACGACCCGCCTGTGTAGCCCAGCGACGGCCAGGCACTCTCGTGCTCTCTTTGCTCTTCTGGCCTGCCTGCAACGCTCTGCTCTTCTCTGCTGATCCACCACGCGCACAGCTGTGGCCATCTGCGCCATCATCACACGTCCCTCGTCCGAGCCGCACATCCTTCTCATCAGCCAGTTCCGTCCGCCCGTGGCCGCCTCGGTCATCGAGATGCCGGCCGGCCTGATCGACGCCGGCGAGGAGGGCGATGACGGCACCCGGCGCGCTGCGCTGCGCGAGCTCGAGGAGGAGACGGGCTATGGCACGACGAATGAGGGCGGCCAGGTCGACGTGCTAGAGACGAGTGCCATCATGGTCAACGACCCCGTGAGTGTTGCTTGCGTTGTGTGCCGGGCTGGTCACCGGCATGCTGACAGCCGTGCGCCAGGGTCTCTCGGGAGCGAACATGAAGCTCTGCGTCGTGCGCATCAACCTCGCAGACGATGCTGCCGAGCCCGTCGCCAAGCCCGAGGAGGGCGAGTTCATCGAGAAGCACCTCGTGCCGCTCAAGCAGCTCTACCGCACACTCAAGGGTGCGTCCTTGCGCGCAGGCCCACAGACCTGCTGCATGCACTCCCCTTGCTGACGCGCCACTCGTCGCAGACTTTGAGAAGAAGGGCTACGCCGTCGACGCCAGACTGGCACATCTTGCCGTCGGCCTTGAGCTGGCGTCGCCGCAGGGCATGTTCAAGATCTAGGCTGGCGAGCTGAGCGTAATGTACCATAGGAAGCCCTGTCAGGCGCGCGTTTGAGTCGCCTCAGTGGTCCGGTCACCGGAGATGCCACGACGTGTTTCGAGAGACGCTTCCAGCCAGCGCAGAGCTTCAGAGAGACGTCTTGCCGTATCACATGAGGCTCTGCTCCAACGAGGCTGGCAAATGGATCTATGGCGCAGTCTACAGTCTGGCTCGTGCCGCAGGTTCCTGCTGCTGTGCCGCTTCCCTCTCCTCCACCCTCCTCGCCTCCTCCTCCTCGCGCCTCAGTGCGCTGCAGTCGCGCGCATCGGCGTCGCCCCAGCGCTTGTACTCGCCGACGCTCGTGTCGAAGTCGCCGGTGAGGATGTAGTCGAGCCAGAGCGGCCAGAGCGTCTCTTCGCGCCCGAGCTGCCGCTCCTCGTCCTCCGGCGCTGCCGGCTGGGAGGTGGGCTCGTAGCCCTCGCCGCCGCGGATGGCTCGCCCTGCCTCGTCGGCCTCGCCGTCTGCAGGCCCGCCAGCGACGGCCTCCTGTGCGGTGACTGACTTGAGCGGACCCGTTGGCCGGAAGCATGTGACTGCGCTGCTGCGTCAGTGCAAGGGCCAGACAACGTTTGATACGTGATGCCTCACCGTGTCCGAGCATGGGCCACCGGTCCAGCTTGGTCGGGTCGATGTAGATCGTCGACACCTGCTTGTCATCGCCGCAGAAGAGTGAGACGTGCTGGTGCATCATATGCCTGTCTTGCGGTCAGCGCAGGCGCAACGGAGCTCTTCGCAACGGGCAACTCACCGGCCGATGCGCACGTCATCCGAGAAGCTAAAGTACTGGAACTTGAAGCGCTTCACATTTGCCTTTGCCCGTGCCTCGTCATCGGGCTGGTTGAGCGAGAAGCAAGGGTGCGTGTACCATCCGATCCAGTCCAGGCCCGGGCCGTACGGGATGTCAAAGCCCAGGCCGAGCGACGAGGCGCGGAAGAGGCGCTCCTCGTGCAGCGGCTTGATGATGACCTCGGTGAAGCCGAAGCGCGACTCCTCGGGCGTGTCGTGGTTGCGCCAGTGCGCATTGCCGCCGTTGACGCTGGCGAAGCGCACGGGCACGCCGAAGCCGGCCAGCATCTCGGGCTCGAGCAGCGTGATGAGATGCCCGCCGAGGCTGTTGCCGAAGCTGTGCAGCGCATGTCAGCGACGACGTGCGAGGCTGCAGCGGCGGCACGCACAAGGTCATGGGCACGCTCGGGAACGAGGCATGCGCCGCACGAGCGACAGCTGCGACGTCCTCGCGACACCACGTGCGCATGAGGCCAATGTCGTCGGGCGCCGAGCGCAGAGCCTCCTCGAAGATCTCGGCGTAGGCGTCTTCGTCGCCGCGCGCCGCCTGCAGCCTCTCGGCGTACTCCGCTGGGAAGGAGTTGCCGCTGTAGCGAAAGTCGAGCGTGTAGGCTGCGACGCCCTGCATTGCCAGCCAGCTGTGCGAGCAAAGGTCAGCAGATGCAGCCTCGACGGGCGCACCTGGGCCGGGCTCACCAGGCCCAGTCGTGGTAGAAGCGCGCCTGCACGCCCGTGGCGTTGACGATGACGACGACGGCGCGTGCCGAGGCGTGCGAGGTGGGCGCAAAGCGGTGCGCTGCGATGGGGAAGCCGTCGGCGGCGTGGACGGTGAGGGCCATCTGGTCGATGGCAAAGGCGCTCATCGTGCTCGACGACGCCATGGCGAGGGATGCGTCTTCTGTTCCTGTGTGATCCAAGCCAGTCCGTTCTGCTTTCCGGTGCCGTTGTTTGTGTTGAGGTGGCTGTTGAGGTGGCTGTGAGGAGCCATGGCAGCGGCGCCCCCCTGCCCTGGTGTCACGACCTGTGCGCGGCGCGTGCGCAATGCGGGGAAGCGAGCGGGCCGAGCCGAACCGAGCCGCCGGAGCGCCATGAATCCGCCGAGCCGGGCGCGTGCTTAGTCAGCAGCCTCCTCTCCCTGATCCAGACGCTCCACAGCACTACTGTACGCACCATTCGAGGCACAGAGGGACAAAGAATGGCTTGAAATGCAGCGCTGCGCTCTCGGAGGCGGCATGTGGCTGCTCAGGTCCTGTGGCGGGGGTTCAGAGAGTGCCTCCAAGGTAATGCTGCGCAACAGCCTCGCAAGTCTGTTTCAGCCTGACCATGCTTCGACAGAGCTCTGTGCGGCTGACCACTGCAGGCTGTAGGCCTGTGAACTGTACGTCCATCGAGGCATCAGTCTGCGGGCTTCAGCAGGTGAGTCAGTCTAGCCGGTGCAGTGCCGGTCGTCACCATGGGGCAAATGGCGAATGCGAGGGCTCGCAGCGGCCCAGGTCCGTGGGACCAGCGTCACGTGCGCCAACGCGTGCTCGTCTCAGCGACGCGTCGGGCTCTCATGCACGGTGCGCCACACGCAGGCGGGAAGATCAGCAGCGCGGCGCAGCGCGGCAGAGCCGCCGCCGCAGCCGCGCCGAAGTGTTGGTACCTCGAGAGGGCGCGCTCGACAAGCATATCAAGTGCCGTGCGCAGCAATGCCGCCCTGTTGAAGCATACCGCGCTGCAGCGCAGCATCCATGCCGTCGGTATGCGAAGCGCGACATGCCAAATTGTGCAAGGTGCAAAGCTGAGCTGCATGCTGCTGCGGCGCGGGCCCGTCTCAGGGGACCCTTGGCGCGCGCGGCGGGCGCGGCGTGCGGCGTGCTGCTGGCTGCTGGCTGCGAGCCGCCGGCAAGCCGCTCGCCGTCCAGCGGCGCCCGCGCGACGGACATGCTCCGCCCGCTGCACGTCTCGCTGCTCCCCTCTGGTGCTGCGCTCTGCATGCTGCCGGCTGCACGTGCCTGCGAGCAGGCGGCGCCGCAACCTTCTGTGGCGCTGGCTTGCTTCGCCGAGCTCCCGGCCGCGTCCTCGGGAAGCGCTGCTCGCCCCTCGCGGGCGCACGGAAGATTCTCAGCAGCTGCGGCAAGGCTCCAGCGCAGATGAGAGCCGCTGCCGCTGCCGAATCGCCGCAGCCATGGCGTGCATGCAGGTGGCAGCGGGCCGCGGGTGCGGGGAGCGTTCTGCTCGGCAGCGCGAGGCACACGCACGACTTGGGCCGGCTCGGGCTCGCTGCGTGGCTTGAGCTGGTGATGCAGGAACCCCTTGAGTGATAGACTGAGGAGGACGCTGGCAGACCGGAACGCTTGCTGCACAGCGAAAGGAACGCTCCTGCGAGCCAAGGGCCACCCACGTGCCGCAATGCTCCGTCTTCGGGAGCCTACCGGCTAGCCTGCGCTGCGTTCCACGACGTCACCGGTGCGCGCGCACCGCTGCTGGGCAAGATCGTCGTGGCCCATCGGGAGGGCGCGTGCGGCATGTGCAGCGACGGCAGCAGCAGCAACGACGGAGCGGGCGCAGTGCACAAGTGGCCGGCCGCGATGGCAGATGCAGCGATGGCGGCAGCGGGCGGGCAGCGCGCGAGGCATGCTGCTGCGCGCGTGGGACAGGTGCCGTGCGCCGGCGCGTGTGCGGTGTGCCGTGTGTGGAGCGCGACGCGCCGAGAGGGCGCAACGGCGAGCAGCCACAGCCGCAGCCGGCGTGCAGCAGCGGCAGCGAGGGCGAGGGCGAGGAGGGTGTGTATGGCTGCTGCTGCGTGCTGGCGCGGCGCCCGCACGCAGCCCGCCAACGCGTGTTGCTTTGCGCGCGCGCGCCGCGCTGGCCCGAAGGATGCGCCCTGTCGATCCTCTGTCCCGCGCATGCGGCCTGTCCATTCGGCCTCTCCTCCTCCCTCCTCGCCGCACCCACCTCACACCTCAGCTACCGCGTCCGCACCTCGTCAGCGGCTGATCAGCGCAGCGCCTCGCTGTCCTGCGCCGCACTCGCACTCGCCTGCACGTCGCCGCACGCCGCCGCCGCCGCCGCACGCCTCCACTCCATTCCTCGCGCGCCCCTGCGCTCCTTCTCTCTGCCCCTCCTCTCCTCGCGCCGGCGCCCCTGCAAGTGCTCCGCCCGCCTCGGCGTCCTCGCCCGTCGCTCCCTCTCGCTCGCTCCGCCACACCGAAGAACGGCCCTTGCACCGCTGCCGCGCTCCGGTGCTGCTGCTGCTGCACTGCTGCCTCGCCCGCCCGCCGCACGTCGCCCGTTGCCCAACGGCGCGCACCCGTGCCCTAGTGCCCGCCACCGCTGCGCCGGCGAGTGTTCCCCAGATCTGCGAAGCGTCCTCGCAGCTTCGACCGCTCGTCGCCCATTGTTCCGAAAGGCCGGCGCGCGCTCGTCGTCTGTCTGGCTGGCTGTCTGTCTGGCAGCCGCTGCTCCGCCTGCGCGTGCCTCGTCGTCTCGCGCGCCGCGCTCCGACGGTGCTCCAGCGCCCGCTGGTGCTGCGCCTGCTTGCTTGCTTGCTCGCTGCCTCGTCGCCGATCCGTGTGCCGCTGTTCGTCAGCTGCGCCTCCACTGCAACTGCAACTGGCCGTCGAGCGCATCGTCGCCTGCGCTGCCTCCAGCTCGCCGCCGCTGCTGCCGCTGCCGCCGCGCCCAACGCGCCGCAGCTCACTTCAAGCGCGCCGCGCCGCCCGCAACACGGCGCCTGCCGCCTGCCAGCTGCCCGCGCCAGCCTGCCGCTCCGCTACACACCGCACCGCACACCGCACACCTCGCCATCCCGCAGCAGCGTGTACCCTCAGCCTCCTTCTTCCTTATCCACTCCATCCCGTCGCCCCCTCTCACCCTCCGCTCCCACTCGCCGTCGCGCCGCCTCGCTCCGTCTCGTCTAATTCTCGCGGCCCCTCCATCACATCACCTCACGCGTGACACCCTTGCATATCACACCCACGCGCGCATCGCCGCGCCTCGCCTCTGCAGCCGCAGCCAGCAGCCGCCAGCGCTGTCTCACAGCCGCAGCCACGCGCGCCCCTTCCTTTTCGCCTCGACCATCCGCGCCGCCCGCGCCGGCCCACCCGCTCTCCACCCTCTCTCCTCTCTCTCTCTCGCTCGTCGAGCGTCTTCTTCGCAGCGACACCTGCGCCCGCGCTCTCGCCTGCACCCTGGCCGCCGCACGCCGCGCAGCCAGACCCGCCGCTCCTTGCCTCTCGCGTTCCCTACGTCCCGCTCCTACTAACCGCACCTCGTCGTCGGCTCGCTGCCGCCGTCTCTGCCTCTCGCCCACTACACGATGTCGCAGCCAGTGTCCCGCGTACGTGGCCGCCGTCGGCACCCGCACGGCGCAACCCTGGCGCTGACCCTTCCACTCCACCAGGTATCGTCTCGTGCTCGATCGGGGTCCACACTGGCACAGTCTCGCGCAGAGAGCAGCTCCTCCGCCGCCGGCCGCGTCCGTGCTGGGCGTGCAGCTGGCGCTGCGCCGCCCGTCGCCGGCGCTGCCAGAGCCGCTGGTCCGCGGAGAGGCGCGCTGGCCGACAAGAGCAACATTGAGCCCGTCGTGAGTTGGACGTGACCAGTGGGCGGATGGAGACACGGCGTGATGGTGCCGGTCTAAGCGACAAGGCATACTTCCTAGACGGCGGATGGCGCTCTCGTCGCCTCATCACCGTGCACGCCTTGCGTCTCACCACGTGGACGCCTTCTGTCCATCCTTCTGACACCATGGCTGCGATGTCTGCAGGCACACATCCAGGACGGCGCCTTCGGCAAGCACCTGCGTGCCTCGTCGCACGACAGCGCGCCGCTGAAGCAGCACAAGGCGCCGAGCTCGAGCGCGCCGCTGCAGCACGCCGCCGACATGCGCCGGCCGTCAAAAGCCGGAGTCAAGGCCAGCAGCTCGATTCCAGAGGGCCTCAAGGCCTCGTCGTCTGGCTCGTCGCTCGCCGGCACCAAGCACGCTCGTGGCGCATCCAGCGGTAGCCAGGCTGTCGGCCGGACGCGCGGCGCTGCCGCTGCCGACACCATGGAGTGCGACGATGCACAGCCGGCCGTCGGACGCAACGTGCGCGCCGTGCCGTCATCCAGCCGAGCCGTCGCCAGCGGCCGCCACATCGCCGCGAGCCGGTCAGGCGTCGCCAGCCACGGCAGCATGGAGGTCGACGCGTCGATTCCGCTGCCGTCGGCCTCGGCGCCCGTGCTCTCGTCGACGACGAACCACGCGGCCGCAGCGGCGCTGAAGCGCGAGATTGCCGATGCCGACGAGGACATGAGCGACGTCGAGAGCGACTGGCGCAGCAGCGGCGAGGGCTCGAGCAACGAGCAGAGCTCCAAGACGGACCACGGCGACGCCGACTCGGACGTCGAGGGCCACGCGGCCAAGCGCGACGCCGACGTTGACATCGTCTCGGACGACGCCGTGAGTGTTGCCGACTCCGAGGCAGCCTCGCTCTGCAGCCTCGACCCCGACTTCCTCGTGACGCTGCCGCCGGAGCTCGAGTCCGCGGCACAGCTGCGGGTGCGGGATGTGTGTGCTCGCTACGAGGAGGCTGTCATCCGTCCCAACGCCGCGCGTGCCGCCGCCGAGCGTGCCGAGCTCGTCAGCCGTGGCCAGCTGAGCGCCGACGTCGCCGCGCACGACGACGAGCTGGCCCTCATGGGCCTCGACCCCGAGGAGGTGCGCGACACCAGCATGGTGGCCGAGTACTCGCGCGAGATCTTCGCCTACATGGACCGCTGCGAGCGCGAGACGATGGCCAACCCGAACTACATGAGCTTCCAGGGCGAGATTGAATGGTGCGTCGCGGATGCCGGCTCGAGATCCTCACCGTGGCAGATGCTGACCATCTGCTCCCCATCGCTAGGCACATGCGCGCCACTCTCGTCGACTGGCTGCTGCAGGTGCACATGCGCTACCACATGCTGCCCGAGACGCTGTGGATCGCCATCAACATCGTCGACCGCTTCCTGTCGGTGCGCGTCGTGTCGCTCGCCAAGCTGCAGCTCGTCGGTGTGACGGCGATGTTCGTTGCTGCCAAGTACGAGGAGATCCTCGCGCCGAGCGTCGACGAGTTCGTGTACATGACGGAGAGCGGCTACAGCCGCGACGAGATTCTCAAGGGCGAGCGCATCATCCTCTCCACGCTCGACTTCAACATCTCGTCGTACTGCTCGCCCTACTCGTGGGTGCGGCGCATCAGCAAGGCCGACGACTACGACATCCAGACGCGCACGCTCTCCAAGTTTCTCATGGAGGTGACGCTGCTCGACAGCCGCTTCCTGCGTGCCAAGCCGAGCCTCATCGCTGCCGTCGGCATGTTCCTGTCGAAGAAGATGCTCAACGGCCAGTGGGACGATGCCTTTGTCTACTACTCGGGCTTCACCGAGGAGCAGCTGGTGCCCGGCGCCAACCTGCTGCTCGAGAAGCTGCTCGACGACGGCTTTGCCGAGCACTTTGTTTGCCGCAAGTACGCCAACAAGAAGTTCCTCAAGGCAAGCATCTTCGCGCGCGACTGGGCGCAGCGCAACCACTCGGCGCTCATCGCCGCTGCCGAGGCGGCGGCCGAGCAGGGCAGCCAGCAGTAAGCTGCGGTGCCCTTCCTTGTCGACCCTCATGACCCGCGCGCCATGCGCGACCCTTTCTCGATGCTCCAACTCGCCGGCCATGCCGGCCTATGCTCCATCATCCGCGTTCTGTGCCTAGACGCAAGCTATCCGCGCCGCCCTCGTTCCCGCACCTCGATCCCACACGCATCTCCCCATTTGCTCGCGCCAAGATCCCACCCATGAGTGTCGCTGCACGGTGCAGCGCCCTCGACCCCCCTAGCCTGTTCGCCTTCGTCCAACTGCAGCAGCAGCATTGCTGCGCTGCGTCTTCGTCCGCCTTCGGCCCTCGTCCCTCTTCCGTCCCTCTGCATACGATACTTTCCCAGCGAGCCCTGTTCAGCACATCCCCCCTTCTTCCACCTTTGCACCCCGACGCCGGCCTTGCGCGATGAGAACCATACACTCTCCTCTCCCCTTCTCTCATCCTCCTCCTCCTCTCCCACCTAGTCGCTCCTTTTGCTCTTAACCCCCCCTCTTCCTCTCGCGCAGCCCGTCCCGCCTCGTTCCCGCACACATTTTACGACCCATGTGATGTAACGCATCTCACATTGCGCCTGGCGTCGTCGATGACTGAGTGTGTAGCATGCAGGGTGCAGGAGAAGGGACAGGAAGCAGGAGATGGCGGGTCTAGAGCGCAGCGAGGCGGGGGAGATCACTTCTTGGCGCGCTTCACGGGCCCGGCGGGCGTCGAGGCGCGCGACGAGGTGTCGCCGAGCGCATCGGCGGCGCCGCGCTTCTTGCGGCCCGGCTTGCCCACCTCGGAGCTGCCGTCCGTGTCGTCCTTGAGGATGAGCGACAGCAGCGTCGTGGCTCGCCGTGAGACTGAAGAGACGTGGTCAGCTTGGACTCGTGCAGCGGCTCGCCGGGCCAGCTCACGCTCGGCAGGCGTCCGGCTCTTGATGAACCAGCTGCGAGGCGGAGGAGGAGGATCAGCTGTGGCCCACAGGCTTCAGTCCGGCCGACTCACTCAAAGCGGAAGCCCGGGTGGTTGTTAATGTCCTGCGATAGAGTCAGCGTCACGCTGCGGTGCATCGCGCTGGCAGCCACCGCTCACTGTCTTCATCTTCTCCCACGTGTCCTGCGAAGGAGGTCAGCGATGTGCAGCAGTCACGCAGCAGCGCTGCACTCACATCAGCGCGCAGGCCGTGCTGCGAGAGGCTGTACAGCAGGAAGCGGTCCTCGTCCTCCGAGTACGCCTTGCCCTTCGTCGAGCCGCTGTACGTGAGCTTGAGCTGCGTCAGGGGCGCCTTGTACTGCTTGATGAACTTCTCGAGCGTCGCCTCGTTGCGCTGCAGGCGGTGTCAGCGTCTGTGCTGCTGTGCAGCAGACTAGCGGCTCACCTCGATCTTCAGGATCTTGGCCTCGCCGTCCTCGATGCGCTTGAGCACACGCTCGTGATCTGTCGAAGCGGAGTGAGCAGGCAGCCGGCAAGGGTCATCACAGCAAACGCACCGGCCAGCTCGTTGATGCGCGCCCAGAAGACCTTGGCGTACTTCTTGACCTCGGCCTCGTCGATCTCGGTGTTGCCGATCTCCTCTGCGATCTCGGCGTAGGCGTGCCTGTCGCGTTCGAGCGTCAGTGTACGCAGAAGTCAAGCAAGCGACATCACGCACCGGCCGTGGCGCTCGCTGCCCTTGACGAAGTTCTGGAAGTCACGCTTGCTCCAGTTGGTGTAGCCCTGCTCGGCAAGCTCCTCCTTGCGCGTCACCTCGTCCTCCGTCAGCGCCTCGGCTGTGAGATACAGTCAGCACGCAGGGGAAGTGCCATGGCCAGCAGGCACGCCTCACCAGACTCGATGAACTCCTGCTCCGTCTTGCGCTCCTCCTCGGCCTCCGACGCGTCCTCGCCCTCCTTGACCTCGCGCAGCGGCACCTTGTAGCCGACGCTGCGCTGGTACGCCGCCGTCTCGCGCCGCTGCAGCTCCAGCAGCTCCGATGGGTAAAACTGCCAGTCGTTGCTGCGGATGGTGAGCCGTCAGCGCACCGCGCAGTAGCCGGCACCCAGCACACTCACACGCTGATTTGCTTCGGCGCACGCGGCGCGCGCGGCACGACGGGCTTCTTTGTCTGCTGCAGCGCCTCCTTGTAGTACGAGTCGACGTGGTAGTTCTCCTTGCGCTGGCGCTTGCTCGGCTCGATCCAGATGCCCTTCTTGAGCTTGTTCTTCGCCGAGAAGTCCTGGCCCTCCCACTCGAGCGTCGTCTCCGACTTGAAGTTGTTCAGATCGTCGAGGTTCAGCGACGAGTACTTGTCCTGCAGCTTCGACGTGCGCTCGGCGCCCTCCTCGATGATGGCGTCGATGTCGGCGTCGATCATGAGATTCGCGTCCGAGTTGATGATCTTCTCGGCGCCGTGCTGGATCATGTCGACGAGATCGTCCTTGTTCTGCTGCGCCTTGGCCACTTGCTGAGTCCGGCCCTGCTGGATGACGAGCTGGTCGAGGCGCAGCTTCTGCGCCGCACGCTCGAGGATGCGCTCCTCGACCGACGAGTCGGTGACGAAGCGGAACACGTAGACCTGCTTCGTCTGACCGATGCGATGCGCGCGGTCCATCGCCTGCAGATCGGCCTGCGGGTTCCAGTCCGAGTCGAAGAGCACCACGACGTCGGCCGTGGTCAGGTTGATGCCCAGGCCACCGGCGCGCGTCGTGAGGAGGAAGACAAACTTCTCGCTGCCGGGCCGGTTGTAGTCGTCGATGGCAGCAATGCGGTCCTCGTGCGCCGAGTTGCCGTCGATGCGGCAGTACTCTGTGGCGCTGCGTCAGTGCCAATGCTTCGCATCAGCCGCAGGTGCACTCACGGTACTCGCGGAACATGCAGTAGTCCTCGAGGATGTCGAGCACACGGCTCATCTGGCTGAAGATGAGCACGCGGCTGCCCTTCTCCTTCATGGAGCGCAGCAGCTTGTCGAGGATCATCATCTTGCCCGAGTTGTACACGAGGTGCTCGTCGGTCGTGTACGGCGGGCCCGGCTCGGCGCCGTCGAAGAGGTATGGGTGGTTGCAGCACTTGCGCAGCTGCATGACGATGTTGAGCAGCCGCGTCTTGCCCTCGCGCTTCGCGCCCACGCCGTTGACGGCGTCGATGTCCTTCTCAAGGATGGACCTGCGAGGGAAGTCAGTGCGCTGCACCTGTCCCGCCACGCCACGCAGCGACGCACTTGTACCACTTGCGCTGCATGTCCGTCAGACCGACGAAGATGTTGATCTCTTTCTTCGGCAGCAGGCTCTTTTCGACGTCGGCCTTGACACGGCGCAGCAGGAAGGGCCGCAGCACCTTGTGCAGCTGCTGCACCACCTGGTCCTGCGCCTCGTCGCCCTTGCCCTTGAACCACGACTCGAAGTCTTCCGAGTTCGAGAAGACGTCCGGCTGCGGGAGAGGTGTCAGACGGCGATGCCAGGCACGTACACCGGGCGACGCACCAGCAGGAAGTTCAGCAGGCTCCACAGCTCCATCAGATTGTTCTGCAGCGGCGTGCCCGTGATGAGCAGGCGCGAACGGCTGTTGAAGGCGCGGACGATCTGGCTGAGCATCGAGTCGACGTTCTTGATGCGGTGCGCCTCGTCAATCACGATGTACTCCCACGAGAGCTTCTTCAGTGCCGACTTCTCGCGCAGGCACATCTCGTAGGTGGTCAGGAGCACGTCGAAGTTCTGCGGCATGAGGTGCTCCTGGATCAAGTGGGTCTGCAGCGAGGCACGTCGGGTCAGCGCAAGAGCATGTGCGATTCTCGCATCATCGACGCACCCGCTCCTCCTGCGTGCCCTGCAGCACAACGACGTTGAAGCCGGGCACCCAGCGCTCGAACTCGCGGCGCCAGTTGTCGAGCGTGCTCTTGGGCACGACGACGAGGTGGAAGCGCGGGATGTCCTTGTAGAACTTCAGCCAGCCGAGGAAGGAGATGGTCTGCAGCGTCTTGCCGAGGCCCATCTCGTCGGCCAGGATGCCGTTGATGCCGTGCTGGAAGAGCGAGCTGCGAGGAGCATGTCAGCAGCGCCCCGAGATGAGGCACTCCCTTCCACTCACATCATCCAGTTGAGGCCCTGCACCTGGTAGTCGCGCATGGTGCCGCCCTTGACGTAGCTCGGGCTCTCGTCAAACACGAACGCGTCCTCGTCCTCCTCGTCGCCGGCACCCAGCAGCTCCTCGTCCTCCTCCTTCTCCGTCTTGCGGCGGCGCGTGCCGCCCTCGGTGCCGGCGGCCTTCTTGCCCTTGCCGCGGCTGCGCTTCGCCTGGCTCTCCTCGAGCAGGCGGCGGAACTCGGGGTCGCGCTCCTTCTTGATGTCGATAAAGTGCTGGAAGAGCTCCGTCTGGCCGAGGAGGTAGGAGAAGCGCTTCATGCTGTCGGCCAGCTTGCTCTTCGCCATCTCCTCGCGCGTCGAATCGAGTGCCGAGTTCTGCCCCTGGCGCACGGAGCGCTCGGCGCCGCGTGCCTCGCGGCGCTCGGCCTTCTCGCGCTCCTTCTCGAGCTGGCGCGCCGTCTTCTTTGACGGGCTCACGACGGCTGACGTGTCGGGCTCCTCGTCGAGCTCGTCGTCCTCGTCGCCGCCGCTGACCTCCTCGGACGCAGCCTTGGAGTGCGACGCGCTGGCGGTGGGCGCACGCGACATCTCGCCCGAGATGGGCACGTAGTCGGAGAGCTTGTCCGTGTCGTCGTCGGGCAGCTGCAGCGCCGGCGGCACGGCCGACGCCGGCTTGGCGGAGCCGTTGATGGCCATGCTGGCGCGCGGTGCGGCGGCGGCGCGCGGCGCGAGGAGGTGCAGCAGAGACGCGCAGGAAGAAGTGCGAGGGGCCGAGGTGGAGGCAGCCGCGGCACTGGCGAGAGGAGCGGCCTAGCAAGCAGCGGGCAGAGCAGAGGTGCACACGCGAGTGAGTGAGGGAGCGAGATGCGCGTGCGGTGTCGGCGCCGAGAGGCGGGAGTGATGAGGAGAGGAGAGACGGAGCGCGGCGCCTCGGAAGGGGCGAGGCAGGCGAGGGAGACGGGGGCCGGCGAGAGCAGCGTGCATTGGGCGGCGCCGGCATGCCGGACACTGCTCTCCTGCCCGGCGTGCGAGAGGCGCACGCGTCGCGCGTGGCTGGAAATTGACGCGCGAGCTGCGAAGGCGGGTGGCCGGAGCGCCGCTGAGCCATGCTGCACCTCCTCATCCTCAACCCGCCGCGCCTGCTCGTCTCCGCTCCAGAGCCGGTCTGCTGTCCTTTAACGCTGCGCTTCGACCAGACATCGCACGAAGCCTGCTTGGCTAGCGCGCCGCTCTCAGTCACATCTCATCTCAGGCGGCAGGACGCTGCTCGTGAGGGCACCGCTCCGCCAGGCTGCGCCGCGGCTCGCCATGCCGGCCAGCATGTACGCCGCCGCGCCGCCGTCGCCCGATGCGTCGCTGCGCCTGCTCATGCACGCCACGCACCCGAGCACCGCCGCGCTGACGGGCCTCTCGAGCTCGCTGCCGTCGCGCCGTGCGCCGCCGACGTCGCAGCAGTCGACGGCGCTGCCCAGCACCTCGACGCTCAAGACGGCCGAGCGCGTGGCCGCGCAGCGCCAGGCGCGCGGCGACCACCTGCCGAGCCGCGGCGCCTACGCAGAGAGCCACCGTGTGGCACGCCACATGGCCGGCCTGCCGCCGCTGGGCAGCCGCGCCGAGATCGAGGAGCTGAGCGAGGAGGAGTACGAGCTCGAGGCGCTGGTGCGTAGCGGGCCGGGCGCGAGCGATGCACGAGGCAGCTGCTAATGGGCATCGCCTCGCAGCACGACCGCATCGCCTCGTACGGGCACGACTTCCTCATCACCGTCGGCGAGACACGCACGCACGCCGAGCGCGAGTCCTCGGTGAGCGAGCATGGAGCAGCATGCACACCACGGCGCCTCGCTGACCGGAGTCCGGCAGCAGCTGTCGGAGCGCTCCATGACGCCAGACGGCTCCGAGTCTGATGCCGAAGGCGGGCCCGGCGCCTTTGTGGGCGGTCACACTGGACACGCCGCAGCAGAGGTGCAGGCCGCCGTCGCTGCTGAACGCCGCGACGGCGAGGCTGCGGCACAGACCGGCGGCGACCAGGCGCCTCCGCCTGCAGCGCCTGTGGAGCGGGACCTCGATGCAGACGTAGAGGACATGGATGCATGATCACTATGCACCCTGGCGTGCTCGCTTGTCCTCTCTGGCGAGTGACACGCGCATCCCATTCATCACGTCAACAAGGCTCGTCCATCTTCGCTCGACCGGCCTCAGCAGCACGCTCCCGACGAAGCGCCGTCCACGCGCGGCTCTCGACTGTCGGAGAGACTGCTCAGCAGCATTCCCGAGCAAGGCACGCATCACTCACTGCTTGCCAAAGTACTGCGGCCGAGGCGCGAGTCTGCCGGTCACACATCAGCACGGCAGTCATGCAACACTCGTCGGTCGACTCACTCGGCCGTCTTGGCGTTGAACGGCACCGTCGCCAAGTCCGGCCCGCCCCACTTGGTCCGACCGGCGTCCACGATCTGCGTACGCGGTCAGCATTCGCGCCGGCCTGCGACCGCTGCGCCCTCACCTTGACGCCGTACCACTCGCCCTCCTTCTTCTGGCTCACGAGCACGCCCCACCTATGCGGGCAATGCTCATCAATCGACTTGCAATGCCATCGAGCCTGGACCAGTCTCACCAATGCCCGCCGTTCTGCGTGACCCACACGCGCTGGTCCGCAAAGAAGCCGCACGGCTTCTTCTCGGGTGCTGCGAGCGTCGCCGTGTCAGTGCAAGCTGAGCACATCGAGCGCAGGTTGGCTCACCTTTCGCCGGCGCTGCATCCTTCTTCTCTTCCTTCTTCTCTCCGCCGCCCTTCTTCTCGTCGCCACCTTTCTTCTCCTCGCCTTTCTTGGCCCCTTCCTCCTTCTTCTTCTTCTCCTCCGCCTCTTTCTTTGCCTTCTCCTCTGCGTCCTTCTTCGCCTTCTCTTCAGCGTCTTTCTTGGCCTTCTCGGCCTTCGCCTTCTCAGCGGCGTCGAGCACCTTCTTGACCTGCGGCGCGGGCGCGGCTCAGCAACCCTCTGACGTGAGCACCTCGGAACGCTTACGCTATCTTCCAGCTGGCCGAGCATCCAGTCAGCGCGAGCGAGATACACACCACGCAGCGGCGCACCTTCTTTGCCTCGTCCTCGGGCTTTGGAGGCGCGGGCTTCGGTGCTGGAGGCGAGGCTGCGGCGGGCGGCGGCGAGGGTGCGGGTGCGGGCGGCGCAGGAAGCTGGGCGCGGCGCGTCAGAGGCACCCATTGCGGCACGCTCGCCAGCCTGTGTCTACCTTTGGAATGAGATCTGGTCTCACTGGCAGCATGGTGTGAGCAGCCTGAGCGGCCCGAGGTGCAGCACCACTCACGCAGCATCACGAGGCCCAGCACGAAGCTGAGGAACGTGAGGAGCTCCATGCACGAGCTGCCGCCCATGCTGGCGGGAATGGCGGCGGCCTGCTGCGGGTACCAGATGGCGGGCGGTGCGGCGTAGGCTGGAGCGACGGCGCAGCCGGGCAGGCCGAGCATACACAGGCTCATGGGGCGAGAGGGGTTGGAGGTAGCGGTGAGGGGGAGCTCGAAGCGGGACAGCGAGAGCAACACAGCAACATCCACGGCACTTTGCCCCCAGCCGCCGGAGACACCCCTGAGGCACCTGAGTGCTCGACGGGCCGCGACGAGCTGTCCAGCGCTAGCACCTCCTATCTCACACACCACACACGGCATGAGTCGATGTTCTTGGTTGCGCATTCGCCGGCAGGAAGCAGGAAAGAGTAGTGTAAAGAATGCCACGGCGGCGGGACTAAAGAGACAGAGCGGCGCGATCTAAGCTAGACGTGGCTGCGCGCTAGGATATGCTGTGAGGGGAGGCAGGAAGGGAGGGAGAGAGGGGAATCACACGGCGGAGCGGAAGAGCGGGAGAGACAACGAGTGACGAGGCTCGCGCCGCTTACTCGTCCTCGATCTCGAGGCGCGTGGCGAACGAGTACACGTCGTGCTCGCCCTCCTTGTCGGCCTTCTCGTGCACGATGGTGAGGCGCTGCAGCGACGTGAAGAAGTCCTCGAGCAGCGGGTTGCGCACCGAGCGCTTGCGGCGGCCCAGCTCCTCGAGCGCCTTGATGCGGTTGAGGATGAAGTACACGAGCGTGATGACGACCATGACGCCGAACGAGTAGCACCACACGCGGATGACGGTGACGATGTCCGTCCAGCCGCCGTGCGGGGCCGTGATGGGGTTGCGGTTCGGCGCGCCCGAGAGCCAGCCGAAGAGGCAGAAGAGCGTCGAGATGATGTCGACACCGATGACGGCGCCCACGAGCTGCCACGACGGCAGCGTGACGTCCGACTCGCCGCCGCCGAGGCGCGTGACGAAGATGAGCCAGTTCTCGACGAGCGAGACCTGCAGGAAGAGGATCTCCTGCGTGTTGCCGAAGTTGGCAATGATGCCGCCCGACTCTCCCGGCGGGCCCTGGATGAAGAGCGTGCCGCGGATGACCCACGTCGACATGGCCAGCAGCACGCCGAGCACCGTCGAGATGATCCAGATGCGCGGCAGCTGCCACTCGACGGGCTGGCGCGCGTGCGGCGCGTTGTCGTAGGCGATGGCAATCGTGGCCAGGTCGGCAAAGAGGGCGATGAAGACGATGAGGTCGGCGCGGATCACCTCGTCGAGGATGATGATCGAGAGCACGAGGTAGATCTCGAGGTGCAGGCAGAGCGAGATACGGTACTGGATGTAGGCCTTCATGCGGTGGAAGATCTGGCGCGCGACCTTGATCGACGTGATGATCGTCGAGAGACCCTCGTCGAGGAAGACGACGTCGGCAGCCGAGCGGGCCGCGTCGGACGCGCCCTCGACGGCGATACCGCAGTCGGCCTTCTTGAGCGACGGCGCGTCGTTGACACCGTCGCCCGTCATGGCCGTGAGGTGGCCACGGTGCTGCAGCATCTCGACGACCTGGTACTTGTGCTCGGGGAACACCTCGGCGAAGCCGTCGGCGGCCTCGACGAAGTCGTGGATGGCCGAGCCGGACATGCCGCCGGAGCCGATGAGGCGGTGCGAGTCGTAGACCTTGGTGCCGAGCGCCAGCATCTTGCACGTCTCCTTGGCGATGGCCACGGCGTCGCCGGTCAGCATCTTGACGGACACGCCGAGCGTCTGGGCCTCGGCAATCGTCGCGGCCGTGTCGGCGCGCGGCGGGTCGAACATGGGCAGCAGGCCGAGCAGCTTCCACTTCTGGTCGCCCTCCTTGATCGCAACACCGAGCGAGCGGAAGCCGCGCGAGGCGAAGTCACCGGCAACCTTGCGGTACGTGGCAGCCGTCTCGGCGTCGGGCGCGCAGAGCTTGAGGATGGCGTTGGGCGCACCCTTGGCAGCCGTGTACTGCACGCCGTCCTTCTCGACCTCGGACGTGATGCGCTTGGAGACGGGGTCGAAGGGCGTGAACTTGTGAGTGATCCAGCCGCGTGCGAGCTCCTCCTGCGCGCCGGGGTAGTCCTTGAGCGTCGAGATGGTGACCTTGTCGATGGGGTCGAGCGACTTGATGTTGTGCGACGAGGCGAGCGCGGCGACGGCCATCATGTAGTTGACGTCGACGCCCTCGGACGTGAAGGGCTCGTGGATCGAGAGCTTGTTGGCCGTGAGCGTGCCGGTCTTGTCGGAGCACAGCACGTCGACACCGGCCAGCGACTCGATGGCCGTGAGCTTCTGCACGATGGCCTGGCGGCGCGCGAGGTAGGCGGCGCCGACGGCCATCGTCGTCGTGGTGACGCAGGGCAGACCGACGGGCACGCCGACGACGAGGAAGATGAGCGTGTAGATGAGCAGGTTGTTGTCGCGCGGCGTGGCAATGCCCGTGCCGCGGAAGAAGCCCGAGATCCAGAACATGAGCAGGAAGACGACGACGAGAATCAGCAGCGCGCCGCCGATCGAGTCCATGACAATCTGGAAGTGGCCCTTGACGTCGCCGCCGAGCACGAGCGCGGCCGTGCGGCCGACGAATGTCTGCTTGGCAATGTCCGTGCAGAGGATGTACGCCTTTCCGCGCTTGCAGCCCGTCGTGTAGAAGACCGTGTCGCCGATGTGCTTGTCGACGGCGAGCGACTCGCCGGTGATGGCCGACTGGTCGCAGGCAATGATGGCCGGGCCCTTGTCGATGCCCTCCTCGTCGTCCTCGTTCTCCGAGCCGCCCTTGCGCGAGGCCTCCATCTTCTCGCGGATTGCGTTGGCCTGGCTCAGGTCCTTGTCCTCGTAGTCGGCCAGCAGGCGGCCGTCGCAGGGCACCGTCATGCCGTCCTCGACGACGACAATGTCGCCGGGCACGAGGTCGCGCGCCTCAATCTCGTGCTCCTGGCCGCCGCGCACGACGGTCGTCTTGAGCGCAATGCCGGCCTTGAGCTGGGCGACAATGTCGCCGGCCTGCTTCTCCTGGTACCAGCCGACGAAGGCGTTGAGCATAAGAATACCGATGATGACACCAAAGTCGATCCACTCGCGCAGACCGGCGGCGAGGATGACGGCAATCTCCATGACTGCAAGACGGAAGTGTGAGCGGCTGTATCTGCGAGAGCGCACGGCACGCGCGACCACTCACCGTAGAGAATGGGACCCTTGAAGAAGCCGAGGAACGTGACGAAGAGGTTCTTGTGCGGGCTCTCGAGCTCGTTGTAGCCGAACTGCGAGCGGCGCTTGGCGACGTCGGCGTCCGAGACACCGGTGTGCATGTCCGTCTCGAGCCTGCGCGCGGAGGGCCATGTCAGCTGCGGTGCCACGAGGAGCAAACATGCTGGAGCGTGCGGAGGCCACAGCGATGGGAGCACGCATGCGCGCACAGCCGTGCGGGGTGGGGAACGTCTGCGGCGCGAGAGCAAGTTGGCGCGCGCGCACCGGCGGCACGCCAGGAGACGAGTCTCCGCGGCGCGCGCGCATGAGCGGGGTGCGCACGCCAAAGCAGCTGGGCCGCGCGCGCCGCTACGCCAAAACAGGCCCTCGCCGGACCCTTATCAGGCGCTCGTCCGGCTCACACACAGCGACAGCCAGCGACAGCCGCAGCACACTCACCACGACGCAGGCACCTTGGCGGCGACCTGCTCCTCCTCGCCCTCCTTGTTGACGCGCACCTCGCGCGTCTTCCACGGCGTCAGCAGGCTGCGCTTCTTGACGATGCGCGAGCCGTCGCCCTCGGCCTCGTCGGTCGTCTGCGTCTTCTGGTCGCGGATGAACTGGATGAGCGTGGCGTACTCCTCCGACGGCGCCTCGGCGTGCTTCTCGGTGTCGGACATGCTGGGCAGTGCGGTGTTGTGATGAGTGGGTAGGGCGTGCGCGCCAGGTGCGGGGCTCCGGTGGAGGGCCAGCAGCGACGAGAGCGCTGGGCGGCGGAGCGGGACCTGCGGGGGAGAGGGAGCGAGGGGGTGAGGAGGCAGGAGCAACGGCGCGGCGACCAGACGGGGAGGAAGGGTGGGCGCAGGCAGCGGGCTGCGCTGCGGCGGCTGCTTCTATACGGCGCGCGCAGAGGGGCCAGGCAGCGCAGAGAGAGGGCAGAGAGCGCCAGCTCGGCGGCCGTGTGTTCGTGAGGGGCACGGCCGCCGTTGCCGTGCCGTGCCGGCCGTGCCCATCTGCCCATCTGCGCTGTCGCACGCTGCTGCCGCCGCGAGTGCCGGCGGGAGCATGCACGAGGAGCGCCTCCGATCGTGCGGCGCGGCGCACGGCAGCACGGCGGCCGCGGCGCCATGCACCCGCCCGCCGCTGCCCTCGCGATACGGCTTCGCAGCAGCAGCAAGCCGCAGCGAGCGGCATGGTGTCGGCCGTGCGCCGCGCTGCGAGTCGAGTGCGAGGTTGGCCCTGCGGCGCGCGGCTGCCGACGCCTCGCTCGCATCGAGAGGCACAACACGCCGCTCCACCGAAGCCGCGCGCAGACTCGTCTGGCGCCTGCGGCAGCGGCCGAGGAACAGAGATCGTGCCGGGGGGCCGGTTGGGCCGCTGACACTGCGCGGCCGCTGCGCTTCCCGCGCCGCCGGTTCCCCAGCCGCCCGGCACGCGGCCAGTCGAGTGAGATGCGCCGGAGGGTGCTCATGCAGTGCCTGAGTGCACTTGAGTGCCAAAGTGCCGGCGCTGCAGCTGCTGCGTCACCTCGCCTGCGTGAGCACGCGGCCGGCCGCATGGGGCCGAGGGCTGTTGGAGTGCTGCTCGGCCGCCGCCGCCGCGCTCCACCCGGCACCTCGCCCGCGAGCCCCTCTCGCTCGTCGTCGCCCGACGATAGCCTCGTCGCGAGGTGGTGCCATGCGCGGCCATCTCGCCAGCGCAGCGTTTGGCCGTGCGCGCCGAGCTGCCGCGGCTTCGTTTGCAGCGTCTCGCACGCTCCTCCGCGGTGCAGGCCGCCGCTGCATCCGGCGCACCCATCGTGCGCCGCAGCGTCGGCTGCAGCTCGGCAAAGCAGCCGCTGCGGTGACCACGCAGCCTCGACGCCATCGCAGCGCCATACACGCCCTCGCGGCCCTGAACGCTGCCGCTGCGGCGCTGCGAGCGGCATGCAGGCGCTTCATCGTCCGCGCCTCCGCCGCTGCCGCTGCGCGCTGAGCTGCACCTGGGCGATCATCGCCTGCAGCCTGCAGGGCAGAAGGCGCAACGGCGCTGCACGCGTGCAGCCCGGCGCCGGGGCATGCTTCTCTGCAGAACGCCCAGCCGGCGGCCCATGTCTGCCGCAGCACCAGCCGCGAGCATGCAGCGGTGCCGTGGCGTGCAACCCTTCGGCCTGTCAGTTTGTCACGCTTGCGAGCCGTTGGCGATCGCACAAGCAGTGCCGCTGTCTCGGGGCCGCCGGCCGCAGAGCGCCAGGTGCGGACGGCATTCTGTCCATGCCGTCTGGTGCCTCGCAGAGCGCTGGCCTCCCTTCTTCGCCCCTGAGCGAGACCAGGCGTGCCGCGGCGAAACGGCACGGACGAGTGACGAGGACACGCAGATGCCACAGCGAGATCTGCGAGAGCGCCTGCCTGCTGCGTTACGACACTTCGCCTCTGTTGGCCGACAAGATCGAGAGCTGTTTCTAGGACCGGGCTCGTAAGGCTCGCTGACTCGCGCTGCGTCTTGTCAAAGCACACGTGTCAGCACGCGACGCGACGTTGACCACGCTCCGAGAGCGGTCCGAACCGCCCGCCAGGCTAGGCTGCGTTCCGAGCCGCCGGCCAGAAGGCTCCAGCCGCCGGACTGGAGCAGAGCGCACTTGATCTACCTCTCCTCCGACGCCGGCCTTCTCCCTGCCAGCCGCTCGGCAGCTCGGCCGCACGCCAAAGTTCGCCGGTTGCGGCGGCGGCTCGAGATGGCCGCTCCACATCTCGAGTTTGCGCGGTCTGCGAAGCCGTGCCGGTGCCTGCCGCGGCTGCAACGGTAGCCGGTGCCTCGAGATTGCCCGTGGCCGACGCAGGTCCTCAGAGCTCAGCCGCCCCTCATGGTGTCTGCTGGAGGCCTGCGGACGACCTCGCACTGCCGTGCTGCGGGTTACTCCGGGCGCCACGAAGATCGTCCCGGTTGCGGCGCCCTGCCGGACCGGCGCTTCACGCTTGTAAGTTGCTCGCGTGATCTCCGCGCCTCGGCACACGCTCCGAGATCTCAGGAACGACCAGGCTGGAGCCAAGTGTCATGCGGCGAGCAGGAAGCATGCGCTTCTTCGGGCGCTGACGGCCGGCAGCTGCTCCGTGCGAGGTGGAGGCTCCAAGTGCACTCGTGCCCATCATCTCACACAGCAAGCACCAGCAGATCCCATCGCATTGCTCGCACAAATCGCACCATCACGCTCAGAGGTTCTTGCCATAGTCGGCGCTGCTCTCGTGCGACTTGGCTTCGGTGAGCTTGCGTGCGGCCTTGACCATGTCCTCCTGCACGATGTAGTCCCGGTCGTCGCGGATCGCAAACATGCCCGCCTCCGTCACGACGTTGCGCAAGTCGGCGGCGTTGAAGCCGTCCGAGAGCTTCACGATCGCCTCGTAGTCACTGGCAGGCCGTGCGTCAGTTCGGTCTGCTGCCTGGCAGTGCGGATCTGCGCGACTCACAGCTCGTCGCGCTTCGCCACCGGGCGTGCGTGGATCTTGAGGATGTCCAGACGGGCAACCTCGTTGGGCAGCGGAATCTCAATCTTGCGGTCAATGCGGCCCGGGCGCATCAGGGCCGGGTCAAGAGTGTCAGGCCGATTTGTCGCAAAGATGATCTTCGTCTTGCCGAGGTAGTCGAATCCGTCCATCTGGTTCAGGAGCTGTGACAGAGGCAGCGTGTCAGCTGAGCCGGAGCTGCGAGGGGCAAGAGACGCACCTCCATGAGCGTGCGCTGGATCTCGCGGTCCGCACTCGTGCCCTCGCTGAATCGCCGGCCGCCAATGGCGTCAATCTCGTCCATGAAGATGATCGTCTGACGCGACAGTGTGAGCATGTCGGAAATGCGGGTGCTGCACAGAGCGACTCACAGGCTCGTGCTCCTTGGCATAGCCGAACATCTCGCGCACCAGACGTGCACTCTCGCCGATGTACTTGTCCACAATGGCGCTGCTCACGACCTTGAGGAAGTTGGTGTCGAGCGTGGCAGCAACGGCACGCGCGAGCAGCGTCTTGCCCGTGCCGGGCGGGCCGTAGAGCAGCACACCCTTCGGCGGCTTGATGCCCACCCGCAGGAAGAGCTCGGGGTTGAGCAAAGGCAGCTCGATGACCTGCAGAGTGCGTGTCAGTGACGGTCGTGCCGCAACTCAGAGCGGCCCGATTCCGCTATGCTTTGCATGCGCCGCAGCTTCCTGCCGACAGCAAGGAGCGCTCTCAAGCGCGGCAGCAATCCCGAAGCGCCGAAGAGCATGGGCTCGCCTCCATACTCCAGCTTCAACACGCCATCCGGGAGCTCCATCCAAGCAGCCCCACGCCACCCAGCAGCACCTTGCGGATGGCCTGCGCAGAAGCAGCTCCAGCGCTCCGCTGACAGCGCAACCCGCTGCGAGAGAGCCTTGCTCTCGTACTTTTTATATGCACGCGCTGCAAGCCCAGTCGCACCCGCATCCATCGCCGCACACGTCGTCGAATGCCGCCACTCACCTCGCGCAGCTCGCGAATCTGCTCGCCCAGGCCACCGACGCCCGCGAAGCTCGCGCCGCCGGGGTCCTCCATGCTCATGTTGTACACGAGCGGGTCGACCTCGCGCGGCAGGATGCGCATGATGGTGAGGGTCGTCATGTCGAGCGAGACGCGCACGCCCTGCTTGAGCTTGTGTTTTGGCACCGTCGAGCGGATGCCGACGACGTAGCGCGGGCCCGACGACGCCTTGACGATGACTGCGGCGCGGCAAAGGTAAGTGGCGCGCGAGAGAAGGGCCAGTCGAGGCGCACGCACATCGCTCATCGTCCAGCTGCTTCAGCACCTCGCCGATGATCTGGCCCACGGACTGCAGCGCCTTGATGTCGTCCTCCGTCTTGTCGTAGTCCTTCTCCAGGTCACGCAGGCCGAAGCGCACTGGCAGCAGAGATGTCAGCCCTCGCCGGCATTGACCACGCCAGTTGCTACACTCACGCTTCTTGAGGCCTGCCGAGAGGTCCTCGTGCTGCTTCAGCGCCTTGCGGTACGCCTTGAGCGCATTGTCCTTGCGCGGGTCGGCCGGCGCCAGCTGTGTCGGCTCGCCCGACGACGGACCGGCGGTGTCGGCCATCAGAGCTGGCTGAACAGCAGAGCAGGGTGAGCGTGTGAGAGAGCGGAGCCGTGTGCGCTGCGAGCTTGATGTGCAAAGAGGTGCGGAGAGCCGGACTGGAGGTGGAGTGCGAGAGGGTGAGGTCAGGCCAACGCGGCGTCGTGGTGGCTCATGCGCAACGACGCGCGGCGCGGAGGCCCAGATGCAGCTTCGGCCGCACAGCGCCGTCGTGGCAGCCGCTGGGTGGGGGCGCGGGAGAAGTCACGTGCGGACGGCCCAGAATCTCAGCCGTGCCGACGGCTGCTCGCTCCTGCCCTCCCGACCACCTTCCACGCCGTCACATCCAATGCTTCCCGTCGCCATGAGCAGCGGCATGCGTGCCCTCGCCTGCGACTCTGCCGCCGTGCTGCGCGCCACACGAGCACGCGGCTTCGCCAGCTCGGCATCCACATCAGCACCGGCGGCCGCTGCCGCTGCTGCGACGCCCTCCTCGTCCCGGCCCGCGCCGTCCCGCGCCGGCAAGCGGCGGGCGCGCGCCGCACGCGACGACAAGCTGCGCCACGCCATCGAGCTCTTCCACCGCGCACCCACCTTCTACGCCTCGCCCGCCTCGACGCCCGGCGCCGGCGTGCAGAGCGAGGAGACGCCCGAGGCCAAGCGCGCCCTCGACCAGCGCGTCATGGAGGACGTGCTGTACCCGTACACCGACTACATCGAGGGCGCCGAGGACCAGACGTTCCTCACGCTCGCCGCCGTCGCCTCCAACGCTGCGCGCGACGCGGCGTCGCTGAACAGCGCCACGAGCACCGTGCAGGCGCCGTCCAAGTTGGTGTCGGGCTACAACCCCGAGGGCACGCCCGTGCCGCCCGAGTCGGCCTCGCTCACCGCCATGCCGTCGGCAGAGAGCGAGGCGACGCGCTCGTACCTCGAGCAGCTCATCAAGGAGGAGGACAGCCGGCGTGCCGTCGTCAACGTCGGCTACACGACGCCCAGCAGCGTCAGTCGTGCCGTGCTGGTGCGCGACGCCCTCTTCGGCACCGTGCACGGCGAGAAGCCAGGCCTCGAGGTGGTGCGCGAGCGCGCCGCCGCCCGCAAGGCGCGCATGGAGCAGGACGGGACACCGCAGGGGCCATAGGGCAGCACTTGCGGTAGTAGATGTCAGGGCGAGGCAGGCGACACGAATGGGGGCAGATGGTAATGGCACTGGGTATAGCAGATTGGAGCAAACGAGCGGCGGCTGCGCCGAACAGCGGAGCATAAAGTAGAGCACTACACGAGACACTCGCGGCGCACCGCGGTGAAGCCTGTGGTCCGCTTGACGGCTAGGACAGGGATGGTGGGCACGGTAGGCTTGGCCTCGGCGGGTGGAGCGGTCGCCGCAGGCGGAGCTGTCGCTGCCGGCTTGGCCTCGCTGCCTCGGGAGCCCTTCGCGAGCGAGGCTGCTCGCGACAGGGCCTGCGCAGTCGAGCCGACCGACGAGCGCCTCGGCGCAGCATCCTGAGGCAGGGTCGTCGGCGACACGCTCGGTGAGGCGGCGGGCGAGACCGACTTGGGCGGAGCGCACGCGTCGCCGAGTCCGAGGAAGTCGACGCCGAGCGGCGGGCGCTTCGTCTCGGTTGCCCGCTCCAGCATGCGCCCGACGGCAGCGCGCTGCCACGTCTTCTCCGTCCAGACGTCGTGCACCTTCATGAAGCCGGCCTTGTGCGGCCACGGGTGCACGAAGCGGCCGTCGGCCGTGACGCCGTCGGCTGAGGTGCCGGCGTGCGGCTGCTTCAAGACCTCTTGCTTCTCCGCCTCGGTGTCCTCCCACATCAGCTCGCGGTTGGCGCTGTGGAATAGCGCCTCGGCGGCGACGAGCATTGAGCGGACGAGATCGAGATCCAGCACCTGGAACGTCGGTTTTGGCAACGGAGCGCCAATCTGCGCGCGCGTGGTGAACGCTCCGGCTGCCGAAGGCGCAGGCGCTGGCGCCGGTGCTGGTGCCTCTACAGCAGCGCTTGCGGCAGGCGCAGGCGGCGCTGGTGGCGGACCGAGCTGCATGTTGGGATCTGCAAGCAGCGGCAGACATCGCGGGTTGCCGAGCCGCGTGTCGATCAAGTCGCTGTGCATAGAGAGGCACGCTGGGATGATGGACAGCGGCGAGAGCGAGACGCCGTGCCGCTCGTAGTTGCGCAGCGTGCAGCGCTCCAGCGCGTCAAAGTCGCGGTTGCGGCTGAGCGGATCCGGCGGGCCGGTGCGCAGCGTGATGGACGCCTGGCCACTGACCAGCGCTTTGCTGCAAGTGGGTCCGGTCAGCAATGCTAAGCAGAGCGAGAGGTGCATGCTGCACAACGCACATGTCGCTGGCGGGGATGAGGTGCGGCGTGCCGAGGAAGATGGTGTCGGCCTCGAGGATCTCGATGCGTCCTCCAGGCGCAGTGAGGCGGACCATGGTGTCGATGAGGTCTGTCAGCTTGTCCTCGGGGACCGAGTTGCCGCCCTGCGCGCTGCGTGTCAGCCTCATGTCTGCTCGCAGCATCGGCTCACTCACCATGAAGCGCATGTGGACAAAGTCAAACGAGCCGTCCGGGAACATGGAGAGGCCGTCAAAGGCATTAGCCACGACCCACGAGACGCGCTGCGCCAGCTTGTGGTCGTGCAGCGGCGTCTGGCACGGTACCACATCGAGCCCGATCAGCTCCGTCTGCTCCCAGCCCGGCGTCCGTGCGAGATCCGTCACCCAGCTGCCCTCGCCGCAGCCAATGTCGAGCACGCGCCGCGGCGCAACGTCGTTGGGCCAGTCGGTCAGGCAGTGGCTCTTCAGAAGGTCGTACGACAGGAGATGCCAGATCATTTGCCTGTCGCAGGCGCGTGCATGAGCGCAGCTCCGGCACGCCTCGCGCATGCCACTCACCCAGCCATCGTCTCTGCGCCGTACGTCTGCCGGTACGGCACCTGCGAGTGCGGAAAGGCATGCGTGCGCTGCATGCGCTCGCGGCCGCGGATCGTCGTGTGCATGTGCACAAAGTAGTCGTCGACATGCCATCTGTCGCTCTCCCCGTGGCCCTCCACCGCCGCAAGCTCGTCCTCCAGGCCCAGGCCCGTCACTTCGCTGTGGTGCGGGAAGGCGAAGCTGTCCGAGCTGGCGCGTGCGTCGGACGACTTGCGCCTCGGCGAGCCCTTGAGGCCGTTGGCTGCGCCGCCGCGTGCCGAGTGGAAGGAGCCGTGGGCCGACGTGGGCGAGGGCAGCGAGTAGAGCGACGAGGCGGCCGTCGTGCCCGTGGAGCGCGACGAGATGCTCGAGCTCGGCGTCGGCGGGCAGAAGGACGACGTCGGCGACACGGGCGGCTGCATGGCGCCGGCGTTCGGCTGCGGCGCCGGCCAGGAGCGCAGCGGCTGCGGACGCTCACGCCTGCTGGCTCGCCCGCTCGCTGGCGGCGGGTGCAGCAGCACGTAGCCGCCCGCTGCGGCGGGAGCATACTGCGCGACGCTCGACGAGGGCCCGGCGTGCGTCGAGGCGCGGCTGTGGCCGCGAGCACGGGCGACCTCGTCGGGCGACACGACGCCGAGCCGCTCGGGCAGCGAGAGGGCGGCGAGGTGCGGCGGCGCCTCGGCGAACACGACGGGCCACGGCGGCGGCGGCGGCGGCGCACCGCGCGAGGAGCGCGGGCGCGGAGGCATGCCGAGAGGGAGCAGGGATAGAGGATGGGATGGTGGCCGTCGCAAGGCAATGTGTGGAGCAGCTGGCGCTCGCTGTGCCTGCGCTGCGGCGGCGGCCAGCGGTGAGCCTCGGAGGAGCGGAGGGATGGACGCAGCCACACCGCTCGGCGTGGGACTCGGAGCAGCGCAGCAGCAGCCAAGGCTGAGGGAGCAGCACGGCTGGACGAGGCGCAGCAGCGTGCATGCGGTGCGCCTCGCTGCAGAGGCAGCGCGCCAACGTCAGGCGAGAACAGCATCTCTCGGCGCGGCTGATGCGCTACCGCCATCGTCCGAGCTCCGGCTCCGGCCCTGGGCGCTGCGGCTGGCTGCATGCTGCGCCGGCAGCTTGTGTTGGAGCAAGACGTTGCACGCATGCCGATGCTGCATCGCTGCGGCGGCTGCCTCTGCGCCTTCTGCCACTCTGCAGCCAACACGCGGCGACGCGCTCGCATGAGCGGCATGGTCTCACAGCGGCACGCCGACTCGCCGCATGCCGCCTGCCGCCGTCAGCGTCAGCCGCACCCTCGGCGGCAGCCCACCGCACGACCACGAGGCGATCATCCAACGGCCCCTGCCAGCTGAGCGAGTGACAGAAGCTCGTTTGCCCGCGAGGCAGCACAGAGCTGCTGCTGCAGTCAGGTGCAGGGCCAAGGACGCAGCACGTCGCCTCCTTGCGCCTGCTCGGAGCCTCGGAGGGCGCTGTGCTGCGCTTCGGGCCTCTCGCCGCGCGTCCATGGGGCAGCGGCCGTGATTAAGGCACCGCAGCGGCGTGGCGCTCGCATCAACGCTGCCGTGCTGCCGAGGTGCCTCGAGCGGGCAGCTCGCTGAGACCGTGGCGGGCGGCGCGCGGCAGAACGGCCGCGCGTGTCAAGGGTCTGCGGTGCCTCTGCTGCTGTGCCGCCCGCCCGACATCCACCCTGAGGCTGCGGCTGCTGCAAGAGCATCGGCGTGTGCGGCCGGCGGCGCGGGGCCCGGGCGGGCATCTGGCAGCGCAGCTTCCGCGCGGCGTACCTGACACGCTCGCGGCACGCTGCGCTGGTACCGTTGGCGGCGCGGTCCGGCTCATGTGCCTCGTCGGCGCCCGCGCCGCGCAGGTTCGCACTCCCCCACGATGGCCACGCTCCGCGCTTCCCTTGCTCTCCGCATGCGACCGTTGCGTGCTGCACCGCGCCCTCACACAAGCCACACATCGCACAGCATTAGCGAACGAAGAAGGGGCATGCCGATTGAGCGATGCGCAGTGATGCCGGGCAGCGCACCCTTCTCTCTGCTTTCATGCAGCCACGCGACGCAAGGATGAGGGACAGAGAGACGACGCAGGTACGCAGCAGCGTGCCGTCTAGTGCATGCTGAACGGACGCTGCAGGCGCTGCTCGCGCTGCTTGCGCTTGGACGAGCGGGTGCTGCGCTGCACAGGCTCGGCGACGTCGCGGTGCCGCAGCAGGTGTCTGAGTGCGCGCTGCTCGACCTTGGCGCCGCCGTCGTTGGGCCGGTGCGTGGTGGTGTTGTAGGTGGCCGTGTCGGGCGTCACATCGTACTGCACGCCGCCGACATCCTCCTGCTGGGTCGAGTCGTGCGGTCCGACGCTGAGGTACGCTGCGTCGGCGTCCAGCTTGCCAGTCGCAATGTCCTTGCGGAAGATGACGCGCTCGAACAGCTCGAGCGAAGTGATGGGCTGGTAGAACGGCACCTCGTGGCCGGCATCAAAGACGCGCGTGAAGGAGAACTGGCCGGCCTGCTTCACCACTGCCGTATTGTTGCCGGCGGCTGCCGACTCGAACGTCTGGAAGCCGGCCTGGTCGAAGCCGGCGACACCCATGCCCTCGGCGATCGCGAGCGTGCCGAGCCAGTTGACGTTGTAGTCGGCCGAGCCCGAGTAGAGCGCCACGCCGACGCCCGCCGCGAGCAGGCGCTTCAGCTGTGGGATCGTGTCGCCCGTGCGCGGGTCGTCGCCGATGGAGTAGAACGCATAGCTGACCGCCGTGCTGTAGGCCGTGTAGTTGGTGAAGTGCGCAAGGGCATCTTGGATCTCGGGCCGTTGGAGCCAGTCGGCGTAGTAGCTGTGCGAGAAATCAGCGAGATGCAGCCTGGCCGAGCTCTGCGACGTACTAGTAAGGAAACGGGTTCGGACGCAGGTAGCGCACATCGTACTGAGCGACAGCAAGTGGTCAGCACCCATAACAATCGGAAGTAGCGAAGGACACCCACCTCGTCACGCCCCGTGTAGATCTTGAAGCGCGCCTCGACGAGGGTGCCGCAGAAGTCGTCGGCCGTCTGGCAGAGCAGGCTCGATTCCTCGCCCGACTGGCTGGCCTGACATGCCTTGAGCTTGTCCAGGCAGTTGCCTTCGCCGTAGAGATTGTTCTGGCACCGCGGTCAGCTCTGCCGTCAGGGCATGCGCACGGCGACGCTCACCTTCACCTCCGCCTCGACGGAGCTATTGGGGTATACCAGGCCGTAGCCGTTGCCGCCGGTGAGGTACTTGAAGTAGGACTTGTAGTGCTGCGGAGGGAGTCAGCCAAGCGCAAAGCCGCCAGCCGTCTACGACTCACCTCCACGGGGTCAATCCAGGCGTTGCCGATGATGACGGTCTTGAGGTCCAGAGGAACGTGACCCGCCTGCTTCTGCTCGTTCTGCCTCACGATGTAGTCGGCAAAGGCGGGCGCGTAGCGTCCTGACTAGGTGTCAGCGAGGCTGTCGTGCAAAGTGAGAGCGAGACCCACCACCATAGCTGCGAGGAGGGGTGTGAGCTTCGGGGCTGCGCCAAATGCACGGCAATATCACTCACGACTCGGCGGCGATGACGAGGCCGCCGTTGTTGTACTTCGGGAAGGCGCCCACGAAGCCCTGCAGCGCCAGGTAGACGTTCGGTGCCGCCTCGTCCGAGCTGCGAGGGATGAGGCTGAACTCGTCGGCCGAGTACGTGCCGCACGTCTCGAACTGCGCCGCGTAGTCGGGGCAGTCGTTGCTCGGCAGTCGGATGGTCAAGCCCGTGTCCGAGTTGGTGTAGCCGGGCACGGCGCGCGTGTAGCTGTTGCCCACCGTCAGCGGCTGGTCCATGAAGAGCAGGTTCGTCTTGCGGTTCCAGGCGTATGGGTTGTCGTACGGCTGCAAGCGAGACGTCAGAAGCAGACACAAGGCCGACCGCTGGCGGCGCACCTTGCCATCGGGATCGACGCTGCACGGACCGAGCTCCTCGAAGGCCGCGCGCCTAGTCGCAGGTATCAGCCGAGTCGTAGCACCTGAAAGGCTGCTTCAAGACTCACATCGAGCTCGAGCCGGGCCCGCCGGAGAAGAAGCTGCATCATGGAGGTCTCAGCAAGACAGCGGGGTCGCACACGACGCTCAGACGTACACCGTCAGAGGTGCAGTCGCTGGATCCGCCTCGCGGCTCTCGTAGAACAGCATGTCTGCCCGTGCGGTCCGATCAGCCGCTGCGCAGAAGTGATCAAGGGATCAGATGACTGACAGATGTGTTGGTTGTCATCGATGTCGGCATAGACAGCGTAGCTCGTCACGTTCGGGTGGCTCTCGCAGATGCCCGTCGGCACGACCTTGTAGCGCACGTTGATGCCAGCGGCACCGAGCGCCTGTATCAGACCCGACGGCGGCGTCACGAACTGCGCCAGAGCGCCGAGTGGCAGCAGTGCCGCAAGGCAAGCGAGAGCTGCGAGCATCTTGGCAACTTGAGGACGAGGAGAAGCTGCAGCTGTGAGAGGTGCGGAAGCAAGATGATGAACGCTGGCCCCAAGGTAGTCTCGCTGAGAGCGCAGGCGGCAGGTCCGCAGCCGCCAGCAGCGAGAGGCCTGGAGGGGCCGCATCCCCGCAATTAGATGTCCGAAGCTCCCTCGGACGCTTCTCTCAGGTCCGGAGCAGCAGGGCCGGGCCCTGATGGAAGCGTCGGCACTCACGGCCCCGCCCCTACGCCGCTTGATGACCCGAGCTGTTCTCCATGTGCCTGCGCGGGCACCCCTGAGCTGTGGTCCAGGCCTGTGAGATGAGTGATCCGACAGCGTGACTAGGAGCGAGTCGAGAAGCAGTCGGCGCGCCGAGTCGTTGTCCAGCAATTCTGTCATTGCCTTGTTTTCATGTCGCATGCGCTGATGCTGGTGGGCGAGCGTTTAGAGGCCCTCCGGCCTAGAGTACAAGAAGGGTGTGTGTGTGCGTGGTGCGTGGAGTGAATGAGCAGTCGGGGAGTGAAGGAGGTGACGGAAGCCAAGACGAGAAGCAAGCGCGCTTAGACCGAGGTCAGCACGGCCGGCTCAACGAACTCGGTGGCCTTGACCTTGGTGCCAGCGTCCTCGAGGCCCGTGGCGCCGCCGTGGAGCTCGTACAGGCGGCCGAGCTCGAACTTCGGTGCCTTGAGGACCTTGACCTTGCGCGTGTACACGTTTTGCTGTGGCGATGGGTCAGACGGCCGCACTGGGCACGGCACACGCGGCAGCACTCACGAGCGGGTAGATGCCCTGGCAAGCCTTCTCAATCTCACGGCCCATCACCTCCGGGATGAGCTTGGCGATGAGCTCCTTGATGTCGCAGCCCGACGCCTCGCGCTGGATGATCTCGAACATCTTCTGGCGGATCTGGCGGATCTGCGCCGACTGGGCGTAGGTGGTCTTCTTGACCTGGTTGGCGCGCTTCTTCGTGAAGGCAATGACGAAGACGCGCAGCAGGTAGCCGTCGGCCGTCTTGATGTCCTGGTGGCACTCGATCAGGGACTGCCACTTGCGCACGAGCGAGCGGAGCTTGTCCGAGGTGAAGTCCATGCCGTAGAAGTTGGTGAGGCAGGTGCGGCCCTGGACCTCCTCAACGCGCAGCTTGAACTTGCGGAAGGCCTGCTCGTCGTCCTTGTTCAGGTCGGCGAGCGACGCCTCCATGATGCGGCCCTTGAGCGCATCGTTGGCGTTCTCTGCGGTGCGGACGGCGGTCAGACGTGCTCGTCTCACATGGCGCTAATCGCGGGCAGCATGCGACCTGGCATGCAGACCCGCCCGGCCCGTAGGTTCAACATGCCATCTCCTGCTTCTCCTCGGCGAGCTGCCCTCTTCGCCCGTGTCTGCCAGCGTCGACTGCGTGCCGCCTCTCTCGATGACGCTCTCGTTGAAGCCGGGCCAGCCGAGGCGTCTCTCGCAACGTCTCTGGCAGCGAGAGCCCGGTGCTGCCACGCCTCGGCCAATCATGCGCAGCCTTCTCCTCCAGCCCTGCGACGTCCGTCTCCTCCTCTCTGCCGACGGCGCTCTTCCCTCGCCATGTCCCATGTTTCGCCTTCGCCATGCCACGTGCTGGCGACTCAGCTTGCCACATCAATACTCACTCAGGCCCTGCGAGCGGTTGACCGGGGTGCGGCCGAGGTCGCGCTGCGAGAAGAAGGTGGGGGCCTTCAGGCTGTACCAGTCCTTCTTCGTGAACGGGTCGACCGTCTTCTTGCGGATGCCGCCACGCTTCGAGAGCTTCTTCTGCAGAAGACAAGCAGCCGACGTCAGTGGTCTGCGCGCCTGCCGTCTGGTACTCAACGTAGTCGCCGCCTCCCACCTGCGCATCCTCCCAGTGCCCTCCCAGCGACCCAGCCGCCCTGGCAGATACGCACGTTCTTTCCAACAGCCTAGCGGAGCACGATGCCAGCACAGCACAACAGAGCAGCGCAAGCACGCGGCGAGAAAGCAGAGGGAGAGAGCAGGGGGCAAGGACACGGTCAGTCGGCGCAGACGGCATGCCGGACATGCAGCATGGCGCACCATGATGTCTGTTTCTTGAGGGGAAAGAGAGGAGGTGTGGGTGGTCGGGAAGGGCGGCGGCGCGGCGGTGCGCTTGGCTGCGCCGCTGCCTGCGCTGCGCCGCCGCTGGACCGCCGCGCGCGAAGACGCGGCCGCCTGCAGCGCTGCCACGTGGCTGCGGCGTACGCGCAGCGCTGCAAGAGGAGGAAGCGCGCGAGAGCGACTCTTCCGCGGCTTCATGTTCCCACGCGCCGCAGCGCCGCTCTCCTGCGCTCACGAGCTGTCTTGGCACGCCGAGCCGGACCGCACAAGCAAGCCCAAGCACCGCACCTCTGTGTCCAGGGGTCACAGCCAGGTATCACGCTCTGGGGCCCACCCGCTCAGGCCAAGAGAGAAAAAGATTATCGATGTCTCCGCGCTCACACGGCCCAGGCCCGGTCTAGGGCGCCGAGCCGTCCACGGGCGCAACAAGCTGCCTGGCATCGTCGCCGTCCGAGATGGCAGGGGGTGTGGGAGCATGCGAAGGGGTGACGGGCCGGTCTGACACGGCGCCGGGCTCGGAGAGGCCCACCAGGTCGGAGGCTATTTGCGCCGCCGGCACCTCAGACGCGGCAGCGGCAGGTGCGCTGGGGGCGGTGGCCTGGACCAGCGTCGGCTCCACAACGCCGGCGCCAGCGTTGAGCGGTGTGTCCATGACCTGTCCGAAACTGGACGACGGCTGCGGCTGCGTGGCGATGGCGTCGCGCGGATTGACGCGCTCCCGCTCGCGCGCCTCGAGCACCTTTTGCCGGCGCGCCTGCTCGCTCGCCTCGGTGAAGAGCGGGAACTGCAGCGTGGCGAGGCCGCACTTGCGGAAGTAGCGGTGCAGGCTGCCGAGCAGCTCGGGCGCCAGCGAGTCGCGCCCCAGCAGGTCCACGGCCAGCGGGTAGAACGTCGAGGCGTAGCGCGCAAAGACGCCGCCCTCGGGGTCCGCCTGCTCGTCGGGCGCGTCCTCGAAGAGACACAGGCCCGAGAAGACCTCGGCCACGACGGGCGTCCAGGCGGTGATGTTGCGCGCCTGTGTCTCTACGTCAAGCGGCAGGTACGAGTTGACCACATCCTCGGCCAGCGGCACGAGCTTGTCGCGCACGCTGGCACGCAGCGCCCGGTGCGATGGCCGCGCGTCGCCGTGCATGCGCACGAGCACATGCACCAGCGTGGCGGCGGCGCTGCTCTCCTGCTTGAGCAGGTTTGGCAGCTGCTTCATGAAGCCGACCTTCCACAGCGCCATGCGCAGGTTCTTGTCGGCGTTGAAGCGCTTCGAGAAGCGGTAGCTGTCGTCGAGCACGTGCGTGAGGCGCAGCAGCTCGGCCGGCGGGATGAGGTCGTACACCGGGCCCTTCTGCAGCAGCTCGTTGGTCGTCTCGATGAGCAGCAGCTGCAGCACACACTTGACGATAATCTGCTTGAATGCGCGGCGCCGTGTCGACTGCGTCATCAGCGCGGACGACGGCATCGGCGCCAGGCCGGGCACGCCGGGCGAGAGAGGCGCCGGCACAAGCCCATTCGGCGTCGGCAGGTCGGAGCGAGCGCTCGACGGACTCGTCAAGACCTGCTCGGCGCGCAGCGCCGGGTCGAAGAGCTGGTGTGCCGTCGTCGTGCGGAAGAGCTGCACGAACGTGTCGACGACCTGCGTCCAGCGCTCGCCGCTCAGCTTGTGCACGTTCTTCTCGAGCAGCTGCTGCAGGCACGAGGTGCCGATGCGCGCAAGCGTGTCGTTCTCTACGGGCACATGTGCGTCAGCGCTGCTCTCGTTGAACACAGCTCAATGTGACTCACCCTGGCAGATGCAGGCGCACAGCAGGTCGAGCAGGCCCGGCAGCAGGCGCTCCAGGGTCTCGAAGTAGAACGTCCACAGGTCGATGAGGTTGCGCAGCGCCTGGATCATCGTCGTCGAGAGCCACACGCTCATGTCCTCCTGCGTGCTGAAGCGCGTGACGTCGGAGCGCGAGCGCAGCACGGCGAAGATCGGGAAGAGCACCTCGCGGCAGACCGTGTCCCAGAAGTCGGGCCGGAACGTCGAGCCGTACCGCTTGAGTATCTCGAAGAGCGAGTCGAGCGCCACGCGGCGCACCTCGAGGTCGTCGCCGTTCATGATGATGTCGTAGAACGAGAAGAGCGACGGGAACCAGAAGCGCACCATCGGATCGTCGGACATTGGCGTCGCGGCGGCGGGCCCCGGGTCGGCTTCGACGTCCAGCGGGCACTCGGCCGCCTCGAGCATCGCCGGCACCACGCCGCGCAGCATCGAGACGCTCTGCAGCGCGAGCTTCTGCGCGTGCGTCGCCTTGGCAAAGTCGGTGAGGCTGACAGTGAGGTCCGCGAAGGCACCGGCATTGATGATCTCGCCGAAGTGCTCGGCGTTGAGCTGGCGCACGAGCTCGAAGCCGTACGTCGCCACGCGCTCGGAGGCCTTCGACGAGGCGCCAAACGTGCCGAAGAGCGTGCGCCAGCCGGAGCGCATGTTGTGGATGCGGCTCGCGACCATCTGCTGCAGGCACTGCAGCACCATCTCCTTGGCCTCGGCGTTCGGGTTGTTCCGCATCGTGTACTCGAATGGCTTGAGGAAGTCTTTTTGGACTGCGCACGGGGAAGGTCAGCGGTTCGCCACAGGCGACGCTCGCCGTCGGCACTCACACTTGAAATGCGGCAGCTCCTCCTTCTCGAGGAAGCGGTTGGACAGCTGGCGCAGCGAGTCGAGGCCGAAAGCGGACACGCGCGGGTTCTGGTGCACGCAGACCTGGTTGAAGTGCGCGCCCAGGATCGCCCAGATGTTGGACCACTCCATGCGGATGCGCGACATGTTGTAATACGAGATCTCGACGAGCTTCTGCAGCGAGAAGAGGCGCGGGCTGTCCGTCATGCCGCTCGACTGGATCTCCTCCCACGAGACGTCGGATAGCGACTGCACAAAGTCGACGATCGCCGTGCCAGACAGGTGCGGCGTCGACGAGAAGACCATGTCGGCGGCCACGGTGACCTCCGACGAGCCGCCGGCCTGCACAACCTCGTCGGTCGGCAGCGCGTGGCGCGCCGGGGTCGCCTTGGACGGCGCGGGCGCGGCACCTCTCCGCCCGAGCTCGGGCAACTGCCGCTCGTCCACGCCGCCGCTGATGAGCTGGAAGCGCTCGAGCTGCGAGACGCACGTGAGGAGCTCGCGCCAGCTGCCGCGCAGGTAGTTGCCCTCCGTGTGCGCGACGCCGAGCAGCGTCTTGATGGCCTCGATGTTCTTGGGCTTCATCTCGCCGAGGTTGTTCAGGAACGTGAACTTGGCCAGCGTGGTGACGAAGGCGTTGCGCTCCAGCTCCATGCCGAAGAGGCAGACGATCTTGATCGCGTCGCGGAAGCCGTCGAGGCACACGGCGACGGTGTCCATGTCGTCGCTCTCCTGCATGGGCCCGCTGATGCCGGCGAGGAAGGCCATCCAGGCGACCTCGAACATCGGGCGCACGTGCTCGAAGTGCGACGCAGAGAAGAACTGCTCGGCGGCGGCGCGCTGCTGCGGGTGGACACGCCGCTGCGCGCGCACCATTGTGCGGAAGAGCGCCTCCGTCTTGTTGGCCATGCCCTCGGACTGCAGGACGTATGCCTCGCGCTGCAGGTCGCGCCCGACCGCGGCAATCGCATTGGCAAAGCCGCCGCCCGCCGCAGCGACGGTCGTCGGCGGCGCAGCGACCTCGTCCTTCATCTTGATCTCGTTGGTCTGGATCTCCTCGAAGACCTTGGCGATGTACTCGTCCGGCAGGCTCTTGCCGTCGTCGATGCCCGAGTTGTTCTTGATGAAGTCCTGGAGCGTCATGCGGTGCTTCACCTGCGGGTTATGCGCGTCGGTGTTGAGCATGATCGTCGAGTAGGAGAAGACGTAGGCGGTATCTGGCAGAGGCGCGTCAGCATGCAGTCAGACAGCGGTCAGCATGCGCGAAGCTCACCTGCGTTGGCGAACACGCCCGGGTTGCCGGCGACGTAGCGCTCTGCAAACTTGAGCATGAAGCGGTCGATCTTCTGCGCCTCGCCGGGCAGGCGGAAGGCCTGCAGGTAGCGCCGCAGCGCGTCGGTGAAGGGCATGTTCTCAAAGTTCATCATGTCGACGAAGGCATGCATGATGAGGATGTTGTTGGCGTCGCCCTCGCCGAGGAACTCGCCGATCTGCGCCTTGCTGAGGCCGTCGGCGTACAGCAGGAAGCGCGCGATCTCCGGCGGCTCGCGCGAGCGGATGAAGCCGTGCTCGACGAGGAAGTCGATGCCGCGCTTCGGCTTGAAGTTGAACTTCTTGATGCCCTCGATGAGCGATGTCTTGCGCGCCTTGGCGTTCTCGAAGCGGTTCGGGTCGTCGAGCGGCAGGTCTGGCGTGGCAGGGCCGCTGCTGCGCGAGGCCGAGTAGTCGTGCGACTGAGACAACGACGGCGTGTTCATGCCGCTCTCGACGGAGGCCTCGTCCACTCCGCCGCGCGTGTCCTCGCTTGCTCTCGGCGACGACGGGTTCGTGCCATCGTAGCTGCTCTGCTGCTGCTGCAGTGATGCAGCACGGCCGGACCAGATGACCAGCGAGCGCAGCACCGAGCACAGGCAGTCGAGACTCTGGCGCTTCAGCCGGATCTCGACGGGCTGGCCGCCGGCGATGCCCTCCGCCTCTGAGCTCGCCGGCATGGCCGCGCTGAGGGTTGGCGGGATGCTCGGGCCCGACGCCGAGGACTTCTGGCTGGCTGTCGACGTGGCAGAGGCATCGGCGCTGAGCGACTGGTTGGGCGAGAGGTGCGTCTGCGAGATTCGCGAGATGACGTTGATCAGGCGCTCGTAGATGTTGTCGAGCGCCGTGCGGTCGCAGTCGTAGTTGAGGTAGATCTCGACGAGCGCCTGCGGGTCCTTGCAGAGGCGGATGAGCACGCCGAGCAGGATGCTCTTCTGCTTGGCCGTCGAGTTGCGCATCTCGAGGATCGGCAGGAAGATCTCGTTGAGCAGCACCTCGATCTCCTTCTTCAGGCGCGTGCGCATGCCGCTCAGCACGAGCCAGAAAATCTCGCACGACAGCTCGAAGACCTGGTTCACCGACGACACGGCGTTGCGGCTCAGACTGAGACAGAGATACTGCTTGACGGCCTGCACAAAGGCCGTCTGCTCGCCGGTCGAGGCGCTGTGGATGACCACGCTCGGATCAGTGAAGATGGTGAGGTGCGACTTGAGGATCGTCAGGATGAGGTGCAGCGAGAGCAGCTTTGACCGCATCGCATGCGAGCGCAGATCCCGTTCACTGCAAGCATGGGGTCAGCCATCCGCGCGGCGTTGTCCCGGCAAGCAGTGCGCACCTGTCCGAACCCAGCGGCTTCATGCTCAGCTTGCACAGCGCCCTGAAGACGAGAAAAGCGTCCTTGACGAAGAGCTCGCCCTCGCTCATGTGCGCCTGGTTCATCAGGCTCGCGCCCGTATCTCTCTCAGAGGCGCCCTCGAACGACGCGCGCGTCTCGAGCGTTTGACTACGAAGGGCTGGGGTCAGCACTGCCACTCTGGCAGCACAGCCGCCAGGACTCACAGCGTGACGCGCTCCTCTGCCGGCTGCTCTGCGGCCTCGACAGGCTCATTGAGGTTCACCTCCTCATCCGCCTCCTCCGTCGCTGCAGCTGCGGCGCTGCTCCCCTCTCTATTCGACGTAGATGGACCAGCGGCCGCCTCCTCGCCCGGCCCACTGAGAGGCGCCTTCGGCCGCCTAGACTTGGGCGGACCAAGCAGGCCCTCGCTGTCGCGCGCCGACTGACTCGGGTGTGCCGGCGCGCGCGGCACGCGGCCAAAGACGTGGTGCACCATCTGCGTCAGCGCGCCCTGCGCCACGGCCTGCGTCGGCGCGCTCTTGGAGAGCAGGAAGATGTTGTACGTCGTGCGCACGGCCTTGAGCAGGCTGCTCTGGTGCACGTGCACGCTCGTGGAAAGCACGATAGACAGCAGTGCCTTGACGATCTGCAGCTGTGCGCGCTCGTCGAGCGCATCGTGGAACGTGTCGCACACTGTGCTCGTCACGACGTCGGCTAGCGCCTCGACGCCCTCTCCGCCCGGCGCGTCCTCGGCGAAGAAGGAGTAGGAGACGAGCTTGGCGAGGCAGTCGAGCGACGTGATGAGCAGCGTCGTGCTGCGCGTGCCGCACGCCAGGCGTAGAGGCTCAAACACCACACGCGGGTCCAGCTCGGCGCCGGGCGCGCCAGGCGACGGCGCAGAGGACGCAGCGCGCACCATCTCGAGCGCCGCCTGTGCCGCCTCGCGCAGCGCCTTGGGCGCCGGCTTGGAGCCCTTGGCCTCTTTGGACGCAGAGATCGTCTCGAGCGCCGTGATGACAAAGACGGCAGAGCCCTTGTTGAGCGAGGACAGCGACGAGCGCGAGTGCACTGTGCTGGCCGTGCTGGCGACGGAGGAGCGGCGCGAGGCCGGCGCAACGCTCTCTGACGGCGGCGGAGCGCTGTCAGCGCCATTCGAGGCGCTCGGCTGGTACGCTGGCACGGCCGCATCCTGCTTCGACGGTAATGGCGGCAGGTCCTGGCCCTCGCCTGCGACCGGCTCGGCGCCATTCGCAGCTGCGCCGGGCTGAGGCTGGTGCTCGAGCGCGTCGCTGGATGCAGCGGCCTGAGCGCCGTCCTCGTCACGCGCAATGGAGGTGCTCGGCCGCGAGATTGAGATGTCTGGCACGGTGACGTGCTGCTCCTCCTTCGGCGTGGCCTCGCCATTCGACTGCGGCGCAGCTGCAGGAGCCGGACTTGCCTCGTCCTCGGCGCCCTCGGCCAGCGTCTCTGCGACGGCAGCCGGCGCGTCCGCCTCGTCAGCATCTGCAGCTGCAGCTGTAGCCTCGTCTACGGCTTCATCACCGTGCGGCTGCTCCTGAGCTGGCTCGGGAACAGCTGCGTGCTCATCCGCCGGCGTGGCCTCGAGCGCCGGTGCCGGGGCGGCGGGCGCGTCCGCAGCTGGCCGCTCTGCTGCGTCATGCTGCTCAGCGTCGCTCATGGCGGGGTCTGCGCAGCAGTCCGGTGCGCCGCGCGAGGCAGCAGCAGGGAGCGCAGAGGGCGCAGGCGGCAAGAGGGCGAGATTCGAACGCGCAGCTCGGGCGCGGCTGTCGCTGTGTGGATGGGCGAGAGAGGAGCGTCGCGCTGCAGCCGGAGGACGGCCTCGGAGCGCGCTGCTGGAGTGTAGTGCAGCCGCAGAAGCTAGAAGACGGCGTGGGGCGAGTCGGACGAAGCGCAAGGAGCGAGGGTGTCGGGGTCAGGAGCTCGGCGAGGTCGAGCGCGCGCCGAGATGCGCACCGAGCTGAGCACGGGGCAGGTGCGCCGGCCGGCCACGTCAAGCAATCTCGCAGTCGAGTGCGCGCCGCCAGGCACGCGCAGCTCGCCGCGGGAACACGCGCGCCAGCCACGAATTCGCGACACGCCAACGTGGGCGGCAGGGAGTCGCGCGCGCCTCCGCGAGGGGACCACTGGGCTGCCTGATGCCAGATCACACCACACAGGCGGCAGTGACATTGCAGGGCAAAGCGGCGCCCCAGAGGCAAATCATATGGTGTTGAGCGACAACAGAACAGTGCCACCTTGCTCTGCCGCACCTCGTCGGCGCCTGCTGGGCGCGTGCGAGGGCCCAAGAAGTGTTGTTCCCACGCCCGCCAGCCGGGCTAGCGCAGTGTGCTGCTGCCGCACGGACGACTCGCAGCCTGCCAGCTTCCGCTGCTTGAGCATCTCCAAGCTCACAACCTCTGCTGAGTCGGCTGCGAGATCGAGGTAGTGAAGAAGTCTAGGTCAGCGCAGCGAGCTCGTGCTCCCGCTGAAGCAGAGAAGAGAGAGGGAGCTGGAGGCACCTGACAGCACGCGCTAGGCGGCGGCGCCTGAGGACCCTGGCGGGCGTGGCGCGCTATCGCGACACTGGCGAGCTGCCGCGATGGCGCATCAGATGCGCCGAGTGCGGGGCATCGGCTGATGCGCGGATGGGAGAGGAGGCGAGGTGCTGCCATGCTGTGGGACAGCTGAGGGGCAGCACGGCGCACGGATGGAGTCGTGGAGCAGCGCCCGCTGACCAAGATCTTTATCGACGAGCCGGCCCACCGAGGCCGCTCCAGAGGCCGCCTCTCGCTCCCGAGTGCTTCGCAGAACTGCCATCCTCGTCTGTTCCACCATCTCGTTCACAGCGCCATCGACATCGCCTCCTTGCGTGCGATCTGGACCATCTGCCGCCCGCTGCGCTCGCACATTGCGGTGCGCGTCCATCTAATCGGCGCCGCCGCTCGCCTTGCCTGATCATCTGATCCGCGCCGCTCCGCCCGCCGGCCTGTCGCGCTCGCCCGCCTCTCCCTCATAAGCAACGTCCTGCCACCTCTCCGTGCTCCTCACACACGCCGGCATGTTCGCGCAGCACACGACGCACTACGCGCCGCTCGGCTCGCCCGGCGACGGCTGGCGGCCCATGCTGCGTCCCGTGCCCGTGGCGCCGCTCTTCGGCGCGCCCCTGGCGCCCGGCACCTTCCACTTCCTGTCGCCCGAGCCGCATCCGAGCGCCGCGAGCAGCAGCCGCCAGCGTCTCACGGCACGGCCCAGCTGGGACCAGCGCGACACGCACCGCCTGGCGCGCTTCAATGCGCTGCCGAACGAGCTGCTTAGCGACATCCTCGAGCTCGCCGTCGAGGCGGGCGATGGGCCGGCACTGGCTGCGAGTGAGTGAGAGTGTGGCTACTGTGCTGCTCCTTGGCTAGCTCGACTGACGCGTGTGTCGTAGCATCACCGCGGTTCCGCAACCTGTCGCAGCCGTTCCTGTACCGGAGGCTGCGCCTCGGCTCGGCAGAGTCGGTCGAGCTGCTGCTCCGCACGCTGCAGGACGCGCCAGAGCTGGCCAGCCACGCTCGCCGTCTGACACTGCGAGCTCAGCGGGTGCCGTGGACGGCGATGACGGGGCTGGCCGAGATTCTGAAGGCTCGCGGCAAGGTCAGGGCGCTCGAGATAAGCATGCCGGCCAGTGAGTGTCGGAAATGGCGTGCGAAGTGTCTCGCGAGCTGACTGGCAATGCCTCAGGCGAGCTCAGCCATGCGATGGATGCATTGTCGCGGCTATCGCCAGAGACATTCGAATGGGTGCGTTAGCAGCGCCAATTCCTTTGCGCTCGTCGACTGATCGATTTCGCAGCACACCTCGCCGTGCTGGACCATGCGTCCGACAGAGCTCTTCGTCCAGCTCCTGGTGAGCCGGAGTGAAGCCGCAGCGGGCCAGCCTGCTCTGACGCTTCTTGGCCGCTGCAGTCCTCATGGCCTCGCCTCCGCCGCTTGCACCTGTCTGGCTTCGCCTACGATCTGACATGTGCTCGCGTCCTCGAACAAGTGCCGTGAGTGCTCTGTCGCAACGCCTCGCTCGCTCTTGCTCATACAGCGTAACGTAGCGGCCTTCAAGAAGTGTCGATGCAAGGCTGCTCTCTGCGCCGTCTCACGGGCGAAGTCTTGGTGGCACTGCTGTCCTCGTCCGACTCGACGCTGGACAAGCTCAGCCTGCGCGGCTGCAGCGCGCAGGAGAGAGTCCTCGTTGAGGCTTCCGCCTTGCAGTTACTCGCCGAGCAAGACGTCACCGCTGCGCGCGCAGCGAGGTTCATGTATGAGGCGGTGCAGGGCGCCGGAGGCCTGTGGACGCCGCCCAGCAGCCCGGTCGACAGCAAGGACGAGTCGCTGCCGCGGGCGGCGACGTCCGAGACACGACGCAGGATCCGCGACGTGCTGCAGTGGGACTAGACCGTGCTGCGCCCCGTTCAGCAGCACGCATACATTAACGATGACTTTATGACCCCAGAGCCACGGCTGGCTCCGCCTCCGTCTGACCTGTCCAGCCGAGGATGAGAATGTCGCCGAGCCGACGCGAGTCGTCGTGGAAGTGCGAGTTCCAGAGGCGCTCCTGCTCGGCGTAGCCGCGCTCCGCGAGCAGCCCGGCGACGGACTGGCCGCTCTGGCCGCTGCGGCCCAGCAGCTCTTCGAAGACAACGAGATGCGACGGCCAGGTATGCTTAGGTCCGCTGCCGGTCAAGTAAGCCGAGGGCAGCGCGGCAGCGGCGGGCGAAGGCGGGAACACGGGATCGACCGTCGGCGGGAAGCGCTGGGCGAGATAGCTGTGCACGTCGTCGTAGAAGACATCTGACTGATCTCTGTACGTCGCCAGTTGTGTGCTGTCGGAGCGGCTGGTCAGCGCCTTGCTCGTGATGGCCCTGCGCAAGTACGCACCCTCTGTCCGGCGGCTCGCACGTGATGAACCATAGCAAGCCACCCTCGCCCGAAAGGCCGCCAATTTCGAGGCCGGCGGTGTGCAAATGACTCTGCCACGGCGTGCTGTGGCACGGCATCAGAAAGGCGGCGCTGTGTATGCTGCCTGCGCGATGAAGCTGGCGGATGCGGTCCATCACCTCGACCTGGCCGCGACAGTGGAAGAGCAGCAGATACGCAGCGAACGGTAGATGCGCCATGAGGGCGATCTGGGCGTAGCGACGCCGCGCGAGGATCTGCCAGGCTGTCTTGAAGCGCCGTAGGGCTCGAGGAACGCCTCGGACCGTGTTGCCTAGGTGCCACAGAGCAGTGGCACCTGCATTCTGCTGCAAGCGTCGCTGCTGGCGGATCTGGCGCTCTCCGGCGGCAAGAGACAGCAGCTCGGCGATGCGGCCGGTCAGCAACGCAAAGGCGTACCCTGCGAAGATGTGCAGGACCGGTAGCAGCGGCTGAATGAAGCGGAACTCCTTGTGTCCGAGCGCCGAGTACGCGAGCACGGTCCAGATCGTGAGGTATGCCAGCGACTGCAGGCCGACAGGATCGCGCTCGCCGCGGACGCCATATCGGCGACGAGTGCTCTCGTCCACGCCGAGCAGATCGGGGCGCAGCGCTGCCCAGAAGCCTTGCAGCATGAAGGGCAGCGTCGTGAAGCCGAGCACCGGCAGCGCCGAGGAGAAGTAGAAGTGCAGCGGCGACACGCCGTAGAAGAGCGAGAGCGAGTCGAGCACGTTGCGGCGCAGGAATGCTATCGGCGTGACGGCCAGCGTGCCGTAGTGCCACGAGTCGAGCATCACGGTGAAGAGCAGTGCTGCCACGCTGAAGGCGCACGCATCAGTACGGCGAATCACTGGCGGCTCGAAGACGCGGACACTTACCCGATTACCAGGACATCGGGCACGAGAAGCACCACAGTGAACGCACGCTCGAGAGCAATGCCGGCATTGCAGATGTTCTGCGAGAGACTGTGGAACAGCCTGACGCCGAGGAAGAGCCAGATGATTGCCGCGGTCGGGCGGATGATGATTGCCAGAGCAGCCAGCGCCAGGCTCTTGCGCAGATGCGACCATTTGAGCGGTCCGTCAGGCACTGCGTGGTACTCCTCGTCGGCCGGCAGAGACAACGGCCAGAGGCGCAGCGCGGCCAGGCACAGCAGAGTCTCGAGCGCGTTGGAGAAGGTGCGAGCGCCGGTGTGCAGGCCATACACGTTAAAGAGTGATGAGAGCAGTGCAGCCCATGCGCCTCGTGTGCCGAGCAGCGCGTCCGCGAGCCGGAACGTCTCGAGGTCCGTCAGAGCGGCAAACACTGCTTGCAGAAGTCGAGGCACGAGGCGCTGTGGACGCAGATGTCAGTCAGACACCTAACGCCAGCTCTTGTGCGACGCACGAGCAGGAAGGTGTCGTCCAGCCGCAGCACGCGGAGAAGCCAGTAGCCCGGCACAAAGACGAGCGGATGGGCAAAGGAGCGGAGCGGCGACGAGCCGTCGCTGGCCGTGCGCCACTCCCACGTGAGGTAGCCGTAGCCAAAGACGCTGCGGTGCGCCACCTCGAGGCTCTGCCAGAACTCGTCGGGCTGGAAGAAGGTGCGCGTGGCGAGGGCGTTGAGCACGCGCACGGCCAGCACGATGAGGAAGATGGAGGCGAGCGGCACGTCGCCGCTCGGCTCGGCGGGCGCGCGGATGGAGCTGGCGGGCGACGTGCTCATGCTCGTGCTCGTCAGCATGGAGCTTGATGTGGTGGTCGACGAGGCAGTTGCGCGGCGCCGCAGGGTGAACAGGTCGTCGCTGTGCTCGACGCTGATCTCGCTGCTGCTGCTGGACACCGGCGGCGGCCCGCCGCCTGCCGCGCCATGGCTGCTGCGCTGTCTTTGCGACGTCGCAGCCGGGTGCGCAGCCTCATCGGCGCGCGTGACAGCTGACAGGCTCATCTCATGGCTGTTGGTGCCGCGGAGCGCACGCAGACTTGAGGGGTGAAGCCGCCGAGGTGTCGTGGTGAGAGGGCTCGGGCATCGATCGGGCCGGCCGGCCGCGCGCACCTTTTCCGTGCGGGACCCTCACCGCCTCTTCGCGCCGCGTCGTCTGCGCGTGGAGGCGGCCTTCCCTTCCTACTCCATCATCCGCCCACGGCCCGTCCCGCTTCTCCGTCTCGTGCTCCTGTCTCACCGAGCCACTTCGCTCGTCCGCCGCCGTGCCTGCGTCTCAGGCCATGCGCGCAGCCCTGTCGCTCGGCGCTCTCGCCGCAGCGTCGTTCCGCGCAGCACATCCGCGGCCCGCCCTCTTCGCGCCGGCGAGCAGGGCGGCGTCTCTCTGCCAGATTCGCAGCGTCGCTGCCAGTGCCTCTTCGCGAGACGCAGTGCCGCATGCCGGCCCCTCGCACGTCGAAGGGCCGTCGCACACTGAAGCTTTGCCACCGAGCGTGCTCAGTGCTGCGCCACGGCCAGATGCCGAGGCGTCTCGAGTCGGGCAGACGAAGAGCTCCTTGTTCGAGCCAGGTGAGTCGTGCTCGAGCGCTCGGTTCTGCGCGCGCTTGAGCTTACTCTTCGTACTAGCGCCGCGGAATCCTGTCGGCGTGCAGCTCCTCTCTCGTCCGCTGCATCGGCAGATCTTCCCTGCAGGGTCAGCCGAGGTGCCCGAGGTCACCTCGGATGCACTGTCACTGTGCCGCTCGCATCTCGCCACACATGGCCTCGAGCCCGCGCAAGCATCAGTGCTGCCAGAGACGGGCTTCGAACTACCTCCACTGCAGGGCAAAGACCTGGGCGAGCACTTCTGGAATGTCGGCCGCGAGGTCGCGCAGCCGTGGCTCGGCATGGCCCATACACTAGCTGCGAGCGAGCTGCCCTTGATGCCGCAGGGCATAGCTTCCGGCGACGTCTCTGCTCAGAAGCACGACGACGGGCTCGACGTGTCCGACTGGCTCGCACTTGACCCGCACCTACGCGACGAGGTGCATGTGCAGACGCCGCACTGGCTTCGGAGGCCCGGCTGGACGCGCTACCCTCTGCTGCGCTCTGCAGACGGGACTGCGTCCGCGCTGGGAACTGGCGAGCCCGTCGAGTACCCGCTGGAGTCCGACGGCTCGCTCGTGTTCGACGTTGAGACGATGGTGCAGTCGAGCCACTTTGCTGTGATGGCCACTGCGGCGTCCTCAGGCGCGTGGTACGCCTGGCTGAGCCCATGGCTCCTTGGCGAGGGCGAGGGCCACGACCGCGTCGACCATCTCATTCCCTTCGGCCCGGCGCACGAGGAGGCAGGCGCGAGCCTTCGTCCAGCTCGGCTGCTCATTGGCCACAACATCGGCTACGACCGCGCGCGCATCCGCGACGAGTATTCGTTGACCCGCGGCCCGATCCGCTTTCTGGACACGATGGCGCTCCATGTCGCCACGCGCGGCATCAGCAGCCCGCAGCGGCCCGCGTGGATGAAGCACGCCAAGGCGCGCGCCGCGAAGCGCACTGCGCAGCGTGCCGAAGCCGACCGCATCGAGAAGCTGCAGCGCGAGTCGTTCGCCAAGCTCTTCGGCGAGACGGCAGACGAGGATGATCTGGCTGCCATCACGTTTCCGGAAGAGTCTGCGGAGGACGATGCTGTGGCGCATGCTGCGGCCTCCGAAGAGGCTGCTGACGCCCGCGCGAACGACCTCTGGCTCGACCTGACGTCCAAGAACTCGCTGGCCGACGTGGCGGAGCTGCATTGCGGCATTCACATGTCCAAGCAGCTGCGCAATGTTTTCGTCGAGGCCACCTCGCGCCAAGAGATCCTGGACGAGCTTGAGCCGCTGCTCCACTACTGTGCCCGCGATGTGGAGGTCACCCACGCCGTGTTCCGCAAGGTGTGGCCCGCCTTCGTCGAGCACTGCCCTCATCCTGCGACAGCCGCCGGCGTCCTTGGCCTGGGCAACGCCATTCTGCCAGTGGACGACGAGTGGCTTGACTACCAAACGCGGAGCGAGGCGAAGTACCGCGAGGCACACGACGAGGTGTCGCGCTGTCTCCTCGAGCTTGCCGAAACCCTGCGCGCTGACGGCACGTCTGGTGTGACATGGGACGACGCAATGCTCGCGGCATCCTCGCGTGCCCGTCTGCTCGAGGCAGGCACGCTGCCGGCAGCCGAGCGCTTCGAGGTCGAGCGCAATGAGCGCGAACGACCCAAGATGCCGTGGGAGAGCAACTCCTGGTCGGCGCAGCTCGACTGGACACCCAAGCGACCCAAGGCGCCACGTCCCTCTGCACGCGAAGATGCGGACGAGGTGCCGCCTGGCTTCCGGCGCGTGCCGCAGTGGTACAAGGCCGGCGTGCTGGCCAAGAGCGCCAAGCTCGGCGCCCGCAGCTCGCTCACGCCTGCGCTGCTGCAGCTGCAGCTGGACGGCGGAGCGATCTTCAAGGATGGCGACAGCGGCTGGATTCTGCGACGGCCGGGCGCCGAAGACGAGCTGCTAGGCCAAAGTCCGCTGTCGCAGACAATCCTGCTGAAGAAGCAGCGCTGGGCCGAGATGGAGAGCGGCGCCGGAGCTGCGGGTCAGGAGGTGCTGCGCGGCCTCCGCAGCGGCGCTGCAGACAACGACATGGTGCGAGATCTGCTGTCCCAGCAGGCAGACTCGCTCGTGCGCGCCTGGGCCGACACACCGGAGGGGTGCAGTGGGCAGGCACCATCAGACGCGCATCCCGCGCTGCAAGGCCTCGACTGGACCGCCGTCGAGGTCCGCGAAGAGCTCGACCAGACCGCCACCGGCACGGCGCCCAAGGACTCGTGGTGGCCGAAGTGGTACTGGGACATGGTCAAGTCGGGCACGTGCGAGGTCGAGGTGACGATCCGCAGCAAGATCGCGCCGCTGCTGCTGCACATCAGCTGGCAGGGCTGTCCGCTGTACCACAGCCGCGAGCACGGCTGGGTGTTCCGCCACGACTCCGCGCTCCTGCCGAGCTTCACCACGCGGCAGAAGGCAGTGGCATTCACACACGAAGCCGACGCGGCACTGCGCCATGATCTCGAGACGCACCCGTCAGCCACTTTCTACAAAGTGCCGCACGCAGCGGGCGACGACTCCAACGTCGGCAGCCCTTTCAGCAAAGGCTTCGTGCCCTTCTTCGAGCAGGACACGCTGCGCAGCGAACATCCTGACGAGACCAGCAAGGCCGCCGCTCGCGCTGCGCTGGCGATGAATGCGCAGTGCAGCTACTGGATCGGCGTGCGTGACCGCGTAGCCAAGCAGATGGTGGTCTGGGACGGCGAGGGCGGCGCGAAGATGGGCATCGATGCCGGCGCCAGCGGAGCACGCCAGGACGACGAGGCCGAGAAGCTCAGGCGCAAGGGCCTCATCCTGCCGCCCGTCATCACGATGGGCACAGTGACGCGCCGCGCCATCGAGAAGACGTGGCTGACGGCGTCGAATGCGAAGGCCAACCGCGTCGGCTCGGAGCTCAAGGCGATGGTCAAAGCCCCGCCGGGCTGGTCCATCGTGGGCGCCGATGTCGACAGCGAGGAGCTATGGATCTGCAGTGTGATGGGCGATGCTCAATTCGGCATCCATGGTGCCACCGCGGTCGGATGGATGACGCTGGAAGGCACCAAGGCCAACGGCACCGACCTGCACAGCAAGACGGCCAGCATTCTCGGCACCAGCCGGAACCAGGCGAAGGTGTTCAACTACTCGCGCATCTACGGCGCTGGTATCCGTCACGCGACGCAGCTGCTGCTGAAGGCCGACCCGTCGATGGCAGCCGAAGAGGCGACGAAGCTGGCGAAGGACCTCTACGCCAAGACCAAGGGCAGCAATACGCACAAGACCGACTACTTTGGACGGCGCTTCTGGTTCGGCGGCACCGAGAGCTTCGTGTTCAACAAGCTCGAGGAGGTGGCCATCAGCGAGAATCCACGCACGCCGGCCCTCGACTGCGGCATTACCGCCGCGCTCTCGAAGCAGCACCTGCCGAAGGCGCAGGGCAACTCGGGTCGCGGCGCCGACGACTTCATGCCGAGCCGCATCAACTGGGTCGTGCAGTCGAGCGGCGTCGACTATCTGCATCTGCTGGTCGTCTCGATGGATCACCTCTGCCAGCGTTACGGCATTGCCGCTCGCTTCATGCTCAGCGTGCACGACGAGGTGCGCTACCTCGCGCGCGACGAGGACGCTCATCGCGCCGCGCTCGCACTGCAGATTGCCAACCTCTGGACGCGCTCGATGTTTGCCTTCAAGCTCGAGATGGATGATCTGCCGCAGTCTGTCGCATTCTTTGCACAGGTCGACCTGGACAAGGTGCTGCGCAAGGAGGCTGATGACCCGTGTGTCACGCCTAGCCAGCCGCGTCCCATCCCGCTGGGCTCCGCTCTGAACATCGAGCAGACGCTTGAGAAGACTGGCGGCTCCCTCTCTGCCGGTGACGCGCTGTCGCACGCACCGCTCCCGACGCCAGCGCCTGCAGATGCCGACCCGGCCCTCAGCTCCTCGGCCTACCCGCCGTATGTCCCGTCGGACCAGAAGCACCGCTGCGTCGGGCAGCGAGGCACGCTCTTCCTTCAGGCTCAAGCCGCCGAGGACATCAACGAGGTCCGCGTGCTTGAGCGGCGCGCCTCTGACGCTCGTCACGAGGCTTGGCAGGACCAGCAAGCCAAGGGCGCTTCTAAGCGTGGCGCCAAGTCTCCGCCTCGCCGCAGTGCCCCGCCCAAGACCAACCGGCGGCCGCGTGTGGCGCGTCCGCAGACGTCAGTGCCCACGGCTGCGTTCTCGACGTCTGCACGCGCGTCACGGCCAGCCTCTGAGTCGCCGCTGCCCGAGGCGATCCAGTCGATCGTTGCGGCCTTCCCGGCTCGGCCGGCGCGCCTGCGCAAGCCCTTCTTTCGCCTGCCATCGCACGCTCACATGATACGCTGGCAGCTGTACCGCCCGCTGCTGCGTGCCTGCCCGCCGGAACTGCCTGAGTTTGCCGCCATGGTCCGCGGCCTCACACGCGCCAAGCGGCGTTGCACCAGCCCGGCGCAGACACAGGCGCTCATCGACCGTGGCCAAGAGGTGAGTCACTGCGGGGGCAGTTGTGCCTGTCAGCATGCTGATTCTTATTCCCGTGCCGCAGCTGCTCGCTCTGTTCGCCCGCGCACGCGACGGCGATGCCGAGGCACAAGCAGAGATGGAGCGCCAGCATGCCGTGCTCGCCGAGAAGCGTCAGCGTCTCCGATGGGGAAGCGCGGAGGCCCGATACTTCGTGAGCACGCTTGCCGACCCCTATCTGCGCCGTCACTGATCAGCTCCCGCAGCGCTCTCTGAACCTGCCGCGCGTGCCGCACCACTCGGGCGCGCTGCTCCCGCCCACAATCTACAACCCGCCGCTGCCGCGCTACAAGCCTGTGCAGCCGCCGGGCATCACGATGATGATCTTCCGGCGGCGCATCGCTCGGGCGCGCCGCATGCAGAAGTCGGTCGATCTGAACGAGACGCTCAAGGCGATCACGATGGAGGCGGATGTCTTCAAACAGTGCGGCGCTGGTGGTGCGGCGCCCGTCTTGCACAGGGAGCTCTTCCAATGGGGTGAGTGCAGCTCTTGCCTGCGGTGTGACGCTGTCTCACGCCAGACTGCCTTTCAGCCGCGCCGTTCAAGGAGCATAACGCTCGCTACTCCGCCGCCTACCAACGCGAGCTGGCGCGCTCGCGCATGGTGTTCGACGACAAGACGCTCGTGCTGGCCAAGCGGGCACGCCGGGCGAAGCACCGCGCACACCTGAAGCGCAAGTTCGCGCGCACACAGGCAGAGCGCGAGCGCATGCGTGCTGGCGGCCCGACTGCTGCGAGCCAGGGGTGAAATGCATGCATGCTCTGCCATTAGAAGACCTCGTACATGTCCTCCTCGTCCTCATCATCGTCGTCAGCAGGCGGTGCTGCAGCCGCTGGCGGTGTGGTGCGCGCCTTCTTGCCGTTTGCCTGCTGCTCAGTGTCGCCATCTTCTCGCGGCCGCTTTGTGCTGGGCACAGCGACCTCCTCGAACTCCTCCTCGTCATCCTCATCCTCAGCTCCGTTCTGCAGCGACGCATACTGCGCGTAGTCTGTCGCAGAAGAGCGTTGAGCGTGCGATCTAGCGCGTGACTTGCGCGCACCACTCACAATCTGCCGCGGTCTGCTGCTCTGCCTTGGCCGTCTCTTCTGCATCGGCTTCGGCCAGCTGCTGCTCTCGTAGACTGCTGCGCCCGAGGCCGGTCGACTCGCCGCTGACTGTGCTCTTCTGCAGCCACTCGGGCAAGGCGTTCTGCGCACGCTTGGCTTCGGCGTCGGCGCGCTCCTTGGCCCGCCGTGCTGCCTCGACGGCCGGATCTGCCGAAGAGAGGTCGACCTGCAAGGCTGGGATGGGCATCGCGCCGCCCGTCGCAATCGCGATGTCGGAAGAGGGCAGGGCAGACGACGTGGGCCGCGCCGCAGCCTCGCTCTTCCACGTAGCGCCATGCTCTTCGATCCACGCCGTCACATCCGTGCTGCGGCGTGATCTCAGCCGGGCGTCGAGTGGACCACGAGCTCAATGGACTCACGGCGGCAAGACGATGTCGTCCACGTCCTTCAGCGCCTGCAGAATGCCGCCGCACTGCTCGTTGAAGCGGCGCATGCGGTCGCGGCCCCGCCGCACGTCCTCCGCATCCTCATTGTCTTCCAGCTCGGCGCCACAGCCCGGCGTGTCGCAGATGAGCGCCATGCCGGTGGGGTCGAGCAGGTGCGCCACATCGAGCGTCGCGAAGCGCTTGGCACAGCGCGGGCAGACGAAGCCACGCGTGTCGAGCTCGGCACGCAGCGCACCCTCGATGGTGCGCCGCATGTGCAGCAGGCGCCACTTGAGCACGTTGAGCAGCGAGGCGTAGTCGATGTAGTAGTACGAGCGTCTATGCGCATGCCAGCTCAGAGCGGCTCGTCTGCTCCACCAGCAATGGACACTCACGGGAACATGCGGCCACTGACGCCCTCCTTCATCTCGTTACGACGGTGTCTGTGCAAGCCTGCGCTCAGCCGCCGCAGTCACGCACGCCAAGTCTCTCTGCTCACGCGCAGAGGATGCGGTCCTCGAGCAGCTTGCTGCACATGGCGCTGGCCTCCTTGATGTTGGTGCCGAGCAGCCCTGCCAGCGCATCTGCCGGCACGCTGCAGCACGCCGAGGTGCATCAGCGAGCAGCCAAGGGCGCACAGAGAGCAGCCGCAGCCGCGGCGACGCACACCTGGAAGCGCACCATGCGGTCGATGACGATGATGTGCCGGTCCTCGTAGAACTGGCGCACGACGCGCTGCACGAGCAGGCGGATGGCCGCCATGTCCTCGCGCGTCGCGATGTGCACGCCTGCGCCGCCAGCAGCGCCGGCAGCCGAGGAGCCGGCGGCGGACTGAGCGTGCGACATGGCGACGGTGCAGGGCGAGGCAGGCGCGGCGCGTGGGAGGTGGTGGTGAGAGCGAGAGGCGGCAGCGGCAGATGCCGCGCGCGACATGTGGAGATGCACACCGCGCTACGGCGCCAGCCAGCGATGCACACGACAGCCAGAAGCACACCGCAGCAGCACACCAAGCACAGACCAGAGCAGACTGAGCACATCGCATGCTTGCACAGTACAGGCCCACAGGCATGCCGCGTCACAGCTTCGCCTGCTCCTTCGGCACCCGCACATCGAAGAAAGCGCGCGGGACTGTCAGGCGTTGGCGGTCAGCAGGCGAGCGCACGCCTGCATCACACCTCGTTCAGCACTCACAGTGCACCAGCACGGGACCGCGCTTGCCGTCGACCCGCAGCGTGATGCGCCGGTCAGACAGGGCCAGCAGGGCACCGCGCTGCGGCACGCGGCCCGAGTCGCGCGGCGTCACCTCGACGCTGCAGGGGGGCGCAGTGAGCACAGACCGAGGAGCGGGCAGCGGCAGCACTCACACATCGCCCTTCTGGAGGCCTGTTGGGTCCGATGCACTGACGCCGGCTGCGTCCTGCACCTTCTGCACGGCAGCTGCGCCGGCCTTTGCGATAGCATCGGCCGCGTCGCTGCTGCTGATGCGTGGCGGCTTGCCGCTGCGGCACGAGTTGACGTAGCCGTCGACGGCGGTGAGCCAGGCGAGCACCTTTGGGTAGGGGCCGTTGCCATCCAGCGGCAGCAGCTCCGGCACGGCTTTCAGGCCCGTGCGCAGCCAGTGCAGCGCAAATGCGGCGCCGAGATCGAGGTACTGCGGCGTCTCGGTACCCATCAGGTACTGCGACGCCGACTCGGAGAGCATCGTCTCGAGGCTGGCGAGGTGCGTGAGCAGCTGCGACTTGGACAGCGCCGGCGACGCCTTGCCGATCGGCGCTGCGGCAAAGCCCTTGCGGTCCTCAATGAACTCCTTGGACAGCGCCTGGAGCGGAATGAGGCCTGCGGCGAGCATGAAGACCTCGCGGTCCGACCAGTGCGCTGCGTGGCCAATGGATCAGCAGGCGCCGGAGGGGCGCAGTGGGTGCGACGCACCAACGAGACGCTTCTGCAGCGTGCCGTGCACGGCGAACAGGCTCTTGCCGTGCCCCTGCCTGCCGCCGAAGCGGGCATCGAGCTCCTCAATGGCGATGCTCGTGTCGCAGTACACCTCGCCGTCGATGGCCATCACCGGGATGCGGCGGTACGTGACTGCGCCAAAGCCAGGTCAGCGAAGGCGCAGCCAGTGATCCGGGCACACGCACTGCCGAGCTCTTCGCTGAGCATGGGCCGCGGCATCACGGGCGGCGTGGCGCAGATGGCATGCTCGACGCGCAGCACGGCCAGCACGCTGAGCAGCTTCTGGTAGAACGGCGAGGCGTTGTAGCCGTAGCTGCGGCGCGCTGGGTGAGCACACGCGGCGCACCGCGATGCAGGCCTGCCTCACACGATGACCTGTGGCTTCGACATGATGGCCTGTTTTGCGCTGGCTTGAATGAGGACGTGGAGAAGAAGCGCGGAGGGCGAGAGGGCCGCTTCCCCGCACACGCTCGGCGTCCCGGGCCGGCAAACGCGCCGCTGCCGAGCCGGAGTGCGCGCCCAAGCAGGCTGCGCACCCTGCCTCAGCTCCACGACACTCTCCGCGATGCTTGCACACTCCTCACGCCCGCTGCATCTCTCTCATCATTGGCGCCAGCCGCAGCGTTGGATCACGATTATCACATTTCTCCGTCTGACTGCCCAGCTCATGCCGCCGCCGCCTCCTTCTCCACGGCCGTCGAGCCGGCGCCAATGCCGGCGGCCATGGCGTGCTCGGCCTTGGTCTTCTCCTCCTCGAGGAAGCTGCGGATGGAGCTGAGGTTGCGCGGCTCGAAGCGCACCTTGAACGGCTTGGGCGCCGAGCTCAGGCCGCGCGGGTTGGCGCACGCCGTCGCCGGGTCGATGTCGTAGTCCTCCTCGCCGGGCAGGATGCGGAAGAAGTAGATGAGCTGCGCAGTGAGGGGTGTCAGCAGTGTGGCAGTAGCAGCACTGTGAGTATGCGCAGCCTCACCTTGGAGAAGGCAATGTACAGCTCGCGCTCGGCAAGGAAGACGCCGGCGCACATGCGGCGGCCCGCGCCGAAGCTGTAGTGGCTCTGCACGCTCTGCTCCTTGGCGTCGAGGAAGCGCTCGGGCCGGAAGACGTCGACGTCGTTGTAGCGCGCCTCGTCGTGGTGGATGGCCCATGCGTTCAGGAACACGGTCGCTGCGGCGGCAAGGGTCAGTGTGGCGTAGAGAGAAGAGGCAGTGCCGGCACGCACTGTTGTCGGGGATGTGCACGCCGCGGTACGTCGAGTCGCCGAGCGTGGCGCGCGGCAGGCTGAGCTTGAGCACGGAGAAGAAGCGCGAGCACTCCTTGTGCAGCGCCGTCTGCGGGCTATGCGTCAGTGCTCTGCCGGCGCATGCGCTCTCGCGGCAACTCACGATGTACGGCACGTCCTCGGTCAGCGAGTCGGGAATGCCGCCGTGGTAGACATCATTGATCGCCGCGAGCGCCTTCTCCTGGATCTCCGGGTGCTTGGCCAGGTATCCGACGCTCCAGACAAACGTGTTGGCCAGCGTGTCGAGGCCAGCCGACACCATGCTGAGGTTGATCGAGGACAGCTCGGCATCGTTGATCTTGGCCTCGGGGTCCTTGAGGATGTTGCCGCAGATGCATGCGATGTCCGTCTTCTTCGCGATGCGTGCCTTGAGGTCATCGAGGAGCAGCTTCATGTACTTGTCGCGCCGCACGCGTGTGCTGGCGCCCGCCGATGCCGTGCCGGCTGCGTTCCAGGGCAGGTGACGCAGCAATGGCACGTAGTCGCTCATCTGCCCCGACACTGAACGGAAGTTGGCCACTCTGCAACGTCGTGGTGAGCCCAGGCAGCAAGCAGCGAAGCGAGAGGCATGCTCACTGTGTCTCCACCTCGACGATCTCCTTGAGCAGCGAGTCACCGACCTGGTCAAGCCGCGAGCCATAGTTGACGACGAGTGAGACGTTGAGAGCATACCTGCCATGGCCGTTAGCGCCTAGCCGATCATCTGGCTGCGGATGCTGCTCACCGCTGGAAGTAGGCGTACGGGTCGATGCTCTGACTGCCGTCCTCGCCGTCCTTGCACACGTCCTCAACCAGCGAGAGCGTCTCGCGATCTGCACCACATCAGCTGCGCCCAGCGTGTGTGATCCAGGCGCTGCTCACCGATGATGGGTACGTATGACTGCACGGCCGGCCGGTTGAGCGCCGTGGCGGCGGCCTTGCGCTTGCGCTTGCAGCTGTCGTCCCACGGCGACGTGCCGATGGTGAAGCCGGCTGTGCTGCTCACGACCTGCGCTGTGCGTCAGAGCGACGCTCCTGCACTGCAGATCTCTGACCGCTACGCACCTTGTGGAAGGCATTGAAGAGCGGGCGCGAGATGTATGTGCTGCCCTGGTCGTTGAAGAGCTCCTTGGACGCCGCGGCCGTGTTGACAACAACGACCTCGCGCTCGCCGAGGCGCACCTTGAACACGGGGCCGTACTTGCGCGACCATGCGAGGTACGTCTGTGCATGGTCCTGCCGAGAGACATATGAGCGGACCGTCCTCTCACCGGATCAACGTCCTTGCCAGCGGCACCGCCTGCTCACCTCGCCCAGCTGCAGCAGACTGCCGAAGACCGGCCACGGCACGGGCCCGGGCAGGTGGATGCGGCCGCGTGCGTAGTGCAGGTAGTGCAGCACCGCCACGGCCAGCAGTGCGGCACCGACGAGGGGCGCCAGCGAGAGGTCGAGCGCAGCGGCTGTCATGGTGCTGCGTGGGCGAGAGGGATGAGTGATGAGGAAGCAAGGGCGACGCTGGCTCGGCGTCGAGGACGAGGTGCGCGTCTCGCGGCGGGACCACCCAGCAGGTCGTCTGCCATTGCCAAGGCAGGGCAGCTTGACAGCAAGCTTGCTGTCTGCGGCTTCTGCTGCTTGCTGCTTCTGCAGATGAAGCTCTTGGGCGCAGCAGGCACGCGCCGTCGGGCAACTGCTTTCTCCGGCCGGTTTTGCCGAGTGCGGGGAAGCGGTTCGGATCGCCCGATCACGGCAGGTGCTTTCTCCGTGCTTTGCTGCTGCGTGCTGGCGCCTTCGAGCTTGCGGAGCTTAAGCCTGTTGGTGGCTGTCTGCTGCAGCTGCTTTCGCCGGTCGGCGCCTCGTCCGTGAGGCCCGTACGGTGGAGTACCAGATCGCTGCAGGTCATGCCGCACGACGTAAACGGCACAACCACCTCGAGTCGTGAGCCTCGGCAGCGACGGCCGGACGCTCGGACCGCCCGGACGACAGCTCACCACCTCGCTCCCACGCGCGTGCGCCCGCTGTTCAGCTCTCACCACCATCATCCGCAAGCATGCCCGAGCTGCAGTACCACCGCGGCTTCGGCAACCACGTCAACAGCGAGGCCATCGCCGGCGCGCTGCCCGCCAACGGCAACACGCCGCAGCGCCCGCCGTACGGCCTCTATGCCGAGCAGCTCAGCGGCACGGCCTTCACGGCGCCGCGCGCGCACAACCAGCGCTCGTGGCTGTACCGGGTGCGTGGGCTGCGCTGTGGATGGCGTGAGGCTGCTGACACCTGCTGCTGCAGATCCGGCCGTCGGTGATGCACGAGCCCTTTGCGCCCTACTCGCCGCCGCGCGTCGTCGCCTCCTTCCATGCCCACAGCCCCGAGATCGAGGCGACGCCGCAGCAGCTGCGCTGGGACCCGCTCGAGCTGCCCAACGCCGCGGCGCTCGACTTTGTCGACGGCATGGCCACGCTCGCCGGCGCCGGCGACAGCCAGACCAAGGACGGCCTCGCCGTGCACGTCTACTGCTGCGGCCAGAGCATGCATCGCAAGGCCTTCTACAACTCCGACGGCGACATGCTCATCGTGCCGCAGCAGGGCGCGCTGCGCATCCGCACCGAGTTCGGCACGCTCGACGTGCCGCCGCTCTTCATCTGCGTCGTGCAGCGCGGCATCAAGTTCTCGGTCGACGTGGTGGGGCTCGAGGAGGGCGCCTTTGCGCGCGGCTACATCTGCGGTATGTGGAGCTCCCGCGGCTGCAGTGCGCTTGACTGACGCTGCGCAGAGGTGTTCAAGGGGCACTTTGAGCTGCCCGAGCTGGGCCCCATCGGCGCCAACGGCCTCGCCGACGTCAAGGACTTCCAGACGCCCGTCGCCGCGTACGAGGACGTCGACGAGGAGTGGACGGTGGTGAACAAGTTCATGTCGGGCTACTGGCAGTACAAGCAGGTGAGGCGAGCCTTGCCGCTGCCCACCAACACCGCGCTCATCCTACCACAGGGCCACTCGCCGTTCGACGTGGTCGCGTACTCGGGCAACTACGTGCCGTACCGCTACAACCTCGTCAACTTCAACACGATGGGCTCCATCTCCTACGGCCACCCGGACCCGTCGATCTTCACCGTGCTCACATGTCCGAGCGACACGCCCGGCACCGCGATCGCCGACTTTGTCATCTTCCCGCCGCGCTGGCTCGTCGCCGAGGACACGTTCCGCCCGCCGTACTTCCACCGCAACGTGAGCGAGGCCTGTACAGCCGAGCCCGACCTGCTGACTGACGCCTGCTGCAGTGCATGAGCGAGCTCATGGTCAATCTCGCGGGCGTGTACGACGCCAAGGAGTCGCTCAAGGGCGGCGGCTTCGTGCCGGGCGGCGCCTCGCTGCACTCCATGAGTCAGTGTCTCGCGGTTGCCCACGCTCCGCCTCTCCGCTGACATCTGGCACAGACGCCGCACACGGCCCCGACGCCGAGACGCACAAGAAGGCGAGCGCAGCCGAGCTCAAGCCCATGAAGGTCGGCGAGGGCAGCATGGCCATCATGTTCGAGAGCGCCTACCAGCTCGCCACGACGCGCTGGGCCGTGCTGTGAGTTGCGCAGAATCGAGGGGGTCCGCGCTCCTGCTGACAGGCCTTCTACTGCAGCGAGTCGGGCAAGGTGCAGTCAGACTACTGGAAGGCGTGGGCCGGGCTGGAGAAGCACTTCAAGCCGCCGTCATCAGCATGATGCGCACAGGCGCGTAATGTACACGTGTATTGTCGCTCCACCCTCGCGAAGCAGCTTGCGAACATCGTCGTCTTGCGCCATTGCTTGGATCCGAAGAATGAGGGCAAGCGGCTTTCGAGCCGCGCAGATCGCGGCTGAAAGCACGCTGCTCTCTTCGTCGAGACTTAGCAACGGCGAAGGAGAAGGTGTTCAGGAGCTGACAAGCGCAAGTCGGACGATGGCGAAGCTCTTCCTCGGTCTCAAGATGCAGTGCACGACCGCAGCGCGCGAGCTCGGGCGCCGCACCTGCGTGAAAGCCACTGCTGCGGCACAGAGAATAGCAGCTCCGTGTGCAGCGCGCCTCGTGTGGCAGAGGATGTGCGAGAGCGAGCTGCTGGGTATCGAGGAAGAGCAGACGATCTTCCTTGGTCGGGTATAGTGCGGCGGAGCATGCTCAAACGCCGCGCGGTATTGAGACGAGGTCGATGTCCCAGAGCTCAAGGAACTGCGGCCGCCGCATGGTCAGATGAACGCCGCTCATGCGTGTCTTGGCTGCGCGACTCACCTGCTCGTCCATGACGCGCACCTTCTGGCCCGTGTAGCGGCGGTACTCCTCGAGGATGGCGCTGAGGCACCAGCGCTGCAGCTTGCGCAGGCAGCCAATGACGGTGCCAGTGCGGTGCCGGCCCATGTTGCACATCACGAGCACGGGGTAGGTGCTGGGCTGCACGAGCAGATGCAGCGCCTGCAGCACGATGTCCTCGGTGATCGGGTCCCACGCGTTGGTGCTGTAGAGCACGCCGAGGTGGTGCACCGTGATCGAATGCGAGGCGCAGAAGTCGAGACTGCAAGCAGGCGTCAGCAGCTGCAGAGGCACTTGCAGCAGTGCGGACACGCAGCGATCGAGCCGGCCCGAGGACAAGTAGACCTCTGCTCGTCTCCAACTTGACCGCAGCCGCGGAACGTATGCCCTCCACGAAGCGCACGTGTCGCTCGAACCAGCGCCCACCAGTGTTACACTCTCGTCCATGCGACTCACAAGGCACCATCGGGCTCCTCGGGCGCGAGCCACACGACGCTGGTGAGGCCGAGCGTCTCCAAGAAGGGAAAGTTGAGCAGGTCGGGCGCGCCGGAGCGGTAGAGCGACTCCTCGACAAGGCCGAAGTTGGGCGGCGGCACGAGCATGACGCACGCGCAGAGGCCGGTGCGAGGCCAGGAGGAGCGGTGGTGCTGGTGCGGAGGCAAGGATGGACGACGTCGAGGCGCACGGACTGGAGGGAGCGGAGCAGCTCGTCGGCGCTGGCGCTCCCACGCTGGGCGTCACGTGGCAGCGACTGCCTCCACACTGCACCCCGCTCGGTGCGGAGTCAGCTGCCCGATGCACGAGCTCCCCAGGGACCAGGCATCTCTCCTCACTACCACATCAACGCAGGCCTCGCACGCACTCGGGTCGCCACTCCGCATCTTCAGCCCCGCTCGCTCAGCTCACAATGTCGCAGTGGCAGCAGCAGCGCGCGCAGCCCGCGCCCGCCTCGCCCTGGGCTGCCGAGACGTCCGCCGCACCGCCAGCGACAATGGCAGACCCGTACGCGGCGGGCGATGGCAGCGGCAGCAGTAGCAGCGGCGGCGATGGCTTCGGCTCCGAGCCGGCGCAGCGCGGCGCGCTGCCTGGACGCCTGGGGCGCTCGCAGGCCGTCGCGCTCAAGGACCTGCGCGCCGACGAGGTCGAGTTCATCCAGCGCGCGGCCATGAAGATGAATGTCATCCGCTGGGTGAGTCGCTGCGCAGCGCTGACGCTAGCGTATGTATTTGTCCAGGAGATACTCACGCTGTGCTGTCCTGCCTTCCAGAGCAGCTTTCTGATCGGCGGAGGTCTTGCCTTCCGCTTCGCACGCCGCCGCAACCCGCCGCTCAGCATCCTGGCCACCCTCGCCGCCACGACGATGGCCGGCTTCGGCGGCGTGTTCGCAGCCATGCCGCTCATCGTCTACACGGCACGCAACGACTTGGCGCGCGTCAAGGACCCCGAGCACCTCAAGCGCGTCATGCAGAGCGCCGCAAGCGAAATCCGCGGCGGACGCCCGGGCCAGAAGGCAAGCTGTGAGTGGCCGCAGCGTGTAGAGACAGTTGTGCGGCGTGTATGGAGCCGCATCGCAGTCGTGCTCGCTGTGCTCACTGACGCTCCTATTCTCCAGCGTCGAGCTCCGCGGACCCACCCACTGGCTTTGTCTATGAAGACCTGCCCGCGCCGGGCGGTAACCCGATGTCAGATGGCTTCGTGCAGGACGGCACCGCGGGCGGCGGGAAGAGCCGCTGGGAGCAGCTGCGAGAGGGTGGCGCAGCGTCCGCAAGCTCGGCTGCAGCGCAGATGGGTAGCAGATCGTCGGAGCGCACACCTTCGCCGATGCAGCTGCAACAGCAGCCGCAGCCGTCGCTTGGCCGGACAGGCGCACAGGGTAGCGCTGGCTCGTCGTACGTCGAGCTCGAGCGCGAGCGCTTCCGCCAGGAGTTCGAGCGCGGCGAGCAGAAGGAGCGGAGAGGCCTCATCTGAGCAGAGCAAATGCACAAACATCACACACACAGGCGGGAGATGATACTGTAGTCGGGACTTTCATTGCGCGCGTCGAGTCGTGAGGGAGCAGGATGTGTGCAAGTAGAGTAGGAGGCAGGAGGCGCGTGCAGCAAGAGGCATGGGAAAGGAAGGAAAAGCAACGGACATGCGGCAAGGAAGGGCAGGGAACACTTTGCAAATGAGGTGACTGTTGTAAAAGCGCACTCGGGCGCGCGGCGTGCCGTATCGTGACGGTGGCAGATGGTGAAATGGAGGCACAGGCCGCTATGGCGGCGGCAGGAAGAGGGCGTTGAGGCGCAGCAGGTCGAGGTTGCCAAAGGCACCCGAGGCGGTGAGGTGGCGCAGTGTGAGCGTCGAGAGGGCGTTGACGATGCGCGAGGTGAGCTGCTGCAGGATGCCGGCGAGCTCGGCGTCGGGCGCGTCGTCGCGGATGGCGTAGATGAGCAGCTCGGGCCGCAGGGCGAGGTGCATCTCGACGGCCTTGCGCCGCGCCGGCACGGGCTGCAGGCTCGACATGGGCCGCTGCTCCATCGCGACGACGAGCTCGGCGGCCGCAGACCCAGGCGCTGGACCGCCGAGCGAGGCGCCCGGCACGAGGCCGTTGTTGGGCGTCGTCAGGCCCGAGCCGGGCAGTGGAGCACCGAGCGACGAGCCCGTGATGCTCATGGCGGTGCCGCCAGCGTTGGCGGCCGAGACTATTGCCTCCTCGACGCCGGGGAAGAGCTCGCCGTTGGAGAGCGCCTCGAGGCGCAGGCACAGCATGCCGAGCTGCTTGATCTCGTTGATGTCCAGTAGCTGGATCATCGGCTCGAAGACCTGCGGCGCAGGCGCGTCGGGCTTGGCCGCCAGGCGCCCGCTGAGCTGCTTAGGGTAGACGAGCTCAAGCATTTCGGGCGTCTCGAGGCCCTTGAGGCGCCGCTCGCCGACCGACGAGATGCCGAAGCCCATGCGCCGCAGCAGCACGACGTCGCGCGCGACGTTGGGGTGCAGCAAGCGCAGTGCGTCCTCGTCGGCGTTGCTCTCGCCGCCAGCGCCCTCGGCGCCCTCCCCCTCGTCAGTGCCGAAAGAGCCCAGCAGCGCCGTGAGCTCCTGGATGACGTCGCGGCTCGCCATGATCTGGCCGCCGTCGGCCGCGCTGCTGATACGTGCGGCACGGTTGACCATCGGGCCGAAGTAGTCCATGCGGCGAGTGATGGGATCCGCCTCGCACACCGGGAAGCCCCAGTGGATGCCCATGCGCACAGAGAGGCCGCGGTAGATGAGCTCGCCCTCCGAGTCGTACACCTCCTTGCCGTCCTCGCACTCGAGCAGCTCCTGCGGCCAGTCCTCGCGCAGCAGCTGGATCTGCACGGTGAAGCACCACAGCAGCGCGGCAGTGACGGACGGGAACGAGACCATGAACGCGTCGCCTTCCGTCTTGACCTCGTAGCCGCCGATGGTGCGCAGCTGGCGTCGCAGCAGGTAGTTGTGCAGACGCATGGCGGACTGCATGCCGCCGTTGGTCTCCCACAGCGCCGTCGAGTTCTTGATGTCAGTAAAGACCAGCGCGACCTGGCCGATGGGCGGCGCTACCTCGCGCTCGAGGCGCGCCAGCGTGCGGTCGCCAGGCAGGTCCTCGCGCACGCCGCGCATGCGGCTGCCCTTCTTGAAGGCGTCCATCATTGGGTCGAACGGCATCGCGTCGTGGCGCTGCTGGCGGTTGTAGAACAGCTCGCCGACGGCGACGACCATCACCATGATGCTCTCCTCGGCGCCGTAGCTGATGGCAAAGTCGCGCAGCTTCTGCGCAGCGATCATGACGTCGTCGCGCTCCATGCGCGCGATGTCGACGGCCGTCTGGTAGGAAATGTGGTCCCACAGCGTGCGGTTGGCCAGAATGACGAACTCGTCCGAGTCGAGCAGCGCAATGGTCGTGACGGCCGGTGCAGCGTTGACGATCGACGAAAGGTGATAGTAGCCGAACGAGCGCGAGACGTCGAGCTTGTCGTTGACGTGGCCGCGCAGCGAGACCCAGCCCTCGGCAGAGCGGATGCGCTGCGTCTCGTCGCGGTCGAAGGGCTCGTGCTTGGTGCTGACGAGCTGCGCGCTGCCGTTGCGCGAGAGCACAGCGAGGGCGTCTCCCACATTGGCGATGTGCAGCGTCCGATCGACGACGTAGGCAAGCACGCCAGACGCACCGGCCCGCCACTGGCTCAGGTGCGTCGACTCGGCAATGGCCGGCGCATCGGCGCGGCGCTCGTCGAGAGCCGCGATGTTGCGCGCCTCGGCCACCTTCTTGGCCCGGTCGGCGAGGAGCAGGTCGGCGTAGTCCTTCTCGAGACGCAGGAACGCGCGTCGCAAGATGTCCGGCACCTGCTCCGGCTCTGGCGACTCGTCGTCCGCGACACCGGCGTGGTGCTTGACCTCGTACTGGACACGGTAGTGCGCCCACTGCGCCAGGTGATGCGCGAGGCGGCTGCTGACCTTCGTGCCGTGGTGACGGCCGGCGAAGAGGCCGAAGAGCCCCTCATTCTCGTGCGTGCGGAACTTGGGCACGAGCGCATCGACGATGCTCAGGTTCTCGTTCTTGCCGAGCGCATCGGCAATGCCGTACGACATGCCGTTGATGTGCGACTCGGACGAGCGCACGCGGCGGTCCTCGTTGCCGTCGGGCATCTCCTCGAGGCGCAGCGTGACGGTGACGTCCATGAGACCGAGCACGCGCAGGTTCGTCATGCGGTGGAAGTCGGCTGCCGCCGCGTCGTAGCGCCGGCTGCGTCCGTGCTGGCCGCCGCCGCCGCCACCCTTGATCTCGAGGCGCTTGTTGCCCGAGAGGTTGAGGTAGCGCAGCGCCGGGCTCGAGTTCCAGTTCCAGTCGTACTGCTGGTTCGTGATGTTGTACTTGAGCGTGTTGTTGCCGACGTCGAGGTTGGCGAGGCGGCGCATCTCCTTGAGCTCGGCGGGCAGCGTCTGCAGCTTGTTGGCGTTGAGATGCAGCACGCGCACGTCCTTGAGGCGCGGCAGGTCGTCGGCCGGGATGCTGCTCAGGTTGTTGCCGCTGAGGTAGAGCTCGGTGAGCTGCGCGAACTTGGACAGGCTGCCGTTGGGAATCTCGTAGATCTCGTTGAACGACAGGTTCAGGACCTCGAGCTCGGTCAGCAGGCCGAGCACGCCGAAGATGTCGTCCGTGAGGCGGTTGTCCGCAATGCGCAGCTTCTTGAGCGTCAGCGCCATCGGCGGCGCAGATCGCGGGCCAGTCGGCGTGACCGGTGCGCCCGCGCCGTTGGGGTGCGGGCCGAGCGACGAGGTCGAGCCCTTGCGCCCTGGATCACCTCCAGCCGAGGCGACGCTCTGGCGCAGCGCCGACTCGGCCGCTGCTGCGCCACAAAGCGGCGGAGCGGGGAACGACTCGAGCAGGTTCGAGCTGACGTTGATGGACGACAGCGAGGAGCACAGCCAGATGGTGCTTGGGAGCGCCTTGAGGTTGTTGTTGTGCAGATGCAGGCGCCGCAGCTTGCCCAGCTTGCCCAGTGTCTCAGGCAGCGAGGCGAGCAGGTTGCTGGTGCACGACAGGAAGTCGAGCTGGCTCAGCTCGCCGATCGAGTCGGGCAGCGACACGAACTGGTTGCGGTCGAGGATGAGCGTCTGCAGCGACGGCAGGTGCTGGAACACTGCCTCTTCGAGCTTGGACATGTTCGACGAGGACAGATTCAGCGATGTCAGCGCGCCGGGCTCGAGCGCGCTGAGCGTGGCGCGGCTGAGCGGGTTGTGGCCGATGTCGAGGCTGCGCAGCTGCTGGCCGACAGCAGCGTCGAGCGTCTTGAGCGAATTGTGCTCGCACTGCAGGACTTGCAGCCGCGGCAGCGAGAAGAGCACCGACACGTCCTGCAGCACGTTGCGCCGCACGTCGACCGTCTGCAGGTTGACCAGCTTGCCGACGGAGCTCGGCAGGGTCTCGAGCGAGTTGCCGACGAGCACCAGGCGCTCGAGGCGCGTGAGGTTGCCGATTTCCTCGGGCAGCGCCGAGATGGCATTGAAGGACACGTCGAGCTCGACCAGCGACACGACCTCGCAGAGCACCGTCGGGAACACCTCGAAGCGGTTGTTCGAGATGTTGAGATAGCGCAGCGTCTGGATGCGCGCAAAGTAGCTCGGCAGCTCCATGAGGCGGTTGTTCTGCACCTTGAGCGACGTCAGGTGCGCCATCTCGTCGAGCGCGATATGGCTCAGCTCGGGGATTCGGTTGTCCGACACGTCGAGGTGCGTCAGCGTCTCGCTCTGGCGCACGCTGCCGGGAATGCGCTTCAGCGCGAGGTGCGAGAGGCGCAGCGTGTGCAGACTCGTGCAGAGCTGCACAAAGTCGAGCGGCAGGTCGGACATCGGGTTGCCCGACAGGTCGAGACTGCCGATCCAGTCGGCGTGCCGGTACAGGAAGATCGGCACCATCTCGAGGTTGTAGTTCTTCAGGTCGAGCAAGCGGAAGCGGTCCGCCGTGTTGCCGAACGACTCGGAGTCAAACTTTGTCACACTGTCCGGCCGGTAGACGAATTTGAGCAGGTAGGACAGGTCCTCGGCGCCGAGCTCCTCGAGCGTGTCGTCTTCAGTGTAGCCGGCCTGCACCATGCGGCGCCGCTGCAGCAGCGCCGGCTTCTCGCCCTCTCCAAGCGGACGCTCTGCAGACGCGAGATGTCAGCGGCCAGCGCCGTCACCGCGAGTCGCCATGTCAGCTCACCGTGCCCCTTGTCCGTGACAAACAGGCGGAACGCGCCGGAGCCGCCGACTGGCCACTTGCGCATCATGACTGTACGCAGCTCGGCCGTCGTGGCATACAGCGAAATGGCGACAGTCGCGTGCGTGCCGTCTTGCTTGTAGATGCGCATGATGTGCTGAGGATAGGAGGTCAGCGAGAGATTGCAGGGACTCCGTCAGCACCAGGTGCTCACAGGACGCGCCACCTGCTGGCTCTGCACGGTGCTCGGACGCTTGATGATGCCGCGAACGGAGCGCGCGGCCAGGTCGTCCTCAGTCAGAGCCGCGGGCAGACCGACGATGGGCGAGCCGATGGACCGGCCGCCCATCGAGCCAGCCGTGTTCGGACGAGCGCTGGCCTTGTGGCGCAGGGGACGATGCAGACCCAGCTTGCCTGCGGCCGCAGCTGCAGCTCCGCCAGCGGCTGCCAGCGCAGCGCCGCCGCGCGAGCTCGGTCTCGCAGAGGAGTGCACGCTTGCGGGCGTCGAGGGCGTGGGCAGCGGGCCAGGCGCTGGGTCTGTCTCCTCTTCGTGCGCGTGCATGTCGTCTCTCGACGGATGTGCGCCTGCAAACGAGCTCTCGTGCGTGCTCGACGAGTAGCTCGAGATGTTGGAGTCGTGCGTGCCTCTACGCGCTGCGAGCACGGTGTGGGCGATGCCGCTCTCGAGCGACGGCGAGCGGGGCGAGCGCATGCCGGTCGGCGTGCCTGCTGCAGTGCCGCTCGTCGCGCCCGAGCCCCGGCGGTCCACGGGGCGCGTCAGGCCAGTGGCTTGAGCATTGTCTGCGTTGTCGTCGTCGGACGCGCCTTCGCCGTCTTCGTCGCGCAGATAGTCCCTGAGCCCGTCCGGTTGCACCGCCCACGAGTCGGGCGCCATCCACGTGGATGCCGCCTGGCTCGTGCTGCTTGCACTTGACTTGCGCGCAGCGAGAATCTCGCCGCCGCGCACTTCGCCGTCGAGCGGCGGCGGGAAGCGGTACGTCGGATCTGCGAGCCCACTGCGCGTCCATGTGCCCGTCGGCTGACCCTCCACCGAGCCCTCCTTCCGCATGAGAGGCAAATGCGTGAGAGACGTCTTCGGCGACACGCCAGAGTAGCCAGACGTCTGCGACAGCGACGAGGTGGCGCTGTCCTTGCGCAGCTCGCGCACGCTGCTGCTAGTCGACGACGCTCGCTGCGTCGATGCGCCAGAGTCGTCCGGCGCAAAGTCCGAGCTCTGCCGCGGAGACGAGTAGGGTCCCAGAGCAGGCGAGCTGCTGCCAGGCGACAGGCCGTCGCTCTTCTGCTGGCGCGACGCAAGGTGCTGCTGCGCCTCCGCTGCTGTAATGCGCCGCAGCCCAGGCTGCTGGGTGACGTTGATCTGCGCTGCTCGCGGGTGCTGCGGCGCCATGGTGAAGCTGCCATTGGCGAGCGGCGAAGGCGTCGAGCCGAGGCGCCGCAGAGTCTGTGGCCTGCTCTGCGGGAGCTCTGCCACCGGCGGCGCCGGCGAGCTCGAGCCGTTTCGCGATCTGGCTGACTGCATGCGTGACAGCGCGGAGAAGGACGTGGAGCGCCTGCGCCCGTTCTGCAGCGACGCGGCATCGCCGGCACTGTCGGGTCGCTCGTCTGCCTGCGAGGAGCCATCGTTTGAGGCATTTGGAATGGAGCGTTGGCGCATGGACGTGTCGACAATGTCGTCGATGTGCTCGAAGTTCATGTCAAGGCTCAGCTCGACGTCTCCGCTAGTAGCGAACGGCGTGCCGAGTCCGGATCCGTCCCCCTCGCCAGTCCAGTCGTCACGGTTGCGGCTGCGATCGCGGTCGCGCGTCCTCGGACGCCGGAGTCCGCGTCTCGGCGCTTTCTCCTTGGGCGTCGTGGCGGAGCCGCCGCTGCCACCTGTCGCACGCAGACCAGACGGCGTGACCTGCCCTGTCGTCTCGAGCTCTGCCAGCTCATCCTCGACGCTGACGGCTGTCACCTCTGACCCTCTGGCCGAGCGCGGCGGGAAGATGGACCCGACTGCGGGCGTCGGCGGCAGCGTCGGAGCGCGCGGCAGCGTTCCAGAGGAGCCCATGCCCATGCGCTGGTCTTGGTATACGCGCACCGACGGCGGACTGGAGCTTGGCACTGCAGAGCCACGCGTGAGTACGCAGTGAGCGCTGTATGAACGGACGGGACTCACACTCCATCGGGTCACGCAGCGCCGCAGAGCTCTTCTTGCGCAAAAAGTGGAAAGGATTGCGGCTCTTGCGGGAACTCAGCGGCGTGACGGCACCACTGGTGGAGAAGGCGAGACTCGTAGACGATGCAGTGGCCGGCAACTGCTGCGCGACAGCGAAGTTGCTTGGGCTGCGAAGCCCGGGCGGCGTCACTGGTCGCAGCGACAGCGTGGACTGCGATGCGCTGCTGGCCACGCCGCTCGTCGAGCTGCTCGGCAGGCGGTAGGATCCGGTCGTTGGCTGCGATTCGATTTCGTGTGAGCCTCTCGCGCAACGAGTACACAGGTAGAAGCGAGAAGGCTGCGCTTCACACGCCGCGCCCCAGCTCAGACTCACTGTTCGGGCGTGCCGCGAGTACGAGTCCTGCGACTCTTCGTCCTGGAACAGCCATGGCATGATGGCCTGGTGCTTCGCCGAGTCGGCGCGCTCGGTCTGCGCAATCGCCTCGGTGACAATGCCGCCCTCCTCACGCGGCGGCCTTGGCGCCCAGGAGATGCTGCCGCCATCGCCGGGCGACAGAGTCTCCTCCTCGCGGCCTGCATCGCTGATGCGCCCATTGCGCCCGGCACGAAAGTCGCTGCCGGCGCGCGACTTGTGGTGGCGCAGACCGGGCGACGAGGGCGGCGAGCCCTGCACAACGGCCACGTCGCTGAAGTCGATCTCGTGCGTCGAGAGGCTCGGCAGGCCCTCGGCCAGGCGCCGCGCATAGCGGCTGCCCGTCTGGCTCGGCCCGGCAAACGGCGGTGGTGGCCGCGGCGCAGAATCACGCCGCGGCAGAGACACGTTCTTGCCGGGCGCGCCGCTGCCACTGCTGCTGCTGCTGCCGGCGCCGTTCGTCAGGCCCAGGCCGCTGACATCGTCTGCCGGCGGCGCGGAGACGGTCGCCATGGCGGAGGCGGGTGAGGCAGGGCCTCAGAGACAGGCGCCTGGCTGTACGCGCGGGTGCCAGACGTGACGGCGACAGTGAGGAGCGGATGGACGGCACTGGCGGCGGCGCGTGCGCGTCGACGGGGCCAGCGAGGAGGTGGATGTTCGCAGAGCACGGCTCGCAGCGGCGGCAGCTTGCACGTGTATGGCAGAGCGCTGCAGCGCAGAGAGCGGTGTCGCGCAACGCTGCTGCTGCCTGCTCTGCCGCGACTGATCGGGCACGAGCTGGCGATAGGAGGGGCCGGCCAGGCGGGGAGAGTGGATGATGACGACGAGAGAGGGGTGCAGAGTGCGCGCGAAGCAGCGGCGTGCAGGTGCCGTCGGGCAGTCGCCGCCTCACCCGCGCGGCGGCGCGAGGCACGGCAGCAGCACCCAGCACAGCAGCAGCAGAGGCGCGCGCCGGCGCACACGGCAGAGGCGGCAGCGCCAGCGCTAGCGCCCGCACGCCGCGCGCGTGTTGGCGCGGCGTGCGTGCCACGACGGCGAGCTGCCTCACCGCTCGCGACAGCAGCAGAAGCACACACAACGGAGACGCTGCTGCATCGGCGAGCTCGCTCTCTGTCCCTCAGTGCAGCACTCGCGACGGTGTGGCGACGCCAGATCGGCCATCACGCTCGTACGCCCGTGGTCAGGGTTCATCGCGAGATCGCGCGGCGGCCGGCGCTTGCCGTTGTGTCCGGCCTAGCGCGGCGCTGGCGTGGGCGCGCGACGTGCACGAGGTCGCGGCGTGACAGGCGGCGCCAGCGCCGTGCAAGCGTGAGCGTTGAATCGAATGGGCTCGGCTCCCGACATCAGCGTCCACAGACACGGCGAGGGGGCTCGCATGCCTCTCGCAGCCGTCAGGTGCATGCGGAGAAAAGGAGCGTGCCGTCGAGGAAGGTCACGCTGCTCCTGCGAGCGGACGAGAGGCACACGGCGTGGACGCGCGCGCCTCGGACTCCGAGCCGTCGAGCACAACGGCCTGCTCTCACCTGTGAGTCGATCAGGCTTCATTCGAGCCTCGCGCAATCACCGCCCTGTGCAGACACAGCGCGCAGGACGGAGAGCCGCAGGCGAGGAGGCCTCACAGATGCTCTGCGTGCTGCATGCAGCCATGAGCGCTGGAGACGTCCTGCGAGTGTTGTGCCGAGGCGGAGTTGCGAGGCGAGGCTCGGAAGCGCGCACAGGCGAGCTCGCCAGCGGACAAAGGACGAGCTGTGCTGCGTGTCACGTCGTCCGCCACAACGTGCTGTCACCTCACCCCTCCGACAATGTGCTGGCACGACCTGCGACGGGGGAGAGGAAGCCGCGACGGCGTCGTCAAGGGCCCCTCAGCCGGTGTGCAGCCTGTGCTGGCGCCGCGCGTGGTCCGCATCCGCGTCGCCCGCCTCAGACGCTTTGCCTTTCTTCCTTCGCGCTTGCCTGGCGCCTCGGCATCGTCGGCGGGACCTCGCAGCTCGAGCGCCCACATTGCATGCAGGTGCACATTATGGCCTGTTCCCAGCAGCATGCTCCCGGCCGGCATGAGCGATGTGGTCCGGCGGGCCGGTGGACCGGGCCAAGGCGCCCCACTCGCACGGGGCGCGGCGCGGTCAAGGTTCGCAGGCGCTGCGCGCGCTGCAGGCGCGGGACAGCACCCGCAGGGCGCTAGCGTAGCGCCATGCTCGGCGTAAAGGGTGCAGCCCCGAAGCCTTGGCCCACACCGGTGCGGCGCCGCAGCAGGGCGCAGGAAGCTCAAGCACCCCTTGAGCCTCCAGGCTGGGTGGGCGCTGCCGGAAGCGAGCGGGTCCCGCCGTTGGCGAGGTCGTCGATTGAAAGGTCGGCGAGCCAGGCGTGGGAACGTGAGGGAGCGTGTCTTCTGCGCGCGGCGCAAGAGCTCAAGGAGCTCGCTGCGACGCCGGGCGGCGGCTGCGGGATACAGCAAGGAAGGCTGTGCCAACGCCGAGCACACCTGTAGTCGTCCGTGTCCTGCCCGAGGATCAAGCGGTACCACGCGCGACGACCTCGGAGCCGCCCGTGCTTCTGTCCGTCCCGCCGGGTGCTCTTTGCTCCCAGCCGCAGTCGCGCAGTGCCAAGGCCCGAGGTGCTTCCGACCCTGCCTTGGCGAGTCTCGCCCAGGCTTCGGGAGCGCACTGGCGCCGAACGGCCTTTGAAGGTAGCGCGAGGCCCGGTGAGGGGTCGTGAGACTTGATCAAGGTCTCTTGGACCGCAATCGACTGCGGCAATCCCTCTGCTGCGCCCACACACGACAGCGCCGAGAGAGGGCCAGCATGCTGGGATTCGCAGCGAGAGAGCCGGGCGCAGCTCCTCCCTTCTCGATTCTTCTGCCTTGAGGCTGCCCGAGCTTCTGCCTGTCAGCGCTCATATGAACGAGCTATCCGGCTGCGCGCAGCAGGCGCACGGAAAAAAAGCCTCCTCTGCTCCCAGAGGAGGGGGAGCGGTGGCGGGACTCGCCTCTTGGCCGAGCGTCCCCGCTCGCAATGAGCTCCTCTCCCCCGATGGTGCGGCGCACTTCCTGCATCTTCCCTATCCTGACGATGATGCAACGACGAGATACCAAGGCCGGCGGATGCGACCGCTGAGAGACACAAAATGCCTGCCTCTCAGGGGCGTTACTGGCATGTGTGCGGAGAGAACTCAAGGCGAATGGGCCCATATGACTAGCAGCACGGGAGCGATGCACCCAGCTCCCAATTCTGCACTTGTTTCCGCGCCCTCAGATCGCGATCTGCGGACCTCGAGATGGAGGACTTGAGCGCTGCCTTGTGCCTCGACAACCGAGCACAGCTTTAGCTGCGCTCATAAGCGCCGGTGCTAGACGTGACGTTGGCTGCCCAGACCGTCTCCGAAGAAGCAGTCGTGTCTGACCGTGACGGGGTCTGTTCGCTTTTTGTCATGCCTTCATGCGGAGCGGCTTCGACGTCTGACCCCGCTTCGCTGCTGCACCTGGTGCGCGCCATCGCACCACAGCTGCGGTAGAGAGGGCGCGAGCCGCCGGCACTCTATTGCGCCCTGTGAACCTAGAAGCGGGTGAGAACGAGGGGCGGCACCAGATGATGCCCGCTGTGCGCGCGCAGCGTGCCTCCGAGCTGGCCGGAGGGGCAAGTGCTGCGCCGCTTAGTGGTCGGACCGGCGGCTTCCGTCATCGTCGCGAGCTCGGTCTCGGGTGCGGGGCGGGAAGGAGAAGAGAGAGGGGGGCGGCGGCGGCGAGAGCTAGCAGCCTAGCAGAGCCGCCTTCTCTGCTGCTGACGCTGCACGTGCTTTGTTCCGAGCGAGCCGAGTGGTCCAGCAGCACCTTGCCCCTGGCAGCATCAGAAGTCGCACCTCCTTCTCCTCGGTGCGCCTTGCTGCGTCGAGGCAGCATCGGGATGGAGGTGAGAAGGCAGGCGTGACGCCGCCGCTGCACGTGCTCGCCATGCGGAGCCCGATGTGCCGTCGTCCTGTGCGTCTGTGGCGCCGACCCGCGGGCTGCTTCTTGCTCTCGCTGCTCCAACGCCCAGGGCGCTGCAGCAGCTGGCAGCGAGACATGATGCGCCCGCGCATGGGCGCCGCGTGGAGCGAGAGCGGAGCATCTTGCGCGCACGCACGCAGCGAGCTCGCGGCGAGATCTCGAGGCAGCACGCCAGCCGCCGGCACCGCGCTGCTGGGACGGCCGCGCGTGCTCTCCACCCGCCGTCGTGGTGCGTGCCGTCGCCTCACCGCCAGCAGCACTTTGGCTCTCGGCACCGGCTGCTCCTCTTCCATCACTTCATTCAGCCCACCTTCCTCCTCAGCACTGACTCTCAAGAGGTGCAGCCGCACCGCTGTCGCAGCGCCCGCCAACCCCACCTCGATACCCTCGCTGCCACTCACTCGTGCCTGCGCAGCTGCGGCGCTCCATACGCTCTACGTCCACCTCGCTCTTCTTGCTCGCGCATCAGCGCGCCCGCTGCTGCTGCTGCTTCGCGTGCCGCACACCTAGCTGCTGTGCCGTCCGCTGCTCGTCCTCTGCCCGCATAGCCTATCACCCACACCCGCTGCACACGACCTCACCGCGACCACCGCCGGGCCCTGCCGCTCCTGCTCGCCTCGCCACGCCGCCGCGCATCCGCCGGCCAGAGGCAGCAGCAGCAACGGCGTGAGCGCCCCGCGCCGTCCGGCAGCGACTGCACGCGCGTCTCTTGCCTCGCCGTCGCTTATCGCCTGCTCCCGGCACATGTCGTACTACTACGACGGCGCCGCCGCGGATGGCGCCGGCAGCCGCAGCAGCGAGCGCCGCGACAGCCAGCAGCGCTCCGCCTCGGCGCTCTCCTTCACGCGCGAGCGCGAGGAGCTGACGTCGCAGCCGTCGTTCATGACGTCCGCCGCGACGCTGCCGGGCGCGCTCGGCATCAGCGATGCACCCTGGCAGCAGCGCCGCGGGTCCGAGGGACGCGGCAGCGCCGCCAGCCCGGCTCCGAGCTTGGTGCTCGCCGGCGGCGGCCGCTCGGTGACGCCGAGCCGCTACGGCGATGACAAGGAGCAGCTCTCGCGCACCTCCTTCCAGGCACGCTCCGGCTCTGCCGCCTCTCTGCCGTACGACAGCGCGAGCGACGGACGTCCTGGATCGGCGCACTCGGCGCCGCGGACATTCCTCGTGCCCGTGGGCTCCACCGGTGCGCGGCAGAAGCTCAACATCCTCAGCGCCTCGAAGCGGCCCTGGCCCTCGGGTGCAGCCGCACCCCCGGACCAGAGCGGCGGCGAGGGCAGAGGTGCATCGGCCGCTGACCGCCTCGGCATGCGCACGAGCTCGTCCTCTCTGCCGCGGCCTGCAGCCGCACTAGACTCGCTCGGACACGGCTCTCCGCCGAGATTCGGCGCTGTCGGCAACGGCAAAGCGCCAGGCAGCCGCGTGTCGAGCGGCGAAGCTCAGGCCGGTCCCTCCAGTCGTCCATCCACCGCCGGTGCCGGCGCGAACGGGAGCCCGAAGCAGCCTCTGCGCAAAACCTCGGAGGACAGCATGGCGGCCTTGGCGTCTGGACTGAACGCGGCGCGTGACTCCTTCCAGCCGCCGAGTTCGCTGCCTCTCTCCAGATCTGCATCGGGCAGCACCAGCGACGACGAGGCGCGCCATGTCGCGCTACGCAGCAAGAGTCGGGACGAGCTGCGCAGCACTTCGAGCGGATCGGCGAAAGGCTTCGCGGGCGGTGCGCTGCCTCTGCGATCAACGTCGCGGCCCGAGCAGGGCGGTGATCTCACGAACGGCTCAGAGCAACGCTCGCAGAGCGTGGAGCGCAATGGCGTTGCAGGCCGAACGGACGTCTCGCGGCCTTCGACGGCGCCCAGAGTTGCAGCAGGCGACTCGCTTCCGCGTGGCTCGCAAGCGCGGCCCTCGACTGCCTCGTCAATAGGCAGAGCCAGCATGCGGAACCTCAAGAGCATGTTCAGCGGCAAGCGCGAGCAGAGCGATACGAGCCCGCCGATGGGCAGTGCGCCAACCAGCGGCTCGCCGGACGTCTCTGGCAGGGCCAGCGCCTCTGAGCAGGCAACATCTGGCCGACCCAGTACCGCCGGCTCGTCGCCGCAGCAGGGCATGCGCGGACAGAGCCACCGCACGATGCCGTCGCGGTCGATGAGCTCGGAGCACTCGGCATCGGTCGACTTTGGCCTCGGAAACAGTGGCTTGTTCATCGAGGGCGCGGACACGGCCCAGAGCCAGTCCACGTCTTCCGTCAACAGCTCGTTGGCGAGTCGCTCAGGCACGACTGCCTCGAGCTTCCTGCCGGACGCACCAGACCTCGGCCTGGGCTTCGACGATCTGTCTACGATGTTCTCGCAGTACAAGACCAGCAGTCCGACGCCGCTCGAGGTGCAAGCCAAGCAGGGCCTCCCCGTCCTGGAGCTCGAAGACGGCGACCAAGCGGCGGCACCTGCAACGCTGCGCGTGCCCATGCCGGCTGCGAATGCTCAGCAGGGCCTCGTGGTCGACGACAAGTCGCTGCCGCCGACGCCGCACACCCCGTCACCGGCGCCATCGCCCGCGCCTGCGCCCGAAAAGCCACCTGTGCGAGAGGCCGCAACCTCGTCGGGCTGGTCTCCCGAGGTCTCGAAGGAGAGCAGGACCAGCGAACGAAAGGCAAGAGACTCACCAACCCAGGCCAACTCGACTGGAACAGACAGTCCGCGCTCGAGCCAGTCGTTTGCAGCCTCGCTATTGCCGCTTCGTCGGGGCGCCGCCGAGCAGGCGTCTGCCCGTTCGAAGGCGTCAGGCCTGTCCTCGGCGCACCGCGGTGCGCCTGCTCCGTCGCCGACGCCAGTCTCCTCGAGAGGCTATCTTCCTCGCCCCGGGCCAGTCTCGAGCTCGTTCCAGTCCCCGCTGCTGGCCACACTGCAAGATCCGTCCGCCGTCAAAGCACCTGCCGCTTTCACGCCGACACACCAGAGGCAGGCCTCGGCCCCGACGGCGACGGCATGGAAAGCCGAGGCAGACGAGAGCGAGACACCGCGTCTAAATGCGCCGAAGCAAGATGCACCCAAGAAGCAGCGCGAGCGTCCGGCCACGCTGCAGGCCGACGCGGCGACCTTGATGCGCCTGGAAGGTCTGACCGCTCCGCCTGCGTCGTCTGCACCGGCGGAGGACGCCATCCCTGCTGCAGTCACCGCTGCCGCAGCCCCGTCGCCTGCTGTGCCGTCGATCGATGCAGCTACCTTCGTGCCCGCCGGAGCTCTGACGCACACACGCCGAGGTGTGCGAGTCAAGGCAGGGCCGTCAGGTCAAGACGCCGCTGTGTCGCGGCGCGGCGAGGACGCGACGCCGCGAGGCTCAACTGAGAATGGGCGCAAGAACGGGCGCGGCGCCGCTTCCAGCGCGATGCACGAGAGCAGAGGCGCTCGGCAGGGCGATGGCCAGATCATCTCGTTCAACTCCAACGACTTTGACATTGGCGAGCAGCGCTCGTCGCTCGACGAGGCCGTCAGCATGCTGCCAGCACAAGCGTGGGCAGAGGTCAACACCGCACTCAAGCGCTTCAAGGAAGGCGCCTCGCTGGACAAGGGCGCGCTGCTCCGGAGTGTGCTCCTGCCCTTTCTTGCGCTCGAGGCTGAGACGCCCGTTGTCGAGGTGGAAGGAGGCGGCCCTTTCGCCAACGGCAAGGCGCGCCGCACGCTCTTCTTCGAGTGGATCCGGCTGCTGCTGCTCGACCTACAGCACGTGCAGACCTCGGCAGACCGCGGTGCCATCCTCGAGAGCATCGCGTGCATGATCGAGAGCCGCAACTTCTCTGCGCCGGTGCTGACGTCCGATCCAGAGGACGAGGCGCGCTTCTCGTCCGTCTTCGGCCATATCCTCTCGTACGCCATCGGCGAGCTGAACAAGAAGGGCGTCTACCAGAACACGCTGATCTTCTCCGGGCGTCTGCTTGGTATGTGTCGCCGCCGTTGCTGCACGGCGAGTGCTCTGTGCTCACGTCTGCCTCGTCACAGCTGTCGCATTCTTCCGCGTGGACGGTGTCGCAAGCAAGCTCCTCCGCGCCCTGCCTGTCAACCGCTTCGCGCTTGAGCGCGTGGCGACGGAGGCAGGCTGGGACGCGGCGCAGCCGGCGGACTGGGACGACTACTGCATGCGCTTCCCCGTGTCGCTGCAGCCCTTCTGCTACCGCGACGCGCGCAGCTATCTCAAGATCCTCGACTCGCAGACGCTCGCGGGCACTGGCGAGGATGAGAACGAGGAGGACCGCTTCCTCGTGCGCCAGCCCGAGGTCGAGGTCGAGATGACCGGCAACTGGCTGCGCCGCTGGCAGTCGGACGACTCTGAGCTCTTCTTCAGCTTCTGCCGCAGCTTCCACCGCCAGCTGGCTAGCCTCATGTCGGCCCGCGAGACGTTCGATGCTGCCGCCTCGCGCGCGTTCTTCGGCGCTCCTGGATACGCGCATCTCGCCACGTGCATCCACCAGAAGTGTCTGTCGCTCGTGCACCGCGACATCCTCTCTGTGACGACGCTGTCGTCACAGAAGAACTTGTGAGTTGTGCATGGACCTGCGGCGCCGCAGCAGCGCTGACACTTGCCATCAGCAACCCCGGTGAGACGGCCAACGTGCTGTCAGGCAGCACGGCCGGCAAGCCTCGACACCTCGAGGCCGCCAATCGCCGCTGCACCGCCATCGTGGTCGATATCGTGCGTGCGCCAAGCACGAGCAACCACATGTTCGGGCCGATGCTCGGCGCGCACGTCAAATGCCTGCTCAAGCGCACGTCCCTGTACGATGTGCAGGGCGTGTTCTGCGTCATGGACTGGCTCGACGGCGTGCTCAACCACATCGACACGGCCGAGCTGCACGCAGAGTCGCTGATCGACATCGACTTCATCATCGAGACGGTCGGCCTGCTCCTGCGCGAGGCTGACCACGCGCTGGCGCTCATGCGAACCGTCGCGGTGAGTATAGCGTCCACACCACATGTGCCAGTGGCTCAACCCTGCGCAGTTCTGCTACTCCAACTTCGGCGTTTTGACGAGCACCAAGCGCAACCGCACGCGCTTCTGCGAGGACATTTTGCTCAACCCTGCCGTCTTCGAGAAGCTCTTCCTGTCGTGGTCATTCACGATCAGGGCGTACTTCCTGCATCTTCTCGTCTGTGAGTATCTCTGAAAGCTTGGTCTCTTCTGCGAGCGCGGCTGACCACGCATACAGTTCGGCTTGCGCGCATCAATGACTTCCCGAACCCCGCCGACGATGCGAAGGGCAAGACGAATGTCAGCATCGCGCACCTCTTCAACCAACGGCTGGACGACATTCGCCGCAGGCACGACGAGCTTTCGCCGTCGTCAGGCGCGACTGACTCGGGCTCTGAGACGGAAGAGCAGAAGCAGGGAGACGGCTCGGGCAAGTCGCGACCCCGGCCGCTGTCGTTCGTCAGCACCATCCGGCACACGCCGTCTGTGCACCGACCCGAGACGACCAAGGCTGAGCGCGTGCTTGGCATCGGCCTGCCAGACCCGGTCCTGACGTCCAAGGCCGAGATCAAGACGCAGTCGCGCGCCGCCAAGTGGCTTCGCGCGCTTGGTGCCAAGAGCAGCACCGGGCGGACGAAGGGCAAGAACGAGCCGTTGAGCGCAGGCAGCGACGGCGCGTCGGGCTCGCCACAAGGCCTCATCGAGAGTCCGACGATCAAGAACGAGCCGCGCGCACGCATGCCGCGGCTGGACGAGCTCGACAGCGACTCTGACGACGACGATGACGACGCCGGCTCCAATGCGAGCAGCCCGTGGGAGAAGAGCACGATCTCGTCGTTCGGCGGTGGGGACACGCCGCGCGCGGAAGACGGCCCGTCGCCGGGCTCCGAGTTCAGCTTCGAGGGCCGCATCGGGCCGGACTCGACGGACGCTGTGCAGCCAACCAACGGCGATCACCTGGCTCCGGACGTGTCGTTCGATCTGCAGTCGCCGACCTCGCAGCTTCCGCCCGCCAGCCATGCCTTGATGCCCAACGGCCGCTCCTCGCCACGCCTCGGCACGGCGTCGCCACGCGTGTCACGCGCCTTCTCGAAGCGCTCGTCCTTCCTGCCGGGCCCTGCATTTGACCTGGTCAACCAGGACGAGGAGGCACCGCCAGTGCCCTCCGTGCCGACGCATCTGCGGCGCAGCTACGACAAGACGCTGCACGTGTACGCGGTGCAGAGCCTGCGCGAGTACGAGCAGACAGTGCAGGTGCGCATTCAGAGCTGTCTCGTCCCCAGCCGCCTCTTGCTGACCCTTTGCATTAGGAGCACGACGACTATTTCTCCAATGCGCAGCTCGATGGCAGCATCCCCACCGTGCCGCGCCTGCCGATCAACTGTGCGTGTCTGCGCCGTCTGACTCCGCTCGAACGCCAGCTCACACCTTGTCCTCCAGGGCCCGCCATGTGGGCGTCCGAATGATTGATTATCACCCTCTCTTGCTGCCTATTCGATTCTCACACGCTATACCCGCTCGGCCCTCGCGAGAGATGCGGACGATGTACGCGTCCGCATGCAATCGATCTGCGGCCGCGGCGCCATTCATTCACCATCGCGGCGACGTCTGACGAGCAGGAGACGCACGAGAGCTGCATGAAGTAGGCGCGGTGAATTGCGTGCGGATGTTGGATAGACGGGAACAATTGAGCGGTCGCAGGCCGGGAAGGACAGGTCAAATAGAGGGCGGGCGAGCAGGTGCAGTGTGGAGCTCAGCGCGCGGTAGAGAGGCAGTCACGGCGGATGGTGAGAGGAGAGATATGCGTAGGGACGAGAGGAGGAGGCTGCGGTGAGCTGCGGCTCATGGCGGCGGTGCCGAGGCGCGGACCGGTCGCGCATCGACGGCAGCCGGGATGTTCGTCTGCGACTCGCGCGCCTTGCGCTCGCCGCGCTTGCGCAGCGCCTCCTCCACCCAACCCTTCATGTCGACGCCGTCCTTGCCCTTCTCGGCGTCGGCGATGAGCCAGGGGTGCTTGAGCATCGATGCGTACGTCGAGCGCCGCTCCGGGACCTTCTCCAGACAGCCGTCGGTAAAGTCGCGCGCCACATCTGTGTACATCGCCGGCAGCTGCGGCGGGTCGCCGTGCACGATGGCCTGCAGCTGCGCAAAGACGTTCGAGTACGTCTCCGGCGGATACGGGTACGTGCCGAGCGTCACCTCGACGATCGTGAGGCCGAGCGACCAGACGTCGGAGGCGACGGTGTATGTGCTGACGAGATTCTGCGACTCGCCCTTGATGCGCTCGGGCTGGGCAACATGTCAGCGAAAGTGGGCAGGCGGCACACGCAGCTGCACTCACCGCCATGTAGCTCTGACAGCCGATGTTCGTCTTCGCCAGACTCTTCTCCAGCTGGCCCGACACGCCAAAGTCGCACAGCTTGCACTCGCCGCGCGTGTTCATCAGCACGTTTGTAGGCTTGACGTCTGCGCGCGAGAGGATGAGCCGAGGGCGCAGCGTGGCTGAGGAGTGTCACTTACCGCGATGCATGATCTGCAGCTCATCCTTGAGGAAGCTGAGGCCGCGCACCATGCTGCCCACAATGCGCGCCAGTACGTCCTCTGGGATCGAGCACGGCCCGTCGTAGAGCGCCTCGAGCGAGCCGGCGTCCATGTACTCGATGCAGTAGTACACGCAGCTCTCGACGAAGAAGGCGCCGTAGAACTCGACGATCTCGGGCGCGATGGCGCGATGTAGAATGTCGAGCTCGGTGATGATGCCGTGCAGCTTCGACTCGTCGAGCTCTAGGCGGATCTCCTGCAAGCGTGCGCTGTCAGCTGCAGGCATCGCTTCTCTCCGCGCTGCGAAGCACGCACCTTCATCGCCATGTCAATCTTCGTCGTCATGTGCCGCACCATGCGCACGGAGCCGTAGTTGCCCTTGCCCAGCTCGTCGAGCAGCTCGAGGTCCTCCATGTTGATGTTGAACGACGTGCCGTTGTGGAAGTCGACGCCGGAGCGGTGCAGCACGGCCTTGCCGGCAAAGTTGAGCCGCCCAGACGGGTCGCTGAGGGCGCCGTGTCAGCAGTGCAAGGCCCGCGAGGCCTCTGCCGCAGGCCGCACTCACACGACGTTCGAGAAATTCGAGAAGGCCGAGCTCATCAGGTTGCCTGCACTGGCGCCAGCCAGCCGTCCTGGCGGTGCGAGGCGCTTGGCCGGCGGCGCACCCGGCACGCCTGGCGGAGGCGGGCCATTGGCGTCCATGTTGATGCCCATGTCGCTGAGCTTCAGGCCGCCGCGTGCACGCCGCGCCGCCATGCCGCCAGCGCCGGGCGCGGGCACGGCGGGCGCCGAGGTGGTGCGCATCGGCCCACCACGCAGCGAGCTCAGGCCGGGTGCGCCGGGTGCATTCATGCTCGGTGCGCCGCTGCCTGGCGCGCCAATGCCTCCTGGTCCGCCGCCGCCGCGCGAGAGCAGCGAGGCAGAGTCGAGCCGTTGGTCCGGCGACATGTGCGTGAACTGCGGTGACGGCGAGCCGCGATTGGCGTTCTGCGAAGGGCTTGGTGTGAGCAAGGGCGAAGCTGGCGCAGCAGGAAGATCGTGCCAGCAGCTCATCGCAGCGGCAGATTGGCGAAAGGTAGTGCAGCAGATCCAAGGAACAGAAGACGAGCGGAGAAAGGTTCACGCTCTCCGACAGCCGGTCGCGCTAGACGCTCTCGGGTGTGCATCGCAGCCGCGCTGCCGCTTCCAAGCACTCCGCCGCTAGACCGCATGGCGAGCTTGCCATGGCCTTGCTGCCACACCCAGCACTTTGGTCTGCCGCAGCATCGAAGCACACACCCTCTCTGTCTCCTCTACACTCACCGCAGCGAGCTTTGCCTGCAGACTAGGCGGCAGCGGACCAGTAGCCATGGCGCGAGCGCGCGAGTTGACACTGGCAATGCTGCCAATGCCTGCGCCGGTGTGCCTTGGCTGCGGGCCGCCGCTACCACCCGGCGGTCCGCCACCTCCGCGCGGAGGAGGCCCGCCTGATGCGGCCGCGCGAGGTGCCGGCGGCCGCGACTGCGCACCGCCGGACAGGGACATGTCGCCCATGGACGAGGCAAGCGACGAGGGGCCGGGCGCTGCTGAGCCGCGGCCGTCGGCAGAGGAGGAAGATGATGTCGAGGACATTGCGGTGTGGAAGGGCAGGCGATGTGCGTGCGAGATGCGCGACGAGGAGGCTCAGTCGCGCGGCTGGAGCGCGGGAAGGTGCGCGAGGGTCCGGAAGCGGTCGCTCGCGCAGGCACTCGGAGTCGAGGCTGAGGAGCGATGGGCAGCGGTGGTGCTGAAGCTCTATGCGCGTGTGCGAGTACGACGATGCAAAAGCAGGGGAATTGAGTCGCGGCTGGACAGGCAACTCGAGGGATGTGGACGATGCGAAGGAGGCAAGCAGGGAGCAGCAAGGCTGCGCGTCACTCGACAGGCAGGCGCCGCATCAGCCACGCGGCACGGCGCGCTCCATCTCAACCCAGTCGCTCTCACGCAGCCCGCTCGCACAGATCACAGGTACACGGCCCACCGGCACCTCGCGCCCTCCCGCCGCGCGCCCGTTCTTTGCCCAGCGAGACAAGCAGGGACCCCAGCCACACACACGAGGGTGCCGAGAAGGACGCCGAGCGCCGCGAGGGCCCTGCCAGCGAGCATGCTGGCGCGGCATGTCTTGGGTGCGCGCCGCTGTGCTGACCACCTCGTGCGCGGCGGCTGCTGCACGCGCACGTCACCTCGCCGCGAGCGCCTGACGCGCGCGCTGCACCGGCGCCTTTTTGCATATCACGTCCTCTCGGCCTCCGACGGCCATCTCGGCCTCCTGCCCGCAACTCCGCCTGGTGCGTCTGCGCGCCCGGGCCACCTCGTCACGGCTCTGTCTCGCTCGGCTCTATGTAGCCGGCTCGGGAGCACGTGTCCAGCCATGGAACCCCAGGGGCGACGCCTTGAGAACGAGCGGCGCCAGGGTCTGTGAGAGCACGCCAGGGCCCGCACGACGCGGCGCTGGGAGCGGGAGACTGCAGCGGCGTCACGCTGTAGAGCTAGAAAGATGAGCTGAGCGCTCAAGGAGAGTTTCACACTTAGTGAAGGGCGCGCGAAGACGAGGACAAGCATGGTGGGATGGAGGCGGCAGGGAAGAGAACTGAGTGGCAAGAGCGTGACCTGAGAGGCAGAGATCGTGAGACGAGGGATACAGGTACAGGAGCGTGAGCGCAGAGGCAGTGCAGAGAGCGGAGCACAGAGCATGGAGCGTCGGCAGCCGGGGCGTGCTCAGCGGCCATGGCGGCCGGCCTCGAAGGAAAAGCCGCCGCCGTCGTCGTCGTCGCCGTCATCCTCCTCGGCGTCGTCAAGCACGCCCGACGTGGCGAGATCCGACTCGTCGGCGTCGGCGAAGCGGTCGTCGTCGGTGCCGCTGTAGATGCCGCCTTCGTCTGCATCGCCAGCGGACATGTGGTCCTCGTGCGCTGCCCGATCGGCGCGGAAAGCAGACGGCGGAGCAGCGTCGTCGAGCTCGTGGCCGAAGGAGCTGCCGCGTCGGTGCGCCAAGACGTGCTTCAAGTGGTCCGGGCCGAGGTCCGAGAAGAGCGCAGACGAGGAGTCGCCCTGCACCGGCTCGATGGGCAGCGGAGTGATCGTCGAGCCGCCTCTGGCGCCGGTGTACGGCGGCTTGAAGAGATTGTAGCCGCCTTCGACTGAGGGAGTGACGAAGCTGGTGACCGACGCCGTCGGGCCAGAGGACGACGAGTGCGCCTCCGATGCGGGCGCCGAGATGCCCAGCGATGAGCTGCCAATGGAGGCTGCTGCTCCCTCACCGCGGTGCATCACCCAGCCGCGGCCGTCATTGCGCAGGTACGAGCCTCGCGCGCGCCCGTCAGGGCCGAGCTCATCGTCGTCGTCCGACAGCTCGAGGTCGACATCCACGTCGTCCACGTCGACACGCCGCGCCGAAGTCGTAGACGCAACGCGCACGGGCGACGTGGGCCGGCTGGGCGAGCAAACGATGCGCTGCCGGTGCTCCTCGGCGGCGAGCGAGCGAGGCGGCAGCGGCGCGCTGTACGGCACGTCTGCGTCGCCGTAGGGACCCACACGCACTGCCGCACCGATGGCATCGACGGTCAGGCCGAAGCTGGGAAACGGCGGAGCATGAGCCGACTCTGCCATGCTGCTCTTCTGCGACGCCGTCGAGGGCGTGACCGAGTCCGGCGCGCGGAACGCCGATGGCGGCGGCGCACGCGGTTGTGCCGATGGCGGCCTGCTCCGCGACGAGCGCGACGAGCGCCGCGAGAGGCCGTCGCGCTGCCACTCGCTGCTGCTCTTGGTCGGCGTGGCGTGGCCGTGACTCGGGTGCCATACGCTGCGGAAGATATCGCCGATGCGCGAGCGGCTCGTCTGCCGCTGGCCGAGCTGCCGTGGCGGCGACTGCGACATCGGCTGGGCCGTCACTGTGTCGTTGGTGGGCGCGCGCAGCAGGTCGTACGAGAAGCGCGGACTCTCGGAGCCTGGGTTCGCACTCGCGCGGCGAGATGGCCACATCGGCCCGCTCGTGCCGCTGCCCGCGGACATGAGCGGCGACGAGCGTGCAGACTTGCTGGACGACCGGGTGGAAGCAGTTGGCTGGACGAGGAGGCTGCCGTCGGGCGCAGTCTGCAGCTTGAAGCCGTGGCCTTCGCTCGTCTGCGACTCGGACGAGGAGCGATGAAAGACGGGCATCATCTGGCGCGCCGCGTCGATGGTCTTGGACGAGCGGCTAGTCGAGCGACGCTGGATGACCGGCGGCCGCATCTGACGTGCGCTCGACCCGAGCGACGAGTGCTGGGCCCGGCTCGACGTGGCCGAGAGGTTGCGAAGGAGCGCCTCGGCATCAGGTGTGTTCGAGCCGTGGCTGCTGGCCTGCTTTGGCACGCCGGTACCATCTGGCGACGTGGGGCGCGATGCAGGCTGACTGCGCGTGCCGGCATACTTGCGCGCGCGGCGATTGCGAGTGCTCTCTCGCGAGTTGAGCGCCGTGAGCTCGGCGACGGCACTCGGCACGCGGTCGGCAGCGGTCGACTGGCGGCGGAAGAAAAAGCCCGGGCGATGCGAGTGGCCCGGACTCTTGCCGTGCGCAGAGGTTGGCTGCGACAGGCTTGAATGATGATGATCGCCCATGTCGCGTGCCGCAGGCGTGGAAGCGCCGTGCGAGACTGCGCCGTTCGGGCGTGCACCGCTGAGGTTCAGAGTCGGCGGGTGAGCGTGGGACGCAGACTTGCTCCGCTCGCGGCTCCGCGACCCGGCGAGCGTCTCCAGGAGCTTCGACTGCCAGCGCTTGATGCGCAGCTTGATCTTCGAGAAGCCCGTGAGAGCATCCTCGACCTCTTCGTGCGTCACCTCGACGAATGGATGCTGCGTGGGATCCGTCTGCGAGAGCCAGGCCGGAGCGTCTTCCAGATCGCGCGTGAGCCACGGGTGCTTCTTGACCTCCTCGAGCTTGATGCGCTTCTCCGGGTCCTTCTCGAGCAGGCGGTCGAGCAGCTCGCGCAGCAGACGCATATCCTCGGAGAGCGCTGCAGGGCCCACGTCCTGCTCACTCGCGTCCGGTTCGGCGTGCACATCGCCTTCCTCGTCTGTCCACTGCGGCAGCGTCCGCCAGCGCTTGGCGCGCGGTCCGATGCGCATGCGGTCGGCGCCCGCAAAGGCCGGCAGCTCGTAGTCCTCGTGGGGGATGACTGCAAAGAGCGCGAACTCGTTGTCTGCGGTGAACGGCGGATGGCCAAAGAGAAGGCAGTACAGCGTCACGCCGAGCGCCCACACGTCGATGGCCTTTGTGATCCTCGGCTTCTGCTTGCGCGCTGCCTGACTGAGCTCTTGCGACGGCGTGCCGCCACGGCTGTTCTGCCCCTCGGCCCACGGGAACTCGCGCGACTCCGCCGTGTTCATGCGCGGCGTCACACGCGTGCGCCCGTTGATGCGCACCTCTGACGAGGCCGTAGGCGCTGCTTCGCCTGCAAGACAGAGCTCTGGCGCAAAAAACGCCGGACTGCCGGCAGTCTTGGCCAGCTCGTGGTCGTCGACGAGGCTCGGGTCGCGCGAGCGCTCTTCGTCGCCGTCGAGACTCGGCAGACCGCCACTGGCCACCAGGAGCGCATAGCTGAAGTGCGAGACGCCAAAGTCGGAGATCTTGACGCGCCGGTTCTCGTCCCACAGCAGGTTCGCCGGCTTGATGTCGCGGTGGATGATGCCCTGATAGTGCAGGTACTCGAGCCCCAGCACGACATCTCGGAGCGTGCTGCGCGCCTCGGCAATCGTGAGGGTCGGGAAGCCGCGCTCGTCCTTCCACTGCACCTCGCCGCCAGACATGTACTCGAGCACTGCAGGGCTGTGTCAGCGGAGTGTCTCGTGCCCGGGCCGCCGCACTCACCCATGAAGATCTTCTTGCTCTGCGGATCGTCGATGACCTCCTTCAGCCGCACGACGTTCTCGTGCGCGCACTTCTTCATGAGCGCAATCTCGCGCTTGACCTTCTTGTCCGTCGTCCACAGCAGCTGCTTGCGCGCGCGCTCGCGCGCCTTCTCGCGCTCACGCTCCAGCTCCTTGTCTGCCGCCGTGGGCCGGCTCGGGCCGCTGTCCGCCCAGCGCCCGTGCCGCGCCGTCAGTGCAAGCACATGCGCACTGCTCATGCTGCCGCCCGGCGAGCGCGGCGGCACCGGTGCGAAGTGCGCGTGGTGCTGTCGGGACGCGCCGTCGCCGTGCGACGCGCTGTCCTCCGCGTCGTTCGTGGCAAGGCCGCTGGCGCCCTCGCTGGCGGCGGAGATGATCGACGAGGCAGTCAGGGGCCGGTCGCGGCTCTTGCCCTTGGCAAACGCGCTGTTGCGCGAGTTCCACGCCGCATTGCCGCCGCCGAGGCGCTTGCGGCCCTCGCGCTCGACGATCTTGACGGCCACGCGCTCCCCGGTGTCCGTGTCGCGGGCCAGCCGGACCTTGCCGTGCACACCACGGCCCAGCTCATCCTCACTGCAAAGCGCGTCAGTGCCAGAGCCACCTGCTGGACCTCAGCCTTGCACTCACATGATGTACTGATTGATCATGCGCCGCCCGCTGGTGTGCGTCTGCAGCTGCAGGTGGTGCGTCTCGAGCACCTGCGGCCGGCCGCTGTTCGAGCGCGAGGGCGTGCTGCTGCCCGACGGCGGCGGCGACGCCTCGCTGTCGTGCGGGCTGACGCTCGTCGGGTTCGTCGAGGGCCCGGCGGCGGAGGAGCCGCCGTGGCCGGTGCCCGTCGCGGCGCCGCTGCTCGGCGCAGCGCTGGCGGCGGTGCTGGAGCGGCTGCTGCGCCCCTGCAGCTGCGCACGCGCGGCTCCGTTGGCAGGAGCAGCGACCATGCCACATGCTGCCGCCTGCGTCGCCGCCAGTGCGCCGTAGTCGACCTCGGGCAGCGCGGTGTGCGAGCCGCTGGCGGGCGACGAGACGCCGCTGCGCGGCGCCGGGTGCGCCCACGTCGGCTGGGCCTCCTCCATGGCGGCACTGAGCGCCGGCGCGCTGTACAGCTGCGCGTGGCTGCCGGTGCCTGGCGAGAGGGCGAGGCTGCCCGGCGAGGCCGGCGTGGTGCTGCCGCTGCTGGCCGGTGTGGCCGCGCGGCTCACTCGCGTGGATGCCGGAGCGCTCCTGTTGGCCGGCGTGCTGCTGCCGGGACTGGCGCGCGGACTAAGGCGAGCTCGGTCGGCGGCGCCTACGGCGGCGAGCAGCTGCTGTGCCTGGCTGCCGGCGCCCTGCGGCGTCAGCGAGCCGCTGCTCGACTCGGCCGCCTGGCTGCTGGGCGCCGCGGACGCGGCAGGGTCCGGCGCCGACAGGATGGAGGAAGCGCAGTGCAGCGAGGAGCCAGAGGTGCTGCGCAGTGGATGCTGTGCGGGCGCGCGCGAGCGTGGTGCGGCGTGGGCGAGGCGGCGGCGCTGAGGTGGAGCGGCGCGTGCGGGGTGAGGGTCGTGAGGAAGCGGAGTAGACGCGGCGGGTCGCACGCTGCTCAGGGATGCAGCATGTACGGCCGGCGGCGACGCGCTGCGACGGCGTTGGAGAGGATGCGAGAAAGGAGCAGCGAGAGGAGACGAAGGAAGGAAGGAGCGCTGGCTGGCGCCCGGCGAGGCCTCTCGAAGCGGCCACAGGCGGAGCGCGGCAGCGGCAGCCGCGGGCAGCAGGCAGGCCGCGAGCGAGGAGCGATCGCGCCGCGCGCGCGCGGCGTCACGCCTCTCCGCTCTGTCCGCCAAACGAACTCGCGCGCCTGCGCCGCGCTGCTGCTGCGTGACGCTGCGCATGGCGGCACGGCATCAGCAGCAGCGCAGCAGGCGACCCGAGAATCATCCGCCTGCGCGCTGCGCTGCTGCTGCAGCCACCCCGCAGCCACCTCTGATGCTGCACCTGGCTGATCCGTCGCCCTCCTCCAGCCAGTGAGCATGCTGCGAGCGTCCACGATGCCTCGTCTATTCTCGTGCTTTGGCCGATCGTGGGCACTCGGCATGCAGGGCGATCAGCGCCGGGGCGCAGTGCGACCGATGCAGGTGCCGGCATCTCCTCCTGAGCGTGCTGGCGGGCGAAGGCCGGGCAGCCAGCATGCAGCGCGTGCTCGGCCGTACCACCAGCGAGGCGCTCGCCCGATGCGCCTTCTCTGCGCCTGGCTTCCACTCTGCGGCGGTCCCGTCGGCAACCGGTGCGGCCGTGCTGCTTTGGGCGGCGCTTGGCGGCGAGAGGGCGAGTTCGTCCGGCCCCGCGTCGCAGGCGCCTGCGCCGCGTGTGAGCACTTGGCGGGCGCGCGACAGGGGAGCGCATGACGTCGTGCCCAGCACCGCCGGCCCCCTCTCGCGACGACGACAGGGGCATACGAGATCGGCCAGACACTTTCAGGTTTGCGTGCGATATTCCTGGAGGACCTCGTCGGCGACCAATACGTGCCTTCCCAGCGCAGACATGCCTCTCGAAGGGCAGCAGGTTGGATTGGCAAGGCGTCCAAGGTCATGTGCGCCTCGCGGGGCATTCACCTCCAAGCGGCTCTTACGGTGCGCTGTCGCCTGTCTTCGACGATCGACAAGGTCGCGGCCTAGGCTGGCTTGACTCTTACTCTGTGAGGCGCCTGCTGCCCGCCATTTCAGAGCCGTTGCTTCTCGCCAGCTTGACGCCGCGGGCGCCGCGCCGAGGCGAGGTGCGGTGGTAGCCGCGGCGGGCGCCGCACCGATAGCCGGCTGCCGCGGCATACGACGTGGCGGTGGCTCGTGGGAGCAGCGCCGCGCGCACGGCCATAAAGAGCGCAGCTAGTCTTAGTCGTGCGACACCCGCCTCGCCTCTCACCACCACCACCTACCACACACACGACACCAGGCCAGCTCATCATGCACGCCACGCTCTCCGCTCCCGTCGATGCCTGCATGCCCGTCGAGTGTGCGTCGCGCACGCTGCCTTCGCCTGTGCCCCTGCTCACACCTCTCTGCACCTACAGGCACCAAGTGCGGAAAGACGACGTGGCGTGGCTGCGGCAAGCACATCGACTCGGTGAGGCCTGCCGAGTGGCGCATATGCTGCGCTTCAGTGCTCACACTCCGCACTTGCAGGTCATGAACGCCGTGCCCGAGGAGAACCGCTGCACGTGCCCGCGCTAGACGGCCGCTGCGCCAAGTCGAGGGGAGCCACACGTCACGCGGAATCAGACAGGCCGAGAGGCGCTACACAGAGAGATGGACAGACGTGGCAGTACGGACGGCGGCGGCGTGATGATGGACAGCGGGTGGGAGACGTCGTATAGAGGATCCGTGGGAGACGAGAGTCGGCGGGGTATGGAAGTGGAGATCCGCGCGGGTGAACGGGGTCGAGACAAGAGAGACAACGGACCAGAGCTAGCAGCGAGAGCTCAGAGATGTGAGGGCCTGCCTATGCGGTGAGCGCGACGGGCGCGGCGGCATCCTTGGCCGGGACGGCCGGCGCCTCCTCGACGGCGGCAGTGGCAGTGGGCGTGCTCGACTCGACGGTCGGCGCACCGAAGAGGCCGGCCCAGAGCCACGAGGCCCACGTCTCGTTGACGGGCAGCGCGACGATGTCGTCGCCGGCCTGCACCGAGTTCTCGACCTGCGCATACCGTGGCGTCAGTCAAGGGCCTATCGATGCGTTCTCGCTGCACTCACGCGGCTGGCCTCCTCCTCGCCGAGGTGCGTAGCGACACGCTCGGCCTCGGCATCCTCGACGGCGCGCAGGCGCTCCTTCTCCGCCGCCTTGTGGGCACGCAGACGCTCCTTCTCCGCCGCCTTCTCTGCGGCGGCACGCTCCTTGGCCGCCAGCTTCTCGGCGGCCTGGTGCGCCTTGTGCGCCTTGGCCTCGATCTCGGTGCGTGCCTTCCACGCCTTGCGCTCCGCCTCCATGCGCGCCTTGGCTGCCTTGGCGTCGGCGGCTGTGCAGACATCGTCAGCGACGGTCACTCGTCTGCCCGAGCTCGACGTACCGGCACGGACGCTCTCCGTCTTGGCGTTGGCCTTGCGACGGGCGACGCTCGCTTGGGCGATGGCCTTGCGGCGCTCGCACTCGGCGCGCGCCTTGGCCTCGTCGAGGCGCTTGGCTGCGACGAGCTCGAAGGCGGCAAGGGCGGCCTCGTGCTGCAGGAGCATGCGTCAGGTACACGCGGCAGCACGCCACGTCTGAGAGTCTCACCTGCTTGATGGCGGCCTGCACCGCCTTCTCCTCCTCTGCAGCGGCCTCCTCTGTTGAGGACGTACGGCGCATCAGCAGCGGTGGGCACCTGGTCCAGGACGCTGCTCACCCTTCTTCTTTGCTGCCTTGGCATCGTTCTCGCTCACCGCCGCAGCGGCCGCGGCGGCAGCGACAGCCTTCTGCTCCTCTTCGGCGCGCAGCGCGACGTCGTCCTTGGCGTGCTCGGCCTCCTCGGCCGCGCCGTAGGCAGCTGCCTCATCCTTTGCAGCCTGAACATTCGCCCTGCGAAAGCTTGAGCCACTGCTCGAGCCAGAGAGCTGCCGACAGACTCACTCGGCGTTGGTCTGCGCCGCATGGGCGAGAGCTTTGGCCTGCGCTGCGACGGCAGCCTTCTCGGCCTGAGCAGTCCTGTCAGCGATGCCCGCAAGCTGACCCCGGCACGGCAGGCGCACCTCGGCAGCGACCTGAGCGGCGAGCGTCTCCTTGCGCAGCGCCTCGGCGTCGGCGTCGTTGGCATTGGCCGCGAGCTCCTCGTGGATCGAAGGCTCGGCCGCGTCCGACGCCGGAGCGCTGGCGGCGTCGCGCTTGCTGCTGCTGCGCGTGGAGAGGGCGCGCTTGAGGGAGAGGGGCATGGTGACGGAAGTGCTGGGTGAGTGTGTGGGGAAGTGCGGGGTACTAGGGTGCGGTGGTGTGTCGTGAGAGATCGTCAAGGGCGTGAGGTGTCGTGAGAAGGAGACGGGGGAAGGAGACTGGAGACTGGAGGCGACTGGAGAGGGATGTGGAGCTGAGGCAAGAGCAGAGGGCGCTGCGAGGCCTAAGAGGTGCCGGCTGGGCCTCCCTCCGAGGGCACGCTGCGCGGCAGCCGCGGCAGCGCGGCTTAGGGGCAGCGCGGGGCGCGCCGCGCGCTCAGGGGCTGCCGCCTGCGAGCTCCGCGCCACGCCGCGCGTTGCGTGCGCGCCTCATGCTTGCCTTGGCTGCAGGCAGCCGGCACCGCAAGCACGCTAACCGGGCGCATCTGACAGCCAGCAGCCTCTCGCAGCGTGCGGCAGCATCAACGCTCGGTGCTCAGGCCGCTGCTGCTGATCAGCCGCTGGGCGCATCGGGCCTCATCTCGCGCCGTTCGAGGAAAGAACAAGGAAGCGCCCGTCGATGTCTCGCCTTGCTTCGCTGCACGGCGGACGCGCCGCGCCGCTGCGCCGGTGCCGCGCGGCCGCCGCGCCATGCACGCAGCCCCTAAACGGCCTGCACGCCGATCAGCGCCTCGCTCGCACACCGCTGCCGGCTGCGCTGCGCAGTCCTGCTCCCTCGAGGGCTCGGAAGAACGCGTGATCGACGCCCGGCGATGCTAGTCCATCCCTCGCGCATCGCCCGCCTGCCCTGCATCAAACAGAGTCAATCGTTCGCGGACGAGTGTGTGCGGGGAGCAAGGGTATGAGTTGCAGAGGACGGCGGTACATAAGGGGAGTGGGCGGTGCGCAAGCAAGTAGCAAAGCATCGCCCGAGGCGCTATAGAACGTCAGCGCGAGGCGGTAGCGGCCGCAGGAGTCGAGGGCATCGAGGCGGCTGAGGCAGCAGCGGCAGTGCGTGCGGCAATGGCGCGAAGACGCTGTTGGTCGGCCTGATTCGCCTCGCGGAGCATGTTGCTGAATGCATCGAGCTCGGGCGAGGTGACGCGCATGTCGCGGCTCTTGGTGCTGCGCGCGCCCATCGACGTGGTGCGCATGCGCGCGCTGAGAGGCGCCGTGTCGTAGCTGCCGGAGGACGAAGAGGGCGATCGGAGTGCCGGCGCCATCGACTGGGCCAAGGCAAACGGCTCGCGGCCGGGCGTGCCGCGCGGACTGTACTCGAAGCCGGCCATGAGCGGCGCGTCGCGGGGCATGCGCGGAAAGGGCGAGTCTGGCTCCGTGAAGGTGAACGTGGCCGGCGTGCCCAGCACGCTGGGAGACGGCGTCTGCGAGAGCTGATCTGCCTGGACGGCGAGCAGCCGCGTGGCGTCCTCGACGGCCGAGATGGAGCCGGCGCCAGTGTGCTGGCTGACCGGAGAGTCGGACAGAATCACGTCGCTAGAGGAGATGCCGCGCATCCGCGGCATGCTGCTCTTGCCGCCAAGCTTGCTCGGCATGCCCTTGCGCAGCTGCGCGAAGAGCTTGGGCGATCGCACGTGCTCCGGCGAGCCGTTGTTGACGATGCCGTTGCCAAGCTCGGCGAAAGACGGACGGCTGGCCGAGGTGGACAGCTTGCGGTCGGACGAGAAGCTGCGCTCGTTGAAGGAGGACTCGTAATGCGGCGCGTCGTAGCGCGACGTGGACGACGTCGTTCCCGGCGTCGTGGGCGCGTGCGGCGAGATCTCGATTGGCGAGCTCGGCGAATGCAGCTGCAGAGGCGGAGGTGGAGCCGCTGAGCCGCCCGAGAGCCTGCGACGGTCACCGAAGGAGGTCGGCGAGGCGGCTCCCGCGGCACGTGTGGCCCTGTCCGGCGGAGCGTACAGTGCCTGGAACCCCGAGCTGCCGCTTTTCAGATCGGCACTGGAGCGGACCAGCCTGACGTGAGGCGGCGCTTGCTCGAAGTGCGCGCCGTTCGTCAAACGCGCAGCGAGCGAGTTGGACGACTGCAGCTCTGTGATGGCATCAAGGCCTTCACCATGAGGGCGTGCGGCGCCAGGCATGCCTCGAGCAATGATCGGGGCGTCGAGAGTAGATGACTGGTCTTCCGTCTCGCCAAAGTCATCAGCGTGGCCGACGTGGCTCGGCAGGTCGTCGGCCTCGTGATAGCCGACACTGCTCTCGTGCAGCAGACTCGGACTGAGCGTCTTGTAGAAAGTCGCCGATGGCTTTGCGCCTGGGTCAGGCGGCGTGGCGGGTGGGCGCATGCTAGCGCTGACGCCGCGTCGCTGGGCGAAGTTCGGCCGGCCCATGCCAATGCTCGTTCGCGGAGCCCTCGTGGGCTCGACAGGGTCAACGAGTGTGTTTGGCGACGACGGCGAGGGCGAGGGCGATGGCCGGCCAGTAGCAAAGCTCAGGCCGACCGCCTGCGTGAGCAGCTGTCTGCGCCAAGCGGCATCGGGATCACTGCCGGCTTCAGACAGCTGCCCAGGCGACGGCGGCTCGGCGGCGGAAGGCGTGCGCTCGCGGCTGGGCAAGCGCGCCGGTGAGTCCCACGGAGGCGGGGAGGGCCGATTGTTCGAGCGGTTGGAGGCCAGCGAAGCGACGCGAGAGCGCCAGTTGTAGCTCTCCGATCGCTGACGTCTGCCTGACATGCTCGACGGCGACGCCTCGATGCCAAGGCCAACGGGGGAGCGGGACGAGACCTGCTCTTTTTCGTTGGCCAGGTGCTCCATCGGCTCCGTGTCCTCGACTGGCACCGTTCCCTCTGCCGACGGGCTAGCCGCGAGAGGCGCGCCCTGACTTGCAGAGCGACCGGCCTTGCTGCGCGTGAAGAAGCCTGCCAACCTGCGGCCGCCACTTCGTCCATAGGACGATGGAGTCGCCGGCGTCGCCGGCGAGCCGCCTGAGAGGAGCGGCGAGCCGGAAGTCTGCGCTGTCGGCGTGCCCTGCCGCTCCATCTCTCTGGAGCTGACGGTCTCGAAAGGGTGCCGAGGCAGCTCCTTCGAAGCGTTCGCGGGAGACGGCAGCGCGGGCGCAGCAACAGTCGGGCGACTGTAGTTGCTGGATAGGCTGCGTGAGCTCATCGCCTTGTTGATGCGCACGCCGTTGGCCTCGGAGATCCCTGGCGCATCGCGCGGCGTGCATGTGCCGCTGCTTGGCGCGCGCGCATACACGGGAGGGATGAAGAACTGCTGCGCCTGGACGGCACGCAATCTCTGTGACGCTTCGTCCACGGCCTCGCTGTGACTGTCAGTCTCGCCGTTGGCTCGATATGTATGCACGGGCGACTTGGAAGGGACCGGCGGAGCTGCTGGAGACGCCCGCGACGCCGCGTCATCGGGCAATGGGATCTCCTGAGTGCGAGCGCCTGGCACACCGCCGGGCGACGACTCGAAGGAGGAGAGCGAAGCCATGCGGGACGCACGACGCATTGCCTGCGCCTGTGCGATGAGCTCGCGCTCGCGCTGCAGCTGTGCCATCCCGGACGGGGCGCCATGCCCGTGCAGCGAGCGCTTGCGCCGGCCAGAGGCTGCGGAGCCGTCTGCGTCGGCTTGCTGCCGCGGGTTGGCCCCGTTGGCATACATGGGCTCATCGGCAGAGGACTCTCCGCCGCTCTCGGCCCGCGCCTCGTCTGTCGAGCCAGCCGCGGCCAATGGCGGCACTGCTGGAGCTTCGAGCTCGGCGGCGTGCTCCGCGATGCGGCGAGAGGCGCGCGAGGCGCGAAGAGAGTCCAGGCTGCGCCTCCGCTCTGCACTGGCAGTGAACTGCGTCTTTCCCTCGTCGAGCGCACCCGACTTCGCGCTGTCGCTCTCAAGCTTCGGCACCCGCTTGCGCGCCGCGCGTCGTCGGGCCGGCGAGGCGTCGTCTGCATCGGAGACGTTTGGGCTGGAGGGAGCGATCTCATCGTCCTGCGCATCGAAGAAGTCGTCCGCCTCGGCCTCGGTGCCCGACTCGCGCACGTCGCGGACGCTGCTGAGCGGGCGAGGCCCCCTATAGGCGCGCGCACCCGAAGCTCCGCGCGGCAGTGTCAGTTGCTGCGAGCTCTCTTCTTGCTGAGACTGGCTGCGCGCGGAGAGTGCCACACTGGCTGGGCCGGCAAGATGCGCGTATGCACCTGGCGCTGCGTCGAGCGAGGCCGCGCGCGTCATCGAGAAGGGTGCCATCAGCGCCGGAGCAGGATGAGAGAAGGACGAGGAGGGCGAGACAAACGCGGCACTGCTGGACGGCGAGATGAAGGTGGCGCTGCTCTCGCCCTCGGCATCGCTGGCGTGGTCGTTGCGCAGCGTGGCCATGCGCGCAAGCACGGCAGCCTCTTGCATGCCGCGCGTCGAGGCGCTGTCGCGAGAGCCTCTCCGGAACGGCGCCATGACGCCGTCCAGGCTGCGCCGCAGTGCGCCGCCGCTGCGCGGCGACTCGGCAGCGACCGGCGACACGGGCGCAGCGCGCGCTTCGGCAAGATGCACCTCAGCAGGCTTGAGCGGCGAGCTCTTCGAGGTGCCGAAGCGCAGGCTGTTGAAGCGCGAGCGCGCAGGAGAGGGCGTCTGGCCCTGCGCAGGCGGCGAGCTCGCCGCTGCGAGACCCGCTGGCCCTGGCTGCGGCGGCGAGGTGGCGGCGAAGTGGACGTTCGGCATCGGCGGGACGTCCCCCGGAGCTAATGCGGGCATCGGGCTGAAGCGACTGTCCATCGAAGATCGGCGCGGCGTGGCGAATGCAGCAGGGATCGGGTGCTGCTGCACGCGCTGCCCGACTTTGATGCTTGAGACGGGCGAGGCCGCAGCCGACGGCACATCATCACCGACACTGTGCAGGAGAGTCGGGACACTCGTCGTCCGTGGCGGCGGCACGGGCGGCTCGGCGGCGCGCCGCTTGCCCTTGTCGCCAGCGCTCTTCTTCTTCTTGCGCCGCCGGCCTGCTGTGCCCGTTGCTCCTGCGCCGCCCACCGGCGCGCCCTCGCGGCCACTAGCGAGCTCGGGCGTGTGCGCAGTAGAGGCCTCGCCGTTTGGCATGGGCATCACTGGCGAACGCACGCTGCTGTTCGTGCCCGCTCGGGCCCGCCGGCTGCCTGCCGCATCGCCGTGCAGCGAGGCCGCGCGCCCGATGCTGGTGCCGTTGCTGGCGCCGGGCCCGTAGCGCTCCAGCCAGGCCTGGTGGTCCGGATGCGACGGGTTTGCGGCGCGCACCGCCGCGTCGAAGGCGTCTGGCGGCGTCGGCGACGGCACGAGGCCGGCCTTAGAGCCGCGGCGCCCGCTCGTGGCGCTGCTGCCGGCAGCCTCTGCCTGCGGCGCGGCCGAGCGGCCGGCCGCCGCAGCCATGGCGAGAAGGTGTGTGGGCGCAGACGGGCGTGCTTCACATGCGCAGCCTGCGGATGCGGCACGATCAGCCAAGGCAGGGCCGAGGCGCACAGCTCAGGACGGACGGACCAGGTGCAGGTCGCGTTCGCAGACGCAGGGTGCGCTCGCGAAAGAAGCGCGCACGTCGATGTGGTGCGGTGCTCGCGCAGGCCGAACTGTTTGTGGATGGAGGTGGGAGTGAGAAGGAGCGGATGGCCAGGGCGGGACGGGAGCCCGAGGGCGGAAGACGTGGATGAGAGCGAGGCGGCAGCGGGCTTAGCGCCGGCCAGTCGGGATGGGGCGAGCTGCAGCACCCAGGCGTCTCGAGAGAAAGGAAGCGCGAAGGCACAGACGCCGTGTGCGCGCCACGGCCGGCGGGCACGGGAGCGCAGCGCGGCGCGCGCGCATCGCTGCACCTCGCCGCGCGTGCACTTTAGCGCGCATAGGCTGTCACGGGCCATGGGGCACCCCCCCCGTATTGTGCAGAGGCTCACGGCCTGCCCGCCCATCGCCGGACCTGGCAGCGAGTGCCTGAGTCGGAGAGAGCGCGAGCGCGAAAGTGCACCGGAGCCCATCACGGGTCCGCCTCCTCGGCGCTGGCTGCTGCGGCCGCAGCAGCACCCAGTCGCGACTCGCGAGTGCTCCCCGCCCTGCGCGACGCGACGAGAGCGCCCCGACTGCGTAAGCGCGCGGCACCACATGCACACGTCAGCGGCACCTTGCCTGCCTGACCGCGTGCTGCGGGATCTCACTGGCGCCGCAGATGCAGGGCCTGGTGCTCGAGCAGGCGGCGCAAGGGTGGCCCGCAAAGCGCGGCGGCGGCCCAACTCTCCCGCAGCAGCTCGTGAGGCGCCGCTTCCTCGGCGCAGCGGCTGCGTCCGGCAGCGTGCCGCTCCTTGCGCTCCTGCGCTGTTTAGTCGCACCGCCTGAAACCACAAGCACAGCACCCTGGCGAGCGCCAGCGCCAGTCCATTCAGACTCTCAGCGCACGATCGACTGTGTTGCAGTTGCAGGCTGGTCCACTGCGCTGGCGAGCGCGAACGTATCGTCTGGCGACGATACCTGCGCTGGTGGCCTGCGGCTGGCCGCACCGACGGTCTGGCAGAGCGGCACACGGCGGATGCAGCCTGCAGAAGAACCGAGAGTGCGCCTCCGCGCTCTCGTGTGATGCATGAGCGGCCGGGAGCTCGTCGACTCGGCCGTGCTCGGGCGGCTCCCAGCGCCGTCGCTCGCTCTCGCTGGGGGGCCAGCATGACAATCCGCAAACGCATGGTTTGGCGGCGCTGCGAAGACCGCCGCCGCACTCGACACTCCTCTGCTTGGCTCGTCGGTCCGGCGGCGACCGCTGAGTTGTCTGCGTGCATCTCACGTGGCTTGCGCCGTCGGTCCTCCCGCCCGTGCGTCTCGTGGCCTCGTGGGCGTACCATGCATCTGCGCACTTCGCGCTCCGCTCCCATGCAGGGTGCTGCAGCGTGGCCACGCAGCGCAGCACGGCGCGACGAGTGAGGCGCAAATCGCAATTCAGAATCGAATCGAGCAGCTCGCAGCACGCAAGCTCGAGCGGATGGAGACGAGCTGCGTGCTGCCGCACCGGCGTCGGGAGCAGCGCCCAAGATTTGAGGCTGACCCGCTCTTGCCCTGCTGCACACCAAACAAGCTACGCTCGTGGCTGGCAGCAAGACGCACACGCGCGGGAACGGCTCGGCGCAGCAAGCCGTGGCTCCCGGCGCTCTCACGGCTGCGTGGGCCGAGGACGGAGCGAGATCTGCCTGCACGCCTCGCGCCATGCCGTCGGGCCGCTCGCCAAGAGGGAAGAGAACGCCTAGCAGCTCAAGCGCAAGCGACATCTGGCCGTCTATTCGCCTGCTCTCCGCGCGCTACCGCCCCCGCGACTCCTCCTTGCGGCCGACGAGCATGCTGCCGAAGCGGCGCAGGTCGCCAAAGGCACGCGCCGCTCCGCCGCCCTCGCCGGCGCCACCGCCGCGGTCGGGACTGGCGAAGCCGTGCCGCGCCGGCGGGTTGGGCGGCGTGCTCGTGCCGTCGCCCAGCCCGAACGACAGGAACGGTGTCGGCGTCGTGGCTTGCGCGAACGGCGCGTTGGCCGGCGGGTCCATGTCTGCGTACCGGATCGTCAGCACGGCCAAGGGCGTCAGGCTCGCGCGAGGACGCACCAAGCGACGTGAGGAAGGACGTGTCCGTGAGGTCAGCAGACTGCGATGTGACGGCGACGAACGCGTCCATGAGGGCATTCTGCTCGACACGCCGGACTCCCTGCAGCGGTGAAGCTTGAGCGTCAGCGCCGGCGTAGGCTGTCTCTGTGTGGGCCACGGTACTTACTCTCAGGTCGAGGATCTTTTGAAAGTTTGACTGGACGCAAGAGATGAGCGGCTGAGCGCAAATTCAGCAACGATGGCGACTCACCGATGACCGATCGCCGATCTGCTGGATGTACGCGTCGATGAGAGCCTCTGGGCCGTCGTCGCCGAGGGCGAGGATCTCCAGCAGCGTCTCGAGTCGCTGCGTGCCTTTGCTGACGTAGCGTTGGTATCTGGCGCAGGCCGTGCAGGATCAGCATCGAGCACCGCAGACATGCACCAGCTCTGCTCACGATGCAGCAGCGGCGGTGCTGCCTTCCTCTGCAAGCGAGTAACGCGGCAGCTCCAGCAGAGTGCGCTTGATCTCTCGGATGTCGAGAAGCAGCTGATGGGCGAGGCGTCAGCTTTGTCGAGGGCCAGAGGGCTCTCGAGGCTCACCTGCTGTGCCACATTGCGCTGCAGCGGCTTGAGCTTGACGAGCGTGTGCGTGAAGCGTGCAAGCACGATGCTGCGCGAAGAGCGTGAGCTCAGCTCGCACCGGAGCGGACAGACCCCAGCGACTCACCCGACCACCTTGTCACTCCAGCTGCGCACGTAGCGCTTGTTCTCGAGCTCCTGCCGCACTACGACGGCGACGTGTTCGAGAGCGCCGGCCACGTCGTCGACGTACTGGCTCTTCCCTGACGCCTCGTCGAGCTGGCTCCACGGGATCGGCGGCCGCAGCATCGAGGAGAACGGCGGCTCGATGGCGATCTCAACTTCCCGCGCCAGGTTGGCAATCGCGGCAGAGATGACGCTGGGAACTATGGTCAGCCGAGCAGGACCTCACCGGGTCACAGAGAAGGCTCACCCAACGAATGCCTCCTGCTCGCCCTCCAGATCAACCCCCTCGCGGTACTCTGCGTCAATCTTCTCGCGCAGCTTCTCCTCGAGCTGTGCAGCGGTGACCTTGCAGTAGTCGGCAGTGTTCAGCACACGACAGACGCGCTGTAGCTCCTGCGTGCTGCCGCGGGCGTCGACCGAGCGACGTCCCGTGTCGGTCCGCAGCAGGCCTGGCCGCAGGACCTCGTCGGCATAGGCGCGCAGATAGCGCGCAAAGACGGAACAGAGGTCGCGGAACGGCTGGCGCGTCGAGAGGCGCGCGCACTGCTCCAGCGTGAGGCGGTAGAAGTAGAAGAGCTCGGTGGAGGACGGCAGCACGCTGCTCTCCTCGCCCTTGCCCTCGCCTGAGCCGTCGGCGCCTTCGAGCGAGGCCCGCGGCCCGCTGCGGCGGTACGTCGCGAACATATCGGCGAGCACCTTGTCCTGCGCCTCGACGAAGAGACCGAGGTGCGGATCGAAGGCGGAGGAGAGCGTCGGTCCCGTTGCGCCAGCGAGAGGCGCATCTCCGGACGGCGATGGCGGCGCCGTGAGCTCAGCGAACTGTGACTGAAGTCAGCGCAAGGCCAGAAAAGGACGCAGCAGCCCGACTCACAGGCTTGCTGAACCTGCGGCTCATCGCCGTCTCGAACTCAAGCGTGGCATTCAATGCCTCGAGCAGCGTCTCCACCTTCAGCCTGCTGCCTTCGCGAATGAGCGCACTGCGCACGTCCTCGCGCGTCATCTCGGCAAAGCGGCGCATCAGGACCGTCGCGGCGCGCCAGGAGGGCGGGAAGACAGCTTCGCGCTCCTCGTCGTGCGTCTTGAGGATGCGGCGGAAGTACGCATAGCGCCGCGACACATTGTCTAGCTGGCCAGCTTCGTCTGTCGGCCGGAAGATGCGCCGGTACTCCGCCAGTGCCGTGTTGGTGTACCAGTTGAGGAAAGAGCTGACGACGCCTGGTCCGAGCGCGTCAAGAGCCTGTGCTGCAGAGAGCAGCACAGTGGACTGGTTGGGCGTTTGGGAGGACGATGCGAAGCTGCAAGACACGTCTGCTATCAGCTCGTCTGCATCCATCACGCGGGCCACTGCAGACTCACTTGTTCTCCCATTCGCCGCGGGCCTTCTTCTCGAGCTCTGCACGCAGGCTCTCGACCTCGATCGTGACCCGTCGTAACCGCTCGACGCCCTCATACGACGTCGCAAACGGAGCACGCAGCGACTCGACGGCAGCCAGCGACTCTGCTGCCGCAGCGTAGCGCCCAGCACTCGTGAGCCGCGACAGAGAGGAGACGGCGTTGACTGGAGTGCACCGTCAGCAAGATGCGGCGCATCATGGCCCCTGGCTGTGCCGACCAGGGGGCACCTGACTGCGCCGACTCACCGAGCATCCACAGCCGCTTCAGCGCCGTCATGCTGCCCACGACGTTGCGCTTTGCACGGTCCAGCGCATTGATCTCACGCGTGATCTCGCGCATGGCCGCCTCGCTCTGGCTGGCCTTCTCGCGGATCTGCTCGAGCTGCTGCATGAGCTGCGGCACCGTCTCGGCGTCGCCCTGCCGCCCGTCCTGCAGCGCGGCGGCGCGGGCTCGCAGCGCCCCGATGAGCTCAGCGACCTGAGCGTCTGAGCGCGCAGCCTCATCGTCGAGCGCAGCGGACGCGCCGGCAAGCGTCTCGGGCGTCAGCGCCGCGGCGCTGGGCAGCAGCGTGTTGAGGTAGGCGGTGAGGGAGAAGGACGAGGCGGCCGGCGTCTCGAGCACGCTGGCGATGGAGCGTGCCAGGTGGCTGGGCAGCGCCGAGGGCAGCGGCGCGGCCGCCGGTGTGCTGCCCATGGTGCGTGGAAGGTACCTCGCTGCGCCAAAGTGGGATGCTGCAGCGGAGGCGAATGGAGGTGGGATGGCAAGGGGCGTGACGGTGAGCAGGAGCAGCCCCACGCACAGCTGGCCGGCGCTCCGCGGAGGACCGTGCGGGCGCGAAGCTCTGCATGCGCCGGGCCAGACCAGACGCCGTCCCCCGCCGCCGCGACTTCTGCCAGCGCACCACCACATCCACATAGCGTCTCACCCCTCTCGCTCCTTCTGCAGGCTTTCCAGCTCGCCGTCTCTCCTCTCTCGCTGGCCTCGCCTGCTGCATTACGCTCCTCCGCCGGCGCAGCATGCCGTTCGACCTCGACGCGTGCATCGCGCAGCTGCTGCAGAAGCAGCTGCTCGGCGAGGCCCTGCTGCGCGAGATCTGCGAGAAGACAAAGGAGCTGCTGATGCGCGAGAGCAACGTCGTGCATGTGGCTGCACCCGTGACGGTGGTGGGCGACATCCATGGGTGAGTGTGGCGGCGTGGCCGGGGTGACAGCGGCATGCGCAAGGGCAGTCGGCGAGCAGCAAAGGCGGCCCGTGCCGCCGACCCGTCGTCGCGCATGGCGACTGGCTGTAGATGGACTACCACCGAGCAGCAGATGAAGCTCTGAGCTCCACTTGGCAGCCGGACTGGTCTTGCAGAGGCACCCCCAGGCATCAGAGAGTGGGGGTCACGCGACCACTCAGTGGCGAGGGCTGGCCTCTGTGAACAGCCGGCGTGCGGCTATCTGCTTCTCTTGCAGACCTGTTCCTGGTCGCTGAGCAGGGTCGGAGCAGTATCCGCGCTTGCACTGCCTATGCTCCCCGCAATCTGGAGCAACCCGGCTGGGGCTGACGCCGTCTTCACTAGGCAATTCTACGATCTGATCGAGATCTTCCGGATCGGCGGCTACTGCCCGCATACGAATTACCTCTTCCTCGGTGCGTCGGGCGCTGGCTGCGCTGCGTCTCAGACGCTCATGCGCTCTCTACAGGCGACTACGTTGATCGCGGTCTGTTCAGCGTTGAGACCATCTCGCTCTTGACGTGCCTCAAGCTGCGGTATCCCGACCGCGTGCAGCTCATCCGTGGCAACCACGAGAGCCGGGCCGTCACACAGGTCAGTCTCGCTACAGCGTTCAGCGGCAGTGCGCGTGGCAGAGACTCATCCGGGCGGCCGGCAGACGTACGGCTTCTACACCGAGTGCACGCGCAAGTACGGCTCGGCCAATGTGTGGCACTACTTCACCGACATGTTCGACTTCCTCACGCTCTCCGTCGTCATCGACGACCGGATATTCTGCGTGCACGGCGGAAAGTGTTGGGGATGCGGCGCTGGTGTCTCGCCGCTGCTGACCATTGCGGTGTTACTCAGGCCTCTCGCCGTCCGTCCACTACATCGACCAGGTCAAGATCATCGACCGCTTCCGAGGTGCGTCTGGCCTAGGAGAACTGCGCTTAGCGGATGGCTGAACGACTCTCCCGCAGAGATCCCGCACGAGGGACCCATGGCCGATCTTGTCTGGTCAGATCCGGATCCTGACAAGGAGGAGTTCGCAATATCGCCACGGTGCGTGCCTCTCACGCTCCGTCTCGCACTCGCAGCTCACAGTCTCTGCAGAGGTGCCGGGTACACCTTCGGCGCGTCGGTCGTGCGGCACTTCCTGGAGCGCAACAACATGTCGCACATCCTGCGCGCGCACCAGCTCTGCATGGAGGGCTTCTCCGTGCTGTACGACGACCAGCTCTCGACGGTGTGGAGCGCGCCCAACTACTGCTACCGCTGCGGCAACATGGCGAGCATCCTCGAGGTCGGGCCGAACGGCACGAAGCACTTCAACACGTTTGAGGCGGCGCCGGAGAACGAGCGCGACGGCCCGGCGCAGGCCGCACAACCAAAAGTGAGTGCCGCTGGCATTCCTCGGCGGCCCGCACTGACGCTGATGCTCCCGCCACTCCAGCCACAAGTAGAGGTGCGACTCGTGCTGCACCGGCCCGCGGTCCCGCCTCACTGACGCTCTCCCCCTACAGTACTTCTTGTGACGACCCAAGACGGAGACATCGGGCAGACGTATGCTGCGCACAGCCCGCACATTCATACCCCGCGTTCAGCGCCAGACGAATGCGCACATTTACAGACCACGGTGACGTTGAGCCGCGAGACAGACGATCCTGGCGCGATGGCTTTCTGGCTCCCAAACGAGCCGACGAGTCGAGCTGCTCGGTTGTGTGCCGGCGCAGGTGTCGCGCCGTCAGCTGCCCTTGACCTTAAGGCTTGGCGTCGGCTTGATGGCCTGGCCCGGCGCGCGTGAGAGAACACTCGCGCTCGTGACGCCGCTCGCGCTCCCACTCCTCGTACCGGCGCTGACGAGCCTGGCGGCGCAAAGCCCGCTCTTCTGCCTCGTGAGCTTCCTGGATCTTCGCCTCCGCTTCCTGCGCAGCTGCAGAGCGTGACGCCGCGCCGCGGATGCTCAGCGAGAGGCCGCTGGCGCTCGCTCGCGCCTGGCGCTCCTCGGCAAGACGCACGGCCGAGACTTTGAGCGGCTCGAGGCTGGCCGTGGAGCCCTCTTGCTCAACGTAGGCCGAGCGTGCTGTGAGGTTCTGGTCGGCGTCGCTCGCCGATGCGTCGTTCTCCTTGCGTGTGGAAGACGCCGTCTTCCGAGATGAGCTGTTGGTGGAGCGCTGGCCTTTGCGCTTCGGGTTGTCCTCGACGCCGACCGCATAGGGCCAGTACTCGCGCGAGGCTATACTAGTCCGGGTGACCAGCGGCGGCGGAGGAAAGACGCATGCCGCAGCAGCCTCGTCGGCAGGACGCAGCACGACCTGGGGAAGGGGACAGCTGACTCGCGCTGCGGGACATCAGCACGTGAAGTTTCTGGTGACACCTTGAATGCTCACTGAGCGACGACAGTCCATGGTCGAGGAGAAGCACGCGATACTCGAACGTAAAGATCACGTTTTCCTGCATATGCTGCGCTCAGCAATCAGAATGGCGGCTCACTCGTTGCCGCGGCACGCACCAGCTCGGAGCGGCTGTGTTCCTGGTCCTGCAGAGAAGCGACATGCACGACGATCGTCGGCTGTGCAGTCTGCTGCAAGGCTCGAGCCAGCAAGTTGCCGTCTCGAATGAAGATCTATGATGGTGAGAGTGATCAGCAGACAGCGCGAGTCCGCGCGGTCGTCGCCTGTCCTGCAGCCCGATTGGTCCTCCATCGACTCACCTTCTCGCCCCACTCTCTGTCATCGCGCGGCCGCGTCTCGGGCTGGCAGTTGAAGCGCAGCGGACGCAGCCCACCGGAGCAGCGAATCTCGACGGCGATGCCCATGCGGCTGCCATCCAGCGCGCCATACGAGCCTCGCAGGTTGAGGGTGAAGCGCGCATCGTGCTCGCTGCCAATGTAGGCGAGCACGTGGCCGTGCGAGTGCGGGTGTCGTAGCGACCCGCTGCTCAGTGCGGCCGAGATGCCGCCTTCTGACAAGTGCGACGTCGTGGCCTCGACAGGTCTGTGCAGCGGCTGCGAGTTCCTACCTACGTCCTGGCCGAAGTCATCGAGCCAGCAGGCGAGGAACGGGGCGCCCTCGCCATCGCGCAGACGTACGATGGGCATGCTGTGGCTACTTCCGTGTGAGCGCGTTGCGCTGAGGCTGACAGGAATAGAACTCCTTCACCGAGCTTGTATTGATGACTGCCAGAGGCGAGCACTCACAAGATCTGACTCCTCTGCAAGGTCTGAACGGCCAGAGCCCGGCGTGTGCGCTGGCGGACAGTTCCGCGCTCTTCAGCGGCCGCACCGCGCAGCTGGCCGCAGCGAAGGTGCAGGCGAGCTGACGAGGGTGCGCTGCGTGCCAGGCAGATGAGTGGCGGTGAGAACGAGGCTTCTGCTGTCTGCGAGGGTGTGAGAGTTGAGAGAGAGGCGGCGGCTGCGCTGCGGCCCCTGAGCGATGCCCAGATTGGGCGAGCAAGGCGCGACACGCCGCCGCCGCGTCGCGTGTCGTATCTTCAAGGGGCTCGCCGCAGCAGTAAGAGTGCCCCGCACGGCAACGATTTCTCTCCCTTCTGCAGCACAGGACGTGCTCGCGCTCGCGCAGGCTCGCCACTGAGAGTCACGACGGTGTATGCAGAGCGTCTCGCTCTTCTCGCAATGCACACAGCCAAGCCCTCTGTCACGCCGACATGGCAGCCGGCGAACGCTCAGCCTCAGGCGCCCTCTCACAACGCAACGACATCTGCAGCTCGGTACCATCAAGTATAGCTGCTCAAATCAGTTTTGCATTGCTGCTCTTGCACAAGGCGCGCGCCTAGCTGCTCGTCAGTCCGATCTTTGCGCGGCGGCGGTGCGGGAAGCTGCGCCGCGTATGCTGAGCGACGGAGCTGCGTCGCTCGTGCGCCACCTGCGCTGCTCGGCAAGGCGCACGGCCGGGGCCTTGGGCGCGTGAGGGCCGGAGAGATCTTGCATTCGCTCGTCGGACGGCGACCTGCCTCTTCTTGGGCGCTCGACGTGCTTTGAGGGAGCGTGGCGCTCCTCGCGCGCGCCAAACCACGTTGTGGGCGAGTCTGGGCCTTCGCGCGTTCCTTTCGCATCGCTCATGTCGCTGCCGACAACGACGGCAAAGGCCCAGTCGAGCTGCCGCTGCGCAATTTTGCGGACCCTGCGTGCCTCTGGAGGAAACACGGCAGGCGCATCCGTCTCCTCAGCTGGACGCAGGACGACCGCTGGGAGAGGGCACGACACTCGTGCTGGCGCTCCATCAGCAGCTGCCTGGAGGATCTCTGAGCTTGGACACTGACCTAGCGAGCTCAGCTCCTCGTCGACGGCAACCAAGCAGAATTCAAACACGAACACTACATTCTCCTGCGCAGGCGGCCCTCGGTCAGCGCTCCGCTATCCTGTCATCTTCAGCAAGCTCACCAGCTCAATGCTGCAGTGGTCTTGGTCGTCCAGCGCCGCGACCTGCACCTTGAGCGTCGGCTTGTCGCTACGTCGCATTGCATCTTTGAAAGCCTCGGCATTCTTCAGATTGACCTTCGGCGCAGCAGTGAGCACGCATCTGGCGATGCAGCCTTTCGGCCTCTGAGCTTCGTGGACACGCAGACGCACCCTCTGGCACCATTCGGCGCCGTCGCGCATGCGTGGACCGGGCGGACAGTTGAAGCGCAGCGCCCTTTTGGACGAGCCGTATTTGACTCTGACTGCGAGGCCTCTTTGGCCGACGTCGAGGGCGCGCCACGATCCTTGCAAGTTGATGCTGTACTGCGCACTGAGATCCACGCCGACAAATGCGCGTACGTCGGCGTACGCGTGCGGCCTGGCCCGCGAGCCGCTACACAGAAGCGCGTCGGCAGCGCTCTCTGTCAGGTGCGGCACGTCGCTCGTCATGTGCTTATGCACTCCCAGCGGCCGCGTGTCCTTGCTGGCAACGTCGAGCCAGCAGGCGACATATGGCGCCTCCGCGCCGTCATGGAGACACACGACTGGCATGTCTCGCCGAGTGAAGCAAGGCGCGCTGCGCAAGGAACAGAGTATGAGGCAGCATTCGAGGCGCTTAACAGACGGACGTAGCCAGCGCAAAGCAAGGGAACCAGTCACGAGACAGCACGCGCAGCACTCACGAGCCTTGTCTGTGGGAGGCCCAAACGCCTGCAGCCCGGCGCAGTGCGACGGTGGACAGCGCGGCGCGCGCGCGCTCGGGGTGCGCGGCGCACGCAGCTGCGGCGAAGGTCGCAAGAGCAGAGAGGAGCGTGACGAGCGGATCAACGGCGGCCAGCGCACGAGGAAAGTAAGGCGCAAGCGGCGGGAGCAGGGCGGCGACGGGAGAGGGTGTGAGGGTCGAGAGACAGGCACCGGTCGCCCTTGGCCCCTGAGCTGCGAGTGCCAAATCGAGCGAAGAGAGCACGACACGCGCCGCGGCGCGCCGCGTGAGCAACACCCGACCATGGCGCGCGCGCGTTACAGGGTGCCCACGTTCCTCAGAGACCTTTCTCTCTCTGCCCTTCAGAGCGAAGCCAAGGTTCAGAGACTGCCCGGACTCTGGCGGCATCATCACAGACAGACAAGATCAACCCCAAAGGGGCAAGGCGACAGCCTGCCCGCGCGTTCGCCGGCGAATGCTCTCTGTCACGACGCCCGGCGTGAGGCTCAATACAGCGCAGCAAGAGGTGCCGCAGGAATGTCATTGGTAGATGGTGAGATCTGTCCAGCTACGCTGCTTTCACACACGGCAGGTCCGGCTGCGCCTCAGTCGCGTCACCGCTTGACAGCGCAGCGAAGTCCCGCGACAGGCCCAAGTCGAGACAGACGCCGCGAAGCGCCTCCTCGACGAGCTCGCTGCGCTGTTCCGCAGACATGCTCGAAAGCTCGTGAGCTGCCGCCGTGTCGTCGCAGCGGTCCTTGACCGTCTGTCGCACGATGAGCTCATCGAGCAGCGAGAAGGGCTCCGCCATGACCTCTTGCACGCTCGGTGCCGGTACCGTGAAGCGCTGCTGCACACTGCCTTCAGATGCTCCCTCCTCGGAATAGCCCGTCGTGTCAGACAAAGCTCCTTCCTCGCTTCCGACGGAGTCCAGCACGGCCTCATGTGCATCGCCCAGCGAGGAGTTGCCGGACCAGAAGTGGTAGGCGTAGGCGCGGCGGATCTCGTCCTTGCAGGTCTTGGCGACAGCGACGTGCCATGCCTGATGCATCTGCAGGACCGCGCGTGCCAGCGCAAAGTCGCACGAGAGCAGCGCAGCTCGCAGCGCGGCGAGGAGCATGTTCGGCTTGCTGTACATGCTGTGCCGCTTAGCGTTGCCGCGAGTAAGCTCGAAGTGCGAGGCGGCCAGGGCGCGGACGACCCCGCGCAGCGTAGAGAAGGGACGCAGAGCAGCGGCCGAGGCTGGCGCAGCCGGCAGGAAGGCGGCGAGCGTGGGCGTCGTGCCGGGAGAGGCCAAGGCGAGACGCTCGTAGACGCGGAAGACAGCGATGCACAGCGGCCAGTCGAGAGACGTGCGCTGCTGCGACGACCGAGTGGTAGCGCCCGTCGTCGGGCGAGGCGTGAGCGCGCGATCGAGCAGCTGCACTAGCAGCGAGGCAGCCTCGTGCGTGCGCCCGCAGCTTGCCTCGAAGGAGATGACCAGGCCACCGAGCCTCGAGGAGATGCCGATCCCGTCGGACACGGCTGCATCGAGGACGGCGCGCATCGCAAGCGTGCGGGCGTGGGCGACAGGCACAACGTCCTCTTGCTCGGCATCGCGCGCTACTTGCTCTTCGGTCTCGTCCTCCATCTCTCTTGGCCGCGGTCTCCAGCCAGTGAAGCGAGGCATCAAGGCCGGGCCCGTGCATGCGCGCGCAAAAGCCTCATACGGTGCCGAGTCTGGCGGCGCTCCGCTCGTCTTTGCTAGCGCTCGATAGCGCTCGAGCCAGACCTTCGCGCCACTCAAGTCGCCCGACTGCGCCCGTGCTGCGATCAGCGAAACCCAGATGCGGGGAGACGACGACCATCCGGCTATTGTGATCTCGTCTGGAGCGCTCAGAGAGTTCTTCGACTGCGCCGCCGCTGGGAAGCGCGCGATGGCGATTGGTGCGAGGTACCGTGATCGGTCGTTGGCGCGGCAACTCCACCAGGCAAGCAGCGCTTCGCCGCGCCATGGCACCTGTGCGCGGCCGTACGCCAGCACTGCCTGCTCGACCGCATCGAGACCGAAGCAGCCGCGATCCAGCCTCTCGCCAGGCATGCTGTAGCTCTCCTCTCGGCCGCGAGCGATAGCGCCGCCTGCCGCGCGGAGCTGAGCATCGACGAAGGCCTCGATCTTGTCAGTACGCAGCAACGGTGTTGCGATCTCGATGAGGAGCGCCGCGATGCGCGAAGAGGGCATGAAGCCCAGTTGCAGCAGTGCGTCGTAGAGTGCAGCAATGGCAAACATCGACTGATGCTCGCGTCCGAGGGCAGAGAAGTCGAGTTGCTCCGGCAGGTGGCTCGGCTGCCACGACGCCCGGGTGGCGACAGCGCCCCGGCATATGGGCCGCTTGGCCTGCGCCGCGATTGAGAGGATCATGGCCTCGATCGCAGCTGGCCTGAGCAGGCCCTCTGCACCGAGCAGATCGTCCAGCGCGGACAAGTTGCGCCGAGCATCCGACGCAAGATGCTGAAGCCGTGGGACGCTTATTCGCTGCAGAGCAGTCTCGAAGAGATGCATCGCCTCTAGCACCCGGCCGCCTGAGATGAGGCGGAGCAGGTGCTCAGTCGAGAGGCGCGACGACGAGGCTGCGTCGCGCTGCACGGACAGTTGCGGCTTTGCGACAGCCAGCCGCGGCTGCAAGGCTGAGTCTGCCAGCCGCTCCCAGTGATACGAGGTCGAGACGAGCGGCTGCGACTCCTCGTGTGGCTGTGCCCAGGCCCGCGCCAGGGCGCGATGCGCCTCGCTCGAGGCGGCCGAGTCGCGGACAGCGCGGCGGCTCCAGTCCCACGACTCGACGAGCACGTCGTGGAAGAGCAGAGGTGCGGTATCGAATGCAGCAGAGCTCGGGCCGGCCGCAGAGAGTGATGCGTACGAGCGAGGCGACGGCATCTGGCGCGCCGGCGAGGCTCGGCGGCGCGGTGCTGGTGCCGGCGGGAGCAGCACGGCGCGGGCGGCGGCGAAGAAGGCAGCATGCGACGAGGCTGCGCGCGCACTGCGGCGCAGGAGCGCTGCCGAAGCGCCTCCTGCCGCCGTGGCGGCCATGTCGAGAGATGGACGGAAGGGGTGTGTGGTGAGTGGAGAGAGCAGAGAGCTCGAGGTCCGCGTCAGAGAGGCAGCGCGAGAAGCTCTGCGCTGCCAAAGCCGCGGCTCATCCTCGCGGCGGCCGCTGTCACGTGAGCGGGGCACGGCTCAGGGGCTGGACGCGCCGGGCGGCGCGCGTTGATGATGCGGCGGTGCGGCCGGCGGGCTGTGATGATGCTTGGGGGTGTGCGTTGCGGCCGACACTGGCGCAGTGCCTGCAGCGGCCGCAAGCGCGCCAGCCCCTCTGGCGGGTCCGCGCGCGAGGTGTGAGAGCGAGGCAGCCGCAGACAGAGAGGGCCGGCGAGCAGCGCTTCGTGCTTGCTTTGAGGGGCGTGCTGGGGCAGGGTGCAGCACAGCCAAAGATGAAGCAGGAGCGCAGTCGAGTCAAGCAGAGCCGCAGCTTTGTCGCCGAGCCGCGCATCCAGTGCGCGCGCTTGGCTTGCAGTGCGCGCAGCCAGCTCCGCAGCTCCACCTTTCACTTCTCACCTCTCATCCCATCTCCCATCACCGCAGCGCAACGCATCCAGGCCATCCCGTCCAGGCCTCTGCGGCACTCCTTCCAAGAGCCGCCCGCCATGGAGCCGGCCAAGAGCACGCCGCCGCCGGCCGCGTCGGCCAATGCGCGCAACCCGTTCGGCTACCAGACCCGCCTGCTCGAGCGCTCCGCCTCGCGCAGCAACTCGTCCTTCTCCCTCGCAAACGGCGCCGCAGATGGCGCCGGCTCGGGCTCGCCGGCGCCACGCCTGCCGGGCGCCACCGGCCTCGTGCACTCGGGCTCGGTGCGCCGCTACCCTGCGCCGCACCGGCATACGGGCTCGCTCGACCCCGCCCGTGCCGCCGAGCTGATGCACGGCCGCAGCGGCGGCGCCTCGCCGACACATGCCACGCACGCCGAGGGCCACTTCGGCTCCAACGGCAGCCTGGCGAGCTCCAGCTCCAGCTCGTCGCCTGCTGCGGCGCGCTCGCCGCGGCTCGGCAGCTCGTCGACGTTCTCTACGCCGGCGTCGGCGCGCATCAACCGCCACCTCTCCATGCCGCCGGCGCCGCGAGAGGACCCGTCGACGCCGACTGCCGTCTCGCGCCGGCCGCCGTCGCCGACCAAGGCCAGCAGTCCTTTCGCCCGCCCGGCGAGCCCCACCAAGTACGAGCGCCCGGCGTCGCCCTACAAGAGCAGCCTGGTGTCTCCCTCTTCGCCCGGCAAGGCCGACTCGTCGTGGGTCAACTCGAGTCCCTCGACGCCCAGCGGCTCCTTCTGGTCGCAGGCGGCGTCGAACAGCACCGCGCCCTCCTCGCATGCGCCCTCGGCCATCCATCTCGGAGGCGTCAGCGATCTGAAGCGCAGCAGCGTCGGCGCGCTGCAGATGATGCGCGACTTCACCACGCGCGCAGACAGCGTGACCAGTCCGGACGGCCCGGGCCACACGCGCATGACTGTGGGCCCGCGCAGCGGTGGCGCGATGCGCGCAGAGAAGGGCCTTGGCTTCACGCCCGAGGAGCGCGCCACTGCCTCCTACGACGAGGGCTTTGTGAAGCCCGCTCGGCCAGGGCGCATGGAGAGCGAGGACCAGAACGCAGGTGAGATCGTGCTGCCGGGCATCACGACGGGCGCAGAGGACGTTGCCGGCCTGCAGGGGCGCATCCGCCTGGCGCGTGCCGGCGGCGCGGGCTCAGCGGCGCTCGGCCGTCCCGCTGCGACAAGCAGCCTGCCGTTCAGCGCGGCGAGCAAGTGGATGGACACACAGCGCCACCTGCTGCAGGCGTACGAGTACCTGTGTCACTGCGGCGAGGCCAAGCAGTGGCTCGAGCACTGCGTCGGCGAGGAGCTGGGCGACGTCGTCGACATGGAGAACGAGATGCGCGACGGCATCATCCTCGCCAAGCTGGCGCGCACCTTCGAGCCGGAGTGCGTGCCGCGCATCTTCACGCACCCCAAGCTGCAGTACCGCCACACGGACAACACCAACTACTTCTTCCGCTTCTGCAACAAGGTCGAGCTGCCGATCAGCTTCCAGTTCGAGCTCACGGACCTGTACGAGAAGAAGAACTTTCCCAAGGTCGTCTACTGCATCCACGCGCTCTCGTGAGTAGTGAGACAGCACTGCGCCGCGCGCATCGCTGACCCTCGTCGCGCCGCAGGCACATTCTCGCGCGGCAAGGGCGCGCGCTGAAAGTCGGCAACCTCGTGGGCAACCTGCAGTTCACCGATGACCAGCTGCAGCAGACGCAGCGCGGTCTCGACGCAGCGGGCATTGCAATGCCCAAGTTCGGCGCGCTGGGCAAGACGCTCGCCAAGGAGATGAACGTCGAGCCGGAGCCGGAGCCGGAGTCCGAAGAAGAGCGTGAGTCCGCGAGCGTGCTCGACTCAGACCCGGCGTTCGCTGACGCGCGCTTTCTCAGGCATCGACCGCGAGCTGGCCGAGAATCTCTCTTCCGTGCTCGTCGCACAGACCGCAGTGCGCGGACTGCTCGCGCGCAAGGCCTTCGCGCGCATGCGGGCAGACGCAGCTGAGCGGCGGCGCGCCGAGGAGGAGCGCCGGCGGCAGGCCGAAGAGCGAAGGCGCCTCGAGGAGGAGCGACAGCGCGCAGAAGAGGCGCGCCTCGCTGCTCTTGCCGAAGAGGAGCGGCAACGCAAGGCCGAGGCGGAGCGCCGGCGGCAGGAGGAGGAGCGCCGTCTCGCAGAGGAGGCGCGCATTGCGGAGGAGCGGAGGAAGGCCGAGGAGAAGCGCCTGCTCGACGCCTGGGCGCCCAAGGTGCAGGCACAGGTGCGCGCGGCGCTCGTGCGCAAGCGCCACGACCGCAAGGTCGCCGAGCTGAACACCAGCACGCGCAACTTCATCGGCCTCCAGGCGCGCATCCGCGGCGTGCTGCTGCGCAAGAACTTCTACAAGGACATCAGCGCGCTCGACGTGCACGAGGTCAGCGTGACTGCCATGCAGGCGCAGGTCCGCGGCGTTCTCGCGCGCCTGGCGTACCAAGAGCGCATCTTTGGGCTGGGCGACGCGACCGAGGCCGTCATCAAGCTGCAGGCCGCCTGTCGCGCCACGCTCGCCCGGAGACGGCTGCTCGGCAAGATCCGGTCGCTGCGCGAGTCCACAGACAGCATCGTGGCCGTGCAGGCGCAGGTGCGTGGCCTGCTGGCGCGCCGTACGCGCGTCAAGATGGCCTCGGCGCTGCAGAAGGTCGAGGTGCACCGCTCCGTCGGCGGCCTGCAGTCCTTTGCGCGCGCAGCGCTGGCGCGGAGGAAGCACCAGGAGCAGCGCAAGGAGCTCAACTTCGTCACGCCCGACGTCGTTGGCGTGCAGTCGCAGATCCGCGGCGTGCTGGCCCGGCGCGAGCACGAGTGGTGGCGCGGGCACATCCTCTCCAGCGAGCCGGTTGCCGTGCACCTGCAGTCTCTCGTGCGCGGTCTGCTCGCTCGCCGCAAGTTCTGGTCGAAGCTGCGGCACTATCATGATCACATGGAGAAGGTCGTCAAGATTCAGAGCCTCTTCCGCGGCAAGCAGCAGGGCGAGCAGTACCGCAGCCTCACAATGGGCAAGAACGTGCCCGTCTCGACGATCAAGAACTTCGGCCACCTGCTCAACGACAGCGACCACGACTTTGAGGACGAGATCGAGGTCGAGCGCCTGCGCAAGCTCGTCGTGCGCAGCATCCGTGAGAACCGGACGCTCGAGAACGATGTCTCGGAGCTCGACACGAAGATTGCGCTGCTGGTCAAGAACAAGATCGGCATCGAGGAGCTCATCAAGGCGAAGAACGAGCGCGGCCTGCTCGGCCAGCGTGACGCGGCGGCGAACCTGCAGCGCCGCAACTCGGTGCTCACTGCCGCCGGCGACCCCTTCGCCGAGCAGACGCTCGACCGCTCCGCCCGGCGGAAGCTCGAGCTGTACCAGGAGCTCTTCTACTCATTGCAGACCCGGCCCGAGTATCTGGCGCGTCTCTGCGCTCGCGTCGGGAAGATGGAGATCTCCGACCGGCAGCGGAAACAGGTCGAGAAGATCGTGCTCACGCTCTTTGGCTACGCGCAGAAGGCGCGCGAGGAGTACCTGCTGCTGAAGCTCTTCCAGCGCTGCGTCGCCGAGGAGCTCCAGCTGGTCTCGGGCGTGCAGGACTTCATGCGTGGCAACGCGCAGTTCATCAAGCTCGTGCTGCAGTACAACCGCGGCGCCAAGGAGCGCAAGTACCTGCGCGACCTGCTCGCGCCGCTTGTGCAGGGCATCGTCGACGACGATGCGCTCGATCTCGAGACGGATCCGTGTACGATCTACCGCGGCTGCATCAACCGCGAGGAGATGGAGACGGGCCAGGCGAGCCGGCGCCCGCTCGACGTCACCTTCCACGAGGCGCTGGCCGACCCAGAGGCGCGCACAGCGTTCATTCAGCACCTGCAGTTCCTGCGCGGCACCACCGAGGCGTTCCTCTCGGCCATCATCGGCTCGACGAAGCGCATGCCGTTTGGCATCCGCTACATTGCGCGCGAGGTCTTCCGCGGCCTGCAGGAGAAGTTTCCAAACGAGGCCGAGGACACGCTCATCAAGGTCGTCGGCCACCTCGTCTACTACCGCTACCTCAACCCCGCGATCGTGGCGCCCGAGGGCTTCGATGTCATCGAGACCCTTGTCGGGCCCGTGCAGCGCAAGAACCTGGCCGAGGTGTCGAAGATGCTCACGCAGGTCGCTGCGGGCCGGCTCTTCTCCGAGGACAACCCGTACCTGCAGCCGCTCAACGAGTACGTCTCACAGGCGTCGGAGCGCTTTGTCAAGTGGCTGCACACCGTGGTGGACGTGCAGGATGCCGAGCTGCAGTTCTCGGCCGACGAGTTCCTCGACCACACCGTCGCGCAGAAGCCGGTGATTTACATCTCGCCAAACGAGATCTACTCGATGCACCTGCTCGTTGCGCAGCAGATCGACCACCTCGTGAGTGCGAACGGTCTCTATTTGCTGCTTCTGTGCTCACCTGACTGCGATCACAGGCTCCGCGACCAGAAGACCCGCTGCGCGGTGTCCTCACCGAGCTCGGCGCTCCGCCCGTCTCGAACACCCAGGAGCTCAACACTGCGCGCGACAGCGAAGTCACGCTCGAGCTCGTCTCGCGTGCGACGAACCTCGTTGGTGAGTGGCGCAGCTGCGTCCCGCCTTGTGCTTGCATCTGACGCCTTGCGCAGACCCCGAGGCCGAGACCAAGGCTCTATTCGTCGAGTCGAAGCGCCTCGTGCTCTCGCTGCTCAAGGTGCAGTCCGGCAAGACGCTGCTCGACGTCTTTGTTGCGCCGGTGACGGACGCCGACGAGCTCGCGTGGGAGGAGCTCGTCTCGCTCGAGGTGGCCGGCGACCGGGCTCGCATGCGCGGGCAGCGGCCGCCAGGTCCGAACGAGGTGCGGAGCCCGCGGCTGGAGGACGTGCGTCGCCTGTCGTTTGCCGAGCTCAAGGCACGCACGCTCGAGAACATGCTGCAGCTCGAAAAGCTCGGCAAGGTGTCGCGCAGCAACGGCTACCAGGAGATGCTGTCGGCGCTGGCCGTCGACATCCGCAACAAGCACCGCAAGCGGATACAGCGCCACAACGAGAAGACGGCGATGGCCGTGACGCTGACGAACCTGGGCGAGAAGAAGTCGTACCTCGAGGAGCAGATCAACTCCTACCACGCCTACATCGATGCGAGCATGCAGACGATGCAGAAGAAGGGGTGAGTGTTGTCTCAGCGTGGTGCGAGTGCCGCCTCTGACCCCCTTCGCCCCTCACAGCAAGAAGAAGTTCGTGCTGCCCTTCACACAGCAGTACTTCCACATGCGCAGCCTCAAGGCGAGCGGCAAGGTGCCCAAGTTCGGCTCGTACAAGTACACGGCGCAGCGGCTGTTCGAGAAGGGCGTGCTGCTCTCCGTCGAGCAGTTCAGCCAGAAGCAGTACGACCAGATCAACCTCACCATCAGCAGCGACGAGCCGGGCCTCTTCACCGTCACCGCCTCGGTGCTCGGCGTCGTCGGCGGCACGGAGGATCTGCGCATCGAGGACCTGCTCTCGGCGCAGTTCAGCAATGTCTCGGTGCTCACGCTCATGGACGGCATGGCCAAGGTGCGTCTGCCCGTGCGCGTGCTGATGAGCGTCCTCTGACGTACCCTCTGCAGGTCAAGCTGCCGCTCCTCATCAACCTCATCAACACCAAGTTTTACGCCTGACCCGACTGACCGCCCCATGCCCACCCTCTCACGTGTCCCGGCCGCCGCGCTGTGTCTTGCATTCTCACCTCCGTTCCCGTCTCGCTGTGGATGCCGCCCGTTGCAATATGTAGCCGATGCCGGACCGTGTCGGGTGTGCAGACGCAACGAGCGCCAGGCGAGGCCAGCGCGATGCCGCCAGAGCCTTCTCTCGGAGCCGGCGACGGCACAGCGGCTTCCACGGCCGCCGAGAGAAGCTGCGCTGGTGCGGGGTCGTTGCGCCCGCTGCGGCGGCTGCCAGCGGGTACAGAGCGGTCCTGCCGCGCTAGCCGCAGCCACATCTCTTCGCAACGGCCTTGGCGTGAGGGGTGCCAAGCGGCGCACCAGGCGTGGGAGCAAGCGCAGGTCGGCCGGCAGCGAGCACCGCTGGCCCGATCAGTTGCAGCACCGCCGAGGTGCCATGCGGCGCAGATGACGCGCATGCCGCGCCGAGACGCCGGGATGGCATGACGTAGGTGCCGCGCCGGCGCGCGCTGCCGCCTGCCGCGTGCTTTTTTGGCGTGCGCGAGCAAGCGCAAGCGCCGCCGAGCCGCTCCGCATTCAGCACCCGCCGCGCCGCAGCGTCACTAAGACTGCGGCGCTCGCCGCGCGGCGCAAACTCGCCTCGGAGCGGTGGAGGGGGGACGAGCTCGCCTCGTATGTTTTGCGGCTCGCTGTACCCGCAGCTGCGCTGCTGCACTTTGCGGTGAAGCCGTGAGTGCTTCTGCCGCTGGCGCGCAGGCCGGCTCATGACGACGGGCGCGCTCCTGAGCGAAGCCCGCCGGCTGCCGTGCCGCGGCGCTTACGCCCGGCGCGCGAGGCGATGATGAGGGGCCTCGCGCTGCAAATGCCGGCCACCGGCGGCGTGCACGCGCGTGTGTGGCTCTCCTGACGCCCGCAAGAAGGCGTCAGCAGTGCGATCTAGACTCGGGCCAGCTTGGCGATGACAGGCAGGAGCAGCGGAGCAGCGGAGAAGCGCACGGCTGCTTCTCTGGCGGAGGCGGAAGTGCGGAAGTGCGGCCCGCGCTGCGATCTCGCCGCGAGCGTGCCTTGCCCGCCGTTTTCGCTTAAAGAGGCACGCGCAGCTGCGCATCGCTCTTGTCCTCCACCCACCACCTCACCGCCCATCAAAGCCTTCGCTCAACAGCGCAACCCTCACCCGTCCACCACCCAAGCACCCACCAACCCAACCCACTTCCAGCATGGTCGACACCTCGGGTGCTCTCCGCCGCGGCCACCCCGTCACGTTCGGCTTCGTGTGCTTCATCTCGCTCATCGTCGCGGTGCGTGCTGCTCGCGGCGCTGCCTGCCTGCATCCAGGCGCTGACGCATGCGCCTTCTCTCACAGATCATCGCCTCGGCCCTGACCGCCGACTACAACAACCACGGCAGCCAGACTGGCCACCTCACCGGCTCGGTCCGCTACCTGCTCTTGTGAGTCGTGCGCGATGCCTGCCCATCAGCATACAGCTGCTCACGCTCTGCCCCTCTTCAGTGTCGGCTGGCAGAACTTCTTCCTGAGCATCGCCTTCGTGAGTATATACTGGAGGGCACAGGATGTGGAGGGCGGGAGACGGGCGCGCTGGGATCAGGGCAGGGCAGGCCGCGTGCGCGCACGACGGAGCATCAGCACGTCAAGCGCTCTCAGCACGTTTCCTCGTCCGTAGCTCAGCGCGCCGGCTGAGCTCGTCGCCGCCCGCTTTGCGCTGCCGCCACTCCGCTACTTCGTCTTGCATTCACCTTGCTCACACCGCATCCTTCTCTCAGGGCGTCCTCTTCCTGCTCGGCAAGGGCGGCGTGTTCACCTCGGTGGCCGGCCACTTCATCGCGCTCTTCTGGATGTTCCTCACCCAGCTCGCCGGCGCCGGCACGATCACGGACGCCATCGGCGGCAACCCCAGCTGCGGCTCGAGCGCGCTCCGCTACTGCCGCTCGCTGCAGGCCCTCGCTGCCTTCAGCTGGATCGCCACGGTGGTGCTCTTCATCATGCTCATCATCGTCGGCGTCGTCGGTGCCGGTGCCTTCCGCGGCGGCCGCTCGGCCAAGGAGACCCTCGGCGCCTAAGCGTCGCCCGCTCGACTCGGCTCGCCTCCTCCAACGATACCCAACCCTTTCGCCTTCTTCGGGTCCCGGCGCCGATCTCCGCCGGGGCCTGCTTTTGACTCCATCGCGTGTCCGCTGTGTGCGGCACGCCCAGCCTAAAGTACCCGACCCCGCATCTTACGTGCCTTAAATGCCCGCTCTTCTCTCGCTTGTTGCTGTACATTAACGACGACGGGGCCGTCCCCACGCCGCTGAATGCATGCCTCACAAAGCACCAGACGCTATGATGATGAGGCCCTGAACGTCGTGCACGAGGCGCTGGCACGGCGCCCCAAGAGCTGTACGGCAGGCAGGCCAAGCATGTGCGTGCTGCTGTGCTGCATCGCTGCGACCAGCGTTGCATTTGAGCCCGACTTGACTTCACTCGTCAGCTAGCTGCGTGCTATAGGGAGGAGCTGTTGCCTGAACGCTGCGCTGCGCTTGCGGCAGGCTCGTCGACGAGCCGCAGGCACGCCGCATCCGAGCAGATCTTGCGCGGATGCAGGTCCGAGAGAAGCATGCGCGCGGAGCCCCTTGCCGCGCTGACGTCGCGATCTTGCTCGCTCCTTGCGGCCAATGGACGGTCGTGTCGCCGCCATCTCGTCCTCGACGACCCCGATGAGGGACACTTGACCTGCCAGATCCAGGATATCGCTCCGCCCGCGAGCAAGGAGCACGCATACGTTCCAGATGGGGCCGGCGAAGACGCTGCGAAGCGGCTCGCCGAGGCCGAGGCAACCTCGCGCCTTGAGCTGCGAGAGCTCGGCCAGCCGGCGCAGGTCCGGCCAGCTTGTTCGTCGCCAGCGCCTCACATCCTCTGCGATGGCAGCCCGCCTCCTTCTCTCTGCCCCTCACTCCCTCTCCCCTCTCCCTCTCTTCGCTCCGCGCTCGTGCAAACGCTGTGATCCTTCAGTGGACACAAGCCTGGCCCGGTGCCGCTTCTTCCTCCTTTCCTTAGATCGACCAGCAAGTCGCAAAGCTGGCCGACATGGAGCTCTCTCCTGCCACGACGCTGAGCTGGCCGCGCGATGCCGACTACACGCTCGACGAGGCGTATGCCGCAGTGCGTGTCGTCGCAGTGAGCTGCTGTCCCCTCGCTGAGCCGCTTCGCAGGTGCAGAGCATGATGTGGTCGCTCTTCTTCGGCCTGCTCTTCGCGTGGGCGCTGTCGGCCATCCTGACGCTCCAAGTGTGAGTCGCCCACGGTTCGAGTCAGCAAATATACTGCTGACGCTCTGCTCCCAGCTACACGTACTTCACGCGCTTCGCCGAGGACCGCCTGGTGCTCAAGTGCTTCGTCGGCCTGCTCGCTGCAATCGAGACGGGCGCACTGTGAGTCTAGAGGCGAGGCACTCGACTTTGTGCTCACGGCGAGCTGCCAGGATCTTCATCACGATGTGAGTGTGGCTCGTGTCGTCGCGCTGCGCCTGTGCCTCTACTGATGCCGCGCGCTCAGTGCGGGCTACAAGAGCATCATCGTCGACTGGGGCCACCTCGGCCGCTGGGACGGCAAGACAGCCGGTCTGATCCTGCTGAGTGAGTGGAAGTCCCGAGCAGGCTGTCGAGCTCCACTGACACAGCTGTCACGCAGACGTGATGGTCTCGGCGCTCGTACACGCCCTGTACGCCTGGCGGCTGTGGCATCGTGAGCGCAGCAAGAATGTCAGCCTCGGCCATCTTCACTGACATGTCACAGTGATGAGCACGACGCTGCGTGGCCTGCTCGTCTGTCTCAGCATCGTGATCTGCAGCGTGCTGGGCATCATCGTCTGCGCCTGTGTCGTCGCGCTGCGGTGAGTCGAGCGGCGTCGCGTCGATGTCGCCGGTAATGCTCACGTCGAGACCAGCCTGTACACGGGCGATGCAGCGTTTGAGTCGAGCAGTCAGCTGCCTCTGCAGCACATATGGCTCGCCTTCACTACGATCGCAGACGTGATCACATGTGAGTCGCCTTTGGCACGCTGCACTCAGCCGCTGACTCGTACACGCAGGCGTGGCGATGTACAGCCGCTTCGCCGACATTCGCACGACAGGCTCGCACAGCACGATCATGCAGAGGGTGAGTCCTGCACGAGCAGCCCTCAGCTGCTTGCTCATCATGTGCTACCAGATCATCTTGGCGCTCATCCCAGGCGGGCTGCTGGCGGCCATCCTCACCGTCATCCTGATCATCGTCGAGGTGCGTGTCAGTGTGCCGCTGTCAGACGTTTGCTCACCTCCATGCATCCTCAGGCCACGGTCGGCAATGTCAGCAGCACTCTGAGCCGCAACCTAACGCTCGACCGCGAGCTCACTCTCTTGCTCTGCGTGCTGCACCTGGTGAGGCCGTTTGCTCACGCTCGCCATTGCTCGCTGACAAGAACGTCTTTGCGCCTCGACAGATCTACAGCAACAGGTGAGCCTGCTCGATCGTTGCTCCTGCGCTCAGCTCACATTCCTCTCAGCGTCGTTCTCTGCTTCAATCTGCGCGCCAAGCGCAGCAAGTACACGGTCGGCCTCTTCGGCGAGCATCGTAAGTCGCCGCTGCAGGTCAAGATCGTCACGCAGTCGACTCGCTATCCGCCATCGATGGGCAACGAGTCGGATCAGCTGAGCGGCACGGGCACCGACATGGTTCCCACAACGCCCGACTCCAGTCTCGGCCACGGCAAGAAGAGCTACCTGCAGCGCGTCGACAGCGAGAACAGTCCTGCGTGTCCGTCCAGCAGCCCGCTCGCCGTGCCCGTGCGCAGCGGCAACGGCCTGCCCAAGGTCGTGTCGACGGGCGAGATGAGCCTGACGGAGCGCGAGAGCGGCAATCGCCGCGAGTCATCGCGCCGCACGCAGCAGGGCGCCAGCCTGGGCACGCAGCACTCGCGCGGATCGGCCACGAGCCTGCCGCAGAGCTTCGAGCTCGACGAGCGCTGCTCCAGCGACCTCGAGGCGGCCAAGACGCGAGACGGCACGCTGGTGCCGACGCTCAGCTTCTGAGTTCTGGCTTCACCGCCATCGCCGGACCCCAGCCGCACCTCTACATACCGCAGTCCTCCTTCTCGTCACTATGTCCTGGCCCGTTTCCCACTCCTGTCCGACTCCTCTCGTCGCTACCCACCGCTCGCTCGCGGCCGGCGCACCCCGCCGCCAGGCCCCCGGCTTGAGCCTTCTCTCCTTCTCGAAGCTGTCACCTCGCGCTGTCGCTCAAGCACAGCCCATTCGCCGGCGGATGTCTCCTCCTTGGCAGCGCTCTGCCCGAATGCATTCCTATCCACGCCTCTCCCAGCTGGCAGCGAGGCTGACGCGTGGCTGTGCAGCTGCGCGACGCTGTGCTAAATATAGCGGGCCCGCTAGCCGCACCTGCCTCGATCCGCCGGCATCTTCCATCCCAGCGCTGATCCTCTGCCGTTCCTGCGTGCGCAGCAGCACGAGGATGGGCCACGTGCGGCGCAGATGCGAGGGATCTGCGACGCTCCCTTGCCACCTGGCGAGCACCCATGGAGCCCGAGGCGGCGACGCGGGGAAAGCAACGGACGTACGCGCTTCGCCCGAGGCAAAATACTCCGGCGAGCCCGGCGCAAGGCACCCGTCGGCTTCGCCACCGCTGCTCCAAGGTCCGCCCGCCATCCTTGCCGCCTCGACGGCGGCCAACGTCAGCCGCAGACGACCCTGCTGGGAGCAGCTGCGCAGCCGCAAGGGAGCGGACGTTTGCGTGCGCCGCGGCCAAGGCCGAAAGAGGGGCTCGCCCGCCCACTCTACCCTCGAAAGCTTCTTGGCCTTGTCAGCAGCGCCTTCTCCAGAGGCAGCGCCCGCACGTGGCAGCAGATCGACTTCGAGAATGCAGAGAACAGCGCGCCTGCCCGCGTTCTGTGAGGGTCAGCTTCACGAGCGACAACATCCAGGCCCGAGGCTGTGCGGCGTCAGGAGCGAACCCATCGCGCCGCTCGGCCTCTCGCACCTCCCCACTCTGTCCATGCACGCTAGCAGCCCCATGAAGGCTTCCACGGCGACATTCTCCTTGGCTCGCTCGCAACGAGCTGCGGCCGGTGATCTCGGCTGCACCGCTTGAGCGAGCGGCGTCGAGGCGAGGAGGAGCGCGGCTTGCTGATCGCCGGCCAGCAGCGCTGCCCGCGTGGCCCCGCGTCGAGCGAGCGGTGCCTGCGCTAGCGTCGGCCGTATGTGCGGGAGCAAGTTGCCGCGCTGCGCCGACAGGCACGCGGCCAGTGTGCGCGCGCATGACAGCTGGCTGCGCGCAGCCCGCGACTGCGCACGCTGCGCCCAGCGAGGGCGTTGTCCCGATGGCCGGCCGCCGCCCTTGCGCCTTCGCCTTCGCACGCCCCTCGGCAGAGACGCCGAGCCCGGCCGGACGGGGTCCACACGGGCCACGCTGCCAGCAGGGGCCCACATGTCACCTCGCTCGCTCAAGAGCGGCGCTTGCTTCCCAACCATCATCTACCGCAACGCACCGCGCTCCGCAAGTCGCAAAGCAGCCCGCCGCCCGCACACGTCTCCTGCTCCAGAGCACCTCAGGGACGTCGCATGCGGGCCAGCGCTCGCCACCCATGAAGTTGCTCGACCGTCTGCGCAGCCATCGCATCTCGTCACCGCCATTCCTCGCGCCGCCGCAGCCGCAGCAGGCGTCGTCCGGCAGCAGCAGCAAGCATGCCGCCTCCTCGGGCCTCTTCTCGAAGAGCTCGACGTCGTCGGCCTCCTCATCGTCGCCGTCCTACCACGAGCCCCTGAGCAGCCCGGCGGCGGCAAGCTCGAGCCGCAGCTGGATCTCGCGCTCGACAGAGCTGCCCGCGTCCTCGCGCGACAAGCCGCTTCCCGTCCCGAGTCGCCCGAGGCGCGACGCTCCACCAAAGGTGCCGAGCAAGTCTGATGCCAGGCCAAATGTCGCCACGGCGCTCCGCGACGTCACGCGCACTGCTGTAGCACCCATCGAGTCCGTCTCGACTGCTGCAGCACCACTCGAATGGCTATCTACTAGTCGAGTGGCCTCGCCGACATCGCAACAGGCGAGCACAGACACCCAGTATGCGGCAGCGCCTCGCCGCGAAGACAACGCCGCCTCGACGCGCAGTGCGCCAAGTCTCGAGGCATCGCGGCGGTACAGCGGCGAAGGCTTCCTCGCCAAGGCTAGCCGGCGTCTGCGCCTGAGCGAAAGCTCGACGTCGCTGCCAGTCCGCAGCGTGGACAGCGAGCTAAGTGCTCAGCCGGCAGTGTCGCCGTACTGCCTCTCCAATGGCAGCGCACATTCACTGTCCGACCAGTCGCAGCAGAGTCGCCGGCGCCGAAGGCTGCCATCAGGCAAGAGCTCGAGCGCCGTCAACGAGCGGACAGGCAGCGCAGCGTCTGGCCAGGACGCAGAAGGTGGTCGATCCTATCCGCCGTCGGCTCCCAGCGCCGTCTTCGCCGAGCGTCGGCGCGGCACATCGATCAGCTCCAGGCATTCCTCCTCGCAGCCAGTCTCGCCTCTGCTCAAGCAGCGCGACTTTGCCGGGAGCGTCAGCCCGCCGCCGCGGCTGCAGTCGCTTCCGCCAAGCGCGTGGAACGGACAGGCGCTGATGGACGAGACGATGCGCGAGCGTCCGCTCTCGCGCATGTCGAGCACGCGCAGGCCGTCGACCACAGAAGGCTCCTCGTCCGAGCAGATGTCGCTGTCGACGTCTGGCCAGACGAGCTGCAGCACCGTCGACCTCGAGGCACCGCCGCCAGCGTTCATTGCGCCCATGCTCGAATGCCTCGGGTTGCCGCCGGCCGGCCTCGATGCTCACGACTTGGATGCGCGCGTTGATCTCGTTTGCGCATGGGTTCTCGACCCTGACGCTCTCGCGAACACAGGTCCGTCAGCAGCAGGAGAGGGCAGCGCTGCTGAGGCTCCACGCCGCAGGATGAGCTTCCGCCGCCGACCGCGACGCCTAAGCGAGGTCTCGACGACGTCGCGCCGCGGGCCGCTGCAGTCCTCGGTGCGCGAAGTTGAGCGGCTCGAGACGGAGATGCTCAACCACGTGTCGCGGTGCCTCGGGCGCAAAGCAGCGGACAAGGAGCACTTCTCGCAGCTGCGTCTGGCCGAGGTGTTCCAGCGTGCACGCGTGCACCTCGGCCTCGATGGCGAGAGCCACTTCACTCTCTTCACCGCGCTCGAGACCGAGCCATGCGCTCCGGCGCTCGACACTCGCACCTCGATGGACTCGACGCGCCCGGAAGCGCTCGACACTGTCTCGACCGTGGCAGCGCCTGGTAACCTTCCGCTCTCTCCGCCTCCGCGACGTCGACGCCGTCGGCCACAGACGGCGCCGGATGGCGCACTGGCGCAAGACCGCGCCGGCCTGCCTCGCGACAGCGGCGCCGAGGCTGCTCGTCGACGAGGCCACTTTGTGCCCACACGCGAGGCCTCGCTGCGTTTCTCTGCCGCTTCTCCGCCCGGCACGCTGCCGCCTGCAGCCTTTGGCCGGCAGCCATGGGTGCCGCTGTCCACGTCGGGCTGGACCGTCGACTCGCCCGGCTCGCCGACGCCCTCGCGCAGTGGCCACGCTCCGCCCGTCAGCATCCTGTGCAACCCGTCTGCACCCAGCGGGCACGCCGCACCTGCGATTCCGTCTCAGTAGCAGCTCTCCACCGACTGCGCGTCTCCGGACCGAGGTCACCCAGCATCCTCTCTTATTCACGGCGGCCCGTCCCTGCTGGGCCGCCTGTACTATCCTCTGCCGACACCGTCCCTGCCCCTGCTTGTATCTTTAGGCGTGCTTGCTGTCACCGTACCCCTGGGCCATCCCGGCCGACTAACATAAACGAGTCTTTGCCGGGCCGACGAGGGGCCGAGGTGCGGGAGTGTCACGTGGGGTTGCAGGATGGGCTGCCGCGCGGCGGAAGCAAGCAGAAGGCGTCACATGCCCACTCCTCGGCACGGCATAGCGGCGAAGGCTGCAGCTCGGCACGGCGGAGCGCGCCGCTCGGCTTGCGGCGTGGGGGCGCATCGGCACGGCATGGCGTCAGCCAGCACCATCAGCAGGATCTGCTGCGGGCACGGCAGCAGCGCGCATGCACGCGGCACGCCCGGCGACGTCGAGTTGCCGCCCGCTTGCGCGCCTTCCCGCCGCCTCCGCTGCGCCACCGGCACGGCGCAAGCCGCGGCGAGGCACCCGATTGCTTGGCTGCAGCTTAGCCGCCGGCCGCTCGGCACGCCTGCAGGACGGCATCTGCCCACGCGGATGGCGGCGCCGCATGCCGCCCGCGCCTCCGCCCACCACTTCGCCTCCTCTCGCCAGCGCAGCTCGGCACGGCCGAACCACTCAGCTAGACTCAGCCTCGGCGTGCCGTGTGGGCGCAGCGTATTGAGTGCCGCCTGTGCGAGCGAGGCACGCCTGCCGCTCCGCGGACAGCCCCCTTGACGCTGCCGGCCGGCCGCGCTGCGCCGTCTCTCGCGCCCTCGGCACGCCCGGCAGCCCTGCTTTCGCTCCACTCGAACCCCCCTTGCCGGCGCTGGCCCGTCCGCTCCTGCTCTCTCGGCCTCGCATCTGCATTCCATCGCTCATCCTCCTCAAGACTACCATGGTGTCTTGAACACGCGCGGCAGCCTCGTCTCCGCATCTCCACCTGCGACCCCCTCCTCCTCCTCCTCCACCGGCCATGTCTGCGCCCTCGGCGGCGCCTGCCGCTGCCTCTGCGCCTGCGCAGCCATCACCGCCGTACAGCGAGGCGCCTCCCGCTGCGCCGCCGGCGTCATACTTTCCCGTGCCGGCGCCGCCGCCGGCGCCGCTCTCCACCGATGCGGCGGACCTGTCGGATGTGAAGCTGGAGGGCACGGAGGACCCGCGCAACTGGTCATCGACGCGCAAGTGGTCCACGGCGGCCATCATCTCGTTCATGGTGAGTGTCTCGGTGATGTCGCGACAGGCGTGTCTGACGCCTGTGCAGGGTTTCATCTCGCCGCTGGGCTCCTCCATCGTCGTGCCTGGCTCGGCCGCCATCGACTTTGACTTCGATCTGGGCTCGCAGATCCTCTCGCTGCTGCCCGTCTCGCTCTTCGTGCTTGGCCTTGGCATGGGCCCGTTCATCCTGGCGCCCGCCAGCGAGCTCAAAGGCCGTCAGCCCGTGTACCTCGTGTCGAGCGTCGTGTTCGTCCTCTTCAACGTCGCCACGGCGCTGGCCCCGAACCATGCCGCGCTTGTCATCCTGCGCTTCCTTGCCGGCGCCGCCGGCAGTGCAGGCCCGAGCCTGGGCGCCGGCAGCATCGGCGACATGTTCGCGCCCGCCGAGCGTGGTCGTGCACAGAGCCTTTACGGCCTCGGCCCGCTGCTCGGACCGGTCTGCGGCACCATCGCCGGCGGATGGCTCAGTCAGACGGTCCGCTCGTGGCGGTGGCTTCTCTGGGTCCTGACCATCGTGAGTATCGCCGAGCGTAACGCATGGTCCAGCCGAGGCTGACCGTCCACCAGCTCTCCGGCGCCGTCGTCGTGATCATCGCCCTCTTTCTGCGAGAGACGTACGGACCCGTGCTGCTGCAGCAGAAGCAGCGGCGCGTCGCGGCCGAGCGTCTCAAGCAGCTCGAGCTGCTGCGCGAGCACGCCGCCGTGCCGGACTCTGGCGTGCACGAGCAGCACGACGTGCTTCATCGCGTCGTCAGCGCCGGCCGTCCGAGCAATCCGGTGGTGCGGCACATCCGTGCACTCGTGCCGGGCCAGGCGGCCGTCGCCAAGACGAAGCTCGCCTTCAGCCGGCCCTTCCGCCTGCTCTTCACCAACCCCATCTGCGCCTCCTTCTCGCTCTACATGGGTTTCATCTACGGCATCATCTTTCTGTTCCTCACGCAGCACCCGCTGCTCTTCCAACAGCGCGACATGGCGCAGGAGGACGAGCCGCGGCCCGAAGATCTGCCGACGTACGGCTGGCGCCCGGGCCCGGCAAGCATGACGTACCTCGGCCTCGGCCTTGGCTTCCTGACCGCGGCGCTCATCAACGTGCTGCTGCAAGACGCCATCTACCACCGCCTCACGGCGTCGCGTGGCCGCGTCGGGTGGTACCTGTTCGACATTCCCGAGCTCATCGAGCAGCGCATGATCCTCCGCGACGCCAAGAGCCAGTCCAGCGCGCCCGTCGATGTCGAGGCCGCCGCAACCGGCGTGCCGTCGGCGGAGAAGATGCAGAAGCTGGAGCCTGCCTCTTCGATCACGCAAGAAAAGGCAGCAGCTGCTGCCTGGGCGGCCGGGCCCTCGACCGCCGCCGCTGCGCCCTTGACACCGCCTGTGCGCAAGGGCCGGCCCGAGTACCGCCTGCCGCTGTGCCTCGTCGGCATGATCATCCTGCCCATCGGCCTCTTCGTGTTTGGCTGGGCCGCCGACGCGCGCACGCACTGGATGGCGCCGCTCGTCGGCTCGTATCTCGTCGGCATGGGCTCCATCCTGCCCTTCCAGGTGATCCTCGTCTACCTCGTCGACGCCTTTGTGCCCTTCTCGGCCTCGGCAACGGCCTGCGCCGTGCTCGTGCGCAGCGTGCTGGCCGCCGCCTTCCCGCTCTTCGCACAGAAGCTCTTCGTCAGCATCGGCTACGGCGCCGGCTCCTCGATTCTCGCCGGCGTCGCTATTCTCGCCATTCCCGTGCCGCTGATCCTCTTCTGGAAGGGCGAGGGCCTCCGGCAACGGTACAAGTTCACCGGCTGAGGCACCGCCCCACCCCCCCTCCCGCTGTTGCTCCGCTCGTCTGCCTACCATACTGCATCTGTACTTTTACTTCATCGCAATCCACACAGTCTCCAGGCTTTGGCATTGCCATTGTTGGTGCCGGATGCTGCCAACTGCAGCCCGAGCGGCTCCGGGCAGCTTGGTGCTCCGCGATGCCGGCGGCGGCCAGGCCCTATGTCGCTCTGGCAGAGGCGGAGAGCGACACCTGCAGCGACGCGGTCGCACAAACTTGCCCCAGGGTTCGAATCCTGCAAAGCTTTGTGCGGATGGCGGCGCGCGGGAGTCGTGCGGGCCCCCCGCCAGACGGCCCGCCGCCGCGCGAGGACGCTGCCAGCACCAGACGCGGCTCTGGCGGCGGCTGCTTACGACTCCCGCGAGTCCCTGATCACTCTCTCCTCCGGAGTCGGAGTTAGCAGCGCTGATCGGCCCACCGCCTGCGAAGCCACAGGGGAGAGCAGCGCCGAGTAGCAAGCACTGCCACGCCGCGCCGAGTAGCAAGCACTGCCATGCCGCGCCGGCGTCCGAGAGTCTGGACGAGAAGGCGTCGAGCTTGGCACGTGTAGCCTGCCCTCGCAGCGCGCAGTCAGCGCAGCGCTCCGTGCCGAGGCTTCTCCTTGTGGCTGTGAGAGTCAGAGCGGTGAATGCAGGGGAGGGCGGCGGCGGCGGACGCTGATGTGCGGCACGGCGCCAGCGCCGGCACGCGAAGGCGCGCGGCCCTCCACTCCCGGCGCGCGCGGCTGCGGGGTCTTGACAGCTTGCGAGCCGTGCCGCCGCGCGCGCGCTTGGCACTCGACGACCACCATCCTCAACCTCGCCGATTAACCAGCATGGCCTCCGTCCTGAGCGCTCTCTCCGCCGCCGTGGGCTGGTCCAGTCCCGCGGCACACGACGCTGCACTGCAGAAGGAGGTGAGCTGCGTGCCCGCCGTCCCTCTGGGCGGGTGCTGATAGCTCTGCTGCGATAGCTGCGCATCAAGTCGCTCCACATCCACCCGATCAAGTCGTGCGCCGGCAGCTCCGTGCCTTCAGGTGCGTTCCAAGCTGGGCTCTCGATCCGCTGCTCTGACTCTCTACCCAGCGACGATCCAGCGCGCCGGCCTCGCCTTCGACCGCACCTGGCTCATCATCGATGCCGCCACGCGCGCCTTCTGTACGGCGCGCGGCTCGCCGCACATGGTGCGCATCCGGCCCGTGCTCGATCACGAGGCGGGCCTGCTGCGCATCTACGTGCCCAATTCGGCAGATGAGCCGGCATCGGGAGAGACGGAGGTGGTGGTGCCGCTGACGCCGTCGGATGAGGAGCTGCGGCAGTGCGAGCTGGTGGAGGACGTGGAGATCTGGTGAGTGCCGCGAGCTGGCTGCATGGGAGAGCCGTCCCGATGTGATGGAGCGCTGCACGGCTTCTTGCTCCATTCTGTTGCTGAGGAGGCTCTTCAGGGGGTACAAGGCAGACGGGTACGCGGTGTCGAAGGAGGCAGACGAGGCGCTCTCTGCGTTCATGGGCAAGCCCGTGCGGCTCCTGCGAAAGGGCCCGAAGCACCGCCCGGGAGTGAGTGGAACAGTGCTGAGGGTGCGGGTCGTCTGTCTGACGAGCCGAGCAGGGCGGCGACGATCCGCGCGGCGACGAGTCCGAGACGGCGTTCCAGGACTTCCACAGCCTCACGGTGGTGTCTGCCGAGTCGCTGGCGCAGGTGCAGGAGACGCTGCTCGCGAGCGTCTACCCTGAGCAGGACAGCGCCAAGGCGCTGGAGGCGTATCCTGTCTCCGAGCGGGTAGACCGAGACTTCTGGACGCGTGAGTTGAGCCCGCTCTGTCTCGGCCGGCGTTGCTGCTGACGTCTCGACCTAGCGGACCGCCTGCGCTCCCTGGCCATCGAGCGCTTCCGCATCAACATCGTGCTCGAGACGCTGCCGAGCTCGTCGCGCCCGGCACTGCAGGCGTGGGAGGAGGACTGCTTTACGCATCTCGAGGTGTTCCCGGCAGACGCTGCCGATGATGTGGACTTTGGCGCCGAGGTCAAGGGCCAGGGAGTGGGCATTGACTGCAACGCGCGCTGCGCTCGCTGCCTGGTGCGTGGTGTCAGTGAGAGGTGGCAGGAACGCTTGCTGACAAGTCGTGCCTCAGGTGCCTACCGTGGACCCCGAGACAGTGAGTCATGCTCTGCCATCCTCTGGCGCTGTGATGCTGACATGGTCGCAGGGCAAGCGCGATAAGGCACAGATGCCCTACTCGCTGCTGCAAAAGTACCGCCAAGTGCAGCCGGAGATGCAGAAGATCGGCAAGCCGTGCTGTGCGTGACCGACTCGCGCCCTGCGCTGACGCGCGTGCTGACTGTGATGCCTTGCAGTTGGCATGCTCAGCTCGCCAAGTCAGGAGAGCGGCGCGCTGCACGTCGGTGATGTGGTGCGGTGAGTGCGACAGCAGAGCGAGCGACGTCCTGCGATCACTGACGCCCGACCTCACGCCCTCTCAGCGTCACGGCCACGAGAGATCCGGCGACACGGCCGCTGACGAAGTGAGGCTTGGTTCAATGGTATTGCTGCTTCTTGCTGTGCGCTTGGGCTCGTACTGGGCTCTATGTGTGAGCGCGGGCATGAGAGAGCGCCAGGCTCAGCCACTTGGCAGCATCAGGCCGCACCACGCTGGAGGTCGGCGTCTTGCCATCGGTCCGAGGCTGCCGATCGGGAATCGGGATTTCCGCCGCGGCGCGCGTGCGCGCACGGATGACGGCACGAGCGCCCGCCAGGATCTCCGTACCGCTCGGCGATTTGGCCGGCCATGCCGCGAACTTCCCGCGATGCGGAGCAGGCCCTTCCTGTCCACACACCACCACATTCAGCATGTCACTCCCTCGCACTCTCCTCCGGCCCGCCGCACGTGCGCTCGCCCGGCCAGCTGCGCTGCCTCGCAGCGCCCCTCGCGCCCTAAGCACCTCGGCGTGCCGTGCGTCCGACAAGCCGCCTTCGCACGCCGCCGTGGATGCACGCCTGTCGCGCGCCTCGAACAAGCTTGAGGCTGATGCAAACGAGCACATCGGCCACGAGACTGTCGGCGGCAAGCGCAAGGTGGGCAAGCACACGCAGCGCACGCTTGCGAGCTTCAGCATGGTCAGTCGACTGGCCCGCCACAGCTCCTAGCTCGCGGCTCACAGGCTGTGCAGGAGAACAAGACCTGCGTCGTCACGGGCGGCACTCGCGGCCTGGGCAACCTGATCGCGCGCACGTTCGTCGAGTCGGGCGCCTCGCGCCTGGCCATCCTTGACCTGGACGCTGGCGAGGCGCAGGCTGCGGCTGCCGAGGTGGTGCAGTGGTTCGAGGACCACGGCCAGGCGGAGAAGGGCGAGGTGGAGGCGCTGGGCATCGGCTGCAACGTCGCGAGCGAGGAGAGCGTGACGCAGGCCATGAAGCAGATCAAGGAGCGCTTCGGCTCGATCGATGTGGTCGTCAACAGGTGAGGCCAGGCCGGCGCTGGGGTTGTCGTGTCGTTGCTTATGGTCCTGCGGCTGCCAGCGCTGGCATTGTCCACAACTTCCCGGCTGAGGAGTACCCGACTGACAAGATGAAGCTGGTGAGGGGCCTTGTCTGCGCAGCACAGTGCTTGTCTTGACGCTCGCACACAGCTGTACGACGTCAACATCAACGGCAGCTACTTCGTGGCGCGCGAGGCCGCCAAGCACATGCTGCGCGACGGCACGCAGGGCTCCATCATCCTCATCGCCAGCATGAGCGCCGGCATCGTCAACATCCCGCAGGCGCAGGGTGCGTGGCCGTGAAGGCGCAGCTAGAGACGCTTCCGCTCATTCACGCCGCTCTGCAGCGCCGTACAACGCGTCCAAGGCCGCTGTGCGGCATCTCGCCTCGAGCCTGGCCGTCGAGTGGGCGAAGCGCGGCATCCGCGTCAACTCGCTCTCGCCGGGCTACATGGCCACGGCACTGACGAAGCAGGTGCTGGAGAACAGCCCCGAGGGCAAGGAGCTCAAGGCCAAGTGGGAGAGTCTGACTCCAATGGGCCGTATGGGCGAGCCGGTGCGTTGTGATGTGGAATAGTGGCGCCATGGCAACGCTCACCGCCAGCTGCTCGCAGGAGGACCTCAAGGGCGCGGCGATCTATCTCGCCAGCGACGCCAGCAAGTTCACGACCGGTGAGTGGACCTCTCTCTGCCTGTGCCTGGCTCCGCTCACGCATCTATCGCGCGCAGGTCAGGATATCGTCGTCGATGGCGGCTACGTCTGTGTGTGATAGAATTACAAAAGTGCGGTCTCATGGTCTCCGCCGCGGCCAGCCGCGGGCGCGAGGGATGTATCGTGTGTTCTGTATCGCGTGCGGTAGCGGGAACGAGGTATCAACGGAAGGGTCACGAGGCGGATCGTGCGGGTGCGGCTCGCGCCGCAGTGGGACTGAGCAGCTCCGGCGACTCTTCGCGCACGCGGTGCGAGCGCATGACGGGCGTGCTCGAGGCGAGCGGATCGGCTAGCTCGGAGACGGGCGAGGGGACGGAGAGACGGAGGAAGGGAAAGAAGCTGTCGCCGTGGCCGTGCTGCGTGGAGGGCGTGTTGGAACCGGACAGCGGCGTGGTGTGGCCACGCGAGTGGACGTTAGAAGGCGTGCCGACGAGCGATGGCGGTGCGCTGGAGGTCGGCGAGAAGCCCTCGGTATTTGTGGTTGGCGAACCGGAAGCTGCGACAATCGCCTTGTAGAAGGCGGAGTCGAGGCCCTCCGACGTGCGTGGTGCAGAGAAGTCGCCGGCGGCAGAGACGTCTTGCGAGGTGAGCTGCGGTGCGGCGGCGTGCTGCGCCAGCGCCGGAGCAGTGGGCGACATGAGCCGAGAGATGCGGCGGCGGCGCTCCGCGATACCAGGCACTGGCATGGGCGTAATGCTCGTAGGGCTGCTGGCCAGCAGGCTCTCATCGCCCGCGACGCTGGCAGCCGAGTGGATAGACATGGCCCGACGTGACGGCAGTGAGCCGTGAGCTCCTCGAGCTAGGATGGCGGGACTGTCGAGCGCCGCACTCGCAAAGCCGCTGCCGGAGTTCGAGCGAGGGATGGTGCTGAACGTCGAGCTGGCGCTCATGCCGCCCTCGAGACTGCTGATGCTTGCCGGTCGGCTGAGCGAGGTGCTGGCGCGCTTGCGATTCAAGCCAAAGTCGGGCCATGCGGGTAGCCAGGCGCTCATTGCGGGCGACTCGGCGGGAGCTCCGTGGCTGCCGGATGACCCTTCTGGGCTCAAGCTGCGCTGCGGCTGGTGCGTGTCCCGAGCTGGAATCGGGTGAGGTGTCGCCGTGGCAGTCTTTGGCATGCTACCCGGCGAGACGGCCTCTTCGGACGCGGCTCTGGTGAAGAGCGACATGGCGGACCAGCCGTCGACGCTCATGCGGCGGACCGGGCGCGGCACTTGCACACCGCCTTCGCTGCCCGCACGCGACATGGTCTGGTTGCTGTCCACGAGCGGGCTGCCCATCACGCGGACTGTTGGCGACGTAGCACCGGTAGCGCCGAGGCTGGCGGCGCGCTCGATGGCGAGCGCACGATCTGCCGCCGAAGCCGCGGCCGACGAGGCGACGGGCTTGCGGCGCACGATCTGCGGCCGGATATGCAGTGCCGAATGGCTGCTCGACTGGGCAGAGCCCTGGCGCTGAAGGCTGAAAGTACGGTCCCTTGCGAGATCGGCGGCCGGGTCGCCGCTAGCGAGATCCTCGCCCAGAATGCCGAGCACGCTCTGAGGCCGGCTTCCGCGACTCCGGGCTGATCCAGCGAGTGAGGCTGGCAAGCCAGGCACCTTGAAGCCGTCGTTGCTGCGCAGAACATTGATCTCTAGGCTACTGGGCGCCTCTTCGGCGCTGCCGTTGCCAGAGCGAGATTGCGAGCTGCCAGAGCGCGCCATGCTGACGCTGGTGCCAAGGTGCGCGCCAGCCGGCAGAGAGACACGTCGCGCACGGGCTTCGGAACTCGTGCTCCAGCTGCCGCTGCTGTACGTCGATGTGAGCGGCGGCCTTGTCATTTGACTGCTGCTTGGCGGGGCGTGCGAGGAAGACGACGCCGTGGAGCGAACACTGGCGTTGCGTGAGAGCGCGTGGCCGTCGCTGGACTTGGCATCCGTGGATACGGAGGGCAGCAAGCGGAGCGGATCACCTCTGAGCCACTCTAGTGCAGCCTCGAAGGTTGTGAGCGCCCACCTGCAGATTTGCGTCAGCTCATTTCAGCGCACGCGGTTCTTCAGTGAACTCACTGTGCTTCTGCGGATGCGTCCTCCATCATGCCGAACATCTTGGCGTAGGCGAGGCAGCTGGGCATGGCCTGCGGCCGTGCCCTGACAATGACGCTTACTACGATGGGCAGCAGCTCATCGGCGCCCAAAGGCGTAGCTTCGGCCTCAATGCCACTCAGGCTGGCGCGGCTGCTAGCCACAGTGACAGAGGCTGCAGCGTCGCCAATGGCTGCCAGCGTCTTGCGTAGGATTGAGATGACGTCTTGCGGAGTGCGCACGCTCGGCGGGCTGCTGTCTTGTCTGAGTGCTGCGAGGGCGGGCACTGGAAGCGCAAGCAGCGCATCCGAGTCGAGATCCGGGATGCCTAGCGCCTTCAGCGACGCTACCGCACCATCGAGACGAGCGGGCCGAGCGCGCAGAGCCTGTACTGTGATGCCGAGTGCTGCTCCGCTCACGCCTGAGCGCGAGTAGACGTTGAGCAGCGCATCGACGCTCTCGTCCGTCTCCCGCTGGCTGTCCCGCACAGCGGCATAGAGGCGTCCGTGGAGCAGGCCCATCGCCACGTTCTCGCAGATGTGCGCAAGACGGGAGCGCGCGGCACTTGCGAGGCGGACCGGCGCGGCGTCAAGCACCTCCATCGCCGGTGCGACGACGCCGCGGCGGATGCGCACCGAGTCGTAACCCTCGAAGCCCGGCACGAGCACGTACGAGCTGCGCAGCGAGCTTGCGGCGCGCTCCAGAGCGGCATACATCGATCGCAAAGTCGGTGCCAGGGCAATGAGCGTTGCGGGTGGGGCGCGCAGCAGCAGCGCATCTGCAAGCAGGCCACGCTCGCCGCCAGTGGCCGCAGAGAAGACTTCAGTGCTGAGCGATAGCTGTGCCGCGCGGTCCGCGTCGCGGCTGTTCTCGCCCTCGTCAGACAGCGCGCTGGTCGGGAATGCGATGCTCCCTGCCGGACTCGGCTCTGCAGACGGGTGCGCAATCGAGTTGCCGCGCTGCAGCTGATTCGGCACGACCAGACCGGAGAGCAGCAGCACGCGGATGCGGATCTTCTCGCGGCCAGCCGGCGCGGTGTTCGGCCGCGAGACGACTTGGAAGCCGGGGTCGGAGCTGGGCGGAGCAGGCGAGGCCGCACGCGCCTGTGTGCGGTACACGACAACCTCGGACGTCACTTCACGCACTAGCTCGATCGCCTCCTGGCCGGCTCTGCTGAAGGTGATGTGCACTGTGCGGCCCCCGGCTAGCTTAGCTGTCACGACTGCATCGTCCCACGCAGACGGCTCGTGCTGGACCTCGCGTACGTCGTCGCCCATCGCATCGCGCAGCAGATCCTGCCTCGTGTTCGTAGGGCTCACCGGACCTGATGCCCGCAGCCCATCCGGCGGCGTGCTTGGCCGGGACACCTTGGCGTCGCTTGCGTGTCGCACGCTGACAAAATGGTCGCGATGGGTGGGCGAAGGCTGCAGCGCGTGCAGTGCGGCCCAAGCTGAGTCCTCCAGCGGCGCCCGACTGGCACGCAGCTCCCGAGCCGGCGGGAGCAGCACAAGACGAGCAGCCTCCCAGTCGGAGCGATGCTCCTCGCCCTCGGAGAGATGCTGGTACAGCGGGTTTTCGTCGAAGTCGTCCTCATCGCCGTCAGAGGTCGAAGCGTTGTCCACAGCGCCGCTTCGAGACGCTGAGACGCTGACGGCGTCGGCTGCTGCGACGAGAGACATGCGCCCGAACTCATCATGCGGAATGCCGCGATGGCTCGCGTTGCTAGACGCCCTGCCGAGTGCAGACAGCTGGTCGATGCTCTGCGCGCGGGGCCGCGCGTAGGCATTGAAGTGGTGCGACGAGCTGGACTCGGGGCCGCGGTACGAGGCCAGGCTCGAGACGGTGAGCGTCGGGCTCAGAGGAGCGCCGCGCGGCTGCTGCTCGAAGGAGGAGGATGGCGAGTGGATGGAGGAGGAGGACGAGGAGAGCGGCGCGGAGATGGTGTAGCGCTTGCGCGAGGCCGCCGACGACGACGAGGCCAAGGCCGCCTGCTGGCGCTCCTGCAGCTGCTGCTGGATCTGCTGCTGCTGGCTGTTCTGCGCCTCCTGGCGGGCCTTTGCCCGCTTGCGGAAGAGGCGCTGCAGTGCGCTGGCCATGGCTGCGGCACAAAGGGGTGGCCCACGAGGGTGTGTGCCGCGGTAGAGCCGACGATGCTCAAGCAGCCAAGGGCGGATGCCGGACACACGAGACAGTGCTCGCGCGCGGGCAGAGGGGCCGTCGCCCCGGGAGAGGAGGCCGGAGCCGGGAGAGGAGAGGAGATGTCGAGAAGGAAGAGCGGGCCGGGCGGCGAGGCGAGGCGCAGGCGGATGCATTCTGCGGCCTCCTCTGCCCCTCTGCTCGCCGATGGCGCTCCCACGCCGCCCCGGATCAGCCCCTGCCGGCGCATCACCGCACCGCCCGGACAAACACGCTAGCCGGCGCGCGGGGTGTGGCTTGCGCCTGCCTCTTTTGGCGTAGCGCGCCGCGTCACGTGCGCGCACCTCCTCCCACGACCCGCACGCCGGCTCCCAGGCAGCTCATCGATTGCCGATCGCTGTCTATTTCGTCTACGTCTGCAGCGGCATGTGCGACTCGGTCGTCTTCATCAGGTACCACCGCGTGGCGGCCTGTGGAGGTGCAGAGCGTCAGTACGTGGCTCATGGCTCTACGCTTCGAGCGACGCACCAGGATCGCATCGTCGACAGCAGTGCCGCCCTCCTCGCCGACGCCCTGCGCGCCCTCGGCCTTGCCGCCGGCACGGCCGCCGATGCTCTTCGACACAAGCTCAGCCCACTCGCGCGCATCGACACCCTTGTCGAGCGCGTCCTTGGGCACAAAGTTGACGTGCGTCACCTTGGCCTTGGTCGCCTGCCCGTCGGCTGCCAGGCCGCCCGTGGCCTCCTCGGAGAAGAGGTAGAGCGCCTTGCCGGCCTCTGCACAAAGCAAAAGCATGAGCAAATAACGTCAGTGTGTGCCAGCGCTCGACTCACTCTTGGCAATGGCGACACCAGCCTGCAGCGCCTTGGCGTTGGACCCGACGTCGGCCTTCTGGATGAGGTAAGTGGCGTCCTTGTTCTCCTCAAAGTACTTGGTCACCAGGTTCTGGAGACGCCCTGTCAGCTCTAGTCACGCAAAGCTGCTGCCGTACCTGCTCACCTGCACCTCCTTGCTCTCGGCCGTCGACTTGGCCTTGGCAGCCGTGTCGATCTTCTTGCGCAGGGCAGAGTAGCGCTCGTTGAGCGCCGCCTTGCGCAGCACAGACATCTCCTGCGTGCCGAGCGCCGGGCCAAAGGCCTTGAGGCCGCTCTCCTGCGCCGCGCGGTCCTCGTTGCGCTCGAGCGCGTCGAGCTTGGCCTCCCACTCGTCGGCAAGGCGCCCGACGGCCGCCGCGTCCTCGCCCGTCAGCGCCACGACACGGCGGATGCCCTTGGCAATGCCGCTCTCCTCGACGATGACGAAGCGGCGGATGTCGCCCGTCTTCGCAACGTGGGTGCCGCCGCAGAACTCAACGCTGGTGCTGCGCCACTTGGGGTTCTCGATGTCCTTGGCCATCTCGGCAACGTCGAACTCGAGCGTGACGACGCGGACCGGGTCCGGGTACGCCTCGCCGAAGACGGCGCGCAGACCGGGGATCTTCTGCGCGAGGTCGAGCGGCAGCTCCTGCGAGTAGACCGGCACGTCACGCTTGATCCAGTCGTTGCTGATGTCCTCGATCTTGCGCAGCTCGGGCAGCGCAATGCCCGACTTGTGGCTGAAGTCGAAGCGCAGCTTCGTCGGCGCCACGAGCGAGCCGCGCTGGTCGATGTGGTCGCCCAGCACCTCGCGCAGGCCGTAGTTGAGGATGTGCGTGGCCGTGTGGTTGCTGCGCAGCGGCGCGCGGCGCAGCTCGTCGTAGCTGGCGACCACGACGTCGCCGACGCTCAGCTCGCCGTACTTGAAGTAGCCAGAGTGCAGCACGTAGCCGTTGTACGACTGCACGTCCTCGACGACGAACTCGGCCTTGCCGTCAATAACAATGCTGCCCGTGTCGCCCTGCTGGCCGCCGGACTCGGCGTAGAAGGGCGTCTTGTCGAGCAGGAGGCCGACTGGCTTGTCCTGTGCGACGTTCGGCGAGGTGGACGAGGGGTGGAAGCCGCTCGCCTGGTAGATCGCCTTGACGGTAGCCTCGACGTTGCCGAGCGCTGCGGGGGCGTCAGTGGACTGCATCGCAGCAGCTGCAGCACACGTCACTCACCAAACTTGAAGCTGTCGTCCGACTTCGGCACGGCGTCGTTCTTCTCGAGCGCGCCCAGGTCGTGCACGTCGAGCTTGGGCATCTCGCTGCCCTCCTTCTTGCCCTGGCCCTTGGAAGCCTCCTTCGAAGCCGCCTGCGCAGCCTCGAACTCGGACTCGCTGAACGTCAGGCCCTGCTCCTCGGCCATGATCTGCGTCAGGTCCACCGGGAAGCCGTACGTGTCGTACAGGCGCCACACGTCCTTGCCGTCGAGCGTCTTGGAGCCAGCCTCCTTGGCGCGGCTGGCGTACTGCTCGAAGAGGCGCTCTCCGCGGTCGAGCGTGCGCGCGAAGGACTCCTCCTCCTCGTTGAGGATCATCTTGATCTCGTCAACGCGCTTGGTGATCTCGGGGAAGAAGCCGCCCATCTGCGCGACGAGCGTGGGCACGAGGTCGCCGAAGAAGTGGCCGATCGGCACCTGGAAGTACTTGCGCACGTAGCGCGTGCCGCGGCGCAGGATGCGGCGCAGCACGTATCCGCGGCCGTCCTTGTCCGGCACGCCGCCGTCGCTCATGGCGAAGGTGAGCGTGCGCACGTGGTCGGCGACGACGCGGTAGGCCGTGTCAATGCCGTCGACGTCCTCGGCGCCAAGCTTGCCGGCGTAGGGCCGCGCGCCGGTCAGCTCGCGGATGCGCTCGAAGAGCGGGATGAAGACGTCCGTGTCGTAGTTGGAGCGCTTGTCCTGCAGCACCGAGACGAGGCGCTCGAAGCCCATGCCCGTGTCGATGTGCCGCGCGGGCAGCGGGCGCAGCGAGCCGTCCGTCTCGCGGTTGAACTGCATGAACACGTTGTTCCAGATCTCGAGCACGTCCGGGTCGTCCATGTTGACCAGGTGCGCGGCGTTGCGCCCGCCGATGCGGTCGTAGTGAATCTCACTGCAGGGACCGCAGGGGCCGGTCGCACCCATCTCTGAGGCACGGCGTGTGAGCCCCGCCCGGCGAGCACAGATGCTGCAGGTGTCGCTCGCCAGACTTTGCACTCACCCCAGAAGTTGTCCTTGGCGTTGCCAGTGAGCAGGTGATCCTCGGCCACACCCATCTCCAGCCAGAGGTCACGCGCCTCCGTGTCGGGCTCCAGGCCCTGCTTGGCATCGCCCTCGAAGTACGTCACGTACAGGCGGTCGGCCGGCAGGCCGTACACCTTCGTGAGCAGCTCCCAGGCCATCTGGATCGCCTCGCGCTGCGGAGATGAAAGAATGAGCCACGCTTCCAAATGACGCAGCAGCCACGTGCGCAGACTGCGCAGACCCTTCGCTGCCAGTCACAGCCCTAACACCAGCTCACCTTGAAGTAGTCGCCGAACGACCAGTTGCCCAGCATCTCAAAGAAGGTGTGGTGGTACGTGTCCTTGCCGACGTCGTCGAGGTCGTTGTGCTTGCCGCCGGCGCGAATGCACTTCTGCGAGTTGACGGCACGCTTGAGAGCGCCCATCTGCGACCCCGGGTCGGCGAGACCAAGGAACAGCGGCTTGTACTGCGTACGAGTCGGGTAAGCGCTGCACAGGGCAGCTCCTAGACGGTAGTCATGCCTCCATGAGGCGCACTGCGCCGCAAGCGGTGCTATTCCGTGTGGTCCCACTCACCTGGTTCATGCCAGCGTTGGCGAAGAGCAGCGTGGGGTCCTCATACGGAATGCACGAGCTGCTGGGCCAGAAGTTGTGGCCGTTCTGCTTGAAGTAGTCGAGGAACGTCTCGCGGACCTTGAGCGCAGGCCAGTGGCCGAACTGCGACTCGGCCACCTCGACGGCCGGCAGCACGTTCTGCTCGGCAGGCATGCTGGGCAGAGAGGGACGCGGCGGGCGGCGGGACGAGGGCGAGTGTGCCTGGCGCAAGAGCTGCGAGGCCTGCGGCACGGCGAGGCGCGAGCGCGAGAGAGCCGGAGCTGGCAGCAGCCGAGGGGCGAGCTGCGACGAGGCGTGTAGCGGTGAAGGAAGAAGCAGACGTCCAGGAGTGATGCGGCGCAAGAGCATCAACTGGAGCGGAGTGAGCTGTGCCCTGGCGAGCGTGGTGGTGAGGCGAGAAGGTGAGTGGTGACTCCCACGCTCAGCGAAGAGGCGCGCCTGTGCGAGAGCGCGCAGCTCCGCGTTCTCCGCGGCGCTTGTGCCGCGGCGCGTCTCGCCCGCGACCCGCGCCGAGACTGGCGGCGTGCCTGTGCTGCGGCCGGCGCGCTGCTGAGCAATGGCCGAGCGAGCGTGCCCTGACCCACCGGGCCCTGAGGCAGCGACGACGACGAGGTCGGCGTCGGGCTGCCTTGCTTCCACATCTCCCTGTCTCGTCTTGCTCAGCCTCTAGACTCGCCGGCGCCGCGCTCTGCCTGCTTCGCTTCGCCTGCCGCTGCCACTCGCCACCGCTTTCGCGCGTTCGCCTCTGCCAGCCCTTGCCTCGCACGCGCGCGCGCGTGAGCCAGGTGCCGCTGCGGCTCTCGCCTCCGCCTCCGGAGGCAGCGCCGTCCGCAGCACCGCCCGAGACGCAGCCCTCTGCACCTTTGAGCCCCACGGGTTCAGAGCGTGCGAGGCTGCGCCGTCGGCTTCCTTAGTGCATGGCGCCGACTTTGCTGGACTGCTGGGCGTGCCGGGACCTGCAGGTGAGTTCAGCTTTGCTAGGTGGCGCAGCAGCTGCCGGAGTCGGCCAGCCGCTCAGCCTGTGGCTGACGCGCTGGCACACACAGCGATTCCGCGCAGTCCTCAAGGGCCACCAGCAGCAGGGGCCGGTCGGCCCCTCGCCGCGCTCGCCGCCGCACCGCTCCTTCTCTGCGGGCGGGCCGGCGCACGGCGGACCATGCCCGCCGGCAGAGGTGAATCGGCGCGACCATCTGGGCCGCACCGTGCTGCACCTCATTGCGTCGAGCACGGAGGGTGCTAGCGTGGACTGGCTCACTGCGATCCTCGCGCACCCGAGTACGAACGTAAACCTGGGCGACGGCGAGAATGGTGAGTGAAACGAGGCGTAGCGCGCGCTGGCGCAGGACTGATGCCGGCTGCAGGCTGGACGCCGCTCCATCGTGCGCTCTACCATGGCAACTTGCTCACAGCGCAGCTGCTGCTGCGGCGTGCCACGGGCTCGGGCCCGGCAGACTACCGCCTGAAGGATCTCGAGGGCCTCACGCCCTTCGATCTCTACAATGCGACGGTGGCTGGCTCTGCGCCCTCGCACCCAGACACGCTGCTGCCGAGCGCACTACAGGTGCCTGCCCTCGCTGCCGGCGAGCTCTACGCCTGGGGCGCGAACCGCAACTACAGTCTGGGCTTCGGCGATGGCGCAGACCGCGTCCTGCCGGACCGCTCGCGCATCGAGGCGGTCGAGGTCGAGGGCGTGCTCAGGCCCGCGGGCCAGCGCTATGACCGCGTGGGCGTGCGGGACGTGGCCATGTCGAAGTTTGCGACGTTCGTCCTGACCGACGAGAGCAGCGCCAACGTGCGGTGTGCGGGCATCAGCGGGCATGGCCGGTGAGTGAGGCATGGTCAGAGCCGGTGCCACAGGCGCTGATGCATGTTGCAGGATCGGGCGCGCACCGCAGACGCAGACCAAGCTGGAGCCGCTGCGCGACTTCCACGAGACGGCCTGCGCCATTGCCGTCGGGCTGGACCACACGTGCATCGTCACGACGACCGGCGCGCTGCTGACGTTTGGGCACAACAAGTTCCAGCAGCTCGGATACGTGCTTGAGCATGGGCAAGGCATCGTCGCCTCGAGCTCCGCGGCAAAGGGCACCGGAGGCGCCGCATCTGCCACCTTTGGCGCGCCGGCGTCGCAAGGGCCTTCGAGCGCCGATCTGGATGTCCAGATCAGCCCTCGGCGTGTCGCCGGTGTGCTCAAGCGAGAGCACGTCCTTGGCGCCGCTGCCGGCAAGCTGCACTCTGCTGCGTTCACCAGTGAGGCGCTCTTCACGTGGGGCACGAACGCTGGGCAGCTCGGTTACGATCGCGCCGCCTCGCCGGTGCAGATCACTCCGCGCAAAGTGTCCGCAGTGACGGCAGCGCAGGCGATCCGGCAGGTAGCAGTGACAGACTTTGCCACTGCCTGCCTGCTGGCATCTGGCGACGTGCTTGTGCTGCACAACGACACGCACTTCATCATCCGCTTCCCGCAGCCCGGCTTCTCGAGCGACATGTCCGTCTTCCGGCCACGCCAGGCGCGACCCAAGCCGCTCATCAAGAAGCTCGTCTCGGGCTCGTCAAACGTCATGGCAGCGGTCAGCGACATGGGCGACGTCTTCACGTTCAGCCTCGGCCATCCCTCCGAGTACGCTTCGTCGGCGGCTGGTGGCAGCGGCGGAGCCACCAGTGCAGCCTCGGCCTCGCGCCAGACCGGCGTCAAGCCGCAGCTCATCTGGTCGGTGCGCAAGAATAAGAAGGTCGGCGCGGCCGAGGACGTAGCGCTGGGCGCGGGCTCCGACATCATCCTCACGACCGAGTCAGGCCACGTCTTTGTGCGCTCCCGGCCAGCGGAGAACAGCAATGCGTCTGGCGGGCAGGGCGCCGGCAAGGGCAAGGCCGGCTGGAAGGCTGTGCCGCTGCTGCAGCGCGTTGTCAAGGTCGCTGCCAACGAGAGCGGTGGCTTTGCCGCCATCAAGACTGACGCAGAGCTGCACGACATCAAGGCGCGCGGCAGATCGCTCGAGGATGACCTGCAGGATCTGCTGCAGCACCTCAAGGCCGCCTCGCACGCGGGTGCCACGTCGGCCGAGGAGCAGCGCAGTATCACGGCCGAGGTTGCTCAGCTCCGCGCCGAGCCTGACGCCGATTCGGACTCTGACTCGGAGAGCGAGGCCGGCGAGTCGTCGGCGGAGCGCTACGTTCGCATGGCGCAGCTCATCGGAGAGGCGGTGCGCCGCTTCCAGCCCGATGGCGGAGCGCCGCGCTTCAGCAAGGAGAGCGTCCTCTCGCCTCCGTTTGGCGTTGACCTCTTCATCGTGGCTGGCGGGCGCTACCTGCCCGCACACCGCGTCATCGTTGCTGCTCGCGTGCCCGCGCTCGCCAAGGTCCTGCAGCAGACTGGCAAGACGGCCGCGCCCCCTGGCGTCGCTGTGAGGCACGGAGGTGGTGCGACGACGCTCGAGCTGCCGCGCTGCTCCTTCCCGACTGCCTGCTTTCTCCTGCACTACCTGTACACGGACGATCTGCCTGCCGTCTGGCTCAGCATCGGCTACCGGGTTGAGGCCCAGTACAAGGCGAGCAAGATCGACCGCACGCAGGTGCGCAGCCAGCTGCAAGCGCTGGCCGAGCTGCTCGACCTCTCCGCCCTCTCTTCGAGCTTGGTCTCGCCCGTGCCGCGGCCGCCCGACCAGACGCTGCGCCCGAACATGCGGACGCTGTTTGCCTCTGCGGTGGACGTTGACGCCTCGCTCTCGCCGCTGCACGACGTCAAGCTTCGCTTCGCAGATCGTACGGTCCCGGCCCACGCTGCTATTCTGCGGCGATCGCCATTCTTCGCGGCGCTCTTGCAGCCGGACTGGACCTTTGCGCGCTGGGAGCAGGGCATCATCACCGTCGACATGTCGCACATGGAGTGGCGCGTCGCACGCATCGTGCTCGAGCATCTCTACACCGACGCCGGCGCAGAGCTCTTTGTGGGCACAGATGCCGGCTGCAAGCTGGACGCCTGGCTCGACTTTGTCACCGAGGTCCTGGCAGCAGCCAACGAGTTGCTGCTGGACAAGCTCAAGCTCGTGTGCAGCTCGCTACTGCGCCGACGCGTGCTGCCGACGAACGTGGCCTCGCTGCTGAGCAACGCCGAGTTCTTCCACGCGCTGCCGCTCAAGGAGGCGACGATGGACTATATCTCGCGCACGATGGAGACGCTCCTCGAGGGCGGGATGCTCGACGAGCTCGAGCTGAAGCTCGTGCGCGACCTCACGCGCCTCGTGCGCCGCAAGCAGGACGAGCGCATGCACCGCACGCCGAACGCAGACTACCTGGCCGCTCTCGTGCTCAAGCATCAGGAGTACTTCGAGTCGCTCGACATTCCGCCGCCGTCGCTCAACCTCGTCAGTCAGAGGTTCGGTCGCAGGCCACCGCGCTCGCCGTCGTGGCGTCCGCAAGACGCAAGCACCCCTGCGCGGCGCGTGCGCTCGTCGATGTCACCGGGAACTAGCCCCGAGGTGCGGGCAACAGGCCTGCCAGCGGCAGCGCAGAACGACGCCGGGCTCTTCTCGATGGACGAAGATGAGGCTGCCAGCCCGGGTCTGGCTGCAGCGCTGGCCGTATCTCGCGCCATGATGCAGCCGTCTAACCTCAGCCTCGGTCCGTCTCGCGCGAGCACGCCCGGCTCGACGCCGTGGCGCTCGCGCACCGTCGAGGCAGATAAGAGCGTACTCAGCGTCTCGCCGAAGGCTGCGCCGGCCGCGCGTCCGCCCGGCGTCGACCTGCGCAGCATCATGGCGTCGGAGCAGGCGCGACGGCCGTCAAGCGGTCTTGTGCCCTCGGTCGCAGGCAACGGCAGCTTGCCGGCATCAGCTGCACCCTCTGGGACGGCCACGCCTGTCAAGCAGCCGCCTGGCAGCGACGCGGTGCCACTCAGCTTGACTGCCAAGCTGTCGCAGCGCGACCGCAAGAAGCAGCAGCAGCAGCTGGCGCTACAGCAGCAGCCACAGTCTGGTGCCTCTGGCGCGTCTCCGCAGGCAGGCACGCCCAAGACGTGGTCGCCGACGCTGTCTCCCTTCAACGACCGCAAGCCGAGCGTCTCTGGCGCATCTCCCTGGGCGGCGATCAGCAAGGCTCAGACGCCCGGCAGCCAGCCTGTGCCAGCCATGGACCTCGACTCGTCCTCGCCTCTGCCTGGCGCTGCGTCGTCCTCGCGAGGACGCGCACCGTCAGTGGCGCGCACCGTCTCTGACACGGCGCCTGCGGCTGGCCTGCCTGCTCTTGGGCCGACCATCACGCCGCAGCGAGGCGTGCGACCACCTTCCCGTCGCAACGGCAGCGAGGTGGCCTGGGCAACCTCCACGCCGTCCTTTACGCCGCCGGCTGTTGCGCCGCCTGCCGGGCCGGCCTTCTTCTCCTCGTCGCCCTCTCCTTCGCCTGCTGCGCGCGCACAACGCAGCGCTTCGTCTCAGATGCCAGCAACGAGTCCGCCGGTCAGCACGCCCGGCCCTGCGCCACGCTCCTTCGCCGCCATCCAGGCCGAGGAGCAACAGCGGCTCGAGAATGCAGCTGCGGCACAGGCGAATGCCAAGAAGAAGAGCTTCGCGCAGCTCATCGAGGAGGACCGTCTCGAGGCGGAGCGGCGCGAGCAGGCGGAGCGCGAGAAGGAGGCGTTCGAGGCGTGGTTCGAGGAAGAAGCACGCCGTCTGAGGATAGAGGAAGGTGGCAGCCCGGCTCCTGCATCTGGCAACGCACCGAAACGAGGCGGCGCAAAGGGCGGCAAGGCCAAGGCCAACAAGGAGCAGCCTCCTCGCGGCCCGAAGCAACGCGGCGGCAAGACGAATGACGCCGAGGCTACTGGTGCAGCAAGTGCTGCCGGCACACCAGACGGGCCCTCTGATGCGCCTCCTCGAGAGGGCGCTGGACGAGGTAAGGGTCGCGGTCGCGGCGGCAAGGCACGCGGAGGAACACCCAACGAGGCTGGCGCGAAGGCAGCGCCGGCACCTCCGCCCAGCCGCGCACACCTGGACCCCTCTGCGCCGGCCTTTGCGCCACCACCTGCCTCTCCCGCCCCGCCTACACGATCATGATGTGGTTTAGCAGTGGACTTGCTCGGTGTGCGTCGCAGTGGGACTCTAGAAAATGTCACGAGTGTATCGCATGTCAAAAGTGTGAGATTACAGAGGCCTCCGGGTCCGTAGTAAAATCTGCCGCTTAGGCAAACACGCGGCCGAAGAAGGCCGTCGTGGCGGCGATCGACTTCTTCCACGACTCGTTGACCTTCTCGTCGTTGACGTCGGGCCGTGCGCCGAAGCCGTGCACCGTGTTGCTGCAGGGGAGAGGTCAGACAGGCCGCGCGGCAAGGGCAGTCTGGGCAACTCACGGGTACGTCGTCGAGGCCTCGTCAAGCAGGTTCTTCTCCTTGAGCGTCTTGAACCACGTGTCCTTGGCCTCGCCGCCGAAGAGCGGGTCCAGCTCGGCGGCGTTGATGAGGACGGGCACAGTGATCTGCGCCGCCTCGTCGGCCTCGACCATGGAGGGGTGGTAGAGCACGAAGGCGTCGATCAGCTTCTCCTTGGCGGCCATGACGGCCGTCTTGCCGCCGCTGCAGAGTGGCGTTAGCAAAAGGGCGAACTGCCGTGGCTACGAGAAACGCACTAGCAGTAGCCGACGATGCCGACCGGGCCGTTCTTCTTGGCCTCGGCGATCACGGGCTTGATGAGCGCAAACGTCTCGTCGAAGCCGTGGCCCTTGCCCATCCTGCGAGGATGCGTCAGCACCTCCACGGACACGGGCGCACCACACGCGCTGCTCACCACTCCTGGAAGTTGCCAAAGTTCTTGCCCATGGCCTCCTCCGACGGCGGGCCCTCGCTGGCCTTGCTGGGCAGCACAAAGTCCTTGGGGTTGATGGGGTCGCCCTTGAAGTAGTCGACGGCCCAGACGGTGAAGCCGGACTGCTCGGCGAACTTGTCGGCCACGATCTGTGCACGAGTGTGAGTGATGTGCATAGGGGAGAGAGTCGCCCGCAGCGCCTCTTGCGAAGCCGCAGGTATGCATAAGCATGCTCAGAGGAGCAAGAGGGGCTCACCTTGGGGTTCGTGATGCCCAGGCCGTAGATGTCAGGCGCGATGAGCTGTACGTAGTGAGCGTGTCAGTCGACTGCTGCAGCAGTGCACCCTGTGCCGCCACGCACGATGGTGCCCTTCTTGCTGCCGGGCGCCACGTAGGCGTCGAGGCCGGCAATCTTCTCCGTCTTGCCCGACGGCGAGCCGGGGATCTCCTTGAGGTCGATGCAGCCGCTGCAGAAAGACATGGTGATGAGGTTGTTGGTTGGTGAGGTGGGTGTGTGATGTTGGTGTGGTGGTGAGAAGGAGAGGTTGGCAGCGGCATGCATGGCTAGTCGAGTATGCGCGCTCCGCTGCCGCCGGCATCGGAGCGGGGGCGTCCTCCACCTCCATGCCCGTGCACACCGCCGTCGCACGTGTCTGTGCCTCTCTCCACAGCCAAGGCCCCCACTCGGTGCTGCAGTTCTGCCTGCTCTCTGCGCAGGGATGCAGCCGATGCGGCACAGCAGCAGCAGAAGGCCGCCGCATTCCGGCTCTCGCTGTCGGGCGCTCCTGCGGTTGGCCGATCTTCGCGCGTCGGCCTCCACTCGCTCCGCGGCGACGAGCTTCCTTCGGCATGAGACGGCTTCCACGGCATCGTCTGCTTCTCCTGCCCCTCAAAACCACGGCTTGACCTCGCACAGAACGCACCACCCATTGGCGGCATGGTCCGCTCCTACTGCCGTCTGCGTTGTGCCGATGCTGCGTCCTGTGCAGGCAGGCGAGATCTCGCGCTGGAGAGGAGGTCAGCCGGCGCAGGACGGGTGAGGTGTACGCAGGCACTGGAGCAGTGTCGGCATTTGCCGCACGGGCCGCTCGCGCTCGATGTGGAGGCGCGGCTGCTGTGCCTTCCTGTCCTCACCTCATGAGACAGCGTGAGGCCTTGCGAGCTGCTGAGGACGTCTCGACGAGCACAGTTGCGCTCAAAATCCAGAGCTGAGTGTGCCTGAGTACGAGGAGTTGCAAGAGACATGTGCGATGCTGGAGGGAGATGGAGGAGACGATGCAGGAGGAGCTGAGATCAGAGACTTTCGCAACAGCAGCAAGCCGTCTCTCCATCCCTTCTCGGCAGTGCTCACCGCTCGCGGTTCGGTACAGCTCTCCTCGCTCTTTAACAGCTCGTCCCAGCATCGTCTTGCTCACGGTTTGCAGACGCAGCTGTCGCTGCCGCTCTCTCTAGGGCAGAGGCGCCTGCGAGGCGACGGCAGGTCAAGTTTAAGTCCGGCTTCCTGAATGAGAGTAAGAATGCACGATGTCCATTTTTGTATTCCCCCCGCGCTCGCCCGGAGTTAGCGGCCAGTTGCCCGGCTGCCGGAGCCGCCTCCACGTAGACGTCCTTCGCACCGCTCGGCTTCACTCCACCACTACCCAGCCTCTACCCACACACACATACTGCAACATGGCACCCTCGCAGATGAAGGCCCTCGTCGCGGCCGCCGAGCACACGACCGAGGTCAAGACGATCAGCGTGCCCAAGCCCGGCGCCGGCGAGGTGCTGATCAAGGTGCGGCGCGCCGAGGCAGCGGCGGGTGTGCAGGCGCTGACGAGCCATGCGTAGGTCGTTGCCATCGACCTGAACCCGACTGAGTGAGTGATAGAGCAGCGGGAGCTGGTGTCTAGGACGTGCGCTGAAGCCGCGCCGCAGCTGGAAGCACGCCAAGCTCATGAGCCCGCCGGGCGTCATCATGGGCTGCGACTTCCTCGGCACGGTGGAGGACTCCAACGGTACGGACATCGCTGTGAGTGCTGCCAGTGCTGCTCGAGCTGCATCTTGCATGCCTCTGAGACGCATACACGCCTACAGGAGGGCACCAAGGTTGCCGGCTTCGTGCACGGCGGCAAGTACGAGGACCGCGGCTCGTTTGCAGAGTACCTCGTCTCGCCGACGTCGGTGCTCACCAAGGTGCCGGACAATGTCAAGGACGAGGTGGCCGTCAGCATTGGTATTGCCGGCTATACGGCTGTTCAGGTGAGCGTGGCTCCAGACTGCAGATGCCGGCGTTCGGGTTGACATGCTCTTGATAGGCGCTCTACATCCGCCTCGGCCTCGAGAAGCCGACGAAGGACTCGACTTCGCTGCCGCAGCTTGCCGAGGATGCGCCTCAGCTGCTCGTCTGGTCGGGCGCCACCTCTGTGGGCCAGTAGTGAGTGTTGCTGCCCGTCGCACACATGCGCACGCAGCTGAGCCTGGTGCGCAGTGCCATCCAGCTGGGCCGCGCGTCGGGCTACCACGTCATCACGACGGCCTCGCCCAAGAACCACGAGTACCTCAAGTCGATCGGTGCCGCCGAGACGTACGACTACCGCGACGAGAGCACGCCGGAGAAGATCGCAGAGGCGCACCCCAAGCTGAGCCACGCGCTCGACTGCATCAGCGAGAAGGGCACGCAGAGCCTCGCCGCGCGCAGCCTGGGCAAGAGCGGCGGCAGCGTCGTGGTGCTGCTCAAGCCGGAGAAGGACGCCATTGCGCTGCGTGAGGACGTCAAGATCGTGCACACGCTGTGAGTGCCCACATGTGCGCGCAACGGTTGCCGTGCTCACGCAAAACTTGTACAGCGCCTACGCGCTGCTCGGCAAGCCGTTCAACTACGGCCCGGCCGAGTTCAAGGAGGACTTTGTGAAGAGCGAGAACGAGAAGCTGCAGCCTTTCACCTCTGGCGGTATCCTGCGCCACCTGCTGCGCAGCGAGCTCATCAAGGGTAACAAGATGAAGAAGATGGACGGCGGCCTGGAGAGCGTGCCGCAGGGAATGAAGTACATGGAGGAGGGCAAGGCGAGTCCGCTGTGGTCCGCTAGACCCCTGCTCGCTCGCTCACGCTGCTCTAGGTCTCGGCCGAGAAGCTGTACTACCTCCTCTGAGTCGGGGACGAGGCAGACACAAAGCCGAGGGAGATGCAGCTGCAGGCACCAGGCTTGGGCTCGTCAATGACACACTGCGCTAGCACATCTCTGCCGCCAGTGCCTGCGCCAGCGTGCAGGTACGACGCTGCCCGCCTCGCGGCAATGTCCTGGCCTAGCTTGGCCGGCCGTGGAGATCCTGGGCCGAGAGATGCGAGAGACGGAAATCTTGGGCCCGCCTCGATGCCTTTCGCCCATCGACGGCCGAAGGGATGCATGCAGGGGTTCGGAAGTGGACAGGATCTGCGGTCTCCAGACGCAGAGATGGCGTGCTCAGGATGAGTAGACGCATTGAGATGCTCCCTGCGCCGCCGGCATTGCTGGTCATCTTTCGGGCAGCTGACAGTCCGGCGCCGGTGGCCAGGCAATCTTCGCAACACGGGGCCCCATGCAGTAAAGCAGCCAGTGCCTGGCGGCTCGCGCCAGCGGGTGCTAGCACCTAGAGGAACAAGGTTCAGGGCACGCCCTGCTCCCTCTGGCCTATTCCTGGCCACGAGTCTCGCGAATCTCTCCCCTCTTTGCCGTCGGCACTGCGAGGCTTACCCCACAGAAGACGCACACTTGCAGCCCACTGCATGCTGGGTGCCGAGGCGTGCAACGTGCAGCTAGTCCAGGGGCTCGCATGACAGCGGGCGAAATGAGCGTCTCCTCCTCGAGCAGCTGCGCTGTGTCAGCGGCACAAAGCTGGAGAGCGGGCGATGTTGATTGCCCAACGGGCCCTGGCTTGCAGCGAAGCGTGCATCGGCATACTGGGTGCTCTTTGTGCTGCTGCGTCCAGCGTCGGCCGGCCCAGCCGCAGCCGGAGGAGCTCGAGCGACGAGCAGGCTGACGTCGAAGCACGCCGGTGGCCGCTGTGGGTCATTGCGCCGCGCCTGACACCGCGCAGCTGTGCACTGCACGCACCGCGGCGCCATGCTCGGCCTGTTGATCTGAGTTGGCCACTTGGCTCGACCGAGCGCTGCGGCTGCCGAAGCTTCTGCCGGGCCCGGCGGAAGAGGCAAGACGGGGCAAACCCCAGCATTCAGCTGCGAGCGGAGAGGGAGCGAGCATGAGCATGGCGCGGGGTAAGCGGAAGGGATCTGCACGTCTAGCTCCGGCAATCTGCGCCACAGGCTGCCAGCAGGGGAGGAGCAGCAGCACACCTTCCGCATCTCGGGGCCGGCGGGCGGCAGCTGTCGGGCGAAGCGGCGGCCGGCGCGGCAGAGGCGGCACCGGCAGCAGCGGGCGGGGGCAGCGGGCCAAGCTGCCCCAGGGGCCTCCGGGCGGGCAAAGCGCCTGTCCAAGGGGCCGCAGCACGTTCTCGGCTCCGGAGCGGGCGGGGCGAGATCTCCGCCGCAGCACGCAGCATCACCTGGCAGCGGCGGAGCGGAGCAAGGCGGGGCCCCGCACCCGAGCTGTGCTCGTGCACGCGACAGGCGCGAGGCGCTCAGAGCGTAGCGGTGCCGTCGGGTGCATCTCTGCAGGCGGCGAGATGGCCGGCGGCGCATCAGATGCAGCGGCGAGCCGCCGGCGGAGGCAGCGCAGCCGCAGCTGCCGCGCTGCAAGCGAGCTGCCGAGCCGCGGCAGCAGCGGCTGCGGGGTGCTGCCGCGACGCTCTCGCGGCGGGCAAAGCGCCGCGCTGGACCCCTCGCTCCGCGCCGCAAGAGACACAGCGCCGCTGCTGCTGCCGCTGGGGCTGCCGCTGTACCCTGCACGCTTCGGCTCCAGTGCCACACACGCGCACGCTCGGGATTATCTGATGGCCATCTCTGCGCCGCTGCCGCCGTTGCGCAGTGGCGAGGCGGCCGAGCGCGCCCCTCCTTCGTCCGACGGCAATCCCTGCGCCGCGACGTCAAGCATGCAGCGCTGACTGCTGCTGAGTGCGCTCGGAGATGCACACTTGCTCAGCAAACCGGAGATTGCCGTCGGCGCTGGAGGCCCAGGATGGCGAGAGTGCGGGGAAGTGCGTCCATGCGCCGCTAGCCACTGGCGGAGGCACATGGCGCTATGCCTCGCCTCGGCACACTTTCTTCGCAGCCGCATCACGCCTGCACCCGTGCACCTGTCAGCGGCCCGACGTCTGACCCGAGCGCAGCTTCCCCATACCCCAGATGCGGGGAAGGCGGGGAAGCAGCGCAAGCTCGGGCGAGGGAGTTAAAAGCACGCCGCTCGAGGTCGTCTACCTCCTTTCTCCCCATCCTCCTCACCCCCACTTCTTCTCACACAATGCACGCCGCCACCTCTCTCCTCTTCGCACTCGCCAGCGCGGCCGTGACGCTGGGTGCGCCCTCGTCGCTGGCGCCCGTCAAGCGCGCCGCCGACACGACGACGGTGAACCTCGGCGCCTGCAGCGGCTCGCCGCAGCTCTTCGGCCAGGGCATCCTCTACGGCTGGAGCGGCACCAACACGCCGCCGCAGAAGTACCTGCAGGAGCTCAGCGTCAACTACGAGTCGGCCGGTGGCGCCCAGACGGACCAGAATGGCGGCTACGCCAACAGCCGGACGTCGTACAACAGTGGGTTGCTCTTCCTGTGCGACGCACGCATCACAGACTGACGCTGGCGCACCAGACCGCTTCGCAGCGACGGTGGCTGCGTGGAAGCGCATTCGCGCCGTCAACGGCGTCATGATCGTCAAGATGGCGGACCTGTACGGCGTCGATTTCACGCAGAGCAACTCGACGCCCTACCCGGGAGACAACGGCGACTGGACGCTGTGGAACAACTTCCTCCAGCAGGTCATCTCCGACCTCAAGTCGAACGGCATGGCCAACTCGTACACGACGCAGCTCGAGATCTGGAACGAGCCTGACATCAACTTCGGCGGCCGCCCGCAGTCTCAGTACAACGAGGTGCGTCTGTGCGCGTCAGCCAGCGTCGGCTTGTCCTGACGCGTCCCTGTTCCCCGCAGATGTACGTGCGCGGCACCAAGGCCCTGCGCCAGGCCTTCCCCTCGGGCTCGAGCGCCTACCTGCCGCTCGTGGGCCCGAGCACGTCGAGCCGCCCTTACAACGGCAACGGTGCGTGGCGTCGGCCTGCAGCTGCGGTGCGGCACTGACGCGTCCCTCCCTCCGCAGGCTGGTGGAACAACTTCCTGAGCTACCTGCAGAACAACGGCGGCACGAACGTGCAGCCCGACGTCTGGAACTGGCACCTGGAGGAGAACAACAACAAGTCAGTCCATTTCCGGGCGGCTGCCTGCTGCACGTGACTGACGCGCGTCTGCCCGCCGCAGCGACCCCATCCCGCCGGCGCAGTACCTCCCCGGCTACGTCAAGAGCTACGGCCTCACGCCCGGCATCGGTCTGCAGAACAACGAGTTCGGCATTCGCAGCCAGCAGTACCCCGCATATGCCACATGGTTCCAGAGTCGCTACGAGCGGCTGCAGTTCAACGGCCTGCGCGGCAACTGGGCGAGCGGCTCGGACCTCAGCGACCTGCTGGCCGACCTGCTCATCAAGAACTCGGACGGCTCCTACTCGACGACGGGAGAGTACCAGGCATACAAGTACTACAAGCTGATGAACGGCAGCCCCTGCACCACGACGGCCGGCAGCAGCGTCGACTCGTACGCCACGGCCTCGACGAACAACGCCACGGCCATCATCGGCTCGCAGTCGACGAGCGCCACGACAAACGCCGTCACCTTCTCGGGCATCTCGAAGAAGTTCGGCTCGGCCACGACCGTCAAGGCACAGCTCATCAACATTCCCTACAACAACGGCGGCGCCGTCAACGGCTGGACCAACTCGGGCTCGCAGCAGACGCTCACCGTGTCGAACGACCAGGTCACGTTCAACATCAACGTCGGCAGCAGCGCCACCAAGGACGCCTGGGCCGTGCGCCTCTTCAACTAAGCACCTCGCGTGCCAATGCAATCGGGCGCCGAGAGAAGAGCGGCCCGACGCCGAGAGGCTCGCGCTGCCGACATGTGCTTGATGCCCCCTTAACGACTGGACTTGTATTGTGTAATTCTGATTCTGGTTTCTCTTCACTCGAGAGTCTGTATTGTCTGCCAGCTGTGCGAGCGCGGTCAGGAGAGAGCGAAGATACTAGCGAGCAGACGCGCATCGAAGCTCCTCCCGCCGGGAGCACGTGTGCGCGAGAAGGACCTGTGACCTCTCGCCGCCCTTCTGTCTGCACCTGATGAGGCTGCGCTTCGTCCGACGGCAACAACAGTCACTCAAAGCAGCTACTGAGCACAGCTGTGAAGACCGATGTGTGCAACGACCACGTGTCGACGAGCCTAGCTGAGCCCTGGAGGAGCGTGTGCGCGCGGCGCGCTGCCAGAGCCTGCTGCGCGCCGCTCTACGTGACCTCCGGCGGACGCTGCGCTCCTGAGTCAGCAGAGAGCACGGCAAAGAGGAGCTCAAGATTTGTTGCACCTGCTACAAAAGTTCTGCAGTCACTTGTTAACAAGATATGCTTCATCAGCAGGAAGGGCTGCAGGAGCGGTGAGAAAGGTCGACGCGACGCGGCGTCGCCTGCGACGCGGCTGCACGCCAAGCGCAGCGCTGCCGCCAAGCGATCGGCTCCGCGCCCCACGCCTTCGCCGAGGGTGTGGCTGCTGCGTGCTGCCCGCTGTGTCAGGCCTATGGTACCTCCCGCTTTGCACTTGCGGCAAGTGCGAGAGCTGTATGCTGTCCAGCAGCGACCCGCGAGGTGGTGAAGAGAAGAGCCTCCTGCTCCTCGAGAGGGTGTCGATGGCGGGGCTGCAGCGGCAGCGCGGCGCAGGGCCCGTGCCGCTCTCTGGCGCGCCGAGGGATCGGCGGGATCGGCGCTGCTGCGCCGCATAGCGCATGTAGGAGCGCCGAGGCCGAGCTGCTCCCCGCACCCGCAGCCGAGCGCCGAGTCAGCCTGCAGCGCTCCTCCTCGTCCTCGAGGCATCTAAAGCGCAGCCTCATCATTGCGCATGGTCCCCGCAAGCGCCCTGGGGTACACTGAGACCTCTGCAGACATCGCGGACGGGGGACTTCGAAGCTGCTGCGATGCGCTCAGAATACGCGAGACGCCCGCTGCGCGGCGCCGGATGATCTCCCTTCATGCGCGCGCGCGCCGCGAGAGGAGAACACGAGGAAGAGAGCGAGGCGGCATGAGGCGTGCCGAACGCAAGCACGAGCACGAAGGCACCTCCACTCCGCCTCGCCCGTCAGACTCCGCTGCGATACCGCTGCCGATGCATGTGCCGCAGCCACCGCTTGCTTGCTGCTGCAGCGCCAGTATTCCATATTCGCGCCCAGCGCGCAGTTGCAGCGAACGACGACGACACGCGACAGCGGCTGCCGTCATGTGCCTGGCCTGCCGCAGCTTGTGCCGAGGGCGCAGCATCCACGCACCCGTGATTGCGGCGGGGCTAGAGGGTCCGATGCACCTGCTCGCCGATGCCCAGCAACCTGCAGCATGAGCGTCGTCGAGCGCAGAACGCAGCGCAGGACAAGACGCGGGCCCGCCTTGCTCGGCGTCCGTGCGTGTCGGTCCAGCACGGCGAACGCGTGATGCGCTGCGCTGTCCCCACTTCGCGCCGTCGGGCGTGGTGCTCCATATAGGCCGGTGATGCTCGCTAATTGCCTCTCTGCGGGGCGAGGCTCTTCGTGTGTGACGCCTGCTGATGGACGCCGCAGAGAGGGGTGCTCGACCGGACGGCAGGCGGCGTGCGTGCTGCTGCTTGTGCCTGTGCCGCGGCCCGACGCCACGCGCGCGCGCTGTGCCTGCGTGCTGCTGCGAGCGCCGCGCCTGTGCTGAGCCCGCGCTACGCCGGCGCGCCGGCCGCATGTGCTGAGAGCTGGAGCGTGCCTGCGCCTGCCGCCTGCAGCAGCAGCTGCTCCGCGCCTGATGGCTGTTTGCGTTGTGCCGTCACCCTCCCGATCGCCCGTCGCCCACGCTCAGTGCACACCTTCTTCTCCTCCACGCTCTCTTCCACCCACACAGCGACACCACACCTCGCACCTCCTGCCGCGCCCCTGATGGCCGCCTGAACAGCGCGTCCCGGCACCTCTCCGCCTCTCCCTCTCTCCGCGCGCGCGCCATGCGCAGCAGCGAGCTCGTCTCGCCGCCGGCGCTCGCCAAGCTCGACACGGCCTTGGTCGGGCCTGCGCTGCGCTCTTTGCCAGCAGCTCCCGCGCCGCCGGTCGATGCTGAGGACGACGAGTCGCCGGCGACGGTCACGGCCGCATCGCCGCCTGCTGCCGCCGCTGTGCTGCCGACACCCGCCTCGCCGCCGCCGCGCCGACGCAGCTCGCTCTCCCCTGCCAGCGATGCCCTGCCACAGCCCGCTGCCCTCGAAGAGACGCTGAGTGCCGCGTCGTCGGCGCACCACACCTCTGCCGCGACTTCGAGCAGCAGCAGCGGGTGCCAGAGCGCCTCGAGCAGCCGCAGCCGCCGTGCCGATGACAGCGCACGCAGCGTGCCGCGCGGCGAGTATGCCACCGACTCGGACAGCCTCGGCCGCAGTGGCAGCTGGACTAGCACCACGCCCACCAGTCCCGACACGGAGGAGCAGGGCGCCGATGCGGCGCACAAGGGTCTGCTTGACGCCGAGCCGCGGGTGCAGCATGCGCCGGCGGGCATGTCCAGCAGCGCCTCGGGGCGCACTATTGATGCGCTGCACGCCAATGACCTCATGTGAGTTGCTGCACCAGCCACTCGGACCTCGTGGCCCCTGCGCATAGGCGATCCAAGCTCACCTTACTCCGCGCCAGGCATGAGCGAGCTGCGTTGCGCGCCCATGCGGCCCGAGCGACGCCCACCACGCCCGCCAGCCGCGTGCCGCGGAAGAGCTCGTCGCCGTTACCGCCTCCGCCTCCGCCAGCGCACTCGTCTTCGCCACTTCCCTCCTCCTCTTCCGGCTCCTTTTCGTCTCCCTCGCAGATCCCCGTGCGGCGCGGCAACACGCCCTCGCCTGGCCGTCTTCTCTCTTCTCCCGTGCCGCCGCGCCAGGCCTCGCAGCTCGCGCCCGAGCGGCCAGCACCGGCCAGCATTCGCAGCGTCTCGCCTGCGTCTGCGTCTGCCAGCTCCCGCGCTTCGCGCAGCACTCGGCGCATCGGCTTCTCGCCGGCGGAGCTGAGTCACCGCAACAAGCCGCTGCCGTCGCCGGGCAAGCCGTCGCCGCCGACGCATCTGCTCCCAGCGCTACCTGCGCCGCAGCCGCCGTCGCCTGTTTCGCCGCTGCTGCCCGACTACCTCGTGCACATGTACTCGCAGGAGGCGCTTGCCGACGCACAGCAGGCTGCCGCTGTCGAAGCTGCCAAGCGGCCGAGCGCCAGCAGCTCGCTCGCCGTGCCCTCGCCGCGGCCGTCGCTCGGCTCGCCGTCGGCGTCGGGCTCCTCTAGCGTTGAGTCGCGCAACTCTTCCTCTCACTCGCCGCAGCGGCCCAGCCTGCGCAGCACGATCTCGCGCTCGAGCAAGGCGTTTATGAGCTCGATGCGCGGCAACAGCAGCTCCTCTTCGCGCGACCATACACCGGCCTCTGGGCCCAGCCGCTCTCCGAGCAGCAGCCAGACGAGCAGTCCGAGCGTCCGCCCGGCGTCGCCCGTGCGCAAGGTCCCCTCGGACGCCGGACATGGCCTCTCGCCGCCGCCCAGCGCGCCGCCGCGGCCGCACTCGTCGTTTGGCTTCCGCCGCAAGCCCAAGACGCCCTCGGCGACGGAGATCCCTGCCACCTTTCTCTCGCGGAACACTAGCAGCGCGAGTGCCGCCATGACGCCGGCCATGCCGAATGGCAGCGCGAATGTGTCGCGCAAGCCGACGCTGACGCAGAGTGCCGACGCCGCGGCACCACTGCCGCCGCCACCGCCGCCGAACCGCTCGCGCTCGCGCTTCTCACAGCGCTTCAGCCTCAACGATCCGGCGTGGTCGCGCGCCGCAGCCGCCGCCACGCCGCCGGTCAGTCCGCGCACTCGGCGGGACGTCAGTCCGCCCAGCAGCATCCGTGCGCACGTGGCCGTCGAGCACATGTCGCCGCAGCGGCCGGCGATGCGTCGCCTGCGCTCCAACAGCGTTGGACAGATACAGCGCGTGTTCCTCGATGCCGAGGCGCAGCGAGAGCTGGGCGTCGAGCATCTCGAGCTGGCGCGCGTCTCCGACAGTCAAGCGACGGCCCAGAGCGGAGCTGTGCTGCGCGCGTCCATCATCGATCAGGAGCCGCTGCTGAGTCCGAACGAGGCGGCGCGCCTGGCGCGACTGTCACGCCTGGCAGAAGACATCGAGTCGCAGATCGAGGGCAGAGCGCCTCGCGGCGGCAGCAGTGTGCCGTCGTTGCGGCGCAACTCGCGCTCGCTGCCCAAACGACCAAGCGCCACGGAGAGCCAGAGCGCTCGGCAGTCTGTTGACGAGGAGAAGGAGGCCTCGCGCGAGAAGGCCCTGTCGCGCTTGACAGGCAGCTTGACGCGCAAGCCGGTCGACGCGTCGCCTGCGCCTGGCTCGCTCGCTGTCGACGCTCAGACTCGCACCGCGCATCGCCGTAGCCGCTCATCTGCCTCAGCGTTCAGCACAGGCCCGCTGAGTCCGTCCGCCGCAAAGGCCTACCTCGCTGCGCTCTCGGCGCTCAAGAGCCCGCAGCTCGCGAGCCGTCCGATGAGCATGGAAGAGGCACCTGGGCCCGCAGACCCCTGGTGGGCCAACGCACAGGCGCCGGTCATTCCGCCCGCGCCGGAGCTCGACGAGCTGACGGCCTCACATGACTCTGCGCCCGCGAGCGAGATCACTGCGGCGACGGAGTTCGAGGATGCCGCCTCGACGATGCTGTCGCATTCGCACGACTCGACCACTCCGGCCCTTGGACTCAGTCTGGCGCCTGAGTCAGCCTCGAGCTCAGTCGACGAGCCTCAGATGGCGCTGCGGGCCTCCGGCCGACCCTCGCACGCGCGCAGCCGCTCGTCCGGCATCGGCCGCTTCCTCGGGTTCTCGCGTCCCACGACGCCCGAGAAGCCTGCTTCGCCGACTGTCATGCGCGCCAGCAGCTCGCTTGGCTTTACGCGCAGCGTGCGCGACGAGCGCTCGGCGGCGGCCACGTCTGCCGGGCACTCTCGCAACGCCTCGCGCCGGTCGGCGATGGACCACTCGCGCACCAGCAGCACGGGCGGCGCCAGCGACGTGAGCTACACGACGGCATTGACGCACCCCACTGTTACGCCCACCACACCGACGCCGCTCAAGCGCCTCTCGCGCTCCGGACGCTCGACGCTCACGGACCCGACGGTGGCCAGCGCTGCTCGCGCGCGCAGCAAGGTCGTGCCGGCTGCCTCGCCTGTCGCTACGCCGTCGCCTCCCACTGCGCCGCGCATCCCGCGCAAGCCCTCGCAGCCGCCGTCGTCGTACCACTCGCCGACGCCGCCGCAATCGCCCAAGGCGCCCTCGCCGCAAGGACGCAGTGCCAGTGCTATGGGCATGAACGACGCCGGGTCGGCCGCTGCCAAGATGCGTTCGCCGTTGCGGGCACTCGTGACGCGCTCGCCCTACCCGCCGCCGGCAAACAAGGCATATATGGTCGTCGATCGCGTGCCCGTCGTTACTCCACCGCGTCGCAGCTCCATCGATCAGCGTGCGGCATCGCCCGAGGCAGACACGGCCGTGTCCGACACGGAAGATGCCGACCTGCCGCTGCCGCGCCGACGCAGCCTGAGCCGTGTGCCCGACGTGACTCCCGTCTCTCCCGGCGTGCGCGCCCGCAATCGCCCGTCGCTGTCGATCCACACGCAGCCGGAGGCGCTCGTGCCGGCCGGCCAACGCTCGGCCAGCAACGAGATGCAGATGCAGGCGCCGGCGCCCATGCGAGCGATGCCCCGGCGCAAGTCCTCTGCTGCTACGCTCAACATCGCCGACGACCATGAGTTCCTGCAGGCACTCGAAGACGTGCGTCGGCATCACCAGGACCGCATCGCGCGGCGCGGTGCCGAGAAGTTGCAGCAGGGCGTTGGCACCGTGCGCCAGGCCATGGCCTCGACTGGCAACCTGCTCGCCAAGCGCAGCACACAGACCAGTCCCGTCGAGGCGCGCCTGCCGCCTCGGCCGCGCTCAGCCAGCGTCGACGGCAAGATGCCGCCGTTCCTCGCCGATCAGAGTCCGGCTACCAGCTACAGCTCTGGCGAGTCTGGCGGGCTCGCGACGCCGCTCGAGCGCGGTGTCGGCATGGCGAGCGGCCGCTTGCACGACGGCGCATTTGTCAACGACGCGGACTGGAAGCGCGAGGTGTCCAGTCTCTTCGTCATCCGCGAAATGGTGCAAACAGAGCGCAGCTATGCTCGGCACCTTGAGAGTCTCCTGCTGGTGAGTGATAAAGTATTGCAGTGCTGAGACCCGCGCTGACATGGCTTTCAGGCCATTCGCCGTGTCTCTGCTGCGAGCACCGTGGGCCCGTCGACGCACCGGCGCCGGCGCAGCTCGTCGGCGCTGATGATGTCGACCGTCGATGCGTCGCTCGTCGGCCCCGCGCCGCACATCGCCACGCTGCGCAACATGCTGCCGCAGCTGATCGCCCTCAGCCGCACGCTCGCCACGCGCATCGACGAGAACCCGACTGCGGCGGGCGTCGGCGCAGCGTTCCGCCTGGTTGCGCCGCAGCTTGAGGCGACGTTTGTCTCGTGGGCTGCCGTTGTGGGCGACGTGATGGACTCGCTGCGCCTCGTCGAGAACGGCAAGGCCAAGAGCAAGGACCGCATCGGCCTCGTCATGCTCATGCCCATCACGGCCGGCGAGCTCGTGCCGCGCTCGAGCAACGTCTCGGCGACGAGCCTCACGGTCCCGCGTTCGCAGCGTACTGGTCGCAGCGCCGCGATCGACGCGCTGGCGCTCACGCGGCCGTCGACGCCCGAGGCGCTGCTTGACGAGCCGCTGCTGCCGTCGCCGGAGGAGGACTTTGCGCCCCGGCCGAACGCCGCCAAGCGCCGCAGCACCATCAGCAGCGGCGCGTTTCTCGCTGCGCCGGCACCGACCTCGCCTGTCGCAACGTCGCCGCGCCCCTCGCCCGTGCGCCCGGCCTCGGCCTGGGGCTTTGCCTCGCCGGCCACGACGCTGGGCCGCCGCGCCATGGACGCCGTCACGCGGCCTGCTGCGCCGGCGAAGAGCAAGTCGCAGTCGAGCGCCTCGGCCGCCAAGTCTCTGGCGCCGGCCGACATTGTCATCCAGCCCACCCAGCGCATTGCGCGCTACCAGCTGCTGCTGAACGCGCTCCAGCGCAACACGCCGCCGCAGAGCCTCTCGCACGCACGCATCGCCCGTGCCCTCGAGGTCGTCGGGCGCGTCGCGGGTCTGTGCGACACGGCCTCGCTGCCGAGCGCCGGCGTCTCGCCGCTGCATCTCTCGCTGCGCCCTCCCCTCTCCTACCCCTCCACCGCACCTGCCACCGCCGCGACGAGCGTCGCGAGCGACATCGACGTGCCGCCCGCCGTGCCGCCGCGTCTGCGCGCTGTCTCGTAGCGCACCCCTCCCTGACCCACGACGCTCTGCTTACATGTATTACCACCCGGTCGCGTTCATCACTCAGCATACCCTTGTCTCAATCAACGCGTCCTGATCACTGAGTGCAGCGCAGGAGGTCGTGGCATGTGGGGTTGGAGAGGGCAAAAAGGCAGTGTAAAATCATGGTGGCAAAAAGGCAAAAGCGAAAATGGAGACAGAGGGAATCGAACCCTCGACCTCATGCAACAGACTGAAACACTCAGAAGATGCTAAGCAAGCGCTCTGCCCCTGAGCTATGTCCCCATTCGATGATAGCCGGAAAAATGTTGCGTATATGAATGCTGTGTTTGTCAAGCCCTGCGCCCGTGAGCATCGACGCTCCATGATGCTCTCGAGGCGACACCGCATCTGAACCGCTCTCTCACACAACGGCGGACCTCGCAGTAGCAGTGTTCCAGGGTGGAGCGTGGATGATTACATAGTAGGGGTAGTATGGATGCGCAGGCCATTCCGTGTGATGCGCGAGACAGAGAGGGCAGAGACGGGCAGTGGTGCGCGACGCCGAGCAGCGCAGCTCACTCCTCGCCCGGGTTTTTGAAGCGGCGCAGCGCCCGCTCACGCGCCTGCTTGTGGTCGACGATGGGCTTGGGGTAGCCGAGCTTCTCGAACTCGGCCTTCGACAGACGCTCGTACGGCGCGTGCACGGCGTTGCCCTTGACGTGGCGCAGCTCGGGCACCCAGTGCCGGATGTACTCGCCCTGCGGATCAGACTTTTCCGACTGCGAGAGGGGCGCAAAGATGCGGAAGCTGCGAGAGGGGTCAGTGAGGTGGAATGCGAGGAGAGAAGGGCGAGGCTCACTATGGCTGCGGGTCGCTGGAGGCAGGGACAGATGTCAGTGGCGTGCAGCATCAGCACGGCTCAGCGGGCACTCACGTTCCCGTGCTGGCGCTCCATTGCCAGCCGCCGTTGTTGCTCGCAAAGTCGCCGTCCTGCAGGGAGTGTGTGAGCATCTAGCGGCACATCCTCCTCACAGCCCACGCACGATGAAGCTGCGCATAAAGTACGCCTCGCCCAGGCGCCAGTCCTGCATGAGGTGCTTCGTGACTGCGGCAAAGGGTCAGCACGCTGCCGGCCATCCAGCATCCGACACGCTCACGGAACATGGCCACGATCATCCGGCCGCGGTTGTGCATGTAGCCCTGCTTTGCGCCCTGGCGCTGCGCGGCATCGACGATGGGATAGCCCGTGCGGCCGGCCATCCAGGCCTTGAGCTTCTCGTCGTCGTACTCCCACTTGACGTCCTCGTACTTGAGCAGGTATGCCCTGCTCATGCACACGCGCGGCCAGGCGCTCAGCACGTGGCCGTAGAAGTCGCGGAACGCCACCTCGACGCCCCACATCGCCGGGCCCGAGTCGCGCCCGATCTGCAGCTTGCCCTTGGTCACGTCGCGCGAGGCGCGCAGACAGGCACGCGCAGAGATGACGCCGGCGGAGAGGTACGGGCTGAGGCGGCTCGTGCCGTGCTCGGAGAGGATGTTGCGCGCCGTGCCGTACGCCGCAATCTTGCTGTCCTTGGCGCCGTCGTCCGTCATCGGCTGGTCGACGCCCGTGGCATCGGCCTCAAAGTCCATCTGCCCCTTCTTGCCGCCGATGAAGAGCTCGAGCACGCGGCGCGCCGCGTCGCTGCCGGCCGGCCACAGCTTGTGCATGTACTCGCGGTCCTCGCACTCGAATCCAGGCACCGCCTCGGGCACCTCCTGCTCGAACAGCTTGCCGAGCTTGCTGTCCTTGCGTATCGACGCGTCGTTGCGCTCGGGCAGCGGCGACTCGTCGAGCAGCTCAGGGTGCTTGCTCAGGTGCTCCGTCCAGCGCCGATTCCACGGCGAGAAGACGCTGTACGGCCGCCCGTCGTTGGTCTTGACGGCACCCGGCGGCACAACGTACGTATCCTCGACAAAGTGCGGGTGTACGCCGGCCTTGGGGCCCTGCTGCACGGTGGCAATGTCGCGCCAAAGCTCGTCGACCTCGTGCTCGATGTTGCCTGTGATGTCCGAGACGCCCCAGCTGTTGCACAGCTCGAGCACACGGTGCGGAATCTTCTTGCGCTCGTTGTGCGACGTGACGTACAGCGGAATGTCGAGCTCGGCCAGCTGCTCGCGCAGCTTGGCGAGCGTGCGCAGCACAAAGTCGATGCGCCGCGGGCTGCGGTCGTGCGCCGCAAAGTCGCCCGGGCTGAGCACATGCAGCACGATGAGGTGCGAGCCCTTGCCGCCCTGCTGCACGAGCTCCGAGGCCAGCGCCAGCGCGCGGTTGTCCTCGATGCGCATGTCGCGCATGCGCATCCAGTACACGACGTGGCGCACGGCGCCCTCGGGGCGGCGCCCGAGCTTCTCCATGGCCTCGCCGAGCTGTGCGCGCGGCGTGTGGTCGTCGTGCAGTGCACCGCTGGGGTTCCAGTCGTTGCACTTCCACTCGGCCTCGTCGTTGGCGCGCCCCTTGCCCTTCAGCGGCGACACGCCGGCGCCGGCACGCTTGCCGCCGACGGCGGCGCCCTTGTGCTTCTTGGGCGGCGGCTGCATCTCCTCGTCGCTGAACGGGCCGTTCTCCTCGGGCTCGGGCTCGAGCTTGGGGTCCATGACCTGCTCCTCGTAGTCGGCCTCGTCGTGCGCCTCGGCGGCGGAGCGCTTGCGTGGCGCCATGGCAGCGAGGGTGCGCAGCGGCGGCACGCGCCAAGTGGAGGTGCGGAGGAGCGGCGCAGCGGGCGTGCGGCGTAGGGCGTAGAGAGAGTGCAAGTGAAGCGGAGGAGTGAGCAGGAGCGAGTGGCGCAGCAGCGAGGCAGCAAGGCGCATGTAGAGGGGAAGATGTGGCTGCAAGGCAGGGTTGCCCGGTGGAGTGGAGGGGGCGTAGAGCGCAGCCCAGCAGCGCAGCCTCACGCCATGGCCGGCGCGCTGACACACACGGCGCGTCAAGGCCGCGCCGCGCCGCATCGAGATCTTGGGCGCGCCTGCCCCGAGTCCCGATCAGCGCGCCCGCGCCGGCGTGCGTATCGGGGCGGCTCCGACGCAGCGGCGCAGCAGAGCAGCACCCGAGAAGCGCTCCTCGACTGCACCCCGCGGCGTCGCTCGAGGGTCTGCCATCGCTGCCGTCGCTGGCTCTTGTGCGCATCTCTCTCAGGGGGCTCTCGGCGGCAGCACGGCGAGCTGCTGCACTCTGTGACCCTGAGTGGCCCCCTGACGAGATTGCGAGCCGCAGCGAGAGAGTGCTGGGGCGCGCGTGAAGGCGAGGCGCGGTGGGGCGCGGCGCGGATCATCGTCGCGCGGCGCTCCGCCGGCGGCCGGCTCGGGCGCAGCGTGCGTGCCGTGCGCGCGCGGCGGCGCGCGCACGGCCAAGCGAGCTCGCTGCAGTGCGCTGCGCTTCTCTTGCGCTGCCGCTCGCGCCTCTCCTGCTCCTTGCCTCCAGTCCAACACCTCCCGCACGCTGGTCTCGCTTCCGTGTCTGCTGCAGCACATCCAGCACCTGCTTCCCCGCCGCGACGCGCTCGCGCACCTCCGCCTGCTCCCTGCCGCAGCTCCATGTCCGTCATCGACTTTGCGCTCTCCGCCATGGCCCTCGTCACGCGCTCGCTCGCCTACACGCTCGGCACGGCGGTGCTGCTGCTCTCGCTGCTCTCGCCGCGCTCGCAGCGTGCGCGCCTCTATCTCAACACCATCTTCTATATCAGCGGCCTCGGCGCCTGCTCGGCGTTTGGCGTCGTCTGCTCCCTCTTCCTCACCCTCGTGCCGGGCGCCAACCGCCTCAATACCAACTACTATGTCGCACGCAGCTTCTACCTCCTCGCCGGCTCGCTCACCGGCATCCGCTTCCGCGTTGAGGGCGAGGAGAACTTCGACAAGGCGCGCCCCGCCGTGCTCGTCGGCAACCACCAGACGGGCATCGATATTCTCTACCTCGGCCGCATCTTCCCGCGCATCGCCAGCATCATGGCCAAGCAGGAGCTCAAGTATGCGCCGCTGCTCGGCCAGTTCAGTGAGTGTGGCAGCAGGGCATGAGTGGGCGCGGCGGGCGCGGCAGCGGCGAATGCAGCGAACTGCAGCGGCAGCACTGCAGCTTGCGTGCGACCAAGCAGGAGCATGGCAGCATGCGGCACCCTGGCGGCAGCACTGCAGCCAGCTCGTGTCACTGACCCGCCCATCAGTGTCACTCTCCGGCGCCGTGTTCATCGACCGCAAGAACAGGCATGATGCCGTCAAGAGCTTCAACCAGGTCGGGCAGGAGATGAAGAAGAACGGCGTGAGTGCGAGCAGCAGGCAGGCAGATGGGCACTGCGGAGCGGCGCCAGACGAGCAGGGACAGGCGGCTGCGTGCTCAGAAGAGACGCCAGGCCCACACAAGCTCGCAGCGCTGCGCGAGGCACCTTGACCGCCCGGGCTGACACGCCGCGCAGCTCTCCCTGTGGGTCTTCCCCGAGGGCACGCGCTCGAATCTGCCGTTTCCGGACCTGCTGCCGTTCAAGAAGGGCGCCTTCCACCTCGCCGTGCAGGCGCAGGTGCCCGTCGTGCCCGTCGTGTGCGAGAACTACCACCGCCTCTTCGACGGCAAGACGCGCTTTGAGGGCGGCACGATCCGCATCAAGGGTGAGTGGTTGTGCAGATCTCGCGCCTCTGCTGGGCTCACACGACACCCGCCAGTGCTGGAGCCGGTGCCGACCAAGGGCCTGACGGCCGACGACGTGACGGACCTGACGACGCGTGTGCGCTCGCTCATGCTCAAGGAGCTGCAGGCTATGGACAGCGAGCGCGATGCCTTTGACGCCTCGGCCACTGCCACAGCGACGGTGCCGGCAAACCGCGTGCGCGGCGAGCAGGGCCTCGGCGGCGTGGCCGGCCTGATGGCCAAGCTCATCGGCGGCAGCTCGGGGCGCAGCGTGGTGCGCAAGGCGGACCGCGACGAGCAGCGTCTGCGCAAGGAGGGCACCTCGGGCACCAAGCCGGACGACTACGGCCTCGTGAGCGAGGGCAGCAAGGGCGAGAGCAGCAAGAGCTCTGCATTGCCGCAGAGCGACGATGCATCGCGACGCACCGGCGGCAACGGCAGCGGCAGCGAGCAGGAGAGCGAGGGCAGCACGGTGCTCGTGCAGAAGCCCAGCGAAAAGTGAAAAGCAGCAGTAGCGGCGGAGCGGCGGCCTACCTCCTTCCCCTGGACACCCCCGACGACGACCTCTTTCCTTTCTCTCTTAGTGGCCCAAGCGCATCGCATTCACCGCGGGAGTACCATGCATAATGAAGCGCGCCTAGCCCATCAGCATGCTCGGGTCCTTTGGCGGGTACTGCGCAGCGGTGTCAGAGCGAGTGCGACAGGCAGGCAAGGGCACGCGCGCGCTCACCTTGGTCTGGGCGAACGTCATGAGACGCTTGAGGCTCTGGATATACTTGCGGCTGACCTCGTCGTTGAGCACTGCGAGGGACGCGTGAGAGAGCAGTCGTGCCGCGCGCAGCAGAGACACGCACCGTGCGCCACGTTGGAGCTGAAGATCTTCTCGCGGCCTGAGCGCTCGTGGATACTGCGAGGCGAGTCAGCGTGCAGCCCAGCCGCCATTGCTCGTGTGCACTCACCCGACCATGGTGACGCCCATCGGCCACGCCGCGTTGCCAATCGACATCTGCAGGTACGAGTCGTTGGCCGCGCGATAGTCGCGCTTCTGCATGTGGTGCACAATCTCGGCCACACGCATCGTCACGTCGGGCAGCGTGGCGCGCTGGCGCAGCGCCTTGAAGAAGGGCTTCATGTACTCGCGCGACTGCACCTGCGTCGCGGCGACCATCTTGCCCTGCGTGCTCTGCCGCACCTCCACTACGCGGCGGCTCGTGGTCAGCTCGCATGTCGTGGGGCACCGACCAGCACGCCCACTCACGTGGTCTCTCCGCCAGCGCCTGCTCCCAGTCCGACATGAGGCCCTTGAGCGTGTAGTAGATCATCGGGTACACGCGGTTCACGTCCTTGCGCACGAGGCTGAGGTCGAGCAGGCTGTCCATGCCGATGCCCTCGCGGTTCTTGGGATTGTCCTGCAAGCGCTCTTCCTCCTCCTTTGCCTTCTTCTTCTCCTCGTCGCGCTCCGCCTTGGGCCCATCGGCCTGCCGTGTGCGCTCCAGCTCCTCGAGTGCATCCTTGCCCTCGGCGCCGGCCAGCGCACGCATAAAGTCGTTCTGCCCCACGCGCTCGCCGCGCTCCTCGATGAGCTCGAGCGCGCGCAGACGCAGCCGCCGCTCCTTGTCCGACTCGCCGAAGAGGCGGATCGGCTGGCCTTTGGCGCGCAGCCGCGTGATCGCCTCCGTCGGACTGATGTTGAAGGCCTCGCCGCGCGCTGTTGTGAGCGCTGCCGCGGCGGCCGTCTCGCCTGCTGTTGGCTCCTTGCTCGACGAGATGCTGCCGGCAGCCGCAGACTGATAGCAGACGCGGGTAAGCAGCCGGGCATCCTCAACAGGTCGCCATAGCGGCCCAGGTCGCCATAGCGGCCCCGGTCGCCCCTCGAAAGCCCTGTCCTCCTGCTCAACGCGGGACCACTCACTGTGTCCTCCTCCGGCTGAGCCACAATGCCCTCCTTCAGCCGGCGCTTCTCCTCGCGCGCCCGGTCGCGCCGCTCGCGCGCCTCGCGCAGCTCGCGCCGCTTGCTCTCGTCGACCTCGTTGCGCGCCCGCTCCACCTCGCCGCGGCGCTGGTACTTCTGCGGCGGCTCGGCGCTGCCGCTGCGCACGCTGCCGCTGCCGCTGCCGCTGGCGACGGCCGAGGCGGCGCTGCTCTCTGCCTTGCGCTTGGCTGCGATCTCGGCCTTGAGAAAGTCCATCGAGGAGGAGGGGTGGAGGTGGTGAGGAGGCAGGGTGCAAGCAGTCTGGGCGCAGCGGGGGTGGAGCCAAAGTGCCGTCACGTGCGGCTGCCGTCATGCAGCTCAGGTGCAGGCGGCCGGCCGTTGGTGCCGCTGGCAGGCTCTGCGCACGCATGCCGCCTGAGCCTGCGCCTGCGCCACGCCGCGCGCCCCGGACGCGTCGCAGCCCCTTGCTTCTCTGCTGCGCACCACGACCGTCCTCCATCGCATCCCTCGTCAAGCCACGCGCATCACCCTCGCCGTCTCTTCCTCTCGTCGTCACAAGCACACACCTCAAGTCTCGCTTCTCTCTTCACCATGGTCAGCATTACGCGCCCCGCCCGTCCGCGTTCTCGTCCCTCCCGTTCGGATCCCCGCATCAGCGTCGCGCCGTGAAGGCGGCCTGCTGGCACCTCGACGCGCACACGGCTTCACACGAGCGTCGTGACTGGGCTTTGCGCCAGCACGACATGACTTCGCGGTAGCGCTGGCTTTCGCCGACTCGGCAACGCCCGGCCAGGCGGGTATCGCACGAGCACCTCGGCCGCGCGGCGCAGGCGGCATCGCCCGCCGCGCTAGACGTCGCCAGACACGCGCACCGCTCGTCGTCGGCCATCGCCAAGCCTGTGGATCATCTCTCGATTTTTCGCAGCGCTCAGAGCCGCCGTTCCGTCCCGTGCCGCTCTCGCACCTCGCGTGCTTCGAGACCTGGCCGGACGCGCTCGTGCGCGGTGCGTCGCGCATCGTGCCGAGCAAAGAGCTCAGCGCCACGCACGCGCGAGCACCCGAAAAGGCCGACTCTGCTTGACCTACGTTCGGCTGAGGCAAGCAAGTTGCACCCTCGCCGGCGCACCGCGGGCATGAGCAGCGCAGGAGCCGCGCTCAGATGGCCTCGCGCGCGTCGTGGCTCTCGGACGCACGTCCGGGGCCCGCCTGAGGCGTAGCCTTCTGTCGCAAAGGCAGAAGCACCTTTCGCGACAAGGCGCGTTGGCAGCCGCGCAGCCTCGACTGCAGCGCAGCAGATGGCTCGCTCAGTCGACCTCGACTGGCCGCCCGCGCCGGCGACTAAGCTCTCGTCGATGCAACAGGTGCGATGCAGCGATGCATACAGCACAGCAGACGAAGCTGTCGCCGCGCGTGCTAGACGCAAGAAGCTGCGCAGTGAGGGAGCACACTGGCGCGAAGTTTGCCTGAAGTCGATCGCTCGTTGGTTGCACGCGCCGCGCCGCATGAGAGAGCCGTCGTACGGAGCATCAGCCTGAGTCTGAGCCGGCGCAAACGTGGATCATCGTCGACGCTGGCGCGTGCAACGGACGATCGTCGCTCGGACCTCGATGGCGCGCGCCGGATGTCAGCAGACGCGACGGAGTCGTTGGACATCGCCGCGCACCTCACGCTGCCTCCTTTGCCTTTTGACCTTCGCACAGCTTTCTAACGCACGTCTACCTCCCTTCTCGCGCCGCATCTCGTCTTGCACAGTCTGCCAACCTCGACAAGTGTACGTGTGGCCAACATCTTGTCGCCAAGACAGTCCGCTCACTGCATCTTCGACACAGCGCTCGATGACCTCGTGTCCTCCAACCGCAAGCCGCGCGCCGCTCGCGGTGGCCGCGGTGCTGGCAACAGCCAGCCGCAGCAGCGCCGCAGCGGCGGCTCGGCCGGTGTGCACGCCAAGGCTGCCGCGCTCGGCCAGGCGTCGCTCGGCAACGCCGCCGCCATCTCGGCCAACAACCGCAACCGCGGGCCCGTCGTCATCCCCGGCCGTGCGCCCGGCGGCGGCTCGTTCGGCAGCAAGATCATCGTTTCCAACCTGCCGATCGACGTGACGGAGCCGCAGGTCAAGGTGCGTCGCCGCTCGCATCATCTCTTCGCCCACACGCTCTTCTCACACATCGCCTCGCCTCGCAGGAGCTCTTCTCGACGTCCATCGGCCCGCTCAAGAAGGTCGTCATGAGCTTCCGCGCCAACGGCACGTCGACCGGCACGGTGACCGTCGAGTTCCAGCGCGCCGAGGACGCCAACCGCGCGTACCAGCAGTACAACAACCGCCTCATCGACGGCAGTGAGTGGGCCATTTGGCACATCTGTGGAGTACGCCTCTGACACCGCCCTGCCCACAGAGAAGGCCATCCGCATCGAGGTCGTCGTCGACCCGGCCCGCGCCGCCGCCATGGCGCAGCAGCAGGCCGCGCTTGCCGCTCAGTCGCAGTCCATGCGTGCGCCTGCCGCGCCGCGTGCTCCGCGCGGCGGAGCCGCTGCCGGCGCCCGTGGTGGCCGTGGCGCTGCCCGCGGCGGCCGTGCGCCGCGCGAGCCGAAGCCCAAGAAGACGCTGGAGGATCTGGACGCCGAGATGGAGGGTGAGTGTCTTGCTCATCGTGTGCCTTTCCCGCACGCATGGTTTCTGACGCGGCGTTGTTCCAGACTACTCGACGAAGGCCGGCGAGGCGAACCAGGCCTAATGCGACGACTCGTGCTTCTGCCGACGGAGAGCTTCTTTCTTGGCGCCGCCTGTCCCGTACCTCCTGAATCGAATCCTCTCTATGCCCAGCGATCAACCTCCTCTTTGCGTGCGCGTGTGCCTAGGCCGTCTCGTCTGGGAAAGGCGCGACCTGCCAAGCGTTGACTCCAGGGGCGCATCTCGTCGGCTGGTCACCTGACGCGATGGAAGCAGCCTGGCTCCTGACCCGCCTGATCAGCCCAGAAAAGTGGTTCGCCGGCGGCAAAGCGGCCAGGGACATTGCCCGGCCTCCTGTATATCGCTCACAGACGCTCTCAGGGGTCATCCCGCGCCTCCGCGTCCTCTCTCCTGACCCCTCATCAAGCCTCATCTCGCCGTGGCAGTGCTGGCCTCGAGCGCCGCCGGGCGCATCGGAGTGTGTGCTGCGGGCGCAAGAGAGCCCAGGAATCTTCTGCCAATGTGCCGGGATCAAGGGACCGGGCCGCAGCCCATCTTCCAGCACGGCACAGGGGCGCATCGGCTCGCCGCCGGCACCTTTGTGCGAGACGGAGGGGGCCGGCGGCAGACGCTGGCGTCGTGCTAGGGAGAGCTCACCATCGGACGTGGGTGAGAGCGGTCGCTATATATAGGCGACGCTCAGTCCGGCACACCGCACAACCACCAGCTCCGCACCCCTCCCTTTCCGCTTGTCCCTTCACGACCCTCCTCACGATGCGTTTCCAGGCCCTCTTCTCCGCCGTCTGTCTCTCCCTCGCGCTCGTCGACGGCGCCGAGGCGCGCTTTGCGCACCACCGCCGCGCCGAGCTGCTCTCGCTGCCCAACTTCCGCACGCCGCTGAGCGCGGCGCGCAAGTTTGCCGCCGAGCAGCACAAGACGTTCTGGAACCTGCGCCGCGACGTCGTCAGCGACACGCTCGCCGCCGTGCCCGTGCTCGGCGAGGTGCCGGCCCTCGGCGCACGCAACGACGACCCCTCCGCCGATTCGTGCACCGACTGCAGCTCGACGCTGTCGTTCGCGGGCGATGCGGCCAAGGCGTTCGAGGTGACCAACGACATGTGAGTGCGCCGCGGCAGGTCTGGCACGCCGTCTGCTGATCATGCCTGCTATGCAGCCCGACCGTCGGCTTCAAGACAAAGACGTCCTGGGCCGGCCTGCTGCCCATCGGCAACCAGACGGCTCGCGAGCTGTACTTCTGGCTGTGGGGCAAGGATGACTCGCCGTCGGACGACCTCGTCATCTGGCTCAACGTGCGTGCGCCGGAATGGCTTAGCGCTCCTCGCGGCTGACCCTCCCTTACACAGGGCGGACCGGGCTGCAGCTCGCTCGGCGGCTTCCTGCTCGAGAACGGCCCGATCAGCTATCTCAACACCAAGGACCGCCCGCGCAAGGGCGCCAACACCTGGACGCAGGAGGCCAACGTCATCTGGGTCGAGCAGCCCGTGGGCACCGGCTTCTCGCAGTGCGTGAAGCGCTGTGCCGTCTGTTCCATGCTCTGACATCGCCCTCGCAGAGGCACGCCCGAGGCCAAGGACGACTCGGACGTGGCGCGTGACTTTGTCGACTGGTGGGACAACGTACTCCTCACCTTCCCCGAGCTGGCCACCAAGCGGCTGTTTGTCACTGGCGAGAGCTACGCTGGCTTCTACGTGTCGTACATCATGGCCGAGTTCTACAAGCGCGGCACGTACAACCTCAAGGGCGGCCTGCTCATCGACGCCACCATCACCGAGTTCACGGCGTGCAGCGACCTCGTCGCCGGTGAGGGTCAGCTCTGCGTCGACTGCGATCTGCTCTGACGCCTGGCTGTAGACGCTTTCATCGATGATGCGCAGATGAAGCAGGTGCTCGGCCTCACCGACTACCAGCGTAACCAGGTCTTCCAGGACTCGAAGCACTGCGGCTTCCGTGAGTGCGGCGTCTCGCAGCGTTGAGCTCTCGTGCTGAGCATCCCTCTGCAGGCCACTACCTGCGGGACAACCTCGCATTCCCGCCGAACGGCCCGCTGCCGCCGTACAATCGCGACTGCGACCGCTTCCCAGCGTCGACGATGCAGTCGGCCGCAGCGCGCCAGAACCCGGCGTTCGACATCTACAGGGCCGACGGCAACCGCACGTACTCGAGCGAGTTCGAGCCCACGGGCGACGCCAACACTGGCGCGCAGCACGGCACATGGTTCAGCAACCCGGACCTGCAGGCGGCCATCCACGCGCCCAACCAGACGTGGGAGTTCTGCACGACGCAGCAGGTCTTCCCCAACGGCGACGCCAGCGCGCCGGCCGTTGAGTCGGTGCTTCCTGGCGTCATCGAGGCGTCGTCGTCGGGCTTCATCGTCGCCGGCGGTGGCCAGGACGCGCTCGTCATCACCAACGGCACGCTGCTCGGCATCCAGAACATGACGTGGGGCGGTGCCCAGGGCCTCTCGACGCCGCCCACGACGCCGCTGATTGGCAAGGACGGCCAGGTGGCCGGCTCCTTCACCACCGACCGCAACCTGACGTTTGCCGAGATTCCGTACTCGTGAGTCGTGCGAGTGCGATGCCTCGACCGCTGCTGACCTCGTGCTCCCAGCGGCCACATGATCCCTGCCGACGCCCCGCAGGCCGGCCTGGCGCTGCTGCGTGCGCTGCTCGGCGTGCAGCCGCTGTCGGGCTGAGCGAGTGCCCATGCACCCTGCCGGTCCTCATCACCCTCTCCGCTTGTGCGACGTGCCTAATATCCGCTGCTCCGTCTCCAACTACACGCTGTCCACCATGCCCTCACTGTCATTCGTGTCGCCTTCCCCTGACGAGTGAGCGTGAGGAGGAGGCATGCGTGGCACATCACACGTGACAGCTGGCCCATGCGTGGGACGCGATCGCGTGCGGCGCCATGACGTATGGCCGGCGCGGCACTTCTTCTTGCGTGCGCCGCTGCTCCACCCGCCGCAGCAGCTCAGCGGGCGGGCGTCACCGTGCGCCCCAAGGCGGCCTCTCGCTGCGTGCTGTCGGTGCTCGTGCCATGGCCCCGCCGCGGGCCAACCGCCGGGCTCAGCGGCTGGGCCCTCGCTCGGCTTCGCTGTAGATCCACGCTCACGCGAGCGGGCGCCGCACGTTCTTCCCTTCCAACACCACCACCACACACACACAACCCACCACCCAACCTCAACTCATCCACCATGTCCACCGACTCCAAGGTCCAGGCCCACATGTGCGTGTGCTCGTCTGCCGCACCGCTGCGCCCTTGCCTGACACCGCTCTCCTCACCGCAGCACCGGCGCTGAGGGCAAGCTGCCCGCCGACGACGTCGGCAAGCACCACCACGACGAGCGCCCGGCCCACGAGCAGGGCAAGGAGAACTCGCACGCCGCCCTCGACGCCAAGGACGAGAAGAGCATTGCCGTGAGTGTCGCGCTGGGCAGCGGCGGTGTGCGGCATCTGGGGCAGGGCATCTCGTGGCGGGATTGGTGGCTCTCAGACTCGCCCTCCACACGCCCCGCTACCCCCTCCTCTCCATGCTGACCCTCGTCCATCTGCAGAACAAGCTCGACGCCGCCGCCAAGGCCGACAAGGCCGAGAAGCAGGCCGAGAACGAGCCGGGCCCGCGCCCCACCGACGCCGCTGCCGCCAACGGCAACGAGCCGAGCAAGGGCGCCAAGATCGACGAGCAGATCGAGCTCGAGGAGGAGGCCGAGATTGCGCGCAAGGACGCCGCAAAGGCGCAGGCCAAGGCCAACAAGTAAACGCCTGCTTGCTGCTGCTGCCGCCTCGCCTACGTTACCCACTACCACGCCGCTACTAGGTGACCACTGCATGCAATGATAATACGAACACACACACACGTCTAGTGAGCGCCGTCGTGCAGAAGGGAGGGCGGCGCGGTGAGGTAGCAGCGCGGGAACCAGACGGGACAGTCCCACTCCTGGCCGCGCTCCTCGGCGACGATCATCTGCGCGACGGCCTCGGCGCATGAGAAGGCGCGCGGCATGCCGTGCTGAGGCGAGTGTGAGCGAGGTGGCGAGGGTCAGGTCCTGGCACGGTCGCCGCACTCACACCAGAGTAGCCGGCAGAGATGAACTGTCCGGGCACTGCCGCAGCCTGCTCGCCGCCCAGCGCAGAGTCGCGCAGCAGCGGGCCCACGAGCGGGTCGCGCGAGCGCGTGAAGCCCATGATGCCCGTCCACTCTGCGTGCGGCGCCTGGCCGCCGAACGCCTCGGGCGCCAATGTGGGCAGGTAGCTGCGTAGGAACTAGGCGCTCGCGTCAGCACACAGCGAGGCCGTCGCGCGCCGCTCCATGCCCACCGTGCTCGCCTCCGGCGCCGTCGTATGGTCGTCCGTCACGCCCCACTCTGCGCTCGCCACCTTCTCGCGGCCGCCGCCGAGGATGATGGGAGGTGGCGCGCCGGCCTCCTCGCTGAGCGGCCGCACAAGCGCATACTCGAAGCCGTCGTTGGCCAGCAGGCCCTGCGGGCAGTCGACGGCCTGCGTGGGCCGCACGGCGACGACTTGGCCGCGGGTAGGCACGATGCCGTCGGGACCTGCCAGCTGCGGAGCCAAATGAGATGCTGTGAAGGGCGTGAGCAAGTGCTGTATCGTCGATGCAGCAACACGCACCCCAGCCATTCGTGGCGTGCACGACATAGCGAGCCTCGAGCTCGCCGCGTGCTGTTGCAAGCCGTACGCGATGCGGGCCTGCCTGCTCCGCTATCCGCTCCACGGGACACGCAGTGTGCACCTCGATCTCAATGCCGCGCGCCGCTGCTTCGCGGCGGGCAGCGTGGTAGAGCAGCGCGACGAGGCGACGAGGGTGGACCGTGGAGCCTGGCGCACTCCACGCCGCGCGCACCTCGCGTGCTCCGAGTGCCTGTTGCACTCGTGTCAACAGTCGAGAGAAGCAGCGCTGGCTGCAGTGTGCTCACCGTGCGGACCTCCTCTGGATCGACTCGCCGCACATGCTTGGCCCAGTCGCTGAGGCCTGCGCGCTTCGCCCGCTCGAGCGCGTCCTCGTACGCCTGCTCCTCCTGCTGCGTGAATGCGAGCGTCCAGTTGCCCTGCATCACGAGTTGCGGATCGATGTCGTGCTCCTGCGTCTTGCTCACACGCGCGCGCTTCTTCTCCATGGCCATCTCTCCGCGCGTGAGCGCCAGGAGTTCTGCAACAGTGCGAGCCTCGAGGGTGAGCATGCGGCGCACCGTCTCGTCGGTCTGCGCGCCGCGGTCGTTGCCCCACACCTCCTCGCGCGTCTTGCCCGGCGGTGGGGCCGGAAGGTAGCGCGAGAGATGTGCCTGTGAGGCGGCCAGGTCCGAGTACCACAGCGCAGAGACGGGCGTCAGATGTCCGCCGTTGCGCCCCGTGGCGCCGCCGCAGAAGTCGCGCGCCTCGAGCACGACCAGCCGCGCCGGCGCTGGCAGCGTGCGGGCGAGGTGGTAGAGCGCGGAGATGCCCGTAATGCCGCTCCTGCAGTAGCGTCAGCGTGGTGGGGCCAGTGAGACCTGCACATTTCCTGCCTTACCCCACGATGGCGACGTCGGCCTGGCCCTGCACGGCCCTGTCGTCGCGCACGCCCTGCTCCGCTCCCGGTCCGGCATATGTCTGCTGCCAGAACGACGGCGGCGCATGTGGCGAGGGCAGCGGCGCCGGCGTGCTGGGCACTCGCTCAAACGACGCAAGGATGCTCGCTGCGTCGTACGCTGACAGCTCGGCTATTGAGCTCGCCATGGTGTGCCTGCAGATGCTTGTGGGAGTGGAGAAGGTAGCCGGCCGTGCCGCGCCAGCAACTTGAGAACGGCTCCCCGCGGAGGCGGGCGGCAGCGCGAGCTTCACGGCCTTGGCCGATTCTGGTTCCGTCTGGTCGCCGGCACAGTTTGTGCTCCCAAGCTAGAAGAACCGTGATCCTCAGCCATCTCAGAGGATTCTGCAGCCGATACAACGAGCTCTGGCGGCCAGCGCAGGCAGCAGCAGCCGGGACAGGCCTCTCTGCCTCTGGCTCGTGCCGCTGCCGCCGATTTTCCTGGCTGGACGCGCGTTGCGCGTGTCGCGCCGCGCCGCGGCTCGCAATCATCCCGCTCCACTGTCCTGCCCTCACTTTCCCCTGAGACGCTGACTCGGACCTGGTCCGCACCACACACACTCGAGCTCAGCACCAGCAGAGTCGGCGCCCCAGCCACCTGCACTGAGCCTGCTGTCGCTGTAGCGGCAGCCCACAGACCGCGCTGCACCGTTTCCCTCTCGCGGCGCGTCTGCCCGCCGCACGCGGCCTCGCGCGCCGCGACAGGTGACAGCGGCGCGACTGCAGCCCCTGGTCCTTCCTCCTCGCCTGCATCTCCACCTCATGGCCAGCCTCATCCCCTCCTTCTTCTCTCATGGCGCCTCTTCCTCGGCGTCCGGCAGCATCAGCAGCGCCGCCGCTCCGCCCTCGCCTTTGAGCGCCGCTGCGCCGCGCCCGGCCGCGCCGCCTGCCGCCTCGGCGTCGAGCGGCAGTGCCGGCGCGCCTCTCCCGCCCAGCATGGCGGCGCCGAGCACCTCGAGCCGCTCGGAGCAGGCCTCGTCGTCGCGCCTGCCGCCCGTCGCCGACGATGCAGTGGCACAGGGCCTCTCCAGCAGCGCCGGCAGCGCCCCACGGCCGCCCGCGCTGCTCCGCACGGCCATCTCCGACGCCAGTTTGGCCTCCTCCTCGGCGCCGTCATCGCCCGCAGCTCTCTCCAGCGACGCACGCGCAGACGCCCGGCGCCAGTCTGCTGCTGCGCCAGCGCTGCCAGCAGCCGAGCAGGAGGCCGCGGCGCGCCGCAGCCGCAGAGTCATGCCGGCGCGCCTGATGCGCGTCTCGAGCCTGCTGGCCGGCAGCGCCGTGGAGGATGAGCTGCTGGGCGGCATCGAGGGCAAGCTCGGTGAGTGGCTGCGGTGTGAGACCTTGCGCGATGCTGGTGTGGGGTGTGTGAGACGATGTTAGTCGAGCGAGCTGCTCGTTCTGCCCCCGCAAGGCCGCAAACGCCTCGCCTCACGGTACCTCTCCGGCAGCCGCGCTGACCCCACGTCTCGCAGAGTCGCCGTTCCTGCCCGCTGGCACGTCCATCTTCCTGTCGTCCGAGAAGCCTGGGCAAGCATATGAGGCGTTGGCGCCGGGCGAGGCTGCGTTCAGCTTCTTTTCCGACCCCGAGATCGCGCGCAGCTGTCGCATGCGCGAGCAGATCGAGACGCCCGACTTTAAGCCGTGGGACGACTCGGAGATGCTCGGCAAGACGAGGGCACTCAAGTCTACGGTCAGTCGCGCACCTCCTTGGTGTCATGCTCTGTCGCTGACGTGCCTGCGCAGGAGGACATGTCCGACGCGGTATACGAGAAGCGGCACCGTCGGCCGGACAAGCTGGAGAAGCGGCAGCGCAGGCTGGAGAAGGAGCGGCTGATCAAGGACCGGCAGAAGCTGCGTGACCGCATCGAGCATCTCAAGACGGCCGATGCACGGCTTCTGCTGCCCATCATCATGGCGCGTGAGCAGAGCAAGGCCGAGGCGGCGTCGACAGAGCCTGGTGCACACAGTCCTGCTGCCGAGCCCGGCAGCTCGACGCCTCGCGGCACGAGTCCACATAGCGCCGAGTCGAGCTCTAGCAGCTCGGCGAAGCTGGAGCAGCTGCGCTCCGAGCTGCTGGCCGAGGCGCACGAGACGCTGGCGCGCTATGATGCCCTGCTGCCCGCCGAGCCGTCGCTCAGCGGCGCGTCGGAGCTGCGCAAGCGCTTGCATCACGACGAGGATAGCGACAGCGACGGCGCCCTCTCGCCGTCGGGCCGCGCCTCGACCTCGACGGCCGGACGCCGCCGTGGGACACCAGCCGCTGCCAGTCCTCTCGGCTCCGCGTCCGCAGCGCCGACGCCCGCAGCGCCAGTCATCGGGCAACGTCGTCTGCGCCTGTCGCTCGGTCCGCCTCGCACTCCCGCAAGCTCGGACGGCGCCCAGAGCAGCAGCGAGCCGCGGCGCCGCAGCGCATTCGTGCCGGCAGTCGAGTCGCCGAAGCCGCAGCGTCGTCTTGCCGTACCTGCGGGCAGTCCGGGCTCGCCCGAGACGGTGCACGTGGAGTGCCGCGCCGAGAATCCCAACATCCATGCACGCACGTCGGGCGGCCGCTTTGCGCCCAAGAGCGCCATAGGCACGGTCGTGCCGCCCCGTGCCACTCCATCAAAGCCCTCGTCCGCGAGCGCAGAGGCCAAGCGTAGCGCCAGGGTCTCTGCGAGCGCAAGCAGCACGCCGAGCTCTTCCACGCGGCCTGCAAGAGCCGCCCGTCGCTCAGCCGTGGACATGCGCGAGCACATGGAAAGCGAGTCTTCGAGCGAGGAGGAGGTTGACGTTAAGCCGCGAGAGGCTACAGGCGCCAGCAGTAGAGCAGAACGAGCTGCTCGTCCGCGCGGCGACATCTCGCGCGCTTCGGAGCAGTCCCTGTCGGTCGTGCTGCACCAGCAACGCCAGGCTGCCAACAAGACCGGCCCGTCGCTCGCCGAGCTCGATGCCAGCATGCGGCCGCGGCCCAAGCGCGTCAAGCTGACGTTTGCGCGCGGAGGGCGCTCTTCGGCGTCTGCTGCAGACGATCAAGAACGCAGCAGCAGCTCGAGCAGCGCCGGTCCCAGCGCTGCACCTGCTCCACTGGCAGCTGGCGCGCTGCTCCCCGCGCGCATCCTGCCGACTCTGGCGAGCGCCACTGCGGCAGCCGTCGAGTCGGCGGAGAGCTCAGATGTGGAGATGGAGGCGGCGCCCAGCTTTGGCGCGTCGGCTCTGACGCTCGAGCAGGCGCAGGCGCTGATGGAGGCGGCCATGGCGGACACCAGCAGCGCAGTCGCCTCGCCGGTGCATCGACCCGAGGGCGAGAGCAGCTCTGCGGGCGAGCAGAGCGTCAAGAAGGAGGCATCCGCAAGCCTGCCGCCCGCAGAAGCACCCGTGCCGAGCGCACCTGCGGCCGTCGATCTTACGCCTGCCGCGAGCGCAAGCACCGCGAACGGCACCGACGTCGTGATGAGCGACGCAGTCGAGTCGCAGGCCGAGGTTGCCGCGCCTCCGCCATCCGAGGCGCCACGCGAGCTCCCGCAGGCTGCCGACGCGAGCTCGAGCGCAGCGCCGGCTGCGCGCACGTCGAGCCGCGTCAAGGCCGCGAGCGCCTTTGGCGAGAAGATTCCCGAGCAGGCCAGCCGGCGCGAGGACTTTGACGTGGCGTGGCGTACGCGCCTGGAGGAGGACTGGCTGCCCAGTGCTGCGATGCTCGAGGCAGGCGCCTCTGCGGACGACGCGCAAGATGCGCAGCCACCTGCGCACCCCAGCGGCACAGTCAAGCTCGAGCAGCCCGACGACCCGACACCGACGAGCGACTCCGAGCGCGCACTAGGCACGTCCTGAGCCCGACCACCACGTCACACATGACAGGAATGAAATGGAGCCGCAGCACAGGCTCAGGCCGTCAGCGATGCGATTAGCGAGAGCATGTCATGCGGGTCTATGTGCGCTCGAGAGCGGCAGCGAGCCAGTTGCTCTTCACCCACGGCGCGGCGTGCAGGGCGCGCTGCGCCATGTCCGGCGGCATCGTCGGCGGCAGCAGCATCTCGTCGCCGTTTGCCGCCTCGCTGTCCTGAGGCGGCGCCTTTTGCGGCTTGGCGGCGCCACTGAGGGCCGTGGCGAGCGCGAGCAGACGCATGGCGTGCGCGTAGTGCGCCTCGCCGGCGTCGCTCGAGTTGACGGTGCCAAAGGCCAGCTGTGCCGCTGCCAGCGCGGCCTGCGCCTCCTCGGCGCTGCTGCTGGACGCAGCGACGCGCAGCCGCGCCTCGACGAGGGAGAGATGCGCCTGGATCGATGGCGGCTGCGTCTTGGTGGCAGCCTCGAGCGTCGCGAGCGCGCCGGCAGCGTCGTTCTGGGCGCGAGCGTGAGCGATGTGCGATGGCGAGGGCGAGAGTGGTGCCCACTCACATCGCCGAACTGCACCATCGAGAGCAGAAAGTCGACGTCGCGCTCGCCGTCGAGGCGCTGCAGCTGCGCCGGCGAGAGCTCTCGCACCTCGCTCAGCGCCGCGTCGACGAGGCCAGTGTCGTGCGTAAGCACGCCGAGGGCCGCGAGGGCCGTGATGGCGGGAATGTGTTGCGGCGCCGCAGCGATGCTGCCGGCAGATGAGGATGAGGACCAAGCTGGGCGCTGGGCCACCCTGTGCCCACTCACCAGTCCAGCAACTGCGCCTTTGCCTCCTCTTGCCGCTCGTCGCCGCCGAGACTCCAGAGCACGCGCGCCATTTGCACGCCGACCTGTGCGCGCAGCTCGCCGTCTGCGTCTGCCGTGCTGCCCTCGACATCGGCCAGCGCCGCGCGGAAGGCGTCGAGCGAGGCGTCGGCGGCGCCGCGGGCAAAGTGCGCCAGCGCCACGCCGAGATGCGCGGCCGTGCGCACGCGTGCTCGATTGGCTGCGGGAAGCACAGCTTCGGACGCCGCGTCGCCCTCGCCCAGGTCGAGCAGGCCGAGCGCAGTCTCGAGCGCCTCGATTGCTCCCGCTGCATCACCAGCATCGAGACGGATGCGGCCCAGATTGCTCTGCGCAATGGCATACTTGGTGGCCGTGACGACGTCCTCGTCCTCCTCGTACTCGCGCTCGAGGAGCGCAGAGGCACGCTCGATGCGCTCGATGGCCAGCGCCTGCTCGCCCAGGCGCTCGCAGAAGAGCGCCGAGAGATGCAGCGCAGACGTGTCGCTCGGGCGGAACGCCACGAAGGAAGAGAGCGCAGAGGCGGGCGAGTGCAGATGGATCGGCGGCGGCGGGCTCGCAGAGCTGAACTGGGCGAAGACGCAGGCGGCGAAGCCATAGTCGGCCTCGAGCTGCGGATAAGGGGGTGAGCATGGCGGGGCAATGCGGGCAGCGTCGTTGCGCGGGGCACTCACTGCCGAGCCCTCCGACAGGCCGACGGCATGCTCGAACAGCACGCGCGCCGCCTGCTCGTCGTCGTGGTGCTGCGCCACGAACGCCTGCCCCACCCACGCCGTCGCAAGATCGGGGTCCAGCGTCTGGGCGCGGATGAAGGCCTCGTTTGCCAGCTCGGCGTCGTCGTGCTGCAGGTAGAGGAAGCCGAGATGGCTCCAGGGCACGGCGTCCTGCGACAGGTGTCAGCCGCGAGAAGGGGGGCCGGGGGGGGGGGGGGGGGGGCTCTGCAACTCACCCTCGGGCTCGCCTCAATAGCGCGCACAAAGCAGTGCTGTGCCAGCTTGACATTCGTCTTGAACGCCAGGCTGCCGAGGATCATCCACAGCGCCTCATTGCCCGGCTCGAGCTTCAGGGCGCGCTGGATGCACTGCGTGCCTTGCGTTGCTGCGTCTTTGAGCTTGGCCACGAGGTCGAGCTGGTGCAGCGCCACGGCGAGGTCGGCCCATGCCGTTGCATCCTCGTCGCTGCCGTGCAGCACGACACATGCCTTGTAGAGGAAGGCAGCTGCAGACAAGTAGGCATGCTCGCTCTCTCGGCACTGCGCCACGTACTTGAGAGTGACTGCCGACGAGACGTCGCCCAGCTGTGCATCGACGTCGTCCTGTGCCGCAAGCTGCACGAGTTGCTCGACTACACCCTCGCGCATCGTGCGGCCTTGCACCAGGCGTCCAAAGCGCGAGAGTTCAAAGAGCGCATCGGCCGCGACTTTCCATGCCGAGCGCAGGTGAGGCTCGAGTCGCACGGCTTGCAGCACATGTTGCAGTGTCGTCTCGAGCGACGCCTCTGCGCGCAGCACATATCCCGTCTGCACTTCCCGCTGCGCCAGCTGCAGGCTCGTCTCGGCCGCTGCAACGCGCACGCCAATCTCCTCTGGCTGTTCCTTGAGGATGTGCTCGAGCAGTTCCTGTGCCTCGTCGACATCGCCCAGTTCGCGATGCACCTCTGCGATGCTGTAGCGCACCTGCCACGCGCCGTGCGAGAGCTGCAGCGCCTTTGCAAACGTCTTGAGAGCGGCAGCCTGGCGCTGCGAGGCCGCATATGCCTCGCCCAGCCGCTGCCACGTGCCTGCATCGTGCGGCTCGGCGCGCAGCGCCACTTGGAACGCCGCAATGGCCTCTTCGTGCCTTTCGCGGTGCAGCTCTACCGAGCCAATGGCGCGCCAGGCCCAGGCATTGCGGCTCATGTGGCGCTTCTGCGACACGTTGCCAGCGGCGCCTCCGAGTGCCTCGGCGCCGCCTTCGCCCTCGACGGTACGCCTTGCCACGACATCGACGAGGTCCCACTCTCTCTCCTCGGCAAAGCCCTCGGCCAGGCGTCGTGCCGCCTCATCTTCGCGCGCATCCAGCTCAAATGCCTTTTGGAAGCACTTGCTTGCCCTTGCCGCATCCTTTGCGACTTCGTCGTAGAAGAAGCCCAGTGCCGTGAATGCCGGCGCAAAGCCGGCGGAGCGCTTGAGGGCCGTGATGAAGCACGTAAATGCCTGGTCCGGATCGCTGCGTGCCTCGCCGCCGATCTGCCAGAGACAGCGGCCGAGCCGCCACCAGGCGCGTGCGCGCGCGGCGCCGTCGACGACGGCGGCAGAGGCGGCGTCGTCGAGCCGATCAATGACCGCTTCCAGCGCCACGCGGCCCTCTTCGAGGCGTCCGGCACACACGTCGCACCAGGCGACTTCGCCTTGCGCCTCGAGCGCCGGCGCGCGCGATGGCGACAGCGGCGACGCGGCAGCCTGTGCGAGCGCGAGCTGCTGCACGTGCACAAAGGCGGCACGAGCTTCCTCCCAGCGCCCTGCTGCTTCATCGATGAGGCCTTTGGACAGGAGCGCATCGATGTTGTCGGGCGCAGCACCAAGGACGGAGGAGACGAGGCGCAGTGCTCGCACGTGATGTTGCGGGGGATGAAGGCGCGTCAAGGCGCTTGCCAGCTGCGTCTCGATGTCTCGCCTGCTGTTGCCGAGGCTGACGGCTGCATCGCTCTCGATGCGTCGCAGGAGCGAAAGCGCAGAGGTGGCCACGTCCGACACGGAGAGATAGTCGCCGTCGAGAAGGTAGAATGTGGCGGCGATGCGATGTGCCAATAGCGAGTGTGGAGCCTCTTCAAGTGCGCGCTATTGAAGGGGCAGATGGGGGGGGGGGGCATCAGCTGTTGCGCCTCCGCCCTTTCCCCCCGAGGTCAGCCGAGCCAAACAAACTCACGATTGCGAGGGCAAGCAGATCAGGCGCTGCCTGCTCCACATCGCGGCGCTGCGTCTCCTCTGCCTCTTCCAGCAGAAACTGCTCGTCTTGCAGCAAATGCAGCAATGCCCGGAACGCCAGGCTGCGGCCCGAGTGCGGGAAGCGCGAGATGAAGGCTCGCAGACGCTCGCGAGGTAGGTCGGCTTGAAGATCACACCACCGCGTCAGCTATGGGCACCCCATGGAAACAATCGCTAGTGGGGCACGAGAGAGTGACTCACTGAGGGCGACATAGTCGGTCCACTCCAGCACCACCTCCCACGCCAACTCCTCCGGCACGTCAATCGTCACCATGCCCTTTGCCAGGCTCACAAGTTCATCGCGCGCGTGCAGCTTGCGAGCCATCGCCTCTGCATCTGCCTCGTCCGAGGCGGCCGACGCGGCGGCGCCGGCGTGGCGAGGCGCCGTACCTGGCGTAGCGAGAAGCAGACGATGGCGATGATGAAGCAACTTGCTCTCGGCCTCGCGTCGCACGACGTCGGACGCAGAGGCGTGCGAAAGGACTTGCTCGTACAGCGCTGGCAGCTGTTGCAGGAGAGAAGATAGGAAGCATGAGCATCACACCAC